CGCAGACCCATGCGCCGTTTCATTTTAGGGACAATGAGCGGGCTGCAGCTGACATGGCCGCTTTTTTCCCATCCTCCCCGAGCCCATGGGACTTTTGTGTCTGGCCTTCATTCCTCATTCTTGTTCACTCGACCATGGCTCCTCCTGGATCTTTCAATGGCTGTTGCTCCTGGATCCAAGAGATCGTCTGATCGGAGCAGTTGAAAGTCAAATGAGGCGTTGTGCGACTGTTGTTCACAAAACATTCGGCGTCAACGACGGATGCCAGCGTGGCCTTTGACTGAGACTGGGCGATGCCCTTGCAGCTGTCACTCTGTTTCTCGAGGCAAGGTTTGGACATGATGCGATCCAAGGCGATCTCTTGGAAAGGGCCGTTTGACTGCTCAGCGGTAGGAGAGCGACAAGCGCAGGCGAGCTAGCCGGCCAGAGTCGGACTGGGGCCGGGACCGTGTGTCTCAACTTTGCATTTCCACTCATGCGCCTCTCTCACACACCAGAAAGGAATTAGAGTTCGCGTTGCCTTGAACTGGGCGGTCGCCGATGCAAGCCTCTCCTCTCTCTCTGCTTCGAGTCTCGACTGCGTTCCTCTCCAACCAGCCGAGCGCCCAAGCAATCACGATCCATCATCCTCATTCCTCTCTTGCTGCTCGCTTGTTTGCTTGGCTTGGTGTGGATCCGTGTCAAGTGTTCGACGGGCAGCTCTTCCACTCACAGGCTGTGGCTCGTATCGCGCAGCACCATCCAGCCGCTGTGGTGCCATGAGAATTCAGGCTGCAGCGCTGACAGCCATTCAGACGTCGAGCCTCGCCAATGCAATGCAACGGGTCTGTCTGCCTGCAAGAAAAGAAAAAAGAAAATTTATTCATTTGGCTCGCTTTTTGTGCCAGGTGGTGGGGTGCTGTTCCGCCAATCTGGCCTTTTGACGCCCCCCGCCTGCCCCTCTTTCTCATTCCGCTCATGAACAAACACTGCTGGTTCGCCCGGAGATCGCCTTTCCCACGTTAGCTGCAGGCCCAGACGCGCTTTTGCGGCTCATGCGCCTCTGCTTTTTGCCATTTGCCGCTGTGCTCTGCTCTGTTCTCCTCCTCCTCCTCTCTTCTCCTGACCCTCCTCGCTCCCCCTTGCCCCATTCTCGGCCACAGTAGCAAGCGCTCGTGTAACTTTTGCGTGGACAGCCCGTCGCGCGACCTCTTACAGCCGCGATTCTATGCCACGACTTGGCTCGCAGCCGATTTAGGGTCTATTTCTCACCCTAGATTGCAACAGCTAGGTACATATACCTCTCGACCTTCCACGTCAAACTTTGATCATCTTTCCCGACCCCCGACCTTGCTTCTTCGACCCGTCACCATCCTTCTGCTCGCCATCATCTGCGTCTCGCTCTGTCTTTCGCCGTCCACTCTCGTTCCGGACTCGTAGATCCCGTCACGGCTTCGCACGCCGTCAGCATCCCACTCTTCACTATCAACCTCAGACGCTAGACTTGCTTTGCACAGAGAGCATCTTTTCTTCAAGATGGCCGGCAGTACAGCTCTGGGCCCTGGGTCGTCATTCCCTTCCATGGACCTCTCGTAAGTAGCCCCAGCTCAGATCGCCTGACCAGTGACGAGCGCAATATCGACTGACCTTCTCATCGTTGCCTCCGCGCTTCATACATGCGTTCACAGCTTGGGCTGCATGTACATCGGTGTCATGCTCAACGTCTGGCTCTACGGTTTCTCCATCGTTCAAGCCTACATCTACTATGTCAACTTCAAGAACGACAAGCCTCTCATGAGGTACTTTGTGCTCTTCCTCGTCATCGCCGACTCGATCAACGCCGTCTTTGACCAGGTCTTCATGTACCAGTACCTCGTCTCCAATTTTGGCAACCTCGTCTACGCCACCAAGAGTAATCGCGCCTTTGCTGCCGATCCCGTCATGACCGGTATCATCGCCTTCTCCACCCAGCTCTTCTTCGCTTGGCGTGTGTACAAGCTGATGCACTCCAAGATCATGCCCGCTCTCATTGCCACCGGTGCCGCCGTCTCGCTCCTCAGCGCTATCGGCACCACTGTCGGTGTCGAGATCGTCCTCTTCTTCCAGGAATTCCAAAAGTTCCAGGTGGTCGTCATCTTGTGGCTCGGCTTTGCTGCGCTCACCGACGTCCTCATCACGGGCTCGCTCGTCTGGACACTCAACAAGTCGCGAACCGGTTTTGCCGGCACCGACGACGTCATTACCAAGTTGATTCGAATGACGCTCCAGACCGGTGCGCTCACCACCGTGTTCGCCATTGTCGATCTCGTCCTCTTCCTGACTTCCACCACAACGCTCCACTTGGTCTTCAACCTGCCGCTCGCCAAGCTCTACGTCAACTCGCTGCTTTCCACGCTCAACGCACGTGTCACCATCGGTCAGGGTGCTCAGCAGTACACCATGGAGGGCTCAAACAGCGACAATGCTCGCCGTGGCATTTCGACCACCCGAACCAAGCGCTCCGGTGCTTTCCGTCCCGGTGGAAACAACCAGCCCAACGTCATCCGCACTCAGGTCTCGATGCACGACGATGTCGAGAATGGTCTCGGCGACTACAACAGTCAGGACAACTTTGAAACCGGCATCCACATCAAGACTATCGAAGAGACCTTTGAGGAGCGACATGAGCGCGACGGCATGCGTGGCTACCCAAGCTCGCAAGAGAGCTCGCTCCCCGTTCTGGAGAAGAGCAGCCGTAGCGACAAGGACTCGCTCTGAGTTGCCGCAATCAAAAAGCAAGACTTTGTTGTCTTTACACGGTCTCTAGTCGTTTCTCGTTGGAGAGAACGACAATCGTAGCCGATGCAGTGCCAAGGGGACCGGAGTCTCCTTCTGGCCGCCGGCTTGTCATTGTTCTCAGTCGCTGTCACCAATCGCATTTGTCATTCGTTCTCATCGCAACTCGAAGCTCTTCCGTCACTTGATTCGTCTTGCGCGTGTCTCGAATCGATGTCAGCCAGTGAGAAGCCACGTCCTTACCGGACTGAATTGAGCGGTATCATCGGATGACTGTGACGGCAAACTCTTCATCGGTGTGTCTCCAGCACGCTCTGTCTGATCTGGACGTGGGAGCTAGACATGATGCTCCTTGGTGTGGTGGCAGGGCGGTGCCATGGTATGACAGAGCGAGCAGGGCGGTGAGAACATCGGAACGATAGACAGCGATGCGATCCGAAGCGTCAACGTGACGGCCAACACGGATCTATTTGGACCAACACGACACAAGAAGAGCTGACCCAATCCATGAGCGAAATCATGCAGCAGCTGATCAGCAGTCTTCCTCTCGTCATTTTCACGCCCGTGCCAATTCAACTTTTTGACGAGAAGATGCGATAACTCCACCTGGATCTGGTCTACACGATCTGCTATACTTCCACAACGTCTTCGCGATCGCAAGAGACTCCATCTAGCGGCTTGGGGCAGCAAACATCGATTACCTGTGCTGTCCTCGACTCATCTCATCACCTCAACGGGGCACATTCACAAGGAACGGGACGACAGGCATTCCAGAGGCATACATGTTGACGAGATAGCTCTGCATCCCATGGATAGACAAACCTGCAGCCACTATGGTTGCTCTGATCAACGACGATCGACGACGACGGCTGCGGCAACGGTAGATGACGATCAGTCACGCGCGGGCCCATCACAATATCGTCCAACTCGACACACCTCGTCTTCAGCATCGCGATCACGCTCCTACCCCATCCACTCCCCCTCAGAAACCCCATCACCATCGCTCTACAAACAGGCCACCGACTACGCGCGCTCCCTGCAATGGACCAAGGAAGAGACCGATGAATTCCTCCTCCAGAACCGCACCGTCGTCACCGCGGGCACCGCCTCGCTCGTCTCGACCGCCGCCTCGTTCCCGTTCGACTCGGTGAAATCGCGCCTCCAAGTGCGCGACTACCCGTCGATATGGGCGTGCGCCAAGTCCGTCGTACGCGAAGAAGGCTTCCGCGGCTTCTTTCGCGGCGTCACCATCCCTTTGATCACCATCTCGTTCGTACGCACCTCGTCCTTTTCCATCTACTACAACACCAAGGCGGCGCTGCATCGCAACGGCATCTTTGACGACTCGTCGCGGTTGATACACACGGCGCTGTCGGGCGCGGCGGGCGGCGCGACGAGCGGCATCATCATCTCGTGCGGCTCGGCGCCGTTTGAGCTGGTCAAAGTGCAACGCCAGTTGGAGTACCTCATCGCCGTGCAGAAGGGTTTGGTGAAGAAGAACACCTCGGCCAACGGAGGCGGGCGGACGTTTGTGCCTCAATCGGGCTTCCAAGCCGCCGCAAACATCTACAAGAACTTTGGCGGCATCAAGGGCTTCTACATGGGCTTTCCGTTGCATATGGCGAGAGACACCTTTGGTACTGCGCTCTACTTTGGCTTCTACGACTCGATCCGCAAGCTCGTTACGCGCCACTCGACGTCGGATTCGATATCCGGTCCGAGCCTGTACGGCATCCCGGGACCCGTCGTTTCGTTCCTATCCGGTTCGTCAGCAGGTATCCTCTCATGGATGATCCTCTACCCGGTGGACCTGATCAAGACCAAGGTGCAGCGCGACGCCCTCGCCGGCAACCCCAAGCAGTTTACGGGCTGGCAGACGTTCATGCACATGATCCGGGAGCGCCCGATCGTCCAGGAGGAAGGCGGAAAGCAACGGATACTGAAGACGGACACGTTCCTAGCGAGATTCTTGCGGTTGTATCGCGGACTGGGCGTTTCGGCGCTGCGCAGCTTCATCTCTCACGGTCTCACCTGGACGTTGATCGAGACCATCTCGGGCAAAATTACGGAGAGGACGGGTCAGTCGGTGTCGTATGCGCCAGATGCCAAGCAGGAAGAGTGATGGCCGTGCGATCGTGTAGAAACGCAATAGAACAGCGGAAAGCATCTTTGGCAATTCATACCCTCCCACCCGTCTTCTTGCGACCGAAGCAGCGTCGGACTCGTCTATGACTGAGACGTTTCAACACAGGAACAGCAGGGGCTCAACACAAACTCGCAAAACCGTTCGCAGCAGTGGCACAGTACAGTATATGCATTGCATTTCGTGGCACGACATCATTGACCCGTCAACAGACGCTGCAGCTCCTGCGGGGTGTATCGCTTCTTCGGTGTTGGCTCGGCGGGGATGAGGATGGCGGCCACCTTCCTTCCTTCTTCCGAGAGCATGTTGAACGTTGATGCTGCGTCGTGCTGTGCAAAAAGGAATGGTCAGCGAATGAGAAACCTCTCAGCATGTTTGGGATGGGATCTGCCGACTTACGGTACTCTGCACGTCCAGTTGAATGCCCAACTCATTGATGTACTGTCTGATCGGTCCCGGTGGTGGCAAGACCCGCTTCCCTGTGCCGAAGAGTATGATCTCCGGTCGCTCATCGACCAGCTCAAACACCTTGAAGATCTCCTTGACCCTCGGTGTCACCTCGAGCTTTTTGCCGGGTTGAACCATTGCGCCGAGCCAATCCTCCCAGCCAATGCCGCTGGGAACTGCGTAGTCCTGGTTGAGCTTCGGGTGGTCCCATAGGAATACCTGGTTATTGAGGATCACGATGGGTTCGGAGAGCACGAGGCCGTCGGCGAGTGTTAGGGAGGTCGGCGAGGTCGAGGCGACAGAGACAGCGATTGCGGGCGTAGCCGACTCGAGGATGTTGAAAAAGTCGTCGTAGACTGTGCGGTGCTGGCCTGTGTTGGGCTTGCCGCCGGGGTCGTCTGACGGCAAGCGCCGGTGGGGGGTCGTATGGAACGACGAGGAGGCGACCGCTGCTGCTCTCGTAGGGATGAGACGTGGGGATATAGCTGGACGAGCGGCGCTTCGTGTGAGCGCGATGCGCAGCAACTGTGTGCTTCTTGCGGCCATCTTGAAGCTTTTACTGATCTGATCAAGGTGGCGGCGAGCAAGGTCGATGAGAGCAAGGAGCAAGAAGTTGCGCTCCAAGCCATCAAAGCTTCCGACATGTGGAGTAAAATCTCGCGAAGGTGGTGTAAGCGGTATCGGGACGCGGCCAAAAGTTGACTTTGTTAGATCCATGAGCCGGCTCACCTTGCCCTCGCTGTCTGTGTCATACTCAGATGAATGCTCAACTTCACACTCACAGCGATGGCCGAGCAGCACGCCTTCGTTCACACAAGGATACATCACAGGTGAGGCAGATGTGATTTGAGATTGGGTCGAAGTCGATCACCTTCACTAGCCAGCCACGGCATGCCCCTGCTGCACGCCCTCTCCCGCACCCTTCCTCTTCCTCTCGTGCGTCTTCCTGTGCCGACTCGCCTGATCCGGCCTACTGAAGCACTTGCCGCACTCGTCGCAGCGGAACGGCTTGTCGCCGGTATGCGTCCTCACGTGCTTGGTCAGATTGCTGCTCTCGGCGAATGCCTTGCCGCATCCTGGGAAGCTGCACACGAACGGCTTGCTTCCGGTGTGCGTCCGCTTGTGGATGGTCAACGAGCCCGCGACGCTGAACGACTTCCCGCAACCTGGGTGGTCGCAGACGTAGGGACGTTCGAGCGTGTGCGTTCGGATGTGCTGGGCTAGCGTATTCTGCTCGCTGAAGCGTTTGCCGCACTCGTTGCATTTGAAGGGTCGATCGCCCGTGTGCGTCTGGATGTGTCGCAGCACTTTTTGCTTCTGCGAGAATTTGGCTCCAGAAGCATGGCGAGGGCAGCCGATCCAGCGACACTCGTACTCGGCTTTGCCGGAACCGACGTGCGCAGTCTCGATATGGTCTGTGAGCGCAGAGTGCGAGTCGAAGCAGGCGGAACAGCCTTCCCATCGACAGAAGAGTTGGTCGTTCTCGCTACAGGACGCCGCGCCACTGAAGCTGCCCGTCTCGCTGTTCTTGCGCTTCTTGCTCCACCAGGATGATGCCGCATTGTCGTTCGTGTTGGTGAGGGCAACGCTGCCAGCGGAATAATGCGAAGAAGGCGTCGGCGCTGCAAATGGCTGGTCTCCTTTGAGCGACAGAGGTACCGCAGCTTGCTGGCCCAAATGATCATGCAGCAGATGCTGCAGGATGGCGAGCGAGATCTTACCGTCCTGGCCTGCTGATGCCGTTGCATTGGTCGTCTTCCACAAGTCCTCCTCTGTGGTCGGCGTGAACGTGCCCAACGCGAGCTTTTCGGGTACGGGGACCTGATGACAATCCTTCCAAAGACACTCGAGGAGACCCGCACTATCCTGCTCTTTTGTCGAAAGCTGCGCTCCTTGATGCGCGAGCGCCCGACTGACTTGCGCCGTCGCCTGATGGAAGCTCTTCTGTGTGTCGGGCGTTTGCGATGGATCTGCATCTGCGTTTTTGCGAACAAGGTGCGAGTGATTGACGTGCGCAACCAGCTCTTCGACAGTCCAGAAGCGCTCGTTACAACCGCCCCACTGGCACAGTTGCGGCCTTGCGTCTTGCTGGCTGTTGTTGCGTTTGAGAGTATCCGCTCGATGCTGATGCTGATGCTGTTGCTGTTGCTGCCGTGGGGCGTCGGTGGACATCCAGTGCGAGTGCGGCGCAGAGGTTGGGCAAACATTGGAATCGCAAAGCGTCATTGCAGGCGGAAGGCAGCCACCTTGACTGCTGTGCAAATGCGGCTGTTGGAACGTGCAGTCGTTCCAAGACTGAAGCTCGGTCAAGATGTCTTCGAAGGAGACAGGGCCAGCAGGGGAGTGCTGATGACTGTCAAAGACGGAAGCGCCAACAGTGTTGTCCTTGTAGTGAGGAGTCGATGGATGCAGCATCATCGATGACCATTGCATCGCGGGCGAAACAGACACAGGTTGGGGAGTCGCGGTGGTAGAGACGGTCGATGCCCGGGAGCCGAACTGGTTTCGGCCGCCCGGTGAAGTGAGCTGGGTCGCATTGGTGATGATGCTTGACGACGGTGTATCCGAAAGGGGTGGCGGGGGCGCTGGGTGACTGTGCTGGTGATGAGGGTGATCGATTGTCTCAGCTGGCGAGGCGTGAGGTGCATTGCACGGATATGGCGTCGAGCCGACGCAACATTGCTCCACTGTCGGCGGCATGGAGCAGCAGCAGCAATCCAAAAGTTCCTGAAAGCTGCTGTACAGCTGTCCGCCTTCCGCTGTGCCAGTCGAGTTCAGCGAGCCACGACACTCGGTGCATTCGTTGTGTGGTTTACGCGACGGTTCGTGATTGTGCGCATGGGCTTTGGGATGCGATTGCAGGAGTATTCCATCGCAGACGTTGGTGGCGTCCATGTGCGGATTCGGCAAAGCTTCCGATTCGCAAGCCTCATCGGTGCAGCAAGCTGCGAGGATCGGCGCTGGTAGCGTACCAGTTGAGCAATCGCCAGGAGCCGAGCATGGCGACTGTGAGCACGGCGAAGGGGCCACATCAGCGCATTCGGTGTCGTCGCAGCACGCGATAGCAGTGGGGCAGACCACTGCACTCGAAGAGGTGGCAGCACCACAGGAGGGTTCTGTGCATGCACTCGAGATGTGATGGGCGTCAGAGCAGGGTGAGGCTGGGACCGAAGATGTGCAATCATGGCAATCGGTGGCGCAGGGAGCAGGAACGACCGAGTGGTCCTGATCGCAGCAAATGACGGCGCCGCAAGCTGGATTGAGAGTGCTGAGCTGTTTCGAAGGTTGAAGCGGTGGCGGGGACCTCGTGTTCAGCCTCTTCCTTAGGGGCGGCCCCATCGTTACAGCATCTCTGGATGGTCTTTGACCAAGAGCGGCCGACGACGGCGACAACACACCTTCCGTTGACGCCGCCATGTTAGAGACAGTCAATCACCGAGGACGCTTGTCAGGCGGCTTGCATGTGTCGAAGTGTGTGGTCGGCAGGGACAGGGAAGAAGTTGACGGCGAGGCGATCGATGGAAGGCTGGTGGACTGAAGGTGTCTTCCGAAGTATTCAGCGAGTCAGCGCAAAAAAGTTGCGGGAAGTCAAGTCAGGTTTGACGCTTGCAGTCGGAGTTTGGGAAGGAATCGGTTCCGAGGTGCTTGAATAAGGTGTTGCTGACTCTTGATGATGTGCCTTGTGAAGGTGAGCCGACGTAGCCTAGGCGTGGCCACAGGGGAAGAGAGCGTGAGTGGGCCGAGGGCTTGCTTGCTTGCTTGCTTGCTTGCTTGGAACGACTGTCACCGTGAGTTGCAGGCCCAGTAAAAGGGGGCAGGCCTAAGGGAGTAGGCGACGACAGGGGTTGACCGGCTCTGCCTTGACTACCTGTCCTCGGAAGCAGCCTGTGTGAGGGGCGAAGTGCCAAGCTTGATGGAAGAGGAAGGCAAGAGCAAGGGGCAGAGATAGGCGAAATGTGTACCCTGCTGGTTATGTCGTTGATAACCGCACCCTTTTCTCGCGCTGATTTGCAATCCAAACTCCAGGAAAGCGCACACAAAAACTCTAACACGACACAACTTTTCGCTGCACCCTGCCCCCTCCTATTTCCTAGAATCAACATGATCGGCCCTCTGTTCATGTTCTCTCAAGTGCGAGCCGTTTCGCAGGAGCAGGGTCAGACGGGGGCAGGCTCAGTAGCGTATTGCCAGGGCTGCTGAAGCCTTTCAGCGTGGAGCGTATGTATGCAAGTGGTGTAAGTACAGAAGATGCCTATGTGGTCAGCCGCGTGAGAGTGCCGATTCTCCTCCCCTTCAGATCAGATCCCAGAGCGGGTCGTCCGATCGAATGCCTTCCTTGCGAGTAGCTCCCGTTCGTACTGCCTTCGGCGCGGGTGTCGCCGTGAAGCTGTAGCCCTCGAGAGCATTGTCCACCGCTTGCTGGGAGAAAGACTGAGTGGGAACGAGTGGCGCAGGTGCTGGCGCGGCCTGCTGACGGGCCGAGCGAGAAGAGGAAGCGAGACCGCCGATGATGAGGGAGCGGAGAGCATCGCCCGTCAATGGCTCGGCTGGGGCCTTGGATGCAGAAGAAGCGGAGCCACCCTTTGGACTGGCCTGCGAAGGGCCGAGAACCGCGATGCCTCCCTTGGGCTCCTTGAACGATCCAGTGGGCGACTTGGCCTTTCCGAGGAAGGCAAGGACATCGCCCTTAGTGATCATGCCGCGCACACCCGTTCCCTTGATCTTGCTCTCGGCGTCCTCAATGCCATTCTCGGCGATGAGACGCTGCACCGAAGGGAAGAGAGGGCCTTTAAAGTGGTGGTGTGCGTTGGAGCTGGAGGAACCTTGTGACGATGGCGCTGCCGAGCCGGTGGACGCGGCGGTCTGGCTGGAGGAGTCTGGCGCCGACTTGCCTGAGGCCTGCTTCGATTTGTCGTCGGTAGGAGTACTAGAAGGAGCTGCAGGGGCATCGTCTTTGGGAGCCTCGATGTTGGAGATGTCGTCGCCCTCCTCAGCAAGCATGGCGATGGTCTTGCCGACGTCCACATCCTTGCTTCCATCCTGGACGAAAATCTTTGCGAGAACACCATCGTCCTGAGCCTCGACATCCATGGTAGCCTTGTCGGTCTCGATCTCGAGCAGGACGTCACCCGCCGAGAAAGCTTGACCCTCTTTGACCTTCCAGGCAGCGATACCGCCCGACGTCATGGTGGGCGACATGGCTGGCATGGCGAATTTGGAGATCGCATGGTGCACCGACGAGGTGGACAGTGCTCGAGCGACGGTTGGCGTGCGCGAGCTGGACCCGGCGGCGGCCAAGAGCCTCGAAACGGGCATAAGGAGGGATCGTGATGTCGACATCTTGTGCGTGGACGAGCTGCTTGCCTAGCGTTACGGATGCTGATTGGTGGACGGAGATGGTCGAGGTGGGAGGATGAGGACGAGAAGAAACCAGAATTGGGAATGCACGCAGCCTCGCTCAGAATTTGGCCGACGAGCCTGCAGAGCAAATCGATTATCAGCGCTCGGCAAGAAATGTTGACGCACTCCAGCCTCGAGCGCGTTTTCCTGTTCCGCCTAATTCACCGTTCAGAAAGACAGAAAAAAGGGTCTGGACAGCGCGACTCTTGCTGTTTTGTTGGGAGCCCTCATTCTGCCCGATTGACGATTGCGATTCGGTGACGGATAGACCCTGGCACAGGTGTCGCGAGCAGCGGACCTCTCCACAGACGGGCGGAAGCAGCTGGAGCAATCTGTCTCTTGCTATAGCTGCGACAGCCGTACGCTTTAGCCAGAGCTCAGCAGGCGGCAGTCCTCAACCACTCAATCATGTCTGACGTTGAGTAAGAAATGATTGCGTTCGATGACAAGCGATGATATCGCACATGTGAACACCTTGCAGCAGGTCTTCACTCCTTCTTTGACTTCTTAGACTTCTTGTCGTCCTCCGTCTTGACCTTGCGCTTCTTCTCCTTCTTGTCCTTGAGTTCTTCCGTAACCTGGCTCGCTGGCTCCGTTCCTGTAGACTCTGTTGTAAGACGAGTTCCTGCTGGCTTAAAGTTCCCTTTCAACAGATGCCACGGCTGTTGTGGCAGCTTCTTCTCCTCGAACCGATTGCTAGTCTCCTTGACCTTCTCCGCTTTGCTCGTCTCGGCGGGCGAGGCAATCGAGAGATGGAGGCACCTCGACACTTTGACCGGTGCCAGCACCAGCTTTCCGTCTTCATCGCCGTTGCCCGCAGGCACGAGCAGCTTGAGGCTCTCCAGCTCCGACGCAGCTCCCTGACCTGATGCGACGGATTGCTCATCCGAAGCGACAGCATCAGAAGCCATGGCAATCAGCTGCGAGTCGGCGCTCGATTGTGCCTTTTTCGCCTTGCCCTTGAGTGCAGACGGTACAGATGCGTAGAAGTTGTACGTGGCGGCATGACTCGAAGAGGCAGTGGCCACCTCGATTGTCCCCAATGGCTTGGATGCAGATTTCACATCGGACGTGTCGCGAGGCAGATCGATGACCACACCGTCGAGTTGCGATGGTGACAGGCCCGCTGGGATGCGGACTGCCCAGAGCTGTTGCGCATTCGATGCGGACAGCTTCTTCTGGAGGAAAGGTGAGGACGACGAGAATGAAACCGGATCGAAGCCTCTCGGTGGTTTGTAGCCAATGCTCGACAGGTTGCGAGATGGAGGTAGCTTTGCTGTGGATACTGAAGCTGTCTGGGCTTCGACTACAGAGCCGCCCGAGCTAGACGACGAGGAGCTCGACTCGGAATCCGAGCGCGATCTTTTGGACATTGTAATTCGCGCAAAAGAAGCCGAGACGGATGCAGTGATGACCTCGAGTGTTGCTGTTGGTGTGAGCCCGAAGGTGTGAAAGCAAGACGAAGATGGGTGTTGCTGAGGTAGGGCAGGAGGAAGCGCCTCAACCCGAGCAGCACGTCACCAAGTCAGACCTTTTGAACTTTCTTTGCTGCAGGGCGAGCTCGACTTCTTCCAAAAAATTTCGGCGGTCAACGCCATCAGCATTAGTCAGGCTTACTAATTGTGGTGCCTACCTCCACCTTGTCCAGCGTCGACCTCTCTTACACGATGTCCGCCAAGCGAATCACCCCGCTTTCGCTCGCGTGGCATGGCCGCAACGTGAAAGCCGCGACCTCAACTCCGTCTGCTCAAAGCTAAGAAGAAGAACGTCACCGACTCGAGGAGACAGCATTAGATTGCCTCAGCCTCAGCCGACAGCCACTCCGTCTCTACCTAATAACCACCACCACTGCTGCTCGTTGATACCGCAACATCAGGATGGATCTCGTACAAGGCCTTGCCGACAAGGTCGGGGTGCAGATACCCGACACCAAGACGCTCTCGCTGTTGGCCACGCTCGCCTGCGTCGCGCTCACCGTGCCGTTGGCCATCATGTTTCACTTCTCCGCTCGTCCACGCATCCAACGCATCAAGATTTACCACGAACGCGTGCTCATCCTTGGCGCGTCCACCGAAAAGGGGGTAGGCGAAGCGCTTGCTCTCCAGTATGCTCGCCGTGGATGTCGAGATCTCATCCTCGTCGGGCGAAACATGCAAGGGCTAGCGGCTGTCAAGAAGCGCTGCATCGAGCAAGCTGCTCAGGGAGAGGAGTACGACATGTCGGACGAAGCTCCGGGAGACGAGGCCAAGCTCAAGCACGAGTCGCGCATTCACTGTATCGCAGCCGACTGCTCCAAAGCCGAGGACGTGGATCGGCTCAGGAAGCAGGTCTCGGCCAAGTTCAAGGGCCTGGACACGCTACACATCTGCTTCGGTGTGTCTGCTCTGCTGCCGTTGCTCGGTGTTGCCGGCGTCGACCCAGTCCGATCGAAGGACTCGACCAAGGTGTACCCCGACAAATCCGGTCTCGAAGCTGTCCAGCAGGCGGTGGCAAGCGCATCGAACGTCAATGTCGCAGGAACGGCCGTTGTTCTAGCAGCTTTCCTGCCCATGCTCCAAACCACCTCGTCGCTTCCTGCGGTCGTCCTTATGTCGTCGGCTGCTGCCTTGTTCGCTACGCCCACTCGCTCGGTGTACGCGGCGACAAAGTCAGCTCAGCTGTCGCTCTTCCGCTCGGTCGCCATCGAATTGCAGGCCCACGCTGAAGTCAAGCCGGCAGATTCAGGAAAGCGTCGTTCCAGGGTGCGCTTCCTCTCTATCTGCCCTGGCACCATCGCCACCTCGTTCCGTCACTCGGCGGTCGACCTGGACCACAGCAAGGGGGACATGCCGCAGGACCTCGCCTGGGTCAAGGGCGAAAAGATGCTCACCCCGGAAGGCGTCGCCGAGAAGACCATCTTTGCCGTCGATCGGTACAACGAGGGCATCATCACGTTGCCGCCCTTCTACGCATTCGCGACCTGGATCGACAAGATCTACCCGAGCTTCATTGCCAGGGAGGCTCGTAAGAAGTATGCCTATTGATTGTTGTACAAGAGAACGGATATAAGATCTGTATGCTGCGCCAATGTTGTGAGCCTGTGGTGAGCATCAATGTCGCTCGTCGGCAGGCTCTTGCTCGTCTGCGCCCGAGATGCCCGCGAGACTCGATGCGAAGTCGGTCTTGCCCCCGCGCTTGGTGAAGTCGGAAAGGTCGCTGAGCGTCCGCAATGTCTTTGAGAAGAGACGAGTGAAGCTGATGTCCCACTGTCCGATCGCGTCCGAGAGACTGAAGTTGATGGAACCCATCTCGGAACGACTCATCTTGACGTTGCCATCGGCGCCGCCTGCGTCCGTGTCCCTGTCTGTGCTCGGTGCGCGTGGTCGTTTGCTCGGCAGACCGTCCGCGCGTGGCTCTTCGATCGGGACTGAGCCCTCTGAGTCAAGCTCGCGTTTCCTCTTGATGTGCGCATCGGGCGACGTGACAGCTTCAACAGTGCCAGCGACGGAAGCGCCGAGCCTTTGATCCGAATCATCTTCTTCCCTCGTCCTCTGAACAGCCGTGGGCTGATCCTCATCCTCGTCGTCGTCGTCCGCATCCGGATCGATTTTGCGATCGAACAGGTCCTGGTAGTGCTGATGCTCCTCGGTGTCCTCCCCGGCGTCGTACCCTTCCTCTTCATCTGGCTGCTCCTCTCCGATCGCGACATCTTCAAAATCAGGGTCGTCGCCCTCCTCTGCCGTATCGAGCACGGTTGCAGGATCCTGTTTGATCTCAAGGGTGCCCTCGACCGTGTTGCCGCGCGGCTCCTCCTGATCGAGATCATTTTCTTCCATGGTGGGCGGAGCAGGTGCATCGAGCTCTGAGCGCATCCAGGAGAACAGCTTGTCGCGCGATGAGATAGCAATGTTGCGCAGTCGGATTTGGTCCGTGACGCCCACCGTCCGGTTGCCTCGGCCGCCGTGTATTGGCAGGCTCTCTCTTGGAGCCGTGCTGGACGAAGCGGTTGCCCGTGACGCAAATCGGCCGTCGATGGCTGGTGAGGGCACGAGACTGCTCGTGGAGTAGACGGCTCGAGGAAGACGAGACTTTCCAGATTTGGACTCATCACCCGAGCTAGACTCTTCGCCCATGCCTGCGGGCTCCGTCGACTCCGGAAAGGCCGCCTTGGCGTTGCTGAGCGCGACAGGAAGATTGATGAGATTGCCTCTCAAGACGGCAGCCCATATCCGGTCGAGGAGATCCAAAGTCTGAAGGGCGAGATTGAGCTGTCTTGTGCGCGAAGCGATCTGACGCTGTCTCTCCTCTTCTTCGTCTGAGTCCGAATCGCCATCCTCATCTGATGCAAGCTGATCGCCGCTGGTTCCTGCGGGCTGCTCCTCCCTTTGTCGCTTCCGTTGCCGTTTGAATGCTTCAGCCTCCATCGCCAGACTGTACCCAGTGATCCCATCACAGAGGTCGGTGGAGCAACGCAGCAAATACGAGACGAGAAGGTTGGTGCTGCCACTTCCGTACGGCGGGACATGCGCCAGTACTCCGAGCAGTCTCATCCATTCGGCGAGGTAGCTCGGAAGCGTATGCAGCAACGAGGATGGATCGAAGCGCTTACGATAGCCTCTTGTGATGTCCTCGAGTGCGCCGTCGAGGAACGACCGGAGCTTGGCCTCTTGCTTGCTGCTGAGCGGTTCCGGAGTTGCTACCGATTCTGGAATGTGATCCTCTTCGGTATCCTTGTGCTTAGGATCAGGGCGGCCGCCAGTTGCATCGAATTCGAAGACCGTCGACAGGTCATCAATGATGAAGCCGCCGCCCGATTGCATCTTTGCTGTGACAACGGAAGTGATGTGTGATGAGGATGACCGGGGCGTGGGAAGATATCTCGATTGCATGAGCCTGCCGAAGCGGCTTTTCTCACGGTCTCCTCCACCTTTCGGCTCGAGCTCCGCGTATCGCCTTTGCGTGACAAAACAAGGGTCCAACCTGCATAAGACTCAGCCAAGAAGAAATGAAAACGGCTGCGCATACAAACTGACAGCTGCTGAAGAAGAAGAAGAGAGGCTCCGCCGTGACTCGTTCAAGCCACATCCCAGCTACTTTCCTTTCTCCTGCACATCAATCCCTTCAAAGATTCTTGCGCGTCTCCGTCTCGTCAGGGCAGAGCATAGAGCGATGCCGAGGAGGGCTGACTCGAGCTCTGGATCGCAGCCGCCTGTCGTTACGGCAGTGTAGTTCACGACGATGGCGAGCGGTCCCCTCATCTGGTCCGAAGTGAGTCACTGACATGACCATATCTGAATCGCGAGTCTGTTAGCTGACAGCTGCAATACATCTCGACATCACTACAGACCAGACAAGAGCTATGTGAAAGCCTTCCGTACTACCGGGCGTATCAGACGGGTAGCTATGTCACAAGTAATCTCGGCCGACCACCATCCACCCTCTTGACCAAGGACGACCGCAAGTCTGCGATCCTCAAGGACTCGATTCCGTACGGCTATCTGCTTGCAGGCTGGCCATCACGTCGCGATGCCTGGGCTCATGGCGGCAGGGTGATCGTCTCTCATGGCGGCGGAAAGAGCGAGGTAGAAGATGCATCGCCGGACTCGCTTGCTGCTCCCAAGGCCTCCCTCAAGCAGGACCAATCGTCAAGCGATAATACTATTCGAGCGCTCTTGCATTCGTCACGGCACAGACTTCCGATAGTCCTGATCGCGGCTGACAGCTATGCCCTGCTGCCTTTCAAGCTGGCATGCTCTTATGCCGTGCTGGGCTGGTACCTCATCACCGACGGCTGGGGGGAACGCGAGAATGCCAACGAAGACGCTGGCTTTGTGAGGTGGAAGTTTCGCTTCGAGTGGATTCCGGCCCAAGGTGAGCGCTGGTGGAACCTTCCTCTAGAGCCCTCGAGCCCGCCATGGGACCCACGCCAGCGCATCGAGACCTTCACCAAGACGCAACGCCAGCTGCTCAAGCGGATTCGGGGAAAAGGCAAGGGCAATAAGGCCCATTCTGGTTCTGCGTCAAGCTCGAACCAATCCTCGCGGGCATCTTCCGTGCTCCCGGGATGTTCAAAGTCCACGGTTCCGACTCAAGATGACAGAGACAGACTCCTTTACGGACCGATCGATATCACCGCCAAGCTGGTCTCCACCGCTTCTTCGACATACGATGCCCAGGTGCCCTGCAACCTCGCGAATGCGGCGACTTGCCTCAGCTGTTGTTCGCCGAGCCCTGTTACATACAGCGTTGGTTGGCTATGTCTTCAGCCCGAATGCCCGGCTTTCTTCCTCCTAGCTTCACGAGAACGCCCTGACGAAGACACCTTGACCTTCCATCCTAACTTCCTGCAACCTCAAGACATTGCTCTCAACGACGCCTTTCCAAGCGGTCAATCTCCTTTCTCTCTCATCCCGGCACGACCATCGACACGATCGATGGATCAAGCTCGCGGACTTTGGTGTCGCAAATGTGGTCGCCTCAGCTGTCGCGAAGTGATTTTCGAGCCGCGTTGCTCTCACTGCGGCCATCGAGTGGGCAAGTGGAAGCCTCTACCCGTTGTCGCGCCGCCTCAGCTGTCTCGCCACCCTTTCGACTTCTCAACAGACCGAACGGACGGTCTCGTGTTTGACCCGATCATCAGTCAAAGTTCTGGCATCGTGCTCACCGTGCGCAAAGAGGGTGGGCTGGCAACATACACTTTCACGTTTCCAGCGATGTTTGGCGACTGCCGCGTCCACCTCATTCAGGCGGATATCGATGGTGGAGCGCACGAGTCGGAGGCGGATCAGATCTTTGCTGAGTTCCAGAGACATACTTGGCCTCAAGACGCCACCGCAAAGGACGTTTTCGGAGCTGAACCTGCCAACATACAATCAGAACGGCAGCTCAGCACGACAGAGCCGCAGGGAACATCAACTGCCGCGTCGCTCGATCTCGCGCAAGAATCCGCATCGACCTCGCAAAAGCAGCAATCTCGAATCCCATTTCGCCGCCACGTCCTGAAGAATCATCTCGGCGGGCTCGGACGGATGCTGACGCAGCAGTTCACCTGCAACTATGGCGTGGCGTACAAGCACGTTGTAGCGATGGGTACCGAGCCTCTCGACGCCACCTCGCCCCCCGTCATCCTGTCCACACTCGATCTGCTGCACGCTCGGACACGGTCTGCCATACCGCTCTCGCAGGAGTTCAACGAGCTCTACCCCGTGCTGTATCTCGAACACCAGGCGATGAACTTTCACGACGACGGCGAGCCGGGGTTGGGTCCCGTGGTCAGCTCGCTCTCCCTCGGATCGACGTGCAGGATGAAGTTCCGACTCAAGGCGAAGCATCAGGCGCAGTTCGAAGGGGTCAGGCCGCGCGATAGGACCGTGCTGGATCTGCCGCTGCGGCACGGTAGCGTGGTGGTGCAGGAAGGACACGATCTGCAGAAGTATTTCGAGCACAGTGTCAGCCCGGACGGATTCAGAATTGCGGTCACTGCGAGGAGGATCGACCCGGAGCAGAATGACAAGGGCAGCGGGAGGCGCGATACTGCGAGAAGGAGCGGAGACGATGGCTTGAAGAAACGACGGACGAATTCAACAAGTACTGGGACGAAGAGGAGGAAGGCATCGCCATCGAAGCCTGCCTCGTCGATCATGCGAGAAGAAGCGCCCACGGCAGCAGCAAAGGTGTTCGACCTACCACCAGCCAATCTGCCAGCAGCTCGGGTGTTTGACCTAGCGCCAGCCAGCCCGCCATTGGCGACGACTTCGACACGGGCACCGTCAGGACCGGTTTCGTTCTTGGCGGCCCTACAGACGGAGGTACAGGTGAAGCTCCGACAATCGTCAGCAGACGCCCGGGCCGGCGAAGAAAGCGCAGTTGAGGCAGCGACGCAGATCGCGACGCCGTCTGCGCCGCCATCGAAGGGAAGGAGGTACCGGACCGTTCACGAAGGCGCAAAGGCTGGGATAAAGCGCAAGAAGTCCGCAAGCGGCGTGAAGGACCCGCTCCCATCGTTCCCACGCTTGCCGAAGCCACTCTGAAACCATGATTTCCGGCTCTCATCTCAATGAGCACGTCAACACACACACTCGTCATTCTGCAGTCCTCTGCAATGCTACACATTATCGTCTCGTATTGTCCGTGTATTACCGAGTCTAATAGTATGCTCTGGAATCGTGCAAGCTCCTCTGCTGGTATCCCTGAGATTGGTGTGGTTGCTGAGGTTGATATTGTTGCTGTTGACGGTACAAGTTGAATGCCGTGTCTTGCATGGCTGCCGATGATTGGGACCATGGGTCGAAGTCTGAGTCCGTGCCTCTGTCACTGTTACCATAGAAGGCGGAAGGCTCTCCTGCGTTCGTGCTGACGTTCATCATCGCCAACTGCCTCTCCAAGCTGGCGTCGTAGCCAACCTGCGCCTGCTCGTGTTGCGCTGCGCTGTGAGTCGCGGTGGGTAGCAGCCCCATTTCGGCAGCCAGCGGCCGATACGGGGGCATGTTGACCAACCCGTGTTTGATCAACAGATCCTTCACCTCCTCCCCGCACCGCTGTCGCTCTGCGCCCTCCAACACGTCGGCTTCCGCAAAGATCTTCGTCACAAACTGACTGCCGTGCACTTGATCGATGAGAACCTCTTCCAACAACGTTGATCTGCCCGAGCCCTCGAAGAGCACCCGCAGCAGCTGTCTCGAGGCTTCCAGATCTGTTTTCTGGCTGACGATCCGAAGCACGGTCTGCGAAGCCAGCTTGTGCGTACACAGACTCGCCAAATGGGGCGCGAACCGCGGTGCCAGCAATCGGAAGCGTCCCGGCAGCATTGCGGCGTCCAACAACCAAGTGACCAGCAGAGCACCGTTCTGGCTCGTCGCCAGCGGTACCGAGTTGAGCACAATCGCCAGCGCCACCTGCTTGATGTGGAACTTGGCCACTCCAGGCGACTCCAGGCAGGTCCGCATGCTCCGCGCTCCAAACCGACCCTGCGCGATCTCCCAACAGCGGTCCACCATCGCCTCGAAGATACAATCGCTGTGCGGTCGACCGAACGGGATCAGCCGCTGGACGACGTAGTTGCCAAATTGGTCCAGCAACAGCGGCGGTACGTACGCGCGGATGTGCTGCATGATCAGCGCCCGTTGGTCGTCGGCCTGCGTGCAGTCGATGATCTTCTGCGCAGCCCACGTGCCATTCTTGTGCACACCGATCATGGCTAGGTGCGGCGCAATCAGCTCGAGCATCGTCTTCTTCATCGGTTCGCTGCAGCGCTCGAAGAACTTTTGGACGAGAGTGTTGCCGATAAAGTCGGAGGAGAGGTCGACGACGCAGGGCAGGTAGTCCCGGGCGATGGCGTCGGCATCGGATGGGAGGCAATTGGGCGTCTCGAGACGCTTGCGCACTTCCTTGAGCCTGTTGTTGTCGAAGCGTCGGCCAGGTGGGAGTTCGGGAACGGGAGGGATGCGCGTCGAGTAGTTGATGAGCGGACGAGGTCGAGCCATCTGGGCGGCGTCTGCTTCGGCGTCAGGATCGCTCTCATCGAGTTGTCGCATCAGCATTTGTAGATCGTCGATCGTGGCCTTAGGCTGCATCTCGGCTGGAAGAGGGACCCCGCCCTTGTCGCTGCTCGGCACGATGCTGTTGGAAGCGCTGTGCGTGGGGAAGCCAGCTGGCCGACCGGAGGCGCCTGTCGGGGCAAGTCGAGCAGAGTCGGCACTGAGGTTGCGGGCGAGGCTTTGCGAGCCCAGCGCGGCATGTTGCCTCCATGCGCCATCGACACCAGCGACGGAGCGATCGTCGCCAAATGTTCTGGGCAGATTCGAGTCGGACGGTCTAACCCCGGAGAGGACGGCGAGTGTCTCCATGGCTGCTTGAAATTCAGCGGATCCAGGATCGAGAGAGCCAAAGTGGGTATCTGAAGCCCTGGCGGGCACTTTGGCAAATCCGATCCTGACCGTGCCCACTTCAGGACCCAGCACTTCGCGACCATGCAGGGCCTTGCGCGCTGCCATGGCATCCTCGAGTCGTTCGTAGTTGATGAACGCGCAACTCTTGCTCGTCAACACACGAATGCTCTCTATCGGTCCGAAAGGTGCAAAGATGGAAACGAGGGTCTCGGTGGACGTGGAAGGTGGTATGGATCCGACCCACAACGCTCGGGAAGCTTCTTGACTTGCGGAATCTGTGCTGAAAGCTTCGGCACCGGCTCCGTCCATCACACCCCCAGGTAGGTCCGCGACCGGCGTGAAGCCTCCGGAACCCGCCTGAGGGATGATCTCGGGCTTTCCGAATCCAACACGCACTTGGCCTTCTGGCCCAATCGTGCCGAGACCGACACGGCCGCCCAACCGTCCAAGAATGTCTTCTCTGGCACGGACTGCGTCGGCAGTCTCGACGTAGTTGATGAAAGCACAGCTCTTCTCGGACACGAGACGAACCGTCTCGATCTGACCGTAGCGTGAAAACATCTGCATGAGGTCTGCGCTTCGGACTGTTGGTCGGAGATGACCAATCCACAATGTCCGTGTTGGCTGCGTGAACGACGATCGTGTCACCTGACTGAACGGCGATTGTGCACCGGAGCTTGAGACAGTTCGCTGCGGCTGCGGTCGAGGCGGTCCATACACGTCGAGGTTCGGCGACACCTCGCCGACGACAGATGAGCTCGGGCGGATGGAAGCGTCTCTCGCTCGCGTCGCTTCGTGGTACAGTTGCGCCATGCGCAAGAGTTCTTGCTCCGCTCTTGCGCGGCCGCCAGGGCCAGAGAAGGCTGCAATGGTGCCGGCTCGGTTCCTGCCGCTTGCGAGAAACGCCGAAAGATCGGCTTGAGCATCAATGCCGGGTGCTGAGCCGGCAGTTGCAGGCGGTAGATTGTAGAGGCCGACAGAGTTCGCAGAGGCCAGACTCGCTTCCTGGCGCCCGTACGTGGGAGTCAGTGTGCCGGGTAGGTGTGCACGAGACTGTGGGTGATCCAGCACACCCATACTCGTTGCTCTGGGCCTATTCGCACTTGTTTGGACAGGGTCGTCGAGTTGAGAAGACTGAGCCGACGGCGCCGCGCTGTACTGCTGTAGGCGGTTGTGAAGCGCGGTGTTGAGAAGGGACGAATGCGGTGCTGGACCGGCATAAGGACTCTGCGACCCAGAGACGTTGCCAGAACGGGTGGTAGCAGACTGTGTCTGCGACTGAGATGAAGGCGCAGCGACAGGTGCCGCGGTATCGATGCTGAAGGAAGGCAAGTAGCTGCTACTGCGAGCACGACCTCCGCTGTTATTTAGACTGGGTCGCAACTGATGGACGCCGAGCGTGGAAGAGCGATTGCGCAGATTGGCCGAGGCGAGGTACGGGTCGGAGTCGGCGGAGCCATAGTCGGACTCAGTCTGCTGCTTGAAAGCTGCAGAGAAGGGGCCCTCGTGTTCGTTGGAGCCTGTGCTGCCTAGACCCAAGTAGTCTAGCATGTCTGCGTTGTCGAAAGAGAAGCGTGGCCCGAGTCCATCGCCAATCACGGAGGGAGAGCCTGATTCCTCGTCAGTGGCAGCCGATGTCATCGTACTCAGGCCGGAGCGCGTAGGTTGCCAGTGAGTCGAAAAGAAGGACGGTCCGAATGCGTTGGAGAGATTTGCGGATGGCATGGTCAAAGAGCCGGATCGAAATCTTTGCGAAGCGGACGATGTAGCCATATCTTGAGCGAGGGGAGATGAATTGAGGGACGCAGGCCCCTGAGCAGCTTGGCTCTGCCCTACGATGTCCGATGTCGTGATCCTATGCACATTCTGACTGGATGCGGGAGAAAGGTGGGAGAGTGCTGGCTGGCGAATTGGTTGAGAGAGATGCTGGGGTGGAGGGTTAACATCGCCCCAGCTGGATGGGAGAGTGCCAGCGCGAGCACGACTACGGGTTGAGCGATTGCTTGCTGCTGGTTCGAAGATGGGGTCCGCGTCATTGGCGATGCTGGCCGTCTGATATGCTGGTCTAGATCTGAGCGACTCGTCGTCTGCCTGAAGCTGGAACGCTCTACCGGAGAGGAAGGCCGATTGTGATGCTGATGGTGCTCGTACTGCTGCTGATGACGAAGACGACGACGACGAAGAAGACGCATCAGGGAGCATGGCACCTCGGCCGCTGGATCGATCTTGCATCTTGATCGAGCACGGCACAGGCTACTGAGTGCTACCGGAGTTCCGACATGGAGCGGTCCGAGTGAATGCTACCGTAGCAGAGACCAGAAGGAAGTAGGCGGAGCTAAGCCCTGATCTAGGATGGAGCCAGGAAGACTCAACTGAGACGTTTCGAGCCCAAAGCTTGAGTGGCCGCCGGCACTCGGAAAAGCGGGAGGACAAGGATTCCGCCAGAGCTTCGGAATGAGATGCGGAGACGACAATGCGCTCTTCAGATCAGGAGTCGGTGTTCGAGACCGCGAAATGAACCCGGGGTGGTAGTGGGAGACAGTAGTGCTGCTCAGCGTTCTGTTGAGGATGAGCGGCTGCACTACCGCGAAACGTCAAAAGTGTTGCTTTGCTTGCGTGCTGTTCAAGGGGAGCCTTAAAAAAACTCAGCTGGTCAGAGCAGCTGATCCGGTCAGGGTGCAGACGCCCGTGCGCTTGAGGAAGGTAAAGCCCGATTGCGATCCATCCTAGATCGGGTGATGACGATGGCGAGTAATGAACGCACGCACGGCCCAGCAGCCAGGCTTCGGCGTCTTTCTCGCCCTTCCCTCTGTGCTGCTCACCTTTGCAGATCAACTGCGTCCACGCCCTTCTTGTCAATACTTTTATCCATTTCCAAGCAAGTGCTTCTCCCTGGCAAGTCTATGAGAACGCAATAATGACCGTGCAACGTGCATATGCGCGCGATAAAGAAAAGGGAGCAGGAAGGTGACGTGCTGCCGCGTTGGTGATTCGGGTCAACGAACTCGACTCCACCTCACCGAACCGAGATGACCCTGAACGGCACGGTTTCGTCCGATTCTCGCTTGCCATTCTTCTGGATCGTGTCTCTGTGGTGTCCTCAAGTCAGCAGGAGCGATCGATCGTATGATCTCTGGTCTATACGCTCCAACTGAGCGAGGCAGAGGTACAAGCATTGTCTTTCGCAAATCTGCAACGTCTCATCTGCCCTCGTGTCCAGCGCATTACTGTCGAACATGCCTTTCAATTGAAGAATGGTCGCGACCTAGGCGTGCCGCAGAATCGCGAAATGGCAGTTTTGCCCGAGCTGGCTGGCGCGTGACTGGCTCCATTGTTCTTCTTTCCGTTCATTTGGTGCCTCGATCTGCAACCCTTGGTCCCGCCACGACGTGCTGTGCTGTGCAGTCTGACCCGCGGGCTTTGCTTGCCGCCAGCTGTCCAGCCAGCAAGCAAGCAAGCAATGCCTGTGCAATTTCGACTGAATGTGGCACGTTGAAGCTTTCATTACTCACATGGGACTTGTGAAATCGCAGAACACAAAGCTTCTTTTCTTGTATGGCGTCTGGCAGTTGCATAATGACTATAGACGAGCCCAAGGCTCCTCTCTTCATGCACAATTGCGAGGTGACTGTGACTGGCGCGCGTGGATCCAATCAATCATCGTAACCTCGACCGCGGCTGGTTTGCCTCGTCCAAAGTCTAAAATTGTGAATAATTTTTTTCCCCTCTGTTCGCTGACGGCCATCTCTCACGCTACGGCCTGCGTCTCGCTTCTTTTCTTGGGTGCTGCCGTGCCGTCAAGGAGGACTCAGCCATTTTCCAGCTGATCCTCTGGAATTTCGCCTCGCTGGGCTTTCTTTCTTCGCTTCACCATTCCTTCGCGAGCGCACAGTCCGCAGCCTCACCTAACTCTCGCTCTGGCTGGCTGGCTGGCTATCTGTCTGACACACACGCTCCCGCTCACAGATCGAGTCTTCTCAACCCGCAGCTGCCGAGAACATACAGGCGCCTCACTTAGGCTTCCCTCGCAAACGACATCGACGAATCACTCCCTCACCTTCTCATATCATCACATCCCTTCACCATCAGTCACCTCGTTCCGCTCTCATCATCATCTGCTTATCCACCTCCTTCTTCACCGCAGTCACATTCATCGCTAACGGCCGCTCATTGGTCTTTTACAACAGCACTTCCGACACGCCCACCTCTTGGCAATCACCCTGCATCACGTTGGTCTCATCTCGTTCGACTCAGCCAGTCTGTACCCGTGCGACTTTGGACGTTGTCGCCTTTATACTGCATCACCACTTCTCCTGGACTCGTCCGTCATTCAGCGCACGCTCCAGTCGACCACGATCTTGTCCCGTCTAGGCTTCAGTCTCGGCAGCTTCGAACCAGAGCACAACGACGACAGGGACTGATTCGAGCATTCTTCGAGACTTCATCCAGGCCTCCTGCGCTACATAGCACTCGTCTTGCCTCAAAAGCTTCTGCTGGGCGCTGGACGATGGATGGTTGCTTCCTTCGACCTTGATTGAGCGCTGGTGTACTTTCTCGACATCAAACGCTCTCGCTCCCCCTACATCCGACTTCAATCGTCCCAGACTTCTTTGACGAGCTGGATTCGTCTCTTTCCCGTCACATCTCGCCGCTCTTGATTCCACCGTGTCTTCAGTCGGGCACGTACAAGCACAGTTCAAGGTCATGGCCGCCACAAGAGCTCGCACCGAACACGCCGCCACCGCTCCTACACCACCCCACGCAGCCAAAGATGTGACGTCAAGCCGCCAGGCGGCGTCGATCACCGATGCGACCATAAACGACCAGACTCCATCACGTCGCACCACCACACGAGCACGCAAACTTCCCAGCCGCCTGCTCCCCTCCCCTTCGCCCCCACCTTCGCGCCCTTCCTCTCAGTACAATGCGACCAAGCATACCAAGGGTGGCAAGGATGCCGACGACGGCGCCTCGCCCTCCCCTGCTGTGACCTCTTCCATGTCGTCAACCGCCGCTGCTGCTGCCAGACCTCGCAGATCAGATGCCAACAACGCAAGCTCAGATCTTGACGTAGCCGATAAGGACGACTCGGAGGATCTAGGCCCTGGCAAGCGCAAGCGTCGCCCCAGCAGCATGTACAAGCCGCCCGCCACCTTGACTACGGTCGAGACGCCTTCTCCTGCTTCGGCATTGGCTTCTTCCAAGTCCAAGAAGAAGGGACGTAGCATCAGCCCAGAGGTCTCCGCTCACAAGAGTCAGTCCCCTTCTGCGTCGGTTGTTCAGGCTAGGCTGAAGGGTCGTCTTTCCAAGGGCAAGCTCGAGGCCGATACTCCATCATCCAAGAAGGCCAACGGCTCGATCATGGACTCGGACTCGCTTCATGCAACTGGCGACGACTCGGATGCAGAATACGAGACCGACCCTCTGCGCATCTCGAAGCGAGTTCGCATCGGCGATGTCCAGGTCTCGATGGATTTCTCACCCCCGCCGCTGCTACCTCGTGACGGCTCTGCCAGGATTCAGATGCCCATGCACTACTCCCAGCCCACATTCATCCGTGGCGGCCGGGTCAGCGTATCGCCCGAGGCATCTGCCAAGAGGCCGATTCGATACGGCGCGCGGGACGAGACCGAGACGGACAGCTCGCGCATTGGCCAGCTCATGCGTGCGAGCAAGCGTGACATCCCAAACGCGAGGAAGCACGCGGACGTGATGTCATCTTCGCCTGTCTCAACCGGCCTGGCCCGATTCGACAACGATGCTGGCGCTCCCCTCAGCTACGTCCCCTTCCGCTATGGCGCGCGCACTGCGAGCGGCTCCTTCAACTTGCAGACCTGCCCCTTTGCTGGGCACGCGGTGAACGAGGTGGACGAGAACGAGGAAGAGGACGAGGACGAAGACGACGAGAACGACTTTCATCAGGCTATGCTCGATGCTGATTTTGACTTCTTCGAGTCGCAAAAGTCGGACGCTGTCGTCGTTGAGCCCGTCTGGCCCGCTTCTCGACGTGGCACGACCGAGGAAGCCGAGATGGACGATACTCCTGCTACCACTCCTCGAAGCCCTCAATCCGGCTGCGACCTTCCCTCGCCTGGCAGTCCACGCTGCAAGACGGAGGAAGACGTGGTGCTGCCTAGCGCCGAGGGGAAGCCTTCTTCATTCGCTGCTGGAAGGGATTCGGTGTTTGCGCACGCTCTGCCCACGACACAGGTGGGTGCCGACAAGCCGCATCAGCACGCCGGCTCGCTCACCCTCTCGCTGCCTTACAGCCCTGCTGTCGCGGCCTCGTCTCCTCAGTTGCGAGCCATGGACATGGATGCAGCCAGCGTGCGCAAGGATTCCAAGGACGCGCCCGCAGTCACTCAGATGGGCACGCCGATCCTGCAGAGACGAACGCACGCCGGGCTGCCCGCCGGGTTGCACGCCTTTGCGCCGCTCAAGCTGGGCGCAGACTTGATGGAGCGAAGCGCTTCCAACGGCGCTCCGTACATGCAGCTGTCGCCCATGATTGAGATGGACTCGCCTTTGCTCAGCCCTGGCCTGTCTTTGAGTCTTCAGACCAAAGGCATCGACCTGCCTAGCCCCTTCATCATGGGTGTCGGCGCGCTTCCGGACCTTGAGCAGCCTGCTCAGCTCGACCTGCCTCCTGCTGAAGGCTCGACCACTCCTAAAGCCGCCTGCCCCGAGGTCAGTGTGTCCGAACTCGATCCAGTGCAATCCAGCACTGTCGTGCCCCAAGCCGAGCCTGTTCAAGACCTCAAAGTAGCTGTGTCAGCCAAGGACTCAGCTGCCAAGGCAGACAAACCCTCAGCTCGACGTCCGGCTCTGCCGCCACCGCGTCAGATCCGCTTCACTACGTTCACTTCTTCTTCTGCCGAGTCGTCTGACGCCAAGACTCATCAGGCCGAGGTCGCCAAGAAGGTGATCGATCAGCATCAACAACTTGCGCAGCATGCAACCAAGACGGGTGCTTCCACCGCCAGCCCTAAACCCGAGCAGACTCCGGATCTAATTCACTCTGGCTCTGCTTCGTCTGAATCAGCCTCGGATGCGCCGAGCCCCATGTCGCAGGCGGACAGCACCGCTTCGTCGGCGGACGCCGAGGTCGAGACCATCCTGTTCGGCCCTCCTGAGAAGCTGGACATGCACGAGCTCGACCACGCTTGGGGCGGATCCAAGGCTGCTCAGCACGAAGCCGCCTTGCGCCGAGCTAGGGACACTCAGACTCGCTCGATCGATATCGACACTCAGTGATGCCTCCGCAAATAACGGCCTTCCCCTTTCTCTGCTCTCAACAACACCTCTCTGTACACTACGCGGATGCCAGGCAGCCCTGGCAATCGTTTGATCTCACGGAAAAGCACTTCGCATTGGGACCTCATAGGGCTGGTCGGCGGATTCCTGTTGGCCAGCAGGACAGACTTCTCTTCTCTCTATCTTACTTAACCATTCTTGTAACAACATGTCTCGATATTCGCTTCTTGTTTCTCCTTTTCCCAGCCACAAGCTGCTCTTGTCGATCGGTATCATCGTCGTCATCACCACCACTTTGCTTTCAGCGAGTCTAATCCAGAGCTTTTTGATGTGAAGCGTTGTCGCTTCCCAGCTTTCAAAAGAAACTGTGCTATCTGGATGGCTGTGAGCAACCTTGTTTAGCTTGAAGCTTCTCCCCGCCGTCGGCCTGCTCGAACCAGCGGCAAGGTGATGATTCTGGGCTGGAGGTAGGTTGTGAGGGTGGTGGGTGAGATCGGAAAAGGAGCCGAATTAGCTGAGCTAACGAGGCACAAGCGCGCGACTTGAGTGCGCCTGTTATCTTGCTCAGCCCTAAATTTGTGCTGTGACTTGCATGATGCAACGCGGCCGCTGTGTTGTTGTGGAGGACCCTGTTCCTCTCCGCACCCATCCTGCCATCTCTCCTCGATCACATCCACTTCTCCACGCAGCGTTACACAGCTCCCGGCTTTGACCGCTCGTGTCAGTTCCGGTACCAGCGGCAACACGAGCGGGCACAGTCAGAGAATCCTGGCATGCTTTGCTGCTCCGCGGCTCTTGCAAGCCTCAACAGTCAATCTTGACATTTCCGCACACCAACCAACACAGGCAAGCATGGCGAGAGGTCAACGCAGCTGGCTGCTGTTTGCGGCCTGCCTGGTTCTTTGCTCCTGGACCGCGAGTGCCGTCATCGTAGACGATTTGATCCCACCAAGATCAGGATCCGACCTGCCCTCCTTCGAACAACCTTTCGCTCTCTCCTCCTTTCTGCAGAAGGTATTCGGTACCTCGCTTCGCTCTCTCATCGACTACGACCAAGGCATCGACCGATCAAAGCGGACCGGAACCAAGACATTCGGCTTGAGGGAAGCTTACCATCAGGGTGTTGGCGACAAGTCGCACGAGCGGGCCAAGGCCCGCTTCGATTTCAAGATCACCGCGGACGATGTGCAGGCAAGTCAGGCCAACATCAACTACATTCCTGCCATCCGCACAGTCCGACAGCGCATCACACGAGCCAAGGATCCGAACAAGTATCTGGAAGTACGGGGGCAGTCCTACAAGGATACGATGTGCGCCTCTTCCACGGCTCTGGACTGGGAAGACGTCGACGTGGAGGCGCCGGACGTGACCGATCGAATCACTGTGCTGGCCTTCGCCAAGATGGCTTCCGCAGCGTACAGCAACGATACGTCCGACTGGGACGGCATGGGTGGCTTCGATCCCACTAATTCGTTTGGATGGGAAGGCGATGGGATTCGAGGCCACATCTTTACAACACACGACAACGATACGATTGTAGTCGCTCTCAAAGGAACCTCGAACGTCTTTTTGGGCGGCGGCGACACAGCACGCAGAGACAAGACCAACGACAATCTGCTCTTCTCTTGCTGCTGTGCTCGTGTCTCTTGGTCATGGTCGACCGTATGCGACTGCTACCAGGGTCACGGCGATCGATGTGGCCAGACCTGCGTGGAACGCGCGCTGATCGAGAAATCGCTCTACTATCCCGCCATCACGGATCTGTTCAACAACATCTCATACGCCTACCCGGACTCGCAGGTGTGGATCACAGGCCACAGTCTCGGAGGCGCTCTATCGTCGTTGCTCGGCATGACATTTGGTGTGCCCACCATCACCTTTCAAGCCCCGGGCGAGCGTATGGCAGCGATGCGCCTGCATCTGCCATTGCCACCAGCAAGGCATCCGGACGAGAGCCCAGTCGCAGCACTGCCGATTGTGCACGTCTACAATAACGCCGATCCGATCGCTACGGGCCAGTGCAACGGTGCAGGCTCGATCTGCTCCAACTTTGGGTACGCCATGGAGTCGAAATGCCACTCAGGCAAGAGCATCGTGTACGACACGGTGGGCAAGCTGGGCTGGTCCATGACGGCCAACGCTCATCGCATCGGCATGCTGGTCGACGACGTGTTGACGGAAGATTGGAGCGAGAAGGTCAAGAAGAAGAAGGCCAAGTTGCGCAGCATCGGTACGAACGAGAAGCAAAACGGCAAGGCCCGCACAAAGGGCTGGAGGTGGCCCTGGCACCGCGGCGATGACGCCGACGATGGACAGGATACGGACGGCGACACAGACGAGGACGACAAGCTGCCTGTGCCGAAAGCCAGGTCGGAGGAGAAGTGCCAAGACTGCACCAACTGGCACTTCACCGACGACACTTCGGAAGACGATCCTTCGCAGTAAAGATGGGGCTCTCTCTCTCTCTCCGTCAGCTTCCGCTTCGCATGTTGTCCAGCATTTTCGCGTTGTACTATATAGATTGTCCGCCTTTGCATCATGAATGGATCGTTTCGTTGCTCTGGAGATTGCAGCCTGGTCCTAAGCAGAGACCACAGCGTGCTTCTTCTCCATTATTCTGAGAGTAGGAGCCGATGAGAAAGGAGGGCGGATGTCGAAATGAGGCGAAGTCGAGGCTCGTTCATATCCCCTGTCTCTCTCTCTCGTTCGCTGCTGAACCACAATCTCAGATTCGCCGCTCCGAGCGTTAAAATTAGAACTGATCTTCGAGTTGCGGCAAACTGGCGCCGTGCCTGTCTTTTTTACCTCGCTTTTCTGAGCAGAGCCGGCGCGAAGAGCACTGCCTCGTCGGGTTCCTTTGTCTCAGCTGTGCAAAAGTGACACTGGCTGGCCCATTTATGAAGAAAGAGGCGCGGCTGCAGCTGATGCTGCCCCGCAGACACGACCTGGCGTGACGCAAAGACAGCCAAGCAACCAACGTCGGATCTCGTGCATAACCTCAACCTTTGTTCGCGTTCGACTTTCTGGCTCTCCCACATCGACCATCGTCACGAGCCTCGCTTCGACACGTTCTACCACACAGCGGGCAAGGTCACGACGACTGCACGAACCAGACCATCCGTATCACCACGAACCAACTTGCACGGGTGATCGTCGCACCTCGAAGCACACCGTCGCATATTCGAGAGCATTGCAGGCAACGCTCTTGACCGTACCCACAGGAAGCTGGCTTCATCACCGAACGAGATTGCGCATCTTCACCGCCAATCGGGCCCGTAAAGCAAGGGTCTCCATCATCTCATTCCATCTGCGTGCACATTGACACACAACCCGACGACGGCTGGCTGAACCGGCGTCACAACCATGTCGAACGCGTACTACTCGCAGCAGCCTCAAAGGCAAGCTGCCTACGACAATCCGCTTCACAATGCCTACCAAGCTCGCTCACAAGCACACCCACAGATGTCTTCCCAGACCAACTTGTACGCTCCAACCCAGGACGGGGTCGACTACCACCACTACCACGGCGCGGCGCCCTCGCACGCCTTGCATCCCTACCAAGATCCGTACAGCACGCTCACACCAGGTGACGAGCGCATGCGTCCGAGCCTGTCCAACGAGAACCTCATGCGTCAGACTTCACCCTACGGCGCCAAAGACGCCAACAACTCGTACCTCGATGAGAGCCATGACGACACCCTCCGCGGGCGAGGTGCCGACTTTGCGCTCGCCAAGGACGAAGAGTCCGGTCGCTACGGCTTCGGCCGTGGACACCGCATAGAAGCCACCGACGGCTTGCTCCCCGATACGCCGCCCGACATGGACCGGCTCAATCCAGAGCAGAAGGAGATCATGAAGCAGTTCCCGCCGGACCTCGACGACGAGAATGGCGGCAAAACGGGTCTGCAAGCGGCCAAAGACCTGCTCAAGGGTTGGAAGTCGTGGTTCAAGCTGCGCTACCTGCACTGGTGGGTGATGTTGATCGTCGTCGTCGCCATTGTGGTGCTCACCACCCTCTATCACAAGCAGATTGTCGACTGGCTGACGCCCATTTCGCGCAAGGTCACGACGGTCGCCTGGGGGTGGATCATCCCCGTGGCGATTCTGTTCATCATCTCCTTCCCGCCGCTGTTTGGTCACGAGATTGTGCTCATCCTCGTCGGGTTGGTGTACGGCATCTGGATCGGATTCGGCATCGCCTCGCTCGGCACGCTCCTCGGCGAGATCGGCAACTTCTATGCATTCAAGACCTGCCTTCGGTCGACTGCAGCAAAGTATGAGCGCAAGAACATCCACTACGCGTGCATGGCCGACATGGTTCGCGACGGCGGGTTCTGGGTCATGTTTCTGGCCCGCCTCTCGGCCATCCCGGGCCACTTTACCACCGCAGTGTTTGCCACCGTCGGCATGAACATCTTCATCTTTACGTTTGCCGCCGTGCTTGCGCTGCCGAAGCAGCTGCTCATCGTATACCTCGGTGTGGCGATCAAGAACTCGGGCGATGGCACGGAAGACACCAAGAGCAAGGTCATCAAGTACGTCGTGCTGGTGATCAGTTTTATTATCACGGTGTGGACGGCATACTGGCTGTATCAGAAGATGGAGAAGGTGCGTCCGTCGGTGAGCGCGCGATTGAGGCAGAAGCGGTACGAGCTGCTGCTGCAAGCGCGCACGCCGGGGACGGAAGGCTTCCGGGGCGGCGACAGGGGGCATGTGTACCCACCGAATGGCGGCTACGGCATGTCGCAGTCGCAGGGCGCGCTGGATGCAAGTTTTGGGTACCGCAAGCCGGAGCAGGCGGATGAGAGCTACTACAGTGGCCAACACGGGGATATCTCGGATGAGACGTTCAACCAGCCCAGCTTCACCCAGGCTGCCCCCACGAGTCGACAGCAGCCGGTGCTTTCCGCACTGCAAACGTCGTCACCAGCCACGCAGAGGTACGCTCCTGTGCCAGCATCGCAAACAGCTCCTCCAACAGCTGACCCGACCGAGAGGCAGTACAACGCACAGCCCACCCCTGGGGGTCGCCAACCCATCTCCGCACCTATGCAATTTCACCGACCCATCCGCCAAAACTCGGCGGTTCCCAGCCCGACATCGCCATTCCACGACCCGCCGCGTGCGCCGTTCGACCCCCAGCCAGCACCCGTCAAGGGCAGGGCAGACGACGAACGAGCCCCGCTCACAGGGGTGAATGGCGAATGGGCCTCCACCTCGTCCATTGCGCACAGCGAGGGTCCCCCGCCCGACTACGCGAGTTACGCAGCGCCAAGTGTGCAGTCCCATTCGAACGCGAGAGGACGGGCTGACCCTAGTGTGCAGAGGTATCACCTGTCGGATTGAAGGACAATGTTTGATACGAATACTATCCATGACATCTTGTGATTGATCTGCGGAGTGTGATGGGTTGACGCTGAGAGTGTTGACATCCGAGGCAGGTCTGAGCTGCCTGCAAGTGACGTGGGTTCGGAGGGTGGGCAGAGCGTCTTTGTTCCTCGAACGACTTCCGTTGAGAGCAGTGTCCTCTTTGCTCGCATCGAGCCACATCCGGGTTTTCATCACTCGTCATCGCATCACACAGGCACTGGCAGAAAGATGATGTCTATTGCACCACTCCTGAGCACTACACAATGTCGCCGCTTTCGACATCGATACTTGTCAGACCCGTTTTGTCCAACAAACTAACACTCTCTCCGGTCCGATCGTTGACGACGACGAACCTGAGAATCTCGAAGGGGGCATGTTTATGCGCTCTGATGCTGGTGAAGTAAACCGTCGCTGTCTGGTCCTCATCATTCGCCGGGTGGATGCGGAAGCTAAGATCGACGCGACCTTGCATCATATTCACGGCGCCAGCGACGCGCGGTTGGCCGCCCAACCACGTCTCGCGCTTCAACACCACACTCTCATTCGAGGAAGAGGAGAGGAGGGAGGCTACTTCGGGAGAGCTCTTGACCTGCGAAACCACGCTCTTGAAGATGCTGGAGCCGAGTTTTTCTTTGTTGGTCGCGTAGACGGTGAATCCGGCCCAACTGGCAAGGGCGAGCGTGACAAAGGTGAGCAGGTAAGGGAGCGTATTGGGTACCGGAGGAAGGTCTTTGTTGCGCACCGAGGTGGGACGTGCTGAGACGTTACTGTGCGAGGAAGGTGGCGGTGTTGCGGCGCTTGTGGTACGTGCGGGGTGGGATGGGGTGTTGAGGCGGGCAGGGGTCGTGTGCAGCGCTTGGACGCGGGCAAGCGCACTTCTGGGAAGTATCGACCGTGGGACCAGGTCTGATGTGCTACCGACAGCGCCAAATGCGCGGAGAGTGCTGCCCCCAACACTCCTCCTCAGGCCGCTGGTGATTGTGCTGGCGATGACCATTCTAGTCTACCTCCTCTCGAACTCGTCTCCTCCGTAATGCGGCTGGGTGGGATCGTCTTGGCCCCTGTCTTTGTTGGTGATCAGCTGCCCTCGTTGAACTGCCTTGTCCTGACTCGATCTGCTTCTCTGAAAGCTTGCGCTCGTGCTTCTGTCGAGGTTCCGTATCCTGTGTCTTGTAAAAGTGTGATGTGTGAAGGTCGAGAAGATCCTCCTCCACCGCAGGGAAAAAAAAAAGGATGCGCAAGAAGCTCAAAAAGCGCTCCGCGGCCCATGCATCTCGCTCGCTTAGTCAAACTCGACTCCACATCACCCCTGCACACCTTGAGACTTCACCGAGCAGGCATCCTCTCTCCAAGCCCAACGCTCTCGTTGGGGAGAGTCTTACGCACACACGAACCAGGCACGGCAGGGCACGAACCAGGCACAGCAGGGCAAGTCGGAAGAAGAGATAGCGATTGGATAAGAGAGCGTTTTGGTTGTGACTGAGTAGAGAGCTGCAACAAAAAGAGGAAAAGTTTGTACATCGAAGGGGTAAAAAGTTGACTAGTGGTGCTGGGATCAAAGACAGATGACTTGGTGTGACTCGGTGGTGAGGCGATGCTGGCGCAGACGACGATGAGAGGAACGCGAGGAATAGAGGGATGAACGGAGAGCTTTCTCGAGTTGGCCGGATTGCTGACCGAACGGATGGGGGGTATTGTTGCCTCGGCTGGTGTGATGTCTGCTCGCCACTCTGGCAAAATCAACCGCATCGGCATGTCAACATGTTGACCAGCTTCTGACCGAACGTCTTGCGTTCCGCTGGGTGATCCTCGCCATTGCTCAGACCGACCGCCTGGCGGTTGTCGCCACGACGTCCATCTAGGCCATTGCCCGAAGACATGGCAGTGGGCGTCATGTGGCCTGCATGACTGTGTTCTCGGGTCCCGTTTTGCGCTGGGATGCCAGCAACGGTAGCATCGTGCACGGCAACATTCGATGCGTGACCGACACCGCCGTAGCCGGAGCCGTTCTGGTTGAAGTCGCCGTGACTGGCACGCAGGCGTTCGGCCTGGGAACGCTCGCTTTGCATGTGGGCACCACCCGACTTGCGCCCACCCTTGGACCCGCTTCGAGCCAGCGCCGTGGGCGGCTGGATTGCCGCTGCCGACGCCTGCGGTACCGCCGACGCACGCGCCTCGCGAGGTCGATCCCGTTCATCCCGGCGGTCGCGGTTGGTACCCGCCTCCCATCCTTTGCCGCCGTTGAGCAGCATCCAATCAAACACGCCGTCCTCCTGCTCGCCCGAGCTCTTGAGCACCTTGGTGAAGAGTTCGCGCAAAAAGTCGTAGTCCGGTGTCTCCTCGAACCCGAGCTTGCGCACATAGTTGAGGTAGATGCCAAACTCCTCCGGGAAACCCTCGCAGAGCTCCTTGATGGGGGTGCTCTGCTTCTTCTCGCCGATCTTTTCGTACTTTTGCTTGTTGGTCGCCGCCTTGAGGCCCTGCCATGGCAGACCGCCGCGGAGGAAGTACATGAAGACGTGCCCTAGCGCCTCGAGGTCGTCGCGTCGCGACTGCTCACGACCCAGGTGGGTGTTGATGGACATGTAACGGGCGGTACCGCTCAACGACTTGCGCTCGCGGTACGGAATGTGCTGCTTGGTCTTGGGGTCGCGATATTGCTTGGCCATGCCAAAGTCGACGACGTGCACCATGTTGGCATTCTTGGTCATAGGACGACCGATGAGGAAGTTGTCGGGCTTGATGTCGCGATAGATGAGGTTCTTCTCGTGGATGGTCTGGACGCGAGTGATCATCTGCTTGGCGGTCATGACGACCGTCTTGATGCTGAACTTGCGACCGCACATGTCAAAGAGATCTTCAAGCGAAGGACCGAGGAGGTCGATGACGAGGATGTTGTGGAGACCCTCCTGGCCAAAGTAGTAGACCTGCGGGATGCCTTGACAGCCGGCGAGGATCTTGTAGGTGCGGTACTCATCTCTGAGCTGAGGTGCGTCGCTCTTCCGAGGCTCGAACTTGATGGCGACGGTCTGGCTGTTGAGCAGGTTGGTACCTTCGAAGATGACACCGAAGGAGCCCTCTCCGATCTTCTTGCCGACGCGGTAGTGAACGCCAACGACGTTGGAGCCAGAGCTGGAGTGCGAAGCGTGGGAAGTCATGGTTGCGTTGGGGTTGTGGAAAGGCTGTGTGGTGGGCAGGGCCAAGGACCGACTCGCAGGATGAATGCCGTTCGGCAAGGGTGCTGACTCTGCGGAGAGTCGAGTCCAGTCTCTGGAAAACTACAGGCGTGGCGAGGGCGAGGATCGAGTCGACTTAGAGTGACGTGAATGCGCTTGATCGAGAGCTATGCAGAGGTAGTTGCGTGATGCTGGATTGTCGGTAAGGAGAATACGATTTGCTTGTTCAAAAGGCAAGACGCTGGTGTCGTTCCAGAGCAAGATGGCAGCTGCAAATGTGGTCGGACCGCACGACGAAGGGTGAGTTGCGATGGATAGCAGCAATCGATCGAAATGCTCGCCGTGTGAGGCTTTGCGATCTTGCCAGGGTGATGTGTGCAGGTGGATGGTGACCGCAGCACGCTGTCCTAGGGCCGATCTGAGCGTCAACAAGGACTGAGGGGAGGCGCGGTTTGAGCGGACCTCACGACGGAGCAAGACAGCGCTCTGCCAATGAATGGAGGAAGAGATCAGGAGAGAGGAGGGGCAGAGAGCGAGAAGCGAGGAAAGGTATGGAGAAGGAAGTGATTGACGTAGGAGCGAGCGATCTACGCCGGAAAGAAGGATCGGTGCGTGTGTGTGTGTGTCTCTCTGTGTGACTGTCTGCGTGTGTGATTCTACCAGAAGCCAGCAGAGCGGAGCGAGACTGACACGAAGCCTAAGACAGAAAGCAGCCAGGCAGAAGACAAGGCAGGGCGCAGAGACAGAGACAGAGGGGTCGAACGCAGCAAAGCGTCGCGATCCAAGCCAATTCCCTAATTTCAGAAATCGCACACAAACACCAATTTGACCCACTCCAGATGGCTTTCTCACGACAACCAGAGACCCTGAAGTGCATTTCAAAATTCGTCAAAGTCGAGAAAATCGGAGCAGCATCTCAGTACAATTTCGCGATCTAAATTTCAATACACAAAGCCTTGGGCGAAGGCCCGTCGCAGTCATCCGCATACTCGACTCACACTTAGGGTACGATGCAGCGAAAGCTCTCGTATGACAAATGCTTCATCTCGAACCCACGTCAGTGTTTGAGCAGATACTTTGTCAATCTGGACGTACGAGAGCGTTCCATAGAGTCAGATCGTAGCCTTGCTGGGCCGATTCGAAGAAAGAGCGAAACACTTCAATTCGACCCGCATCCGCAATTTTTGGAATACAGAGTAGAGATTCTTTCATGCAGGAATTTTAAGTGAGGATTACAAGGAGACAGGTTGCAGGCTTCAACCAGACTCCTCAAGGGCGGACTGTCAACTCAGATGCACCTTCGATGGATGTCTTTCGGTGCAGCTTGCAGATCCCTTCTGCAAGGGGCATCCAACTGAGCCCACTTCGTATCCAGCTGCCTCTGAATCTTGATGTCGGTGGGTTCCCTGCGTACAGAGCCCTACCCTGGCCTGATGGCCCCCTGGTATCGTCTTGGTCCCATACCTCGGTGGCTAGCGGGCCGCAGAAGAGGCAGACAAAGCGGTCTGTAGAGGCGTGCTGGGAGCTTCTACGCGCAGATGGCGGCCAGCGAAGCTCTCAAATCGTGCACGACACTTGCATCTCGGCTGCACGACATCTTTCTCAATCATGGTCTGCAGGTCGCTCTCGATGCACGGTGCCTGATCTAATGCCCACATTCGCGATGTCAATGATCCGATTGACATGTTTGCTTGCATTCCTACACAATGACCGATGGGTGACAACCAGAAAGAACTACGCCCACAAGACACGAATCACTTTGAAGTCGCCTTGACCTTCTTGGCGGGCGATGGCGACTTGCCATTCACCTTGATCGGTGTACTCTCCTCCGCAGCACGCTTCTTATCGTTCTTTCCGCCGTCCTTGTTGTTCTTCTTCTTCTTTCCGTCTGCGCCGGTCGCATCGGGCTGCAGCACCTTGATCAGCTGCTTCATGAGATCGTGGATCGACGTTGACGCTTTGAATCTCTCGGAGCTCTGCAGCTTGTCCGCCGCGTCCTGCAGCTTGACCACCTTCCATGCGCCCTGCAGCTTGTCATTAGCCCCCGGTTCGATGCGCGAGCTGATCCTCGCCGCCTGGAGCACAAATTTAATCGTGTCCTTCATGTGGTTCGAGCTCAACGCCGACGTCGACGCCGCATCGCACGAGTCGGTGATGATCTGCACAAAGCAGCTGCTGATCTCGGGAACGAAACCGAGCACCTCGCCCTTTTCGGGTCGCTGCGCAATCTGCGTCAGCACCGCTTGCAGCATCGACATAACCTGCACCTGACGGAACGCTCGTGTGGCAGCACCTGGTCGGCAGTTGTCTAGCAGCTCGGAGCGGAGCTCCCAGCCGAGCATGGGGAAGCGTCGGAAAGCGTCGATCAGGAACTCGTGACGCAATCGGCTCGACTTTCGCATCAGATAGTCGAGCAGAGACTCGCGGTAGATCTCAACCAGCTTGCCACCGAGCGCTGCCTTGACGTCGTCGCCACTCTTAGAGAGCGCCACCTTGGTCAAGTAAAGGTTGATCGCCTGGCTGACGTTTGAGACGTCGTTGGATTGCGACTCGCGTGCTTCCGTGTGCATGCGCTGGAGCAGAGTCGCCACGTGGTCGGCATCAAAGTCGTCCGGTACCGTCTTGGCTTTGCTGATTCGGCTCAGCAGCAGCGTTCTGGCTTTGGTGGCAAGCTGCTCCGTGTCCTCGTCCCGGTTGCTCCAGAGGTCGTACAGCGGCTCGATGAGATCCAACATCAACGGGCTTTGGGGTTGCTTGCGAGCAAACACCTCGACAAGCTCCAGCACCTTGAAGCGCAATGCAATGGCTTCTTGCTTTGCCTCCTTCTGGCCGCGCGATGCCGACACTCGCTGACGGAACACCTCGGCGAGCTTGTCGTCCAGCAGCATCATCTCGTCGTCGCCCAAATCGGAGAATTCGACGCTCGACTCGGAGCCAGCATCAGACTGCGCGTCCTCGGCCTCATCCTCGTCGTCCTCTCCGTCTTGAGCGGCGTCGTCGGGATCAGCCATGCCAGACTCCTTGAGGACAGCACGGACGCGAGCACGGAGCTCTTCATCCACTTCTTGATCCTCGTCGTCCTCGTCCTCTTGGTCCGCATCGGCATCCGACTCGTCGTCGTCGTCGCTGGTAGCAGATGTGTCTGAGGCTCGTGGCTTGCCATCCTCCTCGACCTCATCTGATGCTTCCTCGTCATCCATGTCTTCGTCCTCGTCCTCATCTGCATCCTGAGCAACCTCGTCAGCTGTTCGCAGGTGCGAGAGGAGCAAGCCGATGCTGCCCTTGGTCATGTCTTGTGTGAAGGCCTCGAAGGCGTTCGTAGCGGAGGTGCGTAGGAAGGCCGAAGACAGCTCCAGGAAGCTGAGCAGGCAGTCGCAGAGCAGCTCGACACCGGTGACTTCGGATTGGTCCTCGACCTGCTTGCCCTTGCGGGACGAAGCGGCGCTGGGCGCCGGGAAGAGCTTGTCCGCACACGCGCACAGCGGCTCGACCAGGTCCGAAGCGCCGTCAGCAGCGTCCGCCGAGACGAGCAACGCCGACAGCAGCAGCGACTGGAACGCACGTGCGCGCTCCTTGACATCGGCATCGGTGCTCTTGGCTTCAAACTTGCGTACCTTGTCGAGGCAGCGAACGCCGTCAGCAAGCTTGGCTGCAATCTCGTCATCGTGGTCAAAGATCGACTTGAAGCTCTTGTCCTTCTCAAGCTGCAGCAAGACATCGTGTGCCTTGGCGAGCCACAGCTGCCCATCCTGAGCGACGCCGGGCGTCTTCTTGCCAGCGACACTGGCGCCAGTCGGAGGTGCCTGCTTGGCGAGCTCCGAGACGCTAGAGAGGAATCGCGATCGGGTGACCTGCTTGAGCGAGTCGGTGAAAGCAGGTGTCGGGAGACGCTCGAGCAGGAAGCGCTTCTTGAGCGGCTTCTGCATTGTGTAATATCCGTGGGCAGCAAGGAAGGTGAGAACGTCGACGAGCAGCTGGTCATCCTTGGGCACTGTGGGCGTGCGCACAAGGAACAAGAGCTGGTCGAGGGCCCACTTTCTTCGGTTGTTGATCTCTGTCAGTTCGTCCTCGTCCTCCGTGTCAATGCCTTGGCAGATGATTTCGCCAAGATGCTTGACGTACTCGCGCACGCGGTCGATGTCGAGCGACGACAGCACTTGCTCGACCGTCTTGGTCTTTGTGATCGAATCAAAGTTCTGATGACCATTCTTGCCGATGAGCTGCGTGACGAGGACAAAGCCGAGGTGAGGCTGTTGCTTGACGACGTCTTGAATAGTCTCGGTAGCCTTGACGGCAGCACGATGCAGGAGACGATCGCGGTTGCCGAGCTGGTTGATGAGCGTGCGCATAAAGTTGGGCGTGAAGAGCATGGGCTTGTCGGTGTCGTTCGCTCTTGGAAGAGCTCGTTGGAAGACCTGGAAACCCCACGACTTGCGATCGTGAGACGAAGCAGCGGCAAAGAGGGTCTCGTCAACGACGACGCGGTAGAAGTCCGGGAACGATGCGATCCTAGTCTCTGCTGAGGAAGTCGAGTCGAAGAAAACGTCGAGAATGAGATCCCAGACGAAGTGAATTTTGGCCTGCCAGCGAGAACGCGCACCAGCAGTGGCTGTAGCCTCGTTCTCGGATGGGATGGCCTCTTTGAGGACTCGCGCCAACGAGGCGAGGTTGGCCGTGGACAGTGGGTGCTCTTTGCGCATCGACGGCAAAGCCACTGTCTGGAAGAAGTCGGCGCCTGCTCCATGGCTGAGCTGCAGCATGACTGCAAGCTTCTCCGGGCTCAGCTCCTTTGTGGAAGAGATCTGCTCGGTCATCCACGACTGCGCTGCTTGCGACCACTCGATTTCGACGTCGGCACGTTGGAGCTGGGCTACGGCTTGAACCATGACCCATGCACAGCTCTCGGCCATCCATGGCTTGTCGGAGGAAAGCGCAATGAGAATGCTCATGGATCGTTTGAAGTCGCTGATTGTCGCTGAGGGCTGTACGAGCAGTTCCGACTGTACGAGACTCATGATGCCAAAAAGCTTGGCAAACATAAAATCCTTCTGCTCTTGTCTGCTGGCAGCGACCTGAGGATTTGAGTACTTGAGAACGAGCGTGAGGATCTCTTTGGCGGAAACAGCGTATCTAATGCGGGAGAGAAGCTCTGTTAGGACGACAGCAAACCCGAGACGAGAGCTCTCTCGTGGACTCGCCAAGCCGCGCAGCAGTCGACGCAAAGCGTACATGAGGTCGGCGACGGTGCGGTTGCCCAGCGCTTCCTCGACGGACTCGGCCTCCTGCTCGTCTACTGTCAGTGGATCGTCCATGTCTTGGTCATCGTCGTCGGTGCTCTCGGTTGTCGATGGCAGGTCGAGGGTGATCTTTGAGGAGGAAGCCAGCACATCTTGCTGAGATAGAAGCTCCTCAACGAGCTGATTTGCCGAGGTGAGCCTCGCGTCCTGGTTGGATGAGGCGATCTCCCAGAACAGCTGCAGATTGTTGCCGTTCATTGCGACTGAGCCACGCGAGGGTGTTGTTGCTCGGAAAGGACGTTGGCCGAAGGGGATGGTGGTGGCTGCTCACCAGGTGAATGATGGACTGAACCCTGTCTGGAAATTTTTGCTCGTTCCCTGAGCCTTTTCTTTTCTTCGCAAAATCTTCTTTGTGGAGAAATTCTCATCTTTGAGATTTGCAATGAGCACGACAGATCGGTGATTTTGCTCAAGAGCTTAGCTGTGAGATGCTTCAGCCTCACAACCGAAGAAATGTCGCAGCCTCGCTGGCTGGCAGAAACCTTGTTGGCCGGCATCCAATGACCAACGCTGCCTGTGGCTCTGCTCTGCCTCGCAAAAGCCGCTTACAGACGGTCAAAATCGCCTAAGTTACTGCCCGTCAACACTTCCGACTGCTTTGCACCACATCGCAGCGCAGCGCAGCGCATCGCATCGCAGCATCGTTTCGTCCCTATCTCAGCTTTGCCGCTCGCCCGTTGTACCTGCTAGAGGCTGTACCATGACATGGCCATGTGTCGCCATCTGAATGACAAGCGCCACCTCCGCGATCAATGCTTGCATCGTTTCGTCATCCGAACATCGAAGCGCAGACGGTAGTACTTGTCCGCAGCGAGCTCGCAAGAGATTTCTCCCAGTTTGAGAAGGATTGAAAGCCGCCTCTCCTTCCCTCGGAACCGAGTCCATCTGAATCCCTCTGCCCAGGCTGGACAGAGTGAGCTGTCCCGTGCTTCGCAAGGTTCGCAAGAAGGACGCAAGAGAATCTTCTGACGAAAGCGAGTCTTAAAAGTTGGACAGGTGAGTCTAAATTGGCTTTGGGCGACAAGAAGCGAGACCCTAGCGAAAAGGCCAGAACAAGAAGAAAAAGGAGCTCACCGCTGCGCGCCATGCAAGGTAGAAGATCCCAAGGCAAATTTGAGAAGCATCCTGCAAGAGGTGCGCCCGAGCTGCCTCGCATGGCATGTGCATAGCATATCATTCTCAGCTCAGACGCTCATTCCTCTTCCCTTTGTTCTTCTGAACCCTTGGCTTCTGCCAGGCACACGGCTTAGAGCTTTGCCGGCCTGTTCTGCTGCTTGTCTGCGTGTTCTTCCGCTCTCCCGCTCCTTGTTGGTTCTCCGCAAACGACAGCGTGGTGGCGACAGGTCCCGTTGGGTCGCCGTTTGAATCTTAAATTGACCCTGGTTGGGTCGTCTTGAAGTGAGGTTGAGAAGATCCAATGGATTGCCGATGAGGGAGAGGCAACTCATCTCCGCTGAAGTTTGATTGCGTTGATGCGCACACCGGTATAGGGAGTTGGCCCCTCGTCTCGACCCCGCAACGGGACGAAAGCGGATCGCAGAGGGGTCAACGAATGAGCGTGAGCAAGTCTCAGGGTTTACAGTAGAACAGATTCTCAAGAGCAACCCGCGGGTCTTGACAAAGGGAGGAGCCGGGCGTCGTTGATAACACGAGTCCCTGATGCCAAAGGGCCTCAGCCGTGCTCGGTTCACGTTATTCCGAGTCTGTTTCGCAAGAGCCTATTTGCAGCAGTGCTTATCGCCTAGGCTCGGCCGTGCAGTGCCACCTTCTCCATGCGAGCAGACCACGAGAATGAGCAAGCGGGGCGTCAACGCAGCCGACCGTCCAAAGAAGCCCTGGAGCACCGTCAAACGAGCTAGAAGGAAAATAAGCGAGCACCGGTGATGGCTCGACCGGTCTTGTCTGCGAGGTGTCTGCGAGATGCGACACGAGCCGACCAGGCACCTGAGGAGTTCACAGGCACGTTCAGACGGAACTAGGACCGGCTCAGAACGGAGCTCGCTCCGTGATTGTTCTTGGCGGCGAAATGGCTCCCCGTATCCACTCGCAGCGGTAAGACGGTGGAAGCAGGAACAGCATGCAGTCCATTCGGACTCTGTGTTCTTTTGATCGGCAGCCAAGCGCTCATTCTCCGGTAACTTGCATCGCATTCGCAAGCCGCCTCATCGAAATCTTCTTCTGAAGTCGTCCTCGCTGCTGTACTGTACATCTATTTCGAACGAGGAAAGAGGCTTAGAGGACGCAGACGAGCCGATGTGGGGTGTGTCCGTATCTGCTCGGAATGGACCGCTGGAGTTGACCTCGAAAGTGTCCAGACTGGGCCATGTTTGGTCCCACAGACATCTGCATTGTGCTCGCCCTCTGCATGCTGCGTCGAGCCGCGTCTCTTGCATTGTCATGGTGTTTTGATATGACAGCCAACCTTTGCGATGCGAATGAAGCATTCCGTCGACATCGCTGGCTCCCTCGCTTGGATGCCACGAGGACGTCTCGTGTGACGTCGATCCGTCCTCGCTACCATAGCGGCTAGGAGTGACGTCGATCATGGTGCCTCAGACGAGCAACCGATTCGCAGGGAACAAGAGCGGGCGTCACTGCGTGGCGAGCAAAAGGCCAAAGCTGGCGGTGAAATGTCTCAGTGTTGGACTTGGTGAGACGTCATTCCAAAATCCGTGTGTGTGTTTTGTATTGGTTGTGAATTGAGAATTGGCAGCCAAGATTAGAAGGCAGGGCAAATTGTAGAAGAGAGAACCAACATTTTGCAGTTTAGAGACGCAAAGCTGACTTAGGCTTTGGCCCCTGTCTCGCTCCATCACCATACGCCGTTCTCTTGGTCATTGGCTACGTTGCTCGTTGACTGTATCCCATTGTATGTGGATGGCCTTCTTTGCTCAGACATGAGCAGACCATGACGATTTCGAACCAAGCCTTGATTGTGTATGCCCTCATGGTCATCGTACCAATCCTATTTTGGATTTGAAAAGTCAACTCCGCTGCCCCGCGTCGACGCGCCCTCTCTCTTTCTCCCGAGGCCCAAGAAAATGTGTTGGTCTGAGTGTGAAGCGTTTAGCCGAGCTTATTCTGTCGTTCCGTCCATCCATCAAGGTCAGACCAGGCCTTTGCTTTGCCATGGTCGGGCCCTGACACGACCGGCAAGCAATGCTCAGAGCCTCGTGTTGTGGTGCTACCTGATGACGAGAGAGCAAAGGCGAAAGAAAGCAACCGCGTGTGTTTGGACTCAGATCGAACTGGACCCTGTCGATCCTCTCCTTTGTGCTTCACGATGATATCACACTGTTGATGACTTGTGCCTCCTCTCATCCTGTCGGTACGATCAGACTTGAACCTTGAGCACGGTCCGTCTGATGGAGCAATGAACGTCTGTGCGTCGACAGCCTCGCTAGTCTTGACAGCGGGATGTGATACGAAGCGAGATGCACAAGCCTCAGTGGTCTAGCCCTGAGTCAAAAGAGGAGCAGGAGGACGAGCAGCGTCTCATTTTTCCGGAGGAGCCGAAAGAGGATTCGAGAGGCAAGGCGACATCGACAGAGTGAGGAAAGTGAGTGCACTTCCGCCGCCACTATTCAAGCGCCGCTCTCTCTCTCTCCCTCTCTCTTTCTTTGACAAAGTCACACCCTGCAGCTCGAATCACTTTTGACTGCTCGTCCGCCTCGAGTCGGGATCTCCCTTTGTCTCTCACTCTGGTAAGACGTCACATTTTAGATTATTAACTTTGACCCTTCATTACCGCCTTTGGCTGTCACACTGAGACCAACTCTACGTATCACTCTCTCGCTCTCCCACTTCAGTCACACTTTGACAGTCTCGGTTGAGCGCAGTGGGCTGACTCGCTTCCGTCTGAGCTGCTGTTCCTCCTCCTCCTCATCCTCTCAACCCTGATCATCGTCCCCTCCTCGCTTGGCTGACACTGCCAGTCTCGACTCGACTCGTCTCGGCTCCTCATCTTGGTCCACTTCACTATCCGACCTCGGCCTCCCTCTCATCCATTCCGATTCCCCATCCCAACCTCCTTCCTCACTATCATCAAGACACTCCTCTCCACTCCACTCGGCTCGACACCCCCTCCCCTTTCCCCGGCTGCTCCATCTGCTCCATCTACATACCCGGTCATCACCACCGCCCTCGTCTTCAAGATTCCATCTCAACAAGCGTTCCAACGCCCACGTTCTCAGCAAACGACCTTGACGCCTAGATTCGAACAGCTTTACGACCACTCCGTTGCTTCAGCTCGCCTATGATACTCTAGACATTCAACAAGCTCGACCTCTTCATCCCATGGTCAGCTCAGCGTCATTCACTGCTGTCTCATCCAGCAGTCATGGCAGCTCTTCTCTCCTCGCCATTGGCGCCTGTGCCCAAGTTCAACCTCTTCGAACAGCCCAACTCCCCCAGCCGCTACACACACGATGACCTTCCCGCTGACTTTGACAGGTCTTTCGGCTCGTCCATGTCCATCTCGGACTCGCTCGACGGTCACGCTTCGCAAGGCCTCTCTTCGCTACCTCTGCCTCCCCAGCCATTCCTCTTTGGCGGCAGCCTCGGCCTCGCTCAGAGCCTTGCGTCTGCGAATCAGCATCACCACCAGTCCATCTTTCACGGCATCGAGCCTTTCAAGCAGCAGCAGCATTCATCCCGTCTCAACTCCCTCGGCGCTGCTATGGGCACTACCCTCAACGCTCGCTCTCCTGGTCTCGCTGCCAAGATGAGCTCTCCGAGAGATATGGACATCTCTCCGGCACCCGTACCGCCTCGTCTCTCGCAGTACCGCCCTTCCCCTTCCGAGGCGCTCCCCAAGCTCATGAACAACATCCACGTCGGTGCACAAATTGAGGCTGGCCCCAGCAAAGACCGTCTCCACCCTGCTCTCGGAGGCTTCCCTCGTGCAAGACCCGTCGCCGAGCGAAAATCGTCCCTTCAACTGGCTGACACCATGTCTTCTCGCCTCTTCGGCGCCGAGATCGCTTTCAACTCTCAAACCATTTTTGCGAGGGATCAGGAGCTGCTCAGTAGCCCAGACAAGGAGCCTCCGCCCAAGCGCAGACCCAAGTCGCTCCCAACGAGACAGAGCGAGGCCAATGAGCGCATCTCTCAGCTATCGTCGGCTCTCATGGGGGTCACCTCTGCCAGGCCGCGACCCGCACTTTCTGCGACCTTTGCAGATCGTGAAGCTTGTTTCGGTGCTGCCGCTTCGTCTTCCAAGGCAACATCGAGCTTCGCCGCACGAAACCGTCTCTCGGACTCAGGCTTGCGCCTCGGAGGACGCTCTAGCGAACACTCCTCTCGTACCGCCTCGAGGGAGTCCTTCTTTGAGGATGTTGAGAACGAGCTTGGCGCCAGTCAGTCTCGCTCGCAAGACGGCCATCGATTGCTAGTAGCTGAGCCCGAGGAAGAGGATGGGGACACCAGCCTCTCGCCATCTCCTTCGATGCATTCGGCCTCCGGGACCATGGCCGGCTTGTTCTTTGATCCTCTGTCCCCCGAAAAGCTCGACAGCAGGCTCGGCATGGCGGGCACCGAGGCTCCTAGCCTGCTTGCTGCCATGTCTAGCACCGCTGCTTCGCCCAGCGTTGGCGTCTCCTCTCCACCTGAATCTTCGCCCTGCACTAGGATGCCTCCCCCCAAGCGCACCACTTCGTTGGGAGTCCGTGCTTTTGAGCGAGCCAACACCATGGCCGTTGTGCCCAGAGCCGCTTGCAGATCTAGTTCCAGCTCCGGCCCCGGCTCCGGCTCGAATTCAGGAATCGGTGCGCTTCGCACCAATCTCGGCAAGCGCGCCAATCCTTACGTCAAGCGTCCCTCGCTCACCAACGAGCACCCCGCCATCAAGAGTGCCTATCCGGTGCTTGGGGTGAACGGCCAGACCAACCGAGTCGTCCGACCCACTGCGCCTGCTCCTCGCCGATGTGTCTCTGCCTTCGATCACAGCTCGGTGCTGGGAGGTGGCGCTAGCTCGTCCAAGCCCAGGATCAGCTCCACCAGCCTCGATTCGCCCGTCTCGCCTGACCGCCGACGATCGCAGCTTTCCAGCCCATGCGACATGGCAGACGCCAATGGCTCGCCCATCGCTCCATCGATGCGGGCCCGAACGCAAACCACCTTCCTGCGCCGTGGCAGCAAGGACGATAGCTCTCCTCTGGCCTACGGCACGGGCCTGAAGCGCAGCGGCTCGCGAAACGGCGATGCCATGGCCGACGAAATCAACTCTCCTGCCAGTGCTGAGAGCCTGCCCGGCTTCGGCGCTTCCGAAAAAGAGGGCAAGGTGCTTCCTTGCTTCAATGTCAAAGAGGATGGCCTCATGAGGATCACCCCGCAAACTATGACGGACCTGCTCGCAGGCAAATTCACCGACGCCATCATGGACTTCCAGGTGGTCGACTGCCGATTCGGCTACGAGTACGAAGGTGGTCACATCCCCGGCGCCATCAATCTCAACACGGTCGAAAAGGTCGTCGGTCACTTTCTTAGCCCAGGCCAAGGCCGTCACTCGAACGGTCAGCAGCTTCCTCAACGATCGCAGAGCGGCAAAGCCGACAAATTTGGCAACCGCCGCAAGCACGTTCTCGTCTTCCACTGCGAGTTCAGCTACAAGCGTGCCCCCACCATGGCCCTGGCGCTGCGACAGGCCGATCGTGCTCTTGCTCACGACTACCCCAACTGCCACTTTCCCGAGATCTACATCCTGCAGGGCGGCTACTGCAATTTCTTTCAGTCGTACGCCAACCTCTGCGAGCCCGAGCAATACATTGCCATGGACGATCCCCGCTTCTTGGCGAAGCGATCGACCGAACTCAATGGGTTCAGGAAGCAGTTCTCGCGTCACCGCAGTTTCACCTACGGTGAGGGCAAGAGGCAGTCCTTCAGCCGCGTGTCTTCGTCGAAGGCTCCTCTACGCCAATCGATCCAGGAGGAGGAGGATCAGCCGTCGCTGATGGAGGACTCTCCTTGTCCGGGTGGACTCCCGAAGATGGTCGTCCAGTCGTACGCTGCTGAGCCCGCGCACAGTCACCGCAATGGGGCCACGACCGCCTTTGCCGAAGCCGTCTCGAGCTTGCACGGTGGAAGGACGGATGTAGGTGCCGTGACCCCGTCCGCAGAGGACACCAGCTTCGGCAGCGTCGGCGACTCGTCTTTCGAAGACGGCGTTGGCGACAGCCCTTGTGCAGCCGCCGGCAGCCGCAAGCCCGCTATGATCCTCCAACCTCGCATGGGCTCGCTCGGCATCGCTCGTCGACCCCTCCTCCGAGCCGGCACAACCGGCAACATTCTCCCTCGATACATGTCCTAGCTTCATCGACTGGATATGGACAATGGTGGCCTCTCATATGATACCTTTCCCATCCAAACCGCATACCTTCCTATCGCATCTGCAACCTTTTTACCCCTTTCCGATTATATGCATCCTTTCGCTTTCATCGCATCTTTTCACCTCAAAGCATACATTGTTTCGCCCTATCCTTGGTCCTCATTGTGAACGACGGTGTCTATTGTGGATGTTTGAATCAGTGGCTTGACCACGGACTGCCGGTGATGGTCAGGAATGAATGCGGATCAACGACAGGCTAAGAGGGTGGGAAAACAAGGTTGAAACTCCGACAAGTGTAGCGAAATTTGATTTTCGGGTGACGAGGCACTTGAGCAGTGTGATGGCTACGCGAGCCTGGCGCAGTGCTTGACAGGGCGCTTCCGCATCGTCACTTTCTACGGCATCAGCAGGTGTCGGGCTGGCAAATGGATCGTGCCGAAGGAAGCTGCCGCGGAGAATACATTGTGACGTTTATAGGTCTCACTCGTGTACATCGGAGTCTGATGGGCATCAATGGCGCAAACGCCGTCTAGCGCGTGTTGCTGCTGTCTTTGCCGCGGGCCCGAAGGGAAAGTCTGTGGAAGGGCGGAGCGATGGAAGGGCGATATGGACCTTCTTCTCGACTATACAAGAAGGTCGAAAGGCAGAACCCACATTTCTCTTCCTACGTTCCTCTTCATCTCCATACCACCACCGAATCCATTCGACGCAAGATGTGGACCGACTCGCCGCGCTCCTCGTCCTCCCTGGAAGACCCCAAAGAGGCCGCGCTGCTCCTCTCTTCCCCATCGCCCACAAAACGCCGCTATCTCACCCGGCGCAACCTCCTGCTCGCCATCCCAGTGCTCTCGGTCATCATTTTTAGCGTCATCTTCTTCCCGGTCCACTTCGTGCATCGCGCAACGAAGGAGTCTGTAGATGCATACGCACGTTCCAACCCGCCCTTGAGGAAGACGGCCGTCGGCGAGGTGTGGCAGCAAGCCGTCAAGTTTACCGACCTCAGCGACTTTCGGATCAAGTACTACTCGAGTGGGCAGAACAACAGCCGGGTGCTGCCAGGATTGCCTGCGAGTGCGCTGGAGAGGAGAGACGTGAGTAGGGCGAGGAGGGAGCGCCGTCAGGACTCGTCGACGTCAACGCTTCCTGCACGCACCTCAACGACCTCTGCATCCACCTCTTCATCCACCTCTACGACCTCATCAGCTGCAACAACAGCCTCGTCGGTGGCAGCAGTTTCGTCGGACAGCGTTCTGCAAATCTTCTATCCAGCACACTCCTACTCGCCCTCCGTCAACCCGGTTGGCGGCACGCAATTCTACGCTTTCACCCCGTTTGACTTGTCTCAAGCAACATCCGTGACGCTCAACTACTCTGTCTACTTCCCGTCCAACTACACCTTTGTCCAGGGTGGCAAACTCCCGGGTCTCTACGGGGGTGCGGAGGGCTGTGGTGGGGGAAACAACGCCAGTGACTGCTGGAGCAGCCGCATGGCCTGGCGGACCGATGGCGCGGGGGAACTCTACGCCTACCTCCCCCAAGCCAAACAGAACACATCCGCGATGCTAGCCGTGCCCCCCAAGAGCTACGTCAACAGCGACTACGGCATCTCGCTCGGCCGCGGCAGCTTCAGCTACGCCACCGGTGGCTGGACCAACATCTCCCAGACCATCACACTGCAGCAGGGCAAGGGCAAGCGAAATGGCGTGTTCGATATCAAAGTGGATGGGAAGCAGGTGATCTACTATGATCAGGTGTACTATCCGAGGGGCATCAAGGGCATTTTGTTCTCGACGTTCTTTGGCGGCGCTACAGAGGATTGGGCGACGCCGGTGGATCAGTACTCGTACTTCAAAGGGTTTAGCGTTCGGATCAACGCGCTGAGGTAGACACGCTGCAGATCCTGTCATCAGGCTCCTCGTCTTCAGACACTCCGATAACACTTCGGCCAACCCGGTCACACAACCCCATTCACACGGTCCGCCGCATTGAAACGGTCGATCCCTATATCACTGCCTACAAATTCTACAGACAATATCTTCCCTCTTGCATCCGTTTGCTACTGAATGACCTTGAACATGGTCTCAAAGTCGACCTTCCCTTTTGCCTCGTCATCCAAGCTCGGGCTGGCCGGATCGATCTTGTACCCCATCTTGCCGTAAAACTCCTTTGCCGCCTTGTTCTCGTCGAACACCGTGAGCATGACCTTCCTCAGCCCTGCCTGCTGTCCGAGCTCGTACACGGCATCCATGAGTTCCCTTCCCAGCCCATCCCTCTGATTCGCCTCGCGCACCTGGATCTCGTACAGGTACACCACCTCGACCTCCTCCTCCCCCTCCCTCGCCACCGCATCCCCCGCAGCGCACGGCTCGGTGTCAAACCTAACCATGGCAAACGCCGCGATCTCCGCACCCTCCTTCGCCGGCGGTCGGATGATCAGGAACCGCGATTGGGGGTCGAACAGCTCCTTCTTCTTGTTCCCCGGCTTCCAGCCCAGCATCGAGTTGCGATACATGGACTTCATGTTCGTCTCGAAGAGCGAAAAGATGCGTTTGCGCTGTTCGGCGGCCAGGTCGGAGGCAGAGACGATCTCGAGGGAGAGACCGGCGTCTCGAAGGCGGGAGGAGAGGGGATTGCGCGACCGAGTGGAGCGGGACTTCTGAAGCCATTTGAGGAGGGTTGATGCCGAGGCGGAGCGTGCGGATTCGAGGGCGGCGGCAAAGTCCGTGTCGGCGGAGGATTCGGTTTTGACTTTCTTGCTCGGAGGTGTGTCGGCATCAGCCTCCTCCTTCTTGGTTTCGCTCGATGAGGTAGCAGCATCCTCCTCCTTCTTGACTCCGCTCGTCGAAGTAGAAGCAGCAGCGTCCTTCAGCGCCTTGCCCTTCCTCCCCAGCAACCGCTCCGCCTTCAATGGGCACGGTCGGTCCGTCCACTCACCATCATCATCGCTCCCCTTGCCCTCCTCCTTGACCGTCGCAAACCCCTTGGCCGAGCAATTGGCACACCGCTTCCCGTGCTGGATCAACAACACGTGCAGCGCATACTTCAAATGCCCTGGAACCCGCTCGTGCAGGTGATAGTACGTCTGATCCCGATTCGCCTTCTCCGGTACCCAACCCAAACTTTTGCACAACCTAAACACATGGGTGTCCACCGCCATACTCTCGCGCCCGATACAAAAGGCAAGTACGCAACTGGCAACTTTGGGCCCAACGCCGTTGAACCCTACCAGCTCCTGCATGATCTCATCGTCCGTCGCGTCGTGCAGGTGATCGAGGGACAACTTGCCATGTCTCTCCTTTGTATCGGCGAGAATGCCCTTGATGGTGCGCGCCTTGTTATTCGCCAATCCGCCGCAACGGATGGCTTCGACCAGCTCGGACTCTTTCGCCTCATGGATCGCTTCCCAGTTCTTGGCTCCGAAGTGTTCGGTCATCGACCGATGGGCGGCAGCGCTATTGCGGTTGGACGTGTTGCAGCTGAGCACGGTGCGAATGACGGCGTCCAACACCGAGGGCACGTCACCACATCCCCCCCATCGATCTTCCCCCTTAGGCGTGGTGTACTTGGGCAAACCTCGTCCGCCGTCAGACTCTCGTTTGTAGCCGTGGAAGTCACCAAGAATCCAGGCTACGCGCTCCGCTTCCGCCGCTGTAGGGAGCGGATGGTCAGGGAAGGGCGACGCGAGGATCGACTGCTTGTAGCTCGCCAACTTGCGTTCCGACGTCGACTTTTTCGATGGCGAAGAGGGCGCAGAGAGTCCTTCCTTGGAATCGAGCTCCTCGGTCTTGGGAATGGCAGAGAGCAGATCGTGGATCTCGGAAGTCTCGTTCTTGATCCCGCGCGGCGTGGAGCGCTTCCGCTTGCCCGCGGCGGGCGAGTCGCCCACCGAGGTGGGCGTCGGCGGAAAAGAGAGTTCTTCGGCCTCGGTCTTGATCGTTGGCGAAGCAGTGGATGAAGAGCGGTTGTTCTTCGGTGTGGTCGCCGCTTTGCGCGGGGACGAACGGGTCGGTGTAGCGGGCGTCATCTTGAAGGACGAAGTTGCGGTTGAGATGAAGGAAGCTGGTACGAGGACGGGGTAACGATTGAGAGTGCGGGAGGCTGGGAGAATGCTCAGCCGCGGAGCGGCAAGGAGGAGCTGGATGGACCGAATCCTGACGGTCTGCGTTGGTCTGGTGTCGCGTGTAGCCGCTTGACGTACGGCGAGAACGACCGCTTATGTAGGTGATGCTTGCGTACAATTCGCTGCTAATTTGATGACTTTGGTCCGAATCGTCAGACGATGGTGCAGAGTCGTTGACACCCCCTAATTGCTGGTGAAGAAGGAAAGGACAAAAGAGGCAGGTGTATGTTTCAAGAAGGTTGCCGCTGTTCTTCCCCGCAGAACGGCGGCTTCTGGCTTAGACGAACATGACGTCGAACGAGTTGCCTAGGCGAGGTTCAGCCTCGCTTCGCGCTTCGAGGTGGAGGTCTGTGAGCAAAAAAAGTAGCCTCCAAAGTAAAGCTTGGTCTAACATGTCGACTTTTTTTCCGCACCTTCTCCGTTCTCGTGGTGTCGAGACCTACTACGACGCCAAGCGTGCCCAGCTCACGAACACAGCCGCTGTAGTGAGCAAGGCACAGTTGGCATTACTGAGAGAGGGTGCGCTCACTGATACAGAATCCTCACCTTGCCCAAGTCACCCGCCTCGATCGCCTCGCGGTCCAACCCGGTCGGTCCCCACCCGCTCTCATCCGGATCGTTGCCCCACACCATGCCGAACCCACTCGACTCTCCGCCCTGCGTCCGACTCGAATGGTGCCCTGAGCTAGCAACACCGCTTGCCTGACTCTTCCCTCCTGCAACAAACCCGGACATCCTCGGCTTGCTCCACCCCGAGCTGGCCCCACCAGCACCCGTCGTCCCAAACATCGACCCACCAGGCCAGCGACGCCAATCGCTCCGCTGTGTAGAAGCAATGTCGTCCTCGTCCGTATCCACAATCTCCGGCCGGGCAGACGGGGAGAGTCCGATCTGGATGAGCATCTTCTCGAGCTCGGGCCAAGAGATGGAGAATGCGACGCAAATCTCGTCGTCGCTGTGCAGGCCGTCGAGCATGTCGATCAGGTCCGGTGGGATGACGACTGCGTGAGAGCGCGGATGAGCTTGGGTGCCGCTGGTACCGGCGACGCCGAAGCCGCTGGCGGAGGGAAGGGCTCCCGGTGCGGCTGTGCTGGGAATGGCCGTGCTGAGGCCGATAGCGCTGGCTCGTTTGCGGGGAGAACGCGCTGTGCCACCAGGTGCCGCCGCGGCTGGTCGCTCTGCTTGGAAGGCTGCCGCTGCCACATCGACAGCGGTCGTGGTGGGATGTCGATAGTTGGTGCGCTGTCGCATCCGGGCATGGCGTTTGGTAGGCGAGGTGCCAAACTGGCTGCTACCGGCACCGCTGCCCGTCTGCACCAACTCGCTGCCCAGATTGAACGCGCTAGCGCTGCCGCCGGCGAGAACGACGTTGCTCAACCTCGCCTCGGAAGCTGGTCTTCGCGCAGGCGTACGTGCTGCCACTCCGGGACTGTCCACGCTTCCGTCGCGTCCGATCCGTTGGAAGGCACTGTAGGCGCCGCTCATGCCCGAAAGCTCCCTTGGACGCCTGTCTCGCGGTTCACGGCTGCCGCTCTGTTCCCGACGATGCTGGTCCTGGGCTTCCGAGCGCCGCGCGCTCGAGTCGTTGGACTTCAGCGCGGGCGATTGGATCACGGGCGAATTCCGAACCGTGTTGACCACCGAGGTGTCGAAAGCAGGAAAGCCATCTTCGCCTGATCGCGATCCGAGATAGATCGGGTATCGATGGACTCGACGCAAGAACCCTTGGATGACGCCGAATGAGACGAAGCGGCGCACATCGATGCCTTTGCTGTCAATGTCGTTGTCCTCGATCCAATCGTGCAGCGTCGTTCCGACACGAAGCAGCGAGTACAGCTTCAAGATGTCCGGATAGCTCGGCGGCGTGTAGCCCGATCGTGCAACGTAGGTGGCGCATTCGAGCCCGAGAGCCTCTTCGTCGGCCTTTGTGGCAATGATCGGTCGGACAGTGTACATATTGAAGTACTGAAAGATATCGACGACGATGATGCAGCCGTAGTAGACCAAATGTTCCAGGCATGCACGTGTAAGCCCGAGATCAGCATCAGCGAGCTGAGCGATGCGCTTGACGTGGTTGACGCCGTCGATGAAGGGCAAGATACGACGCAGCGTCAGGTCCCAATTGCCATCGACGCGGGACAAGAGATCGAGCAACGCCACTGGCACGTCCCAGTCATTGACCGGTGTCGGGTTGGCAAAGACCGGGAAGAGCTTGAGATTGATGGCATCGCGGACGGTGCGGCCAAGACCGTGAGGTGGCTCTCGCCTCTCGATGAATGCGGTGCGTTTGGCACCGTCGCCCGTCTCGGTGCGGAGCGCATTGGCCGAGCTCGTGAGGGCAGCATCGATGGTGCGTAGCGACAGAACGCTCTCAGTGAGATGCTCAAGTGCGCTCGGCTCGTGGTCAGGTCCGTGTGCACCCGCTGTGCTGCCACGGCTCGATCGCCTCGTGCCGGCGGCTGTATTGATACTGTCGTAGGCTCCGACGTCGCGATGTGTGAGAACATTTCCGAGACTCTCTGCGGCACTGAGATCGCGGTTGAGATCGCTGCGCCACTTTGAGCTTACGACGCCCATGGCTGTGTCACGGCTTTCACCAGAAGGGTATGCGGTCCGTCGTTCGTCATCGGTAGGACCCACAATCGTTGACGATCTTGCTAGACTTGGCCTACGTGCGTCTGATGTCAGCACAGAGATCCCAGACTGAGGAGAATGAGGGCCGTCTGAACCGGGACCGCTGGTGCCCGAAGCGCTGTTGCTTCTTACCATTGCTTGCCCATCGCCCCGTATCGTTGTCAGCGGCGCCAAGGCTGGTCGACTATGATCGTGAAGCGATGATCCGGTGCCCGAGCCCGAGCGAGATCTTGCACCACCGCTGTTACCCGGTGCTGCTTGGTGCGTTGGGCTTGCGCGGTCTGAGATGGGCGAGTGTAGTTGACGTGGACTCGAAGTCTGCGCCTGCTGCATCTGCTGCTGCATCTGCTGCTGCATCTGCTTCTGCTTGAGCCGCTCATTGATGAAGTTGCGATGATGCTCGCCTCGAAGCGAGCCGAAACTTGCGCCAAGAGAGACAAAGTCCTCGGGGCCAATGGGCGGAGAGGTGAGGTTCTGGCCGTGCCCTTCGGGGCTGAACGGCTTGGACGAGCTGTTGAGATACGATGTGTGCGGCGCCTCAGGCAGCGCGACGAAGCTCTCGCTGTACGAGTTGAGATCCTCAAAGAGCTGCTCGACGACACTGTACATGCGCGGCAGGCTTTTGGGACTGGAGAGGAAGGACTGGCTCTCTTCCAGGCCGCGGAGAACTCGTCCACACTTTCGGACGATGGGCTCGTAGGCTCGGACGTCGGCGTTGCCCTCGAAGACGAAGCAGAGGTTAAAGATGAAGTTGTTTCTCTGATACTTGGTTGCATCTTCAATGAGGATGGGGAAGCCGAGGATCTTGTAGGTTCGCTCCTCTAGCTGCGGCTTGCCGGACGGGTCGGCATCCTCGGCGCGTCTTGGCATGACGGAGGGAGCTCGCGAGGAGCCGCCGGACCTTGCAGATGAGGATCTCGCTGGCGCCCGAGACAGCGCACGAGCAGGACGCTCATGGCGCCTGTGCTGAATGCCGACTGTGCCGCGAGCAATCGAGGTGACGAGTCTTCCGCACAGGGGTGCTTTCGGGATGAGGTATTCTGAGAGAGCGGAAAAGTCGAATAGAGGTTCTGCGCCTGGGGTTGCACCTCCCTGATTGAGCTGCACTTTGCTCGTGCTCGCTATTTCATTCGACCCGGGTGCCGTAGCAGATGCCTTGTCTTCTGTGATGGATCCTTCGGGGACTTGGTAGATGACCTTGGGCCCTTCTGTGGGGTGAAAGACAGCATAGAAGACTGCTAGCAGACGCGGAAGGAACTGCTCGTCCAGAGTTGGTATTGACATGATTGCCGGCGATGCCTCGACTGATGTTTGAGGCAATTGTAGATAGGAGCCGTGTGTAGCCTGCTGAGCTCGATGACGAGGCGGCTGAATGCCAGAGCTGCTGATGTGACTACGGCGAGGCCATCCTCCTTTTTCCTGGTCACGAAGCCCAACGCATCAAGTGCTAGTCGCTCTCTCGGTCGTGTTCGCTGTAATTGACGTGTGTGCGGTGTGACGAGGCCGAAGGTGAGGACCAAGCGCGGATAAGTGATAGCGAATGTGGGGAAAGCGCTTGTAACTTGGGTGGGAAGTGGTTGATCTCGAAGAAGGGTCCGAGCTGCTATCTCCCGATGTGGAATGACCCGATAGCGTTGATCTGGCTAGTTGGGTGCCAAGCCGTCCTGCAGCGAAGCCACGCCGAGAGCTTCGCGTTTCCCGCTAAAACTCCGCACTGTCGAGGGTCCCGTTCGGCTATGCTGGCCATCCGCCGACGCTTCCATCTTCCCTCTGACCATTAGTAGCCTCTCAGAGTCGACAGCTCGAACGACGAGGCCAATCAAGCGGAAACCGCTCGAGGCGAACCTCAGCCGGGACGAAAGGCGCGACGGGATACAAGCAAAACGATGCTACCTTCTGGTCCATCATAGCGTCCGCTTCTCGTTGGACCTGAACGCTCGACAGCGAGAGGCTGATCTGCACATTGTCTCTTCAAGGCAGACATGATGAATCTCTCGATGCATACGCCATCGCGAGGCACGCGACGATGGGCGATCCATCTGTTGGTGGTGCTCTGCCTCCTCGCAAGCTGGTGTGCCGCCCATGCTGTCCGCAGCCAGACTCGACAGTACGGCCGCGCTCCACCGCAAAATATAGCCGCCGTCGCCGAGCTCTCCAACCCGGCCTCTTTCCTCGAGACGGCCAACGCTACGTCGCTGCTATCTCAGATCCTCATCCCACGGCCACCCGATACCGAAAATAGCCGCAAAGTGCGCGAAGCCATTCTCGACATCTTCCGCAAGGACCTTGGCGCCAAGGACTCGACTACCTTCTCGTCGATGGATTGGACCAAGAGGGGAAAGCTAGGCTGGCACATGGAGCAGCAGACGTTCACAGCGCAGACTCCCGAAGGTCCAAAGAAGATGACCAACGTGGTTTTGACCAAGAACCCCGCAGCACCCCGCAAGCTCGTCGTCGCAGCGCACTACGATTCCAAGTTCTTCCCCGCTTCTTCGGGCCTGGAGGGCTTTGTGGGAGCGACGGACAGCGCAGCACCCTGCGCGATGATGGTCGACCTGGCCGTGGCGCTCGATGATGCACTCGATGCGCGCGAACGCAAAATTCACGCGATGGAGCAGGACAAGCCGTCCATCTCTCAGGAGACAACGCTCCAGCTCGTCTTTTTTGACGGCGAAGAGGCCTATCGCACCTGGACGCACGAGGACTCGATCTATGGATCCAAAGCGCTCGCGAAGCTGTGGACCACCACGTTCTGGGACGCGACGCAATTCGACTCGAGCCGGAGCTCGAAGCTGACGGCCAGGAGGTACCGCAGCACCTACGGTCCAATCGAGTTTATGAACACGATCGAGCACATGATTCTGCTCGACCTGCTTGGTGCGCCGGATCCGATCGTACCTTCGTACTATGACAACACCAAGTGGCTGCACGCAGCCATGTCGGACGCAGAACGGCGCCTGAGGGAAGCAAAAGCGCTGTGGCCAAAGGGCGACACTGCCCATGAGAAGACCCGCTCATTCTTTTCAAGCGCGCGACCCTGGGGAGCAATCGAGGACGACCATCTCCCATTCCTGCATGCTGGCGTACCCATCCTGCACGTCATCCCATCCCCCTTCCCGTCGGTCTGGCACAAGCTCTCGGACGACGCATCCGCACTCGATTATCCGACTATGCACGCCTGGGCCATGATCCTGCGACTGACAATAGCCGAGTACCTCGAACTGGACATCGCAGCCAACAAAGGTGAGTATGCGACGCAAGAGAGATTCAAGGTCGAGTTGGTGAGTGCTGGCCTGCGTTGAAGTGCGCGAGACAGAAGCTGACGATGATTGCATTTGTGAAAACAGTGAGCGAGGTGGATCCAGAGGTAGGGGCTAGTTCGAAGGGTAAGGCCGATTAGGGATGAGGACTGGTGTAATGGTATTGGTTTTGAAGTGCTTGAAGCGGTGTGTGGGTTGTTCAGCAGACTGTGTTTCGAGGTGTTCAGCGCTGAGCGTGCTCACCTTTCCGTGCAATGACTCGCTCAGGGCCGACACCACTTCACACGCTCGTCAGAGATCCGGTCAATGTGATTGATATAGAATTTTGCAGTGATATGAGAGACGTCCGCCTTCCGGGTGTGCGATATCGACACCACTCCTTCTTCCTCAGTTGTCCGCATTGCATAACAACGCATGCTGACTACTCCAGCGCGGATCAAGTGTCTTGCTCACCATCCTCCAGGGTGCCTGATAGCGATACTTGTGCTCCGATCTTCCCGAATCAGAACGATACCTACTGGCTGCTCGAGCTGTCCCTCGAATCAACCGTCTTTCCCAAACCCAAAAGCAACTCTGCAGCCTGGTGATCATCTCCGCTTTCACCGCTCCTCCTCAGCGAGGCCTTTCTAGGCGAGAGACCTTTTCCACCCTTCGACTTCGCACCCGCTGCCTGCCTGGGCAGGGGCTGCTCGTCATCGCTCATGCCCTCGAAGAAGCCGCTGTCGTCATGAACAAATGGGCTGTCTCCCGAGCTGTTGCCCGGTAGATGAGTGCGGTGGTGGCTCGGTGTGGAACCGAAGTTCGTTCGGTCACCGAGCACTCTGGACGGCGTAGAAGCGGGCAGCGGCTGGGACATGGTCGACCTAGGCGTCCAGCCGTCTTCGCCGTTGCTATACGCGCGAGCGTGACCCAAGTCCCAGGCTCGGTTGGGACCGGCCGAGTCCCGAGCAGCCGAGGCACGCGGGATGGCGTGACGATGAGAAGCGTAGTTGGCCGAGATGGAGCGTCCGAGCGAGCCGGCGGGGCTAGCGCCGATGGCACGGAAGCGCTCCGAACGCGTGCTGAGCGGGAGAGTGGAGCTGTACAGAGACGTGCTCTGGGGCGTGGAGGGGATGACCATGGTGGGCATGCTTCGTGAGGCCGAAGGAAATGAGGCGTGGGAAGCGAATGGACGCGAGGAGAGTAAGGGTGAGGCGGGAGCTGGCATGCCCGCGCTGAACGATGCGTGGGATTTGGAAGGCAACGCTGGCTCGGCCATGCTGGAAGCCAGAACGATGTCTTCGAGTTGCGCACGTCGACGCTTGACTGGCTGAGCAGCCTGAGTCGCAGATTTGATCGCTGAAGCGGGATCGACATTCTCGTCCCTCACATCCGGCGCAGCAGCTGCGGCAGCGGTGCGCTTACGACCAGCACTGACACTGCGCTGGGCGGTGTCGCCCTTTCGCTTGGCCTCTTGCAAGCGGCGCGTCAAGTCAGTGGCCGACAAGGAACGGCGACTCGGCTTCGAAGCATCCACCTTTCGCTTAGGTTCCGACATGGAAGTCACCTTTCGCTGCTCAGCGATCGGAGTCGACTCGTTGGGACCGGGCACGGTCAGCTGACGCGCGCTGACACTGCGTGAAAGCGGCGTGCCACCGATACTGTTCGGAAGAGCCGAGGTGGCGGCACGATCGCGGCCAGCTGCCCAATCCAGGCTCAGCTGTCGCGCCGGACCCAGTCCAACAACGGCTGACGAAGACTTCTTCGGGAAGCTTTCGATCGAAGCACCATCGATAACGAGGGACGACGAGCCAGAGCTTGCCTGGGCCTGCTGAACGATCGCCTGCCTGGCGTCAGCACAGCCCGGATCCATCGGAACAGGGGCTACAGCGCTGTTGCTGGAAGCAGCGCGCTCTCGGGCTTCCTGTGCCTTGGCCAACGCAGCTGCTTGAGCCTTGGCAGCTCGACGCTGAGCAATCATCTTGAGCGTTCGCTCTTCATCTTCGTCGCCGTCCCTGCGCTGGTCGTTCCCAAAGAGCGCATCCGCTTCGCTGCTCGACGCGCTGCTGCTTGGCATCATCTGCAGCAGACCCTTGCCCCTGACAGCCTGTTCGTTCGTCGCCGGATGCATCGCGATGATTCCTTGTCTCTGCAAGGCCGCTGTCAGCTTGGGTGGCAGGCTCGACGTCAGCGAGGGCTTGACGTCTTTTGCTGCAGCAGTGGGCGTAGACTCCTTGCGCAGGTCCAGGCTACCGATGCTGGCCCTGCCACCCGAAGTGGTCATCAGGCTCAGGTTCGACGCGCTCGAGGCACGCGAGAGGAGCTTGGGCGGCGGCAGGATCGTGTCGAGCTGCTCTTCCTCCATCTCGCTCGAGGCGTTGGCCAAAGGCGCTGCAACGTGCTCGGTGGCAGAGCGTCGCAGTGACTTGCTTCGACCACCCAGCACGTCTTCGAGCGACATTCGTGGCGCAGATCGATGACGCGAAAGCGATGTCTTTGCGCTGTCCACGCCAACCACTCGGTCGACCTTTGCAGCAGCTTGCACAGGCGCGACGTTGTCGACCTCAACGCGATGGACAGCAATACCCGCACCGTCAGGACCGACCGCTTGACGGAGGTCGTGAGCTACTGGACGCGCCGCGGTGACCTCTTTCTTCAGCAGGCTGGTCAGGGGCGTTCCACGCTTGACCTGCTCCATCTGATGCTGCAGCGGAGCGCGGGCATCGCGACCGGCCAGCCAAGGAGGGATGTTTTCCTTGTTGTTGCTGCTCAGGTCTTTGATCTCTTGCGGGTCGAAGACCTTGGCGGGACCGGCACCGTTAGCGCTGGCATTCCCAAAGGGTACGCGTTGCGACGGAATGATGGGCGGTCGGGAGAGCGGTCCTTCCGCAGCTGCAGGAGCTTGAACGCCACTCGGAACACGCGGAGCAGCAGTCGTCTGGGCAGCGCCCGAGCCACCGTACCTTCCGGATCTCTTCTTTTCAGCTTGTCTCCTGTTCTGGAACCAGACCGACACCGCTCTGTCGATGTCGAGAACGGATCGCGATGGATGCGAAGGGAGGCGATGCAAGAGGTCAGTATGCCATTCAGTCGCACCTGATCGCGTCGCGAGGCGGTATGATACTTACCGAACGGACATGCCGACGCGGTTGGCAAGGAAGAGGCGGGTCTCGTGATCCGGGAACGGGTTCTTTGCGTACACCTGAGCGAGCAGGTTGGCTTCGTCCGGACGCGTTCGCCTTCTCCGACGGATCTCGTTCTTGGAGTCGTCCCCCATGACGCTACCGATACTCTCGAACGAGTCGTCGGCCAGGATGGAGCCAGGACCTTGACTGAGCAGGTCTCTGATGTCCTCGTTCTCCAGGTCTTGTTGCGCAAGGTTGGCTGCTGAAAGGCGGTTGATGTCAATGGCTCGGCTCGGCGAGGCAGGCACGCGATTCGTGTCCATCATCGGCGCGGCCGTCTCGGTGTCGTCCAGGGCTGCTCCTTGATTTCGGTCGCGTTCGAGACCGCGCTCGGTGACCGCGTGCTGGGATGGACGAACAGGCAGAGGGGCGGGGGTGGAGTGCAGGTGTTCGATCGACATGACGCCTTGCATTGAACGCGAAGCTTCGTGTTCTGGCCATGGCTGGTTTCGGAAAGCGTCGCGAGAGACGATAGGCGTGGTGACGAGGTGACGCGGTTGAGCATGCGGGCTGCCAGCACGGGAGCTTGGATCGCTGTTGTCGCGGAGCTGGTCTTCAGCGCGTGGGGAGCTGGAACGGTTTTGGAAGAGCGGCGCGTCTTTGTTGATGTAGGAGGAGAAGCTGTCGACGGACGCGGCGGCGGGGCTGCTGGCGTGAAGTGGCTGCTGAGGAGGCGTCTCGACGTGGGGATCGCGACCGTCAGACTGGGACGAGCCGCGATGGCGCTGAGACAGGTCGTGATGCGAGGTGATGCTGATGTTGGCGGGGACCGGCGCAGCGTGAAAGGAAGGAGGCAGACGCCTCTCCTCGCTGTTCATGGCGATGCGAGCATCCATGATCGCAATGACAAGGCGCTACTACGCGCTTGGTCTGGTCACGTTCGCGTTCACCGCTCAGTGTACCTGAAGCGATGCCGACGATGAGCCTGCTGTAGAGCCGATGCTGATCAACTGCACGAGCTACTGGGCCATCCGCGACTCTGACGAGGCACGTTACCGAATGATCCTTGACGAGCTGAGGTGCTGAGATGTTGTCTGCGAGGTCGCTGCGACGCTTACCACGACGGCGACAGGGATGAACGCGACGGTGAGGGGACGGAGTGGTCGATGATGGCGAGCGAGGTCAAGGGGATGGGTGAAAAGGTAAAAGAAGCGAAGCAAGGCTGCTGGTCTTGAAGACACTCGTACCATTCAAGGAGCGTTGTGATGTAGGAACAGGAATCGACGTGCCAAGTGAGAGCAGAGGCGTCACAGTGAGCGTGTATCTGCACGGTGTAACTTAGCAGGCAGGCCAACGCGATTTCGCGAAGATGTGCAATTCCAAATCAAGGCGGTTACATAGGGTCGGCTCTCGCTTGGCTTGAAAGTGTTGTACTCTCGCTCTTTTTCGCTCTCCCAGGCTCAGGTCGCAGCCGCCAGTTCTGTTTGTGTGATTTGGACTTGGCCAACTTTCTTATTCGTGAGCTCTCGTCTCGGAGAGCGAAGATTCAAAAAGGGACACGGTGCACGCTCAATAGAAGAGGGCGAAGCATCGCGTTGCATCGGCGAGTCGTGCTCTCCGTACGCACGGGCACGGGTCTGCTACTGTATCGCTGTCATTTGAGGTCCACTGTTCGGCGTATGACTCGCTGAGGCTGACCAAGAAGAGCGCCCTTTCGAGTTGTGGGCAAAAGTGGTGGCTTTGGCTCCTCCTCGGTCACCGCATCGAAGACACTCGTGGCTGCGCAGACCTCCTGTGCAAGTGGTACCACAGTCGCGCTACCAGCTTGGGAGGGGCGTCGACTTGGTCTCCACCTCATACGATGCAGACAAGGAAGCTCTGCGCAGCTCCGTCGACCAAGTTGGAGAGAAGTGTTGAAGCTGCTGCAGCGCGCTTTTCGCGCCAGCATACGCGATCCCGTAATTTCGAGCGCCGGGCTCGGTTCTCGTTTGGAAACGGCTCCAGTTGTCGGAGCTGAGGCCTTGAAGCACATGAGTAAGGACGTCCCGAAAGGGTGCCCGTGTGCAGGGGCAGCAGCAACCATGTAAGGGTCGCGCCCCCCCGATGACCTCGTCGGTCGGCCGGCAGGATCCGATGTAGAGCCTCAGACACAATCGGTCGAGCTGCCACTCGCTCTGCTTTGCCCATGAAGAGAGGCCTTCTCTTCAAAGGTGTCATTCATTGATGAGCCGCTCGAACAGCATCGCCTCCTCCTCGTATGTTGCCTGCAACCATCGTGACGGGGCCCTGGTCCACCATCTGCTCCGCCAGACTGAGTACTCGCAGGAGAGACAAGCGGATGTCTGATGACGAGACAGCTCCCCTTTGTCACAAAGATTCACAAGCCAGGTTCGACAAGCTCGGCATCGATGGTGCATGGTCCACTCTCGCTCTTCCAAATTTTCCCATGTCATGTGTGCAGCAACACGTCTCGTCAAGCGCCAATTGGAAGAACTCGCGTTGGCTTCGGTATTTTTCTGTTGACAGCTGTCCGCGTGGGCCGCTAAAGTGCATTTTCGCGTAAAGAGGACAGCCACGCGCCGTGTTTGACGGCGGTCACATGATTCTTTTCCGTCTCGCTTTTTGTGGTTCTTTTTCTGATGCATGATTCGTTTGCTGGACTTTTTCCCGGTTTTACCAAATCGTTCGGCCACTTTATGAGTACAGCGGCGGGGCCCTTTCCGCCTTGTTCGGCTGGCTTACAAGCGCTTCAACACCACACAGATGACTACTGAGATTGTGGACAAGCAAAGATGGAGTGGCATGGCTGCGTAGGCATCTCGACGATGGTGACGATCCAAGTGCTTCCATGGAAGCTGGAACCAGCGAATCGGTACAACGAAATTGCCCGATAAATCGCAGATCAATCTTTGAATTTTAGTCTTGTGAGATCGGCACTCATGAGCATCGGTCTTTTTACCTGCTCAGCGAAGAAGTGGAGATTTTTGGACGGCGCAGCAGCTGCAGCGAAGAAGATCATCCTGCTGCGCACTGACATAACCTTCTGAGCCTCTTTAGAAACAGCATCCTTCCGGGCCAATCACCATCAAGCGTCTCGACCATAGACCCCAGCAAGACCGAGAACTCGTCACCTAGACAGCGAACAGGTGCACCAAGCGTTGACCGAGGCACTCACTGAGAGCGTCTACGGACCAAACTTTGACGCCGGACAGAATCCCCCTTTAGATGCTGCGACTGTCGTCAGGGCAAACAGCATCGCTCTCAAGATTTGGCGGAGGAGACCCCTGAGGAGCTTGTCGGTAGGATAAGCTCAACATGTCGATACAGGACCACCTGCAGTCATTCCTGTCGGCAGCGTCCAGCTCGCAGCGCACGCTCGATGTCGACCAACACCTCATAGGATCGCTTCAAGCCGACCTCGATTCCTTTGATCGCACTGGCAGCGAGCACACCATCCTCGACAGCTCGAAGGCCCAACAAGATGGCGCCACTAACGATGTCTGGTCGCAATTCCACCGCTTCCTGTCCCTCAGCCGCTCTGTCGAGCAAGCAGGCCAAGATGCCATCGACCACTATCCGAACGAAATGGAGGGCACAACCACAGGCCAATTCGACGGAGCAGAATACCATGCTCCTGCAAGCTCATCTCCTGCCGTGCTTGGTCTCCAAGATCATCTCGCACACCTTGCAGCTGCTGACCCACAGCTGGCCGAGAGCGTGCGGCATACGGTCTTGGCTGCCCTCTCCTCACCGAGCTCAGGAGACCAGATCTCTGCAGAGCTGGCCGAAGCAATCGGGTTTGAGCATCTCGACCTAGTGGGCAGCATCGTTGGTGACCGTCAAGCTGTTCTTGCAGCGCTCCAATCCGGTTCACAGGAACCATTACACTTGAATGGCACCGGCGAAGTGTCAAATCACGACCGAGTCGAGATCGCATTGCCGCATCAAGAACATCACCACGGCAGGCAATACGACGCTTTCCATCGCGGTAGCAGACCGCACATCCCCGGCTCACAAGTCGTCGTGCAAACACAGGAAGAAAGGCAACAAGCGCGGCGCTTCAAAAACGACCTGCGCAAAGCCAACCGCCAGCAAGTCGTCGATCCCAGCGACAGCATCCGCACCTACACTCCCGAAGAGCTTGAACGCATCCGCGAAGAGAGCCTCGCTGCTGCCGCCAATCGTCCTCTCTACACCGGCACGGCTACTGGCGGCGATGATGTGCGCTACCCACACGTCTTTTCGTCCGGAGCCCAAGGAAACGTCCTTTCGGTCTTCGGACAGCGATTCGCTCTTCCCCTCGGAACGCTCCGCGAAGAGAAGGAGTTTTACGAAGAAGTCACCATCCCTCCACCGCGGACAGTGCCCATGCGCACCGACGAGCGATACATCCCCATTCCCGAGATGGACCCCATCTGTCGCGGCGCTTTCCCTGGCTACAAGAGCCTCAACCGACTCCAGAGCGCCGTCTATCCGCTCGCCTACAAGACCAACGAGAATTTGCTTGTCTGCGCTCCTACTGGTGCAGGTAAGACTGATGTAGCCATGTTGACCGTCATGCGCGCTATCAGTCAGTACGCTCGTAACCTCGAGCCCACAGCCGGGAACGCTGCCGCCGGATTCGACATTCAGAAGAACGACTTCAAGATCATCTATGTCGCTCCTATGAAGGCGCTGGCCGCCGAGATCGTGCGCAAATTCAGCAAGCGTCTTCAGTACCTCGGCATCAAGGTCCGCGAACTTACGGGTGATATGCAAATGACGCGACAGGAGATCGCCGAGACGCAGATGATCGTCACGACCCCCGAAAAGTGGGACGTCGTGACTCGCAAGCCGACAGGTGAAGGCGAGCTCGCCACCAAGGTGAGGCTGCTCATCATCGATGAAGTGCATCTTCTGCACGACGAACGTGGATCGGTCATCGAGACCATCGTTGCGCGAACTCTGCGGCTGGTCGAATCGAGCCAGTCGCTCATCCGTATCGTCGGACTCTCCGCCACGTTGCCCAACTACGTCGACGTCGCCGACTTTCTCCGAGTCAATCGGTGGCAGGGTCTCTTCTACTTTGACTCGTCCTTCCGCCCCGTTCCGCTCCAGCAGCACTTCATCGGCGTCAAGGGCAAGGTCGGCTCACAGCAATCGCGAGCGAACCTCGACAAGGCATGCTTTGAGAAGGTCAGCGAGCTGGTGCAGGCTGGTCACCAGGTCATGGTGTTCGTCCACGCGCGCAAAGAGACGGTCAAGACCTCGCAGACACTGCGAGAGATGTTCCGGGACGAAGACATGAGCGACATCATTCGCGACGCCACAGAGGCGAACCCACGCAAGGCCTTCTTCAAGCGAGAGCTGCAGTCGAGTCGCAATCGCGAGATGAAGGAGCTGTTCGACTATGGCTTCGGCATCCATCACGCTGGAATGCTTCGATCGGATCGTACGCTGAGCGAGCGCATGTTCGAAGCTGGTGTCACGCGCGTGCTCTGCTGTACCGCTACGCTCGCTTGGGGTGTCAACTTGCCCGCGTACGCCGTTGTGATCAAAGGCACGGACGTCTACGACTCGTCGGCGGGCAAGTTCGTCGACCTGTCGATTCTCGACGTGCTGCAGATCTTTGGTCGTGCCGGTCGTCCCCAGTACGAGGATCTCGGTGTGGGCTACATCCTCACCTCGCAAGACCGCCTCTCGCACTACGTCGATGCCATCACCTCGCAGCATCCCATCGAGTCCAAATTCATTGGTGGCATGATCGATTCGCTCAACGCCGAGATCTCGCTCGGCACCGTCGCCAGCATTCGAGACGGTGTGTCCTGGCTCGGCTACACCTACCTCTTCACGCGTATGAAGCGCACGCCGCTCACCTATGGCATGACACACGATGAGGTCGCCGACGACCCGCATCTGGGCGCAAAACGTCAGCAGCTCGTCAACGTAGGCGTCAAGAAGCTCGTCGAGGCCAAGATGGTCGAGCACGACCCCGTCACTGATCACCTCAAGGTGACCGATCTCGGTCGAATCGCCGCCAAATACTATATCGGCTACAAGACCATCGAGACGTTCAACGAGCGCATGCATAGCAACATGAGCGAGGCCGATGTGCTTGGCCTGCTCAGCCAAGCCGCCGACTTTGAACAGATCGTGCCCCGCGACGCCGAGGAGAAGGAGCTCAAGAAGATGCTCGAAGCGGCGCCCTGCGAAGTCTCGGGAGGCATCGTGACCTCGCCGGGCAAAGTCAACATTCTGCTGCAGGCGTACATCTCGCGAACCTACATCGAAGACTTTGCCCTCGTCTCGGACTCGGCTTACGTGGCTCAGAATGGCGGACGTATCATTCGCTCTCTGCTGGAGATTGCGCTCAGTCGTCGTTGGGCCCGCACCGCGTCTGCTCTCATTTCGATGAGCAAGGCTCTCGAGAAACGCATGTGGCCGTTCGATCATCCATTGCAACAATCGCATCTAAATCCGGACACACTCTATGCTGTCACGGAGCGTGCAGACGATGTTGAGATCGAAGAGCTTGCGGAAATGGCGCCGGCGGAGATTGCCAAGCTCATCCGCGTCAACGCTCGCATGGGACAGGCGGTCAAGCAAGCAGCTCGTAGCTTCCCCCGTATATCGACCTCAGCCTCGCTGCGTCCGCTCAGCCACGACCTTCTGCGCATCGATGTCGTCGTCGACCGCACCTTCGAATGGAGCGAGCGAGATCTCGGACGGCTCCACGGCTTTTACATTTGGATCGAGGATGAAGAGGGATCCGAGATCCTTCAATGGGTCACGCATCTCACGCGAGTCAGCGACTCCCATCTGTCCAACGTGACCTTTACCGTCCCGCTCCGAGACGAGCTGCCGTCCGGCCTCAATCTGCGGTGGATGTCCGAGAGCTGGCTTGGCAGTGAAGGCACCGAGTGGATTTCCTTCGATGATCTTGTCGTTCCTGACAAGCCACCGGCTCACGACTCGCTCCTCGACCTTCCGTTGCTGCCCGTCCGCTCTGCACTTCAAGACGAGCTGCTTTGCGAAATGTACGCGCAAAAGTTCAGCGCCTTCAACGCGCTCCAAACACAGAGTTTCCACACGCTCATGCACACATCGGCCAATACTGTCCTCTGCGGACCGACCGCCTCGGGCAAATCTACCGTCGCGACCATGGCTGTGTGGAGAGCCTTGCAGCGGGGCGACCGGAAGTGCATCGTCATCGTCCACAACAAGCGAGACTCGCTAGCTTCAGCTATGAGGAGCACCATGGTGGCAGCACTCAAGCAAAAGGGCATCGAGGTGAAGCGCAGCTCGCTGTCGAAAGAGGTGCTGCCTTTCGTCTGCAACGACGGAGCTGGAGCACGCGTGCTCGTCACGACTGCCACTTCGCTGCTGCGAGCTATGGAGGCACGAAATGACCTGGTCGATCACGTGTCGTTGCTTCTTGCGGAAGACATCCACCTGCTGGATCCCGGATATGAGTTGATGCTGTCCAAATTTATGTGGTGCTCGGCGCGATGGAACGCGAATGACACACCAAACACTGTGGCAGCACCCCGCATCGTTGCGACCAGCGCCAGTCTCAACGACGTCAGCTCCCTCTCGCAGTGGATCGGAGCGGACGAGTTCTCCACCTACAACTTTCACCCGAAGGACCGTCCCTCGATCCTCAACACGGGTTTCCAGGCCTTCGACCTGCCCCATTCCAGCGGCCTGCTCAAAACGATGGTCAAGCCTGCCTTTGACAAGATGAAAGAGACCCGAGCCAACGGTCCTGCGATCGTCGTCGTGCCTTCCATATGGCAGTGCTTTACGACCGCCTCGGACCTCATCACCAAAGCTGCCGCCGAGCTCGACACAGACGGCTTCCTGGGCTTGCCGTCCGAGGAGATTGAGTCCATCTTGCCGCACATCCTCGACACGTCCCTACATGAGGCGTTGGTGCACGGTATCGGTATCGTGCACGAAAAGACTTCCCCTCAAGACCGAACCGTCATCGAGCATCTTTACGAGCAGGGGCTTGTCAAGCTCATCATCATCACGCGCGAATGCCTCTGGAGCACGACGCTTCGTGCGGCGCTGGTCATCGTGATGAGTACGCAGTATGTGCGCATCACCAAGACGCATGGTACGGGCGTGTCCGATCGCGAGCTGGTGGACTATACGCTTGCCGAACTTGGCCGGGCGCAGAGCCTGGCGGTGCGACCGGGAACGCTGTCCAACCCGAATCCGCCGGGCAAATGCCTGGTCCTCTGCCAGACAGACAAGGCCATCATGCTCGAAAAGATGCTTCAGACGGGTATGCCACTCCACTCCTCCCTACTGCAGGACGAGCACCGTGGTGCGCCCCTCCTGCCCACCGTGCTAGGCGAGATCGTCGAGGGCGTCCTGACCAGCGAAGAACAAGTGATCGACTTGCTCAGCTGGACCATCCTTCCGTCGGAGCTGATGCGCAACCCTACCTACTACGACTGTGCCGCGAACTCCACCGAGTCTGTCGCAGCTCGTCTTACTCAGGTGGGCATTGACCTCGTGCAGACCCTGCGCGACCTTCGCCTGATCGACAAGACAGGTCTCAAGGCGACCGATCTCGGCCGGGCGCTGCACGTGCAGCCGGGTTCGACGCTGCTTCACGTCGTGCGCTGGTTCACCAACCTCAGCAGCAAGCCGAACCGTGCGGCCAAGGAGATGGACACCTTTGCGCCGAGCCCGCGCAATCGCAGGGACAAGGAGGTCGTCGAAGACACCGCAGTGCGGGAAGTCATCGAGGCGACATTGATCCAGCTGCCGGTGGAGTGGCGGAGCGCCTTCCGCCTGTCCGCATCGACGGCCGCGTCCAACGAGGGTGAAGCGGCAGAGGGTGACGTAAGGGAGGGAGAGGGGGAGAAGAAGGACATCACACACGGAACGAAGCATCGTCTGCTGTTGTGTTTGTACTTTGCCAAGATGGAGCTCATCACGCCAGCTACGGCGAGGGTGCTAGGCATGAGTCGACGCGCGAGGAAGCGGCTCCAGCACGAGCAGGAGCAGGGTCAGAATGAGGGAGGAGAAGCGAATGGTGATGCACCGCACGGTGATGAAGAGGAAGCGACGGACGCAGCGCATGGGAAGGCGATCGAGAAGCTGGAGCAGGAGCAGGCGGCAGAGGTGCTCGCCCTGCTCAGCTCGATCAGCAGCGTCGGCGGTCGCAACTAGTACCGTCACAATCTTGCATATCCTAGCTCCCATTGCTCATGCTGCCTGTGCATCCAGTGTCACCCAGAGCGATCCGAAGAAACGACACAATCACCACCCAGCGAGGCCTGAGATGTGTGGGACTGCACGGTAGGCGGCACGCTCAAAGCCGAATAGCCGGAGAGCCTCGTTTTTTAACCGCGAAAGTCGCCGAAAACCGCTCTTCGCCACGTCCGGCTGCAAGTCTTCCATTGGTCGCACAGACGCCGAAACCTTGAGTCACGCCCACATGGAGCAAACACAACCATAACCTTGTCCCCTCCATTACCTGCTCAGGGTATTCAAAACCATACCCACTAGCCGCACCATGTCTTCAGACGCACCTAGACCCGAGATCCTGTGCATCGGCTTCGGCGCGTTGGGCACGATCTACTCGTACCTCCTTGCCCAGGGTGGGGCCTCTATCACTGCCGTCGCTCGATCCAACTACACCACCCTCACCACAACAGGCATCCACATCGACTCGCTCAAATACGGCTCCATTCCCTCTTGGAAGCCCACTCGGTGTGTTCGCGAGTCCGACCCCGAAGCAGCGACCGATCGGGTGTACGACTACGTCGTGTGCACCTTCAAAAACGTGCCGGATCACAAGAGTGCTAGTTCGATCATCCGGCCTTTTCTCCGCAAAGACGGAAAGGGACCGACGATTGTGCTGCTCCAAAACGGCGTGGGGATTGAGGAGGAGGTGCAGCGCAGCTTGGTGGAGGAGGAGGGGTTGGCGAGGGGGGTGATCAGTGCGGTTGCGTGGATCGGGGCGAACCTTGTGGATGGTGGAACGCGCGTTACGCATGGTGCGCTGGAACGGCTCGAGTTCGGCTCCTACTCCCCGTCCGGTCAGACTGAGGAGGACAAGACCGCACTGGACCGGTTTGCTCAGATTTACACCTCGGGTGGGGGAGGAGGTCGAGCAGTGGACGATATCGAAGCGATTCGATGGCAAAAGATTCTCTGGAACGCCTCGTGGGGTGGACTCTCGACGCTAGCCCGTCAACCCGTCGCCGCACTCCTCACCCCGGACACGCTGCACTATAGTGTAGGCGTGGTGAGACGGATCATGCTCGAGATTCTTTATGTCGCCCGTGCTTGCGGGATCGGCGAGGATCGCTTCCCCGCAAGCTCCGTGGATCAGGCGGTGAATATCACGCTCAAGACGAGTCAGATTCAGGGCGTAGGCGATGGCGTCAAAGGAGGAAATCTGGCTGCGGATTTCAAACCGAGTATCCTGTTGGATCTGGAGAATGGACGGCCGATGGAGTTGGAGCCGATTGTGGGGAACGTGGTGAGGATGGCTAGGAGGACAGGGGTCGATACGCCAAGACTGGATTTGATTCTGGCGAGTTTGAAGCCGAGTCAGGTGCAGGCGATCGAGAGGGCTGGTGGTGGGGGTGAGGGGAAGGGGGTGGGCGTGACCAAGTACGAGCAGTTGAGCGCCACCAGTCGGGGGAACTGGCCAGCGGGTGCGCCGGTGTCCAAGGATTCCAGGACGTACTTGTGACGAGATTTTCTTACGAAGAGAGGAGCTCGCGAGGCTGAAGCGTGTTGGAAGGAAGCTAGGACATCCACGCTCGCACTCATACTGCCCATGTAGAGACGTCTGGCACAGTTCTGCATCGCACAAACCACACCCATATCAAAAAGGAACTGTCCGTTGCAATATCATCTAATGAAACATCCCCCACAGGAACACCAAGAACACCACACCACTGAATCCTGCCAAGGCCATCACCTTTGCATTCTTCCACCACATCTGCCTGCGCAGTCCGACCGCCCTTCTGCGGAAAGCCATGCTCTGATTCGCCGCGTTGTCCGTGCGGTCCATGAGCAGCTCGATGCGTTCGCCGCGGCTGAGGATCTGTTCTACGTTCTGCGTCATGATGTCCTTTGCACCCGCCAGCTCGTGCTTCGCTTGCGCAATGGGGTCGATCGCTGAGGGGTCGGCGTTGAATTGCTTGACCAGGGTGCTGAGCGTGGATGTGAGGGAAGAGTAGTCGGTCGATGTGGCGGATTCATCCGTTTCTGGCAGCTCAAACGTCGATAGGAACTGTCAAGGTATCACGATCAGGTCGGGTCAGTCAAGTCGACTCAAGAATGCAAATATGGTAATGTATGGCAACTCACCTTCTTCTGCACGTGCGCCAAGAAAGAGAATGGTATCCTCCTCCCCGTGTCTGTGTCTGCTACCGCCATGTACACCATGCCATCCTGCGCGACATAGTGGAAGAGCCAGTCCTCGAAAGCATACGACAGCTTGGAGGATGTCGGCGGGATACGGGAGAGAATCGTCTGCGCAGCGGGCAGGAATCGGTCGTGCGCGGGATCGTGCGTCTCGGCGAGGATGTGCGAGCCCTTTGCGACTAGGGCAAGGACGATCATGGTTGTGGTTCCGGTCGGTCTTGCTGAGGAGATGATGTGACCAGGTGGATGTCTAGACTATGTATCAGCTCTCTGTATAGCGGCGATGTCTTGAGCAGGAGTCTAGGAGATGCGGTCTGGATCAAGGGACGAGTGTGATGGTGAGACGATGGGACACAGGATGCAGGGTTGACCGTGCAGGCCAACTTTGTTTGCTGAGCTTGATCGTCATGCAGCTCACCCGCGCTCAAGCTCAGCCAGATTTTTGGTTCTAGGATGTTTGATCGAAAGATCTCCCGTTGTGCGATTTCACGAGTGCGTTTTTACCCGGTGGATGTGGGGTAAAGACGCTTTAGCCGCTCCGGTGATATGGTCTTCCGAGTCTGCCGGACGGGCACAGCATGGGCCTCTCACACATGCCTCTGTCCTCCTAGTCCGTCGTTCGCGCATCTGGTTCACCATCATCACCGTCCCGAGCAAAAGCAAAGATGACGACGCCAACCGCGACCACCGCTCAGCCCCTGGTCTGGTCCCCCACCCCGGACGAGATCCAACAGACCTCGCTCGACAAGTTTCGCCGTCTCGTCAACGCCCGCTTCCAGCTCAACCTCACCACCTACCACGAGCTGCACGACTTCTCCATCAGCCGCCTCGAAGACTTTTGGGCCACCGTATGGGACTTTGCAGGAATCAGAGCCTCGGCTCGATTCGACAAGGTGCTGTCCGACCCGAATGCTCTGCCCGGTGACCTGCCGACGTGGTTTCCGGGTGCCTCGTTCAGCATGGCGCAGAACATCCTCTTCCCGCTGCATCCAGCCAACACGACCTTTTGCTCGCCGAAAGCGCCGTACCACTGGCCACCTGCTCAGGCGGTGGCGCTGATCGAGGTGCCAGAGGGTGGAGGACTCGCTGATTCCGATGCCAATGCGCAGGCCGTCAAAGTGACGTGGGGAGAGTTGAGGCGGCGAGTGGCGCTTCTTGCGGAGACCTTTAGACGCATTGGAGTTAAGAAGGGTGACCGACTGGCACACGTGTCCGCCAACACGACCTCGCCGGTCGTCGCAACGCTCGCAGCCAACAGCGTGGGCGCCATCTACTCGCTTATCGCTACAGACGCCGGACCGCAAGCCATCTACGGCCGCCTCGCGCAGATCCGCCCCAAGCTGCTGTTCACCGACGACGCGGTGGTATACAACGGCAAGCAGGTCGACATCCTCCCGCGCGTCGCGGATGTCGCAGAACGCCTCCTGGCGGACGACAAGATCGATTCGCCGCTCCAATTCCAGGTCGTCATCATCCGCAACGCTCGTCTGCCCTCCGTCTCTCCGGCATGGTCTTCGAGCAAGGTGCGCGGGCTGGAGATGGACGCATTCATCCGCCAGACCGGGCTGCAGCCGACCGATTCGCCCGCGCACAAATTCGAGCAGCTCGAAGCGCAGCATCCCGTCCAAATCTTTTTCTCCAGTGGAACCACCGGCGAGCCCAAATGCATCATCCACACGCAATGCATGCTGCTCAACATGAAGAAGGAGGCGCTGCTCATGTTGGATTTGAAGCCCAGTGATAGGTTCCTGCAGATTACCTCGTGTGGGTGGATCATGTGGGTGTATCACCTCGTGGCCTTGTCGATGGGCAGCACGGCTGTTCTCTACGATGGGTCACCCATGTTCCCCAATCCAGGACACGTTGTGAAGGTCGTCTCGCACCTGCAGTGTTCCGGGTACGGTGCCAGTCCGCGCTTCCTTAGCGAGCTCGAAAAGTGGTCCTCCGAAACCAACTTCAGCATCGGCAAGCAATTGGACCTGGCCAAGTTCCGCATGATGACGAGCACAGGTTCGCCACTGTCGCCCAAGAACGTCGACTTCTTCTACCGCAGCTTCCCGAACCGCGCCCACTTGTGCAGCATCTCGGGCGGCACAGATATGGCGGGTGTGCTGGTGGGCCCGAGCAAGCTCTTGCCTCTGTACGGCAACTTTATCCAGTGCAAGATGCTTGGCTTCGACATTCAGGTGTGGGACGCCGAGTCCGGCGAGCGAATCGACGACAGTGGTCGACCAGGCGAACTCATCGTCGCCAAACCCTTTCCCACTCAGCCCACGGGCTTCTTTGGTCCGCCCGAACAGAAGCAGGCGCTGTACGAAAAGTATCAGGATTCGTACTACAGTCGCTTCCCCGGCCGCAAGGTGTGGGCGCAAGGCGATTTCATCTACCAAGACCCGGCGACCAAGGGGCTCGAGATCCTCGGTCGCTCCGACGGCGTTCTCAACCCGTCCGGTGTTCGCTTCGGCAGCAGCGAGATCTACAGCGTCGTGGAGAAGTTCGAGTTTGTTGGCGACTCGATCGTTGTTGGTCAACGCCGACCGGGTGTTGACGAGCACGAACGTGTGCTGCTGTTCATCAAGATGCGCGATCCGTCTGTCAAGCTGGCTGCGAGCCACGTGGATCAGTTGAATAAGGCCATCAAGACGGCCTACTCGGCAAGACACGTGCCGGAACACACGTTCCAGGTGCAGGACATTCCCGTGACGCTCAATGGCAAGAAGACCGAGCTGGCAGTCAAGGCGGTCGTCAACGGGCAGAAGGACTTCAAGCCTTCCAGTGCCACGGCCAACCCTCAGAGTTTGCAAGAATATGCACATTATGCAGAGCTCGAGAAGGTCGTCGCCAACCGAGCGAAGACTGCTAGAGGGGCCAAGCTGTAGTTTGGACCCGCATTCGACTCATCACAGTGGTGCAATCGTGGAAGTGTAGAATGAAGATGTACAAGGACCAACATTGCGTGGTGAAATGCATCCTCGGATTTGATCCGATCGATGATGCAGTGCTCGGTGAGCTTGAGCATCTTCGGAGCTCATTTCCAGTAGCATGACCAATCCAGACGACGGATGACGACGATGCGTGTCGCGCGAGAGTCTACAGTAAGCAGACGAGACCAAAGGTAAGCAAGGCGAGAGCTGAGCGGGCAGATCCATCTCCGTTCCCGCTCACTGCCGACCAGTGCGTGGATTTTTCTCAAAGCTTTGTGTGTGCGCGTCGAGTCATCCGCTTGAGCCCAACCTTATCTGCCTATCACATGACTGCATCACCAGCTCCGACCCGCGTGTGCAAGTTGAGGGACCACAGAGGCCGCATCGCTGCCGCAAAAGGCAACTACCAGTAAGACGAGAGGCACAGCAAAACATATTACACGGAGTGAGGCGGACTTCTTCGTGACATCGAGTTGACCGACACAAACGCAGCCACAAATTGGGTTTGGCCCGCTCGGACTGCCTGATGAGGAAAGAGGTCGGAAAGAGCGAGGCTGACTGTCAAGTGACGGGGTTCGGACAACCTTATCGTTCGGTACAGCAGCTCGCTTGCGGTGTATGACCGGATACGGGAAGGAGAACAATCTGAAAGTGCTACGGGCATGCATGTGTGCAGCCAACAAACACGATGTCGATCTGGACCACCTCCTTTCTCGCGATCGAAGACCAAAATGGCGGATAGGCGTGGGGGCATTCGTGGGATGAGGCCTGACCGAGGTGACCGAATTTGAGATTCCTGCGACCGTGTACCACCCAAAAGGGGGGGAGATCAGGAACGAGATTCACACGGTGGCAGCCTGAAAAACATGCAACCGCGACACAGGCTTTTGCGGAGCATCAACGTGTCAAGTCAGCTGCTCAACGAGCGCGAACTGAGAAGAGGAAAAAAGAAGCGGAGGCTGAAGTCACTTACAGCACGCTGCGTGAGAAGAGGGAAAGAGTAGGCGTAAAGAGCGGCCCTTGAAGTATAGACGAGTCGTCCCGACGCTAGCGTTTGAAGGATTGAACAGCCGTGATTTGGCATGGAGATCGGCAGAGCGCAGCTCTAAACAAAGCTCGAGATTGATGCGTGATTGCGGGCCAAAACTTTAATTGAGCGGGCCAAGCATGTGATGGGATTTGCCCGAGTGTCATCAGGTGCTGCTGCTGCTGCTGCCAACTCGGGTCGGAATTGATAGGCTGCCGTTCCGCGAAGCAAGCCATGGTGAGCCAGAGTTGGAACCCAGCCGATACGAACAGGCTGAGGTTGAAAAGGCATGCAGGAGCTGAATAGGATCAGGACTCCAGTGTAGTCATCCTGCCTTAAAGTTTGAGCGTGACTACACCCGAAACCGTTCGGATTGAACGCCAAGCATGAAAGCGGCATAGTTGTGGCCCGACGGCAAGCCACTTGCGCAAGACGAAGACAGCATATGCAGCTGAGTTCGATATTTGAGCTCTAAAGTGATACACGAGTTAGCGGCGGCTTTCATGCTGGCCACGCAAACACATACTCTCTTGCTCTCGCAGCTAGACCAATCCCGAACTAGAGGAAAGTGCACCATTCCTAGACCCCCAGCAGTATCCGGAAGAGCAGCCGGAGGCTATGCAGGCTTTTAAAGCTCTGTACGACCGCTTTCGGTGGGCGTAGCCACCTAAAGTTATGCGACTCGGCCAAGCTAGCTGCTACGCCCTTGCTTGCTGACTGTCTTCGGAAACGCCAGACAGAAGATTGCCGACAACCGACCGCTTAAGTGCGGAATTTTTGCACCGCAGCCGAGCCACAGTTTCTTCGCATGTCGACTCTTATAAAAAATGATTACAACCAAACATGCGCGTATTTCAACCAGATGAACACCCTGCATGAACGCTGTATTCTGACAAACGTCACTCGATGTGGACGTCCGGATCATGGCCTGCATGGTGTACCACAGTTTTGCGTCTGCCTGATGGTTTCGCTGCTTTTTGAGCCTGCGATCGTCGCCCCGCTTTTGCTTTGCTCATGGACCTCACTGTTGCTCTCTCGCGCGCCGTAGGTCAAGCAATGTTGGTCTCGCATTCACTGTTGGAGCCGCCAGCACTCTGCGGCATACTGCTGAGCAGGCCCAGTTGGCAAGGAGGGGCCTGCCCCTGGAGACGCTTTTCTTGGTAAAACTCAAGCAGACCCTGAGACCCTGACTGAAGTTTTATGGTACAGGCACACTCAAGTTTGCTCACGATGCGATAAGCCTTTCACCATCACGGCTGCGTCTCCCTGTTTGTCGTCCGTCATCAGTCATGATCAGCACGAGGGCCTGATCCTTGCTGCTGCGTTGAGCGCCATTGCTTTGGAATGACACTGTCCGTATTGTGCAAAGGCCCTGGCCTTCGTCCAGGTGATGGGACAATTGTCAAAGTACCACAACCAAAGCCCGGTGCATTGATTGCTGCGGTAGCGGAACTGACCGTCACGATTACGCTCAGGTCAACATGCGGGTTGATCACTGCTGGGTGCGCGATTCACTTCGATGCAGGTTAGCGCGTGGTTGCTAGGATACGGCGCAAACGGGACGGCAGCCCGGGTTCGTTCCCCAGTCACCGGCAGTAGCGAGGCTCTCAATTCAAGCCAAGCCACATTCCGCTTGTTCGGTGGTGAGATAGAGCTTTCCATGGTGGCTGCTTGCTCAAGGCAAGCAAGAGTGCGGTTCCACCATCCTTGAGGCGACACGAGGTGTTCACCGCGATCTTCGCGGTGGGCAGGGAAAGCGAGAACAATGATGAGCGTACAGTATGGCGAATCCTTTGTCAGGCCTCCTCGGGGTCCGGGCTGAGCTCAAGAGGTCAGTCAGGCTCCGGCTTCACCTGAGCAGTTATGACGAGCGGGCATGGCACAGCCGTGTCTCCAGCGCTGTTTTCAGATCTTGAGGTGCATACAGTATTCCGCCGTCATTTTTCTTTAAAAACAAAACAAAAAGATCTCGGCAGCGGCGATTTCTCTCGCTCAAAGCCTGGCGGGGCTGTCACTCTGTGCACCTGTTTCATGTGCTGCGTGACTGAGCGTAGGCACTTTGCCTTGCACGACCCTCTTGGCACGTCGATGCCCAGGTCAGGCTTGTTCCACCAAACTGGCACCGTGGCTCCTGCAGGCGCGCTTTTCTTTCCGCCTGCGGTTTGTCCTCTGTTGCCCTTCTCCTCCACGCCCATATCACAGCACCACTTTTGCGGCTGAGTCGCACAACAATTCCAGCAGCGCGTATGACACTGCCTCCTTCTTCAACATCACCTATCTCCAGCCAACCTCACCACCACCATCAGCCCACCTCATTCCGGCATTTGCTTTCCTCCTCGCGAGTGCCATCCCACTCTCATCCGACTGACTGGTAACGGCCTTCTTTCTGGCTCTCAGTCTGGTCGATCAATCTACCAAGCACCGTCTCGTCCCATCATTCTGCACCACCAACCTCACTTCAGCCGAACCTCTCCTGATCGCAGCACCTTGACAAACCTCCTTGCACACATGCTCTCCACGTAATCATCGACTCTCTCATCTTCTCCGGAAGCCACTTCAATCACAATGCCAAACACCCTTCCCGCCGCAAGGGTCGTCGGCCACGACTTCCTTGGCAACCACATCGGCGAGCTTCTCTTCCGCCAGCCCGTCGCTAGGACTGCTCCCTCAGACCGAACCAAGGGCTCGTCCGGTGGCAGCACCATTTGCGCCTCGGACAGCAACACCATCCGACGCGGCTCAATCATCTCCCAGCCAGGTCTTGCGCCCGTCAAGGATGATTCACCCTCTGCCATCGATCATCTCTTCAGCGCTGGCATGACGACGCCACTCGGTCCCTCCGCCGATCCAATCGCCTCTCTCGACCACAGCAGCGAGAGCTCGTCGTCCGAGCCCAGCTCTTCTGACAGTAGGTCGGGCAGCGCCGACGTCGACATAGACATTCTCCACCTCGACCAGCTCCCCGTGTCTCACAAGCGATTCTCATCAGCGGGTGGACCGCTGTCACCACGGGTCAGCTTTGTTACTAGCTTTGGTGCTAAGCAGCGCGGCTCGGGCAGCAGACGTGCGCCATCCGAGAACGGCTCCTCCAGCTACTTTGGCTTGAGCAGCGACGTGAGCTCCATGGCCAGCATGTCGCCCATGGAACCTGCACCCGGAGCCATCAATTGGAACATGCCTTTCCGCGATCCACATCAATCATTTGCCAGAGCCATCGAGCAAAACACTAAACTCGACCGCAACCTCTCTCAGCAGAGCGAGGCGTCCGATGCCGCTACATCGTCACAGGCCAAGACAATCGACTCTGCGTCGGCCCCATACCAAGAGCTTGCTACGCCTACGACCACTGCGGGCGCCCCTGTGGTCAGTGGCAAGAGCCAGTCTTTCTCTGTTGCCGAAACCTGTCAGCCCGTCCGCCAACGCCTCATGCGAGCAGCTACCGAGTCGACGTTGGACCCCATTGGGCAGAAGCAACGATCACCGAGACCGCTGGATTCTCCATCCAACAGTTCAGGCTCGAGCTTGACGCACTCACGGAGCATGGGAGCGCGCGGACACCGCAAGCAGCCATCCTTGGTGCCAAAAGGAGACGACGATCGCACGTTCTGCTTCGTCGACAACGCCTCGAGCGGGGCCGAAGAGGATGATACTGTTGCTGAAGGGCCCGAGATGGTGCCGGATGCCACACTGACGTCGGTTCCGATGCGCTCTGCATCGCAGTCGTCCTCGCAGTCATCCTCGCAATCGTCCTTCAAGGAGGTCACTGATCAGCAATACAGCGCGCATCGACGCAATAGCGTGCAGATCTGCCCTTCTCCTGCGGCCACCTCGGCTGCAGCACCCAGCATCGCACCCGCGGCAGCAGCCACGCTTCAGGACACCAGCAGCACCTTTACACTCACTCAGGCGGTCGTCCGCGACCAATATACCCGACAGATGTCTGTCTTCCCTCTCAAGCCACCCTCCTCCGCCGGCCAGAACGGTGCCTCTCGACCCTTGCGACGTCTTCGCATCCAGCCCAACGTCCAATCGCGCCAAAGCATGCTGGAGCGCACCATGGACCAGCAGCGCAAGGCGAGCGTCGCCGCGCTTGCCGCCAACGCCAACGGTCTTCCCCTCGAATCCGCCGCGCCCATACCGGAGGTGCCCTCACAGACTGCGGCCGCCAAGCCGAGCGAGCGTTACGATACCACCGCGTACGGTGCTGACCAGCGCACGTTCCGCATCCAATCCTCAGCACCGAGTGGCGATTTCCCCTTCGCCGTGATCTCGGATGACGGCGTGAAGGCGGGCGAGCGAGTGGAGCCCGCTAGTCATGCACGAACGAGCGACTGGGCACGCGCACAGAGCCTGTTGGCCAGCTCCGAATCGAGTAGTCTTGCAGTCGACGAGACGGAGTTCCGCCCGACATCTCAACCGTTGCTGAGGCTCCACACGGTCAGCCACAGCTCCACTACTGCCTCGACGGAGACGCCCAGCATCATGGACACGCGCGAACCTCTCAGCCCGCCCGAAACCGTCATCTCCACGCCTGAACTTGAATCCCCGCCCACGTCGGCCACCCTCAAGGCACAGGACGAGGACGTCTTTGGCGTCCGCCCGCGTCGCTCTTCGCCCCTCGCTACTTAACCGCTTTCCCCCCGGAACACTTTCTCTTTTCTCTATCTCGCTATCTCATTGGGTTTCACACATCTCTCTCTCTTCTCGCAAGGTCTATCGTCATGGGAACTCGTTATACACGCGCTGCATCTTCCTACATCTCGTCTTTGTCTCTTGGGGTTCCTCATCTGTCAGGGTTTTTTCTTTGTTCAATTCTCAATCGCATGTGTCAAATTCAGTCCAGACGTGTGTGTGTGTGCTTTGTGAAGGATGCGATTGGTGGTGGGATTACAGGAGCCAGATGGCGTGACTTGCTCCTTGCGCCTCGCCGCTGGAGAGCGGGGGTAGTTGGGTTGTCGCCTCGATCTTGAATACAACCCCCTCCAGGTCGAAGGAGACGACGTCTACCCATCCCTCCTCATCATCTGTCAACACCATCAAATCCTGCCCTTCAGGCGAGTGCGGGCTGACCTCAATAGCGTTTGCCTTACCACCGCTCGTGCGCGTCCCCAACCTGGCCACCTCATCCAACCGCACCTTCAACCCTTCTCCCTCTTCCGCGATGGCCAGTCTATATGCGACCAAGATTCCCTTAAAAGCAGAAGTCTTGCCTCTCGTCGTAGCGTAGACGTACCGCAAATCGGACGAGAAGCGCAGCGTGTCACCTCTCCAATTGGCCCGACCCTGGCTCGCTTGGGTGGTCGTCAACATGTCCGCCTCCCCAACGTGCCTCACTCCTTGGACAGACGAAGAGGTGTAGGGAGGAACCTGATACGCATCCACGTAATTCGAATGCTCCGTGACGGTCAGCACGAGCGGGAACTGTGGATGAGGAATCACGTGTCTCGGTCCATCGCCCTCCCTCTTCGACGGAATCGTATACAGATGTTCCAACTGCGGAAAGCGATAGGCCTGAATAGCGTTCGCACCGAGATCGGCGACGAAGGCCACTTGCCCACTTTCCGATGAAGGGGAGCAATCGAAGCTGTGCGCGCCGTATCGCAGCGCCTTTCTCGTCTTATCCGCGTGCTCAAGCTCCCGTTCGCCACCGGGGAGGAAGATGAGTTCTTTCACTTTGACCCCAATTCGCCCCGTCGCGGGGTCGAGCGTGTGAAGTTCGCCAGTGGGACCACCTGCCGAGGCCAACCAGCGACTTATGCCGGGTTGACCGCCGAACCCCGGACCCGTGAGAGTCGAGAAGGGAGGCGGTTGGACGTGTACGTAGCTCCCCGTGGCCGTGATGGTGCGTTCGTTGCCAAAGGATAACGAGTGGTCGGGGGTGACGTGCCAGCTGGTCAACGTGGAAACAGCCGCCCAGGTCGTCGCGTATACGCTTTGATGACCAGTGGAAGAAACGCCCAGCGCGAGGTACTGGTGCGGCCCTTGCGCCGGAATTGTGTGCGTGAGCGAGAGGGTCGAGGTGAGCGTGTCGTAGGCTAGCACGTGAAGATCGGGCGAGTTGAATGTGCCGGTTACGATGTGCGTGTGGCGCGGGCACTGCGTGGACTGCGGTCGGGTGGGGATGAAGGTGGATGAGGGGGCAGGACGCGTCGTGGTGGGATCGTGCGTTGCGAATGTGGACGGCGGCTGTGGGAGCGTCAAGTCGAGATGAGAAGGGTGCAGAGGGTTGTCAGTTGTCGCTCATCACATTCGTGAAAGCTGAGAGAGGGATGTGGTGGTGGTGATTGCCTGTCTAGATTACAGCATGCCGTGCCATCGTTAGTACTCCTCCTCCTCGTCGTCATCGTCGTCGTCCATATCAATCTCCTCCTCCAGATCGTCTTCGGTTTGCGCCTCCCATCCGTCTTGCTCTTCGTCCTCCTCATTCTCATCTTCATGCTCATCCTCATCGTCGTCGTCATCATCATCATCGTCATCATCATCCTCATCATCCTCCACCTCCACAACCTCATCAGGGCCGACAAATCTGACACTCACAATGCCACTTGCAAACGTATACCCAACCAGCCCGACGAGCGCCGAGCAGATCCACAGCGCACGGCCCCATCGCAGTCTCCTGTCTTCAGGAGACGTCGCTGGGTTCTGCGCTTTTCTCTGTCGCTCTCGCGGTGCTGTTGTCGCGAATTCTGCTGTTGGTTTGGGTGCGAAACTTGCCTTGTTCGAAGCGGGCGTGAAAGGCCAGATGTACGAGAGGAGGCCGGACGAGCTTGCAGCGTCCATCGAGGGTGGATTGGCGAGAGCCTGGGTGGGTGAGATCCAACTTGGTGTCTCCGGAAAGAGCTTCTCCTTTGTGCTCGTCAGGTACGCTGCCAGTCGCGGGTAGGATGCGGCGACCAGCCTGGGCAGGGTATCCACCGGCAGCCTCGGTTCGGCGAACAACAACGGTGCGAGGTATCCGAAGACGTGCGCGTCCAGACTGCTCACCTCCTGCCCCCCAAGTCCGCCTGAGGACAGCGCAGATTCGACGACGTCCAGCACCTCACTCCACCGTCTGCCTAGCTTGGACCGCTCAAACTCGTCCCGCACCGCATCCTTTGCCGAAGCCCCGAGCCCGCGCTTTCGTGCTGGCAAACCTGCTCGGGCGGCCAACTCGTCGGTCTCGCCCGTCTTGGCGGACGCCTCCTTGCCGCCGAGCCCCCACAGCCCGACTGCGGTGAGGCGCGTTTCGACCACATTGCGCAGTCGCGACGGGATCGATGGCTGGAAACGCGATGGCAGCGAGGCGAGCTTGGACAGTGCAGAGGAGGAAGGAGAATCGATGCCACCGACGGACGAGTAGGCGGGAGCAGTGGCGGTGCGGAAGTTGGCGGGCAGGCTGAAAAGCGAGTGGAGGGTGAGGTCCAGCAGCTGATCGTCGAGCAGGGCGTGCAGCGCTGTTTGCTTGGCGCGCTCTTCATCGGAGGTGAGGGCTGAGTCGATGCCAGAGGCGACACAGTATGCGCGGATGGAGTCGATGCTGTCCAGCAGCTCTACCGTCTCGTCGTCCTCGTTGAGCACCTGCAGTAGGGGCACACGCGAAAGCGATGTCGACGCGGAGGCGAGCTGTACTTTTACGGTGTCGGTGCGGGCGAATGTGGCCTGCAGAAGGGATGCAGCGTAAAGCGAGGTCGGGTCGAGTGTGGGCACGGAGGACGACGAGCCCCATATGTGAAGTCGAAGCGTCTTGCGATCGTCCATCGCTGGGGCTGCTGAGGTGGAGGCAGCTGCAGACATCGTGAAGGCTTGGAGTGGAGTGATAGTGGTCGGACGGTGTTACGAGATGGTCGCGTCCGTAGTGTCGACTTAGTGTCCGTCCAATTCGCTGAGCTGTCCTGAAGCGACGTTGCTGCTTCTCGAGTGATCCGCCCGGAAGTGTCGGAGAGAGAAGGATGGGTCGAAGCTATGGTGGAAAAACGTATTTCCCTTGCAATAAAAGGCGCACCGTGCGGCAATCACGGGATCTCTCCCGAATCGGGATTGGCAGGAGACACCCCGATCCATTCATTCGAGCCTCGTCCAGACCAGGCTCTCGAGACTTTATGATGGGGAGCTGTGTTGATTGAGATACAAGTACAGATGCAAGCAAAGAGAAAAACACCATCACCGGGACTGGTCGTCGTACAGGGTGTCGACAGTCTGAATCACCGCGCTGCCTAAGCACCACTCTCCGCGCCACAATCCCAGCACCTGACCAGGCGCAACCGCCAGCACTGGCTCGTTGAACTCGACCACGTACCCGCTCTTGCCCCCTTTCGCTTTGCTGACGATGCACTGTGTTTCCGTCTGCCGATGTCGCACTTGCGCTAGCAGCTGCACGCTTCCCGAACCGCCATCTTGAAGTTCTGGTGGCGGCTCTCTCCAGATCCACTCGATGTCTGGCACATGTATGCGTGTGCAGAGGAGCATGGGGTGATCTTTGCCTTGCACCACAACGATCTTGTTGTTGGCAATGTCCTTCCTCGCAACGTAGTATTTGGATGTCGCGCCGCGGATGCGAGCTCCTTGGCCCACTGTCAAGGTGTGTAGCCCCTGGTGAGTGGCAGCCTTGTGACCGCTCTCGTCGACAATGTCTCCTGGCGCAGAGACGATGTATCCGTTGAGAAAGGAGGAGAATCCCTGCGTGTTCGAGATCGCCTTGCCGTCCGACCCACGAGTACCGATGAAGCAGATTCCCATCGACTCTTTCCGCTCTGCAGTCGGCAATGCGAACTTCTTCGCCAGCTCGCGAACCTCACTCTTGAGCAGGTTGGCGAGCGGAAAGTGCGCATGTGCCAAGCGGTCTTCTCCCACCGAGGAGAGGTAGTACGTCTGATCCTTGGTCCGGTCCTTTGCCCGCATCAGAATTGGTCTGGCGTCGTCCGACCAGGCTATATTCGCGTAGTGGCCCGTGGCCAGCCAGCTCTTCCTGCCGCCTACCCTGCTCGTGGTTGGAACTAGACGGTCCATCAGCGCACCGAACTTGATCTCCCTATTGCAGCTCACGTCCGGGTTCGGCGTCGTGCCCTCCCGCCAATCGTCCAGCGCCGGCTCGAAGACTTGCGTCCAGTACTCCTTGCTGAGATCGACCATCTTGACGGGTATGTTGCCGAGGTGGCGACAGACGGCTTGGACATCTTCCCAGTCGCGCTGCCAGGAGCAGCCGGTCGCGCCGCCCGAGCCCGGCTGGTGGTTGCCAGACTCGTCGAGCTCGTTCCAGTTGCGCATGAAGACGGCCTCTAAGTCGAAGTGCGATGCTTGCGCGAGAAGGGCAGCTGTGACGGAGGAGTCGACGCCACCGGAAAGTGCGACCACGACACGATCGCCTTTTTGTGGGCCGTGGGGGACCGATTGCGGGGCAATGCTCACCGTGCTGAAGCGCAGAGCATGCAGAAGACGTTGATGCGGACGGACCGACTGTGAGCGGTGAGAGGGTCGCTCTAGCGAGTGGGTAGAATTGCAGCCTCGAGAAGCAGGATGTGATCTCGCGGTGGTCGACAAAGGTCGGAGTGGCAAAGCAGTCGACGCCGTCAGGCCCGGCAGCCGAACACGCATTGTCGCCATTCTCGTCGCTCGGTCCTTTCTCGTGCTACGAGTTTGATATCAATCTTTCCATCGTATGCTTCTTGTCTGCCCGCTCGCGAGCGCTTGCGTCGTCAGATGATGGATGGTGGCGAGGTCGGAGGAAGGAAGAAACCAAAAGGTGTGACACGCAAAAAATCTTGGGCTTTCTGCCTCCACTTGGCGCACCAAAAAAAGATAGCCGCGGAGGACCCTGTCCAGCATCACGGTCCATCAAGAATCACAAGCTCACCCCAGTCCTGTGGCCAGCACCAGCACTCGGAACACTCGATCGTCAGCGCTAACACACATGACGCTGACGCGGTCCGGCTGGGTATAAGAGACTGCATTGCGGAAGAGCTAGCTAGATTTTGCGAAACTTGCGCTTCTTCTTGGTCTTGACCTGGCTCAGTTCAAAGTCGTCCTCGTCGCTGAACTCGGCATCGCTGTCGGTGGAATACATCTGCGCTTGAGCAGGCGCTCGGGCTGACGTCGACTTAGACCGCTTGTTGTGCGGCTGTGCATAATCACCTTCCCTCGAATCGTAGCCTTCGCTCTCTTGCGCCTCATCATAATAGGGCTCCTGCTCGCTCAGCTCCCTTTCGTCGCGATCGACGTACTCGACCCCGAGACCGCGTAGCAGCGCCCGAGGCGTATGGCTCGTATCCGACATCTGCGTGAACGTCGTCAGATCGCCCGCGTTTGCCTTCTTGGTCTTTCTGCATTGTGCAAAGAACAGATGGACATCGCGCGAACAGATGTTCTCCAACGCATACGTGTTCCCCGAGGGCACCTGGAAGATGCCATGCGGTCCGACGATGAAGCTTTTCCGATGCACCGTGGCACGGATGGCCCCTTGCAGCACGCAGAACACAAAGTTGTTGTCCTGGCTCGGTTTCGTCGGCTTTCGTGATTCTGGGGGAAGGTAGAGGACGCCCGTAGCCATCAGCCCGCCGCAATTGAAGAGCTTTTCGAAGCGGAACTGCTGGTTGGCAGCGGCGACGGGACGCAGCGACGCTTTGGTGCGCACCACATCCATCTCCATCTCCTTGCCTTCGTCCTCGTCGATGACTACGCCCGTTCGACGCGTCTTGCTGTCCCACCCGTCTTCCACCTGGATCGTGTCCGCCGTGGGATCGAGCCCGGACCAGTCGTCTAGTGGGTCCGGCGTCTGCGCCGGGTCGGGTGTTAGGGAATCTAGCCGCGGGGTGCGCTCTTCGCTCTTGCGGTCCACTTTCGATCGCGAGGTGGTGCGCACGCGCGTCGTGCCGGAAAAGGTGCCTTCGCCGGGCGCACGCGGGATGCGGATGACCTCTTTGACGTCGAGGACAGGAACGCGTTTGCGCGTAAACATCATAGATGGGTCGTCTTCGAACTCGTCCTCGCCCGCATGTTGTGAGCCGCGCAGATCTGCTGGCGTGGTGCCGGTGGGGAGACTCGGTCGTCCGTAGCGGATGCGCTCGCCTCGCCAGTACTCGAGCGGTGCGAATCGCTGTCGCGTGCTTCTTCTCACGCCGTTCTCGTCGATGACGGTCGCCTCGCCGGATCGGGAGCGCACTCGTTCCACCACTTCGCCCGCCGCTTTCTTCGATTTGGTTGTCTTTAACTTTGAGCTGCTCGTGGTCTGACGGGCAGCACCATTGCTTGTCGACTTGGACTTTTGAGTGGTTCGTGGTGCTGCTGGGGCGTGATGGGTTGGAGGCTCGACCGACGCGCTCTTTGGCGGTCTGCCGCGCTTCTTCTTCGGCGGCGGTGCTGCTGCAGGAGCAGCAGGTGACGGCGATCGGTAAGGAAGATAGTCGAGTTCGCCGTCGTCATCATCATATCCATACGCGGATTCCGGCTCTTGCTCGAAAGCACGTGGTTTCGATTGTGGAGCTTGTTTGCGCTTCTTTGGTGGCGGTGCTGCTTGCGTCGGTATTGTTTGCTTTGCCTCTGCCCTCTTCTGTGCGGCCGTCGGTCGCTTCGGCGATCTTGGTTTCGACACCGAAGTTGTGGTCGTCGCCTTCAATGGCGGCGGCCGCACCAGTGAGATTTCGTCGTCGTCCAGCAGGCTCATGCCTTGGTCGTCCTCATCGTCGTATGCAGACTCGAGCCGTTGCTGGATGCTAGCCAGAATGTCATCGTCCTCCGAGTCTGAAAGCTCGAGCCTATGTGTTGTGGCTTGTGACTTGCCCTTGCCTTTTGCTTTCGATGATGCCGCTGCTCCCTTTGTCCGAGCTGAGAGACCTCGCTCCGGAATGCTTGGTGTCGGTGGGGCTCGCAAAGTGGCATCCTGTTCTCCATCGTAGTCCTCACCCATGGTCATCAGGTCAAAGCTTCGGGACCCGGTCGACAGGTTCGGCAGATCCAGATCGTCGTCGTCGTCTGCGAGCGTGATGTTTCCGTTCGAGCGCCCTTTACGGTAGGGAGAGCTGCTGGACCCTCCAGCCGCTGACCCTCGAGAAGCGCGCAGCACGGATCTTGGCGAAGGAGCCGAGCTGTCTTGGAGGTCCATCATGACGCTGCTCGATCCTGCTGCTGCGTGGTCTCGCCCTCGAGCACCACTGGAGGACGGTCGAGCGCTGAAGTGCGTCTCGTCATAGCTGTCATAGTCGTCGCCGTAGCTCTCCTCCTCTTGAATCTCGGGTTGATGTTGTCGATGGTCGAGTGCGGCTTCACTCGCCTTGTAAAAGGCTTCGAGGTCCTCGAATCCATCCTGGTCTCGGGCAACCGCGGACAGTCGCAGACCCGTCCGTGATCCCACGCCGGCTTCATGGAAGCGACGAGAAGGTTGTGAGGTCATTGGTTGAGCGAGTGAGTGGTCGCAGGACGCAAGACAGCGGTATCAAGGCTGTGTTTGGGAGGTCTGCCGGAAGACCGGATCGGTGCTGAGTCGAGATACTTTCGTTCAGAACCGCTTCTGATGGTGCTGCCGATGCCGAGATCATCCGTATTGTATGCGCAGCTTCGCCGGTGGGAGGATGGTGCTGGCGTCGAAGACTGGCTCAAGGACCGGTCATCGTTGGCGATGTGATAGGCGATGGAAGTGGATGGAGGTGGGTGAGTATGAAGAGGTACGCGGACGAGCGTCGACTTTGCTTCACTTCAGGCTGAAGCATGTCTTGCGAAGCTTGTTGTGGCTGCAGCTCTGCGACAAATCTGCACTTTTGGGCAAGACGACGCGCCCCTTCGGCAGCAAGGCCCACGCGTTTCAGGGTCCAGCTGAGGCTGATTTTTGAGCTCGATTCTCCGCTGTTAGGTCTAGAGGATACTGGGATAGGCGTGGGGGTCATGAGGCCCGGTTTGAGCACTTGGATGCACGGAGGGAGCTCAATGACATCCATGAAGAGCTAGGAATTTGTGTCGGGTTAAGCAGATCTGCTTCGAAGCGGAGATGTAGAGATTCTCGATGTAGTATGCGGGTATGAATGTCTGGGATGGTGATGTCTACTGTAGTGAGTCTAAGCGAGTTTCGACGGTAAGTCGAGAGGAGATGGGGATAGCGAAAGATGACACGCATGGTTCGTTTTGAGATCGAACCTTTGGCAGAGTCACGGACAAGTCAGAACTAGCAGTGCATGATCACTTTGGGTAGCGGCCCAGGGGCTGCCGACGCACCACGGGCCTCTTCGTGGGACTCTCGCTGTTGCGATTCTCCCAAGCGTGTCTGCCTCGTCTTCCTGCGCCGAACGAGTCCTCAGCGCCACGCTTGCGAGATCCGTGGGCCTGCGCGTCGTCAGCAACGTCTGTCACCTGGACCTCTTCGACGTGGTCCTCTCGAGTCCCGACCAGGTCCGCATGGTTCTCGAGATCCTCCATGGCGCTGGCGGCCTGATTCTGCTGCTCGAGCATCTTGATCATTTTCGTTTGCTCTTGCTGAGCCCGGTCGTCGTTCCAGATCACGCGGCCACGGGCGTCCATGCTCTGGTTGGCCAGGCTCGCCGACACCAGGGACTCAAACTTGTCCATGCCGAGCGAGTATCCGTTGGCTGCAGCATCGGCAGCGCGCTGAGCGTCGAGTTGTGCCTGTCTTTCGAGGATCTGCTCCGGCGGCAGATTCCTGTCCGTCGCAGCGCCTGTGAGCTTGTGCTCGTCGGAGCGCTGATTGCGGGCGCGAGGCGCAGCTCGGCTCTTCTTGCGGATGGCTTTGCCTAGCTCACGGCTCTGGAGAAGCTTGATGACGTCGTCTGCGGAAGGCCTTGGATCCTCTGCCGATGCCACAGCGTCGGCTTGCTTCGGCTCGAGCACCTCCTTCTGCTGTCCTTTCGGAGGCAGCGCGCTGCGCACGTCGCGAATCGAGTCATCGGCTTCTAGCTCCTCGCCTTCGATCAACGTCTGACTCGACGGTGCTGGCGCTGCGTCGTCATCGTCGATACCGAGCTGCTCGTCTACCTGACCGCTGAGTGTGACATCGGCGTCAAAGCTTGCATCGTCTGTGCTCGCGTTGACCACTGCCGGCGCACCGCCTCTGTGAGGAGCAGCGATCTCTTCCGACTGACCCCTCGTGCCCGATCGAGCTCGTTTGAGACTTGCGCCGTTGAAGATGTTTGCATTGGCACGGGTGCTTGCGTCGGCCGAGATGGAACGACTCCAGGGCTTTGCTGCATTTGCGAGCGCCGTCTGCGTCTGTTGACTTGCCTGTGTGTCATGCTGCGAGGTCGGTCGGCGCTGCTTCGCAGACTGCGATGCCTGCGAGAGAAAGTTGCCGCTCGCAGATCCGTCCGAGTTGGACAGGACAGTGTTCAGCGACTTGGCAGGGTTCAAGGAGGCAGGGAAGAGGCCCTCATCGACTCGAAAGACCTCGTCAATGCACTTGTCAAGCCACTTCGGATGAACGACGAAGGCAAATCGGTCCAGGTCCTTGCTTTCTCGAGGCTGTCCGGCGCCGCGGTGGATCATGTGCGTCGTGTCCTCGTTGACCTGAGCCTGCCAGCATCCTCCGAGCTGCAAGACCTTGCGTTCAAACAAGGCGCTCTGTGCGGCCAGCGCTTTGGATCTCGACACCGTGCAGCCTGTCAGAGGAAGGTCTGGCTGATCATCGGCTTCTTCTCCTTGATCGTTGTCTTCGTCTTCGTCCGCTTCGGCTGACGGCAGCGTAGTGCTGATGCTACTGGCGGTGACAGCGGACGGCGATAGCTCCGGGATCGCGATTCGAGTTGGCGGAGGGAGGATGGAACCGGTCTGCCTTGCGTTGATGAGGAATTCGAGTCCGACGACGGGTACTCCGCAGCTGCGCGCGCGCTCAGCTCGTCGTCCGGTAAGGCTCTCGGGGGATGCACAGACGACATGTGTCAAGGACTCGCCCTTGAGCTGCTTGACGACGGTGCCGCCCAATTCTTCGACGAGCTGTTTCGCATGGTAGAGCTCCGGCGTGTCGGCTTCAAAACCAATCAGCAGCAGCCTCAGCTGGTTGCCGTGGGGCAAGGGCAAGGGCACGCGAGCTGGCAGAGCGGCAAAGTAGTCTTGCGGTTCGACAAAGACTTCGTGGTGGAGGCAATACTCGATCCAGTAATGCAGCACAGGCACCGTCTTGCCTTTGTCAAGGGCTTTGAGGTAGGCCGCGGACGCTTTAGGCTCGACGAGCATAAAGTCTGCCGATGCGAGTGAGCTGAGCGGGAGGACCGTGCCGCCGCTGCTCTCCAATTTCTGTTCCAGAGTCGTGGTTTGTTGCGGGTTGTAACAGCAGATCTTGAAGCTCTTGTCTTGGAAGCATAGCTGGCTGCGGGTGGCCTCCTTAGTGCTGGTGGATTCGCCAAGTTGCGGAAGAGTGACGAGTTTGGCGGAAGTCTTGCGCATGGTGGGAGGGTTGGTGGTGGGAGCAGGAGGTGCGGGTGAGAAGCTCGATGCGCGGGACATGCCCAGAAGGCCGTTGCGATGGGAGCTGGGACGGGTGATGGTGGTGGTGGTGGTGGGGGTAGTGGTGGATGTTGAGGACGGAGGAGCAAGTGCGGATGTAGATATCGATGTAGGAGCGGAAGATGCTGAGTTAAGAGTTGCATGTGATGTGTGCGATAAAGTTCCGTGTGACTTCAGAGGATCGCGTGATGTCGAGGACGCTTGATGGCTCCTGAGCTGTGATAGGATGCTGTCGAAAGATTTGTCGCCCGCGGCGGCTGCTTTTTGTCGGGATCCTAATGTAATAGGTTGGTCGTCTTCCGGATCGTCGGCGTGACTGGCGTCGCTGTCTTGCACAGACTCGGCCAAAGCCAGCTTGGTCCGACTCGAGGCGATGAACGGACTTTGCAGAGGCACTATGACGGGCTCCTGCTGGCGAAGGAAGGGCGAAGGAAGCTTTGTTCGGGCTTTGCTGATCAATGCCGAGCGCTCGTATTGATCGGGAAGCTGGACAAAGATCGAGTAGGTCTGCTCGCTGAGACAGCCTCCCGCCTGTTGGCAGTCGTCAAGCCACTGAGGTCGCACCGCCAAAAGGCGTGACGCAGCCTGTTCTCGAGAGCCATTTCGACCATGCCGGGATCGGTCGAGAAAGTGAAGGAGATGCTGCACGCTGCTGGAAGCACTTGGGTCAGAGGTTGCAGAGACGAGGTGGGTGATGGTGCCGTCAAATCGAAGCTCGTCGGATACAGTAGCGCCAAGCTCGGTCGCAAGGGCGACAAGCCTGCGACGCTCTGCACCCGTCACAGCCGAGAAGCAGAGGGTGGTGTTGCTCAAGGCAGGCAGCTGGTGATGCTGTTCGAGCTCTTCTGCATCGACGTCTTCTCCCTTCAGCCATGCATCGCGAATGTCGAGGATCCAGGCCGGGCTGACGATGTGCATGCCGAGCTCGAGAGCAAAGCGATACTTTTCCGATCCTGGTCGGTCTGCTATGAGATGCGTGACGTCTTCGGTGAGGTTGCCCTCGACTCGAGCGCCCAGCTCGCGAGCACACTGCGTGAGACTAGCTTTGGACTCGCTCAGACCGGTGATGGAGATGATGGCGCCCTTGAGCGGGTGTGCTGAGGTGCCGATGAAGTCGGCGTCTAGATGTGCGCCGTGATCCTGACCATCGTCTCGGAGTCGTCGGAAGTGGGCGGCATCTTCGCGGTCATCGAGAAGCTCGTCTCGTCGTCTTGATCGCTTGGTGGACGAGGATGAAGATTCGGCGGCTGATGCGATTCCTCTTTGCGCAGGACGTAGCTTGACGTTGGGGATCTTTGTCGACCTATGCGCCTTTGCTGACCGATTCATGGCGAAGCGGCGGGATGTTCGGTAAGGTAGTGCATAGAGAACGGAGATACAAATGGGTATACGGGGTCGATGGCTGCGATGCAGTGATGTATAATGCGGGCGAATAAGGACGATGTTGAAGAAATGCTGCTGAAAGTTCCGATGCTGGTCTGATATGAGATGCTAGCTGTCAAGGATGCGATGGCGTCAAGTCGCTACGCCGATGTCGAAGCCCGAGTGTGATTTGCAGAGGTGTGATGGGTGTGATGTTTGCGTGGGCGTGTGTGTTTGACTTTGACGCGAAGCTAGCTGCAGCCTCGAACCTAAAACAAAAAGACCCGTAAAGTGGACCCGCGACCGACGCGTTCGAGGAGCTGGCAACAGAAGTCAACGTTTTCTCAACCCCACCTCATGATAGCTCGGTATGACACGATCAGTCTTCTTGGCCATCTGCAGTCTACCCGCAAAGCTACATCAGTACGAGCCTATATAGGCCGATGGATGCGTCAGAACTGAGCATTTCCGTCCATGGGTGGCTGAACATCACCGTCTTGAAGGTGCATACAGTTAGGGTGCAGGAGTGCGTGCTGCTGCCTCAAAATTTAATCTTGGTGTGATGCGATCCAGAAAGCCTTTGGCGAGGCTGAGTGCGGAAATTCAGGGTTCAGCGGTCACCCCTTTTGCAAAATCGGGGTCTCTGTGTCTCAGCTCGCCAGCTAAGCGGGGGCACAGACGCAATCCGGCACAGTCACGCAGCCTCGCCTCGCCCCGCCTCTCTCTCTCCACCTGCATAAGCACAATTGTGACTTATCACTACGGCAAGACAGCCTCTTGCGTAGTCGCTCCCCTGTTGGCCAGCCTATCTGTCTTGCTCACCATCATCAAGCATCTTCTCGTCGACTCAACTCCGCATCGATTCAACTTCGTATTGTCGCAGCAAAGCACGATCTATATTGCAACATTTTCGAATCCATCGTCCCCGCCTTTGTCATCGGCCACCTTCGAAGCACTGCAGCCTACTCGGCTCGGGTCGCAAACACACATCCACTTCAAGCCACAGACGCTAGGGGTGGCCCCACGACAGCCGACGACACCTCGACAGCTATGCAATCCTCCAAAGTGGAGCGAGGGGGCGCCTCTCCGCCTGCTCAGACAACTTCATCGGATGATGCCGACCTTACCTCGCCCGCCAATCTTCGCAAACTGGTACTCAACTACCTCTTGCATCACTGCTACATCGACACTGCCACTGCCTTTGCCAAGGATGGCATCATCGGAGACCTGTATGGAGCAGAAGCCTCCAGCTCCGCTATATCATCAGAAGCTGCAGGTACGAGCTCCACGGCCGCGCACGGATCTACTCGATCATCCGCGGCATCCAGTTCGAGGGGCATGGCAAGCTCAGCCGCTGAGAATGTACCCTCCACTTTCGCCTCGGGCTCGACCGGCGCCCGCCAAGCCCATCCCTTGTCGGCCCCTCCGCTCTCGCGGGATGACTCAAGCATGGAAATCGAAGTTGAGAATCTGCTTCCCACGTCCTCGGAACACCCCGACACCCACCGTCGGGAGCACAGCAACGGCTTCTCCAATGGCGCTTCCGCTCCCTCAAACGGTCGTTCACTCCGATCAAGAGGCGGTGCAGGCAGTCCCGAAAAAGTGCAGGATGATGATGAGGACATCGAGGTTGCGGAGCTCGCGTCATCCGATCTCGACGAGGCAGAAGACGACCCGGATATCGACATCAGCCCTGATCTCACCGCGGAAGACCTCCGAGGCGTCCGTGCACGCAAACAGATCAAAGATCACATCATCTCGGGTCAGATCCGACAAGCCATGGACATGATCAACGAGTACTTTCCCACTGTGCTCAATAGCAGTGGTGGCAATGGTGGCAGCTCGAATGGATCCAAGTCGACGCGATCAAAGGGCGGCTCTTCCAGCGCTTCGAGCTCGAGTCCGAGCGACAAGGTGCTGCCAGCCAACCCTACCTCGATGGAGCCCGACCACCTGCTCCTCAACCTGCAGATCCAAGTGTTCATCGAGGCCATTCGTTCAGCATCCTCTGCCCAGCTGGCGCCTGCCACGTCCTCGCTGAGCGCCTCAAACGGCGGTCTTCCCTCGCTAGCATCCACCACGCCTGGCATAGCAGCGTCGGCCATCTCACGAGCAGCCTCCCCTGCACCCTCCACTTCATCCTCCAACGGCTCCGGCACATCCGCCACGGGCAACGCTGCGCTCAACCCGGCGCTCCACTCCGCCCTTGCCTACGCCCAAGGTCTCTACGCATCCGCCCAGAAGCTGCCCTCCTTCTGGCGCGCCATGTACCTCAAAGAGCTCGAGCAGGTGACAGCCCTTCTGGCTTATACGGACGTCGAGCACTCGCCCGTGCGTCGCTTCCTGCACAAGTCGCGCAAAGTGGCGCTGGCCGAACAGGTCAATTCGGCGATCCTGCTGCGGAGCGGCAAACCGAGTCAGCCGCTGGTGGAGGTGGCTGTGCGACAGACGACACTGCTGTGGAACCACTTGTTGGCGGATGAGGTGCAGGTGCCGCTGGGTCATCCGGTGTTTGGGCTTGTCGCGGGTGGTGGGTTCGAGGAGGCGGGGGCGGGAAAGAAGGGCGCGAGCGGGAAGAGATTGCCCCCGTGGAAGTTCAGGACGTTTTTGCAGGAGAGGTGAAATGCTGCGTCTGGTCTCTAGATATGCAATGGCAGATCCTTCAACCATTCCACCTGTTCACAGATCGTCGGGACGGCGTCGCTCACAGATTCGCTTGGGATTCTCAAAGATGAATGATTTGCAATTGCTCTGTCTTTGCCTGCCACCTACTCCTGCATATCCTCCGCTTCGTCCTCGTCGTCCTCATCATCGTCCTGAATGCGCACGATCCCATCGCCACGACTGGGCTCGCTTCCATCCAGATCGACCTTTTGTGCGCCCGTCAACGTTCTCAGTCTATCGCCGAAGGTCTTTCTCACCGCAGCGTTCGAGAGCGCGTTGAACACCTGAACCTGGCCCGCGCTGCCGGCGGCGGCCAACGTCAGTGGGTCATCGGGGCTCCATTTTGCCGCAAAGATCTTGCCCAGGCCCAGGTCGCGCGATAGAACGAGGTTGATCGCGCTTGGCTTGCCCTCTTCGCCCGAAGAGAGGTTCCAGAGTTTGACAGAACGGTCGGAAGAGGCGGTGAGGATGCATCCTGGAATGTGCGGGCTGATGTCGACACTTGTGCATGCGGTATCGTGCGCCTGGAGCGTCCATTGTGCTGACTGGGGCGAACGAATGTCGAACGACTGCACCAGACCCGATTCGAGCGAACACAGAAACGAACTGGTATCCGTCGACCAACCGTTCCACACCACACTCTCGACATCGCTCGAAATCGAAATGATGGATGCCGTGTCCGGCGTGCGCGTGTCGAACACGCGGATGGTCTTATCGTAACTTCCCGTCAGCAGCACCGCCGGGTTGGACGAGGACGAAGCCTTGCACTGCCATGCGACGGATTGCACTTTATCGCTATGCGCGGCGAACGAGCGAAACGCTGCGCTGCTCTCGCTGCTATGCGGTCGCGAAAGATCCCACAGCTTGACGGTGCAATCTGCCGAAGCGGAGGCGAGCAGATTCCTCGCCACTGGATTCCACGAGAGCGACAACACCGCATCGACATGGTACGCCTCGTTGGCTACACGTGGTTTCGACTGCTTGCGCTTCTTCTTGCCCGTTCCGAGCGGAGCGTTCAGCGCGTCCGTCTCGTGCTTGCGCCCTAGGATCGCATCGGGATACATGCCGTCGACTACGTCCATGGACCAGATCTCGATCTCCGGGTCCATCGTCCCCACCGCAATATAGTTGCCGGCCGCACCCGAGGTGTTTTGGTCCGAGCCTTCGCGGGCAGGCGCATAGTCAAGCCACTCCAAACACAAAGGGAACGAAGGCAGCATCAGATCGTGATGCACGTAGAGGTTCGAGTCCTGCGCAGCGTAGATGTGCGCCTCGAGCTGCGAGACATCGTCCTCGGTCTTGGCGGTGATGAGGAAGTTGTCGGTCGGGTAGACTTCGAGTTCCTCACGCTCCTCTTCGTCGTCCTTCTCCGCATCGTCGGCGACGGTGACGTAGGGGTCGTCCGAGTTGGACTGGTAGACGGCGAGACCGCGGATGTTGCTGAAGGCGCCGGCGGTCGCTTCTGTGTTGTCGTCGTCGTACTCGTCCAGGTTGTAGCGCGAGAGGTCGTCCGGGTCTTCGGCGGTCTTAGGTGCCTCGGCGGCAGTGTCGTCCTTCATCTCGTCGTCGGAGGAGGCATCGTCCTCCCAATCGTTTTCAGCGTCGTCGTCGGCGGTGGCAGGGGCAAAGGGGTCTTTACCACGCGCAATGTCGCGCTGGGCACGCTCGAGCTGCGCCTTGGCATCTTCGAACTGCACGTTGGCCATCTTGGAGACGCGGTCCATCTCGGCATCGTCGAGCACGTACTTTTTGGGGTGCGGAAGGGACTTTCCCCGCGCAACCCAGTGGAGTGCGCTGATCATGTTTGCGCTCAAGGGGGAAGGGGATGAGATGCGAGTTGTAGGGGGAAAGGAGGCTGTGGAGTGGGTTCTTCTCAAGAAGAAAAGTCTTCGAGTGGAGTGAGCGGCGCCAAAAATTTAGTGCTTCTGATGCAGGGTTTCAGGCCAAATTTGGCTTACGTAAGCCGATTTTGGGGAAGAAAGCAAAATTTGGGAAAGGCCCGACTTTTCTTCTCGACCTTCTCCACAGCTCAGCAACGAGCTCAGGGGTTTCTTCTCATTGACAACCACCGAAGCTACACCATCATACCGGTTCACCTCAGACAGCACACGATGATCCGCGTGGCCAAACCCAAAAATGCGCGCTCCAAGCGAGCGCTCGAGAAACGCCAGGCGCGCGAATACGAAGCCGCCAAAACCGCCATCTTTGTCCGCGGCCCTCACTCGTCCCAACGCCTCAATGTCGCCTTGACCGAACTCAACCTGCTCAAGAAGCCCGACGCCATCTCGTTCAACAAGAAGAACGAGGCGCTGCCCTTCGAGGACACATCTTCATTCGAATTCTGGAGCAGCAAGAACGACGCTTCGCTGTTCATGTTTGGCAACTCGCAGAAGAAGAGGCCGGACAACCTGACGTGGGTGAGGATGTTCGATGGACAGGTGCTGGATATGCTCGAGATGGGTGTGGTGGATGCCAAGGGGATGGCGGAGTTCAAAGGGGTTGCGCGCCCGGGCGTGGGGATGAGGCCGCTGTTCCATTTCAGTGGACCTCAGTTTGCGAGTCCCACGGATGCGACGACGAGCATGGTGGCGGGTGCAGAGGGGACGGAGGGCGACCCGACAGGCGCGTATCAGCAGTTCAAGAGCATGCTCCTGGACTTCTACAGGGGTGAGGAGCTCAAGACCAACCAGATTGCGCTGTCCGGTTTGCAGCATGTCATCAGCGTCACTGCCGCCCCATCGGATGAGGGGTCGAACGGCAAACCTACCGGCAACGGAGCAGGCGACTCGCTCGCCGACCTCTACAAGGCAGCAGGTCTCACACCCAACGGCACCATGATCACCTCCACCTCCTCGGCCACCGTCACCTCGCCACCCAACACGCTCATCCACTTCCGCGTCTACACCGTCCAGCTCCTCGCCAGCGGCTCCAAGATCCCGCGCGTCGAACTGCAGGAGTGCGGCCCCGCCTTCGACTTTCAGCTGCGCAGAAGGAGACCCGCATCGATCGACATGCTCAACCAGGCGCTGCGTCGACCCAAGACGCAGGCGGAGAAGAACCGACAGGGCAAGGAGGGCGCCAAGAAGAACATCGAGACCGACGACATGGGCGATACGGTCGGCAGGATTCATGTGGGCAAGCAGGACCTGAGCGGACTGCAGACGAGGAAGATGAAGGGGTTGAAGAAGCATCTGGACCCGAATGGGAGCGATGATGAGGAGGATGAGGAGGAGATTGAGATGGATGATATGACTATGTACAGCGATGTTGATGACGAGGATGAGGATGAGATGGATGATGACGATGACGAGGAGGATGGAGAGGACGAGGAGGATGACGACGACGAGGAGGAAGAGGAGCAACAGGCGCCCTCCAAGAGGAGAAGGTCTTGATTGCAGCTGTCACCCTTTGTAGCTCTTGCATGTTTCGTTTGCCGCTCAATGCACACTTTCACACAGAATTCCGTCTGCGAATCTCGAGACCGATTTCATTGCCTCTAGTTCGTATAGGAATGAGAACATGATAAGGTCGCCGCCATCAATCCTCCTTGAGCCAAGCCTTGACAAATTCAACCTGCTGTTCGTGGATCAACCTGACCCTCTCGGGCGTCTTCTTCTCGTCCTTGACCCCGTTCTCGTCGCAATGGTGCCAGCAGTCCGGAATCAACTTGAACGGCCTTGTCACGGTATCCTCCCTTGCCCCACCGTATGCGAATTCCTCGCTGTGCACCGTTGCCGGTCTCCACGGATCGTACTGTCCATCAATGAAAGCCAGTCTGTCGACAGCCAATTTGAAATTGCCCAACTTGTTGACCTCGTCGATGTCCGGGCGGGCCGGCATGGTGTAGTGCTCGCCGGCGGGGAACCCCTTCTCGCAGATCTCGTGCGAATAGGCGTAGTCCAGCAGGGTCGAGACGAGCTTGGGACCTGAAGAGACAAAGTACTTGCTCTTGCCGTCGGGCGAGGGGATGTATTGAGGTGCGGGTGGCGCGGTCATGATGTAGCCCCAGGTGGAGCAGTACTGGAAGGTCCACGCTCGATTGGCATCGAGCTGGGTCTGGGAGGCAAAGGCTTCGAAGTCCGTGCCGAAACACTCGTCGGCGGAAGCGCCGGGTTGGCCATCCTCGCCTTGGGTGCAGGGGAGGATGTAGTTCTTGCGCATGTAGTGGGCGTACGCGTGCACTTCGCGAGGGACGTGGAAGCCTTCCGACTTGAGCTGTGCGCTCACCGAGTCGGCGGAGTACTTGCCGTCGGCACCGTACGTGGTGAGGACTTTGCAGAACTTGCCGAACTCGGTCGACGTCACCGCCGGATCCCAGTTGAGACTCTGGAAGGCGCCGAGGGGGATGGTGTTGAGACTGGCCAGGTCGCCGAGGTTGGTGAGGCCCTCGACGCCGAAGAGCTTGAGAAGCTGGGCGGTGCGGTTGGCGTCGCGGTCGGGCTGGTTACCGCCCGTCAGCGGGTTGGGAGCCAGAATCTCATCGATGCCAGCAATAGCGGCTTGGATCGCCTGACTGCAGTTGGTCGGCGCACCACGAGCGATCGGATAGAAGTACTCGGGGAACTCATCGACGGCAGCCACCACAGCACTGGAGGCAATGGCCCCGTGCACGAGGTCAGGGTAGAGCAATCGCATATGAGCCGAACGGGCACCAGGGTAGCTACCACCGTAGTAGATGATCTTGCGCTTCTCGCTATTGTCCGTGCCGGGAATGGTGAGGTGTCGGATGAAGTCTGCCGAGTCTTCGAGCGCCTGCTTGTTGGTGAGCCATCGAAGCTGGTCGACACCCCAAGCATCGCCGGGTCCAATCTCGGTGCGGTTCGGCAGCGAGGTGCCGTAGTAGCGGTGTTCCAGCACGATGCCGATGCCGCCTGTAGCTTTCGAGAGAATGTCCAGGATGCCGGTGTCGAGGAAAGGAAGACGGGCGGTGGCGTCTGCCTCCCCACTGTCTAGGATGTAGATGGGGACAGCCTCGCCGTTCTTTCTGGCGGAAGCAGGCTTGTAGTGGCGAGTTGAGTAGAAGAAGCGCTGGTCAAAACGCGCCTGGGTGGTGTTGTCAAAGTGGTCTAGGGCCTGTCTATGGTATGCGGGCTCTTTGATGTTGTGCTTGTTCTTCTTACTGGAGGAGATAGCATCTACGGCGACGTACTCGACGTACTTTGCGAGGGGCGAGCCGAGGCCTTGCTGAGAAGTGAGACCACTGCGCACGGCGGTCCATGCTTGATCCAGGAGGTCGTTGGCACTCTCCGTGTCTTCTTGCTGGGACATGGCTGCGACCGCACGCTCTTGCTGCTTTGCATATCTGCGCTCTAGCATGCGCTGAAAGCCGTCCATGCGCCGAGGCGTCGAGTGAGTCAGACGCTCAGCGCTGATGTAGAAGGGCTCATCCTCTGCAAATTCGGAGGCGCTGGTGGTTGGCACAGCATTGCTGTGGATGCCGAAAGAAGATATGCTCAGCGCCACAGCCAGCCATGGCATAAGCGATGCGAAGAGCTTCATGACGGTATGCAGACGTCGAGCTGCTTTCTATGACGATGGAGGTCTAGAGGTAATCTTGAAGGTGGGAAGTGCGAAGCTGGACAGTCCTTTCTATAGCATCAAGCGCATTCGGAGCGGGGGTCCCGACGGCCTGCTGAGGGTAAATCGACGGAGAAGCGATGTAGCGCTAAGATGGTGTGGTGTCTTGAAAGCAAGGCCACAGCATCGGACGCCATCAATCCGAGCCTTGTCGCCGTGAGGGACGTGCACAGCGATCTGCACCCTGCAGCCCACCAAAACTGGAGGAGCAGGCGCCGAGTTTCCGCATTTGCGCGCTGTCGAGCCGCGTGCCCGAAAAATCGCCTTGGAATTGACCGATCAAGAGGCCCTGAACGCCGCTTTCATGTCGTAGAGGCCACACTTGCGGGACCGATCTGTCGACCAGCTTGGACTCTACACCAATCGCCTCGGCGCTGAAGCCTTTTCAGTGCTCAAGATTCGCATCAGAGGGTTGGTTAGCACGTGCCGCCCGCGGCCCGTGGAACAGGCTAAGGCCGCTCTGCCCTTTGGAACCTACTCAGGGGTCTCTGAAAAGACGCAGGGAGGGTGCATTCGTCCGCAGAGGGCACCGACGCTTGCAACGCAGCGTGTAGAAAGCATGGTGTCGGATTGCATGAAAGTTCGTACATGGATACACAACGAGGGAAACAGACGCCGCTGAGGACCAGAAAGCCGATGGAACGGAAGGAAGGAGGAAAGGGAGAGACGCAAGCTTGACCGAGCCGCGCAGCAAATCTCAAATGCCGAGCTAGGAAGCCGCGATGAGCTTGAGTGTGATAGGGAGAGGTCGATGAAAACGCAGCGAGCCGAATTGTGGACGGTGCAAGACGTGCCGACATTTACGGAAGGTGTTGATTGTCGGGACGGCGACAGGCAGCTCCAAGGCGAACGAGTCGCGTGTTTTCGATGCGGTGAAAGGTTGGGGATCCACACTTGCGGTCCATGGCAACTCGAACCAGCAGTGGCGGCGGCAATGATGGGGAAAGGGCGAGTAGCTGCGACGGCGGCAGACGAACGATCAACGCGAGGAATCCAAGGGGTATGTTTAGAGGATAGCGCACTTGGACTTCTTGCGAATCACAGGTGGCTCCAGCGCGGCGACGATGGCCTCGTCGAACACGTTTTTCAATCCCTTCTGCGTCAGCGCCGAGCACTCGACGTACTTGACAGCACCCAGCTCTCTCGCCAATCGCTCACCGGCCTCAAAGGGCACGGGGCGTTGCTTTGATCGTGCGAGCTTCTCGATGACGGCGTGGTCATCGCGCAAATCCACCTGGGTTCCGACGATAAGGCAAGGCACACCGGGGCAATGGTGGTGCACCTCGGGGAACCACTTCTCCTTGACGTTTTCGAATGACGCTGGCGAGGTGACCGAGAAGCAGACGAGGAAGACGTCGGTTTGTGGGTACGAGAGCGGACGCAATCGGTCGTAGTCCTCCTGACCGGCGGTATCGAACAATCCGAGCGTGTATGGGTCCTCGCCGATCATGACAGTGACGGCGTAGTTGTCAAAGACGGTGGGAACGTACTCCGAGGGGAACTTGTTGGTGGTGTACGAGATCAACAGGCAGGTCTTACCGACCGCACCGTCTCCGACGACGACACACTTGATGGTCTGCATGTTGGGATCTGCGGGTGCGCAAGGTTGTGCGAGGATACAGCCAGGGTTGCAGCGAATCGGATGGTAGGTCCAGCAGCGATCGGTGCGGAGGAACGTGAGAGGAAGAGCAAGAGCAAGAATGAGATCAGATTATGTTGGAACGAATGCATAAGGGTCCGGCGGCGCTGTCGAAGAAGTGCTGCGCTCACTCGGAGGCCCCAGCGCCGTCGCTCTGAAGCGAAGCCAGCGAGCGTCCAATTTACTCTCGCAAGCACATCGCGGCGTTAGCCGGAGTAGTTCAGAGCCTTGAAGCTGAACCGGATCTTCGGATCATGCTTCTAGACAGCCATGAATGCGACAGCCGTGAATGCTGTTGCTTGATTGCCACGACGATGCCTTTCGCGGACTTGGTATGCCTGAAGCCGAGGTTGCGACGGGCGTATGCGCCGAATGAACGTCGTTAGGTTGGTGGATGACTTACAAGTCTTAAGCGGAGCCGAGGCGAGTTTTTCGAGATGCGAAGAGGGTTGTGGCTTCGAGTCGTTGAATCCGTGCTGCTGACGAGAACTCGGACGTGGTGAGCGCTTGGCGATCGAAGATGCGTGCGTAGGCGATGCGATATGATAGGCGACAGTGGGAGAGGACCAAGGAGGATGCTCGGCCGCAGATCTGTTCGGGTTCGAAGACGATTCGAGCTAGCTACGCAAGTGGCGATTGCGAGACGATCGAAGGCAGGTGCCGTGACGGAGGAAGCAGACGACGCGTGACCCGAGCAAAAGGTGGCGATGCAAAGGTGGTGGAGGTGGTGTGAGAGAGAAAGGTGATGGTGACGATCAAGGCGTGGTCTCAACTAGGCAAGCAGAACTCAAGATGAGACACGCCTCGCAGCAGGCCAAAGAGACAGAGACCGACAGGGTCACCCGTGGGCCAACGCGCGAAAACCAAAGTTGAATCACTGCCACACGCACATACTCATACTCGATGCACCAAACCCCTTCCCGCAGGCCAGACAGACAGCGCCGCCCTGGTGGCTCGGCCAGCACCCAGCTTGCCCCTATGCCCACAAGCTCTTCCCCTCAGAGTGAGAATATAAAAAATATGTATTCTGATTTGAAACCGTCGTCTTGAATTCTTATTCGCGCGAACATTAAATTCGGAGCGTGCAGAAGGCTCGCGTCTCTCCAAAGCTGTCAAGATAAGGCCGCCCCATACTAGGGTCTGAACCTCTCGAGCTCATCAACAAGATCGCGTACGATGCTCTGCTTTGAGCCTATGGGTCGGAGAGATTCTTCAGGAGCTTGACGACCTGGTGAGGACAGGCTTCTCAACGACTGAGACCGGTATACTAAAGCGGCAAGCTGGAGTTGCGTCGAGCTTTTGATGTTCGAACAACGCGCGTGGACCAGACGAGGAGGCGAAAGCAGGCTCATATCCGTCTTCGCCATGTGACTGCACAAGCTGTTCATTCGATCTCCAGAAAGCCGCATCACTTCTGACAGATTGCTGCATGCCCATGTGGGATGCTCTTGATTGACTCGGGTCCTCTGACTATGACGTGGGAACGCAAGACGCAAAGCAGCAGCCTGACCGCCTTCGACACAGGATCTCGGTGACCTCAACCACGGAGTGGGCAGCTCGTATGCCGTCGCCGTGGCCCTGGATCATATGATGTCCCTCTCCTTGCATGCCCAATCGCGCTGCTCTTGCTCCATACCAGCCTGCAAGCCGGCTACGAGGACCCTCACAGGGACCTCAGTGCATTCCGAGGTCGAGCGCTGACTCTCGACTTGACCGTCACAGACCAAGAGGTATCGGTCGAGCGAGCAACGTTTACCACCGGACCTCGTCAGAATACTGCGGAGAGGGGGAAGGAACATCTCGACCTTGTTCGCAACGCAGATTTCTCAGGCCGTGCACAGTAGGAACAGCGAGAAGCCCCTTCTGACTTGCGTCTGCTGTCACAGGCGCCGTCAGAGATGGCGTGGAGAGGTGTTTGGGAGCATTGAATGACTTGATTGGAGCGGTAGGCGCTCGCGTGAGGCGGACATGAAGATCCGGCCGCGGATGATCGCTTGGCTGGAATCAGCACACCTGTTTCAGGGTCTCTCGGCCAGGCGGGTCGGAACCAAGATCCCAGTCTGGGACAGCGCTTGGGGCGATCTTGTTCGCGTCATTGCGCTTGTCAATTCGAGCACCGGCATCTGCCATTGCAGGGGTGCCAACCGATGCTGCAGCTCAGTACAACGACCCACCGTCAGCGCTTGCGCTCATCGATGGATCCTGCGCAATGGCGTCTGGTTCAAGCGACCGAGCCAGACAAGCAGCGCTCAACCCACCGAGGCTTGTTGTGATGTCGAACTGACCGCAGCGGGTTGATGCCAACCTATGGAAACGATTCCATGTTATTTTTACGCTGTCGATCCCGAGCGCAATCGCCTCACCTGTTTGGACCCCACTTTTCTGAAATATGCCGATGATGACTGCCAATCAATAATTCAGTCGGTTGTCGCGCCTTCGTGTGATTACTCTGATTAGTTAGCCTGGCGTGTGACTCTTGCGGGCAATTCTTCGCCAAAATCATGCGGCACGGCCCTTTCAACCCGTCTGAGAGCGCTCAGCCGCTCCACTTGCTAAGGGCTGTGTTGGCGGCACCTCAGCTGAGACTCGCGCTTCTAAGCCCCTTTTTGTCATTCCACTCGGCACTTTGCTGCTCCGCTCAGCTTGACTCCTCCTCCTCGCTCAACCCATCCTTCTCGTTCATATCACATCCCCCCTTCTCCAGCAACGATCCATCGACCAAGACCATCTGGCTTCTCCACGCATCTTCCAACCATCGTTCAGCAAGGCTTACGATTCCCGCACTCACGCACCGCATCTCTTCGCTGTCATTCAAGGCTCAAGTGCATCGTCTCGAATTCCCGCTCCGCTGCAAACGACTTGGGGAACACTCGAAAGCTTTAACTCATCCTCATCGATTCTTTGACCTTTCATTCTGGCTCGATTGCGTCCACATCGCGCATCCGCTTGCACTCGTTGGCAGCTCACCTGCTCGCGGCCACAGAGAGTTTCAATCTGCCGGTCTACCTCGCGGTGAAGCGAATTTCGACATCGCTGCTTGCACCTTGGAGGAGTTGAGCATAACGAATGACATATCCATCGTAATCCGCAGAGCAAAGTACGCAGACTGCCCTCTCACGCTCCGTAGCGCTCAATCGACACCATGGGCCAGCAACAGACCAAAGAGGCCGGCGCTTCGGGTTCGTCAGGCCAACCTTCGGGTCATGCGCGAACTTCCTCGCGTGGCATGACCCCCTCTGCGTCAGGAGGTCTGGTCGCTTCTCTTTCATCAGCGAGCATGCGACCGCCCTCTCCACCCCCGCTGCCAGCTCATCTCGCAGATACAGTCAAAGTCGATGAAGGAGGCCTCCTGCCTCATGGCGTCTACACGGGACCGCAGGACTACGATCAACACTTTGTCCGCCAGAACATTGTTGACCGCCGCCTAGCTCCCTTCTGCAAGGGAAGTGACGACGACGACACCTATGCCGACAGCAAGTTCAACAGCGAATGTCCCATCTGCTTCCTCAGCTATCCCACGCCCCTCAACTTCTCACGCTGCTGCCACCAACCCATCTGCACCGAATGCTTTGTCCAAATGAAGCGCGCCGATCCTAACTCACATAACCCGCCGTCCTCCGAGCCTCGGTCCTGTCCCTTCTGCGTCGAGCCCGAGTTTGGTGTCACCTACACCCCTCCCGAGGCGCTCGAGCTCGGACGACGTTCCAGCGGCAGCGGCAGTGGCAGTGACAGCCCCAACGACGCTACCGACGCCGCCATCTTTGCTGAGATGGCGATCGGCACTGGTGGCGCAGGTGTTGCGGGAGCCGGAAAGAAAAAGGTCCTACCCGCAGATGACCCCAGCGTCATCACCGTGGATCAGGTACGTCCGGACTGGCACTACAAGCTCGCCCAAGCAGAGGCCGCGGTGGCTCGAAGGGCGAACCGACGTGTCATCATGCGACAGGTGGGCGACCGTCTCATTCCCATTGGCATCTCTTCGTCGCGCATGGGCGCGGATCTGGCTGCCGCAGCGGAGAGCGGAAGGATCAACCTTAACGGACCCGGTGGCAGCATCATTCTCAATGACGGTCAGAACTGGCCAGGCACCGGCTCTGTGACCACCTCGCGAAGACGCAGCAGTCGACCGAGTCGAGGAGGCAACGAAGGTTTGCCAGAGTTTGCACGACTCATGCGCATGGGAGCGGGCGAGGACATGGAAGAGGCGATGGTGATGGAAGCCATGCGTCTCAGCTTGCTCGAGCACGAGGAACAGCAGCGCAAGCAGGCCGAGGAAGAGAAGAAGAAGAAGGCTGGATCCGTGGCGACGACAACGTCGGCGGACACATCAGCACTTTCGGGCTCCAGCGACGCGCCCGCAGCCGCCAGACCCGCAGCGCAGTCTGTGCTGGAAGAGGCAGAAGCGTCAAGCAGCAACGCGAACAGGTCTTCTGTTTCTGCTGCGTTGGCACCGCCCGCTAGCAACGTCGATCCTGCCTCGCTTGGTCTGTCCCAGACGACCATGGACGAGCTGCGCGAGCTCATCGACGAGGGTCCCGCGCCAAGTGGTGCTTCGTCCACCGCTCGCCGTGCATTCCCTGCCCCTGCACCCGTGCCTGTCCCTCAACCCGTCGTAGGTCTTGGCTCAAACCTTGCCGAACAGCAGGATACCAGCATTGGCTCACAGCACGGCTACCCCTCGCCTCCGCCGGAGACGAGTCCCGAAGCTACCAAGCACGCGACAACCTACTCGACCACCACCGCCCACTTTGGCGCTGACTCCAGCGCCCCAGACAGTCCTGGCTCGTCCGGCTTTGCAGCAACGGCCCGAAACCGCATCCTCAACCCCAACAACCCGTTCCGCCGTAGCGTGGGTGAACAGCCCCACCACTAAGCATTCGCGTTCGTCCTCGCTCGCCTGATCTGCATTCCCCCCGACCGCATCGACTCGAGTCCTTGTTCACGTCTCTCCACGTCTGTCTCGTCGCAAACTTTTCCTTGTCACCGTCTTTGTCTTCGCATGTCAATGTCATCATCCGTTGCAGGCTGACTTTGAGTGTGCCTGTGCCTGTGCCGCTGCTGGATGTGAGACGTGAGCGTCGGTTATTGGTAGGTGGATCCTTTTTTTCGGATGAAGGCTGTTAGACTTGCAGACTCGGGCCAGGTCTCGGCGCCGGCAACTTCGAGCGTGACATCCGACATCGCCTTTTTGTGGAGAAGCGCAGCGGTCGATGCATCTCTTTCACATCCTCCAACCTTGTCGCTCTCCTACGACCTCATCACCCTAGCGCTTCAGCCCGCATTGCTCTAACCGGCCATTCATCACGCTTCGTTCAGGCATTTCACGGAGTCGTCCGCACCGGCCCAAGCAGCCCAGACCACTCTTCCGACGCCAGCACGAGGAGGTCATCCAACGCCAAAAGTCCGAGCTGCAATCTTAAGCTCGGATTCCTTCACTGTACCCTTGCCTCACAGCTCATCTCCTCTGAGCGGCCGTCACCATGGACGTCCTAACATCGGTCGATCCGACCTCCTCGCAACCCTCCTCCGCGGACCCATTCCATCCATCATTCTTCGAGCTGGCGGCGCAATCGCAGCTGCAGGACCTGATCAAACCCGCGATCCGCTACGTCCTCGCCGTGCTCGCCCAGCGCAATCCGCGCTACCTCCTTCGTCTCGTCAACCGGTTCGATGAAGTCTATGCGCTGCTGATGGCGGGGATCGAAACCCACTACTTGCGGGTGTGGGGTTCGTCGTTTGCCGAAAACTTCTACGGCCTGCGTCGGCGTCGACGACCCGGTCTCTCGCGCAGTCAGGGTGGCACCTCGGTCAGTCAAGCCAAAAGTGAGCGTCTTGGCAAAACAGAGGTGCGGTTGAGCTTGCTCTTCCTGGTTGGATTGCCTTATGTCGGGGCCAAACTGGAGGATCTTTGGGAGCGCAACGGTGGCGGGTTGTCCAACGCAAGTCTGTTCGGGGAAGAAACGGCTACTTTCAACGACACCTCCCTTCCTCTGAGGGAAAGAGCGAAAAAGGTGGCGACGGAAACGTTCAAAACGGCCTATCCGTATGCGAAAACGGTGTATCAGCTCTGGTTGTTGACCTACAACGTGCGGTATCTGTTCGATCGAACGCCCTACTGGCGGCCGTGGTTCGCGGTGATGCGGGTCGACGTGAGGCGGGTGGGACCGAACGATGGACCGAGGAAGCAGTTGTTGCCCAAGAAGATGCCGAGTTTGGTGCGCCAACCAGCGAGGTTTTTGTCCATGGTGCTGAGGCTGGCACCAGGTACGATCTTCGAGGCGCTCAAATACGGTCTACCGGCAAGCATCTTCTTCTTCAAGTTCCTCGAGTGGTGGTATGGCGCAGACAATCCTCGGAGACGCCGCACTGGTGGGAGTGGAACCAGCGGCGGAGGGGCAGGGGACGACACGTCCCATCCAACACTCGACCCCCCCATCCCCCTCCTACCCGACCTCACCCACGGTCTGCTCTCCAAATCCATCCCAACCACGATCGCGGATACCTTGCCCGAATACAAGCTCCCCCACATCTTCACCCTCTCCAGCACGCTACTCGACAAACTCGCCAATGGGGAGGAGCACAAACCAACCCTGACGACAAGCGGCGGCAAGAGGAGATTGGTCCACAACTCGTGTCCCCTCTGCGGCGCGTTGCCCATCAATAACCCGGCGGTGCTGCCCAGTGGATACGTCTTTTGCTACACGTGCGCGTTCAACTATGTCGAAGAGCACGCGAGGTGTCCGGTGACAAGCCTCGCTGTGCCCGAGCGCAAAGACGCCCTGCGCAAAGTGCTCGGTTGAACGACTCACTCAATCGCATTCGTTTGCTCATCTTCCGCGGTCATTTGTGTTGTGATTGATTGAAGGCTGACAAGTGAATGAGGATCAGATACGCTCGAAAAAGTACACGTACGCCTGCTTGCTCAATCCCATCACCCCAACATCCTCTCCTTCCAGTCCCAGCGGAGCCTTGACCACCTTTTCGTCGTTGAAAAACACCCACTCCTCGTCGTGCTTGACGTGCGCCACGTAGTGTCCGCTGTGGACGCTGGGGCCTTTGTGGCTGATAAAGCTCTTAATCGCGTATTTGGCGGGCAACTCGCTCGAGCCTGGAATCACACCTGTTCCACCCGAAGCTTCCCCTTCCGCCTCCACAGGGGCCGAGTCCTCACCCGGATCATCGGGGTTCTCGAACAGCCACGCAACGGCCACTTCCGGATTGTTCCCGTTCAACCGCAGAGCTTTGCGCGCTTGAGCGGACGTAAAGCCCATCTCTTCCAACATGCTCGTGTCCGGACCCGCTGCTGCGGGTGCCGAGGCAGTGGTGGAGAAGTCGATCGGATCATCGATATCCGCATCCTCCATGTGTGCGAACAACCAGTTCATAGCACCCTCCGCATCCCCCATCCCCGTCGCCAGCAGCGCCTTCTTACATCGAATCTCCGGAAAACCCATGCTTGTCAACTGCGACATCACCCCCGCATCCCATTCCGGCTCACCACCACCGGCGGAGGAGGAAGCAGGTGCGTCATCCGGCAACTCCTCTTCGCCCGGCTGCTTGCCTCGACCCAGGTAGCGGTCGAGATCGAGCGGCGTGTCGACGGGGACGATGATCGGCACGGGCACTTTTTGAGGCACCCAGTTGAGCAGTTGGAATCGTCGCACTTGCAACGCAAGGACCTGAGGGAAGGTGGTAAACAGCGTTCGCTTGGTGGCGGTGACCTGGCGGGCGCACGAGGGACAGTTGTACTCGAGCTCTTCGGGCGAGGTGAAGATGTCGAGGCACTCGGTGAGCGAGATTGGCTCGTATTCGGCTGCTGTGTTGGTCGAGGGTACAGGCGCTGGAGCCCAGGCATGCACGCCTTCCGCTGGCTGCTTTCCGGTCGACGCGTCGGCCAGAGCGGCTTTCTGGCGGATCGGAACGGGAAGGCTCAACCCGGCATCTTGCCGCTCGATGCTGTAGCGCACCTTGTGGCAGGAGAGACACTCGAGCCTCTGTTCCAGGCCGAAACCGAATATCGCGGTAGGATCTTCGGTCGGGGAGGATGAGGCGGTGGACGCAACGGTGCGGTTCTCCTTCTGCACAATGTCGACCAGGTACTTGAAGAACTCGTCCGCATCTTGCTGGCGCATGGTCGAGAATTCTTCGTGGCCCTTGCCGACCAGTCCTTTGAACATGCTGGGTAGCACGCCTTTCTGGAACAGCGGCTGCTGCTGTGCGTCCTCGCCTCCATCTGCCGCCTTCCAGGTGCTGTCTTGCTCGGGCTCGCGTGGATGCGAGTAGCGACCGGACAGCAGACCGTCGGCAATCTTGGTCATCTGGCACTCGAAGCATGTTGCCGGCTGATTGGTGCATGCGAGCGTATGCGGGCGGTACGCATCACCGTACCTCTTCTGGAAAGCGGGCAGTGAGAACAGGCTCTGCAGCACCGAAGCCAGATAACAGCTGTTGCCGAGGTTGCGCAGACCTGTCAGGCCAGGACCAAAGACAGGCTCGAGCATCTTTCCATCTTCGCCGGTCATGTTGAAGTCGAACTTGAGGTTCTGCTCGATCTGCAGCTCGGTCATGCTCTTCTCGGTCTTGGAGAGGTCCATGACATTGATGCCAAAGTGGGAGAGGTGATGTGCGAGATTGGGGTCGATGCGCGCGTCGTTGCATGCGTAGCAGTAGATGTCGGCGCTGCCTTCGGCGGTGATGGTGCCTTGCTTGACCGAGACGGGATGACCGGACTCTTCAAAGTGAGACAGACCATGGCTGTTGCCGCCGACGCCGCCGAACTGCTCTCGACCGCAGCCGAGATGGCCACACGTGAGGCAGAGCCAGAGGTTGGAGGTGAGGTCGCACTTGCCACACGAGGCTAGTCCGGAAGGCTCCAGCTTCATCGGCTCGCCGGGCTGCACGAGCTCTCGTGTGTGCTGACAGGGCACGATCTCCTCCTCCCACGCCTTGACCTCGCTTTGCTGAGCTGAAGACATGGCAGTCATGATGCCCCGAATGACTTCGTCGAGCTTGTCAGTGACAGGCAGATCTTTGCCTGGCCCACTGGGATCGCAAGCCAGACATCGTGGGACGGTGTGGTAGTCGTATTTGTCGGCGTCCGTCTCAGCCGAAATGGCGAGCTTTGTGGGCATGGAAGGAGTTTCTCCTTTCACCCGTGGAGGTGCTGGGCGGCGTGTGCGGCGAATGTTGACGACCAGAGCATGCTGGGTCTTTTCGAAGTGAAGGCGTGAGTGCTCGCGGTCGCCGTTGCCATTGCATGCTCCGTTGAAGCAGAACATACAGACATCGATGCCGTTAGACCCATCCTGATCGTCGAAGCAGAGCGTGCATTCTTCCTTGTGCACTTGCTGCGAAGGACGAGGTGGGGCCAACGCCGTGAAGGCGGCACTGAGATGCGGGCAGGCCATGTCAGAGTCTGCTGATGGAGTGATGTCGTTCTTCTGCTTTGAAGAGGAGGCTGTGTCGGGCTCGGCCAGGGATGACGACCTCGACCGTTTCATCGGCGGGCTGATGTATCAGATGAGCTTGCTCTCGCAGAAGGTCAGCGTTGAAATGATTGACGTGTTCCCATCTGCGGTGTGTCAGGATGTCAAGGCGTCAAGTTTTGATGGTGACTTTGAGGAAGAAGCCGTCAATCGTGCAGTGTGATGCCAGTTGAGCTGCGCCGATGAATGCGATGGAAGATGTGGTGAAGCGGAACGAGGTGGGAAGAACTGAGCTGAGTCAAATCGAAGGCTGCGCAGCAAATCTTTCACTTTGTGCAACCGTGCGCTCGGGTGGAGGCCTGCGTGTCCAAACCTCTGCGTGTCCAAACCAGCTCACGCGACATCACAGACTCTGTGACTTGGACAACAGCAACACATCATGGTTCGATCAACAGAGCGTCTCCGATCGCAGACTTGGCTGCCATACAATGCCAGGCAAGTGTACCTTGAACAGAAATGTCGATACCGGCTTTGAAGCCGCACTCTCGCCGTCGTTGCTCAAAGCAGTCTATGCTCGCCGTCAGCTGTGCATCGATGCCCTCGAAGCGTACGCCGGCGGCCTTGGATTTCAGGTCTGCATACACACGTCTAAGGATCCTGACAAGTAGAAGAGGAAGGAGAGAGACGCATCCAACACCAGACGCGAGGGAAGTGAGACTTCGCAGAAAGATGGAGAGAACAAGACGCATAAACTCTTTCCTGGTACTCGTTCCGACCCGAGGGTCGGTATCTGAAGTATTGATGCTGTGGCTCGATGATGAGGATCTAAGATTGCTCGCTATGAAGCCTGGTAGTACAAAGGCATTGAGTATGCGCAGGGGTATGAGAAAACAGCTTCTACAGACAAGGAGACGCTCAGTCGTAGGTGGTGCGGTCGCGCAGACGCATCTGCCGAAGGCCGCCGCGCCAGAACCAGCTCGAGTCCTCGCCGTCTTCGTCGTCGCTACCGTCGTTCCTTCTGTTGCGTGACGAGGAACGATCGGGGACCTGCGCGGATCTGCCGGCATTTGTTCGACCAGCAGGAGCGGGGTCCATGTCTTCCCAATCTTCTTCCCTTGTGTCGGAACGAGCGTTCGCAGCGGCGGCTCGCGATCGCAAATCATCATTTCTTGCGGTCGGAGTGCGAGGCTCTTGCGCCGCTGCTGGTGATGCGTGCTCTGGAGACGAAGATTCTGAGGCGACGTTAGCTGGCCGCAAGTGCCTTCGCACAGACGAGTTGGTTTCGGATGAATCCCTCAGAGAGGGCGAGTCCTCGTCATCTTCGTCTTCGCTGATGCGACCATCTCGGCGGGCGGCAGCTACGGACGAATCGCGTGGATTCGTCGAGCCGCGACGTTGTCGCTGCAGGGGTGTGCCGTCGGTGCTCTGACTTCGTGGTTCCCGAGCGGCGCGAAGAGAAGAGGCCGTCGAGATGGTCTTGCCGTCCTGGGTCGGCTTGGTGCCCAACGAAGCAGTGCGGCTGATCGTGGAGGACAGCTCTGGTAGCGCATTAACGTTGGCATTGCTGTTCATGCCTGAATGTGTGGAGCCTGGTCGGTTCATCATCATGTGACGCAAGCCAGGACCAGTGACGCGCGAAGAATTGAGCACCTGCTCGCGTAGCGCCGACTGCTCGTGCGCCGCACGGCGAGCTGCAGCAACGTGGGCCAGCCGAAGTCGACGGAAGCGAGCCTTGATGAAGTTGGGCTGGTGGTCCATGAAGCGTTGCGCTGCAGTCGACATCCAGCCGGGTGCGGAGGAAGCGGTCGGGTTGGTGTCGCTCGAGCCGGATCCGCCTGCTGTCGTTCTTCCATCGTCGTGATTGGCAGCGTTGGGATCCGCTTCACCGTCTACAGCGGTATCACCGGTGATGCCGCCTTCTTCGCCTGCTCTGTGCACGGCTACACCGGTGAGAGCTGCACCACGCAAAGGTGCATCGCGCTCTTCTGCAGCGTCTCTGTCTTCGTGTCTCGAGACGCGGATCTGGTCGAGCTCGATGTCGTCGGTCGCCGAACCGCTGTGCGTGCGTGCAGGCCCGAGACCGCCATCGCTTTCGTTGCCTGCCGTGGGGGCACGACGACCGCGGCGAGTGAGCGTGCTGGATCCGTTGGGCTCACCGACGATACGATCCCTGATGCGGCGGAAGCCGCTGAGCCCTGGTATTGAGCTCGAGTCGTGCTGTGAGCTATGGCCCTCGGCGTTGTTGGCCTCCGTTGCTTCGATCATGGCGAGCTTCTGCTTCTGCTTTTCGATCTTGCGGCGCTTGCGTTCCTCCCGTTTGCGCTTGCGTTCGAGCCTTTCCTGTCGATCCTCCACCTCACCGATGCCCATTCCGCTGCTGACCCACCACCAGAAACCGAGCCAGCTCTGCCAGATGGTAAGAGTCCAGCAGACGTTGGGCAGCCACCAGAGGCGATCGTACTTGATCTCGGTGAAGCTGATGGCGGTGTTGATGAGAGCAAGACCCACGGATCCACCGCCAAATGCCGCAGTGCCACCGCCTGCGCGCCAAGCACGTTGTCGATTGACGAAAAGGCCCCAGATGAGCAGTGCAGTAGTGTAGAGGAGAGTCAAGGTACTGTTGCAGATGTTGCGAATGGCGTCGCCGAGATCGTTGGTCTTTGCATCGCTGTCGTCGGCAAGACCGGTAAACTCCATGCCAGAGTTGATGATGGCGAGGGGACCAAGCATCCAGAGGATGAGACGAGCCTCGAGTGCCGAGGGGAAAAGAAGCGTGAGGAACTGAATGTGCGTGATGTGAATGAGGGCCGTTGTGATAGCTCGCATAAGAAGGAAGAAGACTTCCTGCACCTTTGTCCACGAATCGTCGCCTGGTGGCAGCTGGACGCCAATATAAGGGAACATGAACGGGTAGCGCTGGGATTCGCCTTCGAGTAGGTCGAGGACGATATGGAGTGTGACGCTCAAGCTGATGAGCAGCATGAGGGAACTCGAGATCTGGAGGTAAAAGTTCTTCCTGCTGAGCGGGAAGTGGTACTGGACGGTGAAGAGAAGGTGGATGAGGAGCACCGAGATGAGCGCAATGTTGATGCCGTCGACGACGATCTGAGCGGGCATGCTGAAGGCAAAGTCGGGCATGAGGGCCAGCAAGGGGTCGTTGGAGGAAGTGGGCGATGGCTGACCATCGATGGAGATGGCTGCTGTCGGAAGTTCGGTGTAGGATGCTGCGGCAGATGAGAGCGTGTTTGATGTGTCCTGACGCCGCAGGAGATGCGGTTGCTGTTGGAAGTCATACTGCGGTGGGTCGTCTCGAAAGGATCTAGGCAAAGGTGTTGCAGCTGCTCGACGCATGGGCAGTGGCTGCTGTTGTCGAAGTACGTCCTGAGCATGAACGTTGGTACCGATGCTGAGGAGCACGCAAGCCAGCAGGCTCACGAGCACTGCCGTGCAGCCCACGATGGAGCGCAGACCCCTCATCTTGACGTTACTTGAGCAGGGTGGTGAGATTGGGCACCAACGGGCACGCTTATGCGGAATGTACCAGCATTGTATGGTATGGATTGGTTTGCTGCTCAGCGTTTGATCGATGATTGCTCGAGCTGAGCGCGATGATGGGATGGAGTGAGGTGAGATGAAAGAGAGAACGAGAGGTGGCCGCCAAGAGAGAGCTAGCCAGCCAAGAGAGTTCTGTAACTCGGCTGTTGCTCTCCCGCCGCGGCAGGACGGCAACTCAAAACTCTGTCCTGACCTGCTGCCCCGCCTTTGCCTTTGGCTTGCCCTGCAGCTCTCTTTGCTCGCTCAGCAGACCCTGCTTGGCGTCGTTTTAAGAAGTGAGGAGATGCTGGTCAGGGTCTAACAATCTCAGAAAATGGAACCACCCTGTTGGGCTCAGTTTTTTATATTCAAATGATGGCGCTTGCCTTGGATACAAACATAAGCACAGGTTAAAATGCATAGTCGACCTCACTTTCGCGGATCTAGGGAGTCGGGCGGCCGCTTTGGGGCGAGTCCCGTGGCCGAGAACTAGCATCCTTCGTGTCTTCCATCATCTGCTCTATCCTCCCCGAAGCATCATCATCGTGTTGTCACTCCAGCCAGCTCTGCTAAGCATACACGACTGACCATAGCAGTTGCTTCTGCCTTTTGCGCGCCTCATTCGCCTTTTTCTCGTCACCTCTCTGGATCTCGACTTTGTCACGCGCCGATCGCGCTTGCATACAGGCGTCGCGTCACTACCAACGCCTTTGTAGTAGCAACGTCTGCAAGACGCATCGAACGCAACTATGGAGGACGGCTACGATCATCACGAGGCTCCGCCCGCTGCCTACGACGAATCACACAATCCTTCCGTAAAGCAAGACCGAGACGAGCTTGACCACTCGCAGCACGGCTACCAACCTCACGCCTCGTATGCCTCCTCGTCTATCAACTTCAGCACTCCCGTCCGCAACTCTCACGCCGAGGCTCAAGCGGCACTCGAAGCGGTGGCCGCTGCTGCCAGTGCAGGCAAGATCCAGATGTCTCCACCTCACTCGTCTTCTGCCTCTGGCTCGGGTGGCTACATGACCACCCCCGTCAGTGCCGCCGCTGCCGCTGCCGCTGCTGCTGCAGCTGCTGCAGCCGTGTCAGCGCAGGAGCAGGATCCCGCGTCCCCCGGCGCATCGGCCTCTCCCTTTGGTACTCACCTCGGCAGGAACAAGGCCTGTCAAAGCTGTCGAGCTCGCAAGCTCAAGTGTGACGGTCAGAAGCCCGTCTGCGGTCAATGTGCTAAGGGCTGGCAGATCAAGTTCCGCATGGCTCAGAACAAGGCCAAGAACAAGAAGAAGGCGCAGGATCCTGCCGTCCGAGCCGAACTCGAAAGCTTGCCTGAGACCATGCCGCCATGTGTCTACCTGCCCATCACCCAGCGAACGCCCAGCCGCTCTGCCCGTGCCTCCATCTCGGGTCAAGACCCGGACAGCTCGTTCGCACCCGATACCCCATCTGGGTCGGCATTGCCTCCTATGGATGCTTCACCCATGCCATCCGCCGCAGTCAAAAAGCGGAAGCGCGCCGATGACCCTGCCGACGAACAGGTGCTGCATCTGCAGCAGGAAGTCCAACAGCTCAAGCAGCGTCTCGCCCAATTTACTGGCGTCTTTAACGGCACGCATCAGGCACTTGATCCCAACCAGGGCGGTGATGCCGCTGGACGTCATCCGTCCAAGGACGAGCTCGCCATCGCCCACATGCTTGCCACAAGCATGCCCACGGGCGAAGGCGGCTCCAACGGTATGCCCCTGTCTGGCACCTTCGACTACCAGCAGGCCGTAGCTGCTGTCGCCGCCAACGGTGGTCTCGGCGGTGGTAACGCCGCCCACTTTGACGTCCTCGACCCCGCGCTCAGCGGTGCCGCTTATCCTCACCCTAACGCAGCCGAGATTCGCACCGACCCACGCAGCGCAGCGTACAAACAGGCCAAAGTGACCGCTGTTCAGGACGACATGGACGAAGACGTCTTTGGCAACCCTCTCCTCGAACTCATGGTCACCAGCTGGCCTGCCGAGTTCCCGCCGCCTAACCTCGTCAACCAATTGGTGTCTACCTACTTTGAAAAGGCTGCTGTGCAGTCGCTGTTCCTCCATCCCTCTCGCTTCATGGAGAAGCTGTCCCATGGCCCCGGACACCCTCGATACCCAAGTCTCGGTCTGCTACACGGCATCTTTGCCCTGGCTTATCCTCGCCTCCGCAGCTCCGATTTGCAGGCGGACGTTGTCGGTCAGAACGTCTTCCACGGCGCTGCTACTGGTGAAAAGCTCGCCAGTCTCAAGGCCGCCGCCGCCTTCCACGCCAAGAAGGCCAAGGAGCTCGGCAAGCAGGCGACCAAGCAGCATCGTTTCGAAGAGGCAGCTCAGATCGAGGTTCTGCTGTGTGCCTACTATTACATTCACGATCGATCCATCGAGGCCTGGTTCTCGTCTGGCCATGCATGCTCGCTGCTCAAGGGCATGGAGCTCAACCGCTTGCCCTCCATCAAGACCTTTGCGTCTTCTCAAGACATCCGCAATCCTCCTGCTGCAGCGAGAAAGCAGCCCAAGCCGGCCGTCTATCGTGCCGTGCTCAAGGCGCCTGCTGCTAGCCCGCTGGAGCACGAGGAACGCGTTCGTCTCTTTTGGAACTGCTTCTACAGCGACCGTGCTGCCTGCTCCTCGACGCACTGGGCGCAGAGCATCGATGACTTGGACATCAAGACTGAGCTGCCTGGTGCCTTTGACGACTTTATCAACAGCACCTCGGACCTCATCTATCGACCAAGGCAGACGCTCGAGTCTCCGGACCTGTTCACCGATGGTCACTACGATCCTGCCATCCTCCACATCAAGGCGGCGGTGCTCCACTCCAAGTGTGTCAGCCATATGTCGAGGCTCCCCATCGATGCCTCCGTGCACGACGTGCTGACGCCTGACTTTTACAAGCTCGACGGCTGGGTTACTGCATTGATCCAGAGCTTCCCTCGCGAGTGGCGAGATCTCGCCGCGTTCGATCCCACCCTGCGTCCCTCTTCGGGCTTCGACGAGCCGCCTTTCCTCAACGACGGTGTCAACTACCGCCCGCAGAAGCAGATCAGTCTCATGACCAACCAGCTGGTTCTCGCGCACGCGCTCATGTACGGCAGCTGCATCTCGCTGCACGAGCCTGTGGCGCACCGCATGCCCGATTCGGCGCGCAAAGCGGCCCAGGCGGCGCAGAGCATCATCAAGATCCTCAAAGTCTTCATTGCCGCTCGCGTCGACCTGCTCCAAGTCGGGTCGTTGATGACGCTCATGATCGTACTTGCAGCGCGTTCCGTTACGCGGCAGTACAAGAAGAACCGTCGGGAGGCGGTGCAGGCGTATCTGCGAATGCGACGGTCGCATCCGGACGTGGCGGCGCGAGCATCCGAGGCTGGCTACTCGAGCGGTATCAGTGCGGCCTCCCCCGCGAGCTCCGGCGCTAAAAGCCACGGTGCAACGTACAACGCAACGGGAACCATGGGCCTCGACACCTCGGCCTCGGACGTCATCGACGAAGACGAAGCCGCCGCTTCGGCAGAGATCTCCACCGTCGGTTTCTCGGACAGCCTCGAAGACGAATTGGAATTTGCGCTCGACACGGACGCTGCGCTGCGCGCGCAGATCGACCCGGAAGGCTCCCTCGCCAGTCTGAGGGACGATTTGGAGCTCATCTTCTGGAGCCTGATCAAGTATGGTGAGACCTACCCGCTCGGCGTTGGCCAAGCGAAGGTGGTCGCCCAGCTGCTAGGTAAGGACTATTCAAGCGAGCTCGAGCAGGCAGGACTGTTCAGGAGGAGTGCGGAACCGAGTGTGTTGGGCAGTGCGAGCGATGCAGGCAGTTGGACGGATCACAATAGCCCGGCCAACTTTGCCCCGGGTGTCGGCGTCGGGCAGCACGCTAGCCCGCCGCAGGGGATGAGACCCATGCGCGCTCCCCAAGGGCCACAGTACGGTCCTCCCGGAGCAGGCGGCGCACCAGGCGTGTATGGCAGACCGCCACCCAATGCGGGTGCGGCTAGCGCAGCCAGCTTCTTCCACGCTACAGAAGGTGGTTATCGATTGGGCAACTTTTAAGGCTTTCTTTCACGCAATGTAAGGTTTACCTCGTAACGTCCGTCTTTTGATACCATTGCACTGATATGTCTGTGCCTCACTCTTTGGCCCAGAGCACCTCGACAGGGCAGGGGAAGCTGAGGCAGTACATCTGCTTGTTAGGTGCGACGTCTCGGACGTAATGAATCTCCAACCCGGCTGTTGCTTGTCCACCATCCCTCCGGTGCCACTCGTGTTCGACATGCGACATGAACTCGTCGCTGGTGGAGAGATGCTTGTAGGTGTTGTAGTTGGGGTGAGAAGTCAAATAGTTGCCCACCTCGGCGTCTTGTGTGGAAGCGCTCTTGCGGAGACCTGCAAGGGTTTGGGTGGGCGGTGGGAGGGGTCGAGCTTTGAGCCTGAACGACGCATCGGGTGGGATACCGAGCGCGAAGTTGGCCCGGTTGAGAATGTCAAGTGCGGGCGTGAAGGGGTCTTTGCTAAAGCAGTGGACGTGGATCATGGGCGTGGGTGTCAAGGTTCGATCTGCGGACGAGGCGCGCAAGGAAAGCTCGGATTCAAGCGCAGTCGGCGTGACGATGGTGGCCAGATGAGTGTATGCCCCGCGGAAGGCGTCGAGGAACTCCAAGGCTGTGGCGGGGAGGTTGAGGATGAAGTGGTCGATCAGGCGACGGGGTTCGTGCCGCGCCGGCTCAGGGGCGCGGGCGGCGAGGGTGAGGTTTGACAGCTTGTCCGCAGTATCGTTGGTCTCGGTGGTGAAGGAGTTGGTTTTCGCGGCTTGCTTTGCAGCATGCACCTCCCTCATCGCCTTAGCCTTGACCTTCAACTGCTTGCGCATATCCTCCCGCAATCGCTCATCCTCCATCTCCCCATCAGTCCCATCATACCCCTTCATCCGCCCCGCAAACGCCCGCTTCCACGTCTCCTCCATGCTCCACCTTACAAACGCCCTCCCATCCATGCACTTCGCCACCACCCCTCCCTGCCCCTCTGGTCCCTTCCCACCCTCGTCATCCAACAACACCTTGTTCAACCGCGCGTTCCTCTCCAGACTCTCGAAACTGCTCGGGTTCAAATCGTTCGCAATCACCCACGTCCCCCTCTTCCCCGCAGGAACGGCAAACGGTCCCACGCCCGCCATCACATCTCCCAACACCTGCCCCACCCTACACCTCCTAATCAATCTCGCGTGCTCCGCATGCAACCTCGAATTCCAATACACTGATCGAAAATCGAATTCAAACGTGCATTCGCTCTCGCTGACCCGGGCGGTGTACTCGGGAACACCCGCGAGAAGTTCCATCTTGAAAAAGCGAAACTCGGTATCGATGCTATCGAGCTTGTTGACCACCGTGCGGAGATGCGGGGCGTGTTTGGAGAGGATGATGTGACCAACGAGGAAACGATACGGTGTGTAAACGGGGAGGAGGTTGAGATGCGCAATGTGACCGACGATGGTGAAGCCGGATGGCACGCCGTCTGCTGCAACCAGAGATTGGGGGAGGAGGGCTTCGAGGATCTGATCCGACGAAAGGTGGTCGTACCCCAGAGAGAGGGTGAATGAGGGCAGGAGATGCAGAGAGTGTTTTTCGATGGTCGAAAGGATGATCTCGGGCGTAGGAGAGTCGGCGGGGATGTTGAGAAGCAAGATGCGTTGGGAAGCGTCCCCGCTCGGATGCGGCTGGACGTATCGGACGCCCGCAGCGTTGAACATGTACGGCATGATCGCTTCGTCTTTTGTGAGAAGCGGGAGCTGACGCCCTGAAAGCACGATGGCTTGGAGATGATGTGAAGAGGTGAAGGTGGGTTTGAGTTGCTCGAGGAGCCCGGCTGAACCGGACATGGTCTCGAGGAGCGGTTCGGTGCCTGTGAGGCGTGGGACGGCGGTGGGTGCCGAGACGGAGAGCTTGTGCTGGCGCATGGCTGTGCGTGTCGTCGTCGACGCGCTGGAAGATCCAGGCTGGTCGAGGGACTGAGTCGACATGCTGAACGGACGATAGCAGGTTAATCCGCTGTAAGTGTCAGCTCGACGAGAGGTGGACGGTGGACGTGGCTGGGAGAGAACGATTGCGCTTGTCTGATGTCTCACACGACGACTTGTAGTGAACGCGGTTCTACGGAAGAGTGGGATGTTGATGCCCCTGGAGAGCATGTGTGAGGGACTGATGTTGAGGATCGATGTGCTCCAGGCATGGTCGAAGGGAGCGAAAGAACTTGTTTGCTTCTTCTCACGTCAAAAAGTGTCCGCTGCAAAAACCAATCAAACCCGACATCCGAGATTGACACGGGGAGTTCTCCACATTCGACATGCTGCCACTTCGTACCACCATGACTATCCTTACATTGCTAATGTCTGTACACAGGTGCAGAACATGCCTACGCTTCTACATCCGCATCGAGCTCGGGCGTCCAAAGCACCAGCCTGTTAGAAAACATGTACCTGCTGAACACGAGGTAAAGGTATCGGAACCATTCGAGCTGGGTCTTGTGTTTGAGCATGGCGCGGATACCGTTGATGTATTGTTGCGTGCTGGCGAGAATGAGGATCTCGGATGCTGGCTTGTAGTTGGCGCTATCTTGAGCAGGTACGGGTCGACCCGAATACATGAAGGTCTCAAACACGGCTAGAGGCGCCGAATTGTACTTTTCCCACACCTCCATCGAGGGCAGCACGTAGAGTGGGAGGTTGCGAGCGACGGCGAGATCACGCGTGCCGTTGTAGGCTGCGATGTGGTTCAGATGGCCGGAGATGCCGTGCTTGTCAAAGGTGATGAGCGCGTCGATGGGGGAGGAGCGCTTGAGCGAGTTGATGTGCTTGCCTACCACCGAGGAGATGTGCTGGGTAGGCCAGGTGGCGTCCATCGAATCCTGAAGTCGTGCGTCATCGAGGTACTTGACTCTGCTCGCCGATACGCCGAGCTGACCGTAGCTTGCATAGAGCTCCTCGGCCCGCTGATGGCCCAATCCTGCCGCATTCCCTGTCGACAGGCACAAGGCTGACAAGACTGTGCCCGCCGCGGCGAGCCCTTGGACAGCGGGCGCAAAGAACATGGCCTCGTCATCCGGATGTGCTGTGACGAGTAGCGCTGAAGAAGGCAGGGAGCGTATGGAGCCGCTAATGGCGGCGTCCAAGTCAGGGTGCTCGACACGCAAGCCTGATATCAAGTACTGCAGCAGGAACGAGCCGAGGAAGACGGTGAGGAAGAATTGCGGATGCGGGATGGCATTCCGCAAATAATGCAGCGGATGCTTAGGTCTATCCGCCATGATGTTCGATGTGTCGTCGGTGGGAAGAGTGGACAGTTGATAGGTAGGAAGGTGGAAGGACATGTGTTGCTTCGAGCAGCTCATGCGGGGTCTCTCGGATCAGAAGAAACGTGCGCACGGCTATGCTGTCAAAATTTTTCGTATTTGTGTGCTACACCGATGTAACATGAGCAAGCTTTTCGCAAAACGGTGTGAGATCATGATGGCATGAGTTCGGCTAGAGTCGAATTGTTTGCTTGCGCGCATGCCCGCTAAGCGGGCGCCAGCCAATCTCGTTTCGAGCAGAGGACCGCGAGACTGAAGGTGTGGGGCAATGTCGCGACGTCGACAAGGAGAAGCACGCCGATGCTCACCGTCGGCGTAGTGCGAGGTGGCGTGCGTACAAGGAGGCAGTGCCAAAAGTAAGGCTATCTTTGTCTCTCTCTCTCATCCATTGCCTCGCGTGATCAGATTGTGGGTCGTGATAGGCTCGGTTGGGGAGAATGAGAATCTGCAATCCAAAATGAGGCCATTTGTGACCTCGAAGCGAGCTCGCAAGTCATGATTAAGAGATCGACAGAGTGCCAATCCTCGAACCGCACAACTTGAAACTGTAGGTTCGACAAGACTGGACCGATTGTTAGGGTTCCACACGTGCAGTCAAGGTACTTGAGAGTGTGCTGCTGCTCATCACATGGTCATCGAGAGTGCCACCAAAGGGAGCGACGGCGAAGTACATGGGCGATACGAGGGACGGGACTGCTGAACGCCATCTTTTGACTGCCCGACGGCTTCCCGCTCTTTGTGAAATTTCGAGGTCCGCTCTAGGGAACCCTTGGCCAAAGTGGCGAAAGGGTCCACAGCCACAGTGGCCGCTCTGCAGCTCGAGCCCCACGAAACGAAATTTGTGCAAGCTTGTCTCGCATTTTATCCTAAGTGCCTGTCTCACACCAACCAGATCTGCCTCTTCAACAGAGACACACACTGTTTGTTGGTCTTGCGATCCAGCACGAGCTCATGTTGTCTGCAAACAAAGTCATCCAGTCGAACAAGGAAACGTAGGACGAGCAGCACCCTGGCATCCCGTCGGTCAAGAACCAAGGCGAGGATGCATGAAACTCTGGCTGCAGTCTGTGACAACCCACGCTGCCGGCCTGTGTAACTTTCCCACAGGCGTGTCACCTGTCACAAGCTCAAGGCGAGAACCCTCTTTTTTCTTCCCCAAGGCTCTCTCTCTCTCTTTCCCCGTCCCGACCTCGCCCTGCTGCTCTCATGGCACTGTTGCACTGACTAACCTTGGTGATGTGCTGCTCACCCGTTGGCAGAGTTGCTCTCGTGTGACTGCATGGGCTGGAATTATGCACCTCCAAGTCCCGTCACTCCTTGACTGCGCCGTGAGACTGAAGATATACTGTATATCACCCAACCACCTCAGGACATTTCTACCTCCATCTCTCTTCCTCCTTGCTCGCTTCTCTCTACTACCACACACATCGCAGCTGCAACCGTCCACAGAACAGCACTCAGTCGCTTCATTTGACCCATCGACAACGTTGGCCGTTCCCGTCTTCTAATTCGACCATCGTCGAGGTCCGAGCTTCTGCCCCCGGTGACCTTCGAGAACGATCCGGTCAGAGCCTATTGTCTAGCACGGATCGCGTGCAGAATCCCGCCTTCCCACTCGGAGCCCTCCTATCGCCTAGCTACTCGCACAGCTCGTTGCACTCGTCTCTGGCAACCCGACCCCACTTTCATCTCGTCTCTCTTCGCAATTCTCCGCGCGACCCAAGCATCCGGTCGTTCTCAAAAGAACGCCAGGAGCCTACAAAAGCGCCTCCCCTTCGCTCAAACCGTCAAGACCACCACAAGCCTTCCTCAGGCCCTCTGATCCAATTGCAATAGTCATGGCCATGCCGCACCACAGCGCAGGCGCCTCGCGCACCTCGCACCCTTATCATGCTCCCCACCTCGTCGCTGCTACTAAATCCTCGCAAAGACCCGCTCAGACCTCTTCAGTCACGCATTCCCGCGAGTCTTCATTCAAGCACAATCAAGACCCTGCGTGTGTCACTGCAGGGGCCGCAGCTTTCCCTTCAGCCGCCTCATCGCTCCTCGCGCCTCCTCCTCCCTCTGCCCTGCCCCCCATCCCACGATTTGGCCCTCAGGCCTCTACTGATGGAAACGACACCACTAGCTCTGCGCAAAGATCCTCAGGCCCTCTGTCCAAGAGCATTCGAAGGGCATTGCGACAAATCAGTGCCGGTCTCACCAAAGACGAACACGCCCAACTCGTCCAGAAGATTCTCGTCGATCTTCGTCCGGCTCAACCTTCCTCCTCCATCATTCGTCCCTTTTCGCGTCCTGCTTCCACCAGTGCTGTCACCAATAAGATGTCTTCTCGCCAATCTCACAGCGTCGACAGCACTCCGCTGATCACTTCCAAGCGCCTCAGCGTTCGCTCCCACAGCGACGATTCCAGCGCAAGTGGCTACGGCAGCCACTCCGGCGAGGAAAAGCTCACCCGCACTCCTCCCCTCAGCCGCAGCCAAACCGCCACGCCCACCACGCCCGCTAGCGTTCTCACCCACGACAAGCAACTCAAGCTCCAAGTCGCCGACGCCGACAAATCCGTCTTAACACCCACTGCCGCCCTCGAAAGCCTTCGTGTTCTCGAGAACAGCTTTGTGCCATCCACCCTCAGCTTGCCCTTGGATGGAGCTGCCGACGCCCAAGACGACGACAAGCTCTCGCTCAACACTGCTCTTGCATCGCCCACAAAGTCTACGGCTGGCGACAAGGACGCGGCTCCTTCTTCGCCCGTGTCCGCAGGTCCTGTTTCTCCTACTCGAGCCAAGCGAAGCAGCTCCTACCGCAAATCGGTCCCCACTCTCGACGACCTGGCCACTCGCTCCAAGAGACCCGACATGAACGGCCGCGAACGTCACCGTAGCGCTTCGTCTGTCTCTGCGGCCTCCCAGCCTCCTCTGTCGCCCTCGAGCACCTACACCCAAACGCCCAGCTGGATTTCCTCACTCACCACCTCCGAGGCCATTCGCGTTCTCGCTTTCCAGCAGGACTCGATCGAGGCTGGCTCCGACGCTGAAGCCGACGCGAATGTCGATCCCAGTGCTACAAGCGACGAGCTCAGCGCACTCCGATACGCACTCAAGTACGCTCTTGCACGCTCGGACAAGCTGGCCGAGGCTCTCAGCCGCGCGAACCAGGACAGAATCAAAGCCGAGTCCGAACTCGAAATCCTTCGCAACAATGTCTTGGCCATGCTCAGCAGCAAGAGCATCCTCAGGTCTCCTGATAAGCTCAAGACACGCGAGTTGCACGCCGACAACGCAAAGCGCCCCGCCGTTCGCACGCAGACGAGCGAGGAGGAGGACACGGACCAGTTCGAGGATGCTCACTCTCGGCACGGGCACGGCGCGGTCGAGCGAACAAACGTCTCTTCGCCCAAGAAGAAGCAGGTCAGCATCGACCTTGAGCCTCGGGTCGTCAGCGCTGTCCCTGCTGCCACGAGCCTCTCTCGACCTCCGCGGGCTGAACGCGCAGCAGCTGCTTCCAAGGCTGTCACTCCCGTCCTTGCTCCCGCTGCAGCCGAACCTGCCAAGCCCGCGACCGGCGTCAGCATCGCCAGTCTCCGTAAGAAGCAAGCCGAGTCCAGCGCGAACGCCTCGTCCAGCACAGCCCAGCGCTACGCTCCATCCCGCAAGGCCCTCGACCTCGAATCCGAACCCACCGACACCTTGCCGACGGACGAAGACGAGATCGACGACGAAGAATTCGACATGTTCCCCTTCCACCAGATGCGCCGACGCGCCGCGCCCGAAGTGTCGATGGCCGACTTCCTCAACGCCTCGCGCATGTCCAAGAGCGAGATTGAGCAGCACGATGCGCGACGCGAGCTCGAGCGCGAGGACGAAGCGGGCTTTTCGCACTCGCGCTCTCCTCTCGTCGGAGGGTTGTCCGCTCGTCGTGGGATCCTCAAGAACCTTGGCAAGCTGGTCGAGACGGAACGCACCAAGCGCAACGCACGCCGCACTAGTGCTAGTATCATCTCCAAGCCGAGCCTGCTCTCGATCAATTCGGTCGCTGTTTCGCGCGACAACGGCAAGCTCTCCCGCTCGGCCTCGGGCGCGAAATCCAACCGACCCGGCCACCTCATGTCGTTCAGCGAGGAGAGCATCATCCCGTCCTACCCCAAAGGGAGTCTCGGCGCTAGCACCACGGCCGCCGCCGCAGAAGCCCGCTTGAGAGCCCTCTCCACCCATTCGTCGCTCAGAGAGAGCCTCGAGAAGCAGAGCCTGTGGGAGGCCGGCATTCGCGCCTGATTTCGCGCTTGTAACACCGTCACTTTCTGTCCTTTCAATTGTCACACTCGTTTGAATATCGCTGTTGTCGTGAATCGAAATGCATTTCGAACAGACCATGCTATGAGGACACATGAGACAACGCTTCGCCTTCCCCTCCCCCTTGCTGGTGGGCATCACTTCTCCTGCGCGAGATAGTACTCCTCGGCCTGAGCAATGCACCTGACGTTAGACGCAAGCTTGTTGATCGTCTCGACGTACTCGTCCTCCTCGACACTGTCGTACACGATGCCGCCGCCCGCCTGGAGATACGCATACCCATCCTTGAACGTCATGGTTCGGATGGCGATGCAGACGTCCATCTCGTTCTCTGCGAAATCGATCCTTCCCACCGCCCCGGCATAGACACCTCGCTTCTCGCCCTCGAGCTCACTCACCAGTTCGATCGCGCGGATCTTGGGTGCACCGCTCACCGTCCCTGCTGGGAAGATGGAGCGCAGGGCATCGAATCTCGACTTGCCCCCTCGTAGTTGACCCGTGATGCGACTGGTGAGGTGCATCACATGGCTGAACTTTTCCACGTTCATAAACGTTTCGACCTGCGTGGTGGCTGGATCGCAGACGCGGTTGATGTCGTTCCTCGCCAGATCCACCAACATCACATGCTCCGCCTGATCCTTCACTGACCCCGCCAGTTGGGACGCGAGGAGTCGATCCTCCTCATCATCTTTTCCGCGTTTGACAGTCCCCGCGATCGCATGAACCGCCACTTTACCCGCCTCGATCTTGCACAGCGTCTCCGGACTCGCCCCCACCAACTGCGCATCCCCACAGTCGACGTAAAACATGTACGGGCTGGGGTTCACCTGTCGTAGGTGACGGTAGCAGTTGAACGGATGAAGCGTGGTGCGTCGCGTCAAACGTTGCGAGGGCACAGCTTGGATGATGTCCCCCTTAACAATGTTGGCTCGGAGGGAGGTGACGAAGCCTTCGTAGCCAGCCTTGCCGACGTTGGAGACGGATTCTTGGCCGGTGAGGATGGGCGGTTGGACGGGCATCGGCGTGATAGGCGAAGTGAGCGTCGCGATCAACCCATCCACTTTGACCTTTGCTGCGTTGTACAGCTTCTCCACATCCCCCTCGGTCGCCTTCCCAGCAAGCGCCTCCGGCAGATGAACATGACTAACACATCGAACTGTGGAGAAAACGTGATCGAACACAATCAACGAGTCCGCCACCATGAAGACGCTCTCCGGAATCCCCAACGTGTCCTTCAGCTCGCGCCTCGTCCTCGGCTCGAAATACTGCACGCAGTCGTAGCTGATATACCCGATCGCACCGCCCGTGAACGTCGGCAGCCCCTGAATCGGGATGTACTTGTACGGAGCCAGTTCGCGCTCGATGACCACCAACGGATCCCCGGTAGCGTCAAGCCCAGGACCCGTACGAATGATCTTGAGCGGATCCGAACCGATAAAGCTGTACCGACCGATCTTTTCGCCGCCCGTGACGGATTCGAAGAGGAACGAGCGACGGGTGATGTCTGCGCCGGAAGAGAGCTTGAGGTACGCAGTGACGGGAGTGAGCAGGTCGGAGGGAAGGGAGGTGTAGACCGGGATGATGTTGCCCGATGGGTTGGGGGCGAGGAGGGCGGCTTGCACCTCTTCGAGCGAGGGCTTGAGCGCGTGCTGTTGCGTCAAAGGCATGGTCGACGAATGGAAGAGGGCAAGGGGGGTGGTTAGCAAGGCTGATGAGTAAGAACGGGAAGCGGGGAGACAGCTTACCAGAGCCATATTTGTAGCTGCTTGTGCCTGTGCGAGGCTCTGTAGGGTGGACGGACCGAGCGGAAGGAGTGCGGGTTTAGGCTCGCTAGAAGCGGTCCGAGGGCCAGAGGTGGCGATAAGAGACTCGAACGAATGAGACGAAGCCTGGCGATGAAGCTGCACCGTCGGTACGGTTCTTGCTGATGAGCTGTCGTGGGAAGCAATAAGGGTGTGCTAGGACGATAACAACCGCCGTGTGGGTAGGAGCAGTGAGGGTGCTCGCGATGGGTGCAACGTGTGATAGCGTTGACTTCGATAGTCGTCTGCGTGCTGGCACGATAGACGGGTACAGGAAAGGGGTTGTGTGGATGGTCGATAGTGGGCGGTCGGGAGTGAGAATGTGATCAAGCTCGACAACGAGGATGAGAAGAATGGACACGAGTCACTTTTTTGAACGCAACGACCGGCGGCGGGTCCAAGCTGTCCCCACTCAAAGCTGCTGCGCTGTGCTCCCTTATTTTTGATGCCCTCTTTTTGTGTCACTCTTTTTTTGGCTTTTGTGGCTTTCTCGCATTTCTTCTTGGATCACCGATAGTCGACGTGCGTTAATCAAGAGTCTGAGCCAGATCGGTCGATTTTCCTAAACCCTTTCCGACTTGCATTGCCTTTCGTTCGTCACCGACAACCTCCTCGACCGACAACCACCTTGCAGCCAAAGCAGCACGTCGATCGTCTCGTCCACGCAGCTCGAGCTTCGTCTCAGAGCAGCAACCGCGGCGTAACACGGCAACCATGGCGCCCGCACTCAACCTACCCGCGCCTGCGCATGGCACCGACAACACTCTCGCTTCCACCTCGAGCTCGAGCTCCAGGTTCGCCTCGACGGGCGGCATCATCTACCCGCCACCCGAACTGCGCAGGACGATCGATAAGGCTGCAGAGCTCATCGCGAAAAAGGATCCGGCGTTCGAGGTGACCATCAAGGCCACGGAACAGAACAATCCCAAGTTTGCCTATCTCAAAGAGGATGATGTGTACCACGCCTACTATGCTTCTCGGCGAGATGCTGTGCGACGCGGAGAAACGCTTGCGCCCGCTTCCGCTGACGATACAGCATCCAGTGGTACTGCACAAGGAGAAATGCAGGACAACGCAGTAGCAGGCCCTTCGACGCAGGCGCCCCCAGAGCCGCAACCATTCGAGTTCTCCGCCGACCTGCCCAACATCACCGCTGTCGACCTCGACATTCTCAAGCTCACCGCGCTCTTCACCGCACGCAAGGGTCGTTCGTTCGCGACCTCCCTGCTCTCGCGCGAATCCAAGTCGTATCAGTTCGAATTCCTTCGACCCTCTCACTCGCTTTTCCCTTACTTCAACCATCTCGTTGAGCAGTATCAGAAGGTCATCTCGCCCACCGCTGCCCTGCTGGATACCGTCAAACTCGGCGCATACGGCACGACGGACACCACTGCCATCTCCTCGCAGCGCACGCGATCCACGCTCGGCACCGGCAAAGGTGGCGCCCGCCCACTTCTCCTGGAACAAGCCAAATCCCGCGCCGAATGGGAAAAGTACACGCGCGAACGCCGCAAGAAACAGGACGAGGACCAAGAAAAGCAACGGCAGGCCTTCGACGAAATCGATTGGCAGGACTTTGTCGTTGTCGGCAGCGTCGAGCTCACCGAGGCGGATGGGCATCTCGATCTTCCCCCACCCCGATCGTTGCGCGAGATGGAGAGTATGACGCTGGCGCAGAAGAAGATGGCGAGTATGATCATGGTGACGGACGACGGAGAGGAAGTGGAAGAGCTGGTGATGCCGAGATCTTCACTCAGTGGGGTGGCGACTGCACCGCCACCGCCAGCGGTCGAAGAGGTCGTCGGCAAGGGAGGGACGATCAAGGTGCGTCGCGACTACGTACCGCGTGGCCTCGCGTCGCGCACCGCACCCACCACCACCAAGTGTCCCGTGTGTGGGGAGATGGTGGGTGTAGACGAGATGGCCGAGCACGTCCGGTTCGAATTGCTCAACCCAGCCTATCGCGAGCAGCGTCAGCAGTTGGAGGCGAAAAAGGCAAACCAGTCCGCGCTCCAGGCGGGAGCAGATCCCACGTTCTACCTCAAACAGCTCGCCTCCGGTCGAGCAGATGAAGACGAGGACGCCAGGCTGAAGCGCGAGGCGGAGGAAAAGAGACTGGCGAGGGAGAAGGAGAAGATCATCTGGGACGGTCACGCAAAGTCACGGCAGGCGGCAAGGGAGTTGATTGCGAAGAACAAGGGGTTGGAGGAGGAGATGCATAGGGTTTCGGGGAGACCTGTGGTGAAGTTGGCGGAGTTTGGACCGCAATTCCCGGGGATGGACGGCGATGTGGGTCAAGGAGTTGATGAGGAGGAAGGTGATGATAGGCCGATCCAGCTGCCAGCAGGGAGCACGTTGCCTGCTCGACCGGTCACGAACTCACCACCACCACAGGGCGTCAAACGTCCAGCATCAACCGAGCTGTCGCCACCTCCAGCCCCCCCGGCACCGCAGCCCTCCACCGCCCTCGCCAAGAAGACAGACGGCTCGCTACACCCCGAAAAAGCCTGGATTGAAGCACACTCCCGACCCGCGATCACACTCACTCTCGTTCTACCAAATGACGAAGGGGGCGAAAGGGAAGAGCCGTACGAAGCGGCGATCAAGTCAACGATTGCTACCATGCGTGACTACGTACATCAGGATCTGTTAGATAGCCAGGTGGCGGCGAGCAAGATCAAGATCAAGGTCAACGGAAAAGCGACGACGCTGAAGCAGACGCTGGCGCATTGGAACTTGACTGATGGGGATATGGTGACCGTCGACGTTGTGAAGTAGAAAGTTTTGATGCGGAATCGAAGTGATTTCTTTGCGAAAATCGAGTGAGGCAGAGCTAATCCAATCCTGCCTTCACGTCTCTGTTGCGTTCTGTGTCGATCTGTCCGATCATACGGTCGATCCTTTCCAGAGTGCTCATAAATAAAGTACCTGCTACTTCTCGCGTACCGTCTGTGCACATGCTGAAACAATGGAGCTGCCGCCCTTTGTTCTTCGGCTTCCAAATAAGCAAGCGCGGTTCTGCAGCAACGCGCCGGGAAATCGGCCTTTTTCGCTGAGCAGAGTTTGACAGCTCGCCCCTGCATGGAACGCACGCGGCCAGCTGGAGCCGAACAAAGGAACCTCCAACCGAGCGTGGCGGCCAGCTCAAATTACTGACCGCTGCCGCCCTTGTGCACAGCGTCGATCCCTTTGAAGACGTCGAAGGGCACGGAAAAGAGGCAGAACAGCTCGAACAGCGATCAGCGATGTGACATGCTGGGCGTCGAGGCGTGCATGCATACCAGCAGCCGCCGTCGCACCTGCCTTCGACGGGGTCCAAGCGCCTGTCGCCGGGCTGATCAGCTTCGCGTACCTCCCTGCTGTCAAAGCGCTCATCCTCAGCCTGTCGTTGGGCTCATCGCTCGACAGGATATCCAACTACCCTTTGTCGTCATCATCAGATACATTGCTCCGCCTCACTACTGTAGCTTCCAATAGAACGTCAAAGTGTCTGAATCGTCCTGCCTGACTGGACAACAGTTGCTGCACGCTCGTGTGACATATATACTTGATCCCCTTCGACGTCTGACAAACTCTTCAGCGCTTCAAACAACCTCATCATGTCAATCAGCAGCTCCAGATCTTCTTCACCGTCTCCCTCGAGCGCTAGAGACGATGATACGCTCAATCTATCTCTCACGTTCCTCTCTCTTTCGACAGGCGATTCATCCACGAATGCACCTATCGTACCTTCCACTGCCTGCTCGTCAGCCGTCAGCTCCGCCGAAGTACCGGTGAGCAAGGCTCCAGCCCCAGCGCTGAACGACAGACCCCGTGGTGGTAGGACAAAGAGCATTCGACAAGGTCTCTCTAATCTTCCAGCACCGCCTTCGCCATTCGGTACCCAGCTTGAGCCCGAGACCCGAAGCTCCATATCGCACAGCCACGATAGGACACACGACACTATACTTTCACGTCCATCCTCGCCTGCAAAAGAGATCGACAAGAACAGGTCCTCACAAGCCGACTCGGACTCAAGGTCTGAACCTTCGTCGTCAAGATCTGCATGGGAAGCGGCGAAAGATCTGGCCATCTCGTACGGCGGATCTGCGATGGCGTCAGTGTCCGAGCACAAGCTTTTGGCGGCTTACGCGGCAACATGCGGACTCTGCATCGTCGCCATTTGCCGGCCTCGCTGGGTCTTCGTCCCGATCGGCTTTCTCTACAGTCGCTTGAGCGATCCTTGGAGCTCCTATCGTAGCGTGCTTCACTCAGCCGTCATGTCGATGCACGGCATCTATCATCCTATGCTGTGACGGGTCCAGCTGGCTAGAATCCTATCTTCCATTGTTCCTTTGTTTAGCCGAGACCTGTCATATCTCTCATCATGGAACGGCAATCTACACTCTTTTTCCTGCGATTGACTGAACGCTCCTTCATCAGACCCGTTCCGCTCTGCGCCAATCTTGTTACATTCGCGAGCATTCGGGTGCAATGTGAAATGGCTGCCACAATGGCGTTCGGAGCGCTCTTTTGTTCTCAAACAAGATTGCGAGACAGATGTCGGGATCATCGTCCCGGACCTCTTCAGCTGCAGGAGGAGCACCGAGCGCTGTGCCTCGCGCCCACTCTGCTCTGATATAAGTCCCCGCTTCCAGCTTGAGCGAGTCTGATCCACCATCGTCTTCCTCATCGCTCGACTAGTGACACAGCCTAGCGATCAACGGCACCTTGAACCACAGCAGCGACGAGTCACTGCCACGCCGCACGATGTTCTGGCGAAACGATGGCGCTCGTCGCTCCGACCCCCCAACTCCACTGCCCTCCGGATCCCAACGCCCAGCCCAGCATTCACGCTCGACACCATGCAGCCAGACCTACATGCGCGCCTTATTTGACCCAGAACCGTCCGCGCACGCCTTGAGAGCCGAGAACAGAATCCCTCGTGCTTCCAAAGCGACACGCAAAAGCCGTGCTTCCCATCGCTCTTCCACAGAGCCGAGTGCAGCCGCATTCCCGCCGCACATCAATAGCCTTCAAGTGCCGCCGGCAACCCCGACGCAGGCGATCGCTTCCACATGGGATTCGGTTTCGCAACTCGCAGTGTCTTGCGAGTACCACGCATTCGCAGGCTTAGCCCTAGTGGGCTTGGGAAAATCGGCAAAGGGCCTGGCGAGGGTCGGATTGGTGCTAGTGCTTGTGTCCAATCCGAGATTGGTGTATCGGACAATGGATGCGTGGTGGACCGTCCTGAAACATCCGTGGAAATGGTCTCGTCATGTGGGCTACACCTTCATCCTCTGGTGATTCATTTGGTCATAAGCTCGGGCCTTCACGACGAGCTCTTGATTGGCTGATGAGGCTCATATTGAGGGCGATCAATCGTCCGAACTCAAGTCGCTGTCCTCCTCCTCCTCCTTCTTCGCTTTCTTCTTCGGAATCGACTTCTTATCACCACTCTTCTTCTTCGTAGCGTGCAGCTTTTCCGCCTCCTCAACCACTCGATCTGCTTTAGTCAGCCACTCCTCCGCTTCTTTCCACTCTCCCCACTTGGTCCCCCTCAACGCATGCAGCGCCTGAATCTGGTAGCTCCACACCTCGTGCATCTTCTTCGTCCCCTCCTTGGCCGGGTACGCGGCTACTGCATTCCCCAGCGCTGGCGTCTCCAAAATCAGCGGAGTGCCGTTCCACCTCTCGTCATTGACCACGTTCCAGAACCCACCGATGCCAATGTGTCCCCTGCCAATGTTGGCGTGGCGGTCGCGTCTGCAGGCGAGGGGGAACTTGGAGTCGTTCAGGTGGAGCGCGCGGACGGTCTCCCAGCCGATCGTCGTGTCGATGAGCTCGGTGAAAGCAGCGTACGCGGCTGGATTGGTGATGTCGTAGCCTGCGGCGAACGCGTGGCACGTATCAATGCACACGCCCACTCGTGCTTTGTCCTTGACGCCGGCGATGATCGCCGCGAGATCGTACAGCGACGACCCGAGAATGGTATCGTTCTTCGATCCGGCCATATTCTCGACGAGAATAACCACGGAAGACGTCAGCGCATGGGCGCTATTAATGTAGGAAGCGACGAGGGCGCACGCGTCCGCTTTTGCTGCGCGGACGTCCCCACGTGGTCCGTCGACGGGCGCCAGCTCCTCAGTGGCAGACGCAGCGGTCATCGAGCCAGGGTGAAAGTTGAACAGCCGCACACCGAGCTTCTCACACCGCTGCAGGTCGTCGATGAACGCCTCGAACGATTTGTCCCGCTTCGACTCGTCTGGGTTGGCCAGGTTGACCAGGTAGCATCCGTGTGGCACAACGTAGCCACAGTCTTCCACCTTCCGTGCCCCATCCTCCTTCTTGAGCGTCGATGCGGGAGGCATGAAGCCGTGCTGGGCAACTCGATGCTTGAATTCCTCGATCGAGGTGTCGGGTATGGGATTCGACGCCCACTGCATCTTGGGTCGGACGAAACACGAGAATGCATTGCCGCCGATCCTGAGCGCGTTGAGGGGTGCATTCTCGACTCCGCCTGCCGAGCTGATGTGTGCGCCGATGAATAGGCCGCTTCCTCTTCTATCTGGGCGTTGATGATTGCCATCGCGGAGAATCAGGTGGGGTGACGGTCGCGGAGGGAAGTTCTCGCCTTCTTCCTCCGCCTCCTTTTTGGTTCTGCGCTTCTTGGCTGCAGCAGGCTTGATGTCAGGCATAGACGAGTCGATGCTCTCGGTCTTGACTGGCTCTCCAATCGCCTCCGTCTTAACCCTTTGCTTCCCCCGAGATCCTTGAGAAGTGATGTCCAAAGCAGAGGCCGTGTCGTCAACCGGCTCTGCCTTGACGCGAGTGCGTTTGGGTTTAGGCGATATTGAACTCGTCGTTGGCTCCACCGCATCTGACGTGGATGCCAGTATTTGCGAAGCCGTCGATATCGATCTTCGACTGCTCCTTCTCAGTGTTGTCGAGGCGATCGAGTCGACGGCCGGCGCAAGAGTCTTGGATGTAGGCGGCATGTTGAAGTTGACCGGATAGCGTTATGGCAGGAGGTAGCACTGGTGGAAGGTAAAGCTTCCTTCCGCCGGCTTGCTTTCGGCAACCTAAGCAAGAACGAAGGCGAGCGGCTCAGAGTGGAGGTTAGCCGGCCTTTTTTTGGAAAGGGAGACGGGTTGGACAAACCTCAATCTAACAAGCGCACCGATTTGGCCTGCCGAAGAGCCTCATCTGAGAAGCCGGGCGACCAGATCGGGGCGTTCGCACCGGTATGCTTCAGCGTCGGAGAAGAGGGATTTCCAGCCCGACCCATCCCTATTGTGGATGCTCAATGCACGGAGAGAAGCCATCCACGAACATGTGCCAAGCACCGGACGCGGAGTTTGTATCCCACCCAGCAGCTGGTTCCTTAGGCTCGTGTTGATTATTTTCTTGCCAAGCCGTTGTGCCAAGACAAAGGCCAAGACCCAGCCAAATGCGAGAGAACAAGCCTCTCGCTCCAGCCCGGAGGAATTTCATCTTGTCTGCCATTGTCAAACAGTGCCAAGCCATCGCCTCGTGAGCTGCTGGTCTGTTTTGCCAAGATCGCGAGGAGGAATATGGAATCGATTGACTCGGTCGTGCCTGTCTCCCAAGGCTACACAGTAGGCCTTGTCTTGCGGCACAGCGCCAAGTCGACGATCACATCGAAAGCAAGCCTTCGGGCCGAGGCTGGGCAGCCTTTGAGGGTCGTAACGCCGCAGGCTGACTTCGCGGGCGGCAAGGTAGAACGACGGGCTCGTCAAAGACCTCGTGGGGAGTGAACGATGTCAAGAGCGGTAATTGACCGCATCAGCTTGCAACAGACACTTTACAGTTCGGAGGTCCATGCCAAGCCTTGTCAATGCATCGGCGTGCTGCGCTAACGGATGCCAACGCCCCCCTCCTCTACGACCTCTTCGATCCCGAGAGACCCTTCTCAACGCCACGCTGTCGCAACCCTCGCACCCTGTCGATCCAGTGGCAAGCCATTGATGCATCTGCCCTATCAGTGCGGAGAATCTTCCAACACATCATCGCGCATTGTCCATCGTTTCCGGAGAACCAGCCACCGAACGATCTTGCCGAAGCGCACGCGGCGCTAGGAATGTGTCTTCCCTGTCCGCGATTGAAGGTTCGGATCTTGGCGTCCTCAAGGTTCGATCTCAAGCGAGCGTGGCGGATGTCTGTGCCGCCTCGTGTGTTGTTTGCTAAGCTTGGCATGTCCCGACACAGCCTTGACGACCTAAGCGACCTTTTGGACCTTCTGACCCCTGGGGACCGATCCTGACCTGTGCATGCGGAAAGAGTATATGATCCCTCGTCGATCTTCTACGCTCCGCGACGAATCTACCACCTCTTCTTCTTTCACCTCCCGGCCCTTCTCCTTCGTATACCATCTCAAACACCTTCGAGACCACCGAAGGAACTCACAACATCATCATGACCAAGATCGCCCTCTCTCTGGCGCTTGTGTCGGCCGTCCTGGCCGGCAGCGTCTCCGCTCAGTCGCCCAGCGGCACTCGCGGCAGCGGTCCTGACCCGCGTGCGACCACCGACTTGAACCGCAACCAGCCCACCAAGTCGTGGACGCAATGGCAGCCCAAAGCCACCTATCCCTTCTCGCAGCTTCCTGACCAGTACATGGGTGCTAACCGCATCCCTGCAGGTGAAGGTGGTGTTCCCGGTGGCGAGCCGCAATCTGGCTACAACACCTGCGCCCGAAACACCTGGAACCAGGACTCCAGGTGCCAGACGGCGTGGATCAACTCGCTGGAAGACTTCTGTATCTGGGGTCCTGCCGAGTTCGGTACTGTTGGTGAAAAGGAGCGATCAGGTGTTGCCTACTGCACAAGCGACCGACACGGCACGCGTCTCATCCCTGATGGATCGATTCAGGGTGCTCACTTTGTCCGCACTCGCGACTACGTCCAGGTGACCGGTGTCGGCGACTTCACCACCATCCTCATCCCCGATGGTGACGATGGAGGAGAGTTCGACCCTCACGGAGCTGACGATCTCGGCAACCCCATCGGTGGTATCCTCTACACCACCGCCAACCCGGCCACCAACGGCGAACCGTACTTCGTCTCGGAGTGGACCAACTTTATGTCGTACAACCAGTTCTGCATGCGCGCATGTTGGGGCGAGCGCGCGGCGGCACAGTGCGAGCACATCTACGACGTCATGGGTTGTCGCTGGAACCTTCCTGCCAACTACGATCCGGATGTGTTCGAGACGTGCGAGGGCGAGATCGCGCAGCTGCAGGGTATCTATGGTAGCTCGACGTTCCGACAGGGAGATCCCGTTACGCCATCTGCCCACCCGGCACCGGCTTCCAGCCAGTGCTCGACGGTGAGGAGCATCAGCCACGGCCTGCTGCTCGCTGGTCAGTCGCAGAGCTCCTCCACCTCGAGCGCGTCGTCGAGCACCAGCACCAGCGCGGTCTCGTCGGCCGCGGCATCGTCCATGTCGCGTGTCACCGGCGGCTCTTCTGCCCCAGCTGCGACCGGAAGCACCGGCAGCAGCGGAAGCACCTCCCAGAACAACGCCGCTAGCAGCGCCACCTCCATGACCGTCTCCTTCACGCTCGCTGGTCTCTTCGCCATCGGCGCCGCCGCTTTCGTCCTCTAAGTGTTCGAAGGAATTTGCTCCATCTCAGTGGACCGACCCCACTCGCATCCAATTCGTTGTTTAGCCTTCTCGCATGGACACTCTGTCTTTTTCCCTCTCAATGATCACTTGCATACACGCCTGCCTTGATCCGTGTGTGTGATCGCCCCGTGATAATGTGAATGTGATGAACGAAACGTGATGGTGTAAGTGTGGTATCGTGATTGATGACATGGCCGTGTGGTTGCGATGGGCGAAAACTGTGAACGACCTACTCGCTGGCAGCGACCTGACTCGACAGCCTATCCTGTATAAGTCTCGACCACATCTCATCATTAATCGCCTTAGCCTGTTGCAGCTGTGTTCGCAGCAGCTTGTTCTCGCGGTTCAACCTCTCCGCCTCATTCAGCGCTTGCGCGTTTACCGTTGACGCGCTCGTTGCTCCCGCCGCTGGCGTTGAGCCCACGTTCCTCCCCAGCAGCTCATCCGATACCAGAGCACTATCCCACTCCGGATCGATGAATTCGTCTACACTCTCGTCGTCAAACAGCGCCGTTGCCCCGCCACCGATCCGCGTCAAGTAGGGTGTAGCCAATCGATGTTCTTCCGCGCTCAACACCTGTCGGCCGAAGTTGGCGACGGGCCGCACGGGGATGTTGCCCCCTGCGCCGCTTCCGGCACTAGACGTCTCCCAATGCCCCAACAGATCCCTCGGCTTGGGCAGCACCATGAGGTTCGTCACCGCATTCTTGCCCGTGATCGCGCTCGCCTTTGCGTTGCCTAGCAGCGAGACGGTGCGGAGAATCTGAGAGTTGGACACGTCGATGACGTAGAGGTTGCCAGCCAGACTGCCGACCAGGAGGGCCGTCGAGTTGAGAGAGAGACACATCGAAGAGATGGGTTCGCGGATGATAATGATGCTCGACCCTGCTTTTGCGGCCTCGGTGGAGATGCGTTCTGTTGTTGGACCCGCGGAAGAGCCGAATCCGTGCGCTTCGACGGACGCTGCTCCCCGAAGTCCTTCTGACACAAAGTCAAATTGCGTCCCTGTCGTGGACGTCTTTGTCTCGACTAGCCTGCTCGACGCATCTCGCTTGCGGAAGAGGTCGATACGGTAGACCAGGTTGTGCGAGGAAGATGGCGAAGTGGCAGCAAGAAAGAAGCGCTCGGTGCAGTCGAGTGCGACCCTGTGGATGGGCTGTTCGAATACGAAGCTGCTCAGCAAACTCCTTGTGCGAAGATCCCACAGCTTAACACTGGCGTCGGTCGAGCTGGAGAGAATGGTGGTCTGATGCGGGAAGCGACCGCTGGAGATGTGCAGGTCGGTGATGGCGAGGTTGTGGTCGGCGAGGGTGCAGTAGGGCGTGGGGTTGTGTTCGGAGCTGGTGATGGAGGAGCTGGTCTGGTCGTGTGGGGCGAGGAGACCGGCTAGACTCCACACGAGGATGCGGGCGTCCTCGGAGCCTGTCACGAGAGCTGCACCGTCGGAAGTCCACTTGAGCACGGTGACGGAGCGGTAGTGTGCGTCGAATGATGCGACGAGGTCTCCCGTTGCAATCTGCCAGAGAAAGATGCGGCCGTCGTAGGAGCCACCTGCGACCAGCTCGCCATTTGGTGAACTAGCAATGCAAGAAAGCTTGGATGGCAAGATGATACGTTGCAAAGGGTGATCTCGCTGCCATGAAAAGACGTTGAGTGTGGCCTTGTTGTTTTCAAGCTGGAAGACGAGGCCGCCGGTGCCTGAGATGGCTGGATTGGGTGATGTGGGGATGGCGCTGACGGAATGGGGAGCCGGATCGGAGACGCCCTTGAACGTGGAGAGAGCCGAGGTAGACGATGGAGCGGCAACCGTGGTGAGACCCATGGAACCGACCAAGGAGGAGGAGGATGCGGTCGAGTAGAGGAGGCACTCCGTCGCAAACAGCGACGAGGATGATGACGAAGATGCCATCTTTCGGCGTGAAATCAGCTGCTTTGCTAGAGGCAGCAGTGAAACGACGAAGCTGTGATGTCCGTGAGAGGGTCCGTGTCGTTGATGGTCTTCTGCAACCAGCAAGGCTGAAGGAAGTGCGGAGCTGTTCTGGCTGTTCCGCTCAAAACCTCGAAGCCGCTCCTCGTCAAGAAGAAATTCTTGGTGGAGAGCCTCGGGTCTCGGTGAAATCGAATGGCCAGATCGGGGCAAGAGTTCGCGATTAGCGATGAGCTTCTTGGATCCCGGCCTGCTTGCCGACGAGAGATTCGATGACTCGCTCTAAATTCAGGATTTTCGCCAAGACTGCGCTCTGCTGCCGGTGAATCTGATGAACAGGAAAGTGAGAAATTGATAGGCAGCCAAGGCTCCAAGATAACGGCGAGGCGAGGCCCTGAGTTGAGAAGAAAAGGAAGAAATTGAAAGTCGGAAGGCGAGCGAAGGAAAATAGGCTTGCACACTTCTGGTTGGTTGGTTGGTGAGTCAACGGAGGCGGAGAGTGAGAAGATCTCGCCACTGTTTCTCATGCAAAGCAGCAGCAGGCAGCAGCAAGGGCAGCGCGCAGTGACCAACCCTAACGAGGGCGTGTGACAGCTGATTGATCTGCCCAAACTCGAGCTGGACCAAGGCGAGTCACACACCGTCGGAAGATCCGTTGTCCACGTCAACCTCTGTTTCAATCACACTCCATCTTCCCACCGACAACCATTATCCTTCCCACGCCCAAACGCACACTCCATCGGATCACCCTCGTCAGCGCCACATCCGAACAAGCAAGTCGCAGCAAGTCTACCACAGCATAGGACAGGCACTTCTCTCTCTGGCTCGATCTTAAATATGTGCGGTATTCTGGGCTGCATTCACCACCCGGACGCTCCGGCGTATCGCAGCAAGATGCTTAACATGTCGCGCTGCATCCGACACCGTGGTCCCGATTGGTCGGGCTGCGTCGTGACCCAAGAAGAAGGCTCTAAAGGCTCGATCCTCTGCCACGAGCGTCTCGCCATCGTCGGCATCTCGACCGGTGCTCAGCCACTCGTCTCCACCGACGGCAAGCTCGTCCTCGCCGTCAACGGTGAGATTTACAACCACCGTCACCTCCGAAAGGGTCTCAAGGACCAGAGCGCCGAGTTCAAGACCGAGTCCGATTGCGAGGTCATCCTCCACCTCTACCGCGAGCACGGCACCGACTTCGTCAAGATGCTCGACGGCATGTTCTCCTTCATCCTCCTTGACACGACCACCACACCGCACCGCGTCATCGCCGCTCGTGATCCCATCGGTATCACGACCCTCTACCAGGGCGCTTCGTACAAGTACCCGGGCGCCATCTACTTCAGCTCGGAACTCAAGGCGATCCACGAAGAGTGCGATCGCATTCGCTCCTTCCCGCCCGGTCACTTCTACGACTCGTCTCTCCCCGAGGGTCAGGAGACGGTGAGATACTACACACCCAACTGGATCGAGGGTGATGCTGACGGAGCCGAGATCCCGTCCACGCCCACGGACCTCAAGGCGATCCGCGAGGCGCTCGAGAAGGCCGTTCGCAAGCGACTCATGTCCGAAGTTCCCTACGGTGTGCTTCTGTCGGGTGGTCTCGACTCGTCTCTGATCGCCGCGATCGCCGCTCGCGAGACTGACAAAATGGCTGACCTGCAACGCAAGCAGTGGGAAGAACGACAGGCCCGTCGTGCTCGGGGTCTCACCACTCCCGCCGTCGAGACCGATGGCGCCAAGCTCCCCGTCGGACTCGACGAGGATGCCGAGAACGAGGTCGAGAACCTGGCTGCCTGGCCCCGCCTTCACTCGTTCTCCATCGGTCTGCCCGGCTCGCCCGATCTGCTCGCAGCCCGCAAGGCCGCCCAGTTCCTCGGAACCGTTCACCACGAATACACCTTCACCGTCCAGGAAGGCCTCGACGCCATCGCGGACGTCATCTTCCACCTTGAGACGTACGACGTCACCACGGTGCGCGCTTCGACGCCCATGTACCTGCTTTCGCGCAAGATCAAGGCGATGGGCGTCAAGATGGTGCTCTCCGGTGAAGGATCGGATGAGATCTTTGGTGGATACCTCTACTTCCATGCTGCACCGGACAAGGTTGCGTTCCACCAGGAGCTCGTTCGACGTGTCAAGAACCTGCATACCGCCGACTGCCTTCGTGCTAACAAGAGCACCATGGCGTGGGGGCTCGAGGCGCGCGTTCCGTTCTTGGACAAGAAGTTCCTCGATGTGGCCATGAACACGGATCCTAGCGATAAGATGTTCTCCAAGGGATCGTTGCAGGAGGTGGACAGCGATGGACGACCGAGGATGGAGAAGTACATCTTGCGCAAGGCATTCGATGTGATCCCGGACGACATTGAGGCTGGCGGCGACGGAAGTGGTAGCAAGCTCGCGCAGGGTGCGCCACGCAAGCCGTACCTGCCGGAAGACATCCTCTGGCGTCAAAAGGAGCAGTTCTCGGACGGCGTCGGTTACTCCTGGATCGACGGCATCAAGGATCATGCCGAAAAGACCGTGTCGGACCAAAAGTTCCAGGAGCGCGCAAAGAGGTATTCCCTCGACACGCCCGATACCAAGGAGGCGTACATGATCCGCGAGATCTTCGAGAGCTGGTTCCCCTCGGATGCGGCCGCGAGCACCGCGGTGCGCTGGATTCCCAGGGCCGATTGGGGTTGCGCCGCTGATCCTTCGGGTCGCGCGGTCAAGATCCACGAGTCGGCTTACTCTGCTGACGAGTAAAAGCGCTGCATACATACAGTACGCCAAAGTGTTCTCATTTCTCAATCTCAGATCATATCCTCTCATTTGTTACACGAGTGTGCTCGTGATGCTTTTCGAGCTTGTCCTGTCTGTGCGTCGACGCCGTTGTTCACATCCGCTCGACCGCTCTCACACGAATGCATGAAAAGAACGTCAAAATTGAACCCGAACACAGATCTACAGCTCACTGCCCCTCCTCACGCCTCGCACTCTCCCCAAGAGCAACCCAACTGGTCCCCAAGCCCTCCTCGTTCTCGCTCCCATACGCACTTCCTCCTACCGCGGGGGACTCGCCGCCACTGCTCGCGCCACTCGTCCCCATCCACGGGTCGCGCGGCATAGCTGTCGCTCGACCAGTCTCCAGGCTCGGCGTAGACGCGCTCAGATCCTGACTGGCGTGCATGGCTCTCCCACCAAAGTAGGGCGAGTGGGTGGTGGATCGTCCACTTTCCTCTTCGACGACCTCGTCGTTGTCCCCGTATGCCGAGCTGGGGACGCTAGATGGAATGCCGGATGCACCGGATGACCGCTCGCTCTCTGGCAGACTGGCAGCGTCCTCCTCGCGGATCTCATATCCCAGTGGGCTGGGGCGTTTGATCGATGCGCGCGAGTGGGTAGCAGACGCGGGTCCCGGTCCAGGTCCCACCGCAGGCCGCTGCCCTCCTGTGGGTCCACGAGCGTCCGATGGCCGGCCCCAGTTCCACGGCAGGTAGGCGTGCTCAGCGCGACCTATCAGGCCCGCCCTGCGCAACGACAGCTGGCGACGCAAAGCCAGGGCGAAATCGACAAAGCTCGTAGGAACGATGGTGAGCAGCACCTGGCTGAATGTGAGCCAGTATGAGGAAAGCGGATACGTGCTCACGGTGTGGCTGGGCGGCAGACGGCGTTTCGTGCTCAGCAGAAGGGAAGAGACCTTGTTGAGTACGGGCGCGGAGGTAGGCGATCGGTGGTGCCACAAGGAGCCCTGGGAGGACGAGGGCGAGCGACCAAAGGTGGGTCGCGAGGGCGACTGCGATGGAGAACTGGTGGTCGTCTCGTTGGCAGTGGTTGCGGTGCCAGACTCGCCCAGGACAGAACCAGAGTTGACCTCGACCATCGTGATGCGCACATCTCGCTGCTTGAGCGTGGAGCGCGAAGTGGAGGCTCGACGTGAGGTCGAGCTGGGGGATCCGAAAGAGAGCTTGCTGTTGCCAGCCGTCTTGGAGTACAGCGAATCCTCCTCGCACTCGCGTCGAAGCGATTGCACGCCAGCAGCGACGCTCTGCGCGATGACCGAGTACATGGCCTGACGGGGCAAGGCTGTACGGGAAGCAGGGCTGGAGATAAGCGTGACCACGGTGGCCGGCTCCATCTCGGCCGTGTCCTCGGCGCGATTGGGCAGCGCCCTGAGCATCGGGATCAGAGCACCGAGAGCGCAGAGACTGGCCACGACGTGGCGTTCGAGAAGCTCGGACGAGGGCGACGGTGCCAGCTTCGTGATAGGCACGCCCAGCGACGACACCGAAGCCGAGACGGACATGCTGCGGGAGAGGCTCGCATCGTCTTCGGGAGCAACGAAGCTGAGCGCATTCACCACACCAGCAATACTGATATTCTCGCCTGGTCGTGCATAGGGGTCTCCAGCACTGGTGAGGGGGTAGCGCAGACTGAGAGCAGCCGAAAGCGCCCTCACAAAGGGTTGCAAGGAGCTCGATGGGTCATCGACGTCGAAGATGAGCGCCTTGACGTAGCCTCGAGAGCTTGGAGGGATGAGATTCTCGAATTGGGCCAGAGCGGCCGAGGATGATACCGATGCGAGCACCACGAAGCCTTGGCCGGAGAAGTGGAGAGCGAGAGACCGACCCAGCGGCGTGTCGGCTCCGAGGACGATGACGGCCTCTCTGCGAATACCGTTCTTGAGCCGGACCTGACGTGTGCGCCCTCGACCGACAAATTGCTTCTTGCCGAGGTAGGGCAGCGAGATATAGCCGGCTTGATAAGCATAGCTGGTTCCCAGTCCGACGAGGAGCAGACTGCCAGTCACACCGATAGCAGTGCGATGCCTGTGCGTCCAAGCTTGCATGAGCTGCAGATTGGTCGGAGGAGGCGGCGGCGGTACGTATAGCGGCGGTGCGGGAACGGGCGAGACGAGCTCGGTCACCTTTTCGGCAAAGCTGTCCAGAGTAGGAAGCGACGACAAACAGGGCATGGGCGGACCATACTTGTTGAGCTGCTCGTACAGGATCTGGTAGTATTCTTGCACCGAGACGGACACTTGGTGAGGCAAGTCCTGTAGCTCGCGGGGGAGGTTGTTCTCGATGAAGTTTTCGAGGTCGGCGAGGGACGGCATGATGGCGGTGATGCGGCTAGCAATGTTGCGTAATCAAGCGCGTTAGACGGTTGCGAAGCAAAGGTGCTAGCAGATATGCCGATGGCCTGTCGTCGAGGCTGGGCGAAGTGACGTTACGGCTCACCGGCCTCGCAGCGAAAAGAAAGCGAGCGGCTGGAGATGAATGTCGCGATGCACCTTGCTGTCGAGCAGGTTGCTGCTACGAACGAAAATGTTGGATGGCTACAGTCCGATGCGTACGACGAGGGAAACGTTCTCCTCTACAGCAATGTCAGTGATGAGGAGACCACTCCGACGTTCGTAAGGTGATGCCAACTAGGACACTCGCGTGCAGGGTGATGGTGGAGATAGGGATGGCTGAGCTCAGCGGACCACATGGAGGGGAGATCCGAGCTTACTGGTGGGTCCAGTTCAGATAGTGGAGGCAAGGGAGGGTGAGACTACTGTGGTCCTGAGTGAAAGCAAACCGCGCCAAAGTAAGGTGGTCAGGCGAGCCGCGCAAGAGAGTCGAGGACCGGCCGGGCGGATGAACAGTCTTCAAAAAAAGTGCTCAGATCATTCAGGGTCCTGGCTGCAGCTCACTGCAGCAACACTTTTTTTTTCGGAGTTGACAGGCGTGATACGAGAGCGAGCCCTATCAGCCCGCTGGCGTGACCGTGTGGTGGGTCGTGGACAGTGCTCAGCTCCTCTGTCCGAATCTTGGTCTTAGAGCGCAATCTGTTCAAGCGCGCGAGCCCCATGCGCATCATCTCTGCGGTGCTGCAGAGGCGCTTGTCTGTGGGCCTGCCTACAGTTGCGACTGAGCCATGCGAGCGGGTGAGATAAGAAGAGCAGCTCGTCGCACCCTTCCTTCCTTCTTCCCTCAAGCAATTGCACCCCTCGCAAGCAAAGTACCTGCGCAAGGCAGCGTTCAACCGCAAGTCCCTCGACCTCCATCCGAGGGAGGTCTTCCCTTCTATATCGCTTTTCTCTGGACTAAGGCGAGTTGGTCAGCTACGATGCGCGCTATGCGTCTGACCACCTTTTGCGAATCTGATCCACTTTGATCAGCGAATGCCCAAATGACGAAGGCGCAAGCTCCTCCTACACGATGAAAGTCTTCAAGACCTGCAGCAGGTACCTGTCCCACGACAGGGACAAACCCTGTTTCTGAGGAAGGCCTCCCTTTTACTCTTCAGCGCGCCCGTCTCTCCTGCTCCCCGACAGACGAGCGGAGCAAGTGACGTCTTTCTCGCGTTGCCCCCGGGGCCCGTCATGCAAGTCAAACCACATCATATCTTGTGTGTGTTTGTGAGGTATGCCTTCTCAATAGGATTGAGCTTCACACTGATTCGCACGGACTGAGCCACGGCCGTCGCAGGGACTCTATCGAATGGACATGATGTGGTATGAACAATGACTTGACTAGCCGAGAAGACATTACAGGGAATCATATACAAGGCGGGAAGGGGGACATGTGATTGATGTCAGATGGACGAGCGAGCTCTTATCTGACAGCTTTTGGTTTTGAGGAAGAGCAATAGGCTCAACGATAGCTTGCTTGCTTGGAAGAGAAGCGAGACGATGGAGCGATTACCACCTGGAGTTGCCGCCGACGCTGTACGAGTTGGCGCCGGTGCGTCCTCCACCGCCGAAGCCACCACGGCCGCGACCACGGCCTCGGCCACGGAAACCACGTCCACCGCCACCTCCACCACCGAAGCGACCCATCTCCTCAATCTCACGAGGGATCTCCTGGTTGGCCTCGCGAAGAATGCCGATCAGCTCACGAGCCGACTTGGAGTTCTCAGGGGTGAAGTAGGTGTAGGCGGTACCAGTGCGGCCAGCACGACCAGTACGGCCGATCTGGTGGACGTAGTCCTCGGTGTTGGTGGGGAAGTCGTAGTTGATGACTGTGAGGTGCAAAGAAGAGCGCGAGCGGGTCAGCAACGTACAAGGGGGTCTACGAGCAGGGGTGCGAACTTGAACTTACCATAGGAAATGTCCTTGACATCTACGGGCGACGAAAGGCGGTTGCGTCGGGAGCAGATGTTAGTAGCAGAGAAAGGATCGCGCCGGGTTGCAAAAGTAGAAACGATCGCGGATGTTCGAGAGCGGCATCGTTTCAGAGCAATCGAGAGAGTCGAGCCAGACAGGAAAGATAGGTTGTTAACGACGTTCGCATTGCAAAGAATGGAACGCAAACGTCGTGTAGACAACATGATGGAAGAAGAACAAAGTAGAGATGACAAGTGCATCCGAAAGTTAGTAATCGAGCCTGACAAGACGGAGACGGATGTTACCATAGAGACAGGGTGTCCCCAAACCCCTAGAATCGCACAGCATCCTAGGTTGGCCTGGCAAGAGACAATGCTCGGTCATGCCAAGCCAACACGATTGGAAACAGCTTGCGCAACAGAACAATCCGAGGAGCCTGGTGACTCCGACAACCAACGCTGCTGTCAATGACAGCGGCGACTGGTGTCATAGGTTGCACTGCTGCGTCGACGTGCGGATCCTTCCATCTTTCCCAAAAACAGTCAAACATCCAACAGCCGTCTCGCACAAGGCAAATGACAGTGTGGACCGCGCACCCAACATCCGTTTTGCATACGGACACCTTGCCCACGTCAGGGCAAATGTCCTTCCTTGACCAAAAGAGAAGCTTCATCGTACTCGCGGCGACGTCGTAGAACCGCATGCATGGACTGCATCTACTGCGCCGCGAGAGCGCACTTGGCGCACGACATCGAGACATCACCAAAACTGCTGCGTCTGCGGCAGTACTCTCGTCGTGCTCGTCCGGTAACCGAGTAGCTGGCATCTTGGTTTTCTGCGGGGGCAGAGCGCCAGATGGAGCAGCCGAAACGGGGAGGAACGAGCCTGACTTGCCGCCGCAGACGCAGACGGACTAGCCTGGAACGGAACCACATCTTCTGCTACCTGACTTGCTGCAAGCAAACGGGAAAAGGGAGATGCAGTCCGTCGTCCTCCGAAAGAATGCAAAGCGGGCACCGTCACACATGTTTCCAACAACGTCCCAGGGACGTCCGCGGAGATGTGACTGTGCGGTAAGACGGACGAGTGCGTGGAGCGCCCGTCACGACCGCTTTGCTAGAGGAAGAGCCTTGCTGAGAGTGAATGGTATCGCGAAGTCTTGACGATGAAACTGGGCTTCTCTTGAGGGCTAGTTGAAGAAAGACGGAACGCGTAGATCGGCATGCAATCAAGAAAGACAAGGACACACAGCTACGCAGGCTCCACTGATCAGGAGTCCACGAGGCAGAGCCCAGGTTTACCTCTTTGGCAAGACATGCGACGCTTTTGAGCGTCGTGACATGCCGATACTGCTGCTGGTTGGGGTCTGTTGAGGAGCGCTGCAATGAGGAGGAGAAAGAGATGGTCGTGCAGAAAGGTGGCGCAATTGTCGCGATCGCGCGCGCACATTTCCAGGTCTCGCAGAGACCACCAATTCATCTCGCACAAAGCGCGGATCGAAGATGAGAGGGACAGGGGAAAGAGCGGAGAGAGGCGATGGAACGCGGACATTGGAACGGGGGAACAGGGAAAGGAGAGGGGAGGATTAAGGGGATTACAACTTACCGAGACCTCGAGATGCGACAGCGGTGGCAACCATGATGGGGCTGCGGCCGGACTTGAACTCGGCCAAGACCCAGTCACGCTCCTGCTGCTGCTTGTCACCGTGGATGGCAAGCGAGGGCCAGCCGTCCTGGCGGAGGAACTTGGTCAGGTCGTCGGCGACACGCTTGGTGCTGGTGAAGATGATGACCTTGCCGTTTTCAGCCGAGATGGTTTCGAGGTGGCCAATGAGCTTGCCCCTCTTTTCGAACTCGGTGCAGACCTCGATGATCTGCTTGACGTTGTGGTTAGCAGCGAGCTCGGTGGAGCCAATGTTAACCTGCGCAAAGTTGTTGAGGAAGTCACTGGCGAGACGCTGCACCTCCTTGGGCCAGGTGGCCGAGAACATGAGCGTCTGTCGGTCAGGACGGATCTGCTGTAGGATCTTGCGGATCTGGGGCTCGAAACCCATGTCGAGCATGCGGTCGGCCTCGTCCATGACGAGGTAGGTGACGCGGCGGAGGTTGGTCTTGCCGGCGTCGACCATGTCGATGAGACGACCAGGGGTGGCGATGCAGATCTCGGCACCACGCTGGAGGTCACGGATTTGAGGGCCCTTGGGCACACCACCGTAGACGGCGGTGGTGCGGAGGCGGCTGGAACCACCGAAGCGGTTGCACTCGACCTGAATCTGGTTGGCCAGCTCACGAGTGGGAGCGAGGATGAGGGCGATGGGGCCATCACCGGGCTTGAGAAGAGGCTGGGCGTTGATGTGAACCATGGCGGGCAGAGCAAAACCAATGGTCTTGCCGGAACCGGTCTCGGCGATAGCGACGAGGTCACGACCGCTAAGAGCCATGGGCCACGCCTGAGCCTGAATGGAAGAAGGCTCAGCAAAGCCCATCTTCTTGATCTCAGAGAGGATGTAGTCGGGGAAGCCAGCCTCGTCGAAGGAGGTGACGGGCTTGGGCACGTTCTGACCCTGGATGGTCATCTGCTTGGTGGCGCGGAACTGGGCGACTTCGGCGTCGCTGCGCTGAGTGACGCGCGGGTCCTCGACGTAGAAGTTCTTCTCGAAGTTGACCAGGTCAACCGAGTTCCAGTCGACGGCGCCGAGGTTGCTGCCGAGGTTGCTCATGCGGTCACCGCTGCCGCCGTAGCCACCTCCGTAGCCACCATCGTATCCGCCGCCGCCGCCGTAACCGCCACCACCGTTACCGTAGGAGCTGCCTCCGCCGTAGGAGGAGCCACCACCGTAGCTGCCACCGCCGTTGCCATAGCTGCTTGATCCGCCGCCGTAGCCACCACGACCACCGCCGTAGGAGCCGCCGCGACCAGAGCCACCGCTGTATCCGCCGTAAGACATTGTTTGAGGAGCTCGAGTTGCGAGAGGTAAGGAAGAAAGAAAATGTGAATGCTACTCGCTGTGTCGAAGAGCGACGTTGTTGATGTGGGAGAGAAGAAAGGTTGGATGGTTGCGGACTAGGCTAGATGACACGCACACACATCCGCAACTCGCCGCACTGCTCAGCCACCGTGACTGGCTAAAAGTGTATGCTCTCGAAAAAAGTCGAGGGCAAAAAAATGTCAAGGGATGCTCCAGCGAAATTTTCATTTTAGACGCAGGGTGCTGAGCAGCGCAGAGTTCCCAGCTCGTTCAGCGCTGTCATCGATTTTTGAAAGTCGACACTGCTCCAGTGCTGTGAGAATTTGAAGCGAGATTGCACCGAGTTCGAAATTTTGGTGGAGCAATGGCGGCCTAGTCGTCTCGTACGAGAATAAGCTCATTGTTTCAGACCTACGGCGTAACAGTTTCGCACCCACCGCAATATTCGCTCTCTGCCCGTCGAAGATTTGGGGGAGCTCGTTCCCATCAAAGCCGATGAAAGATATGAGATACGCTGGTCACGTCGTCGCTCAGAACAAGGCTGAGAAGGCCAGGAATGCGCTGGGGGGTAATTGGAACGGCACTTCGATCATCGACTGGCCCTCCTGACCATGTGAAGCTGCTGGAATTGGCGAAGAGCACACAAAGAGACCTGTGAAGCTTCTGGAGAGGATGATGCAGTTGGCTAGTAAAGTGTTGGAAATGCCTTGCAATCCGATGGACAAGCGAGTTCGAAAGCGATCTGCAGCCTATCAGCAGCCAGCCAGCCGGGCTTTTGAGAAGAGGGTCCTCACCCTGTATCTTCTCTGATTTCTCACACACAGACCACGCCCAAAAACACGCGGTTAGGAGTAGCGGCGGTAGTCTATCTCTAGCCGGATATCCAATCTTCCAACAGGGCGGCGTTGTCGATCCCAGATCATCGATCAGAGCATCTTTCCTCCTCCCTTCCTCATCATCCCACCATCCTTTCGCTCCTCACGCAATGTCGCTCCTTCGACAGAAAGCAGCTGGCCAGCTGGGCCGCCCCTTGGCTGGCCTGGCTCGTCAGACTGCTCAGCCCGTCGTAGCTTCGCGCCCAATCCCAGCCTCACGACGTGGACGAGCGACCGCCGTTGACCCCGCTGATCCCGCAGCCACCGGCGTCGCCGCCCCTTCCTCCTCCAGCATCCCCTTCACGCCCACCGCCACCACCTCGCTCCCGCCAACCGAAGGCGCCGTCCGCCACAACTGGTCGCGCAAAGAGGTCCAACAGATCTACGACTCTCCTCTTCTCGAGCTCGTCTTCCGCTCTGCCAACGTCCACCGCTCGCACCATCCCGTCAATCGCGTTCAGCTGTGCACGCTGATGAACATCAAGGAGGGCGGGTGTTCCGAGGATTGCGGCTACTGTTCTCAGTCGTCCAAGTACGAGACTCCTTCCAACGCATCGAAGCTAGAGGACCTCGAGACGGTGCTGACCGAGGCGCGCAAGGCGAAGGCCAACGGGTCGACGCGTTTCTGCATGGGTGCGGCGTGGCGTGAAGTCGGCGGTCGAAAGCGTGGCTTCAACCGCATCCTCGACATGGTTCGTGAGATCCGTGGGATGGGCATGGAGGTGTGCACTACGCTCGGCATGCTCACCACGGAACAGGCCAAGCAGTTGAAGGAGGCCGGTCTCACCGCGTACAACCACAATCTCGACACGTCCCGAGAGTACTACGGAAAGGTCGTCACCACTCGTTCGTACGACGATCGTATCGGTACCATCGCCAACGTCCGCGAGGCCGGCATCAGCGTTTGCTCGGGAGGCATCCTGGGTCTCGGCGAGGAGCACGAGGACCGCGTCGGACTGATCTGGGAGATGAGCACGCTCCCCGAACACCCCGAGAGCTTCCCCGTCAACGCCCTCGTCGCCATCCCCGGCACACCCATGGAACAGAACGAACCCATCTCCTTCCAGGACATGCTTCGCACCGTCGCCACCGCCCGCATCGTCCTTCCCGGCTCGATCATCCGTCTCGCCGCAGGTCGACACCTCTTCACCGAGTCCGAGCAGGCAATGGCCTTCTTGGCCGGCGCCAACGCCATCTTCACTGGAGAACGCATGCTCACCACCCCTACCAGCTCGTGGGACGACGACAAGGCCATGCTCGGCCGATGGGGTCTGAGGGGCATGGAGAGCTTCGAGGACAAGACCATGGCCCCGCACGGACACGCCGCAGCGACAGGCGAGACAGTCTCCATCGAGGACCGCAGGGCCAAGGCCGCCGCTAGCCAGGCTTTCCAGGCCGCTTAAATCAGCGTAAAGATCGTAAGGCTCGCTGCCATGTCGAAGTCATGAATATGAAGAACAGTTGCAAGCATTCACTGAAAGACGAGTTGATCTCGTGAGTGGGTTCGGGACAGTCCGTGGTCTGCCTGCTTCGAGAAGATCGATTAGAGGGGCATATGACAAAGCGAGCTAAAGACGACGAAATAGAAGGAGCAGTTGCGGAGAAGATGGAACGAGATGTGAGCAGCCGAGACCAGTATAGGCGGAAATGGCTAGGATTGGGGAATAGGGAGACGGGAGCAATCGGAACCTGAGCCCTTCCTTGCGTCGACCACGCTACAGAGCCATGGCAGGCGCCGACGACTGCATCAAATCCTGAATGACACCAATTTCGCGGTCCATCGTGTCCCAGGCATAGCCGAGCTGCGAGAGCGCCTCGATCATGTTGTCCACCTCCTTCTTCTTCGAGCTGTGTGTGTACGGACCGAGATCTAGCTTGTGCATGTCTTCCAGTTGGTGCAGGATCTCCAGATGAGCGCTGGATGTGGGATCGTTGAGAGCATGGGCGAGGCGAGCAGCCTGGACGCTATCTCGCTGCGAGTCCTGCCCAGCAAATTCTTCGACAATCTGCTGATGCTGCTGCTGCAGCAAGGCTTGCGGGTCGATGAAGTTGCCGTCGTCGAACGAGGACGCCGCAGATGTACCCTGCCCATTCGCTCGGCTGACCAGCTCCTCCTCCGAAACGCTCGGGATCTTGGCCAGGAATTGGGCAACGGGGAAAATTTGTCGCAAGAAAGGTCCGCCGGTCTGCAGGATGCCCAAGGGCAGCAGAATGCCAAACAGACGGGCTGTCTTTCGGCAAGAGACGATGGCGCGTTGCATGCTCTTGTCGAACAGAGCCTTGAGCGTAGCGGCCACAAGCTTGTCCTCTTCCGACACGGCGCTTGATGTGCCTAGCGAGTGACTCAAGCTGGCCATCAGCGCGGCGTTGGCTCGGTGACGCTCGCCAAGCGCCCGGAAAAGCGCAAGGTAGAGCAACGAGCCGCAGAGCTTGATGCTGGCAATCCAGCCAAGCGGACGGAACGGCTGGAGGCTGTTCATGGTGGACCATGCCTTGGATGCACATCGGTCAAAGAAGAGCATGAGCGAGTCGAGGCTATTCCAGACGGCGCCGCAGGCTCGTTCCAGCTTTCGCAGCTCGGCCAGCGAAGGGCGGGCGGCGAAGCGTGCGGGACGCGGCGTAGGTGTCATCGACGCACCCGCAGGACGCTGCCACGGTGGGATGGACGGCTTGGAGCCCTCAGCGGAATCTATATGAGTTGCCAAGAACCTCGAGAGCGCACCGATCTGCACCATGGTCATGATCACGAACGACAACCCCATCTCACCGGACAGCACCACTTCACCCGTGGGCGAGGAGGCAACCGAGACGGCATCCTTGCGGAACGTAGCCTGACCCACCACCTCGAGGGCGCGATCTTCTGCGAGGTAGGGTCGGCGTCGATTGAAGGCCGAAGCCATCGAGTCCCGTGTCCAGATTGTGAGGTAGATCCGGTGGGCCTGCATCGTGCTGAGCATATGTTCCACCGCGTGTCGATTCGTCTCGTCGACAACGAGCTTGGCCGACATGCCAAGATTCTCGATGTGTCGGCAAGCTGTGTCGACAAAGGCATGGGCTTGTTCTCCATCAACGCCATCGAGCAGCGGCGCAAGCAGAGCAATCACCTGAACACCTTCGACACTCGGCTTGGTGAGAATGTCGTACTTGTGGACCAGAGAAAGCGCATGATTGAGAAGGGCATGGCAGAAGGCTTTCCTCGCCTTGCCTCGACGCAGATTGTGTTCGAGATCCCCGCGACGATAGGTTCGCATCAAGCCCTCGCTGCGCGTGGAGATCCAGGAGCGCGGACTCAGCCGGTTGGCTTCTGGCGTGAGAGGCTCGGCGGACGAATCGGGAGCGTCACTAGTTCCGTCGCCGCCATTTGCTTTCGAAGACTTGGCCATGAGCTTCGCGCGCTTGGTCTGGATATAGGTGTCGGTGCACTTGATGCGTTTGTCCTCGCAACGGCTGCAGCCCATGCCGTCCGGCCTCTCTGTCACGTCGCATCTCACACGACGCAAACGGCAGGTATCGCAGGCGACACCTTGCTTGCGTTTGGGACGCTTCGCGCCAGCTTTGGGTCCTTCCGCGTCGCGAACGTCGAGCGAGGTCTGAACCACGCCATTGTCATCCACCTCTTGCAGGCGACCGTCGGCCGCGTCAAGGTCCTTGAGCTCTGAGCCGAAAGCGATCGGCGCGTCCGTGTAGTGGGCCGCCCAAGCGTGCAGGACGGCGAAGAGAGCCTCGGTGGTGCCCGCGGTGCCGATCTTGCTCTCCTTGGTTCCGGGCCAGGTGATGGAATCGAGGCCCTGAACGGCGGGAATCATGGAAGGGATGCCTTCGTCGGCACATCCGCCATTCGACATGATGGACATTTTGCGGGGGTCGCCGTTGGCGGCATTGAACGTCTTGCTGAAATGAGCGAAATCAACGACAGGTGCCTGCATGTGGCAGACCGCAAAGAAGCAGTTGAGCAGCTGAATGGAGAGGGAGCCAGCCATGACGCGATCGTTGATGCGCACCTCGGCGCCCCTGAGCTCTGTAAGGGCACGTATAAGGACAGTCGAAGAGTTGATACGCTCTTCCAATGGCTTGATGTTGGATGCTTCGGTGAGAGAAGCGCCGTGCAAGATGCGAGCCTGCTCGATACGCTTGCCTGAACGGCTGGGTCGTGGATACCGTCGTGAGGGCGGAGCATGCGTCTTTGTGCAGACGTATCCCTTTTCATCGCAACGGGTGCATCGAATCTCGTGAACAGCCGTGCCAGTGCTAATTGTTCTCTGCATCTCGTTCACTGCCTTCTCGGCTGTAGCTGGCGATGAGCTTCGCGCAGCGTCTGCTCGACGATCGTCCAAGTCGCATCGAAGATGTTTGGTCCGACATTGGTCGCACGTTACGCCTTGCCGGCGTGCCGACTTCTTCTTGTCGTCCAATAGACTGTCTGCGTCTTCTGAGTCGGGCGAGCCTACCGAGGAGTTGGCTACTTCGGTACCGTTGGCCGCATGAGCTGCGAAAGAAGACATATCGCTCGGCGTCGCAAAGCCTTCGAGGACATCAGAGCCGGGTTGAGAGTGTGCGGAGGGTACTGAAGACATCATTGCGGCGGGCTCAACATGGCTCGGATGACCGTTCGCGCTGAGATCGGCCAGGTAATGCGCGTAGTAGCTCTGTGCATCTTGGTCAGCTCCGGAGAGACCAGCGAGACCAGCGAAGGGAAACGGCTGATTGGCGAAAGCATTGAAGGGAGAAGAGGGCCCATGCTGTCCCTGGTCGAAGTCGGATGCTGCTAGGCCGTGGGCAAGGCCTTGACTGGCTTGAGGCGCCGACAAGAGAGAGTTCGTCGCATTCCACGGGCTCGGCAAGCCAGCAGAAGGCTGCTGATGTTGTGTGGACGGGGTCAAGTTTGGCGACTGCTGCTGATACCGTATCGACTCGAGATTGGAAGGGCCGCTGAAGTGAGTGTGAAAGTCTGCGTACAGATGGGAGAAGGCGGAAGCGTCGATTGGCATGCTGGGCAGAGCGCCGCGCGGATGGTGCGCAGTGCTCGTGACGATGTCCTGGCTGCCTTCGCTCATCTTTACGCGTGTGATGAGGGCGAAGGCATAGTATGATGGAGGCTAAGGTGGCTGAGGACGGGGAGTGAGCGACGAGCAGGGAAGACTTCAGAGGTATGATGTTGGTGCAAAGGTCAGAAGAAGGAGGATGGGATCGGACGGCGTGAGTTGGAAAAGCTCAAAGGGTGCAAAGGATCTGCAGAATGACTGCGCGCGCCAAGTCTGGGCGCCGATATTGCAGCTCTCCACAGCGTGACTGCCGTCCGTTTGCTGGCTTCTCGCGCAGCTCCGCTCCCATCACAATGAGACGTGTGACTTGCTCCAATGCTGTCACAACTCGGACCACCTCCGCATTGCGCACATCATGGAGCTGCAGACTACTGTTGGTGGGCACAGCGCGCGTGGTGAAAAAGCTTAAAGCCGGCAGGCACCACGTCGGTAAAACAAAAAGCAGACCGACCCCACATGCCCTGCAGCTCTCCTGTCTTTCACGTCGAGGGTCACAGCAGAAATTCGCCGGCGGAATTCTAGAGACTCGAGCTTGGCAGCTGAGGGTTCCCTTTCCCTGTCGAGAGACGTGGTGCATTGCCAATCACACTGATGCCCGGCAAGGCGGTCACTGCGGAAGGCGTTCGACATGCTGCATCAGCTTTCCCACGCTCAAGCAGAGCAAGGCGCCACCCTGCGAAGGCTAGCTAGTGGTCGGCTGGACGCGAGGTCAATTTGGGACTTTTTCCCACGCTCAAGAGACCGGCGATCGCTCCGCTTCTGAAGGGGCTCGAGCAAACACAATGGCCTCCGACGAACATACCCACATCACACGGTACTGTATTCTTTGCATCATGACAGCGCGCAGCGGAAGCAACAGCCGGACCAACAGCGACCTCTCTTCGTTGGGCTGGACCCAAGAAGATCTGCTTTTCACAGCGTCCAGCCTTCGAGGCAGGCGCTTAAATTTCGGCTCTTCTTGGCCTTTTTGCAATTTTGGGACGGTGACCCTGACTCGGCAGCTTTACGTCGCAAAGTTCCGGCGCTTCCACACGGCTTCCAGCCGAACGCAATACAGCAACCCAGTCACAAGTCCACGGATGTCATTCGGCTTCACATCGGCTTCCATGGTCTCAGCAAACGACATGAGAAATCGACGATATCTTAAGCTGCAGATCGGCGATGCAGAACCTGACATGTTCGCGGACGCAGGGGGTAGCCTCCCGTATGGCAGGTCTCTTACACGCACCTCCGTCTGAAGGAAGCAATTGATGCACAAGGAGGGCTAGAACAGGATGCGTTCCTTGCAGTGGTTACATGATACAATGCTGCGCTCAAACATCTCTTCGTTCTGTCTGCCATCCTCCATCTCTCGACCCTGCAGGATGACATGCAGCCTTTTGCGGGTCCCAGCTCGTCCTGCGCTGGCGTCAACGCTCTCGTCTGTCTTTGCTGTCTGCGCAGCAACATCGGAGAACATCCCCATATCGATGCAGTAGCCCTGGAACCCCATCTGGAGGCCTTCTCCGCGCAAGTACGGCTGCTCCGGCCTTCGTGGTCTTCGCTTTCCCACCTGCACAATGATCTGAGTCGCGACGCAGCCCTTAAACACCATCGTCGATTCCGTCGTGGCAGGTGTCCCCATTGAAAACCGATCGGACCAGTATGGCGTCCTAGACTCGTACAGTGCAAAGCGCTGTGGTTCTCGGAGGCGTTGATCGTCTGCAGCCGCCTGCTCCCATATCCGAGAATCTGCGCGATCCGTCTTGACCACCGTGCAGACATCCCTCAGCGATGGCTGCGAGCGAAGCTGGTGAATCAGAAAAGCACCTGCGATGCCGTGCCAGCCGGTAAGATGCAGGCTGCGAATCTGATTGATGCTTGTCGTCTGCGATGGAGAGCGAGCGGTTGTCACGCTTGTCTGTGCAGCGCGGTCTCCAGAGAGAAACACAAGAACAGACTGCAACAGATGCAGGTCGATCAAGCTTTCGTCCCGGGAGAGCTGTCGCATGGTCTGTGACAGATCCACATCAATCTTGCCGTGGCCTTCCATTCGTACTTCTGAGCTTGACTGCGTGAGACCCAAGCGGTCGATCTGCTGGGCCGCCTCTCTCCATTCTGACAGATTGAGTCGATGAGCGGGTTCCAGGAAGAGCAGTTCTCGATCGAATTGGGCGAATCTGTCTCGCAGCGTGTGGCTTATTGCTCTGCTGACGAGGACCAGGCTGCTGAGGTCCAGAAAGCGGGACAGGTAGAAGAGCAGCTCGCTCGGTAGGGCCTCGATGCGCGCCAAACAATGTGGTGGAGGATTTGTACCGGTTCGGAGCGCCGCGACTGACCTTGCGGGGGCGGACTGCGATACATTTGAGGCCATCGTGTCTCTCAGCCTTGCTAGGAGAGAGGAGGATGATGTCGTCCCCCGACCTCTGACGACCTCGAGCTCGGGCGTGAAGGGATGTCTTGGTTCATATGTCCATCTTGAGGTCTTCGGATCCGCTCGATACTGGTCCACCGATCGGACTTGTTCGACTTCAAGCTCTCTGAGTTCGATGTGGAGCCAAGGTGGGCGGTTTCGGCTCTACGATAGCTCAAGATCGAGCGTGATGATACGAGGCATGGTGTTGAAGGTCGAGAACGAGCACCGTGCACGAAGGAAGCTCGGTCGGAAGATGCAGCAAAACATGTGGAGGATTTTGCTGCCAAAACGGACCTCAGGGTCAACCAATCAGACCGGCTTTGAAGATGCTTTCCCGCACTGAGAAGCGTCACGAATGGACACAGCGACACTCGGTCTACTCAGAACCGGCACAGGCATCTTGAGAGCGTTCGTGAGACAGTAATCGAATCGATGCAGCGTGCAGATAGTACAGTGTGACAAACAAAGGGAACGGTGTGCGTGGCGGCGGAGATGACTTCAAGCGCTCCTAAAGTCCCTCTGGCATCATCATGTCCTTTGTGACGGCGTCTTCGGCATCCTGGTCATCCTCGTCGTCCTCATCGTCGTTCATCTCCTCATCGCTTTCCTCCTCGACGTCCTCGCTATTGGCCTTTCCGGCGGCGCCGTTGCTCTTACGGTCTCTTGACCAGCCGTTGTCGGTCGGTGCGCGCATCTTGCCTGCCTGTTTGCCCACGAGCGCCTGATCCTCCTTCGACAAATCAATCAGGTGCACACCGCGCTCTCCCTTGTCCTCTTCTGCATCCGCCGCGCTCCAATACGCCAAAGGAATGAGTCGGAAGTGGGCCATGTGAACGAGAATGTGCTTGAGGACCTGTGCTTGGCTCGAAGTGAGCGTCTGACCCTCCTTGCACACGGTGTAGCTCTGCAGCAATGTGGGGATACCGCGCTTGAGCTCTGTGGGCATGCCGAGCTGTCGGAGTTGTGGCTCGACGGGGTGCGGCAGTGTGTCTGGTGGGTTGGAGCGGGCCATCACGGGTCCTTCCGGTAGCTCGATGGTTTCCGTCGCCTTCGATCCACCTCGTGCAAAGTCCTCGCGCTGGTAGTCCTTGAACCAGTCGATCACCTCGGCGGGCGAAGACTCGGTGAACAACAGACCAACATCACCCGAAAGACGCTGGCTGATGCCGCTGATACCTGTCCTCACTTCCTCCTCCTCCGTCATGCCAAGCGCGAGAGCAAGCACCTTGAGCTTGCCAAAGAAGATCTTGCTGCCTTTCCATAGGTCTCGTACCTCCTTGAGGTAGTTGTTGCGCATCGAGTGGTGACCGAGGATCCAGACGTAGGGGTATTCCTGTGCAGCATCGCGCACCTTGTCGATGAGGTTGGCCTTGTCCTCTTTGGTCTTCTTGTCGGTCCTGGTGAGGGACACCACCTTGGCTCGCTTAGCTCGTGGCATCTTGTGTTATGTGTGCTCCTGTAGAGTGGGTTATGGTGATGAGGTGAAGCAGAGAGGCTGACTGACAGTGAGAAGGTGGAGAGGCAGCAACTCCCAACGTCAACGGACTGCCCTGCAACCACAGAACCCTGAGGCTGGAAAATTTCAGAAAAGGCAAATTCTTCTCAACGACCCTGGACGTCAACTTTTTCCCAGCTCTGCAGACTGCCTGTTCAAAGCTCTGACCGCTGCTTACGTGTTCCAACTCTTCTGAAATTTTGCCTGGAAGCGGCGTTTAAGGTTTTGGCGCAGAAGGACCTTTCTCTCCTGCACGAGCGCATGCGATCCTTCCCCCGAAACGACATCCCCTCATCAGCTAGCATTGCAAAGATGCCGGTCCCCTCGACAACAAGCAACATGGAATCGCTCGAAAAGAGCCTCTGTGACTTCTCCGGCTCCACGCCGCTCGACCAGCGCTTCCGCTCGCTCTTCACCATCAAGGGTCTCGCTGCCACCTCGGACGAGCACATGCAACGAGCCATCTCGATCATCTCCGCCGCCTTTTCGGACGATTCGGCGCTCCTCAAGCACGAGCTGGCCTACGTGCTCGGTCAGCTGGAAGACAGTCGTGCACTTCCTACGCTCAAGGGGGTGCTTGAAGACCTCCAACAGGATGCGATGGTTCGACACGAAGCGGCTGAGGCGATGGGAGCCATCTCGGACCCCACCGTTCTTCCCGTCCTGGAACAGTATCGCAATGACGGCGATGTGAGCGTCCGCGAGACCTGCGAGCTGGCCATCTCCAAGATCACCTTCGACAACTCTTCCGAAGGTCAAGCATTGAAGGCGTCGAAAGCGCAGGCCAAGGTGGCGGAGGAGCAGAGCGGTTTGGGCGGTGTAGAGTCGGCGTTCAAGCCCATCGATCCTGCACCTGCCATGACGCCCGCTGCGAGCAAGGAGGCCGCTAAATCGCAGGCAGACAGCATGTCGTACGACGCAACACAGGTGCCGCTGTTCCGAGAAGCGTTGCTCAATACAAACCTCAGCCTGTTCGAGCGCTACCGGGCCATGTTTGCCCTTCGCAACGTCGCACACGGTGGCGGTGAAGGAGCTGTCCAGGCTGTGCTGGCACTGGCACAGGGGCTGAAGGACGGCTCGGCGCTGTTCAGGCACGAAATCTGCTTCGTCTTTGGCGAACTCTGCCACCCAGCTTCGATACCAAGCATGATTCAGGTGCTCAATGATGCGAACGAACACGAGATGGTCCGACACGAAGCAGCAGAGGCGCTCGGTGGCATCGTGGAGGAGGGCGAAGAGGAGCAAGAGGCCAAGAGCGGCGATTTCAAGCTGGTGATGGACACGCTGAAGAGGTGGGCCGAAGACATGGAGGCGCCACGGGTGGTCAGGGAGAGTTGCGTGGTCGCGCTCGACGAGCTGGCGTACAACAACGACCCGACCCAATTCCATCGTGTGGAAGCGCCGACGGCTGTTGCTGCCTAGTCGTACCGCTCCATCGCTCTGCATCTGTCTCATCCTGCATACTTCTCGCATCCACGTCCTTCTACGAGACCCCTTGTACACTATCACATGACTGAATCTGATCTCGCATCTCGCAAGCGGACGGCGTGAGGACAGATGAACTTGCTTGCAGATTGACAGGTACAAATACAGTGCGACGGGAACGGGAAGACGACAGAAGACAACGGTGCAAACAGGACAGGGGTATAGGAGAACGTTTCGACAAGGAGATCAGACCGTGAGCGCTGCGCCAGCTTCGCCATTGCGAACGACCGCAGCGGTTGCACCAGCATCAATGCCAAGCGCGCCCTCGAGGTCGAGATGCGGGAACTCCCACTTGCCAGGCCCCGTAGGACCCATGAGCTCCTCGCTGTACTTGAGCATCTTGATCAGCTGCGGTAGCTTGGGTTCCCGACCTTGACTCTGCGAGGCGAGGATGGCAGCGTTAAGTTCGCCAGCTGTCTTGAGTCGCTGGCTGGGAGAAAGAAGCTCGGCGACGTGTGGAGGCGCAGCGAGCGGTCCGGTTGCAGGAACACCACCAGCCTTGGGCACATCGAAGGCAAGAAGCGCCATGGTGCGCTCCAGCTCTGGTAGCAGGTCGGGGTGTTCTTCGCCGCGAGGAGCGAGCTCTTCCGAAGCGAAGGAGAGCGCTTCGTTGACGAGACCGGCGCGAATCAGCTCGATGAGACGTTGCTGCTGGAGGTGGAAGAAGAGGAGCGGGTTGTTGTCCAGGATCTATCGGCGAGATTTGCAGTGAAACGAAGGAGACGAAGCTGAATGTCAGAATGCGTGTCCAAGTCTTTCACAAGACGCATAGCATCAATCCTGAGCAGCAGCGGCAGCAGCACCGTCCGTTATGAACAAGAACGACGAGCCGTCGAATGCGCGACGTCGAGTCAGAAGTGTTATGATTTGGTGTAAACAGTTATCCGCACATAGACTCCCACTGGAGCCCGTTGCTAAGCGTGGTGCATGAAAAAGTTTGTCATCATTCGAGGTGGGCGCGGATGGAGATGCTGGTGGGTGTGGCGATCCCGTCGTGTTCCACTGCGGTTCACTGCTGCTGCTGCTGCTGCTGCTATAGCTGGAGTATACACGTACCTCTGGATCAAGTTCGTTGACACGGCCAATGGCGTCGTCAATGTCGCCTCGCTGGATAGCTCCTCGGATGATCATGCGGTTCAAAATGCTGTCCGAATCGACGAACGGCTTGAGACCGCTCTCCTTGCTGAAGGAATCGGCTGCATCCTTGTAACCTTCGATGACAAGATAGTCCATGACGAGTCGGTTGAGGTCACTGCAGGTACAAGAGCGGGAGAGAGACAATGCCGATGATGGTCAGCGTTTTCGCCTCTCGATATGATAGGGGCCAGGCTGCTCCTCCGCATGCATGTCTCCTTTCAGCTTGTTAAGGCTAGCTCGTTGGGTCAGTGGGCATAAGTAAAATGGTTTTCCTCATCAGATGTAGGAGAGATTCCCACTTTGCGTCAAGTCTCATCATCGAAAGTAGAGAGCGAGAGAGACATGCTTGCGTCGAGGGTAAGCGTTATAGGTGTCTGACTTACTCTTTGGCGACGTTGATGGACGAGAGCTGACGTTCCCATTCCGACTTCTTGAGGGGTGCTTTGGACATGCTTGCGTTGAGGAACGGATTTGTCTAGATCGAATAAGGTAGGGACGGTCCAGCCCCGTCGGCGGGCTGCGAGAGCCGGTAGGTCGTGGCAGAGAGGACAAGCGGAGGGGCTGGCAACGGAGCTTGAACAGCGCTGCTCTCGACGAGCGAAAATTTGGGCCTGGTCGGTTGAGCAGTCGATCTGCCGTGATGAGGGTGGTGAATCGAGATGAAGGGAGCAGATGCGAAGGTGTGATTGGCTGAAGCGCCATTTTGAACCGCATAATTTTCATTTTCGAGGGTCCTCGGCGAGAGAGAACGAGCCTCACGGAACAGTCACGAGTGGAGAGGCTGATTCCCATCCGGCCGAAAGTCGATCACGCACAGCCAGGGTCAAGCGAGCTGCTGCTGAGTTGATTGAGAAGGCATTGTGCTCCGCCAATTGGTCTTCCCTTCCGACCACCACCCACCCTCACCATTCCGCACAAGCTCATAAGTTGAACGGCGCTCGAACATTTGCAACTTGACCATCTTCAGCCGATCGTCTCTTGGTTTCGCTGCTTGCATAGCAGCTCTGTACCCTTCCCCTCTCCCTCGTGTTGCAGAGTTGATGCTGGTGAATGATCAATTCTTTTAGTATCGTCCCCCTTGATTGATGTTCCTTGGTGCCGGTGTCCTTGAAGCTCACTTCCTCTCACAGCGATAGCAATCCTGCGAAGCTTTGCTTCGACCTCGCTCTAGCACGACTGCCGCTCGCGCTGCCCTCGGCGACTTTGAGTCGACACACTGCGCCCTTGCATAGGTTCAACCGGCTTGTTCTCATTTCCTTCCCTACGTCTGCTAAGCAGCACGAAGCATAGGCATCATGGCGTCCGCATCCGTCTACTACAAGTTCAAGTCACAAAAGGAGCCCTCGCGCATCACCTTTGACGGCACGGGCATCTCGGTATGGGATCTCAAGCGCGAGATCATCCTTCAAAACAAGATGGGTCGAGGCACCGACTTTGATCTGGGCGTCTACAACGCCGACACGAACGACGAATACAAGGACGACAATTCTCTCGTTCCAAGATCCACACAAGTCATTGTGCGACGCTTGCCTCCATCGAAACCCGGCCGCGGCACTGCTCAGAACTACGTCGCTGATGTCAATGGAGCTGCGGACAACACAGGCGCGAGCCGATTCTCTGGCACAGCCAATGCAGGAGGCGTCAAGCCGACCGATGCTCGCTCGCAGATGTATCGCGGGCCCATGACAATGCGATTCGACGGTGGCAAGGATCCATCGGCGCAGCCATCTGGCAGTACTTCGGGTGGTCCAGGGCCAGGCGGCCCTTCCTCTGGAGCTACGGGAGATGAGGCTGATCGTATCGCTGCCATGTTTCAGGCCACCACAGAACAATGGGACGAGACGCAGGAGCGCATGTCGCACGCCACCTACCGCGACCGCAGCGGGCAAGCTCGTCGAGGTGGCCCACCACGGCCTATGACGACTCAACGTCCTCAGCACGTCCCCGATCGTCCACCACCCATCGGCTACGTCTGCTTCCGATGTGGAAAGCCAGGGCACTGGATCCAAGATTGTCCCACCAACGATGACAAAGATTTCGACAATCGACCTCGTTTCAAGCGCACCACCGGTATTCCCAAATCCATGCTCAAGACGGTCGAGCAGCCGACCGACGAAGATCAGCGCGCAGGAGTCATGCTCACCGCCGACGGAACCTATGTGGTCGCCCGCGTCGATCAAGAGTCGTGGCGAAAGAACCGCGTTCGAACCAAGCCTCTCACCCAATCTGACGTCTATCAATCCGCACCCACCGACACCTCACTGGCCTGTCCGCTTTGCTCCAAGCTGCTTCGTGACGCCGTGATCACGCCCTGCTGCAAGACGAAATACTGCGAAGAGTGCATCCAGACCCACTTGCTGGAGCACGAATTCATCTGCGCCGAGTGCGACAAGCGCGTCGCCGATCTCGAACAGCTCAAAGCTGACGACGAGACGCGCAGGAAGGTCAAGGAGTATGTCAAAGAGACGATCGAGCAGAGCGAGAAGGAGATCGAAGACCAGAGCAAGAACGGCGAACAGGGCGACTCGAACGACAAAGAAGGCTCGCCAATGTCAGGACGTCAGCGCACGCTCAGTCCAGGCGCATCGCGCAACGATCAGGACGAACAGACGCACAAGACCAACCCGCAGGGCGAGAACAGTCTTTTGTATGGAGAAGGCAACGGGAGCAACAATGGCCAGGCAGGCAATGCCGGCCAGGCAGGAGGGATGGTGTTCAACCCGCAAATGGTGCAGCAGATCATGATGATGCTTCAAAACCCGCAGCTGCCACCTCCGATGCGCATGCAGCTCCAGATGCAGTTGCAGATGCAGCAGTTCGCCTTCATGCAGCAGATGCAACAGCAGGGAGGCGGAGGCGGTGGTGGGATGAACAACCCGGCGATGGCTCAGATGAACATGATGCAAGGTGGAGGAGGAGGGCCATCGTGGGGTCAGCAACAGGCTACACAAGCCACCAATCCCTTCAGTCATCGTGCTCCCCCGACGAATGAGCACTCGCCTTACATGCGCGTCCCCGTGAATCAGGCAAGGACCACAAATACGACGGGGACGAAGCGCGACCGTCCGACGGACTTCGTCGAGGTCGGCAGCAAGGGTGGCGGAAGTGATGCGAGCAAGTCGGCTCGAACGGATTAAAGACAATCAGATTTGTACTTTGCAACACCAATCGAGTCATTCCTTTGGACGATGTAGCATGCAGTAAATTGTACGAGTACAAGTGAGCAAAGCTGAAGGTGCGTGTGTAGGTCACACCGGAGCCCTGGGATATGATTAACATGCCGATGATAAAAAAGAATAGGAAATCCAGCTGTAAAATGTGTACACAAAACAGGCAGGAAAATGTAGCATGGCATCGTCCTCGTCTACGGACCTGGGGTGGTGCCCAACCACTTGACCCGGCTCGCAAACCTGCGAATCTCGGAAAAGTACTGATTGCCCACCTCCTCGCCTCTGCCCGCTGCAATCTTGAGAATGGCCTCGTTGACGCCTCTGGCGCCCAAGATGTCGACATGATCACCGGTTGACTCGCCGCCTCTGAGATCCATTGCTTCCGGCTCGTGCTTGAGTTCGTGGGTTACCACGCTGATGTTGGCCGGATTCCAATGCGGATGCTTCCATCCTTCGGCACACATGGCGCCCAGACTGAGCAACGAGACGGTTCCGTCGCCATCGCCCATCTTGCATCCCGCGCGCACCTTTGGCAGAGCATCCTCCTTCTGCACAACGTGGTCGATCCAGCTGAGACGTGCGGTGGGGAAGTCGAGCGGTGGGGTCCGCGAGACGTCCGAGTGGTTCTGACCAAAGATGCCCGGTTCGTCCATCTGTTCGCCTATCGAGGCTTCCGTGACATACTCCCCCTGCTGATACCAGTAGGATCGCTCGGTAGGCTTACCGACACCGTAGATGCAGTACAGCTTCATACTCGGTGCGTGGGGCAGCGTCGCCTCGAGCGGGTTGCTCCACTTGGTGTGATCCGCATCGTTCCTCGCCAGGCTGTCCGCATCGCGTTCGATGCCGTGCGAGTAGTTGGTGGCGAGCATCTTCTGGAACGAGCTGGGCGCGTGCTGGAGCATCCAGTTGTGCGCCTCGGTGGCAGTGAGGTTGGTGCGGACGGTCTCTTCGTTGAGGTCGTGCTGGTCGGCAGAGGGTTGGCGGAAGGAGTAGATGTGACCGTGAGTGTCTTCAGCGCCATGCTCGTCGTCCGGTGCCCAGGTGGAGTTGCCCCAGATATCCTCGCCGCCCTTGATGAGCATGCTCGCGCCACCCGCCCAGGTGCGGAAGAGCTTCGCCCGCTCACGACGGCTGAAGAACTTCTCCAACAGGTAAGCTGCGGCAGGAGGCACTTCGACCGTGTCCCGCATCTCACCGGACAGCATCACCGCCATCGCCTTGGGCACGCCCAAAAAGGTCCCTGCAATCGAACTGAACGCCTCAATGTGATCCTCCACCCAATTTGGTCCTCCATTGCCGTAAAACTCGCCTTCCGCTTCCGCCCACTTCATAAAGTAGAAGAACACCGAGCTGCCCATCGAATGCGCCACGATGACCGTCTTCTTACCAAACAGCGCCTTGTTCTGCTCGATCTTGAGCTTCAACCGCGTAAAAAAGCGATCGCGCACTTCGAGGTTGTAGTAGCTCAGCCTCCAGTCGTAGCTGGCGAGGAAGAGGTTATTGGTGTCGTAGCCAAGTACGGCGAGGTTCTCGATGACTTTGCTCCAGATCCAGTAGCCGGCGGCGAAGAAGCTGGCGGCATCGAGACCTTCTGCTGCACGAACGCGGATGCCTGGTGGATCGAGCCCTGTATCTGGATCCAAGGAGAGGTGTCGTACCCACATCTCCTTTTGCAGAACAATGGTGCGCATCATGGTGGTGGTGCCCCAGAGACGTTTTCGGAAGTAGCCGGCTGAGCTCCTGTCGGTGGTCCAGCTCTCGAGCCCTGTACTGACGATGCCTGGGATGAGGATGACGGGATGGTCGGCCGAATACCCGCTGTCGCTGAGATCACGCCCGACGCCAAAGTCCTTGTTCTTGAACCACCCTCTGGAGCGACTGAAGATGTTCTCGCCCATATCTGCGAACTCCTTGGGGATGCCAATGTCGATCGAGGGGAAATCGAGGCCGTCTATAGACTCGTCAACGATGGAGCGCAGGCTGGCCATGTGTTGGGCCATCTGCAAGTTCCTTGAGGCCAAAAAAGCGATCACTGCACCGAGCGCGGCGCCGAAAACGAAGAAGAGGCGTCGATAGCGCATAAGCCCGCGCTTGATGGGCTCTTCCACGGCTTCATGACGCAGGAAGGGGATCTCGGAAAGGTCGAGCTCGTGCCATGGCGTTCCTGGTGCTGTGACGCTGTAGCTCGTTTGACCTTTGAGAGACGGTCGTTTTGATCGTTGCAGGATGATCTGCTGTGGTGGGGTAGAGCGACCATTCTTGCTATCTGAGGATGAGGACGACGCTTGTCCACCGTTGGAACGCTGATTGAGTTGATGCGCGCTGGAGTTGCCGTTCTGGTTGGGATCGTTGGAGCCGCCGCCGCCCTTTTTGTGTTTACGGTTGTTCATCTTGACGCCGATAAATCCAGCGACGTAGTTCTATCTACGGAAGCAGTGGTGGTGTGGATGGAGGAAGCGGCCTCGTGTGGATCTCGGGCCGTTCGGTCAGATGTTCCGCAGAGGTGGAGGCTTGAGGAAGATTTATTTTTGACCCAGCTTGGCTTTCAGCGAGCGAGATCTTCGGACACATGATTTTGATGCCAAAGCCAGGCTGGGAGAGACCCTTGTGTACCGCTCCGCTGAGTTGCCCTCTGTCATCTGCCATGACCCTGTGACCCTGTGATTTGCAGAGTCTCGAGTCGTGTCGCGTGAAGCAGACCGAAAAGACCGGCGGCGGACTTTTGGCTGGTGACTGTTAGAGTGCCATCTACTGAAACGAATGATTAATTTACAAGCAGCCCTGGACTCGGCCAGGGTCCAGATGAAACACACACAGGCGCTGGCAGGCGGCCAAGTCGAGCTGAGCTGCCATCGAATAGAGACCGGCGGTGGACGCGCTCCAACTTCCTTCTTGCATACTAACGGAGGCTCGACCATCACCTCGCCTGCAGCGCAACATCGACGCTGTCATCAACACCATCAGAAGGATGCGCTCGTAACAGTCTCCTTCCAGGTCTTTCTCCCTCTTTCTCTGCACAGACGTCCGCTGGTCGCGACGCTGCAAAAGCATCGATCGACACGATGCAGGTCGTCATTCCTGATCTCGACGATAAACAGGTCTTCGCGCCCGCACGTCGGGTCCAGTCTCCCTCTGCTTCCGTGGGAACGAGACCATCCATCGAGGACAATGCGCCCTCCTCGAGTCGACAGCTACAGAACATCACCACCGCCAACGCGCCGGGGCCTTCCAACTGGGCAGACCAACCATCCTCGCTGCACTCACCCGCTTCTCACACACGCAATCTTCCCCTCCAGTCGTCCGCGCAGTCGCCTATATACCCCAATGCTCCTTCGGGACCTTTCCGGGGTGCTGCGCTCGGTTCGCATGGCAGGTCAGGAAGCGCAACCAGCGAATCGTCCGCGGGTGGATTCGGCGGTCTTGGATTCCGCATGCCTCCCTCGTCCTCGTCGCTGCGAGGAGATCGCGAAATGGAATCATCCAGCAGTTCTTCCAACTTGAATCCTGCCTTTGGAGGAGCGATTGTGGCCAGCAGCAGCTCGTCTTCTGGGTTCAGCTTTCCCACGAAGCGTCCCTCATTCACATCACTGCGCTCACAGATGCGCGCTCACCATCTAGAAGCGGACCCACTCCCACAGCACCATTGGCCCACCACTCCGACTGCTCCAAACGCACCAGCACGTCTCGATATTCCTGCTCCAGACTTGAACGATGGTGATCTTACCGCAGGCTATCGCTCAGGCCTCTCCACACCGCGTCCACCGCCACTACCGTCTGCCACCAGCTTCCAGTTCCATCAGCAGGATCTTCCATCGCCTGGCTTTCACTCCCCACCAGAGCGGTCTACACCCCTTGGTCCAATGCGAGATCGCAGCGACAGCTTCACGTCGTCCCCTTCTCGCCACACAGCCCACAGTACCTCGGCCTCACGGTCTTCGCGCTTTCACCATGCCCCTACACTCTCCTACCATTCCGACTCGCAGTACTCTGTCGGCGGCTTCAGTAGTTCTGGTGGCAGCGCTGCGTACCCACATTCGAGCTCCGTCATCAGCGACTTGCCTCCCGTTCCTCCGCTTCCTCATGCGGCTGACAGCATATACGCAGACATGCCCGTCACCCCTGGCGGCCATACCAACAACGCTGCCTTTCAGCTTCCGCGCGCCATGGCCAGCACCACGTCCTTCGACCATTCTGAATTCAACAGCAGTCCACTCAAGCCCAGCACGCGGCAGCTACGCGAGGAGCCTACACAGTCGAGACCTTTGCGTCCCTTCGACGAAAACGAGGAAGGCTCGAGTGGAGATCATGCTCCCTGGACCACAACACAGCGATCCCGCCGCAAGCCGCCACCCCCGCTCAACAATCGCGGCGAAAGCCCTGCTGCGAGTCGATCGAACGCACTCGCCATCAGTCTTGGTAACGAAGGTCTTGGTCAGCTTCCGCCGGGCATCGGTGCTGCTGATCCTCAGGCTCCTGTCGACTATGCGCTCAACATTCTCATGACTAGATTCGTCAATCTCGCCAACGCCAAGGTCAAACGCGCGCTCGAAACGTCCCACGACCACGATCCACAACTGCTCAGTGCCCTGCGTCCACAAGATGATGCTCTCTTCGACTCGGTCTGCGACTCGCTCGCACACATCTCCCGCAAAGGTGCTGCCTCTGTCATCCGCAGTCTCTTTCGCTGGAGGTCGATCACGGTGGACACCGACATCGACACCGACCTCGTTCGCCGTCATTTGACTGCGGCTGCCCCGGCCTTAGCTGCCTCTTCGATGGTAGGGACGCGCGACATTGCTGCCTACCTCGCCCGACGAAAGGAGCTCTTTGCCATCTTCCTCACTACCAAAGCGCTAATAGTCATCACGAAGGTCTTGGCTCGCGATTCTCTCGGTGAAGCACAGGCTGCCGACTTCGAGCAGCAGACCTTCACCATGCTTCTCACGTGCACTGGCGCCAAGGACAAGGACCGTACGCTTCCACGCTCCATAACCCACATCCGCGACGCTTGCTTCGAGAGCGTCTCCTATCTCATCGGCGAGATCTCGCGCGTGCGCTTCGTCACCATCAGCGATCGTTTCGTCGAGATTCTGGAGCAATCGACAAAGGCTCCCACAGGCAAGACCGTCGAGGACCTGCTCGTTGCTGCAATTCAGAGTCTGCGCCACTTAAAGATCACGATCTATCCTATGGAGCTCTTCGAGGAGGGCGCCGACTTCATCGACGTTCTGGCTCGTCATTATGCGCATTGCCACGGCTTCCGCGTCAAGTCGAGCTTCGCCGAAGCGTTTGCACATCTCATGCTGCCTGTTGCGCAGACTGCCTCGGCCGAAGTCAATCACCCGACCTGGACCAAAGCCATCGACACCATTTGGCCTCGTATGACCGCCATGACTGCCAAGCCGCGGTATTGGAGTGTCGCCTATCCGCTCCATGTGACGTTGCTCGCGGTCTCGCCCGAAGAGAAGCTCGCTTCCAATTGGTTTGCTTGCGTTGAGGCAGGCGTGGCTAAACTCAAGGATCGCGTCCACCGTACCGTCGTTCTCAACGCAGCTGTGCGATTGCTCTGGGCGTACGCCTTCCGCTGCCACGAGAGTCACACCAACACCCACAAGAAGCTCGAGGCGTTCTTTCGCATCTGGTTCCCTTCGAGCCGACGCACCATCAATCCTGCAGACACTTCGCCCGACCCTTTCATCATGATGGTCCACTACGCGCTGTATCGTCATTTCGATTTCGGACGAGAGCTCCTCCTCAATTTCCTCTGCCACTCGGCGCTCGGTGGGAACACTCTGTCGCTACAGTCAGATGTGTTGACGGGCCAGCGAATGACCATCGCCATTCGAGCTGTTCTGCTGACGCTAGACTCCCATGTCAAGGGCCAATCGCCTCCCTTCCCGTCCACCGCCGACTTCAATCGTTTCGACTTCGACACGCTTCCGGAGGGCTGCGGCGACCAACTACCGGAAGGCTTCAAGTTTCCCAAGACCGAGATCGGCGAGGCACAGGATCAGTTCAACGATCTCATTTGCAAGATTGCGCTGCTTTGCGATCATCAAATCAGCGATATGACTATCTTCGACGCACGCACCCATCTGTTCGCCCGCGGCTCTGCCACTTCGGCTGCCACGACGCAAGAAAGGGCTCTTCTCGAACGCGATGGCTACACAATGCGCTTGCACCAAGCTGCCATGATCACGGCCTTCTATCCACGCGAGAACCAGTCGTCTTGCGACCTCCTTCGTGCCTGCTTTGAGTCGTGGCCTCGATGCCTCAGCACCAACATCTCTTTCTCGAGCGCACTTGCGGTTCTCTTCCGTGCTCACTTCAGCGCTGATCCCGATCTCAGCCGAGCTTCAGCTCGTGCCCTTCGGCGCATCGCAAGCCAACGTCCAGGAGGCTCGTCTGCTGTGGTCTCCGGCTTCATGCGATGGATTTTCCGCATGGACACCGCCTTCTGGGAGATTCACCCGAAACAGGTACTGGTCATGCCCAAGATCGAGGAAGCTGTTCGCCTCTGGATCGACTTTTTGCAGATCTGGCTCACAGAGCTGCGTATCCAGAACAATCAAGCGGATCAGGGCCAGCCAGGCGCACAGAAAGGGTTCGAGATGGAACGCACCAGCGCATGGGCTTTGATGGACGAAGTCGAGGCTTATGCCCTCTTCTTGCTCTGTTCCGCATCACGACCGCTGCGCTCGCTAGCCATCGAGGTCTTGCGGCTGATCGCCGTCCTGGACGATGCTTTCCTGTCGCCAAACCGTCGAGCCGCAGCTGAGCAAGCGCGAGAGCAAGGGCAAGACGAAGAGCCATCGCGCATCGTGCATCTCCTTGACATGCCGTGCCAGGACTTCCTTGATGCCAACGATCCGCACCTCAGCTGGCATCAGGTCAATCATTTGGCTCGCTACAAGTCTCCAGATCGATCGACATCTCTCAAGATCATTGCAGAGAGCGAGAGAGAGGTCGAGCAATCGTTGTGGTTCCGAGCGCTGCCGCTCTTCCTGCGCATGAGCTTGGAGCGTTTCCCCACCACAGTCGCGGTCTTTCGATCCTACATTACCAATCGTGTGCTCGAGATGGACCATGTCGCCGTCTACGCAGCTGACATATCGAATCGTGCGCCAGCCAACACCATGTCGAGCGCTACACTCAACAAGTCGCAGGCGGCATCGGCCGCGGCATCACTCCAAAGCTCGGTCTCGATGGCATCTTTGCGCGATGCAGCAGCCGCAGGCAAGGCAGGGGAGGCCGAGACGCTGCTGATGGCCCAGCATTGGCGTTTCTATGTCTTGGCGCTGTGCACGACCACCACGTCCACCGAAGGCTCTCGCGGAGGGGTCGTCGGCAACCATCGCAGGAAGTCCAGCGAGCCTGAGACAGGCGAGCGCATGATCTCGGCGCGCGATCTCTTTCAAAAGCTCGTCCCGTTCCTGGCTTCGGACAACGAAGTATTCCAAGAGGCCGTCGTCTTCGCACTCGGCAACATCAACGAGAATCACTACCTTGCCTTGCTCGAGACCATGCAGGCGCTGAGCGGAACTCTCAATGAAGATTTCAAGGTGCGGACCGTGGCCCGCAGCGGTCTTAAGCGGAACCGACGCCTAGACAGACTACGCACTGCGCTCGCCCACGTCCTGCAGCTCACTGCGCCTCACATGGAGGCGCGCGACTACCTCCTCAACCCCAAAGTCATCAGCATTGTTCACAACTGGGTCGACGATACGTTCCACTTCCTCTCCGATCGCGACATCCGTCCAGACTGGGAATTTCACAGCCTCCGGCGATACTTCTGTGCGGTGACGGAGCACTTCTTCGACGGGCTCGCCAAGAGAGGCTCTGCCGATTCGCATTTTCCTTTCGAGATCCGTCTGCGCATGTTCCGAGTCTTCCGCGACTGGCACTCGTACAGCACGGTCAGCGAAGATGGACGAAATAAGCTGGCCAATCTTCTCGCTGCGGCTGCAGACCAGCAAAGAGACGATCGGGCCAAGGAGCGCGCCGTCAAGACGCTCAACTATGAGTCGCAGGCGCTGTCGTACCAATCCGGCTGTGCAATGGCATCGCTTTGTCAGGGCGCCATTTCGATGGTGGGAGGGCCCGCACCGGCGCCGATGGAGGGCTCCTCGCTCGATCCAAGCTCCTTGCTTCACTGGCTCAGCAGTTTGTTCCAGACCAGCGACGAGAAGAACCACGACTTGGCACGCAAGGCGCTGCGATCTCTGCTCGTCTACAACGATCAGGATGCGATCCTCGTTGACAGCGCAGTGGACCGCTGCATCGCCGAACACGACCGCGCTTCCGGCAAGAAAAGCATCTTTGTGACGACGGCCGAGGTGGTGATCGAGAAAGAGGATCTGTCCATGCCACTGCACGCCATCTTCTGCCTTGGCTTGGTCAAACTAGGGCATCCTGACTCGAGCATCCGCCGCAAAGCGCTCTCTGTGCTGGACGACTGCAGTCGTCGCTTCGACGAATCTTGCATGCTAGACGAGTACGAGGTCGGCGTGTCGAGCCCATTGCCCGCCATCTATCTGCGCGCACAGCGTGACGTCAATGCCCATCTCGCTGTGCATTTCGACGGTCTGCGAACAGCCATGCTCAGCGAGTTCACTCGTCGGTTGCCCTTGATCGAGGCGTCGCGGCGCGCGACGATCTTGGGACTGCTGCCGGAATGGCTCAGCGGCCTCGTCTTGCACACGGCCGATGCCGGCATCGAGAGCTTTGCCGCAGCTCCCCTGGAAGTGGTGCTGTACAGAGCCTTCTTGAACCTCTCCAACCTGTTTTGCTTGACGGTTCGATACGGCGACGAGCACAACTTCGAGATCCAGGAGATCTGGAGCAGCCTCGTGGCTGATCCGGACGATCTGCAGAGCGCCGATGCGGTGGTCAGCTTCCTGATCGAGCAGGGTCTTCACTTTCGGAGTGAGCAGGTCGTCAACCACTCCAAGCGGATCGTCTCCTGCATCTCTCATACCGATGCAGGTCCGCATATTTTCGAGCATCTCTGCTCTATGATCGAGCCAAGTCGCATGATTCAGGTTCCGAGGACTGCTTCTCCGCCGATGCCGGATCTGGACCATCGCCATCTGTACCGCGCTGATCTGACGAAACTCTTGCCAGAGCCAGAGGCGTCGCTCGCTTTCTCGGAAGGACAGCTGGCGCTCTTCTACGTCGGCGAGATGACTTACGAGAGGCGAGAGCAGCTCGAAACGAGCCTGCCCACTTTGCTGCACGCCATCTTTATGCACATCGACAGCCGTTCTGCCTTCGTACGAACCCAGATGGTGGAGTCGTTCGAGCAATTGATGCGGTGCATCATCACGATGGGCGCAAGCGCAGCGCACAACGCCAACGATTCGGAGTCTACCTTCTACAGCATCGACCCGGAGCGAACAGCCGCAGCGAAAGCGCAAGTCGAACGCTTGTTTGCGAGGCGCACGTTCGCCAGCTGGGCAGCGGAGACGACAGCCGCAGACTACGACGGCCAGGCCAAGATGCCGAAGAACTTGCTGACCACCGCGAATGACACGCTGTCGCTGATCGAGCCCTTCTTCGAAGTCTTCCGGCAGGACTGGGGATCCGTGGCCCTTACGTGGGCCGCGTCCAACCCGATCCGTCACATGGCGTGCCGATCGTTCCAGGTCTTCCGAGCACTCCAACCCTCGGTGACTCCGAACATGATGATCACGATCCTTGGCCGACTCGCCGATACCGTCTCCGATCACAAGCCTGAGGTTCACCGCTTCACTCTCGAGGTGTTGTACGCACTGAACCTGGTCGTCAAGCACTGCGAGAGCTTCAATCGCGAGTTCCTGGCTCAGACCTGGTGGGCGACGCTCGCGTGTTTGTCGACCGTCAACGAGGCTGAATTCGCCGAGTCAGCTTCCATCCTCGAGAGCCTGGTGGACAGGCTGGACATTGGATCGGCTGACGTGATCGCGTTCTTGGTGCAGAGGTGTCCGGAAGGATGGGAAGGCGATGTGGGAGTCCTGCGTATCCTGGTATCGCGCGGTCTCCGCTCCTCGGAGACCTCGATGCCGACGTTCCGGTTGATGGCGAAGCTCGCCAAATGCCGTGACCCAGCACTCATCGACTTTGACGACAAATGCCGCCTTGGCTATCTGTTTGTGGCAGCGCTGCCGTGGTTCCTGCAGGTGACCGAGGAGAGTCTCAAAGCAGCTGGCGGTTCAGTGACGAGCAAGAACGATCCTCGCAACGCTACTGCGGCTTCTGGCGGCGTCAAGAGGGTCTCGGCTGACGCAGGGGCATCTGGAGTCACGCACGCATCCGAGATTGCCACTCCGGTGCTGTCAGCGGTGGAGACGCAGATGGTACTGGAGATGGCAGCGGACCTCGCCACCGTTGCGTCGCTATTGGAGATGCGCGATCTGGAGCGAGTCGCTACCTCGATCTCGCGATCCCGCTTCCGAACCAAGGACGATCTGGTCCGACAGGCTGTCAACTGCATTCGATCGCACTACCTGCCCGAGCATGGCCCCGAGATGGCCGTTCTGCTGCTAGGTGTGGTACTCAATCGACGAGAGTGGATGCGCACGCAGGCGATGCAAGTGCTCAAGATCTTCTTTCAGGTGCTCGACACACGCAACCATGCAGCCTTCAGCAGCCTCGGCTCAGAGTTGCTCATGCCGCTGCTGCGCCAGCTGTCGACACCCCTATCTGCTCAAGCGCTGGAGGTGCTGGACGAACCCATCGTTGTTCATGGCGGTCCTGCTGCCAATCAGATCCTGCGCATGAGCCTGCAGTGGGGCAATACGAACATGGACGGTCCGACGCGGGACTTTGTTCATGACGCATCGATCTTTGGTCCACCGCAAGAAAGCGGCTGGGCCGTCGCCGATCCGCAAGACATGGCAACACGCACTCGAATCAACCTGCAGGCGCTGGTCAAGATGTGCGAGCACACGCTTGACATTATCCCTACTGGTAACAACGTCGACTTTGTCGTGGACGACGCCTACGATGGTAACGCTGAAGCAGACGGTGCTGCCTTTGCTCTCGATGAAGCACCCGGTGTTGGTGGAACCAGGAGCGAAGTCGCACCGGCCTCTAGTCTGGGCGATATCGTCAATCAGCTTCACGACTTGTCCTCCTTCTTCGGCGACGATCCTATGTCCAAGAGCCACCAGGCATCAGTCATGTGGCGTGAGTCACGACTGGATCGATCCGGCTCGATGCGGCAAGCGTCTGGCTTGGGGCGTGCTTCGTCGATTCGATCGAACGGACTCAGCGCGGGAGGCAGTATCGGACGCAACGGATCGCTGCGTGCTGGGTTGCTACACAGCCGGCAACCATCGCCGAATCCGACGGTGGTGCCAGACTACTCGCGAGGTGCCTACGCCGGAGACGGCGGAGGCGGAACGCACCACAGAAGTGCTATGGTCAGAGCGCATACTGATGAAGCAAGGTACGGAGGCATGGTCCGAAGCGGGTCTGTCTCTGGAGACCTGTCGAACATCGGCATGGGACGATCAACCAGCACGCCCTCGAGTCGCAGCGAAGATGCCAGCTCCACGCGGTCTCGTGCTCAAATTGCCAAGATCTTGGCCAGGTCGACGGCGCGCGAGAGTCCACCCTACATGATGCGTACCAGTAGCGGGAGGACGGCTTCGATCCGGGAAGAGAGCGGCGGGAGCAGGTCGAGCGTCGAACTGCGCGAGCGTTCGGACAGCTTTGATCAGATGTCCGAAGCGAGCGGATCGCAGCACAACCATCAAAGCAGCGGCGGCTCGTTCCATCGTAAACCGTTGATGCTCGCGCAACAGCACCATCAAAGCCCTCAGTCGTACCATCATCATCAAAAGCCTTCCTCGTCGTCAGCGTCTTCGTTCTCGTCAGGCCAACGTCGAAACGGCGGCGGCGGGGTCGGCAAGATGACTCCGGCTAACGAGGCTCGTTTCCATTCAGTGGCCAAGTCGGCCGTGTCGAATGTCAAGCACGCTGGGGACGAGTAGAGCCCAGCGACGCCTGTATCTTTGTATCAACATGACCACGTTGCATGGCTTCCAGTCAGACCAGTGCGCACGCTTTTCTCAATGACGAGCAACGACTGTATGCATGCCTGTATTCCTTCTCATTCGCCCCATCACTGTCTATGCTCACAGCTCGGCCTTTGCTCTCGCCGCCTTCTTGGCCCGCCACTCGCGCACGGCCTTCTCGACCAGCGCCACGTCCGTCCCCTGATGTCCCACCTCTACAAAGTGCACTCCCAGCTTGCTCCCCACCTCGGCATTGCGATACTCGTCGTCGAAGAAGACCATGTCCTCGTACGCCACACCGGAGTCCTCGTGCAGCTTGCGGAAATGCGTAATCTTGGAGCCGGGATAGATCTCTTGGTAGTCGAAGAAATCTATTGCCTTGACCACTTTCGCCTCCTTGCCCGATGCCTCTCCCTCTTCGTCGTTCGACCCTGGGTGGGGGACATACTGCTCATCGTCGACGAGGAATAGCCCGTTCAGTGCCTGCCTCGCCACCGCCGGCGCACTGGTCCTACTCGCCGCTGCCACCTCTACCCCCCTCCTCCTCAACCAAAACAAAATGCTCGGTACATGCGGAAAGAAGCTCAGCGGCTGCCCATTTCGATCGTATACCTTGTTGATGTCCTCCCCGCGCCGTCGGAGGGGCGAATCGACATGCGTATCCACCCACAACGGCCACAGCGTGTAATCCAGATCAAAGACGAATAGCGATGGCAAGGGACCACTGTTGAGCGACTCGAGAGTTGACACGATGCCAGGGGTGAACGGTGGGTGGAGGTAGGAGGTTGCGGAGGTGGAGGTGGTGGGAGCCTCTTTGGCCCGTTTGCCGAGCTTCCGGACCATATTTGTTGCGAGGAGTAAGAGATTCGCAGAGATCCCGAAAGGCGGTCTAGTCTATTGCGACGGACGAGATAGTTGAGGTGCAGAAGGAGCAAGGCCAGGACGATGGGTCGAAAGAGGAGCAGGGTGGTAAGGAAGGAATTCGCCGAGCTAGCAACAAACGCAACGGCGAAATTCGCGGAGGTGGAGGTGTCGAAAGGATTTTCTCAGATCTGTTAGGGTGTCGATGCTGCACTTGCACTGCTCTCTCTTCTTCACATGCTCGCCGGTCGTGGGCGATCACATTCGACGACGAGACTCATTGGGACAAAACAGCAGCATTCGGTATGACTACAGCGCTGATGGTACAATGTGGCCAGTCTACCCTGCCTTCTCGTCGAGGACCTCCTCCTCTTCGTCGTCGTCCTCATCTGGAACCGTCACATCGAGCCCAGCCCTCCTGGTCTCCCTCACTCTTGTGTTGCACCGCAAGCACTTCCACCCTCTCCCACCCCGTTCGTCCTCCTCATCCAGCTCATCCTCCATCTCCTCATCCAGCAGCTGCTTTGCGATGCACACATAACAGTACTTGTGGTGGCACGGAACCGTCTCGTACGGTGTCGTCACGATGGCGTCTGCATACGCGATTCCGTCGGGGGATACGCCGAGCACGGCGTTCCTTGCTGGATCCGAAGCGTTCACACCCGTATGAGCGTTCAGCGGTTGCGAAGCCGAATTGGGTCGGTTGGGCGCGAGGAGACCCGAACTCGGATCCAACGGGTCCGACGTCGGAATGCCCATGCTGAGCCCACCCGTGCCGATCTTGGTCGGATCGCGTCGTGAGCCGGTTAACGTCTCGATACGTTGGAAGCAGATGGCGCAGACTTCCTCTGGCAGGTGATGATACGGTCCAAGTTGGGATTGTGTCTCTTCGGCTTTGTCGCCCGCCTTCCCCGGCGCTGCACCAACAACCTGCTTGACAATGGGCATCGACACATCTTCCCGATTAAACCTCGTTCGACCCCCCGCATCCTGCTTCATCCCCAATCTCCTACTGATCGCCAACGGCAACATCCGCCATACGACACCCAACAGCTTCGGATGCGTAGGCAACTTCATCAACCGCCTGAACAGCCTCTTCGGTCGCACCAGGGGTAGGAGGAAGAGCAAGAACTCCGTAAACGCATGCCATACGAGTTGACGATTGAGAAACTCGAACGAGACATTGCGGTTCATCGTCCGTTGTGCGTAGGTCAACCTCATGCCCAAAAGTCGGTCTGCGACACTACGGAATTTGCCATCCGCGAGGAAGACGGCGAAGTTGGCGAGGACCAGTGCGGACCATACGCGTTGGGAGGCGTCGGTGAGCCGCCAGAGGAGCCGCCGCGGATCGCGAGAGGGCATGTCGGAGTAGCTGAGCGATGTCATGTGGTCCTGCCACTTGCTTCCTGCATAGGGAGCGATGATGGTGAGCAGCGGGTAGAGGGCAAGCTGCAAGCGGGAAAGAGGTTGGTCCCGAGCAGTGGACTGAAGGGCTCCACGATGGGCCCATTCGTTACGATACTTGAGGTTCTGCAGCATCGACCCGTACGATGCGCCGCGGTCGACGATGCTGAATTTGAACAAAGCCAGTTTTAGGAGGAGAAGAAGTTCCGGCTCGAGATCGGATGGAAGCGTGGATCGGATGGAGGAAAGCGCCTTTTTGACCGGATCGAGGAGCAACTCCGCGAGCTCGCGATCGAGCAGTTCGGCATCTAGCTGGTTGACTCGCTGGATCTTGAGGATCGGCGTCGGGAACTTGTGCAAGGATGAACGAATCGAGGCGATGGAGGCGGTGGCTGCTTGCGATGCAGAAGAGTAGAAGGGGGGTGGGTGTGGGATCTGCGCGTCGGTTGCGGCGGGTTCCGAGGCGAGCTGTTCGGGGGTTGGCATGCCAGCGGGCTGTGATGATGGCCCTGCGACTGGCCCGTTGGGGCTTGACGATGAGTCTCGCGTCATGGCGCCGTGTGATGATGTCGTGCAAGATGTCGTTGATGGGATGAGGAAGGATGGATGCGAAGACGTCTTTGTTCCCCACAACTCACGGTAAAAGGTGGACCATCAAAAATGGAAGCCGACGTAGCCGGTGGCTCGCCCGTGATCCGGGGTCTAGGTCAAAGATGTGATCAACGCCATGCTAACACTCATGAAAATTCGACCAGGAGAGGCTCGCGCCTTGTCGACTCAGCAGAAATTTCCCTTGGCGACGCGCTGAGACCCTGCTCCTTTTCGATGCTTCGCTGTCACAACACAAAGCGCGCTAGCTGGCGGTCTTCCACGGACCGCAGTTACGCTACAGCGGGTCGACCCTTCCGATGGGGCCTTCATAGACAACCTTTGATCTGCGCCTACCTGTCGCGTTTTGAAGCACGGCGAGATTTGCGATGAGAGCTCGATGGCGACAACGCCGGCCCGCACAAGACGAGCGATGCGTGCAGAGGGGGCGGTTCTGTGAGATGGCTGCTCCGAGTGTGCACCTTGCAGATCATTTCGAAAACTGCTGATGCCGAGTCAAAGAAGCTTTTCGGGCTCAGCTTGAGCGGCGCGTCCCTGAGACCAACACTTTGTCAGTTTGCGCCTCTTTTGCTTGGCCTGCAGCACACAGCGCACAGCACACCGAGCCCACCCAAGCCGCTATTGTGCAGTGCCATCGCCTCGGCGTCGATCTCGTTCCGCAGAATCATTGGCTCGCTAGACGAGCACCGCAGGCAATGTGACGGCCCGCCTGTGCCCCCCTCTCGGCTAGACGGCATCGCTGGCCAGCCCCTACCCTGATCGTCACTCTGCCGACGCTTCTCAGACTCAGACACACAGCCCAAGCTCATCTGGCCCATTCCTCCCTCTCTCTCTCCTTGCCCCGCTCCTCCATATAAAGTCACCACGCTCCTTTTGTCCTCCATCTCACTCCCTTTTCGAAACACACAGTCTCTACTCTACTGCACCTCGCAAAAATGGTCTTCTCCAAGGTCTCGCTCCTCACTACCGCCGTGCTCGCTCTGGGCTCGGCCGTCTCGGCCCAGAGCAGTAACTCCACCGCCTCGTACGAGCAGGTGGCTCGCATCCAGCTCACCTTCCCTGCGGCCGATCTCACCCCTGAACCCGTCCAGGCCTCGTGGCTCGACATCCAGGGTGTCCTCAACGTCACCTTTGGCGACGTTGCCGTTTCGCGCCTCGGCGACAAGCTCACCGTTGCCCAAGTTCAGAGTGCGCCTGCCTTCCGCATTAGCGCTCAGACTGCTGCGGCGGCCAACGCATCGCTCTTTGGCAACGACAAGCGCTTCACCGTCGCCTTCCTCGACGCCGGCGTTGCGGGCAAGAACACCTCTACTGAGGTTTTCTGCCACTACCTCGGCAACAACTTCACCTGGGACGCCTCCACTGGTCGTCTGCGCAACCAGACCGCCGCTCGCGTCGCCTACGGTGCGCCTCTGCCCGCAACCAACGACGGCCCGCACCGTTACATGCAGCTTGTCTTCCAGCAGTTTGACAACTTTACCGCCCCCGCCATCCCGGCTGCCAACGCGCCCATCCAGACGCTCGAGCTCCAGGACTATTACAACAACGCCGACGGTGGCTTGGGCAAGATTGTTGCGGCCAACTACATTCAGATCGAGGTCGGCCAGGCGGATGCTCCTAGCTCGACCGCTGCGGTCAACCAGGCAAGCGTTACGAGCCTCGCTGCTAGCTTGAGCAGCGCTGCCGCGACCGGAGCTCGTTCGTCCTCCGCTCCCGCCGCCAGCGGGTCGGGCGGCTCGTCGGGCTCCAACGCCGCCCCGTCCCTGATGGGCGGCGCTTCGATGGCCGGTATTGTCGCCATGGGCTCGGCTGCCCTCGTTGGCGCTATCGTGCTCTAAATGCACCTCAGGGGAAAGGAGAGCGGATGTTGGGGGTGCTTGGTGTCAGGCTCGGCTTGTGTTGGTGGAATGAGCACGCTGATCAGGCATATCTTGGTCGCTGCTGTATGTGCATGCTTCTGTCTTAGTCAATGGATTCGTATGCATATCCAGTGGGGCGGCCTGATGGCTGTAGAAGAGTGAAGAGGGAGTGCTTGTGTGAGAAGTGCAAGAGCCTCGAGGAAAAAAAAAACTAATTTTGTTAGAGCTAGCTGATGTGGACGCGGAGACGCGACAGCTTGAGAAGAAACGCTCGACAGCGAACGAGCCACGTCGCCGAGCTCACTCTTCTCGCTTGGCACGCCCACTTTCTTCCTTTCCTTCCACCTACATCACTCTTCGGGCGGCTTTCATTCACAATGAGGCTCCCTCGGTTCGTGCTCTTCGCAGCGCTCCTGCTGGTCACGCTATGCAGCTTCGCCTCCGCCTCGAACTGGGACAAGGACGACCACGAGATCTTCGAGCTCCAATCGGCGCTCACCACGTCCATCGGCAAGGGTACCACGTTCTACTCTCTGCTCGATATCCCCATCTCTGCCTCTTCGTCCGAGATCAAGCGTGCCTACCGTAGAAAGTCGCTCGAGTGGCACCCGGACAAGAATTCTGGTGTCAAAGGCGCACAGCAGAGATTCGAGCGTCTTGGGCTGGTGTACAAGATCTTGCGCGACGAACGAAAGGATCGTTACGACCATTTCCTTCGCTCTGGTTTCCCCAAGTGGAGACGCGATGGGTACTTTTACGAACGCTATCGTCCGGGTCTTGGCAGTGTTATGGTGGGAATCGTGCTGGTGAGCATGCTCGTCGAGGTGGGCGTGAGCCGCTTGACGAGCGGACAGGAGAGGGCCAAGGTGGAGAGGCTCAAGATGAGCGCTCGGGCGGTGGCGTGGGGTCCTCGGTACCAGGCACTGCTCGCGGGTCTGCTGTTCCCCGCAAAACCCGCTGTGGGTGGGTCGAAGGTTACGGAGACGGAGAGGAAGGTGAGAGTTCCAATCACCGGATTCCCCCTCCCCGCTTTCCCCAGCTCCACCGCGATCCAAGGGGGCACCGTCGACTGGGACGTTCAGGAGAACCTTGCGCGAACCGCCCTCTCCGCCGCCACCTCGTCGGATGGAGCCCCGATCGTAGACTGCCTCGTTCAGGGCGAGGACGTGCTCCTGCTCGACAGGTTTAGCGGCGACTGGGTGAGGCTGGACGAAAACGACGCCAGGCCAAGTGGCATGCTCCAGACGTGGCCCGTGAGGTTGGTGGGCGCGATAGTCAACAAGGTCACCGGAAAGGGTGAGGACGTCTTCAACGAGGAAGAGGAGGTCGAGGTGGAACAGGAGAAGGAGACCAAGGTGCAGAAGAACAAGAAGGGCAAGAAGAAGACCAAGTAGAGAGATGATGGGCACACAAAAGATGCATTCGAGAAATGATCAGACGACGATGTGATGTGAAGTGTGGTTGTGCTGCGAGGCTGTGTCGTTGAAACGTGCAACGGCAGCCAATGAAAGTACAGGGACATGTTGCGATGGTCGGCTAGGCCCCCTCCTCCTCCTCCTCGTCCGACTCGCCCATATCGATCTCAGGCATGTCCTCATCATCCTCATCCTCATCGCTACCTCTAAACAGCGTCTCGCGCACCTCCTCTCTTCCCCCATCTCCCTCCGCCGTTGTAGCATCAACGATCTCTTGCACGACCTCTGTCACATCAGGCGTCTCCACCACTTGTGCAGCAGCATGGACCGCAGCCTCCGTAATGCCTGCCCCCACCGGAGTGCTGATTCTCCCAGGAGTAAGGAACGGTGCGCCCCCACCTGCTCCGCTCACATCAAGACTCGGCGAAGCGGGTCTCGACCTTCCCTGCGGGTGAGCGTTCGGGCTGCCGATGCGGGGCGTGCTAGGTCGATGGGTTGGCTTAACCGGGTCCGGGGAGAAGATTCGATTTTCCGTCGCTGCGCGTCGTGGCGAAGTGGGCAGTCCCAAACCCACCCCCGTCGCAGAAGGTGCGGGTTGGATGGGGGTAGCAGCATCTGATCCGGTCGCGTTGAACAGTTCCGCAGATTCGGCAGTGATCGCGTCCACATCCATTCGCTCTTCCCCCTCCACCTGAATCGGAACAGGTTTGCCGAGGATAGCAGTGGTAATGTTCTGAAGACCCGACTCGAGCGCTTCGCCAACAGGAATCGCACGGACGTCGGAGGTAAGCTTCGAGCCGTCAGGTGCGGGTTCCATATCGCCCCCCGCGCGAGGACCGAACCCAACACCTCGGGCGACAGGTACGAACTTGCCCCGACGACTAGCGTGTACCTGCATCAGCGCGCGTTCCGCCACAGTTCGGATGCGGGCATCGCCCGCTCCACCTGGTGCGTGGGCGATTCTGTCCAACACCGGGATGGCTCTCGGCAGAACAAGGGCGAGCGTGCTTGACGGGGAATCCAAGCAGAGGTCCGCCAGTGCCTCGATGGCTGCTCGAAGCAGCGTCGTTGAAGTGAGCGCGCCAGAACCGGCACTTTGGTGCCGAAGCATCGCGGAGTGCGTGGAAAGCGAGTCGGAGAGCACCTCGACCAGCGCCAGGATCGTCTGGACGGAAAGCTGCATCTGATCGTAGTGCACCGCGCTGAGGTTCGTCGTGAGGAGCGGGTAGACGGCGACGAGGATCTCGAGCGCCGCTTGGGTCGAGGCGATCTCTTCGACGCTCAACGTGTGAATCTGATCCTTGGCCGACAGCTGGGATGCGAACATGGAGTCGGATTCGTAGAGACGCGCTTTCTTTGCTTTTCGTGCATCTCCCGCACTTGCACTCGACGAAGTAGGGATGGGTTGCAGAACGGATCGTGCGACCTGCGTCACGGCGAGACGCGCAAGACGCAATGCGGTGCGCCCAGCGGGATCGAGAGGGAGAGTGACACCGCGTCTCCCCACGAGGACAGCAAGTGTACGCATCGCGGCCAGCTTGAGACGCGCACCCGCCAGAGCTGAAGACGAAGCAACGCCTGTCTCTGCAATACGACAGATGTCGCCTAGCACCCTCGACGCTTGCAATGACACTGCGGCAGGTGCGGTGATGGCGAGCTGAGCGATGAGTGCCAGTGCTCTCGTGTGCAGAGTGGAAAGGTGAGATGCCTGCAACGAGCACACCTTGGCTTCGGCGGTGGGTTTGAATCTGCTGTTGAGGTCGATTCGCAGCATATCCAAGACGAGAGCGATGAGTTTGCCAGCGGCGATGGGGACTGGACGAGTGGTAGGGGATCGAAGATGAGAGTTGATCAAGCCGGACCGTCCGCGACTGCCGAGCAGCAGCGCTAGGCGGGTGTGCGCCAGCTTTGTTGCTGCGAGAGGGTCTTTCGCATATGCAGCCAGGTGCTTGTATGCTGATGATCCGCGCCCCTCGGTGCCGGTTGGAGGAGAGGTGGTGACCTCGTAGCTGGAGGTCGCATGGGTCCAAGCTTCGGAGGCGAGCTGAAGCTGAATCTCGAGTGTTGCCGCCCAGAGCTGAGACTGGGTAGTTCGAGCTGAGCCACCAGACGCCTCGCTACCCTTTGAAGCGAGAGCACCGGTGAGGTGGAGGGATGAGAGGACAGTCGCCGCAGAGGTGAAGATGGGCTGCGGAATCAGCAGAGCGTCATCACTGTACAGCAAAGAGGTGATGCATTCGTGGACGCGCGATGATACGGGACGAAACTGTGCTGCGTGGGCGTGGAGGAGTCGATCGATGAAGATCAAGACAGTATGCAGATGGCTGCCAAAAGCGGTGATGCCTTCGGATTCTTGCTTCAAGAGAATGCTTTCGAGTAGTTGTGCCAGACCAAAGACTACCTTGGGAAGGTGCGGGTGAACAACCTGCCGGTAGAACTCCTGCCTGGAGGCGATGTTTTCGGGAAAGAGGTGGGTGACGGCAAACTGGAGTGCGGCGGCCAGAAGACGGTCGGACTGCTCTCGCTGCAGCAGAAGCTTGTCGGGAGCTGATAGCAGATTTATGATCTGTGTTGCCCATGTCGATGCATTTGAGATCAAGTGGTCGTTCCACACCGATGGATCTTGCTGGATCCAGAGATGGGCGAGACGATAGCCAAGTGCGTTTTGAGACGAGATGAGCGAATTGATCCGGACCGTGAGCTTGTGACGTGTTTCGTCTTGCGGGACTTGCGCAAGAAGGCCGGACTGGCTGATGATTGCCAGGATCTCGTCTGCCTGCTGCGCGTCCAACGACGGTGTGATGAGGTTGAGAAGCAACTCGAGCCTGGGAGCGGATCGAGCTGGTCCGGGCAGCTCGAAAGCAGCCGAGCTACTCGAGCTGCCAAAGATTGCACCCGTAGAGGAGGACGGCATTTTTCCTCTGTCTCTACGCCGCAAGACTGTAGGTAGCTTACACGATCGAGGTAGCGAGTTGTGGTGTCAAGTGCGGAAGGGTGAAGGTAAGAAAGTTGCGGTAAGAAAGGACTTCTTCCTAAAATTTCAATTCCGAGTTCCGATAAATTAGAGTTGTTAGAGCGCTTAGCTGTTGCTCTTGCTGGCCCGCACGGACACACGCTTGCATTCCTCCCTCGTCATGTTCACACCAACTCTTGCGTCCCAATCACCATAGTCCGCCACCCATCGACTTCGCACTCGGGCCTGGATCTCACAGGAGCAGAGCAGACGCCAGACGTCGACTCGAACCCGACGGTCTTCCTTCGAAAGCAGCCAAGGTCACATCTGGGAAGATCCGTTGCATCAGGCTGAGCCAAGCTACGCTGCGCGATATTATGTCTTAGCCGATGCTCCTACAACCTCGAGCGTCATCACATGTGCACATATCCGTAGTCAAGCCGGTCCTATAAGCAGTCAGCCCCTTCAAGCACCGGCACTATGTCTCAATACAGCGGCGGTCCGTCGCAGCCGCAGCTGCAATCGCGCCCGAGCAGATCAAGACCACAGGGGGCAGCGCCCATATTGGCTCCACCACTCAATCGTGCCGGCTCCTCTACATCGCGGCTCTACAACGACTCCATCGTGGCAGAGCTATGCACTCTCGACACCTTTCAGAATGACTTCAACACCAACGACTTTATCGCTCAGCTCACCTCGAAGCTGGTGCAGCGCTCAAAGGCAGACCCTGGCCCCTTCAACCCGAGACCCTTCATCCGGACCTTGGAATCGGCCACGGAACAGCTCAATCAGATTCGTACTCAGATCAACTCGCAAACACAGCAGCTATCCTCCTCGGTGCACGTCGCAGAGTCCGCCTACACCAAGAAGCTCGATGAGCTCTCCAAGAACTTTGTCTCCGTGGGCAACTCCTTCACAAGTCTAGAGGACCGCATATCGGAAGTGGGTCGCACTGCCATCCGTATCGGCGAGCAGCTGGAACTCATCGACAAGCAGCGTAATCGAGCCAGTGAAGCACATGATCTAATCGAGTTCTACTACATGTTCGCTCGTGGCGACACATCCAAGCTCGAACGTCTGCGCAAAGAAGGCGGGCGCGAAGGGAGAATGAAGACGGCCGTTATCGCCCGACGTCTTGCTGCGATCAGCCGTGAAGTCGACGTCGCCGGAAGTGATCAAACCCGCGACTCCATCGATCGCTACTGTGAGCGATTCGAGCGCGATATGCTCAAGCTCTTTGACAAGTTCTACCGCAGGTCCGATCCCAAGATGATGTCGCACATCGCCAAAGTACTGCAAGCTTTCAACGGAGGAACAAGCTGCGTCCAGATCTACGTCAACCAGCACGACTTCTTCATCTCCAAAGACCGTGTCGGCGAAGCCAACAGCATCGAGCTCAGCCAGATCTGGACCCACATGGCCGACCCAGATCATTCACCACCACAGTCGGAACCTGCTCTGACAGCTCTGTTCGACGAGATCCGGCAGACCGTCGAAATCGAAGCGCAAATCATCTCGGCCGTCTTTCCCAGTCCGCTCATCGTCATGCAGACCTTCCTGCAGCGTGTCTTTGCGCAGTCAGTCCAAGGCTTTGTCGAGGTCATCATGGACAAAGCCATGCAGGTCCACGCACCCGCCTTCGTCGGGGCGGGCGGAAACATCGACGCAAAAACGGCGGCACTCGAGCCCAACCCTCCCTCCGGCCAGCAGCCCACAACCTCGCATCTGGCTTTTCTCAGGGCGTTGCACCTGGCACGTTCCAGCGCCTTGAGTCTCGTCAACGACTTGAAGCAGTATGACTACCGCGGTGCTGGCATTGTCGGTCCATCCCACGCAGCAAACGGAAGCGGCGCTGGTGCAGGCAGCAACGCAGAGGGAGGTGCATCAGACTCGCTGACGCTACTGGGCAACGACAATGCAGCGAGCGCGGGTCACTTGACCGGCGCGTCGGCCAGTCCGTTGGCCACCATGCTCGACCAGTCGTTGGACGAGCTGTTTGTGCCGTACATGGAAGGCATACGCTACATCGACCGGGAATCGCGGAGCTTGACTGATCTCTACGCTGGACTGCTGTCCAAGTACATCACATTTCATCGCGCCGCCGCTGTGGTCAAGAAGGAGAAGGGCAGCAGCAACAGCATTTTCGATCGTGTGCGCAATCAGATCTCAGCCGGCCCGGATGCCTCTTCCTCGAATTCAAATCTCGGAGGCGGTACCGGAGCGAGCAGTACCAGCACAGCTGCCACTTCGAACGCCTCGAAGACGTCGTTCTTCAAACTCTCCATCCTCGCAGACCGCGTACGTGGAACCAACCTTGCCACCGGCAACAACAATGCAGCGTCGACATCAGCAGAATCGCTCGTTGACGGCCATCACGTTTCGGGCGGACGTCATCACGAGGACGAGCTTGAGGACGGAGACGGCGATCTGTCGCTCGACATCGCCGAGAAGATGCTGCGATGGCACGCCGAGTCCATCGGCCGATGTGTCGATCTGAGCTCGCCGACCGAGGTGCCGAAAGCAACGTTTGCTCTGCTGCGTGTTCTGACCTCGGCTTACATCAAGACCTATGTCGAGACAGCGCTCGACTCGGCTTGGACCGCGCTGGGCGCTCAAGACACGCGCGGACCCATCCTTCCAGACCCCTCTGCAGCCATGTCGCTGCTTTGCACGGTCGAGCTGCTCATCTCACTGTGGCAGCATTATGTCAACACGGCGCTGCTGCCACTGGCAAGCGCCAGTGTGACCTTGCGCAGGGAGATGATGATCTTCAACAACCACAATCTGCTCCGTGTCGAGGGCAAGTGCGATGCGCTGATGCAGAGGATTGCGGACAACGTGGTGAGCTTCCTCGCCAATCGGCTGGCGCTGCAGAAGAAGAACGACTTTGCGCCTAAGAACGACGAGCTGGCCTTTTCACGTCAGAACACCGAGCCGTGCGTGGCCTGTTCCGAAGCGCTGGAGAAGGTGCAGCAGGCAGCGAGAGCCAATCTCGCTCTGTCTTCGAGTCGCATGGTCACCTCCGCGAGCGGCAATTTCAACATTCACAGTTCGCCTGGAAAGGGTCAGCATCCCGGTTCGAGCCGTGCCATCGACGGAGGATCCTCTCGCGTCAGCTGGGCCGACACGGACACCTACGGCAACGCAGACTCGGACGACGACTCGGACGACGCGCACCGGCACAACAACCTCTCCCGCAACGCCGAGACGTTCCTCACCGAGATTGGCGTCGCCTTCCACGGCCTGCTCCTCGACCATCTGCGCAAATACACCGTCAGCGCAGCAGGCGGCATCATGCTAACAAAAGACCTGGCGATGTACCAGGATGCCATCGGCACGTTTGGCATCCCCGTCCTGTCGGATCGCTTCGAGATGCTTCGTCAGCTCGGGAATCTCTTCATTGTGCAGGCGTCGGTGCTCAAGTCGTACATGCGCGAAGGGCATTTGGCCAAGATCGACGAGCGATTGTTGCGACCGTATCTGTTGAGGAGGGCGGATTATGCGAAGGAAGTGAGGGATTTGGAGGATGGACCTGCGCCAAGTACGCCGACTGCTGCGCCGAGCAATCCGTTTGGAGCGGGGAACGATCTGTTTGCCACTGCGCCGGGAGGTGGACGGGACTTGTTCGGTCATCTGCCCGGGTTGATTAGTGGCACGCAGGGCAGTCCAGGTGGGGCAGCGTCGAATGCAGCGTCAGGGACGGGAGGGAGGACAGCAGAGCAAGTCAGGCTGCAGCGGCTGGGAGATGTGTTGGCGCATCTGGAGAAGTTCAGCCTTGGTGCGGCTGGAGCGTCAAGCAAAGGGCAGCAGCAGGGAGCTGCATCGTCCAGTGTCGCTGCCTCTTCGCGCAAGTAGTGCTCTGCTTGCCGATGTAATTTTCGGTCTGCACGCAGTGGGTTGCGAGCCTTTGTTGTCCGCCGTCTCGATGCACCAATTCAAGTTTGCATATGAACCAGAAAGGTTCCGGACTGACATGGAGAGTGCGAGCGGGGTGCATCGAGACGGCGGACAACAAAGACTCGCAAACCACTGCCGACAGACCCAAAACTTCCATCGCCAAGCAGAGCACTACTTCCAATGAGTCGCCTTTCAATGCCAGACTTTGTCGCAAACTAGGCAGTCGGGATCGATGAAGTAGAGTGTCCTGATTGCGAGCTGCCCATCTCGGGCGCCAAAAGTGATTGTCTGAAAACGAAAAGGTAGTTGTGCGCAGTGTCTAGCTCATGATGCTTGATCTGCTTGTGCTGAGCACCCTCGGCTGACCGTTCTGGGCATTCCTCTGCTTGGCGCTGAAAACGTAATTCGGCTTGCCGTCGTTCACATCTTCCGGATCGGCACAGCTGATGGTGACGCTCTTGACCATATTCACAAACCTTCCATTCGTGGCCTGCTTCCAATCGATGAGGCCACCGGACCAGTCAACGGTGCCTTCCTGGAAGGTGCCATCTCCTGCGCCCCAGATGGACATTTGAAGACGCATAGGGCTGGAGGGGTAGTGGTAGATGTTGTTCTTGAGCGTGCTCTTGCGGGTGAGCGTGCGAACAGGAGTGCCGTCGATGAGCCAACGAAGACGCGTGGGAGACCAGTCGAGTGTGTAGGTGTGCCAATCGCGCGTGCTGAAGCGCGGAGGGGCGATGGTGTTGAGCGTCGTGTTGGGGACAGAGAAGCCATGGGTGTATCCATCTGGATCCCCGCGCCAGTACCAGTTTGTTTGCATGTCTTGATCATCGCTAGTCGTCCATTCCCAGTCAATTTCGTCTGTGCGCCGAGGGGGTGAGATGGTGGTAGTGGTGATCGTGATGGCAAGGAAGCAAAAAATCGTCAGCACATCTTATGTTTATATGACCTCGAAGGGATGGTTGGGTCGAACTCACCTTTGGTACTCGACATGCCGATGAATGTATTCACCACACCGTTCCAGCTGCCGTGCTTCATGACGGCACTCGCCTGACCGTAGTACCAGTATCTCGTGGTGCTCAGCAGTGACCCTCGCTTCGCATCGCCGGACTTGGTGAGGATCATCTTGGTGCCCGTCTTACCCGCCTCGGCGACACCTTGATCGAGGGTAAAGGGCGCCTGGTTGGGATCACCTCGGTATGACTCGGCGGCCACCCAGGGCTTGGCATTGTTGTCGAAGCGAATGGTTTGAGGCTTGCACTTGGGCATGGGCTTGCACGAGTTGGGCGAGAAGGAGGAGGTGGGGTCGCACGAGCCGAGACAGTGATCGGTCGAGCTGCCGCAGTAGCCATAGGTGGAGCAGCAGGGGGCTGCCTCACCGCATTTGGATTTTGCGGAGCATGTTTGTTGAGCGGAGATGGTGGTGGTGAGGATGGTGAGGGCGACAACGAGGGCCAGAAGCAGGGTGGGGAAGCGCGACGGACCCATCTTGGCGGGGCTCTATGAGGTCGAGTGGGAGAGATTGTATGCGTTGGTGGTGGGGAGAGGGAGGGACGAGTGGGACTTCAGACGGTGGGTATGTATATGTTTCCTCTCAACGCAAACAATGGAGACACAACGGGGCGGTACACACAAAGGAGCGGAAAAGAGCACAGATCAGGCTGTATGCGCACACAAAAGAGCTCCTGTATGCTTCTTCATGAACGGAATAACACACCTGCGCTGATTCCTGCGCACTCTTTGCAAAAAGCCAAGGCTGCGCAGGGGACTGCAGATCAACACTCGTCACAGCGTCTTGTGCAGATCATCTCGCTAACCGAGGCGGCTCAACCGGCGGAAGGAAGTGATCTGCATGACAAAAGGGGAAGGTCGGGAGCTGACTGGCACAGCGAGCGTCGTTTGCCGAGTCAAATTCGAGCACCGCGCCAAGGTTGAGGATGCCTGGGTTTGATCGTCGTGTGAGTTGTTTCGAGTGCAGCGCAGGCGGAGTTTGACAGCGAAGGCCGAGTGGAAGCGAAGCAGGAATTTCTTGAGAGAACAACACTCGCCCGCCTCGGCTTGGCTCTCTCGCGTGCCAGCACATTTTCTCAGGAATGCACCAAACAGCGGTGTAACAGCTTGGAACTTTTCCCAAGGTTCGCCTCCACACTTTCGGCGTCCGCACCAACGTAGCCAACCAACTACGACCACACCTCGACTCCGCCTCGGATGACGCAGACACGCACACCATAGCAGCAAGATGGACCACAACTACTGGAACGTCGACGACTTTCTCGCCGACTCGCAAAAGCTACCATGCACCTTCAACGTCGACGTGCCCAACATGGGTCAGATCCAATCCAACGAGGAACGCGACATCAAAGCCCTCTCCCGCGTCGAGCTTCCCTTCTGGCTAGCCGAGCTCATGGCGCTCAACAACATCGTGTCGATCAACAAGCCCAAGTCCTTCTCCACCCGAGTCAAGGCGGCGCTCGACGCGACACCGACCTCGGTCCAATTGCGACATCAGAACATCCACTGGTACGCACTCGGTGCGCGGCTCGCCCAACTCATGGATGACGACGACACAGAGATGCAAGTGCTCTCCAAAGCATATATTGGGAGGATAGCACAGATCTTTCAGCAGTCACAGCATCTTTCGTCACTCTCGTCGGGGACGACAACAGCAGCAGCGGACGGAGATCAGAGAGGATTCGCTTCAGCACAGGCGATTGCGGCGATGGTTTCTGATGGACCGACGTTGGGCATGAGCGCGGGTAACGCGATGAGCGCCGAGATCACCGAGTTTCTGCAGGGCATGGAGGAGTCCGAGCGGGTGCTGCTCAGGAATGGACAGGATGGCGCGAGGATGATGAAGGACTTCCTGGCCGGCAACCATTGACACTCTTCCACCAGTTCAGCACCACTACACGCAACTACTCTCTCTTCGTTCGCATCTGTACTTCTAGCATTGCAATCATCTCATCGTCACCATTGTGGCCTTGGGCTGTGCTTGACTGTGAACAGGGAGACTGAAAGGCGAAGTGACCAAGAAGATCGCTCAGCAGAGCGCCCAATCAACGCGTCACGCGCGCCGTGTTGCTCTCTTTTTCTCAGTCCGCCGTGCGCTTTTCAGGGTCCAAAAATCACAACTCCCATCTTCCGAGACACCTCATTCCCAACTCAGCTTCATGCTACAACATCCCCTCAGCATGCAGCTTGAGCATCCCATCGCCAACATGACGGCTCCTTGGGCGTGGACTCTCGACACGGCTTCATCGTCATCTACGCTCGCCGGACCGTCCTCTTCGTCTGCATTCGTCTCGACAGACCCGCTCTCGTCGCTGTCAAACACCTCGGTGGAGCGCACGGCGACCGACGAGATCTTTTGGCAGGATTTCAGGCCGAAACGGTGTCCAATCAAGGTCGCGAGGCGAGAGAAGAAGCGAGCGAGGCTCAGCAGATTCGACAGCGATGACGGCGAGCACGTTGATGTTGATGCAGGAGTAAAGACGGAAGAAGACGAGTTGGCAACGTCAGCAGATGCAGCAGAGGCGGGAGAGTCAGAGGAAGACGAAGCGAGTGGAGCCGGTCAGACCTCGAGCGAGGGGTCAGTGACCAACGACGATACTGAAGACCTGCCTCCGTCCAGCGTAACGGAGATCAAGATCGAAGATGAGGTGACCGACACGAAAGACTCTCCTTCCATTGGAGCCGCATGCAAGCAAACGAGGCAAACCCAGCCTGAGGCCGCCGCCTATGCAACGCATTTGATCGCTCGAGCTATCCATCGGCACGCCCTTCTAGACGGCGAAGCGGACATCGCGGCTTCCGCTGTCACGCATGATTCCCCTTCACCACTCACCTACAAAGAGACAGTCCGACTAGTCCGTCTGGTCGCAATGATCTTTCGCTTCCCCAAATCCTCCCGTCGCATCGTGCGTCGTCGCCGTCCTCGCCCGTCCGACTCCAACCCTGACTCCACGCTCGACTCATCCACTGCATCCGCCTCGACCTCCGCAGCCAGCACAAGCACCTCCATCATCGAGCTCAAGCCCAAGTATGTCTCGAGCACGTCACGCAAACCACGCATTCTCGCCAAGATCCACCCGGACGATGCGCTACCACATTCAGCGGCAGTGCTGAAGCTCATCGCGCTCATTCCAGCAGCTCTGCCGTCGCGCGTGGGCTGTGTGGACTGGATCGTGGACATTGCGGTGCAGGCGAGGCGAGATGAATATGGTAACATTCTGCTGCCCAATAGCGCTTATGAATGCGGGACGGGTAGAGGTGAGAGCGAGGATACGGAGATCGGGAATGTGACCATTAAGAAGGAGGACGAAGAGGAGCAGGAAGGGAAGGTGACAAGGTCCAGAAGACTGAGAGCGGGGACAAGCGGGCTGGCTCTGGCCAGAGCCGTCGACGCGGAAGCTGACTTGAAGGCAGAAGAGCAGGATGCAGTCGCCACACCGGATACCTCACTGGCTGTGGAGGAGCAGGTCGACTCGCACACGTCCACCCCGATGGACTCGTCAGACGCCGCACCGTTCTCCTCGCCACTTTCCTCCGCCATTGCCCCACCAGACGAATCCGCACCCCGCAAACCGAAGCTCAACAACCTTTCCAAGCTCCTCGCCGAGCGCATGCGCGAGAAGCGAGAAGCCAAAACGCTGCTTTTGCGAACCCACCAGTCACTGCGAAAGAAGAGGAGCGTCGATGCGGAGGACGACTCGGTTTCACGCGAAGAAGCGGGCGTGGTAGCGGCAGAGGAAGACGAGGGGGATGATATGGATACCGAGACGCTCGCAAACACCATTGCCAACAGCGCTAGGGTCAATGCTCGTGCTGCGATCTTGGGAGAGGACGGCGGTGGAGTGAGGGACCTAGCTGGAGGTGAGGGCGATGTGACGATCAAGCAGGAAGATGTGTGAAGGATCGCTCGACATGGTGACAACCAGACGTGAGGATGTGCCTTCGAAGCACTGGTTTCAACACGAAGCAGATACCCTCATTCACACAAGCACACGATCCCATGCAATGCATTCATCCTCCTTGCTTAGCGAGCTACACCGTCAGATACCGCTCATACAGCTCCCTCGCCCTGTCGGCACTCCCACTCGTCGTGTAGATCAAGGCCAAATTCCACGCTGCCTCCCTTTTCATCCCCCACCCTTCTCCCTCTCCGTTATACTCCAAAACATTCCTATACCTTCGCTCGGCCAAATGCACCAGACCAACATGATGCAGAGCTCTAGCGGCGTTGTACTCCATCTCGGCCCACTTTCCCTCCTCCCTGAACTTCCGGTAGTCCTGGAGGAACGATAGGGCGGTGAGGATCATATGATGGCGGTTGTCGGTTTGACGGTTGGTGCTGCGACCGAGGAAGGCGGTGGCGGTGACGAGGCAGAGCAGCGGATCGGCGGGTTGGACGGCGAAAGCGCGACCAAAGAAGGCGGCCGAGGATTGAAAGCCGCCCGAGTAGAGGAGCATGTAGCCGTAGTGGAGTTCGGCGAGGGGCGAGGGTTTGGTGGGTCGAGCGAGACGGATGGCCAGAGCTGGGTCGGGTCGATCGCCTTTGATGTCTTGGGATGGGGCTGAGCTGAAAGGGGCGGACGTGGAGGAGGGCTCGTCTGATAGGGATCCGTCCGAGTCCTCAGCATGAACGTCGTCCTCTCCGTCGTCTCTCTCATCATTCGCCTGTCGCAGGTGACCAGCACCATCGGTCTTCGTCAACGAGTTGTACACCGCCACCGGCACCTGCCATCGCTTGTTGGTCGTCGAAAATCGACACTGCACCCCCCTCGCCACCGCCTCCCCCGATCTCATCCTCCTCTGATAGAACTTGATATCATTATTCCCGATCATCTTCCCCAAACTGTGAAACCCGGTCGCATTCGCCAGACTGGCGCCCAGCTTCAGCGGCAGATTATGAAACTGCATCTCCTGCGCCAACCAGCGCACTGCGCTCCACACCGTCGGCCAGTCTTGCACGTAGAGCGCGCACGAGAGCCACGACAGCTGGACGACGAGCATCCGATCAAACATGCCCCACACCACCGCGCTCGTGTGCAGCGACTGCAGAAGCGTATTGACCACCGTGATGGGTTCGCCGGATTTGACGAGCAGGAAGCAATATTTGGAGAAGAGCGCGATCCAATGCTCGATCGGTAGACCGCGGAATTTGGACATGTCGAGCTGTTTGGGGCCGGGCTCGGAACGTTGGCGCGAGGCGTCGCCAGCTTCGCTGCCGTCACCGAGGTCGGAGGTAGCTTCGTCCTCGACGAGCTGATCTTGCAGGCGGTGGAGAAGGTTCTTGGCTTGAGTGGAGATTGTGGTGGGTCCACCGCCGCCGCGTGTGTTGAGGAGACTCGCGAGTGTGCCGGACGCGATGGCTTCTTGTCGGCGCTGTCTGCCCGCAGCGGTACGGTTGCCTCCCGGTCGACGCCGCTTGAGATGGTGACCGTTGAGACGAGGATTGAGGCGTAAAGCGTCGATGAGGCTGCTGGCTTCTTCCAGCCATTGCGCTGTCTGTCGATACCGCTTCTCACGGGCCTCTACACTCTCGGACGAAATGTAAAAAGGTCCCATCGCTTCTTCGGTCTCTTTGTTGATGGCGACGTCGTGCCTCCAGAAGCCTTCGATGAAGACGTGAGGGTCGAGCAACTCGAGTCGTCGCCAGGCGAGCTGCGTCTCCTGCTCTCGCTGCGCTTCCAGCTTGAGCCTCTGTTCTCGGTTGTAGTTCATCCTCGCCCGTTTGGCGAGTGACGCCTTTGCTGCGGGAGTCGCACCCATCTCGTCGAAGAAGGACAGCGACCCGTCATTTGCGATGCCGGACTGTGTCGTCCCAGACGCACCATATGCAGTCTCGGTCTGGGCTCCGGCCTCCCTTTGCATCTGCAAGATTCGCATGACCTGCTGAAGTACTTCCAACGACTTCTCCTTTTCTCCCAGCCCTTCGTACACCTCTGCGAGCCGCATCTGCCATTCCAGGGTATCTGGCGAAGCCTCGACGACAGGCTCGTACAGCCGAGCTGCCTCTTCCAGCTCTCCAAGCACGTGATTGCACGCGGCCAGTTTAGCGTACAGCGACACTTCGTCCGTCGCATACTCTGTGGTGGCAAGGTCCGTGAGCACGTCTAGCGCTTCAGGCCAGAACTTGTGCTCGTAGTAGCAGTCGCCGATCTCGGCAAAAATCTGAGGCCTGTCCCCAGGATCGCCTTCGGTGAGAATGTCGAAGTGATGCTTGGCTTCGGCTACGTCACCCAGCATCATTCGAGCCTTGCCTAGGCGGAGACGGATCTCGGGATCGAGCATGTGCGATTCTGCGTTCTCGACTTGTCGTCCGTAGCCTTCTTGATCGCGCTCCTTGCGGATCTGTGGGTCGATATCACCGTCGAATTCGCGGTCGTCGTTGACAGGGTCCCAGAAGTTTTCGTTGACTCGACCGTCGAGCCACCGAGCAGTCTGTCGGAGAAGCTTGACCGTCTCGAGGGGCTTGCGTGTCAAGAGCATGAGGTCGGCAAGGGTGACCAGCTCTGAGATGCGGAAGTTGTTGGAGGTCGGGGCAGTACCGACCGGTTGACTTGCGCTTTCGGCTTCGTTTGCGCCTGTCAAGGCGGGGTCCAGCAGCCCATCGGTCGTGGGTGACGGAAAGGCTTCCATGCTTGACTTTCGCCATCGCTCCAGCACCTCGATTCCGCGATCGTAATCGCCGGTGCTTACAAGCATGGGAACAAGCTCCTGGACGACAGACGCATCATACGACTGCAGCTTGAGAATATCGAGCATGCCGTTGATGGCAGCTTTGTAGTCACCCAAGTCTCGCAATAGTAGAGCACGATCCCAGATGCTGTCGATGTCCGACTTGTTGATCTTGATGGCTTGCTGGAAGCAGTAGATCGCTTGTCGGTACAGCATTTGGGCGATGGAACGATATGCAAGCCGCTTCCATTCTCCCGATGCGCCAGACTCGAGATGAGTGCCGATGATTCGACACTGTATGCTCTTCTCTTCCTCGCCCAACTCTTCGTAGATCAGCCCTAGCGTCTTCCAGGCAGTCTTGACGTTGGGTTCGATACGGATCACTTCTTCGAGCTTGGGGATGGCGTCGTAGAGACGGTGCTCGACGTACGCCATGTTTGCGTCAGCTAGAAGAGCCTGCACCTCCGGCGACAGGGGCTGCTCGTGTGCCTTTCGGCGCGCCCGACGTTTCTGCTTGAAGCCCGCAGCTGCACGCAGCTCATTTTCGAATTCGGCGTTCTCAGCCTCGATGGAGGTGTCCCAGCGCTGACGCAGCGCGCCAGCCTCTCGAGATGTGTCTTGCAGTGAGCTGACAAGACGTTGAAAGGACTCCGGCTCGAAGTCTGCTTCTGCATCGTCGGCTTCGTTTTCGTGTGGCCTTGGCTTAGAAGGACCGGCGTGGCCGAAGAGCTGAGGATCAAGACCATCCAGGTTCATGGCATCCTCCGCCGCTGAGTCGTCAACATCATCTTCGTCCTCGTCATTTGAGTCGTCATCTCTCGCTGCCCCGTGTCGGCTTCGGTTGCGCTTGAAGTGCTTACTTGGAGCCCCGGCCATCCGCGTTGAAGAAGAAGCCTTCCTTGGCGGCTTTTTGGAGAGTGCCTTCCTCGTGTCGTTGGCACTCGCATCGGATACATCTTCCTCGTCCCATTCCGGTTCGCTTGAGTTAGAGTCTTCCTCGTCGTCGTCGTAGGTGCCGAATGCAAGTGCTCCGAACTCGGCCTCGTCGCTATCCGCGTCCACGTTCATAGCAGCGAGACGCGACAGCTGTATGTTGTCGCTGGATACCGCGCTGCGTGCGAACCGGCGCGAACTTTTCCTGCCGGGTCCCGCTTCTGCATCCATCTTGCTAGATGCCGCCGTTCTGAGCGGGTCCGAGCTCAGCCTGCAGCTGCCGTGTGGTGATGAGAGGTCAGAGGGAAGGTGCATACATGCAACTCGAGGAAAGTGGAGAACGCAGGGTCCAAAGTCCAACACAAAGCGATTTTGGGTTATGTAAGCTTGACCATTCCAACCCAAGTCACGCTCAAGCCGCAATTCTTAGAAGAAAGCAAACCAACACCTTTGGCCTTGACCTGCCGCATCTCGTTCCAATCCCACACCATCTCGGCATTCTGCCACAAGCCGCTGTTTTCTAACAGGAGGAGAGGCACTATGAGCAACACACAAGCCGCTCTGGGTGGGTACCCGCAGTCGCCGGATCCCACCTTGGGCGATCCGCAATGGCTCCGGCAGCTGTCGTCTCACGCCATCTTCGCGTCTCCACCAGCATTGGATGGGATTTCAGCCTCGTCAAGTATCCCCGGCGCACACACAAGACTCATGACCATCAGAGGCACGGATCTCATCGCCGTCGTCAACAATGAAGTCCGAATCGCATCGTTGGTAGATGCCAAAGCATTGGCTACCAATCCGCCTTTCTCGCCTTTCCCCTCTTCATCAAGTATGGCGTCTACCTCTTACAAAGTCTTAATGCCAGCTCACGGGAAAGGCATCGAATTCGATATTCGACACATCTGCATCAATCCGACAGGCAAGCTTCTCGCTTGTGTGGGTGATAGCCAGATCACGCTCGTCGTCATGCCTCGTACAGGCTACACCAAGCACGTCGATCGTGAGATCGTCTGTCAGACAGTATCTATTGGGCCCTACTACCACTCTGCGCACTCGGATGCCATCGTGTCGAAAGTGGACTGGCATCCATGGGGCGAGAACGGCACTTCATTTCTGGTACTCACAGAAGATGGTTTGCTTCGAGAATACGACGTGGCCAGGGACGCCGAAGAACCCCAACAGACCGCATCTTTCCTGCCAACACACAATCACGCAGCATCACAGCGCTCTCGTTCGCGCTCAGCAACTCCGAGTGTCGCCTACCGCAGCTCCGACCAAAGCACACGAACCGTCGGTCTGTCTGCAGATGACGACGACGCTACCACAGCCGTCAGTTTCTCCCTGTGCGTGTCAAGTCCAGCCTCCCCTCGCTCGACGCCTTTCGATCACGACACGGAAGAGACATCAACATATGCCGCATCTCGCTCCGGGCATCTCGCCGACTGGTCCCCACTCACCGTCTTCGGTTTGATGAAGAACGGCGATGTCTGGGCACTATGCCCGTTCCTGCCCAAGAACGCCAGCGTGCCTGCTGCGTATATCCACAATCTCGCCAAGCTCGCGTCGTATCGTGCGCAATCACTCGAGACGCAGAACACGTCCAATGTCGACACTCAGCTCCGCTACGTGAACTCCCTGCTCAAGCAGGCATCGAAAGGCTCGGCGAGGGATTCGGGGGAGGACCGAAGACGACAGAGCTCCGTTACGCCCGGTCCGGAGCGGTCTGCTCGATCGTGGTCCACGTCCACGATGGACCTTGACCAACTGATAGACTCGCCAGTAGGCTCGGGACGACAAGATGAGGGAGCAGAGGGAGTCGCCGAGCTGCACGATGGCCCCGTCCGGCTGCATCCTCCTTCTTGGTCTTATAGGCAGAACATCGCTCAGGGCGGTAGTGCGAAGAAAGCGCCAAGACCTCAAGGTCCATTCTTGCTCAAGCCGGCTCCTGTGGAGCTGTGCGACGAGCGAGAGAGCGTGGCGTGTGACCTCATGTGGACTTGGCTCACCGACGAGGGCGCTGACGACACACCAAGCGATGTCGTGACAGGCGTGGCAGCACTCAGCATCGTTGGCCACGACGGACGAGTGGATGTCGCACTCCTTTTCGAACCTGTCGAAGCAGCTTGGAACTCGAAGCCATCTGGACAGCGATCTAGAGCGCCCCGCCAAAGCAAGCCGCTGAAGACGAATCGCTATGGCCTCTCGGACACCGAAGACGAGGCAGACGAGCTGGAAGCTCTCACCCTCGAAGACCCAGAGGAGCTCCCGTCATTGCTCATCTACGAGACCATCGATCTTGGTCTGCTTGACACAGCAACTGACAATGGCGTCGCGTCTCAATCCGCAGCTTCAGATCTGCTGCTGGATCAGATGGCGGCTCACAAACCATGCTTCGTACGAGATCCGCTGTACGGCGACACGGTGTATATCTATCACGCTTTCGGTGCACAGTGCCTCGGCTTTGCTCCGTGGGCACGGAAGCTCATCGAGGCACTCAATTTGCCCTCGCAGGACGAGCTCGACAACGATGCTGGCAACGACACTTCGCTCGCCGGCACGGAATCGCGCGAGCAAGCGCTCGTCAAGATGCTCCATCAGGGCCACAACACTGAGGTCGTCTGGGTGGTCAACACGCTCGCGCCTGGCAGCAACAAAGGTCTCGAGGTCAACCCGGTGACCGCTGTGTGCATTCTCTCGGACGTGTACCTGTCGTACGCGTTCCTTGCAGTGACCGTCGATCGGCAGCTGGTCGGTGTCGAGCTTTCGCTGCGTGTAGAGCAAGATACGCTTGACTTCGACACGACCCGAGATCACTCTGTTGCGGTCGGATCGGGTGACGCTGCCGATGGTGCGAAGCCCTACGTCTCCCTTCTCGGCGAGACGCCTTTTCGACCACCATCGATCTTTGCCCAGTCGGCCGGCGTCCAGGGACTGCCGAGTCAGCCTCGTCGAGCGGCCCTCGCCGGCGCATCGACCAAGACCGAGCTTCAGATCACGCCCGAACTCCTCCGCACGCTCGGCAAGACAGTCGAGACGTACCGCCACGAGATCCGGGACGTCGTTTCAGCCGGAAACGCCGTGCAAGCGCGGCTCGACCTGCAAGTACGCGAGATGACGCGCCAGCTCGAAAAGCTCAACACCGTCCGTCTGCGATGCGACAAGTTGGGCGGCCAGGGCGTTCTCAGCGAACGCGTCTCCCAGCTCGCCCGCACCCAACTTCAATTGGTCGCACGCATCGATAAGGCGTTGCAGCGTCTCATGGACTCGCACCAACCCAGGCTGTCCATGTACGAGACCAAATGGTTCGAGGAGCTCGAGCGCATCGCGGCCGAGGTGGGCGTGTCGAGGGACGCCAAGGGGGAGATCAGCGTGGATACGAGGTCGAATAGGAAGGCGCTCGCGGCGAAAGCGGAGCTTTTGAGCCATCAGCTGTCGTTGTTGCGACCGCAGATGGATGCGATGCGCGAGCAGCGTAGGTGGTCGACGGGGGTGCAGGATGGGATGTTGGGCGGAGAACAGTTGAAGAAGGTGGAGAAGATGTTGGGGAGTGAGGCGGTGATGTTGGCTGAGGCCAAGGAGAAGGTGCACCAGCTTAACAAGAGGATTGCGCAGATCAGACCGAGAGATGTACCGGCGGTAGGTGGCGGCGCTGGATACGACGCGGATTCTTCCATCTCGTTCTCGAATGCCAGCATCGGATTTGGTGGAGCGGGCCGTTTGCCGACGAGCAGCACGGCAGCCAATCTGGCAGACTTTTCCTTCGCTTCCAGAAGCTCGCCCTTCCGTACACACTCGAGGACCGGATCGAGCTTTGCCTGATCGATGCAGCTGCTCTGCAGCGCTCGGTACTGAAGTTTGGCAATTTGACGTGCTCTTCACATTCAGCGGGGCTCTTGGCCTGTTGTGGTTTGATATACGGGAACTTCTCGATTGGTGATAACGAGACAAAGGTGTACAGACATTGCAAACTCTCCATTCTAGAGCTTCGCCTTGTCCTTCGGCGCCGCATCTTTGGGTTTGCTGGTCTGACCCCTGATCAGACCCTCTTGCGAAACGACAGCCACGAGCGTGCCATCTTCCCTATAGATCCGTCCAATCACGACTCCGCGCCCATTCGACGCTGCCTGGGTCTGCATCATGAACAGCAACCACTCGTGCACCTCAAACGGCTGGTAGAACCACATGCTATGGTCCAGGCTCGCCATCATTTTGATCCGCCTACTATTGTTGAGCGCCTTCGGAACTGTGCTCAGGAGGTAGAAATCGGATGCGTACGCCAGGGCGACTTTTTGCGCTTCGAGGCCTCCGGCCATGGGACGTCGAGTTCGCATCCAAAACGCCTGTTGGTTGCCGGGAGTCGGGATGCCGTTGCGGTCGTACATGCCCGGAAGAGCATCTCGGATCTCGACGGGTGATGCTTGACGATCGCTGATCCATCCTTCGAGGACTTTTCGGACGCGGGGGTCGGGATTGCCGTGCTGTAGGACCTCCTGGTATCGCTTCTCGTTGAGCGGACACTCCATCGGTGAGGCGAGGGCTTTGAAGTTGATCGGGCGCGCAGAGTGATTGCCGGTAGCGTGCGAGCCTGTGATGGACTCGAGGAGATGCTTTCCATCCGCATCGAGCGAGGGGAGGGGGATGGCGAACACCGGCTCGTTCGGCTCGGGCTTCTGGTAGCTCAGGATGATGGTGAAGATCGTCCTGCCATTTTGAAGAGCGTTGACGGAGCGGGTGACGTACGATCCACCATCGCGAACACGTCGGACCTGGTAGATGATTGGCTTGGTCTCGTCACCCGCGAGGAGGAAGTAGCTGTGAAGCGAGTGAAGTAGCATGCCTTCGCGAACGGTCTTGTTGGATGCTGCGACGGCTTGCGCGATGACCTGGCCGCCAAAGACGCCGCGCGCTCGGGCAGGCTTCCACAGCGTCAAGGACTTGTAGAGATCCGCATCGATCTCGTCCACCTCAAGCGCTTCGGCGATCTCGGGAACACCGGTGCGGGACGGCGAGTTGACACCTTGCTCGAATACGGCAGGCTCGATTGGCAGCTCCTCTTCGGATGTTGGTTCGCGACCCATCTCGCGCGCTCCTGTCTTGGTCATGGTGGAAGGGTTCGTCGAGTAGCGAGTGTTCGCTAGATATTGAGTTGGCCGTGCGCGACCGTGCGAGCAAGATGAAGGTGATCTCGTCGGAGGTGGGCTTGTTGGTGTGTGGTGGAATGGAAGCGTTTCGGCTGGACCCTCTTGGAGAGGCTATTTCTAAGCGAGATAGCAGTCACCTTTTCAGGATTTCAGCCAGTCCGTGCTCAGGTGTCTCAGCGTCAGTGAGCATGGCGTGAAAGCCACGCAACCAGCATACACTACATCTACTATCTGGTTGTAGCTTCGAGTCGTTGCGCCCACTCTGCGCATCGATGCCCTCCAGCTGCATTGCCGTGCTCAGTCAACAGCGACGTCTGTTTGCAGCGACAACAATGGCGTGGCTCGCACAGGGTCGCGCATATGAACCGGTTGCCGGCTTCTTTTTTAGGATTTGCGGCCGGTGCTCCCCAGTTGCGTAGCTCGATTGCGCTCCTTCAGCTTTATGATTCTCTCTGAGGTCGTAAAAATTGACAGCCGCGGTAGTCTGAGCGTATGCCCACCTGTCTAGGTACAAGTCTGAGTGCCTTGAGCTGCAGTGTGGCTGTCACGAGCAAGGCTTGAAGATGTGTCGGGCCGCCAGTTTCTCAAGTCTTTGCCGAAATAGCCGTTTTTAAAGAGCTTTGTCGAGCGAGAGAGCGGCAAGCTGCATCCAATCTCGCACAGACGCGTGCGAGTCGGGAAATTGACGAGAGCACAGGACAGGTGACGGTGTAACACGTTTCGGACAATAACTATATCGCGCGGAAATGCTGTTCTACGATCTCCACGTTGCTGAAGCATGGGCCAGCCAGCCAGTCGCCTGCATCAGACACCAACACTCTTCTTGATCATCGTTCCTGCTCTCATCCATCAAAAACAGCGCTCGCCATCCCTCTTTGTCTGGAGGCAGACCAGAGCGTACAAGGTCGCAGGCATCCATAATGGCCTCAGCAACTTCGGCTCCCACCTCGAGTCTTCGCATAGCCCAGGTCAACTCGTTGCTCTCCCTCCTCAACCTCAACACCTCGTCCTTCAACCATGCCGCGTCCACATCATCCGCACCAGGATCGAATTACAACTCGAGACCAGGGTCCGCGGCTGGTCATACTGACTCTGCGACAGGAGCAGGCGGCGCGGACCCAGCCATCCCATCCGGCCCACCAGTATGGAAGGTGCTCATCATGGACAAGGTCTCCAAGGACATCCTAGCCACGTCACTACGAGTCCAAGATCTGCGAGAGAACGGTGTCACGTTGCATATGCAGCTGCATTCGGATCGGCCACCACTTCCAGACGTACCTGCCGTCTACTTTGTCTCGCCCACCTCCCAGAACGTTCAACGGATCGCGCAGGACATGAAGCGGATGCTCTATGAAAGCTTTTACGTCAACTTCACCAGCACCGTGCCCAAAGCTGTGATGGAGGAGTTTGCCAACCTTGTAGCAGCAGATGGGACAGGGCAACTGGTACAGCAGGTTTACGATCAGTACTTGAACTTCATCGTCCTCGAGCCGAACCTGTTCGAGCTTCTTCCGGATGCATCGACGCCTACCTCCAGTACAGCTGCCACGAACGGCGCTGCTGCCTCTGCATCAACCAGCCTCACAACCTACGAGCGTCTCAACGACCCCAAGTCCGGCCAAAAGGACGTCGAAGATGCCACCGACCGCATCGCCGCCGGCCTCTTCTCCACCCTAGCAACCATGGGAGCGCTCCCCATCATCCGCTCGCCTCGAGGCAACGCCGCCGAACTCGTCGCCCGCAAGCTCGAGTCCAAGATCCGCGAGCACATCACCAGCTCTCGCGGCGGCACCAACCTCTTCTCCGAATCCTCTGCCAGTCATCCCAGCTGGTCCTCCTCTCGACCGCTCCTCGTGGTTCTCGATCGCAACGTCGACCTGGTCCCCATGCTTGCGCACAGCTGGACGTACCAAGCGCTGGTTCAGGATGTGTTGGATCTGCAGCTGAACCGCGTGACGGTGGTTTCGAGCGAAAACGGAATCAGCAGTAAAAAGACGTACGATCTCGACTCGAAGGACTTTTTCTGGTCCAAGAACTCGGCTACCCCTTTTCCGCAGGTGGCGGAGGATATCGATCACGAGTTGAACCGGTATAAATCGGATGCTGCGGAGATTACGCGCTCGACGGGGATCAGCAGCATGGACGAGGTCGGGCAGCTGGATGCGACGTCCAATGCGGCGCATCTGAAAGCGGCCATTACGGCACTGCCCGAGCTGACGCAGCGCAAATCGACCATCGACGCGCACATGAACATCGCCACGTCTTTGCTGCAGGGCATCAAATCGCGCGGGCTCGACACGCTTTTCCAGTTGGAAGAAGCCATCGCACGCCAGAAGAAGGAGGCGATTCTCGAGGTGGTTCGCGACCAATCGTTGGAGGATGTCAACGACAAGTTGCGGCTCTTCATCATCTTCTACCTCTCCGCACCCGATTCTGCGCTGTCCCGGTCCGACGTGGAAGACTTCGAACGAATCCTCCGGGAACAAGGAGCGGATCTATCGGCGTTGACGTATGTCAAAAAGGTGCGCGAGTTGACTCGGATGACGATGCTCGCCTCCGCGCCTGCACCCGCAACGACGACGGAGCCGAGTGCGGGTTTCAAAGGTTTCTCCTCACTCTCCTCTCGATTGACCGATCGACTTAAAGATACTGGGTTGGAAAACCTGGTCCAGGGGGTGAAAAACTTCCTCCCCGCTCAGAAGGATCTCACCATCACCCGTCTGGTGGCCTCACTGATGGAGCCGCAGGGAGCAAACGCCCAAGCGCTCAAGGAGACGGACGAGTATCTGTTTTTCGATCCCAAAGCCCCGCGAACGCGCGGGGCGGCAGGAGCAGGCGGCGTCAAGGCGAGACAGGTGTTTAGCGAAGCTATCGTGTTTGTCGTCGGCGGAGGTGGGTATGTCGAGTTTGCCAATCTGCAGGAGTATGCGGCGCGCACGACGGCGGCGGGTGGACAAGCCCCAGGAGCAGCGGGTACGGTGGGGAAGAAGATCACCTATGGCGCGACGGAGATCTTGAAGCCTATCGAGTTCGTGAGGGCTTTGGCGCATTTGGCTGGCGGAGACGTGGCCAAGGCTGGCCCAAGCGTGACAAGTGCCGCCAAGTAAGATGCAATGCAAGCATATCACTTCAGACAGACACAGACAGCAAAGAGGTTGTGGTTGTGCAAGATCGTACGATTTTACGGTCGAGTGCAAGAATGAGTGGTTTAGAAATACAATGCTGATGAATGGATACAAGTATGCGATGCGGAGACAAGATGCTGGTATACGGTGAATTGGTGACTCGAGAGAGCGCGGGGAGATGGAGCAATAGAGATCTTGACGAGTCGTGAATCTTGAAAACGGTTTCCTGTTTACGATCGGCGTCTGCTCCTGCCCCTAGTCTCCGTCTCGCTCGGTGAGAAGAGCGATGTCCACAGACCCGACAACTTCTTCTTCTCCTTCTTGTCGACCTTCTCCACCTTTGGTTCCTCTTTGGGTGGGCGAGCATTGCCGTTCTGCCTGGAGGTCATGTTGCCCGTGTAGGTGCCGTCGAGCTTGGCCTTTTCGATGGCGAGACGTTCCTTCTGCCACATGGTGGATGTGTGGTCCGCCATGCGACGCGCGTATGCCAGGTGCGCCTGGACGGCGTCCCACTCCTCGAGCGAGTCTGCTGCGGACGAGGCGGTGGAGGAGGAGGAGGAGAAGCGGGAGTGGACAGGCGAGGTGGGTGACGAGGCCTCGGAGGAGGGCGAGGAGAGGTGGAAGTGCGTCAGCATCGGTGGCACGAACGATGCGCCTCCGATGTGGACGACGTGGTGCGACGTGTCGGCGTTGTACATTGTGGCTCTTGCTTATGAGGTACGTGTTTGGAGGAGATGGTGGTCCTGTGATATGAGTGGAGTTGGGTGTCTGGCTTTGATCCTCTGTGTATGGGATGGGCGCTGTGTGTTGTAGATGTATAAGCTTTGTTAGGGTTGATGGTGGGGAGGATGGCCTCGACGACGACGACGGACCTCCCTAGACTATATACCTTTCACCATGACTCAACCACACAATGGGGCTGACATGGTACGAGGGGCTGAGCGCCGGGCTGTCACAAGTGGAGTTGCGTTTCCGTGCTTCTGTCATGCGAGATGAGTCTCATTTCTTTCCTCGTCTCCATGGAGCAAAAGGCCAAGCCTGCCAAGCGCACTCTCTGCACGTCACACAAAAGTCTAAAAAAATCTTACGCGGCGGCGCTTACCCGTGAGGTGTGGGCGGAGATAGCTTTCCGAAAAAACATCACACGGCACAGGGCGGCCGAGACCATGGCTGGAATGGGCTGACCATCCCGCGGCATTTTGTGCAACACGGCATCCATACACAAGACGTGCGCCAAGGTGATCAGGTACCATGCCAAGCAGGGCCAAGGCTTCGCATCCTCTGCCCACGCTCGCACTGACCCATACACGAACCCGCCTTGCCACCCACGGGCCCTTTGTCCTACACTACGAACGTTGAGAAAGGTGGGATGTGAACATGGTGTGTGTGTGTGTGTGCTGCGGAAGTGTTGTGAGTCACGACTAGCTCGCACAAACTCGAGCTAGCGTGCGACTAGGCCGGCAGCCCCGGCAAAAGGCCCCCCGCGGGAATTGCGTGCCGGCAAAACGTCACGGCACGCCATCCCGAATCACGGAAAATGCTTACGTCCGCCCACCCGCGTGGCGTTGAAAATCTCACACCTTCTTTTTCCTGTTGCCGGATGAGGTTGACCGCAAAGGTGACTTGCGGCGACTTGGGTTGGGTGGGATTAGCCCGGTATCTGTACACAGTGCGTCCGTTGGGTGGGAGCAAACGGCGTTTGGAACAGCAACAATCGGCGGAAGATCATCCCTCTGTGCGACCCTGGCTGCCGGGCCTAAGAGTGTGGTACAAACGAGACCCTGCTCACGGACGGAGTTTGTAACAGACGGTTTGATGTTTCCGTTATGGCTCTGTACCTGATGAGAAATTTTCCGTGCGCAGTAATGCCGGGGTCGATAGCCGGCAAAGCGATCTTCCCGATGTCCTCCCCCTCCGCGGCGATGCCCGTCCGACAGAGTCCGACATACCCCGTTTGGAGTGGGACCATGCCGAAGTTGGAGTTGAAGCTGGGTCGAGCGACGTCCACGGAACCTTCCTCATTCTGCGCATTGGGTTGCGTGTCGACAGAGCTTTGTGGGTTGCGTTTCGAGCCCGCAGCGGAAGGTGACGTGCGCGCTACCACGTCAGCAAAGAAATTCGCCGGCATAGAAGCTCACATAGACCCTTACGCTTAGATGCCGTGCCTTCTCAGCCAACTCGGCATCTTGTGCGAGCAGCAAGGTCGGAGATCCTCGTCCGAATCCACTCCTTGGCCCACATCGCGTACCTGGCGAGAGGGGATATGTGAGCCACCCCCCGGCACTAGAGGGCAATTGCCGGCATCCAATTGCTGAACCACATGGCAAAACAAGGTGGTTGCCGTCATGCAGATTCACGTCAGTGCTCGGCTGCCCCAGCTTCCCACGCTTCCTCTTTTTACGCTTGATAAGCTGCGTCACCACCCACGAGGTCAAATCAAGAGCTCAAGCATCGCCTTCTCAAGGAAAGCCGTTTGAAACCTCAGATGAAAGAAGCACTTGCTTTGCCCGCAACGAAGAGTCTGAGACACAAGTACATTGAACTACTAGAATTGCTAAAAAGATATAATGATGTAGAGTGATACCGCGGGCATCAGAAGTTCTTGATACTGTCACGAACGCCGAGCAGGAACTTGCCCATGCCACGTTTCTTGGGCGCCTTGGCAGCCGCTGCGGCATCGACAGGGACAGCGTCGTCTGTGGGTGTGTTCTTGTTGCCGCCGCTGCCGTTGCTGGTGGTGGATGCGACGGCGGGTGCTGAATCGATGCCATCCTCCTTGACCCGATGAAGGCTGCTCGTGCTGGTCGACGCGTCACGTCGCATCCCCAGGCTTGCGCCCAGGAATCTGCCAGCGGTTGATCCGGCTGCAGCACCATCTGTCTCCGAAATCGAAGCGGCCTTGTTAGCTGCCGATGACGACGACGACGAAGCGGGTCGGCGGAATCGAGAGACAAACGAAGCGGCAACGCCAGGATTGCTCGTAGTCGAACCGGTGCTGCCGACGCTGACGCTGCGCTGACCTGCGCCATGGACAGCGACAGTCTCGGCAGGGAGACGCGGTGATGGCTCTGCTGCCTGTACCTCCATCTCCGTCGACGTTGCCGCATTGCTAACCTTGCTGCCGCTCCCATCCGAGAGAAGACCAAAGAGCTTGCTTGCCTTGTCGCTCTTCTCTACCTTTGTCGGCGCAGACACCGAGGCATCTGCAGCCTCGATAGCACTGAGGCTCGGAATCGCCCTCGGCGCATCGCCAGAGCGATTGGCAGGAGCTTCTTTACGCGTCTTGTCTCGTGACGAACCATCACCGCCTCCAAAGATGCCAGCGAGATACTTGGCGTCGACTTCCTTCTTGGTGGGCGCCGCCTTCTCGCGCTCCGAGATCGTGTCCAGACCAAATCCACTCCCGCGTGTTCGGTTGCGCGCCGAAAAGTCCTTGCGCGTCAGAGCTGCAGGCGCAGACGCGGTCGAGTAGATGCTGGAAGTCGCCGACGTGAGTGAGCTGTGGCTCGAAACCGACGTGACGGACGATGTGAGCGACGACAGGGTGGCAGCGGATTGGTTCCGATCGCGCCACGACATGACACGGCTCCGATCCGCATCGGCAAGGAGAGTGCCGCCAGTCTTGCGCTGCTCGCTCATCCTGTCCCGTCGGGCTGCTGCAGAGTCCCAATTGGCGGCTGGAGTTGAGGCGGCACCAGCAACATCGTCAGTCGTCCTGGTGCTTCGTGCCGCGGGCAGGCCTGTCGATGAAGCCATTTGTGGAAGCTCGGCATCCACCTGAGCCAGGCCTTGCAAGCTGTAGCGCGCCGCAGCCTCGGCCGTTGGCCTGGACAAGGTGATCTGAGGCGGACTGAGACCATCCACCACATCGCTCGGCTTGGTCATCTTGCTCATCTGTCGAGCCAGACTCTCGGAAGCCTGCGCCAGCTCTCGGATGGTGCGCTCGCGTTCCCGCGCTTTTGCGGCTGGATCGTTGGCGTCCACGTCCGCTAAGGCATCGATCGATTGAGATCGCTTCAGCTGCTTGGCAAGCGTGCGTCCTTTGCGCGCTCCTCGCTTTCTGCGTTTGGAGTGATTCGAGGTCGTGATACTCTCGGCCTGGTCGCCGTCCTCCGCTCCCTCCTTCGCATCCCCGTCTGCTGTGTCGACCGGCTCTGTCTCGCCGTTTGCAATGCCGTCACCGTCCGCTCCAGCGAGCTGAACATCGGCTTCAGGCTGGGTTTCGACGTTCGCATCGCCCGGCCTCGTTGATTGTTCAGCGTCGACCCCACCGTTCGCTACCACGCTTGTGCTATCGAAAGCTGCATCTCCGTTGATGCCAGCCTCGTTGGCCTTTGTTCGAGGGCCCGACGCGATGCCATTGGAATGGACGATAGTTCCATTCGGCATGCCTTTCGGCGAATGCACTACGTTGGGCGCCGATCCGTCCGCCTGAATGTCCTGCTCGTGTCGATCAGCGTTTGCTGTTCCCCCGACGGCTTCCTCGATAGTCGCATAATGCAAGTCGAATGGGTTTCGCTCTGACGGATGGGGCAGAGGCGTGAACGTCGGCGAAGGCAGCACGTCAGGGGTGAACAGGTCCGGACAGGGCGATAGACTTCGGCGCCGCTCAGCAGCAGCGTCCATGAATGCAGCGCGAAAGGTGCCATCGGCAGTCGCGTCGAGGGCGAGGATCTGGTCAGCGTCTCGCGCCAGTGACCGAGCGCGAGGTCTTGGCGAGCTGAGCATGGATGGCAAGGTCGACATGGACCCAGTGCGCGAATGCATCAGCGGGATCGTGGCATAGACCGAGGCTCCTCGCGACATGCGCCCTGGACCTGACCCGGAGAGGCCCATGTGGTCCACCAGACCGCAGGCCCAGCGAGAGAATTCCCCAGCAGAGATCCTCTTCTGCGCGACATCGTCACTGTCAGTGACCGAACAGAACACGTTCTCGGATAGGTAGCGTGCCACCGTCTCAGTGAGACCGTCGAACGATTCCATAAGGAAACGAACGGGGTCTTCGCAGTACGCCGCGAACGAGGCACAATTCATCGATGGCTCGGTGAAAGGGCTGCGATGGAAGAGCAGATTGAGCAGCACCACGCCCAAGGACCAGATGTCGGCTTGCTTGGGGTCGTAAGACGATGAGACGTTGTTGGCGCATTCGAACGCCATGTAAGGCTTGCTACCGCAATCAAAGTCGTCGCAACGATCGTCGGCCGTCGCCAGACCAAAGTCGGTCATTTTGACGATCACTTGCGATTCGTCGCCATCGCGGGTGCTGTCGACCAGTGTGCTGATGCTGGTATCAGGACACGCGGATTGCATTTCCTCGACGGTGCGCCGATCCTCGACAATGAAGTTTTCGGGTTTCAGATCGCGATGGCTGACACCTCGATCGTGGCAGAATTGGACAGCGTCGCAGATCTGCCTAAACATTCTGGCGATCAGCCGGATGCGTCGCTTCGAAAGCAGGCCACGCCCAGAGGTTGAGGCGAGGATGGACGGAGACGGCGGTGTAGCATCTAGCGACGAGCCTAAGACCTCATAGTTGTCATCTTCGAATGCCTTCGAATCGCCATCCGGCTTCGTGTCGGCGTTGTCTTGACCAATGAACGTCCTTTCTGGTGTTTCCTCGTCGTCGAGCTTGGGTCTTCCAGTATCTTGCGCCTGTTCAAGCCAGTAATACAGATCTTGGCCGGGACAGTACTCGAGGACCAAGAAGAGCCAATCCGGAGTCTCGTAGGTTCGATAGAGCGTCACGATATTGGGATGGGAGGGAATTGACTGGTGGATCGTCGCCTCGAGTCGTTGCACCTCGAGCATGTCTTCGGGCAAATCGCGCTTGCACAGGCATTTGAGCGCAAATTCCTTGCCAGGACGCAAGCTCGTGTTGACCTTAAGATCCTTGCGTCTCCTTTCCTCGAGGGCGGGCGAATTGTGGAACCCTTCGCCCTTACCAGTGCCGTCTGCCTTGAGGGTGCTACTGAGGAGGTCCTCGGAAGAGGCGACCATCGTGAGATCCGCATCGTCGTTGGTCTCTTTGCTTGTTTTGTCGGGAAGGTCGGACCGCGAGGCAGACGGAGATACGGAGATGCTCCTGTTGGAGACATGGGACGCGGCTTCTTCAGCGCTGACCTCCTTGACGAGATAGACGGCGGCGTAGCTTCCTTCGCCGAGCTTGCGGACCACTTCAAGCTTGCTACCCGTGAGATCTGCGTTCTGGTCCACGAAGCCGAGAGTGGTCTCGGCAATCTGAATGACGTGACCGTCATGCTCGAGGCCAGGTCCCAACAGGTCGCCAATCTCGAAGACATCGCCGGGCGGACGGCCCTCCATGACGAAAGTGCTGGCATGTCGGCTCAGCAGATGACCCTCGGATGCGCCGTACTCCATCATCTCAGTCAGGTCAAAGAAGTCCTGTTCGTTGATGTCGTCCGCCGCAATCGAGTTACGGTCGAAGTCCGAGGCTGCGACATCCGAGGCCGCAGCCTCCCTTCGGACCAGCTGAGCTCTCAGCTTGGCGAGGAGCGAAGCGCTGTCCAGAGGCTGCTCCAAGAGATGTGTCGTATTAGCTGCAAACGGCTCGGTTTGACCGCTGTCCGGCCCTGTCGCTGCTGCTGCGGCGGCGGCGGCATTGCGTAGCTGCTGATCGGCAATCAAGTCAGGCAGATGAATGGACATGCTGCTCTGCCGACCTCGGAGGGGCGTTCGCACGGGATCGTCCGCTTGGCCATCTTCAGGGATGCTCTCGTTGTGATAGAAGGGAACCGTCGAAGGCGGCCGGCTGGTGGGCCGACTCAGAGAGACAGAGGACTCTCTGGATCGAGAAAGGCCACGAAGACTTGGAGTACGAACTCGATCATAATGGGCGACACTTGGCTTCAGCCCGGAAATGCTGTCGCGATTCCTCAAATGAGGTGGTCGATATACGCCGATGCGAGTCGACAGCGCTGGAGAGTTGGGCGAGAGCACGGCGGAGCTTCTTCGGGAATGCGACATGGTGTGCGCAGCACCAGCCGAGGTCACCGAATTGAATGATTCACGACGTGATACCGAGCCGGGACGAGGTTGCGGCGAGGCGCCACTGAGCATGGATGCAATGCTGTTCACCACTCTGTCTCCATTGGCATGCGCCTCAGGAATTGCTGGAGGGTGCCTCGTCATGGGTGACAAGGTTCGATGGGCCAGCCTTGGAGAAGAGACGGGACTGAGCAACACGGAATTGCCTGTGATGGTACCGGCTTGCTGGCGTTGCGAATGAGTGGACGCCCCGAGAGGAGACCGCTTTGGCGAAGCCTGCACGTTCACGCTCAGACCGCGATTGAATAGAGATGTGCCGGTGGAGCTGGCGTCCTGACGAGCTGAGCCGAAGCCAGGGCTGGGTGTGCGGAGCGTGGAATGAAGGGAAGCTTGGAGGTGTTCGACAGGCCCACGGATCGAGGGCGTTGGCCGTCCATTGACATTGAGTGGAACCTCGGTTGGCTTGTCTCCAGCAAGCAGTCGATCAGTGCTGGTTTCACGCACTCGATTTGGCGTGCTGGGTATACTGGGCAGGGAGCTGGTCGGAGTCAACATCCAGTTGTCATCTCCGTCTTTATCGAGCTGCGTGTGGTGGTTTCGCAGAGGGAGCTGGCCATGCTGATTGGATTTGAGCGGCGTCGATGCAGAGGGAAAGAAGCGCGAGCGCTCGGTAGGCTCGATGCGCAAGGGATGCAGACTCGTCGCCGGTCCAAGCTGTTGAGTCTTTTCAAGCGAAGATGACAAGGGCCAGTGATGACGAGCGGCTGGTGCGGCTGGCGCCTTCAGATTCGTGGGAGAGGTGCCGAACTCGGGCGCTCTGCCAATGATGCCATTGCCAATGCCGCTAGGCTTGATCGCATGTGCCGAGTGAGGGTCAGGATGAGGGTGATGTCCCGGAACCCAATCAGCGCTGAGTCCTGTCGCTTGTTCGCGTTTGAAGCTGGACGATAGGAGGGACGGCTTGACTTCCAAGGCGTTGTCGTTTGACTCGGTGGCCCGGGCTGGCCTGTTGTGAGGGGTTGCGATGGCGAGAGGCTGTGCATGTGAAGGAGGGGGCTGCCTGGAAGAGCTGGCGACAGGATGAGCGTTGGCTCTCCAGTTGTGGTGAGGCTTGTCATTCGGCCTGCGTTGTGCGTGTTGATCTCGATGAGCAGGAGCTGGCATTGGCTGGGGGGCCGAGGTGGTCAGGTTGGGCCTGCGCCAGCTAGGAGCGTCGCTGGATGCGAGCTGGTTCGGCATATCAGGATGATACGTGCGCTAGGTTTTCGGGAAAGTGTGCAAAGATGGTGGAGGATCTGAGTTGCCAAACATTCGAAAACCGCTAGAGGCTTGGCCAGGTAAGTAGAAAGAGATGTTAGTACTGAAGGGACGGTTGAGGCATACGCCCTTGTCGACTAGGAGAGGGGGTGAAGTAGTGAAGCCGACGAGAGCTAAAGTCGAAGCGTTGTTAGGGCATGGTGTGTGATGAAGGGACGGGATAGCAGGTACGAGGATCGACCGGGAGAGTCGCGAGGTTGTTCTCCATGCATAGGAGCCAGCGGGGATTCGACGCCAACAAGGATGTTGTCTGCGAGTAATCGTCGATACAGCTCGAGTAGAGAGACGGTCTTCAAGACTTGGTTGGCGTGTCTGAGTGCGCAGCGTCGCTGGAGAGAACCGTGTTTGCCTTTGCAGGGTCAAGGCGATCGCAGCGTCGTGCTGCTCCAAGTAGCTCGAATGACGACGATGTAAACTGCGTATGGATGAAGCGGCCAAGATAGACCCTAGATCGGGATGATGGCAGCTCGTGAAGCTGCAAGGGAGGTCGGCTAGACTGTAGAGATGATGAAGAGAGGAGGCTCGAGGGTAACGAGAAGCGAGAGTAGATGAGGAGCGCGACGAGCGTTGTGACCGAGTAGCCGCCGACGAAGCGCGAGGATAGGCGGCACCTAGCTTGTCGCTGCCGGATGTCGAGCGGACGAAGCGATGGTGGTGGGCAGAAGGTGGAGAAGGTAGGAAGGGTTGACGATGTCCAGACCACTGAGTAAGAGGCTACTTTGCAGGTTACGGCGGCGAAAGGGTCTCGTTTTTCTTTCTTTCTGGTCCATGCGCCGTCTGAGTCTGATTTCAGCCAACAAGGCAGCGTGGCCTCGCCCGTTGGTTGGCCCTTTAGAGCTGCATTTTCCATAAATAATTAAATAAATTGGAAAAACAACACATGGTGCAAGGATGAGCTGCATTGTCCAAGCTTGCAAGCGAGGACGACCTTGTGACTTGTGACACTTTGACTGAAGGTGTGTGCCTTGAGTCAAGATCGCAGCCGGCTGCTCTGATTGTGATGACAGCCAAGAATGAGATGGCGAAGCCAGAGTGTTGGCGACGTCGACTCCCCCTCGATTCAGCCTCACTGGATAGTGCGGGGCTGAACCCGGTCCTATCACATTGGCCTTGCTTTGTAACGAAGCCTGAAGTCTTGGACAGTCTCATATAGACAACGACAAAGAATGGAGGCAATGACATTGGCGGCCGACGGAAAGCGGGATGTGGTGACCTCATGGTCCTCGGTCTTGCATGAATGCCATTCTGCGGGTCTGCTGCACAACGCTAAGAAGAGGCTTGCCCTCATGCATCACAGACAGCCCGCCTTTCGCATTATGCCATTGTGTTACACCGCAGCTCTCTCTTTCCGAAAAATGTGTGTCCTGTTCACGTGACCATGTTGAGTGACACAGGGAGAACAACACAAACCAAAAGTCACTTTGGGCTTGCACACACTGCATTACAAGCGAGTGTTGCAGTCAGGCACACGATCCCACACCACCATACCCAAGCTATCTTTTCACTTGACTGCTTGCACTCGGAGTCGTCTGTATCCTCCCCCTTCATCACCAGCAGGAACATTTCGACCGTCCTCGTCGTAGCCGGATCCTGGCACTGCAATCACACGCGTCAATCGCTTTCTGCTATCACCCTCATCCATCATGTTCAACAGCAGAGCATCCTCGAGCGCGGCCATCAAGCGTCTCACCATCGAATACAAGCAGCTGTCCACCGATCCCAACTCGCTCTTCCCGGCCGTCGGCCCCATCTCGGAAGGTAACTATCTCGAATGGGAGGCGCTCGTTCCAGGTCCTGACGGCACCCCCTTTGAAGGTGGTGTCTTCTCTGCACGTCTCAGCTTCCCTGCCTCCTACCCGCTCGAACCACCAACCATGCGATTCGACCCACCCATCTTCCACCCAAACGTCTACGCCGACGGTCTTGTATGCATCTCGATCCTGCATGCTCCCGGTGACGACCCAAATATGTACGAGTCCTCCTCGGAGCGATGGTCGCCCGTCCAGTCGATCGAAAAGATCTTGCTCTCGGTGCTCAGCATGCTCGCAGAGCCAAATGTCGAGAGCGGTGCCAACATCGATGCTTGCGTAAGTGTCACTTTCAAGCTGTACCGTCGCGAAACATCAGTAGTACTGACCCCCTTTCTGCCTCGAATCATGCCTCTCACAGAAAGTGTACAGAGACGACCGGGAGGGGTACGAGAAGATCATTCGCGATTCTGTAAAGGAGCAGCTTGGCCTCTGATTGCAATCTTATCCCGAAACAGCAGCACTCATCAGCACATGCAATCGATCCAAAATAAGTTGAGATTGAACGGACGCATCTCAGTCCATCCAATGCAAGAACAGCAGCGCCAGCCCACTCCCCACCAGAAAGATGGACAAAAACTTGTCCGCCTCTCGACTGCGTTGTCTCGCTTTCCGCAGTTCTTCGTTTCCACGACCCACCTCGGTCCCGACTCCAATTGCTTCGTCCAGCAGCAGATCCGTGATCTCGCCCTGCTGTTCGAGCTGCTGCACCACCTGCGTCTGCAGCTCGCTGATCTCGTACAGCCTCGACTCGGCTTTCTTGATCGCGGCCAGGTCGGATTCCAGCGATTTGATCAGCTCCGACGATTCGGTTTCGAACATCTCGATCTGCGAGGCTGAGAGCTGCGCGCTGATGTCTTTGCCTACCAGGCCCAATTCCGAGTCGAGTTCGGGATTGAACGAGCCGCCCACGCTGCCTCGGATCACGGTGGGAGCGCTTGCTGTGCCTGTTGAGCCTGCTGCAGACGAGCTACCGCCGGCCTGTTGCTGCAATTGCATCCTCGAGTTGGCCAGCGATTTTGTCTTTTCTCGCTGCACCCTGAGTCGAGCTTCCTGCATATCGCTCTGTAAGGATGATGCTTTTGAAAGGAGCATCGAGAGATACTGCGTGATCGAGGCTCGATGCGCCGAGATGAGCGACGAGGCAAGGATCGATGTCGACGAATCTCTTGCTGTTGACAAGGCCAGAAGGCTGTTGAGCGGCGAAAGCGCAGTCGGTGTCGTGGGCGCGTTCTTCTTACGGGCCTCTTCTGCCTGTTCAAGCTCCTTGATGCTTTCAAGGCACCGCTTGATCACCACCTTAACCTGGAAGTCGATCTCGTCCCTTTGCATGTCCGTCAACGGCCCCGTGAACGCCTTCCATTTTGCGAATGCGGACCCTTCCGCGCTGTCCTGGTCGTCAGGTGTCTCTACACCGTCTTGGCCCTCTCGAAGGTGGTGCGCCCGCGACTTGTTGCCCAGTGCCAGGTATTTTCTCCGTATCGAGTGCAGAAAGCCAAGCAGCGAGATGATGTGTTTTCGAATGATGTAGGCTTGATTCAGCCACTGCTTGTGGGCCTTGACGACATTCTCTGGTGGATCCTTGCGTCTGAGCGGTCGAGAGCCCGACGCCGATGACGAGGAAGGCGGATACTCTTGCCGCCTTTGTGTGAGCAGCTGTTGAAAGTCGGCAGTCAAGTCGGTCGAAGGAGGCACGCGGGCCTTTCTTGTCGCCGCCATTGCATGCACGATGCTTCCAAGCTTGGCCACGACGCCGCAGCTTGTGCGATGAAGGGGAGGTGATGGTGGTAGGAGATGTGGAGTCCAACACCACAAATTTCTATAACGCCCTGAGCTTGCCACGTCTGAGAGCATGGCCCGCGCTCAATTTCAGGGTTTGGAAGAACTTGACTTTCCACCTGTCAAGCAGCTTTGCTTGCTGCTTGCTTTCGCCTCAATCATCGCGGTCCAGGCTGAGCCATGTTGCTCAAGGTTTGCGAATGAAGACAGCGACGGCTGCGCGGCTCTCTCGCTTTGCAACATGGACGGGCTCAACGGCCTCGTCTGGCTGGTCGGGCTCCCTTGCCTGCTTGTCCTAGTCTCTTGGCGGACCATCTCTTGCCCTTACACCAAAGTCGAGGAGAGTTTCACAATACAAGCGGTGCACGACATCCTCACCTACGGCATCAGCCCCGGCGCTCTGGCTCTATACGACCATCGAGTCTTTCCTGGAGCCGTGCCACGCTCCTTCGTCGGGCCGCTTCTGTTGTCGGCTCTTTCCCACCCCTTCCTTCTGCTTTCACGTCAAGTCGGAGCAGTCGAGACCTCAGCTGATGCCCAGGTAGTTGTTCGGCTTTGTCTCGCGGCAGCAAACACGATCTCTATCGCTTTCTTCTGCCAGAAATGCTTTGACTTCGTCACGTCAAAGGCAAGAAGGCAGGCGAATGGACCGTCGCAGGCAGGACTCTTCTTGCTGATCACGGCAGTCCAGTTCCACTATGCATTCTGGGCAAGTCGTACCATCCCGAACTCGATTGCGCTACCTTTCGTCGTCGTTGCAATGGCACTTGTATGCCGCAACATCGGCAGTGTAAACAAAAAGACGGATCGCGCCTCAGCAGATGCCCGAGCAGCGCTTTGGCTCTTGACCTTCAGCGCCGTTGTTCTTCGACTCGAGATCGTGGCAACGCTCATTCCCGTGGGACTGTACCTCTTGGCGACAGGCCAAATCGCTTTCCGGAACGGCGTCAAGACCGGCCTTCTTGCGTCCACATTCAGCGTCCTGCTTACGACAGTGGTGGACACCTACTTTTGGCAAGATCTCTCGCAGTCGGAAGCTCGAAACGTCCTCGTTGCATATGCTGCTTCTTTGCAAGGAATCGTGACCAGCAAAAAGTCGTACCCACTGTGGCCGGAGCTACATGCCATACTGTTCAACGTGGTCGAAGGCAAAAGTAGCGAGTGGGGAGTCTCACCTTGGCATGCGTACATCACTTCTCTCATCCCCAAGCTACTGGCTTTCACCAGTCCACTTGCCATTCTCGGAGCGGCCCAGCTCCTTCGACGAGGTTCCGGTACAGCGATAGAATCAAGAGCGCGGTTCTTGTTGCTGACAGCCGCCACGCACGTTGGTATCCTCAGCATGCTCGGGCACAAGGAGTGGCGCTTCGCCTTCTACATCTTGCCCGCCCTCAACGTCGTCGCAGCCATCGGCGCTAGCACGCTCGTACGCTCGATCTCCGGAAAGGCCATCGTTGCAGCGCTCATATTCCTGCAAGTGGCTCTGAGCTGGTTCACCGGCTACTTGAGTGCCATCAACTATCCCGGTGGGGAAGCGCTCAAAGCGCTGCACGAACACATCGAGTCTGGTCGCGATCATGTCAGTAGCGGTCGAGTCATCATTCACGTTGACGTGCTGCCGGCCATGACTGGCGTCACTTTGTTCCAGTCGACACATCTGGACCGCACACGAGCCAACGGAACTCGGCTCGACCCCTTCGCCGGGGTCTTGCCAGCGTCATGCGAGTCCAAACAGTGCTGGGTGTACGACAAGACCGAAGATCTTCCTCGATCCGGTCCGGAGGCAGCACGAGCTTGGTCCACATACACGCACCTCGTCACTGAAGCGCCAGACTGCCGTGTCTTGCGGACCCAATCGGGCGACGTGCTGGCAGCATCGCGGCAGCCGTTCGAACCGATCGCGCCTCCAATATCGTCGTTCAGCGGTCTGCGTCGCAAGTCTGCCTCGCAGATCAAGACCGACTTGCTTGGCCTGCCGAAGGCCATCGCATCAGCTCTTCGAGGTCACGGCAACCTGGACTCTGTCATGCGCCTTGGATTGCCCGTCGTCACCGTAGAAGAGCCCGCTGTCTGGCTGTGTCGTCGCAAGGTCGAGATCTCCTAGCATGCCGATGTAAAACGGCTTAACATAGACCATTTTTCCTGACGTGTCTCTCCGACTTCCGCACCTTGAGCCTCTGTTTCTCCACTTTGGAAGCCTGTCAAACCCGTCTTTGCGGCACACCTGCAGCATACTCCTTCACCGCCAAACCCGTCGTCGTGGCGAGATTGGTCGAGATGTCGCAATCACATTCGGAGCTTCGCCGGCAAGGCAAGCACGAGAAGGCGCGTACCAAGATGATGGAAGACTTTGAGCGACAGAAGGCCGACCTCGCCAAGGAGTCGGAACGCAACCACACGGGGGCGGATCGCTTCGTTGGCAAGAACGACTCGATGGAGGACGCACTCAAGAAGTCGACCGTCGGTCTCGTGCATCTGGAAGACTTCCAGAAGCTCCGTTCGGAGCTGGAAGAGGAGAAGAAGCGAGAAGCGGCGCGGACGAACGAGCTCAAGGCGGACGAGAAGAGCGCCAAGAAGAACAAGAAGGTCAAGAAGGAGCGTGCGAAGCTGTCCTTTGCATATGACGACGACGAGGAGGAGGATGGCGGTGCCGGACCTTCGAAACTGAAGACAGAGGCAAATGGCAAGCGCAAGAGGGGATCGGGTGACGCTGTCAACGAGGACAGCCTTGACGATCTGGACAGCGGCCCACTCCCCACGACCAAGAAGACAAGCCTCAAGAACCCCAACGTCGACACATCCTTCCTTCCCGACCGCGACAGAGAAGAGGCGGAGCGGCGCATGCGCGAAGAGTTGCGGCAAGAATGGCTACGGAAGCAAGAAGAGATGAAGAAGGAGGACGTCGAGATCACCTACTCCTACTGGGACGGCACCGGGCATCGAAAGACGGTTCTCTGCAAGAAAGGCGACACCATCGCGCACTTTCTCGAGCGGTGTCGACAGCAAGTGTCCGAGCTCCGCGGTGTGTCGGTGGACAGCATGATGTACATCAAGGAGGATCTCATCATCCCGCACCACTACAGCTTCTACGACTTTATCGTCAACAAGGCCAGAGGCAAGTCGGGTCCGTTGTTCAACTTTGATGTACACGACGACATTCGGTTGGTGGCAGACGCTAGCGTAGAGAAGGACGAGTCGCATGCTGGCAAAGTGGTCGAGAGGTCGTTCTATAATCGCAACAAGCATGTGTGGCCATATAGCCGATGGGAGGTGTATGACCCTAAGAAGGAGTATGGCAACTACACCATCCACGATCGAAAGAAGTAGCTTTACACGAAAAGCGTGTATTTGTACCAAACCACACACAGACCTAGTATACAGACGAGCTCTCTTGGCTTGACCTTTACATATCATTCAGTCAGTCTTATCAAGTACGTTCCAACCATCGTCCTTGAGAGCTTGGCATGCATTTGCAAAGTTGTCCTCCTTGACGCAGATGTAGTCGGTGTCCCATGTCGAGATGGCAAAGATGGAGATGGCACGTTGCGCAAGGCATCTGCTGAACTCGAGAAGCACGCCGACGAGGTGGAACTCCATCGGTCCTCGGATGCGAAAGGCTTTCCATGGACCGTCGAGACCGTGACCACCTTCTGACGGACCCACAGCCTTCTCGAGCTCCTTCACTGCGAGCCCTGTCGATGTCGAGACCAGAATGCTGAGTTCCTCGTGTGTCCTCGAGACTGTGCAGAAGAATGGCTCTCCTCCTGGCTTCAGAGGCTCAGATAGGAGATTCAATACGCAGGTAGGTATAGACGACGCCGGTGGCAGACGGGCAAGCGTAAACTCTCCCGCCTGTATGAGCACTAGAGGGTCGAAAAAGAAGCACACGGAAAGATCAGCAATGGAGGTTCAGCTAGACCGATTATTGCGTTCAAGCTCACCGTCCAGATTCCTGTACTGCGTCTTCTTTGATTGCCAGTCGTGCGCAGCTTGCTTGTCGTTGATGTCCTCGCCCATATTTCCGTCTTCACCGCGGGATGGCAGTGCTCGAGCTGGGATGGTATGTGCGGCGATCAAGGTGCAGTAGCTAGAAGGACCCTTTTAGGTTTACTTTCACGTCCTCCAAAAAAGGGTTCATTTTCGAGCCTCGCGTACGTACAACATTTTCAATTCAACGCATAAATTCCCCGCCGGTCAACACGCATGCACAGTCCAGACGATCAAGACAACACCATCATCCCCTCCTCCATCCCATCTGTCTCGTCTTCTACTCTCACGGTCGCCGCCATCTCAAACCTAGCGAAAAGCGTCATACGTGGACAGGATTGACGGCAATGACTTTACCTGAATCCTTCATGCTCTGATCGACTCAGCAGCACCCGCAATCCCATCCTCGAAACGCGACCATGTCGAATCCTCTCGATACATCATCACCAGCAGCAGAGGCTGCTGCAAGGAGCCGAGCAAACACAGCGAACAGCCTCTCGCCAGCTGCCTACGCCACCTCGAACCTCTCGGCTGCCGGAAGCTCTGTCGTATCGAATGGTAGTCTTCTAGACCTCTACGCTCGCTCACCTGGCTCCTTTCCGGGATCGATGGACGCGCCTCATCTGGCCGCTGCAGGGTTTTCTGCTGCATCAGGTCCGTCATCCATGATGCACGATATGGACCGGGCTCTGCCACTTCCAGCAACGACACGAGGATTCCAGACTCCAGACCGCGACCTGGCAGCGCTCACCGCTAGCCATTCAATCCCAGCGAGCGTCAGCAATGCTTCCATCTGGAGTGAGGCGTCAGCCTCTTCGACCGGGCATCCACCACAAAGCAAACGTGCGTCCATGGCTGGATTTGATGCGGACGCAATTCGCAGCATTCAGCCTGCGCTTGAAGCCCATGCCTCGGAAGGAGCCTCGTCGGATTCGCGGCCCGCACCCACCACCGGAGCGGGTACGGCGCAGGACGACAGCGATGGCTCGGACTACGGAGACGAAGAGATGCCCGGCGCTTTCGGTCAAGACTCGTTCGACCGTTCTGCTTCTGCAGACCGCACAATCCAATCGCCGGGCCATCGACTCCATCGTTCTGGAGAAGACATCTATTCCAATGCGCTGCCTTCGCCTCCCGTCCCCATGCGCACCAGCAGCGTGCTACGCGAAGGCTCGAATGGCTCTCCAAGCTCGCTCAATGCCGAGCCTGCTGCTCGTACAGATTCACCCTCGATGCGGCACGCCGCCTCGCGTTCGGGTTCTGGCCAATATAGTTTGGACGGAGGCTCCCAAATTCGACGACTTGCCGAGCCCGGACCTGACCTCTCTCAAGGCCACGGATCGAGGAGAACGCAGTTGTCGCAAGAGCTCGCGCCGAGCCCTCTTCTGCCTAGTCCTCCCAGCAAGCAAGCGTCTCTCGCTCCAAGCAATGGCCCAGCTGCATCCGCAGGCACGTCGCCCGACCACGCCAAAGCAGGAAGCGGGTCGTCGCACGAGCTGAGCCTGGCCGAGCAAAAGAGGCTCGAGAGCGAGCTGCTCGCCGAGGCCGACGAAGCTCGACCGAGAACGCTCAAGGAAGCGCGAGAGCGAGCCAGACTGCGCAAGCAGCAGACCGAGACGACATCCTCCCCACCAGCAACCGCCAATGCCAACACGCAATCTGCCGCGGACACCCCGAGCCCGCGCAAGGGCGCGTCCCTTCACATCCGCGATGTGGCCGCCTCGACCGCCGCCGCCGCGCTCGCAGATGAAGCCGGTCCACGCAGCAGCATCGAATCGCGCGATCGGCCCGTGCGCAATCCCAAGCGTATCTCCAATCTGGACAGCACCTTGGCTGCGGATCACCGCTCGATCTCGGAGCGTTCTAACCCCTCGGACTATTCGGGCGACTCGGGCGTCGAAGGTGCGTTCTCGTTCGACGATCCGGTCGGATCGTCTAGCCAGCTGCTGACTTTGCCCGCAGGCGCAGACCCGCAAGCCACCAGCATGGACGACCTCACCGACGCAGTCAACAGTGCTATGAACGACCTCAGTTTCGGCGATGATACGCTCTCTGCGGAAGACGAGTTCGCGACACCCTTGGCACCTGTGCAGCAGGAGACGCGGCAGCTGCCGCCGACGCTGCCTTCGGCACGCAGCTTGGCGAGCGTCACGGGCGCCGGCGTGTCTTCGCCGTTGGCGTCTCCGAACAAGTTCGCTGCTCAGACGCCAAGGTCCCACGTCTTCCCGCCGAGCGTGTCGAAGCAGTCGCTGGTGCCAACACCGCTCGCCTCTCCGGTCCAGCAGCGCGTGATCCAGCCTTCGGTGCCGGATCATATTGACATTTATGGCAAAACGGTGCCTATGCCGAAAGCCTTTGCCAGCAAAGCCATCACTGTTGACAAACGACGCCTGTCGTCCTGGGAACGAGCACGCACCTATGCGCAGTACACCAACGAGCTGCTTCATCTCGAAACAGGTCTTCATCTGTGGATGGAGGTGGTGCAACGACCGGCGGCGCGTCAGGCCAATCGTGGTAAGCCGACCGATGACTGGCTCGCGTCCGGCACCATCCGCTCGCACGTCCGCAACGAAGGTTCGTACGCCGACTCCATCCGATCCGATATGACCTTCCCCATGCGGGGTGACGGCGCGAAGGCCAAAGAGATCGTCTCAGTCCTCCCGACCATGGAAGAATCGCCCGTTCGTCCGCCTGTCCACCTTCCCTACCCGGGCGTGGCGCAGCAGCAGATGCAGCCGCCCCCTCCCCCACGATCGCAGTCCTTCACATCGGCGCTGGGGACCACGTCGCAGGATTCCCTGCCCGGCACGGTGGCGCGCAGCGCGGGGAATCGGTTCTTTAGCAACCTGGGGCGGAAGAATTCCAAACGCGCTCCGGTAGCCGCCCCGGGTGCGACGGGGATGGTGGCGTCGACGTCGTACTCGTCGCTTGCGTCGGCGGTGGGTGGATCGCGGGCGTACTTGGCGAACAATCGACGGACGTCTTCGCCCGGAGCCGGGGCGGTTGTGGCGCCCGGGTTGGTGTCGAGGAACAGTGGGTCGTCGGCGGGCTTCACGGCGGATAGCTATGAGACGACCCAGTCGAGACCGGAGAGTCCGGCGAGAGGACGACGGTTGAGCGGGTTAGGATTGGGAGAGGTGGTCCCTAACCCGCTGGCGGGAGCAGCTGGGAGACTGGATACGGTACAGGAGCGACGTGTTTCGCCGGGCAGCACACCACTTGCTTCTGCGACTACAACTGGAGGTCTTCGAGCCCCACTCGGTCCACGAGCACCAGGCGCACGAAGTCCACATGATATGAACCGAACCAACTCCTCCTCATCCACCCCAATTACGCCGATCACGCCGATTACGCCGATAGCAGGCGGCTTTGGGACAGGACCTACCTTCGTCTCGCGTCTAGGCTCGGGTGGGTCGTTCAGCGGTCCATCGCCCAATCCACCCCCGAGATCCCCTCGCGACGGCTATTCTTCACCGGAGTTCCTGGCGCCGAGACGAACAAGCGATCTGTCCAGCACACCATCGAGCAATTCGGCACACGATTCGCCCCGGGTGCGCACCTCGCTGTCGTACGGCTCGGTAAGGGATCGCATACGACGCGGAAGCAATACGGACACCCCGGATGACGAGGCATTCCTCACAGCGCTGGTCAAGCTAGGAGATATCTTGCCGGATGCAGATGAAAGAACGTTGAGACACTATCTCAAGAAGGCGAAAGGGGACGATCTGACGGCTATCGGGGACTATCTGCACGATCAGAGCTTGGGCAAGCTACCTAAATTCTAGTTGGCGGTAATAGGATGTTAAGACGAACAGCGTCAAGTGTGTGAGATGATGCTGAGATGTCTGATATCGCGGACGCACGGGGACAGGGTCGAGGGTTGTCAGCCATGAACCTGCGAGCCATGAACCTGGGTTAGGTTGTACCTGCATGGTACCACGCTCTCTTGGCATGCATGGTTATCGCTTGTGCGGGGTGGCTCAATCACAACGAGACGATGCATCAGCTTTGTGTGATTGGATCGTGATTCACTCTGTATAAGGAGGAAGAGGAAGAGGGAGGGGGGGAAGGAATGGAAGATGTTCGGGCGTGACGGTGTCATCGGATGGACCGAAGGCCGATACACCCGCGTGCCAAGAGCCGACGAGAAGATGTGGACGAAATTCATGCCGATTTGCTAGAAACGAATCAGATGTCGAACGAGGACATCGTCGTGTGCCTGATTCGTGCGAGGGGATGTGATCAGATAGCTGCCCCGCGTGGGAGTTGATTTCAAAGCACGCAAGATAGCGTGCGATGCAGGACGTCAAGTCTCATGCTGGACGCGCGAGTGCAGGCTTGAGACCGGATATCAGGCCGGCAATGTAGAACGGAATCGTGGATCCGGCAGCGAACGTCAGGCTGCGAGCGTCTTGGCGATGTGCAAGGATTCACGCGTTCTGGCGGCGTCGTGCCTGACAGTGGTTGTCATGCGAGGTCAGCTGCCGCGTGTGCAATTCTTCTCAAAAGTGGGGGAAAATCACCATGAAAGCCCATCCCGCTCGGTGAAGGGCCGAGCATCCGTATGAGCGAGCCAACGGAAAGTCGAAGATGGGCTCCGACGGGTCGGATGGAAGGTGCCAAGACTTGCACAGCGGGAGGAAGGCCCGGTATGGAAGGGGGTCTTCCGAAGCACAGTGGAAGGCTTGGCATTCTGCGGCCTGAGCGGCGCCCTACTTTTTCCGACTTGTTAGCGTCGAAATGGTCCCTTGTCAAAAACGAGAGACGTACGAGTCTAGGGTGCGAGCCATGTTTCCCCTTTGCGCTCGCTAGCTGACCATGATCGGGACTCGGCCTGTGCATGCGGCGTTGACCGATGCACAAGTGGGAAGACGAGCGAGGGTCGATCTCTGAAAAGTACCCCACACAGATCACGCTGCTTGTAAGCCTTAAGTGGTTAGCCGAGTCGCTCGCGAGAGAGAGCGAGGGCAAAGGCAAGCGAAAAGGGGAACAACAAGCCACACGACGCGCGCCGACCAATTAGAATTCGAGCAACCGGCGAATTTGACGAAGGCGCATAGTGAGCGTAATTCGTCTGACCCTCCCAAGGGCAGCATGACGGGTGATTTTGCAATCGGACCTCAGACAATCGACGACGTGCAGCTGCACAGAAGAGAGATTCCAGCACGATTTTCGATCCCCGCCGTTGTAGAAATTCTGGCCTGTGTCTGCTGGACGCGGGCGACCTCCATTGATCCAGCCAATGACAGCCTCGTTGTGCACTTGGGGTGTCTCCGATCAGATGACACGCAGGATGATCGGTCTGTGCTGCCACATCGTCATTGAATGATTTGAAGGCTCGCGATGATGTTGCGCGGGTGTGGCGACGTTATCTGTTGTTTAAGCTGGCCGTCTGTGCGTGGAGTGAGAGCAGCCGTGGCAAAATGAGGATACGAGAGGCCGTTAGACTAGGAACCCCAAGGCGAGGATGGATGTCGAGTTTGCGCAGCGCAGGCCCAAAGTTTGAATCCAGGGCGACGTCCCGTTGCGAACCACTTATCGGCGAGGCCGTCTGTGACTGGCTGACCCCACGCCACAAGCTCGCTTGCTATCAGTGGTGTCAGACCTTAGTCACAGTGGCTCTGTGCTTTGGATGCATAGAGAGGTTCGGCTTGGACCCGACTGCACCCAATGAGAACAGCCGGAATTTCCTTCGGCGATTGCCCGCCTCTGCTCTCGCACCTCGCTCGCCTCGTGATTGGACCAAGCTCGCTTCCGTTGCTTTTAGTGTTTTTTCCACCCCGTTTTCTGCACGCGAGTGGCCACCTACCGCATCCTCCTCATTTGGGCGAGATAACAAAGTCAAGTTTGGGATCCGGTCTTGATGGGCCCATTGTCCGCTGCGTGACCTTGACTGGCTTGGCAGCCCCGGTCTGAACTTGACCCGGGTGCGCTGATGCAAAGCTGTCACCTTATCAGCCATTCCACCGTTTGTTCCCCCTTCCACTCACCACCATTCGTAAGCTGTGCATTGCGCCCACCAACCAAGCTTGTGTTGTGTCGATCAGAAGAGAGGATTAGATTTCGACAGGTGGGCTTGGGGCTGAGGCTGACTGTCTGAGCGGTATTCTCCGAAAAGGCCATCTTGGCTCGCTCGAGTCTGGACACTGGGTCTGCTGCAGAGCCTGTGTGCCTGACTGATTCAGTCGAGGCGCTGGTTGGCTGGCTCAGAGGCCAAGAGTGTCTAAGCCTGGGTCTGGGTCTGCCCTAGTGCCCACATGCGCCGCTTGGCTTGCCCCAGGTTGAGCCGTGGCTCTGCTCCTTTATTCGCTTTTTCATTTTCCTTCTTTGTTCGCGCTATCTCTAACGAACCAACCGGCATTCTGCGCTATCCGCATCTGCGCCGCCTTTCGTCTGCTGCAACTCTGCACTATCGAACGCCGCCATCTCGCCTTCGGTTTGAGGCCCAAGCTCGTCCTCCCCCACCGCCCCGCCCTCGTGTGATAGGCCACACTTATCGCCAAGGCCCGCATCACATATAACCGCTCATTGTCACCCGCAGCTTCGCCTCCCTTGTCCCTCGTCCACGCCACAGACGTCTGCCCCCGTCAAGACCACCTTTCCTCTTCTCCAGCACTATCGCTGTACCATTGGGTCCCGGTCGCGTCACATCCCCCTTTCCCTACTTCTGTACTTCTGTCTCGCATTCGATAGATTCGACATCATCATGGGTGCTTTCCAGAACTTTGTCGACGGCTTCAAGCCCGAGGTCAGCGACCATGACTCGGTCAACTCCCCCGCCCACTACGGCGACAAGGACTCCAAGGACTACGAGAGCGGCAACAACGCCCTCGCCGGCTTCAAGGACCCTCAGGCTGGCGACGGTGGCCTGAAGCGCAGGCTCACCGGTCGTCACGTTCAGTTCATTGCCCTCGGTGGTTCCATCGGTACCGGTCTCTTCATCGGTTCCGGTGGTGCTCTCTACAACGGTGGTCCCGGTTTCCTCATGATCGACTTTATCCTCATTGGTATCATGCTTCTCATGGTTGTCATGGCTCTCGGTGAGCTCGGTGCCATCTTCCCCGTCGCCGGTTCCTTCGCTGCCTACTCGACCCGTTTCATCGACCCCGCCGTTGGTTTCGCCATGGCTTACAACTACTGGCTCCAATGGCTCATTGTCCTTCCCCTCGAACTCGTCGCCGCTTCCATTGTGATCACCTACTGGGACCCCACCGAGGTCATCCCCCGTGGTGTTTGGGTCGCCGTCTTCCTCATCGTCATCACCATCATCAACCTCTTTGGTGTCCGCGGTTACGGTGAATTCGAGTTCTTCGGCTCGCTCATCAAGGTTCTTGCTGTTATCGGTTTCATCATCGCCGGTGTTGTCATCAATGTCGGTGGCGGTCCCACCGGCCAGTACTTCGGTACCGAGACCTGGCGCAACCCTGGTGCCTTCAACAACGGCTTCAAGGGTTTCTCGGGCCTCTTCGTCACCGCCGCCTTCGCCTTCGCTGGTACCGAGCTCATTGGTCTTGCGGCTGCCGAGACTGCCAACGCCCGTAAGGAGATCCCCAAGGCCGCCAAGCAAATCTTCATGCGCGTCACCATCTTTTACGTCCTCGCCCTCCTCATCGTCTCGTTCATCGTCCCTTACACCGACGACCGCCTTGTCTCGGGTACCTCCTCGTACGACGCCAGGGCTTCGCCGTTCGTGATCGCGTTCAACATTGCGCAAATCGGCGTATTGCCAAGCATCATGAACGCCGTTATCCTCGTGAGCGTGCTCTCCGTAGGAAACTCGGCTGTCTACGCTGCTTCGCGTACGCTCCAGGCCATGGCTGTCATCGGCCAGGCCCCCCGCCTCTTTGCCTACGTTGACCGCCAGGGCCGCCCTCTCCCTGGTGTCATCCTTTCGCTCATCTTCGGTCTGCTCGGCTTCCTCATCTACGCCAGCGAAACTGCTCGTGGAACCGTGTTCAACTGGCTGCTGGCCATCTCGGGTCTCTCGACCATCATCAGCTGGCTTTGCATCTGCATTGCTCACGCCCGTTTCCGACTGGCATGGCACCGTGCCGGCCACACGCTCGAAGAGCTTCCCTGGAAGTCGCCCTTCGGCATCTACGGCTCCATCTTCGGCGCTGTCTTCAACGTGCTCGTCATCTGCTTCACCTTCTACGTCTCGGCCTTCCCCATCGGCGAGGGTGACATGTCCAAGAACGACCGTGTCATTGCCTTCTTCCAGGGCTTCGTCTCGGTGCCCATCGTCGTCTTTGTCTTCTACATCCCCTTCAAGATCATCAAGCGCACCAAGCTGGTTAGCATCGACGACATTGACGTCTCCACCGGCCGCAAGGACCCCGTCCCCGTCGAGGTCCTCCGCCGCGAGCGCGAGGAGGAGGCCGCCAAGCCCATCTACAAGAAGATCTTCAACTTCTTCTTCTAGGCCTTTTTCCCCTCCTTTTCATGTGAATAGCTGTTTTGTTGTGGCACCTATAGAGTGCTCGAGATACCTCTGGTTCGCTATGTCTTGACGACGTTACGTGTATTATCAATGGGAGATTGGTTTCCATTCATCTTTGCGTGTGTAGGTTGCGTTTGTGAGGTCTGGACTTGAGACACCACATGAGTTCTCTTGAGAGTGCGATGCTCGTCATGTGTGATAGTCGGGTGGGATGGTGTGGTGATGGAAGGGGATGGCTGGGGGGCCGAAGTCAGACCAAGGCGACGCGTCGAAGCTGAGAGACGGCAGCTTGATCAGGCGGGATGCAATTGGATCGCTGTCAGCCGGGGCTGTCCTGGGCACACAACGAAGTCGACACGCGTGGCTTCGTCCATTTCTGTCAGCCGATGCAAGGCCCTCACGACGGCGCTAACGAACGCCAACCACTCGCCCCTCGCAGCACGCCACATGACGACCTGTAGCAACGCACCACGAGCAAGCGACCTTTTATCCAGAACAGTCAACTCTTCACTTCTGACAAACGAGCGGATCTCGATGCTTCCCACTCTGTTCTGTAGTGAATGCGGCGATGATTGATATGAAATGCTCGACTGAAGGCGTGTCTTACAAATTCGAAATGTCGGCATCGGATGTCCCGAACGAGCTAACAAGCGGCGAGCCATTGACACCTTTCCTCTTGCTATACGCAATACTCCTATACGGCGAAGCTAGAGGGCTTGCAGCTCTCCTTGGGCTGTCGGTGGGGGTTGATCCTCCTGAACCTCCTTTGACTGGGGTGCTTCTGGCGAGCGCAATGCGTCTCCTCGACTTCCCAGGCGTAGCATCTCCGTTGACCGAGTCGAGCGACATACTGACGTCCCCCTCGGTGACGCTGGTCATGCTCACATCGCCCGTTCCGGCCCGGCGCGGTCGGTGGTGCATCCTCTTCGGACTCTTGACCTCGCGAATCTTGGCGAGCAACTCTTGCTTGCGCTCCATCTTCGCTCGCTCCTCTTGCTCCATCTTTTCCCGTTCCGCCGCTCGCTCGGCTTCCTGGAAGCTCAACAGCTTCTTCGACCGCGCCTCCTCCCATTCTTCCTGGGTCAGCCACTTCGTAACGACCACTTGATGCTCCTCCCTCGCCTGGGGGTGCAGCGAGTCCCGTGGCATTCGGTGTTTCGCCCGCCACTCGAGAATCTCACTCTGACGTTGGAGCGCGTGCGAGACGGGGTCGATGCGCCACTGCAGCCCTTCGTAGTCGGTCCACTGCTCGCCTGGTTGGCGGTCGTCTGTGGTGTCTGCGGCGCGCTTCTTGTGCGGGCTCGAGGGGGAGGAGGGGAAAGGGTTGAAGTCCAACATGGCCTCTTCGGGGAGGGCGATGGAGAAGTCGGCTGGAGAGAGCGGGTCGAGTGTGCCATTGGTGGTGCGCGAGCGTTTGGTGTGCGGCTGCTCGTCGTCGTCGTCGCTGTTCTCGCTGTTTGAGGCGGAGGAGAGCTCGTCCGCTTCGCGCTTCTTCGCCGTGGTACGCGCGGAGGACGAGAGGTTTTGGGATGGGCTATCGGTGCTCGTCTGGCCCTGGGTGAGCTCGTCGTCCTCGTCCATCGCTGTCGATGCTTCGTCGGTCTCGGAAGCGGCAGAGTGAGCGTCAGACATATCTTCGTCCGTAATTGCATCGCCGAAGTCCCCGGGGATGGAGATCTTGGGTGTTTTGCGACGATCCGAGCCATTGGCTTCATCTGATTTGGTGGGTGATGCCTGATGACGACGCTTGCGGTCGCGTTGTGCACTTGAGCTGTCCTCACGCGCATCCTTGACGGGGGACCTCCTCGAACTCGAACCGCGGTCGACCTGGGTCTGTGAGTGTTGTCGCTTCATCGTGTGACGCGAGCTCGTTGCAAAATCTCGCTGCTTGGCGGGTGACGGGCTGCGCGTAGAGGCCGCCTGAAACGCCCCACCCCTGCCTGCTTGCTTGCTAGACGCGACGCTGTCCTTCAAATACCCCGGCAGCGTCCCAGGAATGCCCGACAGCCGCAGCGCAGCGTCGTGATCAATAGCCTGCGAAGAGCTGCTTGGCTTCAGTCGCCGCTTGACCGGCGTGCTGAGCACTTCCTCTCGCTTCTGCTGCGATCGTCGTGACAATGCGTCTGCACGCGCTACGGCGAACGGCCGCCGATCATCGTCTGGAATGCCTGCTGCGCGTCTGCGGTCCCGGATGAACTGTGCCTTCTTGCGCGAGAGCTGGATGCGCTGGTACACACTGTGCGCTAGGTACGCGACGACGGAGACGAGGATCCAGCGGATAAGCGACATGCTGCACCGCACCCAGCGTTGACGTGAGAGCTGCGTGCGGATTTGAGCAGCGCCAAGGTTGATCGAGGGTGACGTGTGTTGGTTGCGAGAAGCTCAGTTTGACAGGGTCTCGACAACGCCAGCAAAATTTGGCCGCCGACGAGCATTCCGACTTCCGAGGGACAGGTCCGTGCGCACAAGGCTTTGGATGGCCACATGGCAGACGTCTGTACTTTCGTGAGCTCACATCTAGGAGAACGTAGCTTGTGCCAGGATTCGTATGTCCGCTCAAGGAGATCGTACACTGGTGGTGTCTCTAAAGAACAGGATCGTGTGATTGATCACGCACAGGCAGGAAGGGATATCGCGGCCAAGCAGCGCCAGATCCCCAATTTAGGCGTGCTTCTCCACACTTCCGGAAGTGACGGGGATTAGCCGTGACCCGATCCGAGGTCATTCTCGCAACGCTTCCTCCCCTATCTTGTCTCTCATCCACAATCTTGTTTTAAACATAACTCAAACATCAGAATGACTGGCGGCGATACCTACGGCGTCCCTGGCGCAGGTGCTGGCGGCGGCTCCAAATACAAACCCTTCAAAGAGGAAGAAGCCAAGCGTCCACCATTCGACCCTTCGCTCTCGTACAACCTAACCAAGGCGCCCGATGTCGACTTTGCCGCTGGGTCCGGTCTCAACTCGCACCCAGCTTCCTCGTCCTTCTCGTCCGACGATGCGAGCTTCCACGTGATTCAGATTGGCAAGACGAAAGTCACGCCGGGGACGATGTACAAGCTTATGATCTCCTCCATCGCCCCACGCCCTGTAGCGTTGGTGACGACGTTGAACGAGGACGGTTCCCCAAATCTGGCTCCGATCAGCTGGTACCAGATGGTCTCGCAGGATCCGGCTATGGTCATGATCTCCTTCGGTGGAGGTGAGAACAGAAGGAAGGATAGCGAGAACAATATCAAACGGCTCAAGGAGTTTTCCGTATCCAGCTCGTCCGAGCCATACGCGGAGGCGCTCAACTTTGCCTCGGTCGACTGCCCCGAGGGCGTCAGCGAGTACGCACTGACCGGTCTCACGCCTGTCAAGAGCAAGGTGATCAAGACGCCGCGTGTCAAGGTACGTCCACCTCGCTCTGTCGTCAAGCTCGATTCTGGTGTAGATACTGACTTTCCCTTTTGGACGTTTTGCATAGGAGTCACCTATGTCGATGGAATGCGAGGTCGAGTACACTCGGGATATCCACAATGACGAAGGCAAGCATACCACAACACTTGTGCTAGGCAGAGTCCGAGTGATGCACATCCGCAAGGACACGATTCACCCCGACACCGGCGCCGTCGACGCGAGCAAGACGCTCCCCATCACGCGAATCGGCGGCTTGCAGTATGCACGCACTTCGACCGGGTACGAGCTCGAACGACCGAAATGGTCCGAGATCAAGGACCGCCCCGACGTACAAGCTGCGTTGAAAAGGGGACCCAAGGAATGGTTCGACAACAAAGACCAGGTGCTAGAGGCGTATCCCTAGAATGCAATAACCTGATGGGCTACATAGGCGCCTGTGCAATGGCGAGAAAGTTGTCGTATCGCTTGCCGTCCTTGACAAAGTGAGCGGACTTGCCCATGTCGACGAGCTTGAGGTTTGCCGAGGTGAAGAAGTGCTCCATGTCGGATTGGCTGAAGCCGCCGCGGTGGGCGATGACGTTTGTGTGTTGGTGGCTGGCGTGGCCGTGACTGTGTCCATGGTGATGGTGATGGTCGTCCTTCGTCTCGATGCCGAACTGTTCGACCTGCTTGTGCGACCCATCTTCCCTCTCAACAGTGGTAGGGGCATTGTGAAACTCCGCCGAATCGTCCGTCTTGATCAGATCTACCACGGCCAGGTGGCCCCCTGGCTTCAAGTACCCCGCCAGCACCTGCGTTACCTTGACGGGGTCGCTCAGATGGTGGTACGAGTTGGTGCATGTGATGACATCGAACTTGCTTCCTCCCAGGTCGCCTCCATCCAGAATATCTGTTACCACAGCCTCAACGTTCTCGATCCTCTCCCCCTCAGATTGCGCCTCGAGCTTGGCCCGCAGTTGCCGGATCATCTCCTCGCTCTGGTCCACCGCTGTGACGCTCTTGCACCGAGGAGCGAGGAACATAGCAAGCAGCCCAGTACCTGCTGCAAAGTCCATCAACTCCGTCGTGTCGGGTGAAAAGGAGGGAACGCGGGCGAGTATGTTGGCAGCATTGGTGCGTGCGACGTCGACGACCATGCCGCGACCCATGCGGTCGTACTCTGCCGCTGTGAGGGCGTAGAAGGCCTTGTTGGCGGCGGTGATTAGGTCGTCGTTCGTGGGCATTGTTAGTGTTGACTGCGATGTAGGGGAACCGGTGTTGGGGCTGGAAACGGAGGCCTCATATAGACGAGAGGGAGGATAGGATTGGGACCTGACTGTCAGGGTCCACAGCCAACGCTCAGCCACCTTCGTTCCTCCGCGGGAATCTTGGCAGACGCGTGTGAGAACAACACTTTTTCTTCCATCGACGTTCCTTATACCACACCTGACTTACTCGGTCCTGGACTGTCTTCGCCGATCTCAGTATCGTTGACGGTGCTGGACGACTCGGCGGGCTCGCTCAGTGCTGAGATGCAGTCGACCGATTCGATGGTCGACGACCCCTCCATCGTCATCGAGGAGAGGGAACTGATCCGATTCGAACGAGCCGACGAGTACCTCTCGCTCCTTACCTCCCTCGTCAACCCGCTCGACTCTACCAGCACCTCCTCAACGCCCTCTTTTGGCCCCGATGAGACACTCAGCAAGCTTCTCTCCATCCTGGACGAGTATCAAGACCAATCTCACCTGCTCGACCCCTACCTGGAACGCATCGTCTCCCCACCCGTCGAGGCGCTCCAACGCCACGTCCGGTCCTCCTCTTCACTCCCCCCCGCCGCAGTGGTGCGACTCTCCAAACTCGTCTACACCTACACAAAAGTCCGCGGATACAAGACCATCCTGCACTACTTTCCGCACGAAGTGGCCGACCTACCCGCCACCCTTTCTTTCTTGGAAGATCTCGTCGCGGCCGATGACGTTCGATGCTGGGAGCTGCGCTACGTGTGTCTGCTCTGGCTGTCGCTGATCTGCATGATTCCGTTCGACCTGGCCAAGTTCGATCGACCAGACTCGACCAGTACGACAGGGGAACGGATCGCCGCTGTGGCAGAGCACTTCATCGCCAGCCCGGGCAAGGAACGTGATGCAGCAGCGGTCGTGCTTGGGCGTCTCTTCCAGCGCAACGATCGCCGAAATCAATTTCCTGCGTTCTTGTCAAAGAGGCTGCAGGCGGTGAAGGGGGAGGATGCGAGCCTGTTCGAAGCGACCGGTGTGCTACAGGCGCTGTGCGAGGTGCTCAAGACGAGCGAGCCTGCGTTTGTCCTCACCCACCTCGCCGACCTCGAGACGGTCATCGATGCATACGACACGCATCCAAACAGCGCCCTGACAAACGACGGGCTGATCACAAAGTACAAAACCAAACTCACGGCGCGATTAGCGCTCAAACTCCTTCGGCCCCGCGCACGCCGTCATGCCAACAAGTATCACGTCCTCGGCCACCCCTCCGCCGCCCTCCCGATCGAGCCGGAGGACGAAGACGAATCCGACATCTCCGAATCCACCGAACCGCTCATCTCGACCCTCCTCACCTCGCTCCAGCACAAAGACACCCTTGTCCGGTACAGCGCAGCCAAAGGTCTCGCTCGCCTCTCCGATCGACTCCCCACATCCTTCCTCACCCAAGTGGTAGATGCGATCCTCTCGCTCTTCGCCATCAACGTCCTCGAGGGCGATCTGAGCAGCGTTTCGGAGCACACGTGGCAGGGAGGCTGTCTAGCGCTCGCCGAGCTCTCCCGTCGTGGCCTGCTGTTTGGTGACATGCTGAGCGAGGCCCTGCCGTGGGTGATGCAGGCACTCATGTTCGATGTGAGGAGGGGAGCGCATAGTGTGGGCAGCAATGTGAGGGATGCCGCGTGTTATGTGGTGTGGGCGCTGGCGAGGTCGAACGATGTCGAGTCGATAAGGCCGCACGCGGTGGAGCTGGCAAGGAGGTTGGTGTGCGTCGCAACAACCGATCGGGACGTGTCGATACGCAGGGCGGCTAGCGCGGCGTTTCAGGAAAGTGTAGGCAGACTGGGTCTGTTTCCACGGGGGATAGAGGTGATTCGGTTGACGGACTTTTATGCGGTGAGTGTGAGGAGGTGCGCTGTGCGAGAGTGCGCGGTGGGCGTCGCTGCGTTCGAGGAGTATAGGGGATACTTGGTGGATCACTTGGTGGAGAAGGTGACGGTGCATTGGGATCCGGCGATGCGGAGGCTGGGTGCGCAGGCTGTAGCGCTAATCGCCATGCATGATCCGAGGACGCTGCTGCCAGAGCTCGCGGCGAGAGTGGGCAAAAGGGTCGCTACATCGGACAACGCCGTGCTTCACGGAACGCTGCTCACCCTCGCTGAGCTGTCGCGGCTCTCCCAGACACTCTCTGACGACCATGCGTTGGTAGGAGAGGAGGTCAGGACCACCTGCTTCGTCCTACTCGACAAAGTGCGCCCAACCATGTTCCGCTCGCTCGGCGCCGCCCCACTTCTCGAAGCAGCCTGTGCTCTCATCGGCGCCGCTATCCCCGCCCATACCACGTCCTCCGCCAACGAGACCCAGACGTGGGAGAAAATCCTCAACTTCGCCCTCGCGCGCCCCGAAGAGACTGTCCACATCGCCGTCGCCGATACCATCGCCCATCTGAGCCGCTGCGTCGACATCTCGTCCAAGGTGCGCTCCACCCTGCAAAGCTGGTCGACCCTCACGCTGCCACAGCAGCAGAGCAATGCCCTTCTTCTTGGCGCCGTTGACTTTGGGCATGATTCGAGGCTGCTCCAGGACGTGGTGGGGCATCTGATGGCGCTGACAAGACCGTCAACGAAGACGATGGCAACTCCGATGTACTCGTCCAACATCGAAGTGCGCCGAAATGCGAGCGACAGTCTCACACGAGCCCTCGTCAACCTGCGCGACTTTGCGCAGATGTGCACTCCAGACCTTTTGAATCGGGCGCTGCAATCGTTGGTGGGAGGACTGGAGGACTACGCGACGGACCAACGTGGCGATGTAGGCTCGTGGGTGCGGTTGAGCTGCATCGCCGGGCTGCGAGACGTTCTCAAACTGTGTCGAAGGCACGCGAGGCAGATTGACCGGGCGCAGCTGGACGAGGCGGTGGGAGGCATGTGGAAGCAGGCGGCCGAGCGAATTGACCACGTGCGGTGTGCGGCGGGGACAGCGGTGCTATGCCTCTATCGCGCTTATCAGGGCGACGAGGTGCGACCGCAGGGCTACGACGTGATCGAAGTCGCCTTTGGACCGCTGAACACAGACGAGTCTGAGCTGGAGCAAATCTTCAAGAACCCAACGAAGGCGTTCAGAGCCGTCACTCGCCTCCTGCTCATTCCTGCGTATCGAAGTCCTATTCTGCACGGGCTGGTGCTCTCCGTAGGATCAAAGTCCGACTTGGGCGAACGGATCATCGGGCCCGCCCTCGCCGACCTCACCGCAAGTACGAGCTACACCTTGACAGCGCTGCTTTCGGACATCTTCGACTTGGCCAAGAAGCACTTTGGCAACAACAGGCTCTTCATCCCCGCGATGCACACCGTCAACCTTCTGCTCGAGAACGGAGCAACACATGCGGGGATGGATGTGCCGCTTGCACGGCTGCTCAGGATGGTGCTGTCCAACATGGGGAAGGTCAAGAGTGTTCCGAGGTTGACGGCAGCTGCGACGGTAAGTGCCAACGTCGTGCTCGCGATACGTCCAGCAGGTGGAAAGGAGGAACTGTTGCCGCTGCTGATCAAGGCGACGCAGGCTTTTTTAACGCACGAGTTCCCCACGGTGCGAGCGAGGTGCGCGGAACAGCTGTTTGCCGTGCTCTCATCGAGTGTCAGCTTCGACGACGAGGAGGGAGAAGAGAAGATGGAAGTGTGGGGCGAGCTGGAGATGGTGCTGCTAGATACGAAGTGGGACTCCACCACGGAGAGGTTTGAAGAGCCGGTGGGCGTCATGACAGCAGCATTGCCACGTCTTCTGACATGATCAAATCGTAATCGATCAAACCGTGTCGTTCGCTATCTCGTTTTCAAGCCTTGGTCAAGGGATCTATTGAGTACGCTGAACAAGTCTAGAAACGACCCTGTTGAGATACGAAGCCTATCCTTCCTTCGAATCGATCACGCTCTCGTAGAGCAAGCTCATGCACAGCTCGTAGTTGGTGGGTATATGATCGCGCAACATGCTCTTGGCGAAGATGGGCTCGGAAAACCGCTTGACCACATCCTCGCAGTATCGCAGGATGACACGGTGCGCCTCGGCTCTCCGTTCGCCCTGAGACTCTTTGGACCGGTCGAAGACGATGTCGCTGTCAGGACTCATCGACGGCGTGACAAAGACGGCAAAGCTTTCGATGCAGTACACGTCGCCGGGCGGGTAGAGCTTGTCCGAGTCCATGTCGGCACGGATCGTCTTGATGAGCGACCAGAGCCAGTCCGCCAATTCGACGTCTCCTCCACCCTGCTGTCCGGACAGTTGCGGTGTTGAGGGGGAGGTCCGCACCTGTCCGCCGCCAGAAGAGTAGGAGAAGGGATCTAGCTCGTCTTCCTTCAGATTCGGATCGGTGTAGTTGGAGTCGGTGGCGAGATTGCGTGTCTTTCCCTTGATCAGCTCTTCGCGGCTCAGCTGCACTTCTCTTTCTGCGAGCGGGATCTCCTGCGGTCTAGGCGGCTCTAGAGAGGCGAGGTGCTCCGGTGTCTTTTGCTTGAATCCGAGAGTCGAGCGAAGGGCCGATCGTTTCCGGTACGTGCCGATCACACGCGTGATGATCTCGCGGGCTACATCCGAGTCGCTCTCCACGCTTAAGGCATGTGCAATGTTCTTGAAGTCGCGCACCATGCCGAGTGAGAGTGTCGGCACAAAATCATGACCGTGAATGATGCTGGTGACCAGTCCCTTGCAGTGTGCCGATAAGTCCGGAGAAGCCACAGCCGGCACGCCGTACGCGTAAGCGTGAATGGGCCGACCAGGTGGCAGTCCGCTATCGAGCGAGGTAACGAATGGCGTGTGGATCTTAGGATGTTGAGCCGTTTTGCCATGTTGTGCCCTTCGACGCAAGACTTGCTGTCGGAAGAGATCCGCTGGGCAACTCAGCTCTACAGCTGCGAGCGCTGCTACTCCGCCACCTAGCGAGTGTCCCGTGAGGACGAGACCGTAGTCCGGATTGTCCTCCAAAGCGAGCCGAAGTGTTTGCATGACTGTGCTGTTTTCGTTGCATAGCCTGCGCGTGCTCGCAAGCATCCCCGAGTGTACCTGGTATTGCTTGTCTGATCTTCCTCCTTCCACGGCGATGGTCTCGAAGTCGCACGTCAGATCCGTCAGAATATCGCTGAGACCCATCGTGCCACGACAGGTCAGCACCACTGCTTGAGCCGCATCATCGACAGCGACGTAGTTGACGAGCGGAGACATTTGCTCCGTGAACAGTGGCTGGGCCTCGGAAAAGCTGTTAAGGAGAATGCAGTCGACTGGGATGCCGACGTGATGAGCAAATGCCCAGACGTTGGCGTGATGCTTGCTCGTGTCTGGGAAGAAGTAGTCCAGACTCCCGATGCCGAGGATTCGCATAAAGTTCTGACCGTACGCTGCGGATGAGTATCGCATGAAGCGGCGAAGGTTTTCGACCAAGTGAGCTCGTGGGAACGCTGTTGGATCGTGACCGTGCTTGCCGTTGTCGATGTCGTCGGGGGCCGCCAGGCTGGACACTTGTGTGCGCGAGGCAAAGGAGCGCATCGAAGTGATGGACGGCGCTCGACTGCGACGCTTGCTTTCGCGTATCGATCCTCTCGGTGTCGGAGGGACAAAGGCTGTCATGTCCAAGTCGGTCTGGAACAGGGTGTGCTGCGAAGCGCCTCGCTGCGAAATGGACGGTCGCTCCTTCATGACTGTACGAGGACTCGTCATGTTGAAAACGGCTCCACCTATCCTTCGCTTCGTCACCATAGCCTCTGATTCCGAGGTCACTTGCGGAATGCACTTGGACTTTCCGGGTGAGGACAAGGGTGCTGCAAGCATGGATGGCGTCGCCCGAAGGGAGCTGCTTGTGCCTGTGGGCGCATTCAGATGTATGCTCGACAGCGGAGCAACACGGCGCTCTCGCGACTGCGGAGTCGAATCGATCCCTGCTTCTGAGTGATGTTCGCCTTTGAAGGGCTGTTTGGCACGTTTAAGGACCTTGCTGATTCCGCGTCCCAGACCTGGGCCTTTGCCATTCGCGACTTCTCGGCTGGCTTCCTCATTGCTCTGCCCTTGCTTGCTGTCTACCAAGATGTCTGTCGAGTCCATTGATGCGTGGATAGCAGTAAGAATGGGACTGACCGGAGGAGCAGCGGAGATGTTTGTCGACCCCGGGCTCCTTGATCGCCGAATGACTTTTCGTGAGCCAACAGGTGACAGCGTCGAATCGGCTCGGGATGCCGCATCAACCAAGTCGTCGTCTGTCTCGTCGACTTCGATCTTTCGAATGGTCTTGCGTCTCTGGATCAGCTTCTTGGTGATTGTCTTGAGGACCACGGGCATCTTTGATGCGCCGCTGTTCTTGCCGTCTGCGATTTCCTGATGACCATTTCGTGCTTCAGGGATCGTCAACTCATACTTGCCTTCCGCGGCACTACCAGCCGGTGCGAGAAGGAGAGATGGTTGTTCTCGACAGACTTCAGCGTCCGGGCTGAAGTTTGGCTTCGTACGTATCTCGCACCATTCTTCATCTTCTTGAAGGTTGCTCTCGATGCGGTCCTCGAAAACCGAACGTGTCTCTATGCCGCTCTTGGAGCAGGTCACTTGACGCTGTAGCATGCCTGGGCTGGGCATCGGGAGGTTGCGAGTCTCCTTACTATCCGAGAAGGGTTCTCCTGCCAATCTGCTCGAGAGGCTAGGTGACCTTGGCGACATGCTTGTCTGTTCGACAGTGGTGACGGTCTCGATGGTCTCGATGACTTCCGTTGTGATCTCGTATACGGTTTCTCGATTGCCGTCTGTTCGATTGGTCTTGCGTATCCGGCGGAAGTGTTGTTTTGGCATGGAGGACGCCTCTGGCAGTACGACTCCATCGCGAAGCTGGTCGTCGGTATATTGCTGAAGTTGTTGGCGAAGATGAGCAGGAAGCTGATCGTCGGTGAGGTTGGATGAGATGGAGGCATCACCATCATCACCGACGAGAAAGTTGAGGTCTGCGATCAAAGAGGCGTCATCTGCGTCATCGACCTCCATGTCAGAGTCTCCAGCCATCGATGTCGCTCGACTGGGCTTCCAAGCAGTGCGCTGAGATGTCGAAGGGTCGATGTCGGTCAGGCAGAGACCGTCACCAAGAAAGCCCCTGGACCGAGAAGAAGGCAGATACATACCGCTAGCGGAGCTCTTGAGTGCTTGTTCTGATGGATCGAGTAGCGACGCCGTTCTGCGGGGTGGCGACATGAGGGACAGCGTCTCGAGCCCCTCGGCAGCGGACGCGAGCAATGCGGCCGGACGACTGCGGATAAAGTTGCCTGATCCGACCATGAGGGAGCGCCAGCTTTTCGCCTCGACTTCGCCGAGCACAGTGCAGTCGTAGACGACGCGCATCTTCATGCTTTTCGCGCTGCGCTTGTAGGTCGAATTCTGCAAGACAGCAAAGGCGGTGACCGCTTTGGTGAGCTTGTTGAGGAGGGAGAGCATATTGTCGTTGGCAAAGCGTGGATCGTTGTTGACCTCTCCGCGTACGAGGCTGATAAAAGAAGCAAGCGCACGAGAAGTCTCGTTGGAGCCAAAAATACCGTCGATAGTCCGCACCGACTCGTCAGCGACAGCAATGCCTGCAGTGAGAGTGGTGCCCACCAGCTGGAATGAGCCCATGGCAAAGAGCTCTGCCAACGTGAAGGTGTGGTGAATGAGATAGATGCCGACTGCTGTATATTTGTCGAGGATGCTGAGAAAGGAGGGACCAGCTGTTGTTCCTGACCTCCCTGTGGTCTTTGCATCCCAAACCTGGCCTGACGTGAGCGAATGAACGGCTCTTGCGGTCCCTACAGCATTGATGAGGGCTCGACGAGTGATGCCAAGCGAGAAGCCTGTGCTGTTCTTGACCGCCTCGAGGATGATCTCGATGAAGAAAGCGGCAGCCTTGAGCGAGACGCGAGCTATGACGGAGAGGTTGGAAACCATTTCAGCGACCTGCTGAGGCAGAAGTGGAGAGGCGGTGGCATATTTGATGAGGGCGTCACTGGCGCCATAGGCTTGGTGTTTGGTCCAAGCTCGAACGCCGCAAGTGATGGCTACGTGTCTTGGTTCCGTGCCGCAGTAGGCTACAAGGAGTGGTGCAGGACCGCTGATGATTGCGTTGGAAGGCGTACCTGGACCTGAAGTGTCTGATGTAAGGAAGTCATCGTCCGAGTCCTTGGCATCATCAACCCATTGGAATGGCTCCGATGTTTGATGGCGGAAGTTGCCATCCGTGCTGAGGCTCGAAGGCATGCGTTCGAGGTCGAGACAGGTGGGATCCGACGGATCGCGAGGAAGAGGAGCCACCATGGTTGTTCGAGATCGGAAGCATAGGGCAGATGGTGGTTGTTGGAGAGGATGACGGCTGTTCACGAGCGAGAAGGCAGGCGAGACATTGGACGTGGCCCCGGACAGTGGTGGCGATAGGCTGGCTGCGCTGCAAAGCAGGGTCCACGGGCGGGAACAAGATCCGAAGCAAGACCGCACGGGCGCCGTGAGCAATCCCACCACGCCTTGCTGGATGCGTTGCTGGCGATGCGAATCTGCCAAAGCGAATGCGTGCGTGTGTGTCGTGGAGGTGAGCGAAGGAGGTTGATCCGGTGTGTGGAGCACAGCTTTTGCGGGGAAGCCGATGCAGCGCTGACACAACCGATAGGCTGATCCGAATTGGCTTGAGCAGCAGCAGCAGCAGCGAGGCGCAGTGCAAGCAAGCCAGGTTCAGTCGGCAATCGCCGGTGATGCAACAGACGTGCAGCTGCAAATTGGCGGGAAGGGGATGTGACAGCGGATGTGAAGCGGATGACAGATAGCGGTGACTTCAAGAAGAGTTGTCAGCCATGCAAACTCACTCAAGCTGTCACACAGCGAATTGGCGTGTCAGCCAGCGACGCAGACCTGCGTGACAACAAGCGCCACTTTTCTCTTTGCCTTGGGTTACATCAGGCTCAGCGCTACAACACACTCTCTTTGTCGTTGGAGGTGTATGCGCTCGACATCACTGCTGTAGCTCGACAGCAACGGCCACATCATTCGGAGCATATACGTTGCTTTCAAGGCATAAGCTCGGCAACCAGATAGGAGACCCTGGTTGCCATGTGTTGGTCTCGTAAAGTGTTGCTTTGGCGAAAAAACACGTTCTTTGCCGCCCGCCCTCGCATGCAGGAAGGTGGCCTGAGCCGCAACCACAGTTTTCCGAGCAAAAGTCGCCGTTTCACGCTTGCAAAAGATTCCCTAAGACCCTTGTTTGACTGGATCGCCTCAAATCGGGCTGGCTAACAATCGAGATGAAAATTTGGAGATGCAGGAAAAAGGTTGACCTTCTCGCCTTCTTGCCAACCCTTCGTAACGACCTACTTCACCCATCCTTCGGCAACACACCTCTCCAGCAGCACAGTCGATCCGATATGGTGCGCGCAGACCAAGGCATTCAGGGCCGCTCGGCTCCTCGCGCCAAGTCGCGCTCATCCGCAACAGCTGCGATCCGAGCGCGCTCTTCCACCTCGGCACCCAAAGTCGCTGCTGCTCCCCCCACCAAGATCACCAAAGCGGCCAAGCGTGCGATGAAGCGCGCAGAGCTCATGGCCAAGGTCGATCCGAAAGCTCGTCCGTCGCTACTTAATCTCGAACCAACAAATGGCACACTGTCCAAATCGTCATTACGGAGGCAGAAGAGGAAGCAGAAGGAGCAGTTGGCCGGCAACACGACGGGCTTAAAGGATCTCGCAGAGGCGATGGACGAGGTCGCTCAGGAGGTTCAGGGGAGCGACGAAGATGACGAGGACGCCTACGACATCGAAGACGGAGGTGATGACGACGATGACATGCTAGAGAAGGCGTCAAGACAGCCTGCGACCTCAGCGTATCCGCTTGTCGGCGCGCAGAAGACCAAGAAGGACGCAACAGTCACCGAAAAGGCGAGAAAGAAGGCACTGTAAGTGCTTGAATGACCCATGCTGATGCTGACAGAAGACGGCTATCTGACTTTTCGTCTCCCATTTCCACCGCACGACAGATCTCTGGAAATGCAACGCCAAAATCTGATTCTCTCGGATCCAGCCTACGCCAGGAATCCGTTCGCCGCTCTCCGTCTCCATGCACAGAACACACTCGCATTCGACAAGGGCAACCCGAAGCCCAAGCATTGATCGGCCTTCCGACTCCTGACTCACTCGCATCTTCCTTTGTATTTGTACCCATTTCAATGCATCTTGACCCATCACACGCTCTCGTACTCGACCGTGCCACAGAATGCACACGTTGGATTACAATGACATTGTCAGGATACATGAAGCATCTAATGGTTCGTAATTGTTCTCGCTGCAATCAAATGATGCAGCTTGAGCGGGGTGAGCTGCTCAGGCGCGAGCAGCCACCTCCGGTGCAGTGCCAGGAGCAGGTGCTGCACGACGCGAGAACTTCATCCTCGCACCGTCCTTGGGGAAGATGGTGGCAATCACCTCGACCTTCTCGCTCAACGGTGTCACCTCGTGCTCCCAGTTCATCAGCACACTTGCCGTGCCGAGCACAGCGGTGAGGTGCATGTTGGCGTACTGCTGGCCGATGCAGTTGTGAGGACCGCTGCCAAAGACAAGGTAGTTCTTGGGGTTCTTCTGTGCTGGGTCCGCCTCGTCCAACCATCGCTCCGGCTTGAACTCGTCTGGCTTGGGGTATACGTTCTCATCGTGCAACGAATTCCAGAAGCTGGGAATGACCATGCTGCCCTTGGGGACGGTGTAGTTCTTGTCGATGGGGAAGTCCTTGTGGTTGAGGTAGGGGACCATGATGACGGGGGGCTTGATTCGAAGCGACTCCTTGACCACCGCTTTGGTGTAGTCCATCTTCTCGATGGCTTCATACGTGAGCGAAGCGTTGACGTCGTCACCACGGATACGGTACTGCTCCTCGCGCACCTTGCGCAGGATCTCGGGGCGGTCGGCAACGTGCTGCAAGAGGTAGGTGAGACCCGAGGACATGGCGTCTTGCGAGGCGAAGAGGAAACTGAGCAGAACCATACCAATCTCGCGGTCGGAAAAGTCGCGCACGAGCACACGGCGCGTCTCGGCCTCCAAGTCGGCGTTCTCCTTCTGCAGACGAGCGTCAATCATGGCCTTGATCCATGCATCGGTGAGGCAGGTGACCTCCTCGCCTTCGGCCATGCGCTTCTTGCTCTCGCGAGCCGTGAGCTCGAACCACTTCATCGCAGTCTTGCGCGCCTTGATGGCGTTGTAGACTTTGGTGCCAGGGAAGGCGAAGGGGAAGTTGACGAGCTCGAGGGCGACGGTGATGAGCCAATAGTTGTCCGAGATCTCCTTGGCGCCCTCGTCGGAAATGTAGTTGCCGCAGAAAACGCGCAGCGAGGTCTCCATGTTGAGGTCACGGAACTTCATCATGTAGGGCTGCGGGTTGGGGTTGGAGTCGGCGAGCCATTCGTCAAAGTAGCGCTTGTAGATGGTCTCCTGGATGCCGAGGTAGATTCCGAGCGCTTTGCGGGTGAAGAGCGTGTTGAGTCCCTTGCGGTAGTCGACGTGCGTCTTGCCGTTGAGGAAGACCCTGTTTTGGTTTGGCAGGAAAAGGGAGAATGGAGTCAGTCTGAGCGTTCCAGAGGGCTGTACGGTGCGATGCGCTTGTCGGTGGTGGGGCGCAAAGACGCATGTGCGTCGGCCCAGGGTCGGGCGACCCCACGCAGATATGAAGTCCAAGCGGTAAAAAGGTGCCATCTAAGCGCTCGAGCGCGAAGTTTGCGGAGCGATGACAGCGCCCACATTGCATCGGCTGTTCTGATGCGCGGAGAAGATGAACTCACCAATTGTCAGCGCAAAGGACCTTCTTGGCGGAAGCGACAAGACATGGCTCAGCGTATGTTGGGCTGTTGAGGATTTTGCGGGCATACTCGTTGGAGGAAGCAATGACGATGAAGCTGCGGAATGGCCGATCCGATAAGGAGGCGGAAGGGATGAGTCAAAGCGCGTCAGTAAACGGTCACACTGGACGGATGCATCCGGCCGAGGATGGGATGTGCGCAGAGACGTACATGTTGAAGACGCTGGCAACGCTCAGAGGGCCGGAATTCCAGCCCTCCTGGTACTTTTCGAGCGACGGATGAAGCGAATCGGCAAACTTGCCAATGACGGGGATGGTCCACTTAGGTCCGGGAAGACCCGCCTTCTTCTTCTGGTAGTTGTACTGCTCGGCGAGAAGCAGGGTCGCAACCACTGCTAGCACGGCAAAGACGACGGTGGTGCGGTCTGCCTCTTGCAGCGAAGGAACGCGGGTAAGATCGAGGACCGAAAGCACCTTGCTCAGCGCAGAGTTGGGCTGGAGCAACGGAGCCGACGGAGCGGTGGAGCGCGAGAGGTTGAGGCCGTGCTGGCCAGCGCCCAAGATGGAAGCCATCGTGATGGTGGGATTTGAGGGGGAAGATGCAAGAGAGATGGAGCAAGAGAGGGATGTTGCCTTGGCTACTCTCGAAAATGACCTTTCCAAACGTGGAAGCGCGGGCGATCCGAGAAGCGGCGGATCAGAAACGAGGAGGTGTGCAAGTCCGGATGGTGGCTGAATACGCGGACAGAGATCAGCTAAGCGTGCGGCGGGTGAGGTGGTCGAAGGGACGGATGAGGGTGATCAGATGAATGGATGGAAGGAGGAAGGAAAGAGACCGTGAGAGATGTCCTCGGAATGTCCGTAGCGGCGGGTTGAGAACGTCTCTACCTTGCCAAGCTGAAGGCTTTGTCTGGGCAGCAGCGGCAGCACCGAACGCTATCAACAGCGAAAATTCAGTTGGCTGAGGCTCACGGCTCCATTTGACAGTCCGCCAAAAGTCCAAAAAAATAGGAAAAAATTGATCTCGTTTGGATTTCCATTGGACAAGCAGGGCTTCCTCGACAGCTTTGCTTCACGTGTGCCGTAAGCGCGGAGAAGCCAGGCTTGCCTTACCAACGAGGAGCTCGAATTCTGATCTGAGTCGGCTAGCCTGTGCGTGCCGGCGAGTTGCTTGTGCAAGATGCAGCGTCGCAGCGCAGCACTGCGCTGCGATGCGTGAAGTTGAGCAAGTCGAGGTCAACGCACGCTTGCTCTTGCGGAGCTTAGCTTCCGATGCAGCTCGAATTGGCTTTGCTGGGACAATGACCAGTTGCGAATGACGACGCCGGATGCCAAGCTCCATATCAACGCTAAGTCTTCAATCTAGTAGTGTCTCTGCCGCTGCGTTGTGTGCGGTCAAAGCTTGAGCTTCAGCAAGACGGCGAACACAACGAATGAGTGAGGGGACCTCGAGATCAACGACCAAAGACAAAAAAGATAGCCGGTGCTTCAGGTAAGCAGCCAGGGCGGCAGGTCTGTCTGTGCGTGTCCGTACCGCGAATGAAACGAGGAAGAAATTTAAACTTGTGATTGCACGGGTGACTGAGAGGGATCGACAAGGCTTTCAAGGTGCAGACGCGCTGTCGCTGCAGAGAAACGCGTCGATCCGGGCCAGCTGCTGGAATGACGCCGCCACGCGTGAACGAAATCTTTCGTAAATTTATTTCTCCGTCGCGGCTCGCGCCGAGCTTCTTTCGAGCAGCACCTTTGCCAAAATCAGACCACTTCTTCGCTTTCCAAACGAAAAGCTTTCGGCACATTTGCCGGGGAAATTCCGAGACCTAACAAGTGGCCAAAAATTCAGCCGCTTCTTGCTGCGCAGCGACGCCTCGCCTCGCCCCATGGTTGACGACCAAGATGGCAGATGCAAAGTGTGGCCAGTCAATCCCATCACGCGTTGAGCCTAGCCTCGTTATCGATATCGCTTTGGTCTGATGCCTTCAATCACCTGTGAGGCAGCAGGATGAGCCTTGACATGTCCGCACGTTCTAATTATGTGATCCCTACGGGTGATCAGACGACTGCTGCGCAGCAGCTCGACCTGCGCTGACCGTTGACTGTCTTGGCGCTGTTAGCCTGGTGAGGGTTTGATCCGTGTGACGAGTAGAGAGGTGAGTGTATGGCGTGAAAACATAGAGAAAGTGATTGACTGCGCCGCGCAAGCTCTTTCCAAACGGCAACGCGTGACCCCTTCCGAGCTCATAAGGCATCGCAGGGGTTCCGAGAATGTGGCCGGGGCGTGGGAACGGCGTGGCGAGACTCCTGCCTCTTGCGTCCCCGAGAGTAGTCCGGTTTCAGTCAAAATACGAGACGGAATGAGGTTCGCGTCGACCGCCGCGCTTCATCTGCACGCGTAGCGATGCTGCGCAGCAGCCACCTTTTTCGAGATGCTGTAAAAGGGAGGCCCGAGCTCGTAGAACGCTTTCAAGCCCTACTACCACCCTTCTCGCACCAATTTCGCCTATTGCCTGCCGACCAGCAACTACCGAAGCAAGAATGGACGTGCCGGCGAGAACCCAGTACACTGAAGCCGAGCGTGAGGCCATCAAGAGGCTCAAGTTCGAGCTTGCTCGTTCAGAGGTTGCCACTTATACGCTCAAGAAGATGAGGACGGAGCAAGCCAATCAAGCGCCACGAAAAGTCATCATCGGCTCAACGATAACTTTTACCAGCGAGTTCGGTAGCCTCGCTCACCGTCAAAACGTCACGATCACTGCTGGCACAGATGTCATTCTTCAACGTCTGGGCCCTTCGTCGTTGCAGGACTATCGACGCATGGTGCAAGAGGCCGTCGAAGGTGCCGATCTTCTTGATGATGTATACGACAAAGCATGCGGAAGCCCAAGGAACAGGCTCGGTGTTACGCCATCAGCTAAGCCTGAGGATCAGGAATACGTCTTCGGGGCTCTCTACTTTGAGGGGGGACCCGATGATTACGACAACATCTATCTTTCGCATCAAACGACTCAGAAGTACTGGGCACGGGACGATCAGCAGAATGAGGATGGCCGCTGGGCCGTGACAGACTTGATGGCATGGTTCAACTCCTATTTCGAGCGCTTTGTGCTTCCTCTTCTGGTCGAAGAAGGGAGCGGCTTGTGCGCTCGATTCCGAGCTCAACTGCAAGAGCGGAGTGACACTCACTTTCCGTGGGTCGCGGAAGAGGTGCCTGGTCTCAAACATCTCTGCTTGCCTCAGTACTCCAACTTGAAGCCGAAAAAGGGCTTCTCTTCCTCGCCGGACTCGACCAAGGAGGAGGCATCCCCTTTCATCATGATCAACTTCGGCCAGCACGCCTTTCTGGAACTCGCAGAGTACAATTGCAGTCTCGAGCTCCAGCCACTCGACATCGTCTTGTACGATCCGGACAAAGTCACAGCGCAGGCCGTCAAGCACAGTCAGAGAGTCGACCCCAGCCTGCCCGAGCGGTGGTCGGTGACCTGCTATTTTCAGAAGCTGTTCCAAGAGCGCCAGCTGACCGACGACGGCCCTTGTGAGTTCTACGCAAAATCGAAAGCAAGAAGGGATCAAAAGACCCTCGCGAGGGACGCAGAAATCAGGGCACAAGAGGCTGAAGAGCAGCAAAGTTGGGGGAGCGCGATCGAGCGGGAGTCCAGCGGAGCTACGACCGGTGCCGAAGACAGCGACCGAGACGACGCCTATACAGGCGTGATCCAACCGGAGACGAGCAGATCGGTGAAGCTGGAACACCCTGCCGAGGCGAGCACCAGAGCCGTTCCTCTCGAAGAAGCTCCCTCATCGACAGGCGAAGGCGAAGGCGGAAGGGACAGACGAAAGAGGCCGCGACTGTCGTACGTCGAATGATGTCCTTCTCAACATCATCAAAAAAAAGGCATCCTCAACACAGATGTAAGACTGATCGGTCGAAAGCATCGGTTCCAGTCGTTCCCATCACTGCGACTTGAAAGTCTTCTCCAGCCCCCCGTTCCTTGCCCTCAACCCGTGCTTCTGCACCTCGACCCTGTATCTAGTCCACGACGACAAAAACCAAACTAGCAATCCTGCGTGCACGCCAACTAGCACCAGACCTGATGCCCAGACCCTGGCGAACACTTGTTTGGCGCCGAACTCCAACTGATACGCCTGTGAAAGCCACAGCGCTTGTGCGCCCACCCACGCTGCGAGCGCGACGCCCGTCTCGACTCTGCCCACCTTGAGACTGGGCCATACGAGCGGGAGCAGCCAGAGGAACCACAAAAAGTACTGACTCGTGCAGACCTTGTTGAAGGCGACGAAGGCGATTGTCTGTGCGGTCATTGCTGCCACCACATCGCGCTTGCCGAGGTGGTACCCGAGCAGTCCCACCACAAGAAGCTGAGGAAGGAAGCTGAGCAGCGGCGATGCGAGGATGCGCGCTTCGAGTGTCGACGCGGACGCCGGGGCGGTGAAGAGCGAAAGATACGTGCCGAGGAAGTACGGGCTAAAGTTGTGGCGATGATCCGCGCGGTGGAGGTGGTAGAGGAAGGTGTGCTCGAGGAACGGCGAGCCCCAGATGAGCCAGGCAACCAGGTTGGCCGCCATAAAGGCGTAGAATGCCACAAAGCCGAACTGCAAGCCTGCTGCATGCTTCGTCCAGAGCGGGAGGGTCTTGCGTCGCTCAGGAGAGTAGGCTTGGACCGTGGAGCGGTGCAGGTGGGCCAGGACGGGAATGCCGTAGATGACAGGGAAGAGCTTGAGATGCGTGGCGAGGCCGAGCAGCACCGGCGCCATGTACGCGTCGAGCGACCAGTCGAGCACGTGGAATGCGCTCTCGGGTGGGACGGCTTCGTAGGTCGGAACTTCCTTGACAGCTTGCTCTGCTGCGACGGGTGGTTTGAGCTTGGAGTCGTCATCGCCGTTGGCTGACGCTTGCGCGGAGTAGGCTGGCAAATACTTGGCACGCAGACCGAGCGGCGCCTCTGGGTTGGCTTTGAGGAAAAAGTAAAGGAAGGAGAGGACGAAGAGGCCGACGAGTGCCTCTGACGAGCCGCGAGTCGAGATCTGAGCGACCATTGGGTTGAGAATCCACAGCAATCCAGGGAGGTGGACATACGCTCCAGCGTAAGATCCTTGCGGGCGTCGTCCGTCCAGGATCAACCACATGAGGACAGCGCAGAGCAGATCCGACGCGGCAAAGACGTACTTGCCAAAGTTGGTCCATCCGAACAGATGAATCGGTGACAAGACGGCTGCCAGGAAGGGTGTATAACGATATGTGGGCCTCGCGTATGGATCTCCGACGGTAGCCATCAGATTGAAAGCCGGTCTAGCGAGCTGGTAGCATCGCTTGGCCCAGAAGTACATGCTATCCGACTCGTCGGGTTTCAAGCCATCCGCCGGCTTGTGACTGTTGGGGTCGTTCTTGAGCAAGAATCGCGCCGCAGCGGGGAGGATGCCTCTGGCGCAGTGAACGTCGTTGCGGTCCAAAAGGTCGGCGTCCGACTCGTAGTCAGAGCGTCCGACCGTCCGTGACAGTGGACAGGCGTCGACAACATGCTTGGCAGCATCGCTAAAGACGAAGTAGTCGACATCGGTGTATGGCAAGGCGTGTGTTGCGTCCTGATGTTGACCCCAGAGGAGCAGACCTGCACGTAGGAGAAGACCAGCAAAGATGTAGGTCAAGGACCAGAGAGAGGCCTTCATGGCGCCGAAGAAGTCGTGCGACTGTCCTAGCGAAGAGCGTATTTGAAGTGAGGGTGACGATGATGGTGACGGAGAGCGACGTGGCGTTTGACTCGAATGCGAAGGTTGAGACCAACACTCTACAGCTGTCTTTGCCCAGGAAGAACGTGAATAGAGCTCGGCTTGTGCTGCATCCGGCGAGCAACAGCGCTGCCCAAAGCCCTCTCACACGCCGCATTTCAGACGCGTCCCTCTCAGATGCGGGGTAAATTGAGAGTGAGGTCGGTTCAAGTCAAGGCCTAACACAGTCGAATATATCGATTTGAGCTGCCAAGATACGCTCCGGCCAAGCGCACGTCTTTGCAGCCATTTCGCACCAAGTTGCCGTTGCGGCCTCCACAAAGGTGACTGAGGTCTGAATCATCCCCCTCTCCTCAGAAGATGCTGCTGCGCATTCTTTCGACTTCCATCTCTGCGATCAATGCTATCGGCGTATCTGACTCCCGACCATCATCGTCTACTGGCTGTCACTTTCAAAGCAGTCTAGCAGATAGACATTGATGTCTGTGGCCAACCGACTCGCCGTCATTCGCTCTCGATCAGCATCGACTCGTTCCTTTCCTCCCACAGCTGCAGCAGCGCGCACCGCAGCTCTCAGCAACCACTTGTCCTCGCACAGCCTTCACACGACAGCTTCGATCTCCAACATGAGCGTCAAGAAGTTTGACATCCTCAGCCTGCCGCTCGTCCCGGCTTCCGAGCGGCTCACAGTCAACCTCCTGCCGGACCCAGTGACACCAGCACCACGATCCATCGTTTCCGTCCCCGACTCGCAGCCCTCGCTGGTGCGAAGGTCTCGTCCCGTAGGTCAGGGCTCTCACTTCAGCTACCTGTCCACACTCCCACTGTCCTTTCCGTATGACTTTCCTCCCGAGGAAGAAGGTGAACAGTCGCTAGGCGACAAGCACCAGAAGGAGGCGGAGCAGGACGACGCAGACGATGCACATCTCACGGAGGGACAGAGGAAGCAAAAGGTCGAACGAGCCCACAAAAGGAGGATGCAGGAGGTGGAGCACATGTTGCAGCGATACGAGGTACAGCCAACGGAGGTGGGCGGCGCGAGCGGTTCCGAGGCATCTACCGGCCTCACAGGTTTCGTCCCGCCTCGTCGTCGACACCAGCATTTCGCTTCGGCTCGACTTCTCGGAGTGTCACCGGCAGCTCTTCGCGACTGTCTTCCTCATCTCGATGTCGGCGACATCTTGGAATGGATTCAGAGCAACAACAAGAAGGCTGGTCCCAGCTCATACAGCTCCGGTCCCATCGCCGACGCAGGCTCATCGGACGCCTCTTCACCACAGGCTGCTGCTCGCAAGACGCTGAGCGACTTTGTCTCTGGCCGTCTCATTGGAGCTCGTATCGGCGCCAAGCCCGACGAGCTCGAGAAGGACGATCGAGCCGGCTACGGCACCAAGTATATGCGGTACCGCGAGAAGGTGATCAAAGGCGAGCAGGCTGAAGAGCCTGCCGCCGAGCGCATCCTGCGACGTCTCAATGAGCTTGAAGAGAAGCGCGCCTCGCCGGACACCACCGACTACGCTCCCTGGTCTCTCTGCTATGCCGGCCACCAATTCGGTGTCTGGGCTGGCCAGCTCGGCGATGGTCGTGCATTCACTTTGATGGAGACCAAGAACCCCGGAACCAGCGAACGATGGGAGATCCAGCTCAAGGGCGCGGGTCGAACACCCTACTCGCGCTTCGCCGACGGTCTCGCCACCCTTACCAGCAGCGTCCGCGAGTACCTCTGCAGCGAAGCCATGGGGGCCCTTGGCATCCCCACCAGCCGCGCGCTCGCCGTCGTCGCCCTGCCCGAACTCCACGTCGTCCGTGAGCGTCTCAACATGGCCGCCATCACCACGCGTCTCTGTCCCTCATGGCTGCGCATCGGCTCGTTTCAGATCCACAGCTCGCGCGGCGAGTGGGAGTCGGTCCGCATCCTCGGCGAGTACGTCTCCCACGACCTGTTCGGCTTTACCGACGTCATCAAAGGCGGCGCTGTCGGCGACGAGGCCACACGACCAGCATGGGTGAGGCGGATGGTGGAAGAGGTGGCAATGCGCAACGCACGCACCATCGGGCTGTGGCAAGTCTACGGCTTCATGCACGGCGTGATGAACACGGACAACATCGCGCTCACCGGCCACACGATCGATTACGGACCGTACGCGTTTATGGATCTGTACGACGAGGGGCAGATTTGCAACCATTCGGACGGCGAGGGTCGGTATGCGTATCGGTTGCAGCCGACGATGGGCGTGTTTGCGATCCGGGAGCTGCTGAATGCCGTCGAGCCGCTGGTCGGGTTTGAGATCGAGAACGGCCGTGCTCCGGCGCCGGGCGAACTGCTGGCAGCGAGCGACGAACAGATGGACGAGTGGCGCGAGCTGTGCTCCGACGAATTTGCCGAGAAGCTCGAGCACACTTTCACCAACACGCTGCTCGAGCAGTGGAAGGAGGCGTACCGGGCTCGACTTGGGCTGAAGACGGTCGAGGCGGATGATAAGAGCGCCATCATCGATCCGCTCTCCGCTGCACTGTCGGATCTGGACTTTTCGACGACGCTGCGTCGACTCTGCCAGTTCCCTGCGCTGCTCAAAGCGCGCGGTGCAACGGTCGACGACGAGACCAAGCTCAAGGACATCGTCAACGACTTCCTCGCCGGCAGCGACACCCTCGAGCCGTGGTACGACGTCTCGGTCCTTCCCGAGTACATTCGCTCGCAGAAAGAAACCCAAACGCGCAGCTGGCTGCTCACCTACGCCCGTCGTCTCCTCCAAGAAGGCCGCGACGGAGACGCCGTCACTGCCGAGATGAAGGCCAAGAATCCGCGCTTCGTGCTGCGCAACTGGGTGACCAACGAAGTCGCCTCGCGGGTGGAGAAGGACAACGACACAGATGTGCTCGCCAAAGTGCTCGAGATGGCCACGTCGCCGTTCGAAGACTGGGGTATCCCTCGCGAGGGGAAGACGGCGGACGAGGTGGAGGAGGAGAAGAGGCTGTGTTCGCTCGGCAGGCCGCTCACGGGCAACCTGCCTTCGTGTTCTTCCTGATCGGCCGTTTGTGGAATTCATGTCATTGGTCCTTGTTGCAGGAGACGTTTGCACTGTTGAATCGTGTCGAGTATGATTGTGTCGAGCCAGTGTGCGTCGTCCCTCTGTTCGAAGTCCTGCACCAGCGGTAGGAGCCGCTCTTTCACCCACGCGCCGTCTGGCCTCAAGGCCTGAGCTGTCGCAGGGTGCTTCAAGTTGTGCAAGACCATCTCCCAAAAGCCTTTCCACGCCCATCCGGCATCTTTGACCGCCACATCCTGTACCAACCCATAGAACTCCTTCTTCCACTCCTCTTTTCCCTTCCTGGAGCTTTGCTGTAGCATGTCTCTCACGTCGCACAGTGCCTCCTCTGCATGATCTAGCTCCACCACAATGGCCCTGTACATCGAGGGGAGATTGACGCTGTTGCACCAGTTGCGATTGATGCTGGCGCAGTCTGTATCGTTGTGTACCTGGTGGTACCAATTGGACGGTACGAAGATTGTCTCCCCTTGAGCTTGGGTGATGGTCTGCATACTTCCCAACGCGAGCTCTAGCTGTGGAAACTCTTTTCGGTTCTTGTCCTTGACGAGGGTGTGGAGCGCTTCGAGGGAGGGTATGAGCTCGGACGTCTCGACGCGCGTGAACCTTCGCAAGCACGCTATCGCTCGCGGTGGGAACAAATACCACGTCTTGCAACCAACCACATTGGTGCTCCACGAATAGGACGTGTACACATCTCGATGAAGTAGGGTGGACGACCCACGCGTTCCGGCGTACACGAATCGAAAGTCGTCCTTTTCCCCATAGATGTTGTTCATCCAATCGTCGGCGAAGATGTCCGGCACGGTATATGGCTCGACTTCGGAGTGAAGCTGCTTGATCAGGTGCCAGTCTTTGATGTAGATCGACTTGACGGCGTTGTCCTGTTTGAGGGAGAGGATGAGGTCGATGGCGTGGGCGATGGTCATGTCGCTCCTGTCCTCAGAGACCTCTCCGTTGGCGTTGACGCGTGTTATGACCACCGGCGAGACGTGCGTTCCGTAGTGCTGCTTCAGCGCTTGCCAGTCCACTCCGGGTTCTGATACTGAGCTTGAAGGTGCCGCCTCCCACGTCTTTGATCGTATCACGGGCCAGTGCGCAACCAGCCCAGCCGGCAACACGCACGGTCGATTCGGCAACAGACACCGCCGATGGAACTCGTCGTACGTAGGCATCGTGGTGAATCGGATCACCGTCTCGTCGTCCTTAACGTCTGAGCGTGCATCGTGACCTAAGACAGCCTCCGCCATTGCACAGCCGTTGCGGCTCCGCTCGCTTAAGACAAAAGGATAGAGAGGTGCGAAAGAAGGATGGTGGCCTCCACAGAGCGAAGCGTTCTTCTCAACTTTTGCAAAGCGGTGCGGAACTCGGCGTGTTGGACCCTGAACCTTGGCGAGAACAACACTTTTTATTCATGGTCGATCCGGCTAGTGAATGGTCTATCACATCCATTGGTCGGCGACTTTAGTCGCTGAACCGTCAAGGGACCGCTGAGGCGTTGTAATATTACACCGTGGCCATCTGATTAGAGCAAAGTTGACTGATACACCGTCGAAAAAGTCGTGGATCTAGTCGAGCAGCTGCTTCGAGTAGATCTCGCAAGCCATGCGTTTGCGCAGGTACGGCATGTTTTGCTGTTCAAAGTTCCACTCGTACTCGTCATCGTCATCGTCCTCCTCCGCTCTCTCTCCGATCATCATCTTGCCCGCTCCCTCGTCGAGCCCCTCGTCCTTCCAGATGATCCTAGGTGGGTCGAGCGGAATGGGCGTGTGCCAGCCACGCCGACTGATCTGCTCCAGCGTCATACTGGCAAACACCCCACAATCGTACCCGTTCTCCTGTCTCGGACTCTGATCGCTAAACACGTCGACCCAGCCACGCAAGTCGATCTCGCGCTTCTTCTTGTCCCGCGCCTCCTCCGTCACGTAGGTGCGCATGAGGGTGAAAGCGGAACTGTTCCGCGCCCCTAGCGAGTCGTAGTACTCGAATCGACGTCGACGGAAGTTGATCGCGCCACACACCCAGTGCGAGTTGCCCAGGTTGATTGGGAACAGGATGAGGTCCTTTGAGAAGATGTCGATGCGTCGCGTCCAGCGTTTGACGCCGTCGAAGCCTCGGGTCTTGAGATTGGACCAGAAGAAGGAGGAGAAAAAGTGGACGCGCCAGAATGCGTCGAGGGACGAGTCGTAGGGGCGTTTGGGGATGGATTTGGCGTTCTTGCGCGCAACAGCACCGTTGGTCACCGCGGTCGTCGTGATGGGAGCGGGAGCGTCTTTGGCGGTTTTCATGGCTTCCGTGCGCTTCTTGTCGGCTTCATTGGCACGTATGAGGATGAGTGTGCCGTAAAAGTTGATCACCTCGTCGTTGAGCCACTGCCCTGGACCCAATTTTGCGATGTCTCGGTCTTCCACCCCCGCGCCAGGAATCGCAGAGACGGTACCACGCGTAGTGAACGCCGCCCTTGCCGCCTCTTCCTCCTTCTCCCCTAACCTCTCGGGCAGCGCCTTTCGACCCAACACACCCCTCGCCCTTCGCATCTTGGCCCGCTGCTCCTTCTCCAACCGCTTCTTCTCCTCCAGCTTGACCGGCGGAAGCGGCAACACAGCCGTCTGCGCATCAAACTCCTTTTGCCGCAAGAACTTCTGTACCAGATCGTTGATGGACTCGACTCGCGAGGCATCCCGGGACAATGCGGCATCGTCCTGCGCAATGAGCCTCTGCACCTGTGCCGTCTTGATCGCGAGCTGCTCCAAGTGCTTTCGATGGAGCCGCGGCTTGCGTTCGGCCGAACGCAGACGGTTGATGTTCTGCAGCGCATTGCTGATCTTTTGCTTGAACGAGGCCTGGTTGAAAAGCTCCGTGTTGCGCTTATGCTCCTTTTCGTAGATGAATCCGCGCTTTTTGTAGGTCGAGCTTTTGGTCTTGTGCGAAACCCCAGAGACGGAGGCCATCGAAACGTCGCTGCTGAATGAGTACGAGCGGTCTCTGCTGGTCGATCGCAGGTGCTCCAATGGGGTGGAAAGGCGCGGATTGATGCGTCGCTTAGGCTGCACGAAATGCGTCTGACGACCGACATTGCGGACCTCTTCTATCGCCGAGATGTCTGCTGGCTCGTCAGAGTTGAATGTCGCAAAAGAAGCGTCAAGAGAGTCGTTCTGGGCCTCTTGTCGCAGCTGGCGTTGAGCGGTCTTGGTCATGGGACCGATGAGAGAATGCCTTGGATGGCGAACGCGTGTCGGCTCTATTGAAGCGGGATTTGAGAAAATGGGTGCGAAGGTGGCCTGTGAGTCCAGACGCGGTGTTGCGAGGGACACATCGTTCTCTTTGTCCGGGTCTTCATTCTGCGATCCTTCGTCCTCAGAGTCGGAAACGAGGTCCACGACGTCGGGTGCATTGGCCGCGGATGGAGTGTGGTTTGGGGTCTGATTCGGTTCGTCGGAGACATTGCCTTGCTCAGAGGGTGGTGAACGCAGGGCATGCGGTCCCTCATCGCGAGGTGATGTTGACCATTCGACTGGACCTTCGATACCATCTCCGACCTTTGCATCGGCGACAGCCTGAATGTGGTCGACATCGGCATCTGTTGGTTCGGGACCATCAACAAGGTTGTCATCCACATTCGGGGTCGATTCGGTTTCGACATCTGCGGGATCGACTTTGTGTCGAAGGGAGGACTGCTGGCTTGTATCCCGCTGAGTGCCGTCGGGTAAATGGTCTGTGCCGTTTGCGGAAAGCGGACTGGAAGGGGGTGACGTGTGCTGGATCTGTGATTCCGCATCATCCACGGACGAGCTGCGAGTATCGACAATTGCAACCTGGCCTCCCGTTGGGGATGAATTCGACGATGAATTCGACGAGAACTTGCGACCGAGCGGATCACGTATCGCGCCTTCTTGGGACGACAGCAGGAGCCGGGTATCTAAGCTGGAAGACTCTGCTGCCGAGTCTGATATGAGGTCTACGAAGCCGCTTGCGGGTGGAGTGTAGGATGTGGAGTCCACCATTGTCGCGCCATTTGTCAGGAGTAGTTGGCCGTTACCCGCAGGCTGAGAGTCGAGCTTGAGACGCTTTGGCGATTGAGAGAATGTATTGGCGAAAAAGGCGCCGACGCCGCTGACACGTTTTGTGATCCAGTGGACTGATGTGCGGCTTGATGAAGCTGCGGAGGATCTGGAAGAGTCATACAGCACCATGCTATTGGCGGAAGAGGATGATGATGATGCTTCGAGCGCTTGACGCCCTCTTTTGGAAGGCATGCCGCCTTGCGCGGGTGATGGTGATGCCGTGGTGCGAGGTGAGACGATGCTTCCGCAGCTCCGGCGGTCACCGCGAGCTGTATGTGACTAGAGTGCAGACAGCTTGATGTTGGTCCAAAGTACGATGGTGGTGGTGGTTGTATGGATTATGCGGAGCTGAGTTGCGGAACAACCAAGGAGAGCACACAGCTCGCAGTTGGCATGTGATGAATGCGAGAGAGGATGAGGGACAGATGTCGAAAGCAAGCGCGCTCACAAAATGCGGAACTCGGTTCTGCTTGACTTGGCCTGTCACCATCTGCAGCGCAAATCATCATCAAAACGCGACTTTCCGCCCACAAAGCTCAATTATGATAATAAAAATGGTCGCCAAAAAGATGGCACAAAAATGCCGCCGTGTGGAGGCAAACTCAGCTTTCTTCCAACCAACACCTCGTCTATCACCATATCACATTCCTTCAGCGGCTGCATCGCCAAGCACCGGCCGTGTCGTGACGATGGAGGGCCACGATCAGCCACCAGATGGTGCGCTACCCTTCTCCGACGTCACAGGTCTGCTGGCAGCCGCTGCAGGCGCAGAGAAGCAACAAGCACTCGTAGCCCGCATCTACGTTCCTCCTTCAGTCGACCCTGCCACATCATCTTCGGTCGATCAGTTTGCGCAACTCACCAGCCTGGCGAAGCAATTGCAAGAGTATGTACGGGAACGCTCGATGCTTGGAGATGAACTCGACAGTCAAAACTACATTTGGCATCGAGAGCCGCCTTCCATCTCGGTTGCATCTCCGCCTTCATCGAGGCTCGCATCCTCGTCCAAGCTGGCCTCTCAACTACCGTCTCACATCCTCTTTCACCTACGCACAGGAGGAGAATGTATCGAGGACGAATGGCTCGCGACTCATGTCCTGGTGGGGGCGTCTGCAAAGCACCAGTTATGCATCAGCATCGAAGACGAGGACGGCCAATTTCTGCTCATCGAAGCGGCAGAATACCTTCCAGAATGGGTAACTCCCGAAGCGGTCACAAATCGTGTCTGGATCTTTGACGGGCATCTCCATCTCATTCCGCCGCATCACAAATCTAGTAATGACGGCGCGCTGGCTGCATCGCGAGCGGTCGAGCTCGTCACCGACGAGTCCATCGTCACCCGTACATCCGACGACATCGAGGCAGCAGCCTTCGCAAGAGCCTACGAGTTCCCCTCTGCGGCGACATCACATCATCATCGAACACTTGCATATTTGCCGCGTCGCATAGCGAGATTGCTGGCAGCTGAGCCGCAGCTCATAGCCAACTGCGTCTCGTCCATTCAGTCGCGCGACATCGTCAGCTCTCGCTCTGGGTCGAGACTCGTCCACTTTCCACCTCCACAAGCACCGCAAGCTGCGACCGCTTCGACAACGCCCAACGCTCCGACGAACGAAAGCGACAGCGACATTGTGCTCACATCAGTTCGAATGACCCGCCATCTTTACGCACAGCTGCTCTACGATCGCTTCTTCCCGCCGCGTCAGCTCGGGCCGCGCTGGCAGGCTGCAGTGGAAAAGTATCGCTTGCGATTACACGGTCACCAGTCGGAGGCAGCTTCGCAATCAAAGGTCGAGGACGAGGAAGAGGTGCAAGCGGAAATGCAACAAGGGAGGTGGCACGATCTGGGCGCCAAAATCTGGAGCGGCATGGAGATGGCTTACACCGAATCGTTGGCTCGGAGAACGAGGACTCGGTCACGGCCTTTGGCACCGTCTGACGCCGGGATCACCGCACCGGAGCGGCAAAGGCTCATCAGCTCCCTCAGCAAGCTCGGCTACTTCCAAGGCGAGATGGAAGGCAGTGCAACGTGGAAGACGCTGGAAGCGGAGGCCGTCGCACAATACCTGAAGGGCTCATCGACATCCGTCAACGGCGAAGCAACAACAGACGAGATTCTCGTTTGCGACACAGTCGACCACATACTGCAGCAGCCCTCGTCGACCTCTGCCTCCACAATCCTTTCCCCAGACGCCTCACCACCAACCCTCGCCGCGGCCGAAGACTCCGATTCATGGCTCAACCTCACACCCAACGACATCGACTCGATCCTTCAAACCAAAACCTCCTCCTCCACCCAAGAGGGCGCCATCTCTGAGCAGGACACCTTCGCCCGTCTTTGCACATTCAACAGCAAGATGGAGTCCTTTGTCAAGACGCGTTCGGATGCCCGGGGTGCGCTATTCGAAGACGAGGTGGACGAGGAAGACATGGCTGTGGACGACGACGATCTTCTGTTCGAGGATCTGGATGAGGACGAGGCGGAGGAGCGTGTTCGGCGCGAGGTGGAGGAGCGGATGTGGGTGGATGGCGAGGGCGAGAAGAGGAGGTTGGTGGAGCGGTTGATACCGAAGATGTCGGAGGACGAGTGGACGCGCCGTCCCAACCCTACTGAGACAAAAGCTGGCAACGAGGCGAAAGAGGACTTTGTCTCCTCCATCGACAACATCTCCCCTAACCGCCCTGCCGGCGCTGCTGCAGGCTCGGACGTGAAAGACGTCGCCCAACGCGATAACAACCTCTCTGCAGCGCACGCCGAGCTCCGCCGCCGTCTCGCATCGCAGTACATGCGCGACACCTCGACCCTCCTCTCCTCACAGGGGCACGAGGTGTTCGACGGCGCCTCGGACTCCGACTCCTCCGAGCTGGAACAAGAAACCTCGCCCGAAGTGCGACGTCAGCGTGCGGAGGAGTACGATCTCGAGCCCGACGTTCCAGCAGACGATGTCGAGGGGTGGGAAGACGTTAAGATGGATGAGCAGACCGAGCTGGACAACCTGTTGGACTTCGCGCGGGTCAGTCTGGGTTTGACCAAGGAGCAGTACGAGAGGATATTGGAGCAGCGGCGCGAGAAAGGTCAGTTCGTGCCAATTGCCAAAGCGAAGGGTCCAGCCGCATCTTCGAAGTCCGCTCCTAAGGGCAAGGAGACGGAACCGCCGAAGCTGGACACATTCGAAAGCGTCATGTCGGCGATGGAGGAGCAGCTGCACACGCTGCAATCCTCCGCCCCACCGCCTTCCACCTCCACGGCGTCCGCTTCCGCCCCCTCACCCGATCCAAAGCCGCCGACGCTGGCGGAGAAAGAGGACGAAGAACTGCTCGCACACCTCCTTCGCTACGGCTCCGACCTGCCCTCGTCCCTGCTGCGTCAGCTGGGCGACTCCGGCAAATCGGAGCAGATGGAGGCCTTCCTGCGGTCCTTTCAGGCGCAATCGGGTACCAGCGGGCCCGGGCCGGTGGACGTGCTCATGCGTCGTTTTGGGTTGGGTGGTTTGCCTGCTGATCAGGATACCTCGCAGTAAAAACACGTATCATCGCATCTTCGAGCGTTCGAGTGTACACTAGCGCATCACACATCACACTCAAGATTCTGGCCAGCAACAGTGTCGAGTAAGATTGTGGCTTAGAAAGGTGAACCTTTGAGCGTGGTCTGCCGATTCGGACCGGGAGTCATCATATCCTCTCCCTCCTCGTCTTCATCAAACACCCTTCTGCTGGGCAGGCTGAGCTTCAACCCCACCACGTCGCTATCCGAGGGCCTGATGAAAGCGAGAGATTCTTTCTTGGGCGATTGCAAGATGCTTTCCTCCCTCGGGGGTATCACTGGACCTGTCGGTCGTGGTGGGGAGGAAGGGGGGAGGGGGAGGTGTTCATCCGACAGATGGTCGGCGAGGAGGATGTTCCGCGATCGATCGCGTGGTAGGAGGGCGGCGGCGGCTTTGAGTAGCGCATCGATGCGTTCGAGCAGGTTGTCGGGTAGCAGGGGGACGGGAGACCAGTAGCCACCCGCGAGGAGGCCTTTGCCGGTGGGGAAGAGTGTGCTCGTTCGGCTCGTGGTGCTCGCGTCCGTGTGGGAGGAGGTGTCGGACGTCAGATCTGTGTCTTCTTCTCGCCGAGGCGCTTGCTCGAGAGTCGTGTCGCCATCGATGGACGTGGCGTGTCGAAGCGAAGAAGAGGACGCGATGGAGGAGCGACGCGAGCTGGCTGCAGAGCCACCGTTGCTGGAAGACGAATCGCCGTTGACACTTCGCACGGAGGGCATACCTGTGCCCGTAAAGTGGCCCCGCCCAAAGCCGAACGCATCGCCAGGCGTGACGATCAACGCATTGCGTCGAGAAGGCAGCGCAAAGGGAAGCATCTCTCGGCTGTTCAACAGCCCATCGCCCTTGGATGGTGTCGACGGTGCGCTTCCTGGTACGCCACCAGTCTCGTCATATAAGCCCAGCGGTGGACCCGCCGCAGTCCATGGTGGCACATAATCCGACATGCTCTTGCCAGGCATGAACAGTTCATCGATCATGGCTTGCGCCGAGCATGCGGTTGCTTCTGCCACCGTGAGCGGTTCCTCGGTGTGGGCGAGTCTCGCTGTGCCATTGCTGTTCATGCTGGCATCCCCCATCTGACCATCCAGTCCGTCTGCCGGTGCCATGACTTCATCGTCGTCATCGTCGTCATCGTCGTCTCCATCCTCCTCCTCTTTTTGCAAGCCGAGGAGCCGGGACTCGGATCTGTAATCCTCCTGCCTCGCCGTCCCAGACTTCTGATGTTGCGAAGTTTGCTTCTTCATCCTCTTCTTCCGTTCTTGCACCAACCTCGCCTCCTCTTTCACCTGCCGCAGCTGTTCGTCCTGCCTCCTCTTCCAATCGATGATGAGCTGATCGAGGTACTGCAGGCACTCTTCGCTCATTCTCGTCTCACCGACCCCGTAGCGATAGTCCCTCACAACCCTGCGCATCTGCACCGGTGTCAGCGCCTTGAGACCTTGCATGGTCGCGATCAATCCGTCGAACTCCTGCAGCGAGCTCTGGCATTGCAGCCACGAGATGAGCTGCGACAAGGGCGAGATATGCGCATGTACGATGCTGAGTGGCAACGCATTGGAACGCGCCCAGTCCTCGAGAGCGCTGACGTTCATTCGGATCTGGATGGCTCGTGAGCGACACAGATAGCGTTTGCGTGTTATGACCCGATTGAAGAGCTCGCAGCCCGTCCAGAAGAAGATCTGCGAGAGCGCCTGGACGATGATGGCCGGGTTGATCTCGTAGAACTGGAGAACCTGCAAAGTCGAAGTGAGCAAAGAGCTGATGGTGCGTGGTGAAGGTGCGGCGAGGAGATCGTTGGCGGAGACGTTAGACGACGCTTCGCGTACGGGGCGGAGTGACTCGCTGAGACCTTTGCGGGGAGAGCTGTCACCGCCTGGAGTGCGAAAGCCTGAATGGCCAATAGTCGCGGGGCCGAAGAGATTCGATGGCCGACCACTACCGCCAAGAGAGGGAGAGGACGGCAGGGTCGCTTCCTCGGAACTGTTGCCGCTTTGATTGCGACTGATTGGCGGGGTATCAGCCGCGCGACCTGTCCCGAAGATCTGGCTGATAGGTCTGCGAGAGCTCGGGCTTGCTGTCATGCCTTGCGAGATGGAGCCGCTCTGGCCTATCCCCTTGACACTGCCCGCAAGTGTCTTCATGAACTTCCACTCTCCCTCGAAGCGGGGCTCCTCAAGCCCTGGAATGGCTTCGTGGTCCAGCATGGCCGCGTCAAGGACCTTGTCGATCCGTCGCTCCGCATCTCGAATGATGAAGACTATGATCTCGTTGAGTAGGTCTGCGAGCAGACCGCGATACTCCTTGACCGAGCTCGACTTGCGAAGCGTGCGATCTTTGTCCATATAGTAATGGAGAAGGCAACAATTGGAGAGCCAGAAGGCGAGAAACGCCATATCGGTAGGATGCGAGTAGATCACGCCTTCGATCCGGTCGATGACGCCGAGGAAGAGCTCTTCTAGCAGATCCTCGTCGTGGAGGAAACATGCGTATCGTGCGCAAAGGAAGACCACATTAGCGGGAGCTGCGCGAGACGTCCAAGGTGCCCTGACCGGCTTCATGTTGGAGATGAGCATGCCGAGCAAAGGTTCCAGATCGTTGGAACCAAAGACGAGCATCTGGTCGTGGCGAACCCTCTTCCAGTCAAACTCGACCGAGAGAAGGTCAGCACCGACTTCAGCCGCACCACATCCTGACGCCAGATCTGCATGCACTGTCTTGGCGGCGCCTCTTCGCCTGCGACGAGCAAATGTCGAAGGTCCAGCATGTCCGTCCGCGGTGGAGCCTGATGCACTGTCCGCTGTGCTGGGCTCGCCAATCAGTGTATCGAGATCGAGTTCGAGGAGCGTAGCAATGTCTGCCAATGCGCTCTTGCGAGCATCGCTGAGCTCTTGTTGTCTGTTCTTCTGCTCTGCAAGGTGTGCCCTCTCATAGCGCCCGACGAGCCTTCGCTGTGTGAGTTGCGAGCTGGTCCTCGAATGACCAGGCTTGAGCGGGCTAGATGAGGATGGAGTCGAGGGTCGCTGAGAGCGCGTCGGGCTGGGGTTGCTGCTTTTCCTTCCGCTGTCTGAGGTGGTCGGCTTAGTACGATCGGGCGAATTGTCGAGAAAGAGGTTGTTCAGGCGCTGTGCAGCGGACTGCTGTACCGAAAGATAGCGCTGATGCTCGTAGATGAGGTCGGCTATTGCTTCTTGCTCGCTAGAGGCAGGCCTGGAAGCGTCTTGTAGTCCGTCCTGCCCGCCCAAAGATGGTGCAGAGGTAGCTGCCTCTGGAGCAGCCGACAGGATGAAGTCCTCGCAGGTGGTACCCTTGGTGCTTTTGGCGTCGACATCAGCGCCGCGACTGAGCAAGAAGCTGGCGAGGGGAAGATGGGAGCTGTTTATGGCCCACATCAAAGGGGTCCATCCGCTGGCATCCCTTTCATCCACCTCTGCACCATTGATGATGAGGACGGTGACGGCGTCGATGTGGCCTGCACACGTCGCGAGCACGACGGGACCGGAGCCTTCTTCATCGCGCAGCTCCTGAAACGAGACGTCAGGTGTGCCGCGCGAATTTGTGCGATTCGAGCCGGCGGCAATGATAGGCCTGGCTTCTGCTTTTCGGTCAAGTAGCCAAGATAGCATGTCGATGTCTCCGTTGCTTGCAGCACGTAGGAGAGCACTGCTGAGCTTGGCCTTCTTGACTTTGAGATCAAGAGACGTGGACTGCACGATATGCTGCAGAATATCGAGAGACGGGCACATTTCCAAGATGGGGTCTTGGACGATGCTGAGGTCCATGTCGGCGGTGACGGCGTGCTTGCTGAATTCGCCATGATTCGCGTCCTGATGCTGATCGGTATGCTCTTCGACGACATGTGACGTCTGAGCCTGAGAGCTGATCTGCGCGCTCGCTGAAGGCACAGCTGAGGCCGCCATTGCTGCGGCTGATTCGTCCACCTCTGACATGCTAGAAGAGATGCTTCGACCGGACTGTGGGTCCGATCTCTGCAGGGATCTCGTGCCCGAAGCAGTGCCGATGTTTGGCGTTACTGAGTCATGTCAGGGCTGGTTATCTTTCGGATCAGAACTGCTGTCCGCGTCGATTTGGAGGTGGAATGTTGGTGTGCTCGTGGTGCTGGAGCAGGATGCAAAAAAATGCGAGCGTTTCAAAAGAGTGTGAGCGTAGTACGATCTAGCCAGAGTGGCCAGTGTGATGATGGTGATGAAATGCGATGACGAGCGATGGCTTGACTAGTGAACCATAGACGAGACACGGGATGATATGTATTAGAGTTGGCGAGTGTTGTTCTAAACCCTTGCAGCAGCAGCTGTTGCTGTCGGCTGACGCACGGCCAGTTGGCAGAGACCGGGTTGGCTAATCACCGATTTGGCATAATTGCACTTTGCCGATCTGGTGAGCTGCGAAAGTTTTGGGGGTGATGTCGACGAAAGAATTTCAATCTGATCTCGAGGCAATGAGCTCCTTCTTCTCTTCCATATACCAAGAGTCTGAAGGTGACGGATGAAGACTCGACGCTCCTTCCAGTCCCTTCACGCCTTGCCTTCTTCTGGAAGCAAGGACGGAAGCGGAAGGCTCTCAGAACGATTCGTTTCACGAAGCGAAGGCTGACTATTTGAGTGTGCCCCTTCTCTGCGCTTTCTCAAGCCAGCCATAGAAGAGGGCACAATTGTGTTCAGCGACATTCTTTCATTCTTTGTATAGTCCATAGGTGCGCTTAAGGTTCATAATGACATCGCGATCAATGCATGTACCATGTTATGACGATCTTGTTTCACGAGGCATTCATCTTGGAGTGGTTCTAAGCCTGTGTTGGAGCCGCGCTGCTACGGTTCGAGGAGATCTGCTTGCTATGATGAAAGCTGGGCTTCGGATACTGGAGCGACACACAACGGCAAGACAAGATGATCGACATTTGATGAGCATGAGCTTTGACCTCGTGAGACCGCCGTCTGCCAAGCAAGCACTAAAGAGAATCAAAGGGCCGAACGCTGGTACGCTTTCGAACAGCGACTCGGGCTTGAAAGTGGTCGTGTGCCAAGCCAATCTCTGAGGGGGCAACTGCGTCTCTACAGTAGGTCCAGCCAAGAAATGAGGGGCCACCAGAGCAAGTCAAATTTGAAAAAGCAATTTGCTGCGCGTTGTCGGGGGCGTGGTGAGGCGAGCGAGGGTGTTGGTCTCAGCTGCTGCACGCTGCACAAAGCTCGGTCAGGGACGCGAGCAGCTTCTGTCCGCTGCCAGCCGAGCCAGCATCATTCACTTTCGGGGTGCCTTCATTCAAATCTGCGTCTTGATCACCATCACCATCACCAACTCCAATCACTTCATCGTCGGACCCCACAGCATCGTCCTGCTCATCGTTTCTCCTCTCTGCACCCGTCTCTCACTTGTCATTTCCCGCATCAGCTTCACCTTCGCACACTGTCAAGTCTTTCCCACACCCGAGACCCACATCTTTCGACCCCACACCATTTCATCTCGCGCATCGATTCCAGCCGGCAGCATTTGGCTCTTTTCATTGCCACCGTTCGACACTGCCTCCGCCCCTGCCGAGTCTCTCACATTCATTTGCGACCAACTCGACATCCGACAAACCCACCTTTCCCTCGATTCGTCACTTTTGGCCGGTCCCAATCTGTGACGCTACATGAGGCGCGCGGATTCGCTTCCATCATCTCTACTTCCTTCTCTCTAGCAGGTCGTTCCGCCTCACAGCTCCCCTCACAATCTCTTGCCGGCCATGAGTCTACCATCACAAACCACAAGCCTCAGTCGAAAACGATCCTACGCATATCCACCAGCACGCGGCATCAGGAGAGCTTGGGCATGGATTCCAGACTCGTGGGCTGCTCGCTCCTTCCTGCTCATCACACTTGCAGAGGCCTCCATCAACATCGCCATCGAAAGCGTCCTCTTTGCTCGATACCAATTCCACCGCAAGACACATCCATCCCCCGATGACGACTCCAAGTCGAGAGCGCTCCCCGTCTTTGTCATCGTCTTCTCCCTCGCACACGTCTATCAATTCTTCCTCGCCGTGGATGCGGTGATCAACAGGAATACCATTCTCGTCATCGGCGCCATCATCTTCAACGCCTGCTTCCTCGTCTACTCGCTCATCCAAATTTCGGAAATTCGGACAGTGCTCGGCGATGGTGTAGCCGAAGGCTCGTCCCAAACGGTGCCGGTGCAAGTGCTAACGGGCGCCATCCCCATCGTCATTGCGCTCGCCGAGATTTCGTTCATTCTTCTCGGCTGGAAGCTGTGGAAGGAGTTCGGCTGGCAGATCTACAAAAAGATCGGCGCGGATCGAAGTCTCAAGCGCGTCTATCTGCACTATCAGATCTACGTCGCCTTGCTCAAGTTTGACTTTTTCATCTTCATCGCTTACTGTATCCAGCTGGTTCTGGCAGTCAAGCAGATTGGCTCAGCGGAGCGATGGATCACCATCATCTCGGGACCCTTTTCGCTGCTCATCCTCGTCTTTGCATGGCTCTCGGTTCGAAAGGAATTCAAGGTGGGCATGCTGCTCTTCCTGGTCGGATTGACAGGAGCCATGGTCTACTTTGTCTACAAGGTCTTCCGCATCTGGCAGCTCAAGGAGACGTTGTACAAGGAGGTGTACAAGAGTTTGACCGTTTTCTCGACGCTGTCGATGCTGCTGCTGCTCATTACGGCGGTCATGACGATTCAATGCATCCTCAACTTTGGACGAGGACTCAAGAACGCCATTTCACGCTCGCCAAAGGATCGCGCTGCCGCGGCAGCAGGGGCCGACAACGGCTACCTGTACGGATACGACGGCAAAGCGTTGAATGCGTATGGCGACGGCAGCACAAGCGTTCTTCATCTTCAGCCAAGATTAAGCTTGGACTGAAGCCGGCCAATGGAGCTTGCAGGTCAAGCGAAGGGGTTCCGCCACCATGTCATGGGTCCATCATCTCTACTGTATTTTTGTATCGCACACTTGCTTTTCCATCGACACTCTTTGAACAATCCTACTGTCATTGGTCGCTCGTTCCGCTCGCTTGCTCAAAGGGATGCGATGCTTTTCAGCTTGTGCGATTGCGATGGGGATGTGGCGGACTTGGAGGGGCATTGCAGCGTGCTCGTTCTCGCTTGTCAAGCAAGCCACGCCGAGCGAGATAACCCGGATAGGCAGCCACGCCCTCTGGCAACACTGACCCTGTCACGCTTGCCTCGCTACGGCAAAGAGGCGGTGGACGAGATCTGCTGCGCGTGACGGCGCGTGTTTCCACCAGAACTTAGAAACTAAATTAAAAATAAATCTGAATTTCGCCAGCAGCACAGCACACCACACCACACCACAGAAAAGTCGAACCTGGTGAGGCTTTTTGAGCTCGTGCCCAAGAGGGGTCCAACTGAGCCCAAATTGATTGCAACACACACAAGCCTCGACCACCGAGTTCTCTCGCTTCTATCCTCCTCAACTCGACCATCGCCTCGACGTGACCATCTCCAACCGGCGCATCTTCACCATCACTGCTGCGACGAGCTTGCCTCATTCCGACCGTCTTCGTTCGCATCAGGATTCGGCACAGCAAAGTCCGGTGACTCTTTCGCCCAGCTACGCCGCGCGGTCTTGGCTTCCGCCTCATCTTGGACTGTAGACCATGGCAGGCAGGTCAGGCTTCTGTCCATCGCAAGCAATCTCTTCAGCACCAACAGCAGTCATGCCTCTCTAACCGCGCTGCTGCGAGGCAATTTGGCTTCCGACTGTTGTGCGCCCCCGGATGAGCAGCCTGCCGTGAGGCTCAGCTAGCAGCTAGTCAAACCAGTCCACCTCGTCAGCCCGACTTTCGGCGGATCATGGCGCAAGCGACATCCCTATCGGTGCCGCGCGGCGGACACGGTGCCTCCTTTCTCTCCTTCGATGATGCGCCCAACTCTCCCAACACAGCCAACCTCGACGACACGTACGCAACACAACCGCTCTCTGCCAGCTCGAGTATCACCGCAGGTCCCACCGAGCCTGGTCTTGTCGCCTCTCCCGCTTCTCCCAAGCGATCGTCTGCTTCGAATCACGGCTCCCCTTCGAAAGTCTCCCGCCTCATCCGGTCGCGGCTGCCAGCCTCTGACGACGCCGCTTTTGTGAATGCCGCCGAAGCACCTAGCGACTCTGATATGCAGCGCTCTCCTCCCAAACGATCAACGGCTCTACCAACTGCGTCGCGTGGCAGTCGTCTAGGCGCACTCTTGGGTCGAACCCTTCCGAGCACCGACGCATCCTATTCTCGAAACGGATCGTCACCCATCAGCCAGGGCGACAGTCAGTCGTCAAAAGAGACAGGCTTCTTTGGTCGGCGCAACCGCACAAAATCCGCCGCTGCGAATGACGACATTGACGAGAATGCCGCCACCAGCCTCGCTGCCTCTCAGATTGCTTCGCCATCCGACACATTGCAGGATAGGAATGATTCACCTGCGACGAGCCATCAGAGGAGCATCCTCAGCCGGCCTCCCAGGCGATCCTCTCAAACCGATCTTCTGGATTCCTTTGCGAATTCTGCCGGGCCTTCCACCAGCACTGCACCACAACAATCACGCGTTGGCCGACTCGGACGCCTTACCTACAAGAAAGACGATTCAATCTCTTTCATCGCACAGTCTCGCAACGCGCCACAGCAAACGGCAACCGCAACCGCTGCACAAACCAGCTCAGATGCCGCACGTCATCAGCACCAATGGAGTGCTTCGTCTCATTCGTCAGCTGGCGGCCCCATTCGAGGCCTTGGCATTGATGATGTAGGCGGCGCGTACGCGAGCGCTCGCTCGAGCACTTCGTCTTTTGCTGGCGGCCATCCACCTGATCGCTACGAGGACGCTGATCATGCCGGCGCACACGAGCAGCCTGTAGGCGTCGCATCCACCCGGATGACCCACCAGCCTAGCAATTCTACAAGCAATGGCTCGTCGCGAGCGACCTCGGTCACGGGCACATACGGTGCCAACTATCACAAACGCTTCAGCCGACCAGAAATGTCGCAGGAGGGACACGACACGTCTCACGATTCAGAGATGCGAGCTTCTCGTACTCCCACCGACGTGCGCACTGCCGGAGCCATGGAAGCCGGCACGTCGTACGACACAAGCAACCGCTCGCCTCGCGGAACATTGTCCGATGCAGCGATCGCAGAATTGGGTGCCATGCCAGGCGCATCAGCAGGCTCCCTGCTCAATTCCAATGGCGCCCCGCTCAGCAGCAAAAACATCCTCACCATCGCCTTACAGAAGGCCCAGAACGCTGTGCAGCTCGACAGCGCCAACCATGTGCCTGAGGCCATCGCAGCCTACAAGCAGGCGGTGCGACTGCTCGAGGAGGTGATGGAACGCATTGCTCCGCGCGGCAATAAACGCTCGCGTCCCACCAGGGAAGAAGAGCGACGACGTCTACGAGTCATCCACGACACGTACGCCGATCGCATCCGTCTCCTGTCGATGATCTACTCGCCAGACGTCGGAGCCATCGACGAGATGGAGGATGCCGGCTATGGGTACACTCAACAACAGGCAGCAACCAGGGCAGACTGGCTCGACCGAGTGCGCGACGACAGTCAACATTCGCCTATCATCACCACTCCAAGGCTCGATGACGACTTTATGGGGATGAATGCGCAGCGCTCGCCTCAGGTCGACACGAGAAGCTTTCTGTCGGTCACGCCTGCTTCCACCGCTTTATCAGACTCCTCATCCTACGCAGCTACTCAGCAGGCACCATCGTCGCAGTCGCAACTTCCTTTCCCAAGATCGCCGCCCGTGCCCAACGCACCTCTCTCGCCCGAGGCAGGCGCCATCAACACGTCTCCTCGCCGTCGCGTTCGCGAACATGCACGCGTCAACTCCAGAGAGTCTCACAGCAGTCGAGTATCCGTCTCGCTCTCCATTGCCGATGAGCAGGACGCACAGCAGTATCGCCTTCCACCTCCCGTCATTGCAGAAGAGACGCCGCTCATCTCGATCGACGATGCTTTGTCCGAGAAAGCGAAGAAAAGGCTCTCCTCACCGAGGAAAGAGCAACTTCGAGATGCAGTCTCGCAGGTGCGCGAATCGGAGGTGCTACTTCAACAGCACGGCCGATCCGACTCGGACATCTCGTTCAAGAGCACCAACACGGGGTCACGACTGAAGCCAGTCTCATCCTTGCCGCATCGAGCCTTTGGCCTCGACGACGAGGTTCGGACACCCAACACGCCTTACTTCGACGCTTCTGCAGGTGCTTCGATCAGCCCTGTCGATCCTCAAAAGCCGCAGCCAGAGTTGCCGCTGCCTCCGTTACCGGATGCGCCTTCCGAGGCTCCGTCTGTCGACCCGCCCGCGGAGAAGCCGGCTAAGATGGGCTTCGCACAGCGTGCTCGCGCTCTCAGCTTCAAGGGGCCCTTGCTGCGACAAAAGGTGTCGATGCCATCGCTCGGTGAGCGCAAAAAGGACGATGGAACAGCTGCGAATGGCGCGGCTGTGCCTGCTGTCCCCAGCCTTCGACCTGGGCTGAATCGCATGCCTTCCAGCGGGGCTCTTCCGGCCTCCCGCGATCACCCGACGCCTTGGGACGATCTTCCTGGACCTGACTCCAATGCGCGATCCAGCTCGAACCGCCCTCGTGCAGCCACTTCGGCGGCGGCGTTGGTCAGTGCATCGACTGCCGCTGGAACTATTAGCCAGCGTCGCAAGGGCGCACAGGTAGAGGATCCATCCGTCCGCGGCTTGTCGGATGAGTTGCAGGAGCTCGGATTGGCGCACGATGCTGGCTCCTACGAGGACGGTGGCGCCAAGTCGATCGCGACGACAAACAGGCAGAGATCTGCGTCGCAATCTGGGTCGCGAAGGCCGTCGATCCCAGCGGCGTTCGTAGCGGCGAACGGGATCGCCTCTGCAGCCAATGGAGAGAGCATTGGTGAGGAACTGCTACCGCCCGTCCCCGATCTGGCTCGAACGCTGTCCGCGCTCGAACGCAAGCGAGTCAGCGACGACCGCGCTCTTGCCACGGCCACCGGCGCCGAGGTGTCCCATTCGACCCTCGCCATGCCTCTTCCGCGACCCAGACTCCCCGAGTCGGAAGCTGTCGACGACATCAGCTCAACGCGCACTTTCCTCATCACAGACATCTTCCCCACCGGTCTTCCCTCGCTCGCAGCCGGAGCGCCATCCTACGCCTCGGCACCGCTCAGCTCCCCCTCTCCCCTCTCTCCCACCCTACCCACATCCGCACACCCGCTCCTGAAACCATTCCTGACACTCACACTGCTCCGCGCGTCCATTCTCTCCGGATCGCAGCTCACACCGACGCTCTACCTGCCGCGCGATATCTGGCGTCAACCAGGCGCCAAGCTTGTCGGGATCGAAACCAAACTTCGCGCGATCGAACTCCTCCTTTCGGGCCTGGACAGTCTTGAGCGCGCCGGCGAGCCGCTGCTGCTGCCTCTCGGCACAGGTGCGGGGTTGGAGACGAGCAGCGGCACGCGCTGGCTTCGCGCTCTGGACGAGTGGGAGTCCGTATTGGGCGACGTGCAGTCTATGCTTTCGAAGAAGCTGCCTTTCTTGGACGCTGCCGGAGGGGTTAAGAAGAGTGGATTGGGTAGTCGGTTCACCCGCAGCATCGATCGGATGACGGGCGCTGTTGGGCAGGTCAAGAGCGTGGATGCGGCCCAAATGGGGGCGTATGCAGATGGACTCGTTCGGCTGGGCACAAAGTCGGCACTGCTCGGCACACACCTCCATTGGATTCTCGCAGCAGATGGTACCCTCCCCCCGCCTTCCTCCACCGCAGGAAGCGTAGAGGTGAAAGGAGCGTTGCAAAGCCCTACAGGTGTAGGCACAGCCCACACCAACCGAACCGCCTACTTTGCCCTCCCCGCCCAAATGCGCGAGGACGTCAAAGCAAGGTTGAAGAGGTCCAGCGAGTTCATGGGCAAAGTGGTGCTCGTTTGGGTTTTACAGGATGTAGGCGTGTTGGTCGAGAGACGGATGAAGAAGGCCGGAGGCGTGTTTGGCGATTGAACCCAATCCCACGCCAACTCTCTTGTGCAATGTATCAATGACAAGCAGGGTCGCTCAGTTGCTCAATCACACTCTGTCAAACGCAGTCAATCCAGCACTGATGGTAAGCATAACAGATTCGCAAACTATGATACGTTTGAAAGAGGTGCGAAACCGGGGTCGAGAGGAGAGGGGTATGGAGGGGCAGGTGGGGAGGCTACAGCTATCGCAGACGAAAAGGAGGGATTAAAGCGTCGTCCAAAGGCTCGAAGGAGAGAAAAGCATCTTGAGCGCTTGCGCGCTTAGTAGTCGTCGCTTCGGCCGGTGCAGCACGAGATGATGTAGGGGACGATGCTGAGTGCAACAGCCAACACGGCGGCCCAAGTGATCCAGAGGGCGTTACCGTAGTGAATAGTGATACCGAAGTTGGCGTTGTCGATGCTGGCCTTGGTCTTGACGTAGATGGCGGTCAAGAGGGCTGCGCCGACGCCGAGGGCGAGGGCGGAGAGCAAAGCGATGAAGGCGGCACCGAGGAAGGCGAATCGGTGGGAAAGCAATCCTGCAACCCAAGCGATCAGGGCAAGGCACGAGCCGATGAAGATGAGGTACATCGCAGCCTTGGAGAAACGACCGAGGTAGCCCGAGTCGCGGAAGGTGGATTCGGGCAAAAAGTTCTGCAGCGTCTGACGATCACCCTGAGGTGTGTCGGAGAGAACCGCATCGGCAGGAAGGAACTCGAAGCCAAAGTTTCGCTGAGAGCACGAGCGGGAGTCCCCGTTGACCTCGCCAGCACAGTAGTTGTAGAGACCCCACTGGTAGTCATCCTTGATCCCGTTGCCCTGGCCCACGGGGGAAGACTGGTCTTGGGCGAAAATGTTGGTGTTGCTCTGCCCAGCGCGGGAGAGCGCATCACCCAGTCCTCGCGTGTCCACCGAGACGTAACGGATGTTGCGAGTCACAACGTTGTTCGAGAGCTGACCAATGTTGGCAAAGACACAGAGGACGACCGCCGCAAAGGAGAAGAAGCCGCCTGTTGGGATTGCAGGACAAGTCGGAGAAACATCGGGACGAGTAGGATGGAAACAGAGAGGAGGTGAATTCAGGGTCAGTATGGTTGCTTCTCTCTCCGAGTGATCATGCCAGGAGCCATTGGCGTCGAAAGGGATTGTGTCGCAGCTACGGAATGCTACCCTGGCTGCACGCGACCTGACAGGCGCCATCTGCGACCCTTCGCCGAGATCCTCCGGTTTGCGGAGGGCCTCCAGTCCGCGGCCTCGTGCCAAACATGAAGCTGCAGCCTGTTTCCATAGAACTTCCCATCTTGCACTATCTCGAAGTCGAGGTGAGATTCATTGTGCTCCTCCTGTGCGTCGACATGTGCCGTTTGGTGGGTTGCAATTCCATCACACCTTGCACCCTTTTCGACGCCAAAGCTCGGATTAATGAGGCGTTTACTTACCGAGACCGACGCAAAGACCTCGGAAGACCATTGTGGGCTAGTGTGTGATTGGTGGGTCGAAAAAGTGTGAGATGTGTTGACGGTAGGTACGGAATCCGCTGGGATCCAGGGACTGTGTTGTCGCGTGTGGACTGTGGGGTAAGCGTGCGGATGATGGTGGTGACGATGAGGAAAGGGATGGTGACGACCTGATTGAGAGAGAGTTTTATTCAGCAGCAGGGGGAGGGATAGGCGAGGCTCGAGTAAAATGACGATGCTCGCAAAGGCAAACCATGCGGATCTACAGTCACCACTCAGAGAGACGGGCAGCTTCGGTGAGGAGACTGAAAGCGGCCGTTGAATTGAGCGAGTGTCTCTCTCAGCAGAAAGAGCAGTGACGTGAGCAGCGAGGAAAGCCTAAAAAGGATGATCATGACGAATGAGTTGACCTGGTCGGCGGCGGCGGGGGGCGGCGTCTGTTGCAGCGGATGCAGAAGCACAGAGGAACAGGGGGTGAACGGGACTGAGGGTGCATCTGGATTCGGTCTTGGCCACGACTCACGGCCAAGCAGGGCAGAGAGGCACAGATGCAGAGATGCAGCGGAGTTGGATTGTGATGCAAGGTCGATAGCTTCTGTCAATCACCACTGCAGCGGTCAAGTTGAGAGACTGGTAGAGAGGCCGATCAAGCTCCCAAAGACGGAGAGCGAAAAGGGGGCGGAGGATGGCTGAAACAAGCGTCACTCCAGTCAGTCACACCAGGGCAGCAACGCAGCAACGATGATGTATGATGCGGTAGCGGACCATGATCCACACCCGCACAAGCGAAGTCGTTTTGACAGGCTCGCTTTGACGCCAGAGAGGCAAGAAAGCCATGACGACTGAGACTTTTTGCCCTTGGCTTGGCCCTTTTTTAAATTTGCCTAAGAATTAGCTGCATCTGGACGCTTACAGTAGAGATGAACAAACAACCGCTTGGACGCAGGCAGCAGTAGACGTGCATTCAACGTTTCCATCCTAATGCACTCGCTCTCCTTTCTCAAAGACGCTCTCTGCTCTAAGCCAAGCCCCATCACCGCTGTCATCTTACCCCCTTGGCGGCGTCCGGCTTTCATGCTTGAGCGGAGCAAAGTGCTTCAATTAAGCTTGTCGCGGCCTTGACCGTCATTGTCTCCTGTTGTACGGGCCCCGACTTGGAGGGCCTGATGCCGGCATTAAGCCCTGCAAGACGAGCGGTGCTGCAGCATCGAGCCTTCGGTGCAGCTGCAGAGTCCTAAATTTGGAAGTCCTTGTTGCCCTGCTCCGATACGCTTCAACTGCAACGAGCGAGCCTAGACTACTGTCGATTCGGCTCCTACTTTGAGGGTGCCGAACAAGGGTTCAGTCGTGCAGACCACGACGTCATTTCTCCACGTTGGCCGCTCGTTGCTTACCCGGAACCTCGATAGGGTGCTCAACAGGGACTGGCCGTCCGTGGTACCAACGACCTTGTCATCCCTTCGAACAACAAGGGTCAACGACCGCGTTGTGCTTCATACTGTTGGATCGAGATATCGCTTTTGACGGCTTTGCTCAACGCTTGACAGCATCCTGTCTTTCTCTTACACCCACGCTAGATGCCTTCTGGATCATGCTCTGATCAAGGGATGGATGCGATCAAGGCGCCCTGCTTCGACGAGCAAGATGCGCTTGCATTGCCGTCGATCGTTGCGAACAGCTGTGGTGGTATTTTGCAGACCAAGTCGAAGCGAGCGCAGTGCCGTGTGCACAACAGATCGTCGCTCGCAACGCAACACGAACACGGCTATGCGAGACTGCGTACGAAGCTTCTCTGCTGACGTTGAAAAGGTCGTGTCGTCATCTCGCACAGCTTTGAATGTTTTTGTGAATCCCGGAATAGCAGAGATTTAACACATCGCAAATCGAAAAAAGGATCAAGATCGGCCCATTGACCTTTTCCGATCTGAGGGCAAGCCGATCTGATGGCTAGCCTCGTTGCAAGCCTCGAGAACGTGTGTGTCACCCTGACTCAGGTGCTCGGCTCGCACAACACCAGACCCTCCTCTAAAGACAGCGCAGTGGCCTCCTCTGCTAGCTAGCATGCATGGTCGATACATAACGAGCCAAAATCAGAGCATTAGCGTCAGCACACACACACACAGCACCACGAGCGGGCGCTGCTGAAAGGGTTTTGCTGGATTCTGAAGGGCCTCGCCTGAGTGAGGAGCAAGCAAATCAGCTGCAGAGTGTGCATTTCCCATGCGCCTTGCACCGGCAGCTCTCTGCACCTCAAAATCACCCAACCGGCATCGCGAACCCTGCAAAGCGAAAAAACAGCAAACACAGCGGTAAGATTCGCATCGTCTGCCCTCTCTCCGCAATCACCTTTGCGCACCTGACATCGCTCATCCATCCACACCTTGCAACGACGTCAAAGCTCACAGGAGGATCCAACACCGGACAAGCTGTTCCGCTGCTGTCGTGACGCTCCTTCCTAGCCTGCAGACGATTCAACCCAATAGCCAGGCCGACGTCTGCGCACGCAACGGACATCGAGTCGACTCAAACCGCGAGCAACGCTGTCACCATGTCTTCGCCACAGAACTACTACGGCTCCATGTCAAGCGGTCGAGCCGTATCTCCCCCTCCTGGAGACCGCACACCCCGAGACGGCTCCCGCGGCGACACTTCCGGTGATCACCAACTCCAGCAAGACCTCGATGCTGCCAGACAGATGAGCAAAGCTCGCGGCGCTCAGGACCCTAGCCCTCCTCGAGCCAGCTTCTCGGACGACCAGGCCGAACCCTACTTCCACGAAGGTCTCAATCGAAGCCCCGCCGCCGTCCCTGTGCGTGCTCCCGCGCCCCCCTCCTCATCCGCCGTCGCTCGCTTCTATCAACACAACCGCAACGGTTCCAACACCAGCCTGGACAGTCAACACCACTTCATCGACCACCGTCACCAGGCTCACTCGCTCAGCCATGTCCACTCGCCGTCTGCCCTTCGTGGACGCTCCGCCCTTTCGCGCACGCCCATGCGCAGCCCCAATGCCTACTTCCCCTCGAGCAGGACAAACGAACACGCACTCATCGACCACGACGACCAGGACGACATCGATGGTGACGCTTCCCACGTCTCTCGCAATGCACCCCACTTCCGCCGCGCCAGCCATCAATCCCACTCTTCTTCGCCAGGCGACATCCTGGACGAAGTCGATCCCACCGCCTCCAGCCGCTTCCGACACGATTCCATCGTCGAAGACGACGTCTGCTTCCCACACGTCCCCGAAGGTCGCGCTCACGAGGCTCACCCTGAGGGCCTTCATGACGATGTTCGAAACGCCTACGCCGGCCATGTCGACAACGGTTACGTACCACTGGGCTACCCGTTCACCTTTGACCTCGGTGCTCTCGAGGAATTCGCTTCCGAGGAGCGCGACCGCATCGGCATGTCTTCCTCCTGGAACGCAGTTGGCTCTCCCAACCAAGGCCTTCGTCAGCGAAGTAACAATGCGCAAAAGGGTGCAGGAGCCTACGGCGCCTCTCCTGACAGCGATGACGCCACCTTCTACAGCCGTCGCCCGCGCAAGCTGAGCACATCGGCAGGTGCCATCGGAAGCAGCAAGTATCAGCGCAAGCTAGCCCTCTTTGAAGGCGGCGGAAGCGCACCGCCGCCCGTTGCTGGTGCAGCTGCTACCAACAACATCTTTGGTGGCGGTGCCGGCACGAACATGGCATCCACACCCGGCAAAAGCTCCATGGACGTCAACACCCCGCTCTTGGATAACGATACGCTCCCTTCCTACCATGGCCCCAACGGATCCAGAATGCACCCTTCGCAGTCTCAGAGAGGAAGTAGTCCCATCCCTGGTGCAAGCGGCCTCAGCCGCGCACGATCTGGCACGGGTGCACTCAGCAACCGTGGCGAGAAACCCTACCGATTCACATTCTACTCGAACGCCCTGCCCTCGACCATCCACGCACGCAACCTGTCTGAGCTTCCAGCAGAGGGTCAAACTTTTGAGGAACTCTTCAGCGGTCGTGACAAGAATGCCGACCACTCGCCCCCCACCGAGGGCAGTCAGAGCCGCAACGCAAGCCGTGCTCCCACCATTAATGCAGCCACCGCGCGCATGGCGTCGCTCGGTCAGAATGTTGGACGCATGGAAGGCATGACCGCACCACCAACCGGCTCGAACACGCCCGTAGGAAATGGCGAGGACGCCGCCAGGGCCATGAGCGGCCTCAGCGCCAGCCGAACCAAGACGCTGCCCGGTGGTGGCATTCGCATGGACGCCGACCCCGAAGCCAACACCTGGTGGCTTGACGTGCTTTCGCCTACCGATCAGGAGATGAAACTGCTCAGCCGTGTTTTCGGCATCCACCCGCTCACTACCGAAGATATTCTCATGGAGGAGACGCGTGAAAAGATCGAGCTCTTCCGCAACTACTACCTCGTCTGTTTCCGCTCCTTCGACCAGGATCCCTACAGCCCCACCTACCTCGAGCCGCTCAACATGTACATCATCGTCTTCCGCGAGGGCACGCTCTCATTCCACTTCCGCGGCACTCCTCACCCGCAAAACGTGCGTCGCCGTATCAAGCAGCTCAAGGACTACATCAACGTCACCTCGGATTGGATCTCGTACGCGCTCATCGACGACATCACGGACGCGTTTGGCCCGCTCATCCAGAGCATCGAGTACGAAGTAGACTCGATCGACGAGCTCGTACTGATCCTCAAGGAGGCCGAGCAGTCAGACATGCTTAGGCGCATCGGCACGTGCCGCAAGAAGGTGATGGGTTTGCTGCGTCTGATGGGCAACAAGGCCGATGTCGTCAAGGGTCTTGCCAAGCGATGCAACGAAAACTGGTCCGTGGCACCCAAGTCCGACATCGGCCTCTACCTCTCGGACATCCAAGACCATTTGATTACGATGACGCAGAACTTGAACCACTACGAAAAGATTCTCTCGCGCTCGCACTCGAACTACCTCGCGCAGATCTCGATCGAGATGACCGACGCCAACAACCAGATCAACGATGTTCTGTCCAAGCTCACCGCGCTGGGTACGGTCATTGTCCCGATGAACGTCATCACGGGTCTGTGGGGCATGAACGTCAACGTGCCAGGGCAAGGAGTGGAGAACCTACGATGGTTCGCCAGTATCTGCTCGGTCATGGTGGTCATTGCCGTGTCGGGTTATATCGCTGCTACGAGGTACCTGGAACGCTCGCACTGATCGCATCGGGCCCGTATTGTCGCTGGAGTTGTTTTACCCCTCGTCTTGTCTCTCGTATTCCTCTCACTGCATACACACGCTCATGGAATCGTATCTTCGCATCTCTTCATCGGCTGTGATTGAAAAGAAGACTGTGAATTCGTGCTTTTCACTTTCGGTTAGGCTCGTCATCCAACTCGTAAGGTCGCCATCTTACTCTTATCCCATCGCCGACCTTGAGCTCTCCGTACGACTCTCCACTCTCGCCGCTGCTGAGCGGCAGAGGTATCGCATACATGCCGAAGCAAGGTCCAGCTCTACCGTTCCCACCCTCGATCCCCGCCGTCTTCTTGACTCGCATCCTGCTCCGATTGAGCAGCTTGAGCGGGACACTTGGGTCCTTCTCGGCAGTGATTGGGTCCACCGCTGTGAGCAGGCAGCGCTGACACCGTGCGACCAGCTGCAGCATTGCCTTTGTCACTTCCTCCCCGTCGTCTGATGCTGCTGAGCCGGCAGGGAGGACCCACAGTCGCTCCCAAGAGTCCTCGCTGAAAGCGCCTATTGGGTTCTCCACATTGCCCTTGACAACCACATTCGGCCTGAATCGCGCCATGGACAGCGTCGCAGGATCTGACCACTTGTCCGCATCAATCCCCGTAATAGTCCTCCCACCTCTCCCGTCCCCTCCGTCTGCCGAGTCCATCGCCACGCTCAGCTGTTCCCGCACGAAAGTCAACGACTCCTGCGAAGCGACGAGCAGCGGGTACTCGTCCTGGAACTCAATCCCGCGCTTGCGATGCAACTCCTCACGATCGTTTGTCGACCAGGCTCCTGCGTCGGAAGGCGGCTTGAAGATCGGAAAGGCGTTCCTGGCGGTGGACGAGGTGGTATCAAAATGAACCAGCAGCACCGGATAGCCGAGGAAGTCACTGATCCACTCGCTCGGGCTAAGCTTGCGCATGCTGCCTGAGGGGAGCGCGGCCACGCGACCATCCGCGAAGTCGCCATACATCGAGATCGCTGGCACTTCGCCCCATGTGGACAGCTCCGTTGCGGTCGGGCGAAGGGGCGTTTCCGTCTCACCCATGTCGATGCCCTTTGCTTGCTTGTGGGCGATAGCCGTGAGACGAAGCTTGAGCGTGTTGGAGGGAGAATCGATGACCGGCTGGATGAGGGTGAGTCGCGGTTCTTCACGCAGACTGATCTTTTCTAGCTTCGCATCTTTGCTCGTGCGGACGACCATCCACCGCCGATCCAGATCAAATCCCTGCCCCGTCAGGCTCGCGTCCCTGACGGACACACCTGCACACGATTTGATCGGGTAGATGTAGATCTCGGCTACCTCGCCCAGCGTCTCATCCTTTGCCCCTGGCGCTGTGGACGCAGAGACGCCGCCATAGGTCCGGTCAGCTTTCGAGGCCGAAGAAGGGAAAATGTACTTTCGCAGCAAGCCGATGGTAATGATGAGAAGGAAGACGTAGATTTGAGCCGAGATGCGTGTGTAGGACTTGGACTCGGCCATTTGCTGTTGCAGCGACTCGGAGGCCGAGAGGAAGGGGATCTTGGCGGGCATGGTGACTCAGCTCGATGCGATGGTCGAAAGCTAGATGGATGGCCTCGAGGTAATCTTATCAACGACGCTGCTCAAGCCCATTAAGGCGGGTGCTTGCCCTTTCCAGCGCGATGTCGAGCTTCTGCGGTCGAACGAGGAAGGTTTTGGTACGCTTCGGATCAAGCTGGGTGGTACAGCCGATGATGTCGGTTTCGAGAAGACTCGTGACCAACTTTTGTTCGACAAGGTTTTTTGACAGCCGAAGCCAGAGTGAGTCAGGGTGCAGCAGGCGGACCTCTGCGTGGCCCAAGCGCTTTCGGACCTGTGCGGCTTTTGAGCATTCCCCGCATTTCCCTACTGACGGCTCAAATTGATTGCCGAAGAGCGGACAAGGACGCCTTTCCCCACACTTCGCAAACATCCTCGCTGCCGGTACTTCCAAACTGACCACCATCTCATCGTCTTTCCATCCCTGACTTATCGAAAGACGCTGCAAAAATGGCCTCCGCACACCCTCAAGTCCAGCTGCACCGTCAGTCGATCGAAGACAGGAACGAGTTCTGGCTCAAAGCTGCACGATCGATTCATTGGCACAAACCTCCCACCGTCGCCTACGGCCCTACGTCCAACCCAGACGCCAAGTACCTCGACCCCAATGGCGAGACCTGGTTCCCAAATGCGAGCCTCAACAGCTGCTTCTCGGCCGTAGATCGACATGTCTACGCTCCAGCCCATGCATCTGCCACCCCCGTCACCGTCTCTCCGGACACGCCGCACCTCGCCCTCGCACCCACCGCCCACCGTGTCGCCTTCCACCACGTCTCACCGCTCTCCTTCCAAACGCAACAGGCTCGCTCCATCACATACTATGAGCTGCTGCAGCAAGTCCAGGTCGTCGCCGGCATCCTGCGCCACAAGGGCGTCCGCAAGGGCGATGCGGTGGTGATCTACATGCCCATGGTGCCCGAGACGTCGATTGCCATGCTCGCCTGTGCGCGCATAGGCGCGGTCCATTCGGTCGTCTTTGGCGGCTTTGCTCCCAAGGAGCTTGCCAAGAGGATTCAGGATTCGGGGTGTAAGATGGTCATCGCCGCGAGTTGCGGTTTGGAGCCCAAGGGGCCGGTCGACTACAAACCGCTGGTGGACGAAGCGTTGAAGGTGTCGGAACACAAACCTGAATCGGGCCTGCTGTTTTTGCGACGACACACGATCAAGGGTCACACTCCCGCGGAGTGCGCTCGCGATGGCGGCAAGGGTCCCGCTGGCCTGCCCGAATGGGACTGGGAGGCGGAGTGCAAGCTGACATCCGCAAAGCAGGGCGGCAGATCACCCTGTTGGGAATGCGTCCCCGTCGCAGCCGAAGACCCCATCTACACCATCTACACCTCGGGCACCACAGGCGCCCCAAAGGGCGTCTGCCGCCTCTCCGGTGGTCACCTCGTCGCGCTCCGCTACTCGATCGAGCATACGTTCGGTATGACCCCCAACGACGTCATGTTCTGCGCCTCGGACCTGGGGTGGGTGGTAGGCCACTCGTACATCCACTACGGTCCGCTGTTGATCGGAGCAACGTCGATCGTGTTTGAAGGCAAACCCGTGTTGCCGGATGCGGGCATCTGGTGGCGGATCTGCTCGCAGTATCGCGTCACCCAGATGTTCTGTGCGCCCACGGCGCTGCGTGCGATCGTGGGGCAGGATGCGGATGCGACGCTGATGCGTGCTCCTGGTATCGACCTGCGTTCTCTTCGCACCCTCTTCCTCGCCGGGGAACGATCGGAACCGCAGATCGTCGCGCGATTCGAGCGTTTGCTGCAGGAGCTTGCAGCACCGGGGGCTCAGACCAACGACAACTTTTGGTCCTCCGAATCGGGCTCTCCCATCACCGGGCTCATGCTCTCCTCCGCCTTTGCACCTCTGCCGGCTCGACCAGGGAGCGCAGGACTGCCGATGCCAGGAATGGACGTCCGCATCGTCGACGACAACGGCACCGAACTGCCTCGCGGCTCGATGGGCAACCTCGTCCTCGCCCCCCCTCTCGCACCGTCCTTCCTCGGCGGCCTCTGGCGTAATCCTGACCGGTTTTTCAGCTCCTACTTCAACACCTTCGCCAAGAAAGGCGGATGGTTCGAAACGGGCGATCAAGGTGTCATCGACCCAGATGGATACGTCTCCATCCTCGCCCGATCTGACGATATTATCAACGTCTCTGCGCACCGTCTCGGCACGGGACTCATCGAACAGGTCGTCACAGGCCATCCGGATGTCATCGAGTGCGCTGTCGTTGGTGCACCCGATAAGCTCAAGGGTCAATCCCCGTTTGCGATTGTGGTGGCGCATCAGAGAGTGGCCGCTGCGACGGGTGGGGAGAGCCATAATTCCGTTCAAAGCGATGGAGCCAAGGCGATGTTGAAGAGTATCAATGATCACGTGAGGAGGGAGATGGGACCCATCGCGCAGTTGAGTGGACTCATTGAGGCGCAGAAGCTGCCCAAGACGAGGAGTGGAAAGACGCTCAGGAGGAGTTTGAGGCAGGCGGTGGAGAATGCTGCTGCTGGCAAGAGAAGTGAGTAACGAGCGACGCACAACTTGTTTGACCGGGTCACGAGGACGCTGACCTCGACATTTCCCCTCTCCGCTGCTTAATCCGTTCCACAGACGCACCCGTCGAGTAAGTATCATTCGCCTTCAGATCGAGTTTGGCCGTGGTGGGAGGATCGGCACGTCAGGCTATTTGGGTAGCCGATAGCCGGAGCTGCGGATTTACGCGCGGAATTTCCTCTCCGTGCTCGCCGTGCACGTCCCTACCGTTACTCACCTCGTCTCTCGCCATCATCATTCCTTCTCACTCACCATCATCTATCACTCGCTTCTCTCAACACAGCTTCCCTCCCACAATCGAAGACAAGGACGTGATCGACGTGGTGCGCAAAGCGATCGAACAATACTTTGACGCGCTCGACGGCACCTCTTCCGACAAGACCACGACCAACTCGACCCCGGACACTGGGCTTCTTGGTCAAGCTTCCAACCCTGTCCCCTCCCCCTCCACCTCCCTCCCTTCAAGCGTCAAGGTCAACATGAAAGCGCTTCAACTCGAGCGACCCGAGGGAGAGCCTAAGAAGGGTCAACGCAACAACGCGGTCGTGCGGGACGTCCCCACTCCCAAACCTACCTCCGATCAGGTGCTCGTCAAGATCCTCGCTGCCGGGTTCAATCGACGCGACGAGTGGTCGATGGTGGGTGCTTATCCTGGGCTGGTCTACAAGAACGCCACCATGGGCTGTGATGGTGCGGGCACCGTTGTCGTCCCCGATGGATTCTCGATGGTGAACGAGCATCCGGACAAAGTCGTTCTCCTGACCCCGACGCGGGGTTGGTCTACAGACAAAGACGGACCGGAAGCGGAGCTCCCCGGTCTGTCCCCCGAACAGCGGCGCAACGGTCTCGGCGGCTCCGGATTCGGAATCCTCGGCGCCACCCGTCCCACCAACGGCGTCGGCACCTTGGCCGAATACGTCGCCGTCGAAAAGGACCAGATCGTCGCGGCACCCAAGCACCTCACCCCTGAACAGGCGGCTACCCTCCCCTGCGCATGTGTCACCGCCTACCGCGCCCTCTTCACCAAGGCTCAAGTCCAAAAAGGCCAGAACCTGCTGCTTACTGGCGTCGGAGGGGGAGTGGCGATGCTAGCCCTCCAAATGGCCGTCGCAGCCGGTGCGAATGTCTACGTCACCGGTGGATCAGCCGAAAAAATCTCGCGCGCCGTCAAACTCGGCGCCAAAGCAGGAACTGAGTACAAGGACGAAGCGTGGCCCTCGAAGATCGCTAAACTCCTCCCGCCATCCCGCCCTTACCTGGATTGCGTGGTGGACAGCGCGGGCGGGGAAATCGCCGTCCAAGCCCAAAAGGCGGGACTCAAGGCAGGCGGAAAAGTGGTCATCTTCGGCATGACCGCTGCTCCCAAGTTGAGCTTCACCATGCGCGAGGTGTTGAAGAACGTAGAGGTGCTGGGTAGCACCATGGGCAGCGCAAGGGAGTTCGAGGAGAGTGTGCGGTTTGTAGAGAAACATAGGATCGTACCCGTGGTGGATACCGTGTTGCATGGGCTCGAGGAGGCTGGGAAGGGTTTTGAACTGCTGGCTGAGGCGGATAAGAGGAGCGGTGGAAAGGTGGTGATCAAGGTGAGCGAGTTGGAGGGGAAGAGAAGCAAGTTGTGAAGTCTTGTTTTGGATCGAATGCGGATATGTGTGCTTCACTTGGTCTTCACGGAGATTGTGTGTGATACGATGATTGTGGATGGTGTACAAATACAGATGTGAAGCTGACGGTTACTTCTTCGATGCTGGCGGTCCCATGCTCCCTTTTGCTCCCGGCAACAACGAAAACTGCCCCTCCTTGAACCACTTCTCGTTCTCCCTCCCTCCGCCTCCCGTCTTCCGACTCGGATCAACCAGCTCGATCCCTTGCACAGGCGTGAAGCTCAACGAGCTTGCCGTTCCATCCGTCTGTCCCCCTGCCAGCACCGAACTCGCTCCCCCACTCGCTCCTCTCAACGCAGTCAACCGGTTCTTATTCGCCTTACTCATCCTGCCCTTACTCCTCTCCTCCGCTCCCTGCGCCCTGACCTTCCCACTCGACGAAGAATGAATCATGCCCAACCCAACACTCTCATCGTACCCCATCGCCTCTTCTTCCTGCTTCCCGAATTCCATCCTGTTCTGCATCTTGCGCAGCTCTGTCATTCCGTTCCTCTCCTTGGCCTTTCTTGCCTTTCGCCCGCCGCGTCGCTTCTTGCCGCCACTGCCCTCGACAGGCACGGGCAGCACCTTGTCCAGTTTCTGCGGGGGCGGTTCCAGGAGCTTTTCGATCTTCTTCGCCAGCTCTTCGTGCAGTTTGACACCGTACGAGCCGTCCCGACTGGAGGTCTTACCGGCGTCCATGCGGGCAGCGAGCAGCGCTTTCGCAGAGACCATGCGTACGGCTTGCCGGCGATAGTCGTCGGGCGTGTCGGCGATGAGCGGCGCTTGGTGGATGAAGCCGGATGCGCGAGCGGCGCCGTGCGCGGACGATAGACCCGTAGAGAGCTTCTTGGATGCTCCCAGGAGATGGATGTTGCACGCCGGGATCTTGGAGAGACCGTCAAGACCGCCGGCTACACCGAGGAGTTTTGCGGCGGTGCGCGTGCCTACAACAGCAGACAGGTTGGGTGCAACCAAAGACATGCGCGATTCGACATACGCCAGGATGCGAGATCGAACGGATTCGAGTTGAAACACCAGATCGAGCGCTTCCTGCACCGCACGCCATTCTGCCTCGGGCAAAGGGGTGCTGGTGGTGGTGGACGCAGTCATGCTGATCACCACCACCGTGCCGTGCGGCAAAATCCCCTCGAGCGACGAGGTAGGGATCGTCTCGCTGTTGCCGATCGCCTGCACAGCTCGAATGTAGTCCCACGGACTCCCAATGAGCGTTTCCAGCTCCGGAAAGCGGGGCGAGTAGTGGTCTCGAATGAACTTGTGCACGATCATCACCTCGTTATCCACGTCGACGGCGATGTTGTTCGAGGTGACGATGAGGTGGTATTCGGGCGAATCTTCGAGGACCCCTGCGAGATCGGGTTCGGGGAGAGACATGAAGTGCGAGATCTGTTGCAGGACGGAGTGAACTCTGCTATTGGTGGAAAGAAGGGTGGCGACGCTGCGGACGCTGGTGGTGGTCGTGAGGTCGAGCGAGTCGACGTCGGCTTGGTCTCGCTCCGCGGCTGGGAGGACGGCGTTGCGACCGAGGGGAACGCCATTTCCATTCGAGTCCGGCTTCGAAGGGGTCATTGATGATTGCAACTCTGCGTCGTCCTCCATGTCGTCGTCACTGCCGTTCTCGAGGTCGTCCAAATCCGCATCGTCGATGTGAGTTCGTTTGCTGTCAGGCCCGTCGCCGTTCTCCGGATGAGCTCGCTTTCGGCTATCACTAGCATCGCCGCTCGTGGACTGCTGAGCGAGTCCTTCATCCTGAACGCCAATCTCCTGCTCGTCGTCCGAGCCAAAGTCGGCGAGCAGCTCGTCCGCGAAGCTGGCCATGTTGAAAGATGATGGTGGCTCAGTCGAAAGAAGGGTCCAACGCGAGACAGCGCTGGAAAACCCTTAGCAGCACGATGTGGAGAAAAAAGGGCCAAAGCTTCTCGCCGAGATCCGGTTGCGTTGACCAAAAAAGCTCAGCTGTCAAGCTTCTCATCAGGTTCCCTTTCATCATCTTCCCAGCGTCTTTCCCCCTTCATCGTCTCGCCATCCACTCTGCATGTGGTCACAAGACTCGCAGCACACATAGCTCAAGGCAACATGGCGCAACTCCCGCCCTACCTCGTCCGGATTGTGGCGACGATGTTGACGCAAGCGCTCACGCGAAAACTCGCCAACTCGCCGCTATTCTTCCGGATCGTCGATCGAATGATCCACGAGATCGATCACATGCCGCACCGCGTGCAGGGCCGTCAAGTGCCGACATATCAGCCGCCATTAGGAATGCGAGAGAGCGAGTGGGACCAGGATCATGGGGAACCGCATAATGAGCCGTCACCGTTTCCCGTCGCGAAAGGCAAGCAAGCCGGAGCGGAAGGGGCGCAAGGGGAACAGAAGATGACCTTCGAAGAGGCACAAAGACATCGCGCAAGGATGTCGTACCAGCAATCGCAGAGGTTGGCGCAGAGGCAAAGGGAGAAGGCCAAAGCTGAGCAGCAGACGCAGAAGCAGGATACGGTTTCGAACGAGTTGAAGGAGTTGCAGGACAAACTGAGGGAGCTTCGGAATAAGTCCTGACGAACCAGCTTTACTGTCGAAAGGACGTTCTTGCGTTCCGGCGACCTCTTTGCATGTCTGATCTCGCTAGCATCTTATACCATCATGTTCGGGAACGTAGCCGTTCCGCCATCGACGACCGACCAAGTATTTTCATTTGTACTCGTAGACTCCACCATTCATCGCATCGCATTTCTTCTGGATCTCGCTGTTGCTGGCGGCACTGAGGACGACGTTTGGAGCTCGAGTGGCATGGCTGAGAGATGTAAGGAGTGGCAACTGCCTCACGCGGCTGTGCTGCGCAGTTGGTCTGAGAATTACGAGATATGTTAGACTTGCAGTCTCATAGAACGTGGAAAACCAGACCTATTCACGGCGAGACGATCCAAGGTGGCAGAAGGGTCAGCGCCATCTTACCAGCAGTCAAGCGACGGTACCTTCCTGTCTTTCCTAACGACTGAGACTGAATGGGACAGAGTGGCGCTGAACATTGACCCAGAACGCTGAGGCATTCATGAGGAGTGCTGCTGTACGTACGTACGGACCGTTCAAGCCTTTCCTTCGCCAGGGAATGGGAACGGTTCGAGACAAAGGCTGCCCGTCCACAAGAGCTCGTTGGCGTGTGGCACGATAGACAGACAAACAGCGCTCATGAAGAGGACCGAATGCTTCGCTGCTTCTTCCTTGCTTCAGACGGTGCAACAAAGGGATGGGCGCGCCAGAGGACGCGAGTAGAGGACCAAAAGCACTTTACACGACACGCGTTCGACGCGTCAGAGTCATTTACACGTCGAGCATCTGTTTTGGCCTGATGGCCTGAGAAAATCCAGGCCTTTCGAGCGAGAGAGCAAAAGTGGGCAAGAAGCACAGAAGCGCATCAACTTCTTCCTCGTGCGCGAGTCAAGCAGGCACTTGTTCAGAGACCGTCAAAGAGCATCTGTCGGCGCGCGCAGCTGGACGAGGACCAACACTTCGTCTGAGTTTTGGACTTACTTCGCACACTCACATCAACACTGCCGCCCTTTCGCTATCCTTCGTCTTGTTCCACACACTATCACGCCCTCGTCCCTCTCACTTCTAAACTAGACGAACTGGATCCCAGAGCTTTATCTGCTTCCATCAAGGTCGACGTCTTCGACTAATACGGCAACTACTGGAGAAGGACCTCTCACGAACCACGTCACACATATAACCAGGATGTCGTCCTCTTCCGCATTGCCATCCTCGCCTCTGGGCAGGATTGGCCGCCAGAACCGAAGCGGTGATCAGGAACGTCTCGACCCTCTCGCCCTCGGCAGATCCAACAACACAAGCGGCGTAGGTGCCAGTGCGCATCGAGCCTTCACACCAGCCACTTCAGAGGCTGGCTCGCTCAATCTCGAGCGTCAACTTCGAGGGCAATACGAAGACGATGCGAGCACAGTCAACGGTGACAGCTCTCGACCTATGGAAGAAGATACCCCTCGCCGCCCTCGTCCCCGCGCCGCCGTTGACACCCAAGATATCCCTCCCGTCGTCGACGAAGTCGGTGAGCGTGTTCGTGAAGGCTTTGCACAATTCCTCGAGAGCTTTGTCGACCAGCCTCTCTCTGGGTCCCCTGATCCCAACGGCGAGAAGGTACAGGACCCCGTCTACATCGACCAGATCTACGCTCTGCGAGATTACAACCGCACCACGCTCTTTGTTGACTTCAGCCACATTCTCCGCCACGACGAAGTTCTGGCACGCGCTATCAGCGACCAGTACTACCGTTTCATCCCCTACCTCCGTCGTGCACTGCTCGACCTCGTCAACACATACGTCCCCAACTACCTCTACCTCAACGCACATGTCGCTGCCACCGCGTCGTCCGGTCTCATCCCACGAGACTTTTCCGTCTCGTTCTACAACCTTGGCCTTGTCTCGGGCATCCGCGACATGCGCACCGACCGAGTCGGCAAGCTCGTCTCGATCAACGGTACCGTGACACGAACCAGCGAGGTCCGCCCAGAGCTCCTCTACGGTGCTTTCACCTGCACCGCCTGCCAGGGCACCGTCCGCGAAGTTGAGCAGCAGTTCAAGTACACCGAGCCCGTTATGTGCCGAAACCCAGTCTGCCAGAACAGAAGAGAATGGCAACTCAATGTCGACCAGAGCCGATTCTGCGATTGGCAAAAGGTGCGCATCCAGGAAAACGCAAACGAGATCCCTACTGGAAGCATGCCTCGCAGTCTCGACGTCATTCTGCGCTCCGAGGTCGTGGAGCGCGCAAAGGCCGGTGACAAGTGCATCTTTACGGGCACGTTCATCGTTGTGCCTGATGTGTCGCAGCTCGGCGTGCCTGGTGTCAACGCACAGATCCAGCGTGAGGCTCAGGGTGGCCGACCGGCCGAGGGTGTCAACGCACAGGGTGTCTCGGGTCTCAAGAGCCTCGGTGTGCGCGACTTGACGTACAAAACGGCTTTCCTCGCGTGCATGGTGCAGAGCGCCGACGCGAGGGGAGGCAACGACCTTCGAGCCGATTTCAACGACGAAAACGAGGACGCTGAGGTGTTGATGGACTCGCTGACCGAGGCAGAGCGGGACGAGCTCGAGGCCATGGTCATGTCGGAAGACATCTACAGCCGACTCGTTCAGTCCATCGCGCCCACTGTTTACGGCCACGACATCGTCAAGAAGGGTATTCTGCTCCAGCTCATGGGTGGTGTGCACAAGTCGACTCGCGAGGGCATGCGTCTTCGTGGCGATATCAACATCTGCATCGTCGGCGATCCGTCCGTCAGCAAGTCGCAGTTCCTCAAGTACGTCTGTGGCTTCATGCCTCGTGCCGTCTACACTTCAGGCAAGGCCTCGTCCGCTGCCGGTCTCACAGCTGCCGTGGTGAGAGACGAGGAGACGGGCGAATTCACCATCGAAGCCGGAGCGCTGATGCTCGCAGACAACGGCATCTGTGCCATTGACGAGTTTGACAAGATGGACGTCGCCGATCAGGTTGCCATCCACGAAGCGATGGAACAGCAGACCATCAGTATCGCCAAGGCCGGCATCCAGGCCACGCTCAACGCGCGAACTTCGATCCTGGCCGCTGCCAACCCGGTCGGTGGTCGCTACAACCGCAAGCAGACATTGCGAGCCAACGTTGCCATGTCCGCGCCCATCATGTCGCGTTTCGATCTGTTCTTCGTCGTGCTGGACGAATGCAACGAGGCGGTGGACATGAACATTGCCCAGCACATTGTCAACGTGCACCGCTTCCGCGATGCCGCCATCGACCCGGAGTTCAGCACCGAGGCGATCCAGCGATACATCCGATACGCTCGCACATTCCAGCCGAAGCTCACACCCGAGGCGAGCGATGTGCTGGTCGACAAGTATCGCCAGCTGCGCCAAGATGACTCGGGCCCGGGCAAGAACTCGTACCGCATCACGGTGCGACAGCTGGAGTCGATGATTCGTTTGTGCGAGGCGATTGCGCGCGCCAACTGTCGACACGAGATCACGCCTGCGTTTGTGCGCGAGGCGTACTCGCTGCTACGACAGTCGATCATTCACGTCGAGAAGGACGATATCGACTTTGATGAAGAGGACGAAGAGGAGCAGGCGCGATTGAAGCAGGAGCGAGAAGGCGCTGCTGGCCGCTCCACTGCGCAACCGTCGTCCTCCCTCGGTGCGATGGACGAAGACTCGATGGACCCCTCCATCCCCGCTCCTACTGCTTCAGCTTCCGCCTCGGCTGCGCTCGCCGCCGTTTCGGGCGAACCAGCCTCCAGCTCGGCCGCGTCCTCAAAACGCAAGATCCGCATCACCTTCGATCGCTACATGGAGATCGCCAACCTGGTCGTCCTACGCGTCAACGAGGTGGAGCGCCAGACGATGCGCGGCATCAACCGCTCCGAACTGGTCGACTGGTACCTGCTGCAGCGCGAGAACGAGATCGAGACTGTGGACCAGTTTGAGGAGGAGACCGAGCTGATCAAGAAGGTGCTCACCAAGTTGGTCAAGGACTCGATGCTGCTGGAGCTGCGCGAGCAGATCGATGAGGATGGCAACCCGATCAGCAGCGTCGGCGAGTCGGGTAGCTCGGCAGCGGATGCCGTGCTCATGGTTCACCCGCAGGTGGATATCGATAGTATTGGTGCTACTACCAGCACCGCTTGAGGCAAGGGATGAGATGTTTGGCTTGAGATGAAGGGTTTGGGCTGTACTTTTAGATTTGTTGCTTGCTTTGGTATTGATACTTTGATCCTGTGCTTGTTCAGTGAGTGGATACGCGGTCACGGTTGAGCGCTGAGATCGTTGATTGCGATGTTGCCAGTCGGCTGACCTTTTGCTTGCCATCACCTCCTAAAGTCTGAGCATGATCGTCGGCCGTCAAGTTGCCGAGGCTGACGGTGACGGGTTCAGGGTCCTCCTTTCTGTGGAAGCGAGGCAGATCTAAGCTCTGCTGCTCAAGTGCCTCTGAAATATTCGCCGGCCAAGCCCCTGCTTCCGGCTAAAAAGCAGCTCTATCTCTGTGGCGCGGTCAAGAACTGCGCTTTCGAAGGCTCAACTTCAGCCCAGCATCCCCCCATCTCACCCACCTACTACCCCGCTCAAAAGTCAGAGCTCGATCGGGATCAGGAGCTTCCAGGGGCATCTTTCGTCTTGCCCGACTGCGGACTCAGCCGATTCGTGACCTTATATACGTTGATGCAAGCGCACTCGACTACCTCGGCCTCATACTTTGGCTAACTCGTACCGATACAACTCCAACCATCTCGACCGTCTCCTGCAGCGCGTCCTTTTGGATCAAGATCAGCCTCGACACTTGCACTAGCCTGCTGAGCTGATCAGCATCGGCCTTTTCCGCCATGACGGGCGCCGGCTACCAGCTGCTTCCCAACAGGGACAGCGAGGAGACATGCGTGTCCATGGACGGGCACGAGAAGGGCAGCCCAGAAAAGCACGCTCTCCCACTCTCCATCAGCAGCGAAGACGAAGAAGGCGACACCATGAAGCGCAGAAGCCCCTGCCTCCTCTTCAAAGTCGCCCTCTGCCTCGTTCTCATCGTGTCTAGCGCCTTTGCTGCGTGCTGCGCGTATCGCAAGGGCAGCAGCAGTGCGATATGGACCAATCGACCCATCACACTCAATCGTCGTCCCACCACGACCCTTGGCGTACACTCGGATGTCGTCTTTGGACTCGGCATCGGCGATGTCACCGGTCCCATTGTCGAGGTCAACATGATGGGCTATGCAGCACTGCCTCAAACCAACACCGGGCTTCACATCCGCTTGCGATCCCGTGCGTTCATCGTCGGATCGAAAGAGGAAGACACGTCTACAACAAGCAAGCTCCTCACCAGATCTAAGAGCTTCATCCCTACGGCTGACGGATCTGCCACTCGATGGCTGTTCATCAACTCGGACATCTGCATGGGTGACACAGCTCTTCGCAGGGCGGTGGTCGACCAGCTTCGACAGAAGTACCCCGGCATCTATGGCGAGCGCAACGTCGCTTTCGTGGGCACGCACTCGCATGCTGGGCCCGGAGGCTTCATGCAGTCGCTTCTTCCTACGCTCACATCCAAAGGCGTCATCCTCCAGAATTTCGATGCCATCGTAGAAGGCACTGTTCGAGCTGCGGAGCGCGCGCACGGCGATTTTGATAACAGGCAAGCGAAGCTGAACGAGGAAGAGACTCGCAGCACGCGCCTTAGCTACGGAGAGACTCGACTGGAAGACGCACACGTTCAACGTAGCCGATATGCGTACGAGCAGAACCCACAGGAGGAGAGGGATTTGTACAACGACGAGGATCAGGATCACGACTTTGGCCTGCTCAAGTTTGAAGACGTCGCCGGGTCCGAGGTCACAGCCGCAGGATTCCTGTCGTGGTATGCTGTCCACGGCACCTCGCTGTACGAGAACAACACGCTCACCTCGGGAGACAACAAGGGTCTGGCCGCGCTGTTGTACGAGACAGCCGAGCAGCCGGACAAGCTTCCTGGCCAGAACAACTTCGTGGCGGGCTTCTCGCAGGCGCTGGTCGGTGACACGTCGCCAAACACCAAGGGCGCCTGGTGCGACGATGGCTCGGTGTGCGAGTACAAGCATTCGACGTGCGATAACGGCAAAGGTCAGGACCGCGTGCAGACGTGCCACGGTCGCGGCCCTGCTTGGGGTCTGGACGAGTACCTCGGAGTCAGCCCCACTGGCGGCTACGACTGGGCGTCGAACGAGATCATTGCCCGCAAGCAGGTTGATGCTGCGCGTGCCATCATGGAACGCGACCTTTCCGATTCTGCCGGGGCAAAGGACGACTATGAAAGCATGACCTTGCTCACTGGACCCGTCAAGAGCGTCAAGATGAACATCGACATGAGCCAGTATACCGTCTATCGTCCCGATGGCACTCGTGTCAAGACATGCCCTGCTGCACTCGGCTATGGCTTTGCGGGCGGCACCACCGACGGTCCGGGCGCCTTCGACTTCGTTCAGGGCAGCAACAACACGGACCACCACAATCCCTTCTGGGACCTCGTCAAGGGGTTCATCAAGAACCCGGGACCGGAGCAGATCGAGTGCCAGGCGCCCAAGGCGATCTTGCTGGACATTGGCGAGATCCACAAGCCGTACGACTGGGGCCCGTCGATCGTTGAGGTGCAGATGCTGCGTGTTGGCCAGCTCTTCATTCTCATTGTGCCTGGAGAGTTCACGACGATGGCTGGGCGAAGGCTGAAGAAGGTGGTGAGGGAGGCGATTCAGAAGGCCGGGTTGGTGGATGAAGGCGTGGAGCCGATCGTGCAAGTCAGTGGGCCTGCGTCTACGTACGGCCACTACGTGACGACCGAGGAGGAATACAGCGTTCAACGTTACGAAGGCTCGAGTACGCTCTTTGGCCCGCACACGCTCGAAGCGTACATGGACGTCTTCTCGCGTCGACTCGTGCCCGCTTTGCGCGATGGCGCACGCGACCTACCCGTTGGACCGCAGAAGGAGTTCGACATCACCAAGGCGTGGAAGCTCAAGACCGGTGTGGTTTATGATAATCCTCCCATCGGCCACTCGTTCGGCGACGTCCTCGAACAGCCACTCCTCTCGTATCCTATCCCCAACAGCGCAAACTCGACCCTGACACCGTTCAACAAACCTCTCACGGTTTCATCGAGCAGCAACATCACCGTATCGTTCGTAGCCGCCAACCCGCGAAACAACCTGCGTCTCGAAGGCACGTATTTCGAGATCCAGCGGTACACGGATGACGGTCGCTGGTATGTCGAGCGTACCGACGGACATCACTCGACAACGATGCGCTGGACCCGCACCAACGAGCTGCACGGGTCCAGCGTAATTGATGTCGGATGGGACGTTGAGCCGTGGACAAAGGCCGGCTTGTATCGGGTGGTGTATTATGGCGATCGAAAGACGCCAGTGACGGGCAAGATTCAGAGCTTCGAGGCGACGAGTAACGAGTTTTACGTTGTGTAGATACCCATGGCATGGTCGTCAATGTTACTGATTCAATTGACGTCGAGAAGCCTGTGCGCTGACCAGTGACCACTCCGTGAAGACAGCGAGCGTCTCAAGGCACAAGCAAAGCCATCATCCGACGATCAAGAGACAAAACGATTCGCATTCAACATTCTACAGCACCATCTCGCCCGTTAAAGAGTACCCTTCTGAGCGCTCTCCACCGCCTTGGCAGCAGCCTCATCAAGACCGTCAAAGGCAAAGATCTTGAGGTTGGACTTCTTGATCAACTCCTTGGCCTCCTTTTCGTGGGTGCCCTGCAACCTCACCACCAGAGGGATGCTCATGTCGAGCTCCTGGGTGGCCTGGATGATGCCCTCTGCGATCTTCTTGCAGCTGACGATGCCGCCGAAGATGTTGACAAAGATGCCTCGGACGTCCTTGGAGTTGAGGAGGAGTTCGAAGGCCTTTTTGACGCTAGCGGCGGAAGCGGTGCCTCCGACGTCGAGGAAGTTGGCGGGGTTGCCTCCGTTGAGCTTGAGCACATCCATCGTAGCCATGGCGAGACCGGCTCCGTTGACAAGGCAGCCAATGTTGCCATCGAGCTTGATAAAGTTGAGGCCGTACTTGGCGGCGTCGACCTCGTCGGGGTCCTCCTGGGTGGTGTCGCGCAGCTCGAAAACGTCCTGCTGGCGGAAGTCTGCGTTTTCGTCAAAGCCCAGCTTGGCATCCATGCACAGCACTTCGCCGTCCTTGGACTCGGCGAGCGGGTTGATCTCGACCTGCGTCGCGTCCTTCTCGTCAAACAGCTGGTAGAGCTTCTGGAACGTCTCGGCGGCCTGCTTCTCCTGCTTGGCCGAGGTGAAGCCGAGCTTCTTGGCAATGGCCAGAGCATCATCGTTGCTCAGACCCTTCTCAAAGTCGATGGGCGTGGTGATGATCGCGTCCGGGTTTTCAGCAGCAACATCCTCGATCGACATACCACCCTGGTTCGAGGCGATCAACACGGGAAGCTGGGTAGCACGGTCGTTGAGCACCGCGACGTAGTACTCGTGGTGCGGCGGACGCGCTTCAGCGATCATGACGGCGTTGCAGAGTCGACCGGCGGCACCAGTCTGCTTGGTGATGAGGTGGTTGCCAAGCATCTTCTCCGCCAGATCGCGCGCCTCTTCAGGCGTCTTGATCAGATGAACACCACCCTTGAGACCCGAGTCGAAGTGACCCTTGCCTCGACCACCAGCAAGCACCTGCGCCTTGATGACGATCTCCTTGCCACCAAAGGACTGAGCGGCTTTGTACGCCTCATCGGGTGTCTTGGCGGCGATGTACTTGGGCACGGCGATGCCGTACTTGGAGAGGATGTCCATGGAAAGGTGCTCGTGGATCGAGAGGTAGCGCTTCTGAGCGGGAACGCCGCGGACCAGCGTCCGGGCCATCGAGGCGCGTGTGCGGAGCGCGTTGAACAGCATCTTTTTGGATAATGAGGAAGGGGAGGGATGGGATGATAAGAGGAGAAAGGAGGGGAGGAATCGAAGGAAGAAGATACGAGTGCGATGGTGTCCTTGAATCGCCGAGCACCGACACCCACCATTTGCGCTCGCACTTGGCCGGCTTAGACGGAAGCAAGCGTTGTGCGCCTCAAAAAGCGGCTCATTCCGTCCGAGCTTTAGAGCGCTGTCCGATTCGCTCCTTTGCTGATTTTCGCCGGTGCAGAAAACGTGGTTCGATCACACAGTCACAGCATCCACCGCGATGTCGAAAATTGCCAAATCTGCCCGATATCAACACTGAACGGAATTCGGATTTCTCACCGCTCCAAATTTCGGCTGAGAAGAAAATTTGGCCCTGAATGAGAAGCGTTACCCTTCGCCTCTTCACTCGTAACACATCAACACTCTCATATCACACATAGCGGCTTCGACTCACTGCAACCATGGCAGCCGGCAAGTTCGGACCCAGCGGGCCCAAGATGACCATGAAGGCGCCTCAGTCGAGCTCGAGCTCTGCTCCTCGTGCAGGGCCATCACAACGAAAGGGCGCTCCTAGCAAGGGCAAGCAGCCAGCAAAGTCAGCACGCCAGGACGAGAGCGACTCGGAAGACGACAGGAGGGACGACGATCAGATCTCGCTCGAGAATGGCGACGATGACGAGCCTGACACGGAAGATGAGATCGAGGCAGCCAAGGGAGCCGGGTCCAAGAGCAAAAAGACGGCCAAGCGCAAGCGCAGAGCCACCTCTCCAACCTCCTTCGGAAGTGCGCTAGAAGGTCTGCTTGGAATCGCACCATCTGCATCAGCAGATGCGCTCGAGACCCTGGATGAGGACGAGGAGGAAGTAGACGCTGAAGAAGAGGCCAGCAAGAAGGCCAAGAAGTCGAAGACCGCCTCAAGCAAATCAGAAGCCTCGGTACCAGCCATCCTCTCGCTTGCACCGCATCTCCGTCGCTCTGCGCAATCCACTACACTCAGTGCTCGAGCAGCACGTATCGCGCTCGAACAGAAGCGTCGTCGCGAAGAACGCTCCCACATCAAGGACGTCATTGGTGGCTGGGGTCCTCCTGGCGTGCTCCCCGCACTCGAGGACGAGGACGGCAACATCATCGAGACTTTCTACGCCGAGAACGACGAGCAGCGACTGGAGGAGTTTGCGAGTCAAGGCGGCAGCCAGGTGTACGAGCGCAAGCTGCGCAAAGTGGCACAGCGCGGTGTGGTCAAGCTGTTCAACGCGATTCGTGCTGCGCAGACCACGACCGAGGACGATCTGGAGGAGGTCGAGGCCAAGAAGAGCGCGGCTGCTGCGGCAGGAAAGGTCAAGGCAAGTGCAGTGCCGGCGAAGAAGGCAGGATTGGCCAGCAAGGACGCCCGACTGGCCGATTTGAGCAAGTCGAACTTCTTGGATCTGATCAAGAAGAGCGCAAAGGGGAAAGGGAGCGGTGTTGCTGCCAAGTGAAAGGTCACACGTGTCTAGCGCTCTCCTCGCATCTGTATACCATCTTTATCGTAACGTGCCTCTTGCATCATCTGACTAGCCGAATGGACCCCGTTTTGACCGTGCAAGCGGGATCGTGATGAGCAATTCCGGCGGCTTGTGCGTGAGACCATGCAGTCTCAGGGGCTCGAGAGAGGTCACGATGAACATCGTCACCGGCGGTCCAAGCGAGCGGAGAGAGATGACAATCTCACGTTGTCAGGGTAACTAGCAGCGCGATACACAGGACCCAAAAGAATGGCGTAGCGTGGGTCAAACAGGGCCCAAGCGAGGTCTCAAGACGAAGTCCAGAGATCCGGGCTGTGTGTGTCAAGAGCCTTGGAAGTGAAGGGGTAAGGTGACGCTGTGACAGAAAAGGGTCGCCATGCGGAGAAATGTGGGAAAATGACAGGTGCGAGCAACGCTTTCGTCATTCTGCACGCTGCTAAGCAACCACCGACAGCCCCCTGCTTGTGTGCCTGTTTTCTGGCCCTGAAAGTGATATTTCGACCGGCGCTTCGCTAAAACAAAAGAGTAGCTCAGGGCGAGTGTGTTTGGTGCTTTCCAACGTGCATCGAGAGCATTCGACATCCTGGCTCAGCCTTATTTCACCGTCAGCTTGTGCTTTCAACTGACCATCACCTTCGCTCACATTCACACCACAAGCGACGTGACTTCCATCGCCAGCGTATCGACGGTCCAAGTACTCCCTTCACCTGATATCCACAACCGGCTGCCTAAGCTCGGTCAAAGCCACGTCTTGTTACGGCACTCGACCCGCATTGGCCATACAGCAGTACCATCAGATGTCGTCCTGAGCAGCTCTCTCGCCAATCATCAACATCATCAGGCTTCCATCGCCTAGTTTGGGCTTGAATCATATAGTCTGCCGCAAAGATGTCGTCTGGAACATCGTTCGCGGACCTCGCGCATCAAGCATGGGACACGGCAGCACAAGCAGCTGGCTTCTCCTCGATCAACGAAGAGGCCGCAGCCGACAACAAAGACGAAGCCCAGTCTTCCGCGGCTGACGTAGATAGTAAGAAGCCTTCGGGCAATTCGAAAGCAGACGGCCAGCTGAACGAAGATCACGAAGAAGAGCCATATCGAGGAGCCCCGGGCAATCATCCCAACGATCCCGATGCTCGCATCAATCACCCAGATGCCGTCAATGGTGATCCACGCGGCTCGTCCAAGGAGTCTTCTGCAGAGCCGCAGGTCGACAACTCTGACAGCAAGGAGGCGAATGGCGAAAAGACCAAAACCGAATCTTCAGAGATCAAGCACCCATACAAGTCACGAGAAGACGACATGGGCCAATCCATCATCGAACGTGCGCTTGGCGACGACGGTCTCACCGCACAGCGACAGGGCACCATCTACGACAAGCAGCTCGAGAACGAGATGGACGGCTCTTATAAGAAAACGCAAAAGGAGACCAAGCCTGAGAGCGCAGCCGCGGAGTTGGGCCTGCCTGTCCATTCTGAACGCAACAGGAAAGACGGCAAGCACGATTTCGCCATCAAAGCCGATGAGAACGAGGACGCACACCAGGAGCACGCTGCTAATCGCGGTCCATCCTGGGCTTCGCGTCCTGACGACAAGCAACGTGCCAAAATTGCAAAAATGAAGGAAGAACAGGCCAACGGTACTTGGAAACGCCGCTTCTCGAGCTTTGGCCCATCTGGCTCTACCGGTCCCTCGACACCCGCCAAAGAGGCTGACGGAAAGGATAAGGAAAAGGGCGGTGGTCTTTTCGGCGGCAAATTCGATGGCAGCTCACCCGCACGTCCCGTCTTGAGCAGCCTGTTCAGCTCCACCAACGGACACCGCCGAAACACAAGTCGCAGCAGCCTCGGCAAGGATCAGAACGGCGACGCTTCGCCTACGGCCGAGAACAAAGGAAAGAAGTCCGAGTCCTCCGCCTCTAGGCCTGAAGCTTCGCGACATTCCAGCCGCTGGGCGGACAACTCGAACAAGATGCGCAACGCCTTTGAGCCTCCCACACCGGCTGCTGAAGAGGGGCCCAGCGACGCCAACGGCGATCAGCAGCAGGAAGACAACAGCGACGTTCCAACTCCCGAGCTCTCCCCTGACGATCAAAGGTTGCGCGCCATCACAAAAATCATGCTCGGCTCTGAGAAGGAACAAGAGAAGAGAGAAAAGCAATCCTCGGACGACAAATCAGGCCCTGGCCTCGGTGGTGCGCCTCAAGCACAAACCAGATGGGCGCAGCTCAAGCAGAAGGTGCGCGATTCACAAAAGACCAAGAAGGAGCAGCAAAAGTCGAGCGCCGTCAACATCGACCTGGCCAAGGAGCTGCAGACTGGCATTCTTCCCGTCTTCCTCCTCAAGATGGCCGTGGAGCGCGACGAGTCCAAGCACCGTCGTATTCCCGTCTTGCTCAACCACCTCCGCCTCCGCGTCACGGATAGCGTCAACCCCATGCACAACACACACGCTGTCTTCCGTATCGAGCTCGAGTACGGCGACGGCCTCGTCAAGTGGGTCATCTATCGCGAGCTTCGCGACTTTATCAATCTTCATGCGCATTATCGAGCCGCAGCGCTTCGAGGGTACCTCGGCAGATCGGTTGGGAAAAACTCGAGCGAGGGCGATGTCGGCTTGCCTCAATTCCCCAAGATGAGCCTTCCGTACTTCAACCAGCTTCAACGGAAAGGCAAGACTTCGAAAGCCGAATTTGCCCGCGCCCAGCGAGACTCGCTGGAGAACTACATCATCGAGCTGATCCGCAGCACCATGTTCCGTGCCGAGGCTAACCGTCTCTGCAAGTTCTTCGAGATCTCGGCGCTGTCCGTGTCGCTGGCAAGTCGCGGCGGTCATCAGGGCAAGCAGGGCTATCTGCGCATCCTGTCGCGCTCATCCCGCAAGAAGGACCAGAAGAGCATGCTGACGCCTGCCAAATGGGCCAAGGCATACGAACCCAAATGGTTCATTGTTCGCGAAAGCTTCATCGCCATTGTCAACGAGCCGGACAGCCTGCAACTCTACGATGTCTTCCTGATGGACAACGAGTTTAAGGTCGAACGACCTAAGCGTCTCTACAAGCAAACCATGCATCTGGCGCACGGGCTCACGCACAGCGATGACAAGAAGGGTCCCGACGTCGACAGCTCCGAGCAGCCCGATTCCAGCAAGAGCAACGGCAACAAGGAAGCTTCGTACGATCAGACCGCTCTGTTGACCGACGGCCACTTCAAGGACGCGGACCCGACTAAACGGGAGGAAGCGCACAACGAGGAAAGGCACACGAGTAGCCATACCTTCTACATTCACAACGCCGAGCGCAAGCTAAAGCTGGTCGCCAAGAACGAGCGCATGATGGAGCAATTCATCGTCTCGATGCAAAAGATGGCTGCACGCAACATCTTTGGCGGCACCAACCGCTTCGAGAGCTTTGCGCCTATCCGACTCAATGTGTCTGCGCAGTGGCTTGCGGACGGACGCGACTACTACTGGAACCTCAGCAAGGCGCTCATGATGGCCAAGGACCGCGTCTTCATTCACGACTGGTGGCTGAGTCCCGAGCTCTACCTGCGCAGACCCGGTCATCCGAAATGGAGGCTCGACAACATGCTCAAGAAGAAGGCCGAGGAAGGTGTCAAGATTTTCGTCATCATCTACAACGAGGTGTCGAATAACTTTACGCCCACCGACTCGAACTACACCAAGCAGCGTCTCATCGGTCTTCACCGAAACATCTTTGTCCAGCGCTCGCCCAGTCACTTCCAGACCGGAACCTTCTACTGGGCTCATCACGAGAAGCTCTGTGTCATTGACGAGACGATCGCCTTCATGGGCGGTTTCGATCTGTGCTTCGGACGCTACGACACTCCTGCCCATGTGCTGGTCGATGATGCTTTGTATCACAAGCGCGAAGGTGACTCCGATGCCGATCATGGCCTATCGCAAAAGTCAGGCTACATCGGCCCTGTCAAGGATGGTCGAGAAGCTCACATCTGGCCTGGTCAGGACTACGCCAATGAGCGAGTCATGGAGTGGCACACGCTCAGCAAGCCGGCAGAGGACTTGTTCCCACGTGAGAAGTTCCCCAGAATGCCCTGGCACGATGTGGGTCTCCAGATCGTCGGGCAGCCGGCTCGTGATCTGTGTCGCCACTTCATTCAGCGCTGGAACTTCCTGCTTCGAATCAAGAATCACACGCGACAGATGCCGTTCCTTGTGCCTCCTCCGGACTTCACACCGGAAGAGCTGCACAAGTATGGTCTCACAGGTACTTGCGAGGTACAAATCTGCCGATCTGCGGGCCCTTGGAGTCTGGGCACCACCAACAAGGTGGAGCATTCGATCCAGAACGCGTACCTCAAGTCGATTCAGATGAGCGACCACTTTGTCTACATCGAGAATCAGTTCTTCGTCACGTCCACCGTGATGGAGGGCAACAAGATCGAGAACAAGATCGGCGAGGCGCTCGTCAGTCGCATCATTCGAGCCCACCGAGAGGGCACACCTTGGCGCGCCATCATCGTCATCCCGCTCATCCCCGGTTTCCCCATGCCCATCGACCACCCGGACGCCTCTTCGGTGCGACTCATTGTCGACCTGCAGAACCGCTCGATCTCTCGTGGCGAGCATTCCATCTTTGGCAAGCTGCGCAGGGAGGGCATCGACCCGGAGCAATACATCAGCTTCTTCTCGCTGCGAACGTGGGGCAAGCTGCGTGGAGGTCAGTTGACGACGGAGCAGATCTACCTGCACGACAAGGTGATGATCGTCGACGACCGACTGGCCATCATCGGGTCGGCCAACATCAACGAGCGCAGTCAGCGCGGTGATCGCGACTCGGAGCTCGCTGCTGTGGTTCGCGACCACGATATGATCGACAGCACTATGGGCGGTCAGCCGTACAAGGTGGGTCGTTTTGCGCATACGCTGAGGATGCGGCTCATGCGAGAGCACCTCGGTGTCGACGTGGACGAGCTCGAGGCGAACGAGCGACGCGGCGAAGGCAAGAGCAAAGGGTCTGCCAACGGTCATGCGGGGTCCGATGAATCAGAGTCCGAAGATTCTGAGGGCGAAGACGAGCCGGAGCTGGCTGGAACCGACGACGAGTGGGACCCTGATCACGAACAGACCCACGGCGGTCTCAAGCGAGACGGTGATCAGGAGGGCAAACCATCCGACCTCATCGACGTGCCCACCAACAAGGAGATCGTCAAAGAAAAGGCGTCCACCCTCGCCGAACATGGCAGTGGTACGACCTCGACGATGCGGCGCCAGATCAGAGAGACGCTCGCCAACGGCAAGGAGAAGGCCGAGGCCAAGGTCGAAGAGTCGAACGAAATCTCCGACTCGGCGGCCAACCACAACGAGCGATACCAAGCCGCCCGCCAAGAGCGCGTCAACCTGGCGCTGCAGGGCCAAGACTCGCAAAAGTTCGTCGACGGCAAGTACGACAACAGCATGGAGCCTACCCTCGAAGAGAAGATGATGGTGGAGGACGGCAATGCGATCAACGGTCGATCGCGACACTCGGCCGAACGATCCGGTCATGGACAGCAGCGCGACCACCGTCAGCTGCTCGGTTCTCTCAGCTCGTCCAGTCTGGGCCCAGACCGCGAAACCGAGATGCTGCGTCGATCCGAGCAGCGCAGTCGACCGCCCTCGCAGGGCGGTCTCGACGATGCACGCCGTAAGCTCTCAAGTCGGATGTCGAACGACCTCTGGAACCTACCCGCTGCAACGGTCGACATCGACCCGCATCGCTTCCAGGATCCCGTCGACGACTCGTTCTACGTCGACTACTGGCTCACGTGCGCGGTGCACAACACGCAGATCTTCCGCAAAGTGTTCAAGTGCGTACCGGACGACACGGTGACGACGTGGGCGGAGTACAAAGCGTTTGGAGCGTGGGCGGATCGGTTGGCGCGTTCGGGGCGGTTTGGAGCGAAAGAGTCCAAGGCGGAACGGGATGCCCAGGCACACAGCGTGCCGGGGGCCAGCGTGGGCGGTCCCGCCGGTCAGATTCCCACCAGCGGCGACTCAAAGCACGAGTCGAAGGAGAAGGACGACGATCAGGTCCCCTCCACGCTGCGAGACGCTGGGAAGGAGAAGGACAAGAAGGAAAAGGAAAAGGAGGTCGAGGGGTTCAGCGGAAGGGAGCTGGAGCAGATGGAGGCACTGTTGGAGGAGTGCAAGGGGAGTCTGGTGTTGCATCCAACCAGGTTCTTGGAGGCAGAGGATCATTCGAACAACTTCCTGTTTGCGATGGATCGGATCAATCCGCTGTTGATCTACGATTGAGCTGGGGAAGGTGTATATGCAATTCAGTTTTTGATACAAGTACAAATTGTGTGTGCGAGATTCACGAGGGTTGGGCAAAGAGCAGCGTGTACATCCTACACATGCTCCTATACGCCCGCCCATCGCCACACCGCACCATCGTAGCAGCATCGACATTCAGCGGCGAATCGGGTTCTGGTGCGTCTAGCAAGGCGAGAATCGCAGTGCAGGCGGAGCTCAACGTCCATGCTGGCGTCCACTGCTCCTTGAGCACATCAAGACAGATCTCTCCATCCTTCCAGGCGACGTTGGGGTGAAAGATGCGCGTTTGGAACTTGATCACTGGTGGCTTGGTGGGATATGCTGGTGGGATCGCGATGGAGAGGGTGAAGATGCCGCCGGTGTAGGGGGAGGAGGGCGGGCCGCGAAGGAGAGCCGTCCATTCGGAGAGGTCTTGCGCATCCAAATCGTAGGGTCGCAGTTCGAGCAGGTCTGGGTTTGCGGAGGGGGAGCGAGTGGTGTTGGGTAAAAGGCCAAGCTCGCGTGATGTGGATTGGTATTCTTTGAGAAGACGCTTTGTCGATGGTGTGGCCGCCATGTTGAGCGATATGTGTGAGAGCGAGGCTTCTCTGTGAGGTACTGGCGGACGCAGTGCGGATAAAAGACGGGCTCGTCTGGCTGGTCAGAGAGACTCGCAAGGTGAACCCCACTGGCCGTATCCGAACAAGCTGCTTCTGCTCGATGAAAGCGCCAGAAGAGGCAAAGTGACCGGGCGAGACGTCGGGCGGGTGTGTTGTGCGGCAGGTGATTGTGTCGATGTACACAGCTCGAGGTGATGCAGATCGATCAAAGATCTCGCTGGACGGATACTGAGGATGCGGTGGTGATGGTGGAAGAGTTCATGAAGAGCCCCTTTCACGCCAAACAGAAGCAGTTCTTCTCCGCAAGCCAAAATCTCCACACCGACGACGTTCCGGCTCGGAAACAAGGCTTTCCCGGACTGCGATTTTGCGACCCCGGAATCGTGTGCTCGCACCGCGATCTCACATCTTGGAGGCAGTATTTAGCGAGGGTCTGGATCTGGATGGCCCGTGTGGAAAGGTCTCTCGCCAAATCGAAAACGCAGGGTTCAGCGCCTCACGTCCCTGGCCCGACCGAGTGTGCAGCACACGAGGCGAGGCGATGTCGGCATCGATCGATGCAAGAGGCTTCGCAGAGCCGACTCTGAGACAAGTTGCTGCACTTTCTTCCATCGTCGGAAGATGAGCAGGTACCTTATGGAACCCTGTCTCACGGCTCCTGACGCTGGCTTGCTTCCTACCACAGCGCCAAGGATGGAAGGTCGGAATCGATAGGATTGACAGACGGCTCTTTGCACGCATGGCTGCGGAGTGTGGGGGATGAAGTCACGTTGCAGTCTAGTCTCTTTGCGCGTCGCTGCCCATGCTAAGGCTTTCGGCTCTGATCTCGGTCAGTATCCCCGCTGTCTATCACGTTGCCGAGTCTGGTGCCATTGTTCAGACAAAGCAGCACTAAGAGACGGGGGCGCAAATCACAATCTTCTGCGATGCAAGCCGGTAAGCGAAGCGAAGGACGGAGCTGAGGAGGAGCGATCTGCGCAACCGTGCGCGAGCGGGGGCCCAGTCGAAGGCGAATTCCGAGGCTGCGATGCTTATTGACAGCCAACGTGCATTGAAGCACAGCGTGGATGGACCAAATTTAGTCCTCTCAAGTTTCCCACGCTGCTAGTGCTGACATCAGTGGGCAGCTGCTGCGCGACATTTTTTGAGAGGGTTCCCTCCACTCGAGCTCGGAAGCCTCGATCTGGAAAGACGGATCAAATGACCTGCAAATTGGTACTGAAGCACTGCCGCGTTGCTGCTAAGCTTTGCATTCGCGATCTTCGGTCCCACCCACACGTCACGCAACGCTTGTCGCGGAGCTCCTTTTGAGTGTGTCTGTGCGCAGTCAGCCTGAGAACGAATTGGCGTAACCGAGCAGCAGCTCTTGGGCAAGGGCAGCCGTACAGCATTCCCTTCTCATCGAAGCACAGTCTGAGCCAAGCCAAAGAAAAGCCCTCTGAGCCTCCTCGTCGACGTCCAGCTTTTTGCCCCGAGCACCTGTCCAGCGCCTTTATCTTGGCTCAGTCTGCTCGGCTTCCATTCCTCCTCTGCAACCACCACCATCGTCTTCCAGCTCCCGACTGCTGCTGCCGCCGCCCTCCCCTAACCCTCAAGACGAGCACCTCAAGCACTCGTTCCTCCTCAGCACTCCTCCACCACCAACACCACTACCTCGGAGCCATCTTCCAAAATGAACTCGTTCTACTACGACGGCGTCCTTGACGCTTTCAAGACCCCCGATGTCGGCATCCCCCCCATCCCCCCTCACCTCAAGCACCCCATTGAGTCGACTCAGTGGGGTCACACCTACCTCTGGGCCGTCTTCTTCATCATGGCCGGTTTCTCCGTTCTCTTCTTCATCTCGTCCCAGCGCGCTTCTTACCGATACCGTCTCATGCACACCACCACCTTCTTCATCACTGCTATTGCCGCCGCCTCTTACTTTGCCATGGCCACTGGTGTCGGCAAGACCCTGACCACCATCGGCGAGGGCCACCACAACGCTCCTCGCGAGTTCTTCTTTGCTCGATGTAAGTGCCAAGCGATGAGCCAGAAGAAGCAGCACCAACGCAACCAGGCGCTGGCTGTCTTCTCCCTCGCTCACAGCCTCTTCTGATCTTGAAAGGCCAAACGGAGTACTGACTATCGTTCGATCTGATCTTCGTGTTTCCGCTTACGCACAGACATCGACTGGGCTTTGACCACCCCTCTGCTCCTCTTCGACCTGACTCTCCTCGCTGGTCTCCCCGTCGCCGAGATCATCGTCCTTGTCCTCGCTGACGAGTTCATGATCGTCACCGGTGTCATTGGCGGTGTCCACCCTACCAACGTCGGCAAGTGGGGCTTCTTCACCTTCTCGTGCGTCGCCTTCGCCTGGGTCCTCCTCCAGCTCGTCACCTCGGGCCGCCAGACCGCCTTCCTGCGCAGCCCCAAGGTCGGCGGTCTGTACAACCAGATCTCGCTCGCCCTCGTTGTTGTCTGGACCGCCTACCCCGTCGCCTTCGCTCTCTGCGAGGGTACCGGCAAGCTCAGCCCCGACAACGAGATCCTCTTCTTTGCTATCCTCGATGTCATTGCTAAGCCCATCTGGGGTGCCTGGTTGCTCCTCGCTACCCCCGATGAGGGACACGTGCTCGTGCCCGAGTCGCTCTGCGCCCCCGCTGGCTCGCCTGCTTCGGGCGGCTACGGCGCCATTTCCCAGGAGCCCCGTGCTGAGGACGCCTAAATGAGTGTCACAGCGTCGAGATGCTACCAGTTCGGGGAGAACTATCCTTAGCGGGAATCCATCTCGTCTCGTGCACCTCTGCCCCACCTCCTCTCTCGTCCTTACTATTGATACCGCTTCCGTTCCAAGTCGTCCATTCGACACCCCCCTTCCACGGCCGATCCGACGCAGGGAATCCTTCCAAGACCTGTCCGTTATCGCACCTATGCCCCCCCATTCACTCCACTTGTTCGGCTCCCACATGCCAGCCTCCCTGTCTTGCGAGATGTTTCGCGTTTTTTGCTTCAGGTGAAATTCCAAGTCAGGTTTGCGTTGAACTCAAGCAGAGTGTGTATTGCCGGCTGCGCCTGAATGCAAGACCGGGTCTGCTCTCGGCTCGGGATGTTTGCCTGAAAGTGTGAGGCTCATGCAAGAGTGTGAGCGAGGAGAGCAAGCCGAAGGAGCTGGACGAGGCGAAGTAGATGGGGGTGTTCGCGTTGTAGTGGATTTTCAGGGCCGCATTTTTTGGCGCGACTTTCAACGTCCAAATGCATCACACGCTCAACATCATCTCCTTAACAAGCGCAAGTTCCACCACTTCAACGATCACATCACCATCCGTAGGCCAAGGGCGATGAGCATGGCATGACTGTGGAACTATATACACATTGTTGCGGGTGCGACCGGAGACCGCCGAGTCCCCAAGATGAGGATTTACAGCTCCTTCTTCTCCCCGGCCTTCTCCTCGGCAATCCGCTTCTCAACCACCTCCCTCCTCCTCCTCTCCAACCTCCTCTCCTGACCTCTCGTCACCAGCTCTTTCGGCTTGACATCGGCAAATAGCGCCCAGAAGCTCTCCAACACGTAGCTGCCCAAGAAATCCACCGTCATAGCAGCCACCAATCTCACCTGGTAGCCACTCTCCATCTTGACCAGCTGCAACCACTCGTTGAGTTCGGGCATGAACTCGGTGGCTCCCGCGATCGCAATACCACCCACGCTAACCAGGCCATAGTACAGATAGCGGTTCTCCCGGATTGATTCGCGCCACGGTCGACCGATGTAGTTGACCGCAAAAGTCGAGATGGTTTGCGACAGTCCGAGCAGGTAAACACCCGTGTTGAGCAGAGAAGGGGTGAATTTGGCCTCGAGATCGATCACGTCGTCCAAAGACTCGTACGCGATGCTGAGCGATTGGATGTAGTACATGCTGCCAATGTGCAGCGCCGTCTGGGTGAGGATGCTCCCAAAGACGTAGGCGTTGAGGATGTTGGCCACCGGTCGTTCTTTGGACAGCTTCTCGATCGGTTGCCCGCGCGAAATGCACAGGAAGCAGACCGAAGCCAACATGCCACTGATCGTCACTTGGTAATCGCCGAACTTGATGCCGTCCAGATAGAGGACCGACAGCGAGTACGCCTGGATCAAACAGTTGAGCGCTAGGATCTTGTACATCTGGATCGTCGCCACTAGCGTGCACCGTCCTTGACGGATGATGGCGATGATCGACTGGACGTTGCTCAGCTTCGACGTGAACGGTGCTGCGACGGACGCGTCACCCAGTCGGATCTGCGGAGGACCATCGTCGATATCCGCATCTGCCATCTGCGCCGTGATCGCCGAAAGGTCGAACTTGGCGGTGCGATCGGTGGTGCGAGCGTTTTGCATCTTGGCCAGCGCGTCGTCGCGCGCCTTCTCGAGTTCGGGGAACTTCTCCTTGAGCGCAGGCGGGACCGGCGGAGGAGGCTGACCGAAGCGCGCAGTGAGCGACAGCTGCGATTCGTACACCTTCTTCATGCGCTCCATCTTCTGGTGCTCGGCGATCTTGACCAGATCCTCCGGCGTGCCGTCAAGAAGGGCAACACCGATGTTGGCCGCCTTGAGCGCTCCAACGTCGTTGGTCCCGTCGCCCGCCATGAGTGTGATGTACCCGAGAGACTTGAGCGAGTTGAGGATGAACTCCTTTTGCGAGGGAGAGACGCGTGCGTATACCCAGGTGTTTTGGACCAGCTGGTTCCACGCTACGGGCGAGTCTTGGTACTGCTTCATGGCTACACCCGTGATGCAGATGTCGTATTTCTTGAAGAGGCTCGTGTCGAGCGGTTCGGAGGCCGTGACGGGGATGATGACCTGTTCGTCAACGGATCGCCATACAAGCTCCTGTTCCGACGTCGCACCCTCCCGAGCGTCGAGGATCAGCGTTTGACGATCCACAATCTCGACTTGCGTCGCCACGTGCACAGCAGTCAACGGGTTGTCGCCCGTAATCATAATGCAGCGATGACTCGAGTCGTTCAACATCTTGAGACTTTCGATCGCATCCGGCTTGAGGGGACAATGGAACACCAGGAATCCGCCAAACTTCAACCCGGCCTCCACCTTGTCTCGCGTCATGTTGTTGATGCTGTTCGTGTCATTGGGCTGGACATTGTCGACGAAGCGGTAGCCGAGGGCGAGCACACGCGACCCGCGGCGGGTGAAACCCTTGTACGTCTCGTCGTAATGAGCGGGGAGCTGAGAGAACATGGTCTTGAGGGTCTCGGGTGCGCCTTTGACCGCGATGAACACACGACGGCTGCCGGTCTGGTCGATGATGTGGTTGATGGTAGACATGCGTTTGAGGGCGGAAGAGAACTGGAATCGACGGCGGACCTGGACGCCAAAGCGATGCGGGCCGGCTTTTGGGTCGGTGGGGGTGAGCATGTCGCCCTTGTTGAGCTTCCAGTCCATTGATTCGAGGGTTGTCTTCTCCATGGGGTCGCCGACGAGGCCGTCCTCGAGCAGAACGAGTGCGTGCGCCGAAGCCAGAGTGAGCGTCGTCTCGGCCGAAGCCTCCTTGAGCGGGATCAATGGCGAGTCGCCACCGGGGGAGCAGTTGACCACACCCTGCACCTCAAGATCCTCGCCCGTGATGGTGCCAGTTTTGTCGAAGCAGCAGACGTCGACTCGACCGGCATACGGAATACGGAACGGCTCCGTGCAGAAGATGGCGTACTTGGCCAGGGCCATGAGCGAAGCGTTGACCGCCATGGACAGCTCCATGGGCAGCTCGGGCGGGACGACGGACGTGATGATCAATACGCAGTCCAGCAACAGCTTGCCCTTGGGACGCTCCATCTCGGTGCCCCGCACCCAGACGTAACCACTGGCAGCGATGGCAAAGATGAGGAGGAAACCGATGAAGACGAAGCTTTCGATGTTGTTGGCGGTGACGCGAGACTCGTTCTGGAAGACCATGAGGCGAATGAGCTGACCCTGCGAGGTGCCGAAGCCCGTGCGAAGGACGATGCCGAGTGCGCTGTTGTCGGGTGCGCGGAGCTTTGCGTAGGCGCTGTCGGCTTCGGGTGCGGTGGTCTGGAGGACCTTGGTGCCTCCAAAGACGACATTGTTACGGTCAGCACCATTGACGTCGAGAATGTCCTTGCCGTCGCGCAGTTCGATGTTCTCCTTGAGCAGAGGTGTGCTCTCACCGGAAAGCATGGCCTCATTGACGATGGTGGAGCCAGCAACCAGCAGCAGATCGCAAGGCGTTGCAGAGTCTTCCTTCGATCGGTCGATCGACACAAGGTCGCCGGGCAGCAGATCGGAGGTCTGCATCTCAGCCCACTTGCCAGCACGGTAAACCCAGATGCTGTAAGGCTGAATCGACATGGTCCTGAACTCGCTGAGCGTGCGCAGTCGCTGGAAGACGACGGTGCATTCGAAGACGACGAGCATGAAGAGCGTGAAGAGCGAGTAGTACCAGTACTCGTCGAGCATCCAGAGACCGACGCAGAAGACTTGGAAAACGAAGAAGGGCGCGACGGCATGCTCGAGGAAGAGGTCGACAAACTTGGGCTTGGGAATGTCGAGCTCGTTCTTGCCAAAGGTGCCGAGGGCGAGCTCGACATCCTTCTCGGTCTTGAATCCTTTGTAAGACTGGAAGTTCGAGAGGGGCGGGTTGGCATCGGCAGGGTAAGGCAGACGGCGGAAGGTGGGCTCCTTGATCAGAGGCGAGACAAAGATATCCGTGGGCGAAGCAGAAGCATCCGGGGTGGCGAGGATGTACTTGTCGGCCTGGTAGGTGAACGAGATCTCGATGGGCAGGTTGGGTCGCTCGACACGATCAAGCGAGACGATGGCACCTTCGCCCTTGTGTGCGAGTGGGTAGACGCGGACGAGCTCAGCATCATCGAGACTTTTGGCGGTGGTGCAAGTAGTCAGCACCTTGGCAGCGATGCTCCATTTGGTTACGAGGAAGCTGAGTGCGTGGCCGGAAATGAGAAGGACGGTGAAGACGAAGGTCCACTCCTCGGACCTGACCCAGTCATCGTACTTGAGGAAGTAGGCGTAGGCCCAGACGGGGTAGAGCGAGAGGAAGGGCAGGACATAGAGGTGAAGATATGTAGGGATGCTCCGGTGCAACGAGACGCTTGCGATCTCGGGTGACTGAGTAGCGACCTTCATCCTGGCGGATGTGTGCACACCTGTGCGACTGCAGACTGTTGCGACGAATGCAGCAGCCAGAGACGCAGTGGCGGGGCTTTGCAGACACGAAGGCGATGGGAGACGAAAGGAACACCTTGTTGAGACGGTCTCCTGAGTCACTTGATCTTGTGGGGATGATAGAAGGCAAGGTGGTGTAGGCTGGCTGCACCTGCAAAAACGTCAATGCACCGTCAAAGTCAGCGAATCAGCGGACAGGTTGAGAAGATCTTCTCGACTTGAGTGGCTCAGCCTTGCTCAGAAGCTGACCGTCTGCAGCTGGCTCCACGTCGACTTTGTACGCGGCCTTCAACCCGTAATTTTTTGAGTGTGTTAGACCTATGAATATGCTCATCACGTGTCGCACGAATCATTTCGAAAGCGCTCTCTCTGAGACACGGTGAGACTGCACAGGTCCAGACGCGCGCGTCAAGTTTTTGGAGAGAGCAACACTTCAAAGTGACACTTCACTGTATGGAACTCATCACCACCATCTCAAACGCACCATTACGCATCATGGAGAATCCACATGTAAGTTCGGCACCCTCTCGCAGCAGCCGCGCATAGTATCTTATACTGATGCTCGTCTACATATGCTACAACACTACAGGAGGAGAGACAGTCGCTGCTGCTCGAACGAATCACAAAGAGCGTCCACCGACTCAACGAGGCGTTGCTCGAGCTCGACCGATCCGTCGTTGAGATCAACAATCACAACCAGGCCATCACCATCGTTGCGGAGCTTTCTGAGGCTGTGAGTGCTTCCCGTCTCAGCTGAGCGTCGTGTGCCCGCATGCTAACTCCGCTCTTTTCAATCACGTTTCGCTTAAACAGTACCGCCGAAACGCAGCGTTCAACCTGGCAAACATGGAGGCGGTCGACGAGGACGGGCTCGGCAAGGTGTCGATGGATTGATTCGACGCTCCATCATTTGATGCTCGTCAAGTCCTGACCTGCCAAACCAATGCGGCTCAAAGTCATCCGCCAATCTGCCACTGTATTTGTACCCTCTTCGACCCTCTCTTTTGCACCGTCCGCTCCATCGTAGCGATTATGCACGCTGCTGGCATCACTACCAGGCGGTCCACGCAATGATATATACCCTTTTGCACCAAAGACAGACAGCGGATGTGGGACCTCAGTGTGCGTCGTGCCGAACGTGGTCTGGATTGCTCCTCGCGCGTCCACACAGCAAGAGCGCGCAGGGCCTAACGGCGGAGCGCCTCGAGACGAGTCGCTGGGATAGCTGCGGAAGAATCAGAGTGAGATGCCGAGAGTGTGTCGTTGGCCGAACGCGAATGGTGGCAATGGCAGACGCTGCTTGGCCGCCAGCGTCAGCAGGTCCATGCGAGCTCTGCGTTCTGTGTCCTCGGACGACAACCTGGCGAGCCCGAGAACTCGACACTGCCTATGCACTGAGCAGAGAGCCAGGGCGATGTATCCTCTGTTGGCCTGGGGCTGGACGTCAACCGGCGATTGCAGCCTACACCCGCACGCAGGCCCTCCGCGAAGATTCGGCATCGAAAGCATTGGCACTAGCCACCGCTCACACAGGCTTGGGCTGAGACGGCCACGTGCACGTCTCTGCCATGTGTCTGGCAGAGCCGCACAATGCGATTGCCCCAGCAAGCACCCAGCTGAGCACACCCTGCCAATACGGAAGAGCACACTCACTCAACCGTCACTCATCACTAACGTCGCTTGTCGACTGCAAAGTTCAACGGATGACTCCGCCTTGCGAGCTTCTGTGGAGACGTACGGATCCTTGCATTCGCAGATAGCATGCGCACCTGCACCGAAGCAGAGCCGACAAGGCATTGTGCAAAGCTCGCTTATCAGCGCTGCCGAAGAAAACTCGCCCGACTTGCCGCTTGACTGTTCTACCCAGGGCGCTGATTGGCTCCCGTCTCACCCGAGTCTTCATCGCTTCCATGCGCTCTGATCATCCGCGTGTCCAGCAAAGAAGCTTCATCGCATCGGAACGTTGCGCGGAGTGTGAGCAAGGGCAACAAGGTGACCGGCGGATCGGAACGGGAACATGTATGTACGGCATTTCCTCTCCTACGATGTGACAGCTGTTGTGGATTCAGGCCGTGGCTCAACTGACGACATCCCGTTCTGCTATTCCACGGTGGCACATGGCGATCGAAAAGGAGACACTCGCAACGAATAAGAACAAGCCTCTCGAGATAACGATGCTAAGCGAGTGAGAAGAAAGTTTCGATTGGTCGTTTGAAGGAGTATTTGACAGGGTTCTGCGCTATCTCTGCCGAACAGTCTTATCCCGAACGCTAAATTCGCCGTTCACAATTCCGAACGCCTTCTTGCCGCCTCAAGTGCCGCAAACTGACAGGCTCCGCCACCGCGCTCACCGTCGGCAAGTGAAGGCGTTGAAATGGCCGATGCACCAGTAAGGTTTGTGCATGTGAGCGATTGCGATAGTGGGTACGCATGTGACAGTGGATAGATAAGAACGCATGAGCTATCTGCGGCCTAGCTGCAATATTGTGGCAGACCCGGTGTGGGGCTAGCGACGGTCCTGAGGCCGTGTGGTCGAAGGGTCTCCAGCCGAGCTTCCCAAGCGCCATGGTGTGCTCGCGAAGCATCGAGCCCAGATAGCCTACTTAAGAGACCCCTTGTCCTTCACAAAGGTCTACGTCCGCTCACCTTTCGCTTCTTCCACACTTTCTCCAAGATGGCCGCCCCCATCATGTCGGAGGTGACCCCCATCAAGACCCCCTCCTCTGACACCCACAAGGACGATTCGTACGATGACGCCAAACCGACATCCCCATACCATGTCGAATCGTCGTCGTATCAGGGCGAGAACGCCAAGGCAGCTGCACTCGCAGCCTCGGCATCCGACATCACCCCTCTGGAGCTGAAGAAAGTGCTCCGCAAGATCGACCTCGTCCTCATGCCTCTGATGTGCATTGCTGTCCTCATGCAATTCCTCGACAAGACGTCGCTCAACTACGCCTCCCTGCTCGGCATTAAGAAGGACACCAACCTTAAGGGTCAAGAGTACTCGTGGCTCGGCTCGTTCTTCTACGTTGGCTACCTGATCGCGACGCCCGTCCACGGCTTCTTCCTGCAGAAAGTGAGGCTGTCGAGGTACGTGGCCATCTGCATCATCCTCTGGGCAGTCTCGCTTGGCGCGCACGCAGCTTGCAAGAACTACGGCCAGCTAGTCGTCGTCCGTCTGCTCCTCGGATGGTGGGAGGCCGCGCTCACCCCTGCCTTCATCCTCCTAACCAGTCGCTTCTACCAGAAGCAGGAGCAGGTTACGAGGACCTCGGCGTGGTTCTCGATGAACGGCATAGCACAAATATGTGGCGGAATGGCAGCTTGGGGCCTTCTTGTGCAGAAGCCTTCGCATCTGAAGGTATGGCAGCAAATGTATCTTATCTTGGGTGGTGTTGCGTTGCTTTTCGGTGTCGTGGTGTTCTTCTTCATGCCCGACTCGCCGGCGACGATCCGTTACCTCAACGAGCGAGAGCGTCAGGTCGCTGTGCATCGCATCAAGTCAAACAAGTCCGGCATCCACGACTCGACTTGGAAATGGGACCAGCTCTGGGAGGCCATTCGCGATCCGAGGCTGTATCTCTTCTTCTTAGGTGTCTGCAGCGCCAACATCGCCAACGGCGGCGTGTCCAACTTCTCGAGCGCCATCATCTCCTCTTTCCACTATGACAGTAGGACGACTGCATTGCTCGGCATGGCACCAGGTGCGATGGAGGTCGTCGCTGTCGCTTTTGGCGCTTGGCTGTCGTATAAGACCAGGTCGAGGGTCATTCCGGGTGTGCTGATGTACCTGCTCGCCGTCGTCGGAGGCACCATGATGATCGCAATCCCCGCTTCGGCGAACGCTGCTCGCTTTACCGGGTTTGTTATAGTTTACACCTATCCCGTCGCTTCTCCCCACTTCTACGCCTTTATAGGATCAAGTGTTTCGGGGACGACCAAGAGGATCGTCTTCAACACCTTCCTGCAGGTCGGGTACTCGGTGGGCAACTTGATCGGCCCTCAGACTTACCGAGCAAAGGATGCGCCCGACTACGTACCTGCCAAGATCACCTTGATCACCATGTTCGGCTTCGCAGCGCTCTGCTTGATCGCTATCGGAGCGACGCACTACATCTGGAACAAGCAGAACGGTATGCTTGGCATGGGAGCGGATGTGGAGGGCGATGCAGCAAAGGAGACCGAGGACCACGAGGATCTGACCGACTTGACTGACAAGCAGCGAGCTAGCTTCCGATACCCATACTAGTCGAGAGGATGTAAGGAAAGCAAGAGGATGGGATGCTGGTTGTTGAGAGGAAAGACGAATTGAGAGGAAAGGCGGTATGCGCAGCACGCAAACGCTTTGGGCGCTTTACTTTGTAAAGTCACAGTCACATCGAAATGCTCACGTCACCTCTGCAGGTCAAGCCCATGCCTCCTGCCTCTCGCATGCACGTTCGCACGGATCGCTTGACAGGCTGCAGAGCGGTCACTTGTACCATTGCCCGTTCGTGCTCATGTTCCTGACGAAGCAAGTCAGAGGGCCTCATGTCAAATCGTGACATTGCGTGATACATCAAATGGGACTGCTGATGCGAAGCGACAAGCTGACCGGTGCCGACAGCGTCTGCACGTACGTCTCGTCCTGGTTCTGCTTCCATGCCTTCAGATCCACTTCGACACGGAAAGCCTTCGATCCATCTTGAGTCGAGCTTCCTTCCTCGAGCTCCACCTCCTCGATCTTGATCCACGGTGTTGAGGCGCAGTCGTAGCGCGTGCGCTCGATTCTGCACGTTTTGATCGACTCGCGGCTGGAACAAAGCACGAGGAAGCTCATCTTGACTGCCATGTCGATGAGCATGCTGACCACCACATCTGGTGTGGTCGCGACGCTGGCGGTCAACGGCGTCTCGGGCAGCGGTGACAGTGGCAGGGGCGCGGAGGGGGCAGCGTTCGGCTGAGGATCCGCCATCGAGATAGGCACCTGGCGCAGAGGCATCATGGTGCGCGACTCGAGGCAGCGCTTCAGCGTGGCAACAGCATCTGCTGGTCGCAAACGAACGCGTCGTAGCGTCTTGTCGTCCGGACGCAACCTCTCGCTCTCCTCGGTCGCTCGAATCTGTTTTGTGTCGAGGAATGGCAACCAGGACTTCCTCTTTGAGCTAGCTTCCGGCAGGGTCAATGTCCAAGACGCCAGCACGAGGAGACCGAAGACGAACAGCGTCTGCAACTTGTCCAGCATGCCAATCACCGTGTCGACGACGTCGACGCCAGCGGTCTTTCTGGGCACGATGCTACCCTTGCCCTTGCGCGAACCAGGAACGACGCCTGTCATCGTGCTCTGCAGGAGAGCGAAAAGGCCGTTGATGAGAGCCAGAGACAGGATCACGGCCTGCGCAGCAGGATCTGACCTCTGCATGAGCTTGTCGGCCGAAGATTTGGTCAATGCCCGCTCATCCTTGTTGGCAGCAGCGGCAGCGGTCAGCAGAGACGCGCTTTCGGAGCTGATGGAGCGAGTGGAGCGGCGTCGATGGTGCGATGGCTTCCGCGTGTGGGACAGGTAGGAACGTCTCCTGCTTTCCTTGTCGGGGTACGATGCGACGACGCTGACTGCATGCACTCCTCCTGGCGTCATAAAGTGCTCTGTGGAGCCGAGTACAGCCACGCGCACTCCTTCAATCATCGTAGTCAGCAGGGGGGAGATCGTCAGCACCTCCCATGATCCTGCTGCCAGCGACACGTTCAGCAAGCGATTCGTCTGTCCGTCGTGACTCGGCTCGTTTGAGAGAAGCGAAATCTTGCCGGACCGGAAACTTCGAACAGCATACTGGGAGTAAAGGAGGCTCGACACCTGATCGACGTTGCCCTGCTTGTTGAGCATCTGCTTGACGTCGAGGACATCAAAGGTCGCTGCATCGCCTCCGCGCAGATTCCACAGACCCAGGGTCGCGCAAGAGGTGATTTCGTGCTGTACCGTCATCTTGAGGGCCGGTCCGGGTCCGTCGCCAACGAGATCGTCGAACACGGCATCGTGCAGCAAAGATCCTCGTGCCTGAACACAAACTCTCGCGCCGTCACCTGACAGTGTCTGAGGAGAGACGAGCGCGCGCATAGAGGGATGCTGGGGAGCATCCGCCTTGTCCGAGATCCAGAGACCTGCATCAGTGAAGGCTCGGAAGGATGCGTGGTAGCCCGTGTGGTCCGGTCCCTCCACTGTGCTTTCCGAAGAAAGCCCTTGCTGAGAACAGTGAGAGAGCATGTCGGCATCGCAGCTGTGTTCTGGAAGCAGCAGTGAGTTGTAGACATTATGCGACAGGTGATGGCGATGCGCTTCTGGGATCCGAGGGAAGAAGTCGTCGGTGCAGCGGATGGTCATGCCTTGATTCGGGAGGGTCTTGAGCGTGTTGGTGAGGTTCGAGGTGAACGCCATACAGTGGATCACGCCGTTGCCCGCGCCAAAGTAGCGCGTTGCGGCACCCTCCATCGCCTCAAATGCGGCTTTGCCGAGCGCCGCTGCACGAAGTGTCCTGGTGTGGCTGCCGAAGGCTTCAGAGGTGGTTTCGTCTTGCATCCATTCCCACTCAGCCTGAGCGTCAACCTTGACAAAGTCCACGCCGCTCTGTCGGAGAGTGTGGAATGCCCTGTCCCAGAAGAGGTGCATGTCCAGCTCGCTGGACTGGACGAACCAGTCGCGAGCGACGTGTCGGTAAGGATCTTGTACGCGAGCGTGACGCAGTGGTGCGCTCAATCCAGCAGCGATGGGTCCTTCGGGGTGAATGCCGTCCCAGTATCCCGCCAAAGTCATCCAGCAGCCGATGGATCGGATGGCAGGGAATCTTGCTCGGATGTAGGAAGTGTAGCGAGCAAGGACGGAGCTGATGACACTCTCATCAGATTGCGAGGTATGATGCGTATCTTCGAGATCGAACATGGCCGGGTTCATGTCGAAGCTGTTGAGTCTCCCACGATCTTCCGCACCGTGGACGACGTCTTGCCAGCCATCATCGATGAGCAGAGAAACGATGGACCCTTGGCCCAGGCGAGTCTCTGCAGCCTCGAGCGCAGCAACGACTTCCGACAGATACGGAAGGCGCTGCTCGTTCTGCATTGCCTCCCAGGTGCAGAAGCCAAGTCCGGCGCGAGGCTTGGGAGGGCTCGATGGAGCTTCGGCCTGGCACGTGCGATCGCCATTGACAGTGGACGCATCGCCATCTCGATCCTCCTGGGTCAGATTTTCGCTGTCGGTTCCAGGAATGATCATCGAGCTTGCTCTGCTGAGACCTTGCTGGGAGCCATCCACGATCGTAGAGTCGGAATAGAACGAAGTGTCGGTGTAATCGTACTCGTCGTAGTCGTACGGGATGGTGGGGATCATGTCGTCGAGGGCCAGAGAGGAGTCGCTATCGAGCAATTTCTTGGCTGACCAGGAAAGCCCGAGCGGCTCATGAATGCTGGTTCGAAGCGACTTGACAGCATTGGATCGGCATGCCGCAATGGTCTCTTTGAGGGTTGCTATTGTGCCGAGCGCGAATGATACCTTTGCTTGAGCGGCGCCGGCTCCAATGATCTGGAAGTCGACCTGAGCGCCGTCGCAGGAGCCACGAGCCAGTCGAGCTGAAGCACTGTCATCGTCGAAGGCTGGCAGGATCACGAGGATTTCGCTGTTGCTAGACTGAGCTAGCTCGAGAACAATGAGATTGGAGCCATAGTCCGGCGAGACTTCTGTGAGCGACCGGAAGCGTCTCGAGGTGCACCACGTCGACTTTGTCCTTTCGATGACCAGACCGGACTGGACGCTGCTTGCGTTGATGCTGAAAGCAATGTTGCTGGGGGCTGTTCGGCGCGATGGCACAAGGCTAGCCACTTTGATAGTCTCGTCAGCATCGAGAGGCGAGTTGCTGCCTCTGCGAAGCTGGAATTCGGTGCCTAGATGAGGTTCAATCAGTTGCTGGATTGTTGAGCCAGCCGTGTGCGCAGAAGGGAGGTAGATCTGACCATCGTTGGGCGGCGAACCGAGCCAATCGATCTTGCCATCGGGATGCACAATGCGATAGGTGAATCCAAAAGCTCCATCGGCAGCGTCTTTGGAGCACTGGACTGTTGCAGCAAATGCGAAGCCGCTCTTGCGGCCAGCCGAGGCCTTAAGAGGGCGAAGCGGAATGGCTTTCCAGGCGGTGGTGCGAGAAGCGGAAGCATGGTCAAGATTGGAAATGGGCAAGTCGGTCCATAGCTCGAGAGCAGCTTCGCCGTTGGCCAATGAGGCAGCAAAGTCGTCCGCTGGATAGTGGGCTGCAAAGGTGAGTCCGTCATCGCATGCCTGCGATTGAGGCACAGTGCGCGACGAATCGAGCGCTGGTTGGAAGAATGGTGCTGCCTGCATCGTAGATAGAGAGGAGGAGAAGGAAGCGGACGGGACTGTCCAGGGAGAGCCACGGACGGCTGATAGGGATGGCGTTGAAGAGGAGGGAAGCGCAGCGATGCGGGACACGCCTTCAATCTCGCCTGAGCTTTATACTGAAGTACTCAGAGCGCGGGGAGAGTGCGGGGCAAGCAACACTGAGACACGTTTAGGGTTCGAAAGGATGACTGAGACAGACGATCGATTGTCGTTCGGCAGCCGAGAGGAGTGGTGAACAATCGCTGCCAACAACAAGCAGGAATGATGGCGGAAGAGACAGCGAGCTACACAAGCAAAAGGTGCTCGGAGATGCCGCGATCGAGATAACGTGACAGTCGGATCGAAGCGACAATGGCAGGGCGAGTTACTGGACAAGGAGCGCTAAGCTGACTGTGTGGCTTGCCATCGGCGACAGCTCAAAAGGCTGTCACTTTCCTCCTCATGACCCTTCTCCGTGGGACGATCAGAAGAAGCATGAAAGATCAAGTTTGATACTGCAAGTCCATGCAGACGCACATGACAGATAGGATATGCAGCCTCCAATTTATTCTCCTCTGACGCGCCCGTGATGGGAGGAAAACAAACACTGAGACAGCGGACCCTTGGTTCAACTCAAGACCGGAAGGGTCATTCCATGGAATGGATTGCCAGCAAGCCACAACGGAAAGGTCGATGTTCGTTTGTCCTTTCCTTCCTTTCCGTTCGACTCGCTATGCAAGGGGAACAAGCTCAACGAGGGGAGCTCGCAGAGAGCCGTTCCGACGTCGGAGGTCGGTGTTGAGAGCTGCAAGCTGCACTCGTCGATGAGTTCAACACACGTGGGGCGAGCTGCAGCTCGTCGTCTGAATTGATGCAGCGGCAGGCGATCCAGCTTAGCCCGCCTTGTTGCTGTGCCTGACCTCTGTGCCTCACTATGCTCGCTCCTCTGCATCTGCCCTCCTCGCTCCAGCGATGCGACGATCGCAGCCTCGGCGTCTGCACCGGTCGAATCGGTGGTAACTATTTGATCAATTGATGTATAAACGTTCTGGCTCGCACCCACGATGCCATCTTCAGCGCGACACCTCTCTGGCCAAGTCCTAGTCGGATGAGAATGTTCTATGGGCGAACAGGCTGGCGATCAGTGGACAGAGAGAGTAGATTGGTGCATCATGGCGGCTAGCAGAAGCGAGGCCAACAACAACACGCCCACCTTTGGCGTGCTTGGCGCGTAAAATTGCACGCGAGCGTCTCTGACGCGCTCGCTCGCTCCCATGAACCTGCAAGCCCGAGGCGGGGCTCCAATTCCAGATCAGTCCATCTGCAGGCACTGTGGCCTCGTTCGCCGTTTGACGTCAATCGCTTGACCTGTGTCCAGCCATCTTTCACCTGAGATCCGACCTTGTTCGTGTTCCCATGGAAGCTCTTACCCGAGTCGAAGGACAGGACAATGGGATCATGGTTGAGCAGCCAAGTCACGAGGACAAAGACGGCAGCCTTGGGTTGGTGTCTGCTCATCTTCGACTCGGTCTTCTACACACTCGGGTCTTGTCTTGGTTGATGTATGGAAGGCTCTCTATTGAAAATGGCAATGAGCCAGCTAGGCTCGGTGAGAAGTTCAGGACGTCAGCCCTAGGTCTGCTTGTTGCGACCGAATCCAAAGGTCTTGCTCAACGTCCGCGTCGACAAGCTCGGCTTGCGTGTGGGTTGGTGTCCTGCTTCCACCGTGCCTCCGCTCATGTCAGCGCCGTTGGCCAACTGCTGCACGGAGTTGCGCTTCGACTGTGCTGCCGACGATGAAGATGAGGAAGAAAACAGGTTCGACAGCATACCTTCCCTTTTCTCGCCCTTCTCTGCCGTTGGCGACAAGGGCATATAGCTCGAAGACGCTCGCCGGGCCGTCTTGGTCTGCGACTTTTGGTTCTTGGACGACAGCAACCTTTCCAGAGGCGCAAAGCCGCTGCCGGTCGACGTCTCGCGCTGATGTGGTGCGTTCGATGATGTATGAGAGGTAGCACTTGCTTCCATGGCCGACGGCGTCACTGCGGCATGATGTGCATCTTCCGGTTCAGCTGTAAGATGGCCCCCGTGAGCCATGCCTGATCGGCCATTTGAATCGGGTGGTGCTTCGGACAAAGCGTTCGGGGAAGGGAAGCCCTCGGAAGCGGCACGAGCACGCCGGTTCATTGCGCCTCGCATAAAATTCTGCTCGCGAGCATCACGGTTGGCGGCAGCATCCCCTTGGTTCAAGAGCATTCGGCCGTACTTGGACTCGCTGGGCGAATCGGTTGTAGCGCGGCTCACGCTCGCATCCGTGGTCGACGCTGGCGTGGTTTCCATCGTCGAGAAGCCATTGTGGGCTAACGGCGCAGTGTGCTCAGTCGCCGGAGTTGCTGCGAACGACGTGACTAAGGACGTGCCGCGGGAGGCGCCGTCGTTGGCAGCAGCCGAGTGCGTCGATACGGAGCCGTCGTCTGGTGTTGTGCCCGCAAGTTCAGCAGCAGCATGCTTGGCAAGCTCACCGTGAGTTGCCGAAGTAGGCACGTCAGGCAAGCCAGGCGCAATCGGATCTGCCGATGATGTCGTCTTGGGTCGGCGCCTCGACTGACTTCCTGCTCGTTTCTCACGGTTGCGGAAGGACCCGAACCATCCGTTGCCGCTTTGACCAGCTTCGGCCCCACCCGCTGCACCAGCCGAGGTGACTGCGCTTCCTTCGGTCACGGAGTCCAGCCGCGATCGATTCGCCGTTGCAGCGCCAGCCGATCGGTCAGGAGAGATGTTGCTGCGTGGATCAGCGAAATCAGGCGCTTTTAGGCCCGCTCTGCCCCTGCCATCCAGATCGGCGGCCGCCGCTATCCTCTGCTGGGCCAAAGCGTGAAGCGCAGGATCCTCCAAGCCGAGAACCTCAAAGTCCAGATCGACAGCCTGATAGAAAAGGACGTATGCGCTGCCGAGACCAGGTCGATCGCCGTAGTATTTGCAGATCTCGGCTTCATCGATGTAGGTCACGACGTCGTCGTCGAACTGCACCCATCGATCGCCCACCTTGATCACCGCGATGTAGTGTCCGTGATGAGGCCCTGCTCCGATATGCACGACGATGCCGCTCAGCTCGTAGAGTCGATCGGGATCTTCGGCGTCGTCCGAGGTGTTGAAAAGTCGAAGCTCGAGCGGAAAGACGACGCGATAGGCGAGCTTGACGAATCTCTGCACCGTCTCCTCATACTTGAAGCGCTTGAGGTGAAGTGCGAGCACATTGGGGAGCTTCTTGATCTTCATTCGCTTCTCTGCCTCTTGCAGGCCGGAGCACGAGTCGCAAAAGAACTTGTTGCGGGAACGGAGCATTTCCGAGGCCGAGAACTGACGCAGGCACGACGTGACGGACGAGTTCTGTTCGATGTCGATCGAGAGATCCAAGAAGCACTCGTCACGAGAGGTGACCGTCTCGCACGTGAGGCAGCGGGTCTCGTTGGTCAAGACGCCTTCAAACAGGCGATGCACGCACGTCTTGCCGTTGGGTCCCACTTCCATGACGTTGCGTTTCCTTTGAGCATCGACCGTTTTGTCCGAATCGGTCCTTGCATTGAGGTATGGATTGCGGCTCTGCATCCTCACGCGGTTCTTGGCCTTGTCAGCATCGATGAGGTCTTCGCCGACCTTGTTGAGCACAAAGTTGAGCATTTCGTGTGCATCCTGGTGCATGGTGCTATCAAAGAGCACATTCTCGCGCTTGAGGGTGCTCAGGAAGGACTTGACCGCGCTCGAGTCGACCGATGGAAAGCCGGAAGCGACTGTGCCTATGGAGCCGGTTGAGATGGACAGGTTGGGTGGACCCGAACCTGCAACCGAGTTGGGCGTGATGGGGATGGCTTGAGCTGCAGTGGCACTGGCGTTGACTGTGGCGGCAGAGACGGTCTGGTTGCCTGCTCCACCTCTGCCGGAAGTGGTGCCGGCAGTGGAAGGACGACCCAAGATTGAAGTCTTCCTCGAGACGCCTGGCTGCTCTGCAATGGTGGGAGGGGAAGGCGATATTGGGCTCGAGAGCGGGAGGGATCCGGGAGCTGTGGACCGGGTGGGGGAAGAGAGCGCCTTTTGCTGCCCCGATTGCTGGAAGACTTCGAAAAGATCGCGCATCGAGGCAAATAGCGTATCCGACGAAGGAACTCCGTCGATGCTGTCAGGTGTCGTATCAGGGAGAGTCCGAGAGGCAAGGTCGCCAATGGTGTGGATGCCATGCTGGCTGCCCGCGTCGGATTCGGACCGCTCTCGACTTGAAGTCTTGTAGCTGAGCAACGAATCCCGGAAAGGTCGGCAAAAGTAGAGCGACTGGATGATTGAGTTGACATAGCAGGTATTGCCAAAGTTCTCCATTCCGAGAAGATATCCTCCGCCCTCGACCGAGTTGACGGGGATCTCTGATGGTTTTCGCGAGATGATCAGGGAGGACTGGGCGGTGGAGGCGGACGATGGGATGAAGCTGGTGCTGTGATGTGGGGTTGAGCTCGGGATCATGCCGCCAAAGAGAGGCACGGAGGGTGTTGTTGGCTGAGTCGCTGAGTACGGATTGGAATTGAGTGGTGATCGAGACGCAGACGGACTCATGGCAGATGCACCTGCTGCGCTGGATGCGGCGGCTGCATTGGCAGCAACTGCGCTCGACGCGACGTGATTTGCGGCGGTACCGGTCGATGCTGCAGAGCCATTGATGGCAGCCGATGTGCTTGGAGAGGCAGATGACGAGGATGCAGACGTCTGATTGACGCCTAAAAGACCTTTCCAGCTGAACGACGACATGGTGACGACCGATGGTGAATCCGACGAGGATTGAGACGTTGGATCGGGGAAAGAATCGGAGCAGCCGAACACAAGGTCACAAGGTGACAGCTCGGAGGGCGTGGGACCTGTCAAGTCGAGTCGAGCTGGTTCTATGGGAGCATTCTAGTGAGGATAGATTCGGCTTTGCACCGGTGTGCGAATGTGATAAGCTGTCGAGATCGACGGCGAGGTCCAAAGCGCTCGTGCCGCTGAGACCGCTGAGCCTCTTGCTACAAACCAACGAGCGTGGGATCGTCCTTCGGCGAAAGTACCGACGAGTGTGTCGCAGTGGATGTCGGATCAGATCGCGATGGAGCAGAGGATCGTGTTGGTGTGTGTTGCGAAAGGGTAAGCGGATCGGAAGGGAGTGTGGAGAGCGCGGCCAGGCAAAATGATGGAGAAGGAGGAGGCACGGTCCTGTCCGCGTGGGCTTCGGCGCTGCAGGGTTGTCTTGCGAAGCTGACGACCCTCTTCTTGTCACTGCGCAGTCGTGAAGCAGCAGCAAAGAAGCAGCCAATTCGGGATTGAGAAGCAGTAAAGCTCTCTCCCTAAGCACAAGGAGAGTCAGGGTTGGCTCGGCTCGTCGGTCGGTCGGTGGTCGGCCAACTAAGTGACTGACTGACAGGGCTTCAAAGTCAAGAAGACACGCCAAGCTGAGCGAGCGCAGGCAAGTTGCTTCGTTGCTCTCGCTTTCTTAGGTGCTGTGCCTGATTTCGTTGGCTCGGTTTTGGATCTGGTCTCGCTTCCTCTTCCAAGACCCTTTCTTTGGCTTCGCCTTGTTTTCCGAGCTCTGCCTCACTTTGCAACAATCTCTCGTTGTCGTATTGTCCTCTCGTTTGGGCACATGATGGAACATTGGTTCCGCTGCGGATGGCTGTATTGGAATGCGGGTCGATCTGGCGCCTCGTCCAAGTGTGGGTCCGATGGATTGCAGCAGCCGTGTGCCGGTCAAAGCGCACTGCGGAGAGATCCATTTGGCGTAATGAAGAAGGAACAGAGCCTTCCGAAATGGTAATGCGAATCAAGGGTTCAAAAAGGCAAATTGAAGCCAACAAAGCGTCGCTGCTACTTGAAACCAATACAAAGCTTCTTCTGGCCCAAAAAAAGGGAAAGAGAGAGAGGCGTCCTTTCGCGAGGTGCATCATCGAGCAGCAGCTGCAGCGAACCATGCGCCCAGCCACATCCTCGGTCCGCCAACGGAACGAGGTGTCGTAGGATCGTGGGGCAGCAGCAATCACCCTCATCTCAAGCCTCTGACGTTACGTTCCCCGCACTCTTTCGGCTGTGGTGAGACCGGCGCATGAGCGTCAATGCTATCGGTCGCCGGCTTCGTTTCTATGCTGTTTTCCAGCTTCCGCATGGTTGATCATGACGATGCCTGAGAGCTCTGACCGGCGAATTGCTTTTGCTATCGTGATAAAGGGCAGCGGAGGGTGCCGAGATCAGCTGGATAATTCTTTCGTGTCGAGTTTTGACTTGACTACATGCAAGGTCAAAAAATCCCTGTTAGGGGGGCAGCCGGCTAAGCAAGACTTTTTCTTCTCCCTTCGGGTGGGACCTAAGTTTGATTTGGGTGTGGGACCGGACCTTGTCTCCTTGTTCTTTTTGGCTCCGCCCGCATACACTCGCAGTGAGCTGCTGCTTAGCCGGCAGCTGGCAGCCGACACGACACCCGTCAAAGCGTAGGAAAGAAAGGCAATCCAAAGTCAAATTTTCGTTTCTACTTAGCCGCTGGCTGCGCAGGACTGGCAGAAAGGCTAGCTAGGCAAGCCTAACCGGCTCAGCCACGCTTCCGCACCTCTCCTTGTCCCTTTCTCACTCAGCTCAACTCAACTCAACCGTTCCCGCAAAAACGCTTTCTACGTCGTCCCTCGATCCCATCCCCTCCCTTCCTCACCATCACCCTTCCCAGACCCGACCATGGATACCACGATGGAAGACGATCTCGTCGGAGAGCGTCCTCGCATTCGCAACTCCCAAGCTTGCTTAGAGTGAGTACCCATGTCAGCACAGCAGACACCCCTCCAAACACGGCGAGACATCCGGGCCTGCGGCAATGCATACGCCATCGCAGCATGTTCCGCCCTTCTGCCCTTGCCCCTCTTCAACATACTGACATCTACATTGCCCTGCTCCCGCCATTTGACCCTGTCCGTCACCTCGCTTGGTACCCTCCTCCCTCCTCCCTTTCCATGTCCTTCTGCACTACGGCTATCCCATCTTAACAGATGCCGGAAAGCCAAGATCAAGTGCAACGGCAAACGCAAGGACGCACAAAACTGCACTCGCTGCGAGGCTAAGGGCATCGAATGCAACTGGACTGCTTCTCGTCGAGGCAAGAAGCCCGGAACTAAGAACCTTGCGACACGCGCGCGAGAGCAGACCGAAGCCATGCATCGACAGCACGACAGTCCACTCCAATCACGCAGTTCTATGAGCCAGCTCGATCGCAGTCCTCCCGTCCCGCACCACACCAGCTCTACCTCTGCTTATCGGCGCAGCGTAGCATGGGATCATCCCGGCCCTTCAGGCATGAGCAATTCGTATTCGCAACCATTGACGGTGGATCCTTATCACCCTCACCACCGCCACGGATCCGACGCAAGCACCAGCAATCACCAATCGCCTCAAAGCGCTGGAGCCTCATCCGCCTCAGGCTCGCACCAGTCTTCTTCGGTCCCCACTGCTATCTCTTCCGGCGGCCCACACAGCAGTCATGCGAGCATCGCCAGCACCGGTAGCGGTCGACGCACCTCCAAGTACCATGATGGTCTCTTGATCCGCGAATCGCGCATGCCTCCTTCTTCCACCAACCCGCTTCTCTGCCTCTCGGAAGCTGCGCTCGGAAAGCGATGCACAGACTCGGACAGCGAGGAAGACGAGCTCGCTGTAGAGAACGGACACGTCGACGATGCCGCCTACAGTCCTGCGCCACCTATCGATGCGAAGAAGCGCAGCTCTTCGCAGATCCATCCTGACGATCCGCCTCACGACGAGGACGATGCGCAGTCCCGCTCCGCTCGCGACATTTCTGCTATGCTCGAAAACAACGGCTGGACCCGATCTTGTCTCGGGCACGCCGCCTGCGAACGTGCCTCCTACTTTTCTGGCGCGTCCGCCTCTGCAAACTGGGACACGCGCCGATGTGACCCGCTGGATCAAGGCATTGTCACCATGGACGATGTGCACCGCCTCTTCAAGATCTTCATGGATGTCATCCATGAGCAATTCTGCATCCTGGACCCCATCATCCACAATGTCGAGACCATCAAGGAGTCGTCCAACTTTCTCTTCTCGGTCGTTCTCGCCATCGCCGCCTCGGTCGATCGCAATCCGCGCTCCGTTCAGCAATTCGAACGACTTCGCACTCTTGTCGATTCGCTCGTCGTCGAGGTACTGAGTCGCAACGTCAAGAGTGTCGAAGTCGTCAAAGGCCTCATCGTCTGGCCAATGTGGGCGCATCTCACCCCGCTCATGGCCGAAGACCGAGCGTGGCTGTTGATTGGAACCGCCGCACGTATGGCCAAGGAGCTTGACCTTGCCATGCGCGAGGATACGCCGCAGGAAGATGAAAAGGCCCGGCGTCACGCTCGAGACCGCTCGAGGACGTGGGCTCTGACAGCCATCATGGAGAGGAGCTTTAGTTCCTTCTCCGGCCAACGACCCAACACCACCCTGGATGTCGACTGGGGCACACTCAACGACTGGCTCAAGTCGCCCATCTCCCTCGACGGCGACATCCAGGTGGTAGCCTTTCTCCATTTGCGCCGCATCGAAGAGATCATGCGAACGCGCATCTTCAGCCAGAGCTACTATGAAGTCGGTTCGATCGAGAGCATTCGTGTCTCTGCCAATGTCCTGCTCGGCGCTTGGTCCGAAGCCTGGTGCGAGCATCCTGCGTTGGACAGGCATCCTCTGACTTCCACCACGATGCGCATCATTGGTCTGCATATCCAGGTTCTGATCAACACACACGCCATTCGAGAGTCTGACCGAAGGAGGGCCATTTGCGAGGCATCCAACATGCGCATCCTCCGCGTCTGCGGCAATTCGGTCAAAGCTGCGCGAGAGAACTGCGTGGTGCTGCTGACAGATGCCTGTCGACTAGCGCTGGACAGCCTGCATGGCAACGCGAACATCATCAGCCGCATCGTGGCAGCCATGCTCGGCTGGTCCGGTGTGCATCTGCTCAAGAATGGTCCGATCGAGACACGCGGCTTGGTGGTGCAGCTTGGCCTCATGCTCGCCGGTGATCCGCACGACAAGACGCATTCGAGATCGTTTGCTCGCTTCTACGGCCGCTTCATTCTCTCGCTCAGTGCTGAGCTGGTCGAGAGGGACCGAGCGGAAAAGTCACGAAGAAAGCGACAGCGTCTTCGAGGGTCTTCGCACATGTCGGCTGGATCTAGCGCTCTCGGTGCGCCCAGTCCGCGCGCAACGGGCGACCCGCTCGACATGCGACGCAGTGTGACGGCGGGCGGCGGTGCTGCTCCCGGCTACGACCTCAGCAAGGCAACGGCGGCGCCGCGACCTTCGACGCCAGGCACGTCGATGGCGGGAACAGCAATGAGTGACATGGCTTTTGCCTTCGAGTCGGCTGCGCAGAACGGATTGCAGACTCCAGGTCTCTCGGGTCGCCCGCCTTTTGTCGGGGCCGCATCGGGTACGGGAATGAACATGCCGGGCTCGTCCGCAGGCGGTGCCAGCTATCCATACCCCTACGCTACCACACCGGGCATCCCCGCATCGGGTCCAGGAGGTAGCAGCATGACCGGCATTCTCAACGCAGCCCCGTCTCCACTCTCCTCCGCCTATCGTGGAGGCCACATGTCGACGCCCATGGGCTCCGGTAACGGGCCCTCGTTGGACCCGGTGACCAGCACCTGGCTCGGCACGGACGATCTGCTGGACTCGTACATGCAAAGCATCCTGCCCATCTTCAACGACTTTGACCACGCGACCAACAACAGCATGGCCAATGGCATTGGTGGCGGTGGTGGTGTAGGCGTGCCTCTGTCTGAGGTTGGGCGCTGAGGCACACGCTTCTCTTCTCGTGTAGCATTCAGAGTAGCGATCAAGTATACCCGCTTCTGTGATCTGGTCAATCTGATCTGTGCCACAAGGCATCTTTCTCATCTTCAGTGGTTGCGGCAGGCATGTTCGCGAGTTAGACGGGTTCCAGAACTTGAGCGGCACCAGGGTCTAATCTCGAACCGCAGGCGTGAGATGCCAGCCTGCGGTCTGCGCTGAAAATAGAGTTTGACTTGCCAAGCTGTCAAACGGCTTCAAACACGGCGAGAGCAGGTTCGGAACGCATAGCAACCATGAACCGATCACTGAGTATGTGTGACTCTGTCACTTCCCTCAAAGCTGGTTGACGAAGTAATCCACGGGCATGTCGGTGAAGAGCCATCGTTTGAATCTCCGCCTGACAGCTGCTGAAAGGGTTTTGACCCGCTCGCTTGGACACGCGCTTGAAACAAGGCTTTGCTTCGGCTAGAGGCTTGGGGGATGTATCCGAACGTGCTGGTCTTCAACGGTGTGGCGAGGCACTGCAACTGGCTGTTCGGGAAGATGCGCACGCTGCGAAAGACGGTTCGCGGTTGTCTTTGCCGTCACAGAGTGTCCCCTCACGACCACCATTCCGCTCAAGCTGATATCGAGACCGTTCCGGCTAGGTTTCCGGTGCTAACACGAGCGACAATGACGGTCAAGCAGCTAGCCGCAGCCGGCGGGTCCTCCGCTCACCACGCAGCCCAGGCGCACGCCCACCAACCGCATCACCTCAAGTACGGCAACATCATTGCGAGCGGGTTCGCGCCCGACGACTCTGACGACGAACAAGATGATCCCATTGAAGACGAAACCTTCTCTGGCGGTTCGACCCTCAACACCACCGCCTCGACCTCCTCCGCACCACGAGATGCCGCCTCGCGCCGCTATCGCAACCTGGAGCGGCTCGACGCTTCTTCCCGTGAGCTCCACTCCACCCGTCGGTACCTCTTCCGCCGCCCGCGCGCGCTCCAGTACTTCCGGGGCAACACCCTCGTCCGTTCCTCGGCCGAACGCTCCTCGCATCGGCTCGAGCTGTTCTTCGACCTGGTGTTCGTCGGACTCATCGCGACGCTTGCCGAGGAGGCGATTCACGAGCACACCTGGGGCGGCATTGTGCGATATGTATTGACGTACACCGCAGCGTGGATGGTGTGGAACTACATGCGCGAGGTGTTCAATGCGTTTTTCGTCGATGACCTACCGCAGAGGGTGCTGGTGTTGGGCGTCATGGCGTGCCTCGTGGTGTTTGGGAACAACGCACCGAACGCCGAAGAGCTGCACGAAGAGTCCGGTGCGAGAGCAACCGCGATCGGGACGTACCTGTTGGCGGGCGGGATGGTGTTCAGCGTCATGACAGCCTACTCGTTCTACATCTGCCAGTATCGCATCCAGATTCGCGCACAAGCCACCGTCTGGCTCATCCTACTCACTCTATGGATCAGCTCGATCTTCGTTTCCACCCGCACCTGCATCGCTATGGTCAGCATCGCTCTAGTACTCGAGTACGCCTCGTGGCTGTTCTTCTACAGCCCGTTGTTCAAACGCCTCGCCAAGCTGCGATACAGCTCGGCGGTGGCGATCGAGCACGAGATCGACCGCTTTACGGATTTTGTCACGCTAGTCCATGGCGAGTTCCTGTACAGCGTTCTATCGGGTCAACCCGTTGGAACGGGGTTGCACTCGGGTGTCGCGCGAACACTCCTCACTGTAGTGATCGCGTTTGTGCTTCATGGCATGTATTGTACCGGCGCAGGCAGTAGAAGGATCACCCACCCAATCAGACGGTCAATGTGGCACGCTCTGCCGTATTTCGGATTGCACCTGCCTTTGGTTTCGGCGATAACATTGTGCGGTGATGCAACGGCGGAATTGGTCAAGGAGAACGAGGTGGCGCAGGGGGTGAGGTGGATCTTTGCTGGATCGTATGCGGTCGGTGTTGTGTGCATGACCCTGCTGGTGATGTTGGAGACGGAGCACGACGATAAAGGCGAGCTGTACTTTTCGAAAGCCGTACGGATCGCACCGAGATTCGTGGCGGCGATAGTGGTGGCACTATTGCCGCTGGCAGATCAGGAGCGGGTGAACTCGACGGCGCTACTTGGTGCAGCGGCGGCGTTGGGAGGTGGCGCGTGGATGTGGCAGGAGTTGGGGTCGTTGGACGGTCCGAATGCGGCATGGTACCAAAAGGGTCAGGTTCAGGGTGCCGAAGGGCAAGAGGAAACACAGGCGGGTAGGAGGACGTGGAAAGGCTTTCCAACGCTCGTCGAGCCAGGTGCGTGGATCGTGGACTCGACCAGGCAGCGGGGTCGCTCGACCACGTTTGAACAGGAGTCTCGTCCGGCTGCCACGGCGACAGAGGCAGCTGACGAAGTGCACACGTCGCATTCCAAGCTTTCAGACGTCTGAGGTGCGTCGACGGACACTGTTAGAATGATTCTGATGGTGCATGAACGATGGTATTGTCATGCTGTATAATCCACGAGAATACAATAGCTTGGCATCGTCCAAGCTCTATGAGAAGAAGCCGACCGAATTGACAAACGTCAGCGAAATGAAAGACAGCGTAGCGGTCCAGAAGAACGTCAGCGCGGGGAAGGCGTGATCGATGGACCATCCATAGATGACATTGTTGATAAGCGGACCGGTGGTCTGCATCACGGTCGCTAGGAGGTTGACAAAGCCCAAGAAGGCATCGCGGGCGGCGACGGGGTCTTCGGTGGGTCGGTCCTGCGCGAGGAAGTAGTCGACGCTGAGCGCTTGTACCGATGGCAACGCTCCCGATGCGAAGAGCAGGAAGAACGTGGCTGTAGGAATGAAGTCAAGGGAGGAAAGGGGTCAGTGTTTGCCGATCGACTTCTGTTTCGAGGCTAAGCGGGATACTCACAGCCGTAGATGCCGGCGACCGAAAGGTGCGACGCAGCAATACCCATTGCAATGAATCCCAAGCAATCGCACATCAGCGAACCCGTAGCAACGATCCCATCGGTCTTGATCACCGACTCCTCGCGCTTCACCAGCCTCGTCGTTGCGTCCGGCAGACTTTCCACTGACGCAGCCAGGGCCTCCTGTCGCATTCTCCTCTTCACAACCCGATGTACCAACTTGACGATCGGAGGAAGGCAGAACATTGCGAATAGACCCTTGCTCGCCCCGAGCACGCCGAGCAGCGTCGACACTTCCTTCGGCCCAAAGTGCAGATGCGTCGAGCAAAAGACGACCAGGTTCGACCAGATCATGGTGATCGTATCGCAGGTGATAATCGCACAGAGGATGAGGGGGAGCTTGTAGTCCTTCTTGGCTTCTGGAAACGGTTGGTAGGGGAGCAGATACCCGAAAAGACTCAGGGTGTCTTTAACCGACTGAAGGGAAGCTGTTTTCCAGGACTCCGAGTGTGGAGAGGTTGGAGTTGCTCTGCTAGGCTCTGGCGAGTCGATCAAGCTGCCTTCGCTCGAGATGGAGCTCCTGCGCGAGCGTGGTGCTGCAGAAGCCAGATGTTTTGTCTCCGGGAGGAACAGGACCACGAGGACGAACGCGATCGCAAAGTTGATGACGACCATCCAGAAGGGTGAGAATGGACCAGTGTGGTAAAGGATGCTAAAGTTGAGATCGAACGCCGGCAGGATGAGTCGAAGCAGCACCGACGAGATGCCCATGCCGATCGTTTGGGTAGCATAGACCTGGGCGAAGGCGGACGTCTTTTCATCCTCCTTGCAAACGTCCAGGGCCATGACCTGGGCCAGGAGCGGCACGGCGGTCTGAGGAGCACCAACCAAGCCTCCCACAACGAAGAGAGCGAGCAGAAGGTTGAGCGAAGCTGTTGGGTGAAGCGTGGACGTCGACGGCACAGCTGGGTCGAACGAGTAATGGCTCGGGATCGAGGCTGCAAGAATGTACAGGACCAGCGTGAAACCCACGGACGCGATGCCGATCGTTCGTCGACGGAAGTGCGGAAGGACGCCCTTCGCGAGAACGAGCGACATTATGCAGCTCGTCAGACTACTGAATGTGTCCAAATACGTCGACACTTCGTTGGTTCGTTTGTCGACCCAGGCGACTGAGCACAAGTCTGATGGGTCCCCTGCCGCGGGAAGCGTTGGGAAGACCGATCCATCGGACTGTACGGGATAGTAGTACTCGGCGCATGCAAGCGTCTGGATGAGCTCGACAGCAAACGAGTTCCAGATGCCGATGCCGACAAAGTAGAGCGTATTGAGAACGAGGATGAAGATCAGGGCTCGTTTGCGCTGCCATTGGAGGTACTCGTCGCCGTCCTTGTCCTCTGGCTCCGATAGAAAGGACAGAAATGCAGAGGATCGACGGCGTGCTAATGACCAGCGGCCCTCGCCTTCGGTAGCATTGTGGTAGTTGAGCAGCGGTGTCGTCTCATCTTGCGGGTTGGATGGTCGTCGCGTCATCTCGGCGAGTTACCTCAAAGAGGGAACATGAAAGGCTGGACTTGCGCGTGAAGAAGCTGCCTTAAGCGCCGACTCAGCTGAACAACGAGCTGCAGTTCTCGTGGTTGGAAGGACTTGGTCGTGGATGGTGGTGGTGGACAAGCAAGCCAAAGTGGCGGACAGACAAGGAGTGTTTTGGCCGATGAGGGATGCAGGTACTATCAGGCAGGACCCTGATCCTCGGCAATCCATTGCTCTCCGCGGCCATTTTCTGCTGCGGTCACGATGTCGGCGGTCAGGGAACGTCCAGGCGCTCTGCTTCCGAGTGTCGTGATCACATCACGCAACTCCGTCGCAAAGCGGCCACTGTGTTCGCTGCGATAACGAAGCCGAACGTGCAGGCGGACGGCTGCAGTATCGCTCACGATCCTCGAGGTCTTCCGAAATTTCATGCACCGGAGGACAGCGTTCCGATACATTCGTGCTCAGCCATTTACTTGGTGGACAGATCCCTCGAGATGACCGGGCAATCTACAGCAGGCGCAGCTCCAGCTGACGGCGTCGAGCGGGCGTTCTTGCGAATCAACATCATTCTTACAGACAGGCAGATCCTCGACTCGCTGACTGAGCCTTCACTCCAAGAAAAACGCTGAGCGGACATGCTCGATCAACGAGCCGCCAAGTTGGAGACAGTATGCACAATAAAATGTCGTCAATGATGCGCTGTGTAGTTTACATGAATGTCAAAGCCACCAGAGACGAAGGACGACAAGGCAGACAGCAACCAGTCCAGGTCAAACGTGAGCGTTGGCCGATGGGGCGACAACGCTGCGCTCTCTGTTCCGTCACGCTCGCCTTGCTTTTGTGGATGAGGCAGGGTGAGATGCAATGATGAAAGTGACAGCTTAGTTGGCAGCAACGGCTGGCGCTGATGATTGCTGCTGTGCCTCTGCTGCGGGTGCCGACTCGCCCTCACGCTTCGACTCGTTGTTGTGCGAGCGGTCTCCACGCTGGCCACCCTGGTTGCGCTGGCCACCACGACCGCCACGGCCGCCGGGACCACCACGCTTGTCGTTGCCGTTGAGGTTGTGTGTGTTGTTGAGCGAAGGCGGGTGCGCCTTGCGGTCGATGGCCGTGCCCATGGCCGAGGTGCGGAAGGTGAAGCCTCTTGTCTTCTCGATGATGGTCTGGTAGATGGGAGGGTGAGTGGGGTTCATGAACACCATGCCCTCCTTGAAGTCGATCTTGGCATCGGCACGAGTGTCGCGCACGAGGTTGACAATCCACTTCTCGCCATCCTCCTTGGACAGGTTGAGTCGCTTGACGAGGTCAGCGATGTCGACCTTGGAGTGGATGCGGCAGTAGGCTTCCGAGATGACAACACGGCATGCCTCAATCAGCTCGTCCTTGAATTCGCCGAGGAAGAAATCCTTGCCAGCCACCTGCTCGGCAAGGGTGAGCTGCTCTTGCGCTGCCTCAAAGTCGAAGTCGACAAAGAGCTTGGAGAGGAAGTCGACGATGGGATCGGTGCCGGCGAGACGGTACGATTCTGAGTCGATGATGTTGGTGATATCCTTGATAGCTGCCTGCGGGCTCAACTTGTTGACGTTGGCGCTGGATGCCGAGGACATGAGCGTAGCAGGACCGGGCTGCTGCACCAGGTAGACGCGCGTTGTTCGTCGCGAGAGGAGGAGGGCAGCCACAACGTATCGGAGCAACCACCAGCAGGTGGTCTGGATGGTGTTGAGGTAGACGGGCGAGAGGAACATCTCGACGAGCTGCTCTCGGCCTTGAGGGTGGTTGAAGAAGATGAAGAGTGCCCAGTGAAGCAACCATGCGCGCTTCTTCAAGAGTCCCTCCTGAGTCAAGTCGTCGGTCTGTGCGGCACCGTTGGAAGACGACGATGGCGCATGGGAGGCGGTCGCGTGAGCGGCAGAAGAGTCAATCTGCTCGCGCAGCAGCTTGAGCTCGCCGAGCGCCTGCTCCCATTCACCGCAGAGGATGTCGCTGGCGAGCTTACCCCAGTGCGAGCTCATGATGAGCACAGGGTCGGTCGAGAGAATGCGGAAGTGGTAGAGGTACGAAGAGGCATCGGCGTAGTTACCGCAGTTGAACTGGAAGTATCCGTATCGGTACAGAGCGTTGATCTGCTCGCTGGTGAGGCTGTACTTCTCCTCGAGCCATTGCAAGTTCTGCGCCTTGTCCTGTTTGAGCGCGGAGGCGACCTCTGGGTCCTGAATGACATTGAGGACATGGTCGACTTCTCCGCCCAGCTTGTCGTTGAGAGCGATGGCAGTGTCTCGCTGCTTTTCGATCTCGGCGGGTGCGGGCTGGTTGGGGTAGGCCTGTTCGTGGAGCTGCAAAGCATAGTCGACCATGGAGGTGTTTTTTGCGAGTTCATACTGGGCCTTGGCGATGTCGGCTTCGGCGAAGATGCCGGTTCCAGCGAGGTGCGAGAGGAGCGGCAGGCCCAGATGCCTGTCGAGGTAGGGCAAAAGGGTCTGTGTGAGGTCGTACTTTTCCGCCATAATTGCGAGTGTGACGATGGTCGATCTGGGTTCAGTCGAACCGATCCGTGAGAGTCGAGTGTCGATGTGGTCCTGTGCAAGCAACGATGACAAGTTGCTGTAGACGACAGGGGTTGACGTGGTCGAGATGGTGGTCTGAAAAGCCTTCTGCGACTCTGGAAGAGTTGCGCTCCCATCTTCACACACACGCGCTGCGAAAGCTCTTTCCTGGTAGCACAGCGCTTCAAGGCTTGAGCAGCGCGCGACTTTCTTAGATTTTCTTCTCGTTCCCTTTCTTCTCACCTTCGCGAGAGGAAAACCTTTTCTGCCTCTCTCTCGTTGCTTCCAAATTTTGTATTCAGCTCTGCAGCCTTTTCAAAGTCTTTGGGGCTGAGCTGCTATGATACTCTTCTCAACTGAAAAGCGAATCGGGAGAGTTGTATATCGCCGATTTGCGATTTTCGACCTTCGGCTGGACCCTGCATCGATGGATGAGTCTTGAGCTTGCTTCTTGCCCCGCATTCGCCACTGCCCTCCATTCCTTCATCCATCCGGAATCCTCTCACGGACATTCGAGTTTTCGATAGAACTCTCAATCGTCGTCATGGTGCTTACAAGATCCCGGTCGGCCACGCCGGCAAGGTCGATCGCAGCTTCTTTCGGTCCCTCCAGCAAGGCCTCAATCACGAGCCGAGCAGTCCCGGCGAAACGTGGACTTCAACGATCAGCGACAGATAGCACGTTGGTCGCATCAAAAGAGGCAGCGAGTCCTCAAAAGAAGGCAAGAACGGCCTCACAATCCGCCTCAACCTCGTCAACATCTAGCGCAGCCAAGGCCGCACGCTCAGGCAAAGAAAAGGCGCTAGAAGAGCCCTTCGTCATTCCGCACGACGCGAGCGAAGAGGACTGCTTGACAAGGACCACCGTCCCATTCCCAGCGCTACCTTTCGACCTCTCACAAGCGCAAGCCCATCTGTGCGCCGCGGATGGTCGCTTTGAGCGCCTCTTCCAGAAGGTCCCCGTGCGCTGCTATGAAGAGGCCATAGACCCATCCGCATCCGACACGAAAGACCTCAACCTCTTCAAGACAGTCACCACATCCATCCTCGGACAGCAGATCTCGTGGCTGGCCGCAAGATCTGTGCTGTATAAATTTTGTCGACTGTTTTTCCCGGAGTCCATGCCGGAGAAGCCTGACTTTGTCGGCTTTCCACGTGAACAATGGCCATTCCCAACGCCACTGATGGTCCTGCGCAGGCCGGATGCTGACCTTCGAGCTGCCGGTCTTTCGTTCGCCAAGATCAAGTACGTCAAAGATCTCGCCGCTCGCTTCGTAGATGGACGGCTAGACATCCGTCAGATCCTGGAGCTCGACGACGAGGAAGCATGCATCACCGAGCTGAGCAAGGTCAAGGGTGTTGGTCGATGGACTAGCGAGATGATTCTCATGTTTGCCGTACGCAAGCCCGACATCCTTCCCTGTGCCGATCTTGGCGTACAAAAGGGCATGCTCAACTTCTTCCTCAGTGATTCTCAAGGTCCAAAGATCAGCATCAAGAAGCGCAAACCAGGCGAGGAGGAGCCAGAGGACAGTGCAGTCGACAAGAAGACGAAGAAGACTCCGGCCAAACTTGAGATCAAGGCAGAGGAGGGACCACTAGAGCCGACACAGGAGAAGGGGGACCAGGTACCGCTTCTCGCTCAAACCGAGATCATGCCGAAGCCTGAGCCTGGCTTCAAGGCGGAACAAGAGGCTGGAGAGTCACTCGACCACCTAATTGCCAATGAGCATGGGCTCAGCCGAGCAGTGCTGCAGTCTCGGGTCAAGGGCAACAAGATCAAGGGCGGTCAGTATCTCAGCCCCGATGAGATGAAGGCGCTCGCACAGTCATGGTCACCGTACCGCTCCGTAGCCTGCATGTTCATGTGGGCCCTTGTCGACACTTGATTGCCATGCTGCTGTTCGCAAACGCAACAGAAGGCTCGTTTGTCGATCTCACAATTTCGGGACGGGAAATGAAATTATTCGCACGGTTGTTTCGTCACGTGTGATAGAGAAGAATTCATCTGAAATTGCAAGGCAGCAGAGCGCGATGTGATCGCATTGGTCGTCTCGGAGCCTGTGACGAGGGAGAGACGGTCGCTCGCCGTCGATCCACCATTCAAGGATTCGCGATTTCTCATCGCAACCGGCTCCACGTTCAGAACACATCGCCTTGCTCACCATTCATCTGATTACGGCGGCACCTCATCTTCGCCGTACTCGACTCGCCACTTCTCGCTTGTCGCACACGTAGCACACGATGGTTCACCTGGTTAGAACAAGCGCGGCGCAGGCTGCTTCATCGGTCTTGCGTTCCGAGGTTCGCTCTTCTCTTCTTCGTGGTGCCCAGGTCGCCCAGGCTCGCAGTGTCCACGATCTCACCATCAACCGAAAGACGGGCAAGCCCATCATCAAGTCGGGACCTTACGGAGGTGGACGGTAAGTATTCTATTTTGGCAGACGTACGACAGACATAAGACTGCCTGTGCTCGGCCGCACGAGCCAGGCTCTCCGCAGCTTGGTCGAGGTCAGATGTCATGACAGCAGCACGTCAAATATGCATTCATCGACGTGGAAAGATGATTTCTGACACTCGAACCTTTCCTGTTTGATGTCGCACACAGATCTTCCGTATCGGGACACGTCGTGACGGTCTTTGGTTGCACCGGCTTCCTCGGACGCTACGTTGTCAACCGTCTCGCGCAGAAGGGCTCGCAGGTCATCGTTCCGTACCGTGATGAGGACGAGAAGAGGCACTTGAAGGTGATGGGAGACCTTGGACAGGTTGTGCCCATGGAGTGGGACCTCAGGCACGACGAGCAGATCGAGGAGTGCGTGCGTCACTCGGATGTGGTTTACAACTTGACCGGACGACACTACGAGACCAAGAACTTCACCTTCAACGATGTTCACGTCACGGGTGCTCAGCGCATTGCTCAGATCGCCGAGGCTGCTGGTGTCGGCCGCTTCATTCACGTCTCGCACCTCAACGCTGCCGCCGACTCGCCGTCTGCTTTCCTGCGATCCAAAGCGGAAGGCGAGGCTGCTGTCAAGCGTGCTTTCGAAGGCGCTACCATCGTTCGACCCGGTACCATGTGGGGTCACGAGGACCGCTTCCTGAACCAGATGGCCGTCTACCCTTACGCATGGCGCGTCAACCACGGCAAGACCAAGATGCGCCCCGTCCACTCGCTCGACGTTGCCCGCGCGCTCGAAAAGATGCTCGAGGCCGACGTCACCTCGATGGGCGCCACCTTCTCGCTCGCCGGCCCCAAGGAGTACACTACTGCTCAGATCCTGCAGCTCGTCGAGTCGCTCAGCTTCACCTCGCTCGCCAAAACCGGACTCAACACGCCCAAGTTTGCTCTCAAGCTCGCCGCTAAGATCGCCGACCTCGCATGGTGGCCCATGATCTCGCCCGACGAGGTGGTGCGACGCTACATCGACGACCTGCCCGACGCGCCTGGCACCAAGAGCTGGGCCGACCTCGCCATGACCCCGGACACACTGGAGGAGACCGCCGCACCGTACCTCAGGAGATACCGACCGGCAACAAGGTTCGAGCAACCCCTCGAGTCGGGCGGTGCTCACCTCAAGAAGCCCAAGTACCACGTTCTCGACTGATAGACTCTGTTGCTACTGCAGATTGTCCAATGCAATTCTTGTTCGCCTGTTCAGTCTGTCTGACTATTGAGTCATCTGGCTTCTGAGTCGTCTGGCTTTCGATATGTCTGCGCTTTCATCCGAGCGAGGCTGATCTGAGCTTTGAGTTCGCTGAGACGTCTGTTGTGCCACCCTCGCAGGGAGCCTTGGTCGACTCGTCTAGGAAAGGGCTGTCTGGTCTACCAGCGCCTGGCGTTGCTCGGACGCTGTCCTGAGCCCGACCTTTGATTGAGCTCTAACAGCTGCGCAGGGATAAGTGGGAACCCTTCGGTGCTGTGCCACTTCCCGGGGGTTCGCTCTTCTACAGCAGCAGCGCCCTTCGCCGGTGTAGCAAGCCACGCTGCACCCGCTCAAGATTCAACGCAGACCTCATCTCAAGCCACCCGTTGATCTAACAAATCCGGATTTCGCGCCGCCAAGAAACGAAGGATCGACGCCCGCTCGTTTGAGCTCGGCGCGTTTTTGACAAGTTCTTCTCGTTCGCTGCGCAGCCTCGGAGCCTTTTGGGCTGCGCCAAGCCGGCCAATCTCGACGTTGGAGTGGCCTCTTTGCGGAACGTCGAACGGGACTGCATTGTCTTGCGCTGCGACATCCGTCCTTTCATTCAGACTCACCAAGCATGCGCTGAATCTGGACAGGCGCAGACATTTCAAAGCATCCGACAAGGGGTAGGTAGAAAGGCGCCGAGGTATCGACTTCCAGCGTTGGACGCACACCAACCGACTTGTCGGCTCTTCGACGCTGCTGTGTAACCCAGTCTGATCCACCAGTGTTCCCGCTCATAAGAGGGCCACCATCTCATACAATCGTCGCGTCTACCCTTCACCCTCTTGTTTACGCCCAACCCTCCCTCTCGAACAGCGGAAACCCGATCAGGATGGAGCACACGATCCTCAAACGGCACAAAGAGGTGGCCGGGTGTGTCTGGCAGCCCGGCATGGTCGGACCCGGTTGTCGACCCCCTTCCGCCCTCAAAAAGGCGGCCATGGCAGGCAAAGACAGCTACTACGAGATGGAAAAGTACAGTCGCATCACCACCTGGCTTCTGCTCGCCCTTGTCGGTGTCGTCATCCTTCGCCATCTCGTCTCGAAGCTTCGTCACAGCTCCAACCCACGCTTCTCCCTCGCCATCATTTCGATCCCTGGATATCGACCCCTCGCAGCGTTCTGCAGGGGTATCGGATACTATCGACCGAAGAAGATCTTCACCCGACGCAGCGTGCTTTCGGAGCTCACCTCTGCAGACCGTATCCCTTCGCTCGGAAACCTCCTCACCTTCGCCCTCCCCGCTCTCGGCCTGGTGATCTGGTGCTTTGCCATCCGACCCTACTACCGACCCGCAGCCGTCTGGGGCAGTACACCCCTTGGCGTCCGAGCCGGAATGATCGCCAACGCCCTCTTCCCCCTCCTCTTCGCCTCCGCCCTCAAATTCAACCCCCTCACCTTCCTCACCGGCATCAGCCACGAAAAGCTCCAGTTCTACCACCAACAGACCGCCCGACTCATCCTCCTCCTCGCCATCATCCACACCATCCCTTTCCTCTGGCAACCCGTCCACGATGGTGGATTCTCCAACCTCAAAGCGTGGTACTACTACGATCGAATCTGGTGGACGGGTACGGTGGCACTGGCGTTGTTGGCTTGGTTGGTAGCGAGCAGTTTTGGCGTGTTCCGCAGGATGAGCTACGAATTCTTCGTGCTGCAACATGTGTTGTCCATCCTGGGGTTTTTGGTGTTTTACTTTATGCATACGAGGGATCTGATTCACTCGTGGTCGTGGTTGTGGCCGAGTATCGGAGTGTGGGGGTTCCATGTGGTGGGCAAGTTTGCCAACTCGTTGCGGATCAGTCGATTCCGTGGAGTGCCTGCGACGGTGACGTTGATGGATGCAGAGGAGAGGCTGGTCAAGGTGGAGCTTGCCGCACCGGTAACGTGGAGAGCAGGACAGCATTTCTTTTTGCGCTTCCCGGGCGTGACCAGAACAGCACCGTATCAGAGTCACCCGTTCACAGTGGCCAATCTCGCCTCGCAAGATGGGAACGTCGAATCGCACCTCGTGTTCGTCTTCAAGGCGCGGGGCGGGTTGACGGGGCAGGTGTGGGAGAAATTGGCAAGGCTGCCCGAGGTGAAGGGCAAGGTGTCGACGGTGATGAATGTGGGATTGGATGGGCCGTATGGGACACCATTTAAGGCGGAGGCGTATGGAGAGGTGCTGATGATGGTCGGTGGTGTGGGAATGACTTCGGCACTACCTGCGTTGATGCAGCTGTGTTTGGCGGCGAGGAGCACGAGGGAGGTGGGGACGAGGAGGGTGAGCGTTCATTGGGCCGTGCAGTCGATGAGGACGTTCGAGGCGTTCGAGTCGAGTCTCAGGGCCGTGCTCGAGCATCTGCGGGTGCTTGGCGTTGATGCGGGGATGGATGTCTACTGCCGCGACGAAGCAGCCAGCGAGGAGAAGGAAGACGCAAAGTCGAGCATCAGGATCCATGGCGAGAGAGCGGATGTTCCGAACATCGTCACGAGGTTCGTCGACACCGCTTCCAAGACAGTCGGCGTCTCCGTCTGCGGCCCCGCTTCGATGCTCAACGAGACCGCCAACACGGTTGCCAAGCTGCAGTGGTCGCACGTGCTGTCCAAGGCGAGCGGCGTGGAGGAGCTCTACCTGCACACCGAGGCGTTCGATTGGTAGATCGCTACGAGATGGCACTTCGACTTGTCCTGTTCGCAATGCTTCAATCTAGAAATACAGCAGTCCCTAGCCCTGCGCCGTTGAGCCGTGAAGGGTCGTTCCACGGTTGTGAGCTGGCGACGTCTTTAATTGATATCGCAGCTTCGGTATCTTTCGTATCTGCGCTGCTCGAGCTCGTCGATTGTTGTTCTGAGCCTGCTATTGTCGGCGGTGACGGTGCAGGAAGCCAAAACTCGTCCCCGATAATGTCGCAATGCAGCGTCCTCAACACGGCCGTCCTCTCCTTCCTCTCCTTCTTCTCTTGCTTCTTGGCCTGCTTATCCGCTCGTTTACCCTGCAACTTCCTCCTCAGCTTCTCATCTTTTGCATTCACCAGCACTGTTCCCTCGTCTTCGCTCTCCTCCTCGTCCTTCCCCGGTATCGCGGGTACCTCGGCCGTAGCGTGGGTCCAAACGAGCGTCGTCCCTTTCCTGAAAATCGCCTCCAACCGATCGTAGTTGACCCCGAACCGGCTGTGCAGTATCTCGTGCTTGTCGCTCGAGACTGTACCCTCGAGCTGCTTTGTTGCTTGCTGTTCCGTCAGCCCGCCTTGCAGGACGAGCGCCCAAAAGGTCGTATTGTAGAGGTTGTTGATGTGCGTATCTGCCTGACGCCAGCTGAAGTAGTCTCTCACCACGGCCTCGTTTGGGTAGACCACGAGTCTCCCGTCGAAGCTGGGAGGCACCTGGAGTGGTGTGTTCGGAAAGAAGCGTGGCCAGTTGAAGACGTATGCGGATGTGAAGAGCGATACAATATGGGTGGTGATCTTGCTCTCCCGTCTGTTGTACAGCGTTGTTGACTTGCGAAGGAGGAAGGAGTACTCGTCCGACTCGCCGAATGCCAGAGCGATGTGACCTTTGAGAGAGGACATGACGTGCCGTGCGGCTGTGTTCATGAGTTCGAGCGCGGAAGGGTCGTTTGGTTTGGCGAAGGAGTGGAGCGCAGAGAACTTGTGAAAGCCTTTGCCGTCGATGCGGACCACGAGGTAGACCGAGGGGATGACCGAGTCGGGCAGCTCAAAGTTGCGCACATAGGCAAAGCGCGTGCCCGCCATCCTTGCTGTCTTCAGGACGGCACGAAAGGGTAGAGTGATAGCTGGCAAGGTGTAGGGAGAGGCTGTGATGGCGGAACGGATGAAAGAGTCAAGGACAAGAACGACGGAGGTGGAGCGAAGGGTCCCAAAGATTTAGCACGGATTGCGGGACGCGGATCGCGGATTTTGGCAGGCGGCCAGGCCTCATCCTGGAGGCAGCTCTTCATCATTACTCTGGACCACTCACACCGTCACATTGATTACCAGTAAGCTGCGGTCAATCTATTCATTGGGAGTAGGTATACAAGTGGCGCATCGAAGCAATTGGGGGGTATATGAAAATCAACCGTGACGATGCCAACTAAAACGGTGAGCCGGTATACACGGGCATCTGGAAGAAGAATCTTGAGTCCAGCCCCGGACCCTCCTCCTTGCCCGTCCCCTGCTCCTCCTTTGTCAGATAGGCCATGTTCATCTGGACCAGCTCCTGCAGCGATCCGCTGCTCGCCGCTTCTTCCGGTCTATCCTCGAACCATCCGTGCTGCAAACGTCTATAGCGCTCACCGATGTCGCTGACGCGCTCGATGACGGCGACCTCTCTTGCGCGCTCCTTGCGGGGCGATCGGGGCGAGCTCGTACTGCTGATGGTTGGTGTTCTTGGCATGTCCTCTTCCTCTTCGGAGAACGAGGAGCTGCGCCCCTCGAGCGCCCACAGAGCGTCTCGTCTCGCGCACTCTGTTGAGCAGTACACTCCCTCGCTCGCCCCAACAACGGTGCCACATACGCAGCGACGCGAGACGACCGCCGAGGTACACGACTCGTGCTGCTTGCATGTGAAGTAGTCCTCCTCTTCGCCGCATGAGGGGCAGCGGTGCGGGAGGGATCGCTTTTGTGATGACGCCAGTTGGAGATGGGTTAGCTTGTGATAGGTGCGCGTGCTGGCCATCGTTATGGACGACGTGCGAGGCGGTGGCTTCGGGTGAGAGGAGGAAGATGAGGAGGCTGAGGAAGATGAGGAAGATGAGGAGGCGTAGGATCGGTGATCAAAGTCGGACGAGGCGATGGTCGAGTCTGAGAATCGGGATGAGAGCGTGTATGGCATGACGGCGTGTGTCGATGCAGACCAGGTGATGAGAGATGGTGTGCGCTGTGAAGAGGTTTGATGTACGCCCCAACGAGATGATGGAGAGACTAGGGAAGACGCTGATAGTTGAAGGAGGTAAGATGACTCCTTTGCGCCGCAGCCAGTCTAGTTATATGGAACTCTCGAAGGTAGCGTATCCAACATGGCGGACAGCTGTACGGCAGTGCAAGGAGCTCAAGCGAGATGCACACGCGATGCTGTTCCTGCGACCAGATGCACAGCAGGAGCCAAGGAGCCAAGCCTCTTAGTGTCATGCTTGGGGTGGGATGATGCGAGTGGGGCCGACTTCATCTGGAGGCAGACGGCAGCGAGATAAGGTGTGTCGCGCAGCTACTGCAGTGTGTGAACGCCAAGCTGCATCTTTCCACAAAAGGCAGGTCGGCAGGAAGGGAGAGTGCAACACCCACAACGTCGGTTTGGCAAATGCTCGGCTCGGATGGCAAGCGAACCCAACACCAAAGGCCGAAGTTTGACAACCTGCTTCTATTATGGGAGCATCAATCGGCACCTGTCACGGCGGTATTTGATGCCAAGCAGACTAAATGCCTTGGACCATGTTCGGCACGGTGCGGAGTTGCGAAGCGGAGTGTGTTTAGCGAAGGTGCGGGACGGGCAGCGTCGGAGTGGGTTGGGAAAGTACGCCGTTGAGGCAGGCCAAGCAACCAGAGCAGCTGGGCGTCAGCAGCACACAATGGGCCAAATGATCGCTCCGACGTCGAGAGGGATCGTCGGCAGGAAATACCCTTGCGCAAATCACCCTCTCGTTCCCATGGATCAACCCACATTTTGAGTTCAACTGCAGCAGCATGCATGCCGTCGCATCACCGCCGCTTTCTCGGCACAGTCGCCCCTTCTGTCTCTCTGCACCTTCACGACCTGACCTGCACGCCTCACACAGCCTCATGATGAGAGCGCAAGTTGCAACATTGTTTCGTCGTGCCAAGGCGGTATTGTGGCGTGTCCGATGACATCCAAGCGCGTCCGTTAAGCTGGCAAAACAAAAGACGCGTCTCTCTTAGAGACCAACACAAACTTTCGCTTCCTGTAAGCGAGGCTCACTAGACCCCGAGCGTGCTTAACCGAGTTCGTCGCTCCATTCATCCAGAGTCTGCCAAGTCTCTTGCGGCAGGTTTGAGCTCCGCGTTTCGCGCAAAACGCCAGCTCATCCCGATCTGTCGTCTGTCGGATGGAGCAAGACGTCATTTGTCTCGGTGTTGGACAAGCGAGCCCGATCTTGGATGATGCTGTGGCTTGGGCCGGAGCGAACACACGGGTTTTGGACGGATTGGTGGCGTTCGCTGCAACGTAGGTAGGAGCCAACGACGCTATACTTGGGCTGAAGTAGAGGCCCTTTCATGCCACGTCGCGACGGACTTCTCGGCGTCGCGTTAGGCTCAGCAACTAGACAGAAGCAAGCATCCCTTACGTCCCCGCTCCGCTCGAGCCAAACCCCATCTTGCACTCAATATCGAAAAGTGGCGTCGTCGTTTTAGCGCGCGGACCCTCGGTGAAACATTCATTCGTGTGTGGTATTTGTTTGATGTAAGCGAGTCCATCCCATTCGAACTATGATGCTACGTCGTGCGGACAAAAGGGGCAGAGATAAGCACCTGTGATGCGCGCGTGACGCCGCATGACCTCTTTGAAGCGGGACAAACCGTCGATCGCATCGACCAGGACGCTTCTCCAAAAGCCGCGGCTGAGAGATCACCTCGACCTCTTGTGGCGCACACTCTTACGGGTAACGCGACGAGCTAGCCCCAAAGCGCTGGATCAAATACGAGATAGAGGAGGTGAGATCAACGCTAGCATGCATGCGAGACACGGGTCCAAGCATGTTCGAGTACCTTTACCCTCCCCGCACGAGATGCACAGGGTCCCGCCCTTCTTAGCGTAGTTTTGCAAGCGAGGATGGGATGGCATATGCTTGGCTCGGAGTCCATGGGAATCTGATACGACTTCTGCCTTCGTCTCAAAAGAGTTGCAATGCTGATGCAGGAAGCATCGTTGAGGCGAGGCTTGTTGAAGGTCGGCCTGCATTGCGCGGAGTCGAAGCGTTGACAGGCGTCAGCCCAACTTTCCTTTCCTCTGTGCAGCGGGGCGTGGCGTCAAAGCGGAGCTTCAGCGCCATGTTGTTCAACAATTCCGTCACGCTTTCATTACTAAAAATACAACGTCAAAAAAGGGGGCGTCAAAAACCTCAACATCTGAAGCCCTCCGCAAAGATCTGCCGGACGGTCTCATCCGCATACGAGTTGCTGCTGGCGGAGCTGATCGATCCCTTTGCCGCACGTTGCGGTAGCCATGGGTCGAGCGGGCTGCACGGGGATTCGTCCTCGTCGTCTTCGAAATCGAAGCTGCATGGCGACACGGGCACGTCGAGCCTTCCGGACCGCGGGCCACTGGCGAGGGGCGACGTGAGCTCGCTGTCCGCGTACCGACGCATGATGCTCAGATACGCATCTTTGAAGCTGTACGGTGTCGACGCGGTGGTGGTTGTGGTGGTGGGGGAGGCGTAGTAGTCGATAAAGGCGGAAGCGGAGAAGTCCGACTCGGTTGCTTCGCGCGTCGAAGACGGTTCGAGCGAGGGCAAGGAGGAAGAGGCGCCTAACATCGGCGTGGTGGTATCCAAACACCACTCTTCGCGCGTTCGATCTTGTAGCTGCTCGAATAGCGCGATCGTGTCCAACATGGATGCACTCGATCGTCGCCGCTCGAAACGATCGCGGTAGGCAGAACGACCTCGGTCGATCGCACCCTCGAGGGCACGCTGCCACTCGCACAGGTCGGTCACGTTTGCCGAGCTCACGATGCAGACTGCATTCGTCGGTCGCCGGCTATACGGATCCGACGAGACGAGATCTAGATCGTGCGGTCGAGAAAGTCCCAAGGCCTCGCCAGTGATCACGAGCTGCTTATGTCGGATCTGAACCGGTTCGTCGTTCGCTGCGTCGGAGGGACACGACTGCATCTCGACCGTGCTTGACCGTGTGACTCGCAGTCGCATCTGCAAATTTCGTTGCGATGTGGAACGAAGCTTCACTGAGTCCTGCGAGTAGAGGCTGAGGAGGATCCCGCCTGCCTCAGAGGTGCACGGTGGAACAGACCTCGGCGTCTGCGGCGCCTCGGATGATGCCGAGGACCTCGAGTCGCTTGGAGACGGAGACGTAGCTGCCACGCCCCAGCTCGGAGGCGCGATCCATCGACTCTGCTCTGAGCCCACGCCTCGCGGTCTCGAGAACAGCCGGTCGGCTTCGAAGGCAGACGGATCGCGCGCGTCGGGGCTGGCGAGAAAGGGCTCGGATGAAAAGCTGCGAAGGTTCCACGGCTTGTGAGTTGGCGCAAAGTCGTCATTGCAGGGGAAATTCTGCTCGAGAGTGACAAACACGTCCGGGTCTTTGATGTGGATGCGGTCTTTGGCGGCTTGTCTTCGTCGGAGGGCCTTTTCGAAGCCGCTGAGAGCACCTCGCCTGCTGGGCTTATCTGTCGAGCTGCGCCACGTCAGATGTCCGCTCTTGAGCAGCAAGCTTTTCGCAGCGGTCTCAACGGATCGGGCAAAGTAGTCGGTGGAAGCGGATGATGTTGGAGGAGTATCCGTACTGGCACCTTCGTCGTCGCTGGAAGGGAGGAAGCTGCTGTATGGATGAGATGGTCTTGTTGTGCTCGGTAGAGACTTTATAGAATGTGTGTCGGTGAAGCGCGAGTGAACAGACGGGCCAGGTGACTGATACGATCTGAGCATCGCCGCTTCTTGACTCGCGGACCAGGCGAGGTGCAAGTCGGCAGGTCGATCAAAGATCCGTTGGGATGCCGAACGCCTACGACTGGATTGGGGAATGGTCGCCATGCTGAAGGGTAAAAGATGGCAGGAAGTGGGGAAGAGGCGACACCACCGGATCGAAGGCCAGACCTTTTATACTCCTACACAACATGCTGGTGTGGTCAGACGGTGCATCTACGGCTCTGAAAGGGTCCGCATTCGTCATGCTGTTGCAAGGAAAGCGGACCTGCAGCATTGTTGCGGAGAAAGGGATCACAAAAGAACATCGATGAGGGAGACAAAGGGAAGTCGAGAGACAAGGCTTTCGGAAGTGGTGGTCGCTGCCTCGCGCTCGCGAACAAAAGGAGCAGGCGAACGCCGCAGTAACCCGTCCCTTTTTTTCGCCATACCGGAGGCCCTTTGTTCTCGTTGCCGGTTAAAATCCAACCGCGACAATAGACGAAAGACTGCCACATGTCCGGATGTGCTTTCAACGCTGGCACCGAAGAGCGTGGACGCATCGGCTGGATGCAGGCACCGGCAAAAGGATGGTACATAGCCCCGGTCGAGCTTGGGAGGATGACAGGATGCAGAAGCAAAGTGAGCGAAGACAGGGGGGTCCATGGGGCCCCTTTGTCTGTCCAAAAGCGCAGTTATGGGAACCGAAATTTGGCCGCGGCAGGCAACGATCGCCGATGCAGCAGTCTGCTGAGGCCTAACACGCTCCAGCAATTCAGGTTCGTATTGGGCCGATGCGAAGCCGACTAACGCTCCCCAAATCGGGATAGGAGACCAGGCGTTGACCGACCGGAGATGCCCGGGGGAGTTGAAGAGCCTTGCCCATCCGACGGGCCGCAAAAGGTGATCGTACACGAGGTATAGGAGTAAGCAATGCGCAGAGGCGTGCGTAGGAAGTATTTGTGTGTGCCTTGCAGAGATCCGGACGTTTGGAAATGCAAGGAGGCGTTGCGAACGCAAACGCAATGCAGCTGGTGCATGCGCCAAGGCGTTGACGCTGTCATTGAGTGACGTTGCGCTCGGAAAGAAAGCCCCGTGTGCACAGCTATGGCAGGCATTAAAGACCCGTGGTCGTGCTCGCGCGATGACTTAGTTCTTAAGCGAGGCTAACTTGGAACTCCTGACATGGGCTTGCCGGTGGCATGACAAGCTGGTCCCTGAACCTCGCTTCTCCCGCTTGATGGCTCGTGGACGAGCTTATTGTGCGTTGCCAGTTCACACAAGAAGCATGGTCCCCTCTGTGCCTTTTGTAATTTAATCGTTCTGTTGGAAACGTCGGGCTTGTAGCCGGCTCGCTCGAGAAGACGCGGCGTCGAAAGCAAAGCCAGAGTTGTCGAACCTCAAGGCTATGATTCGAAGCCGCCTCCTATGGACTCCACCGAGGAGCAGAGGTCACGAAGATCGATCGCGAACTCGGAACGCCGAGGTCGTACTGCCGTAGCCGCACGGGGGTAGAGCCGTAGGAGCCAGGACCGGCGATACTCGTGCGAACATGGGCTGTTCGAGGGAGCTCGTGGGAGTTGCAGGCGTCAGATCTACGCTTGTCTGGTACCGCGGCTCGACCGCAAGACGGTAACCACAGTTGTCGGTCTGCCGATCTCGCTGCCAATAACGCATGCCCACAGAAGGCACGTGTCGGTTGTCTTCAGTGAGAGCAAGTGATTTATCCGGTCTTGACTTGACAGGAGGTTGTAGCGAAGGTCGAGATGCAGCTAACACTGCCTCAATGGGAGACACGAGGTTCGTCTACGCCGGCTAGCATGTTTGTGGTGGCGCCAATGCTGCCAAGAATAAGCTTTCGTGGCTGCTGAAGCATCGATGGCTTGCAGCTTGTAGATGACTAGGGTTTGGTCGCGTTCCTCTGCGATGGCCGAGCCAATCGAGGAGGATCTACCGCAGCACGTTCCGCGCGCTCGTGCCGCGCTCCAAGTGTGAGAGTCAGGAAGTGATCGTGCATCGTGTTGCCTGCATCGACAACAAGCGGCTTGTCGACCCGGACCTCGTGTCTTGCTGTCAGGCAACAGGGAAATCTTAAGCTCGAGCCCATCGAGGTCGCTCGGTCAACGACATGCTCGAGATAGCCTGAACAAGAACAAGGATGCACCACCGACAAGCTGTGATACTTGGCGAGGACGTGCTGAGCGGAAGAGACTGGTAAAGCTGCTGGTCGAGTGCCGACCAGGACTGCTTGGGCAGGGATGCTGCAGGTCAGAGACAAATTTGCGTCCCGTACCAAATAAGATGCATATGAGGTTATTTGCCATTCTCTCCCGGCAGGCTTGCCGAACGGATATCGAGCCTTGCGGCTGTTGGTCGAGGCTAGCTTTGATTTTTAGATATATGAGAAAGATTCGCGTGATTTGCTGCTGAGTTCGGTTTCGCGCTGTTTCGATATTGCTAATTGAGACGAAGTTGGCGCCCAGCGACTGCATCGAGCAGCAGCAGCAGCAACCCCACTGTCCATTGAGATTGCATCACCCTCAGACTCATGCAGAGTCGACTGGCCAACCCACCAACGAGTAAGCATGACCCTCTGTCTCCACACAGTTTGCGATGCAGCCTGTTTTTGTTTCCCAAACCCTAGCGCCACAGCCACAAAGATGCGCAATGCGAGTCGGCGGGCTGCTCATGTAGATTCGAAGCTCGAAGGAGACTCGAGCCAGCTGTGTGTGGTCATTGTTCTCTCCCTAGCCGAGGTGGGATGCTGTCAATAGAAATGTGTCAGAACGCTGATCAAGACCCTGACTGAGCCTGGGCATGACAAGAGCATGCATCCTCTCTCGGCTGCCCCTCTGCAAGCACGCCCAAACTGTGATTTGGGTGGTGCTGACACTTCGCTTGCGGCTGCAATCGGCTCTCCCTGCCCTTTTCTGAATCAATTTTGGCTGGAATTCAAGCAGCGCTTCCCTTGTATTTCAACCCCCGCTCAGATCCTCTTACCCTTGATTCACCCTCATTCATCTTACTCTCCCCGCTCACAGCTGCTGCTGCTATTTGGTGCTGCTCACCCTCTGCCGACTGCACCCTGACTTGGACCCCTTGTCCTCTCTGCTCGTCACATATTCTCTCCTGGCAGCCAACGGGATCTTTGCGCTCTTGCACCGCATCGCATCGCATCTTCAGCATCTCTTCCCCCACTTTCTCCTGGCTGCTAATGCATCAGTGTTCTTAGAGCCTGCAGGCAGCTCTCAGGCCCTCCTCCCTGAGCGGTAAGCTGCCCTTTGACCATAGTCCATCTGCTCTCGACTAAGGCCACCTAGCCACCATCTCGTCCTGCTTCGCTAGTCGATATAGCACCATCTCATCGGCACATCACAATCCTCGGGCCCCTCGCTTCCACTTCATCATCTGCTCAAGAACACGACTGACACCTCGGCAAGCACACGGATCGACTCCTGCCGACTTCATCCTGCACGCAACTCGCTCCCAAGCGGTCCTAGCCCCCGGCGCTAGCCATTCCGTGACGATCCCATTTCTCGACGGTGTACACCTTCAAACTATAAGAGCAGCTGGCTGCGCTTGGTCTTCCTTAGCATCCTCCTCCATCATCGCTTCCTCTTCTCCATCTTAGGCCGTCAGATGCGTTGCTATCCTCGGTAGCTCTCGACAAACAGCTTCTTCTCCGCCACAAATCCGTTCACTACAGCTCCCCGCTCTCACAACATGGACTCCGCTGCCTATCGAGTTGCATCCTGCAGCGCCTCCAGCTACGATTCCGCAAGCATCGCTTCGTCTAGTACGCATGTTGCGGTCCACGCGCCCACATCCGACGCTCGACTCGCTGCCGACGACCACAGAGTACTTCGTCCAGGCGACTTCAAAAGGGTCAAGAGCCAGGTCAGTCTACGCTCCAGACCCGTTTCGCGCAAACCCAACCCAGAATCACCCACTCTTGCTGCGCCATCGACATCCTCACTCAACGACCCACCAACCCCTCAAAGCGATGCATCCACTTTGCCTCTGGACTTTGACCTTGTCATCCCTACCACACCCAAGGAACTCGCTCAACGCGAAACCGGGAGTCGCGACACCTTCGGACCTTGGCACGACGATGCTGACGATCTGACTGTCGATGCGACTGAACTCAACGAAGAGCTGCTCAGTGCCATCGACGACGAGTCCGTCTCTGGACACGTGCTCGCGGTCGACAGCGAATTCGATCCCATTGGATCCTCTGCAGCACCCATCACACCTTCAGCTTCTTCTTCTCCGCACCTCGACGCACATGCAACCCAACTCAAGCAGGAAGCCGAGCATGCTTGGGCATCCTATCGTCCCCGCTTGACTCCGCAGCAGCACAGTCTACCTTTGCACAAGCACAAGGTTCGCAATTCAAGACCTTCGACCTCAGCACAGCCTCCCAACATACCTCAACGGGTCACTTCCCTGCGCAGATCATCTTCCATTGCTCTCAGTGCCTCGCTCGCATCCAACATGGGTTCACCAGCAGCCTCCGCAGGCTCTGCATTCAGCAGTCCATCCATGGCCGCCTCCATCCTCTTCAGCCCCTCTCCTGCCAGCTCACACGCACGAATGGAAAGTCAGACGTCCCCGCGTCTCACCTCGTCTACAACCTGGGCAGGCTTCCGTGGCCCGTACCCTGCCTCGATCCTTTCCTCTACAACAGACAGCAGTCACCCGAGCTTCCAGCACAGCTTCGAGAGTGGCATGAGACCTCTTCTTGCCAACAACTCTGCCTCATCAACTCGACCGCACGGACGCTCGACAAGGCCGCTGACCGTAGGCAGTCCGCCCAAAGACTATGCCGACGCTTCCGACGTCGAGCATCTGCGTCCACACACGGCATCCGTGGCCTTCGCTCTGCCTGACACGAGCAATCTTCTTTCTGCCGAAGAGAGGCGTCAGCAAGTGCGCAGGACGAAGAAGCTCACCCAGATGCTCGGCGAAGAGATGCTTCTGGCGAACAAGACCCTCAACGTCGAGTCGCAGTCCATTGGCACAAGCTCCCATGCGCGCCGCAAGCAGCCTCGCGCGCAGAGCATGGCGTTTGGCATTGATTCATACAGCAACCCTGCCTCGAGCCCAACCCTGCCGTCCTCCGGCAGCAAGACTCGCGCCTTGTCGCAGAAGCTTCTCCTCAGTCGTAGTCAACGAGTCAAGAGCCTGGATCGTGCCTTCCCGGATATGATGCAAGCTCCCACTTCGGCGCCAGCGAGCCTCAGTCGTACAGCAGCCGCCATTCTTGGCCTTCCGCATCCCGACTCCTCCGGTGCGTCCGCTCGAAAGTCTGCCGAAGAAGTGCTTGCCACCGATGAAGAGCTCGACACGCTTAGCGAGCTGCAATCCAACCATCTGATCCCATCGGGACTGGAGGAGTTCAACGAGCCCACCCCGCACGTGGCTCAGCTCGCAGCATTCTCGGCCGCGGCCCTCGACGAAGCTGACTCGCCCACGCTGCCCCACGACGGGCCATTCCGAGCTTCGGATCGATCGACAGCACTCGCCGAGTCGGAGAGCCGCAAACTCGCCGCTGTTCGCGAAGAACGTCGTCGTCGGGTCGCCAAGATGTCGCGCTGGCTAGGCGAGGCGGTGCCTGCGGAGCTCATCCACTCTGGTGCCGACCATGCGGTGATCCGAAGCACTAGCGCCTCGCAGGGGATGTCGATCGAACACAGTCACGACTCGACTGCGTACGCTGCTAGCTTGCGCTCCTCCTCCAGCTGCAATGGCAAGAGCGAAGCGGAGAGGAAGTTGCAGTCGTTCATGTCGATCGATAGCTCGGATGAGGAGGGCGATGATACGCCTGTTAGGGTGGGCCGGAAGCATCGGGGTCTTGCTGCACGGTCGCCGGCGAGCATCGCTGCCAGCTACGAGTACGACCGGGCGCGTCTTTGTGAGCTCGCCTCAATGCTCGACGGCACACGCGATACGATCCTCACCACCATTCGACCGGCTCGCGCATCAGCCACGTCGCCCTCGATGACGAGCGACCTGAGCCCATCCCTGGCTCACGCATCAAGCGGGCCGGCTGGGGCATTCCTCGACCTCTCCGGCTCGGAATCCGACAGCAGCACCGCCGAAGACGAACCGCGCGAGATCGATGTGTACCCAACAACGCTCCGTCGACCGCACGATCGGTCGCTCAGCAAGCTGTCGAGCTTTTTTGGCTCGACACCGCAGCAGATTGTCCGCGAGCAGGCCGGGATGACCGCTGCGGAAGGGTTGGGTGTCACGCTTGGGTCGTTGCATGAGGAGAGTTGGGAGACGGGTGTGAGGGGTAAGGTTGGGGGAAGGAGGGTAGGGGTTTGAGTGGTTGTATTTTTACGTTTCTTGCATGCATACACATTCTTTCGCACTCAGCCGCAATGCACACGTTTGCACTCAATCACAACGCGCACGTCTCCAACAGGCGGATGTGGACTGGTCTGATTGCAACGGTCCGAGACTGCGTCGCGAGCTCTCAATGGTCGATATCCTCCCAAGCCCTCCCTACGGTATGCTCGAGGTCGGCCTCGGTGAGCTGTTTCGTGGCGCTAAAGTAGCCCGCTTGGATCTTGGCGTCGATCTCGACCCTGCTATCTGCGGGAATAAGTTCCTCTGGCAACTCGTACCTGTTCTTGATCGTAATACCGCTGTTGACCGCCGCATCGTGCTTCATGTTGCTCATCGAGATCCAATTCGTAATGTTGGTCGCTCCGAGCCAGTGCAGGACGTCCGGCATGAGTGCTTGGAAGCGCATGTCTTTCACGCCTGCAATGTTTTCCGTTCGCTTGAAGTAGTTGGATGCCGAGTCGGTGCCACGTTTGCGCGCGTTGTAGACGAGGTACTTGGTCACCTCGCCGAGAGCACGACCTTCTTTGCGGAAGTAGATCACTGCTCCCGCCCCGCCGCGCTGGGCTGTCTTGATGCATTCTTCGATGCCGAACAGCAGGTAGGGTCGACAGGTGCAGATGTCCGAGCCGAAGACGTCAGAGCCGTTGCACTCGTCGTGGATTCGAACGGTTACCTCCTTGGTTGGATCACGAAGGTCTTCCGGTCGGCCGAAGATGTATACGGTCAAACCGGCGATGGGGGGGAGGAAGACCTTGAGGTCGTGTCGCGTGAGAAGTTCGGGGTAGGATCCACCGGTGTCTTCGAAGATCGCCCTCCTCAGCGCGCCCTCCGTTACGCCAAGACGCTCGGCCACGCCAGGCAGGTACCAAACGGGATCCACGGCTGCCTTGCTGACACTGACCTCGCAGCCCGGGTCCACATCCGCCGCTACACCCGGCAACCGGATCGACTTGTGCACGATCTTGCCGTCGATTGGAAAAACCCCTGAGGCTTGGGCCTTGTCCAGCTCGGGCATCTTGATGTGCGCCTTGGTCAGCGATGCGGTCGGTCGAATGTCAACACCGGCATCGAACTCGCCGCGGAACACCTGCGGCGCGAGATGCCCCCACGGGTCCATGGCGACGATCTTGGTGGGGTCGAACCAGGACGGGTTCGGGGGGATGTCAAATGGCGGTTCGGTATTCGTATAGTCGGGACGATGGTTCGGGTTGAGCTGGCCCATGGCGATGGCGAGTGAGCGGTAGATGGAGTAGGAGCCACCGTAGGCGCCGATTGCGTTGCGGACGCGGATGCTGTTCGGGTGTCGGCTGGCGACGATGGGTCCACGCTGCTTGAAGTCGGTGGCAGCCCAGTTGAGCGGGAGGGGCTTGATCCCGACTTGACCTGGGTAGGTCGTGAGGATGACGCGCGAGGAGTAGTAGCCCGCTGTCGAGGTGGTGGTTGCCGTTTGGGAAGGGGAGGAGGCGCCGTTGACGGGGAGCTTCTTGGCGCCCAGGTCGGGAGTGCTGATAGGGCTCGGACCATTGGTCTGTGGGACCCCTAGAGGATGCGCGGGCGGACCGAGGGGCTGCGGTGGGGGAGATGTACCGAAGGCGAACTGATCGGCTGGCTGAGACGGGGAGAAGCTATGCGCGCCGAGAGCGGTGAACCCACTAGAGCTCTGACGGCGAGCGTACGACGAGGGTGATGGGAGCGCTGCTGCGTTTTGCAGCGAGTCGACCTGTTGTATCACACAGAACGGATGAAAGCTTAGTCAGGGTCAAAACGGTGACGAGGACGTGTTGTAACCGCGGCTTAGCGTGATCACCTACCTTGGCCTCGAGGTGCGAGTTCTTGACCGTGAGCTCGGTGAGCTCGTCAAGAATGCGGGCGAGGAGCGTCTCGGTGGACGCAGTCATCTTGGTCGGTTGCGCCGTCGATGCGTGGATGTGATGGTGGACGGTGCGTGCTGATCGAGCTGAAGACAGAAGAGAAGCAACGAGGAGAGGGACCTGCTCAGATGGTGGTTGCTGGATGCGAGACTGGCAAACGCAATCAAACTAAGTTATAAGAGCGGAAGCTTGACAAGATAGTGTGAGTGCTGCGGATGGTCGGCTATCAACGCTGAGGCTACAGTCAATCGGCGGTCTCCGAATGACCTACGCCAAAGCATATCAAGCACAGCACCATCAGAGAGGGAGGCTGGGCAGCCTTGTCCCTGTGTTTGCTGAGCGGGGCACGGATCATTTTTGGCAGGGCGTGACTGCAGCTGCAGCTGAACCCTGAATCGGTTGCAGCGTGCCGCGCCTGTGGGAGAGAGAGGGTGGAGTAGATAAGGGTCTGCCGGGCTGATGCCTCGAATTTGCATTTTTCAGCTCTTGGGCTGTGAGGACGACATCCGAGCTTCCGCTTCGCCCTAAGCTTGGCCCAACCATTGACTCGAACCGACACTGATAGCCAGATGCTGCCACAAGTAAGCCCATCTGTCCCGAGCCTGAGGGTCATATTGATGTCCTTCAAATGGACCTTGACCGCGTTCAGGAAGCACGGTCGGCTCGAAGCGAGCCGCCTTCGCCGAGCAACCCCCGCCACGCCTGCTCAAATCGCTGTCTCAGAAACGCAGCTTGATAAGAGATATAGAAGAAAGGCTCATCAAAGATCGTCCTTGTGCATCGAGAGGCTCGTCAAGTGACCCAGATCCCGATCGTGTCACTCTCAGCAACCGATCGTGATCGTTTGAGATCGTCTCACAATCGCATGACGAGGCCTTCCAACACAGGCAGGCAGCTAAAGGCAGGAGAAGCTCTTTTCATCGGCCGTCCTCGTATCGAATATCTCTCCGGACACCTCATTGCATCGTTCTCGAGCGCCGGACTTGTCGCCACGAGCCGCACGTCGTTATCGTGGTCTTCCATCGAGCCGCATTCGCTGCAAGATCGTCGCTGCTGTGAGAAAGCGTTCTGATTTGGTAATATTGCGCAGCGTAAGGGAGATGAAGACGTTATCCACATTTTCGGGCCTGCGCCTTGGCCTACAAACCTACGGGTTCTGGTACAAGAATGGACGACAGGTGGTCGCCGTGATGGTGATGAGGGTCTAGGTTCGTGATGCGCGCGCTGGGCTCTGCGCAGATGTTCGAAGATGCCAACATGGCTGGTCAGAGCCCGCCGTCGGAGACCCAAGTCTCCGTTCAAGCTCGCCTCTTGAGGTTGGTGCTCAACCACTCAAGACCCTCATAGAGACCGTCACCGCTCGTAGCGCAAGTGGCCTGGATGAACCATTGTCGCTGCCTCAAGCTGTGCAGGCCGAGCTTGTCGGTGATCTCGGCGGCGTTCATGGCGTTGGGCAAATCCTGCTTGTTGGCGAACACGAGCAGCAAGGCGTCACGAAGCTCGTCCTCGTTGAGCATGCGCTGCAGCTCCTCGCGGGCCTCGGAAACACGCTCTCGGTCGTTCGAGTCGACAACGAAGATGATGCCGTGCGTGTTTTGGAAGTCTGTACGTCGCGAAAGGCGATTATGTTCGGATGGGTGTGGGTCAAAGCGAACGTCAGTGCCCGGGTACGTCTAGGCCTCTGCAATCGCGGTTCGCCCAAGGATGCGATCGCTGAATTCGGAACTCACAGTGCCTCCAGAGAGGTCGGATCTTGTCCTGTCCTCCGACATCCCAGACGGTGAACGAGATGTTCTTGTACTCGACGGTCTCGACGTTGAAGCCTGCGGGTCGCCAATGAACAATGCAATGTGATAAAAGATCGGGAGTCAGCTTCAACAGCGTCGGCAGCATGACGTCCGGACGCGATGGAAGAGTACTTACCGATGGTAGGGATGGTGGTGACGATCTCTCCGAGCTTGAGCTTGTAGAGAATGGTGGTCTTACCGGCGGCATCGAGTCCGACCATGAGAATTCCTGTGCAGCAGAGTCAAACGCAATACGGCGAGACGAATGGTGAGTAAGGAGTGGTCGAGGGGCCGATTCGATCACGGTAGGCAGCGAGACAAGGGCGTATAAGCGACCACCTTCCAAACAGACCGTGTGCAGCTCTCCTTCCTGCAATCCTTTTACCCTTGCAGGCTGCCTCAAGACGATACCGAAGAGGTGCAGGTAAGGCGCTGCAAGGACAGGGAAGCGCATCGGATCTGCTTGGAGTGGTCGTCGATCTGTCGTGTGTCTGCGAGACGCGGCCGAGGAGCGAGATACTCACGCATCTCCTTCTTGCCGAAGAGGCCGGAGAGCAGCTTGGAAATAGACATGCCCATTTTGACAAAGGTGTTTCTCTAGACCGAGAAGGTTGCGGGCTGTGGACGAGTTGCGACGACAAGGCATAATGTGAAGACGAGCGAGAATGAACGGGTTGCGATCAGCAAAACAAGGTCGGCGAAAAAGAGATAGGCACACGTCGGCTGACCGTGTCTTTGCGAGAGATGTGCCGATGCCGGTGGTGCTGTCGGAATTGATACGAACGATCAATACAGTGAGGGTAGTGGGCGGATGAAGACCGAGGACCGTTGAATGGAAGGAGCCGGATCGGTCGAAGAGAATGATGGTGGTCGTGGCGGAGCTTGATGACATTGACGAAGTCGAGACTGCACGCTACGAGAGATGGCAACAACTGTGCGTGCGTGTCTGCCTTGCCTGACTTGGCTCGAGAACGCACTCTGAAGCCTCGCGAGGGAGGTGCTGCTGCTGTCGCTGCTGCTGGCTGCCCCTTGAATTAGAATTTCTGAAATTGGAAGACTCTCGCCGAGTGGTTTGCCCTTTCGCTGTCGTGGCGCGGCGAACACGCTTGCTTGCGTGGCCACCTGAGCTGACTGTAAAGGCGCGCCTCGAATTCGAATTGAGAAGGCCAGATTTGTATTCGATCCGTCTCCCGTCTTTGACACTTTGATTGCCAAAACCGCATATTGAGCTAGAAACCGTGCACACCGTCTGAAATCGAAGAGACTGACCGAGCGAGATCTTGAATTCAAAACTTGGCTCCACGATAACAACACCGAGACCTCGTCGATCTTCTTCCAGCAGATCTCCCGATCCGTCAGATCTCGAGCACCCAGCGTGGTGCTAACTTAGCTGGCATCGTACTTTGCTGCCTCTCCACCGATTGACTCGTCGACGTCTAGCTCGACCAGTCACGGCGAACGCTCGCGTGCGTACATTCGAAAGACGGTCAAAGGCGGCAACGACGGTGGGATCGTTGGGAGTCAACAGCAAGCTCCTGGAAGACAATGGCAAGACAGAGAAGCAATTCAGCTGTCAAGCCCAACCGAAATCAAGACGCGCTTATCCATCGGCTGCTCGAAAGCGTGGTTGATGGCTTCGCGAAGAGGGACAGCTTCATCATGCGGCAGGATCGAGAAGTCCTACTCATTCTGGGAAGATCAACTCACCTAGTCAGAGGTAGTCGCAGCTCGTTCTGTCCGATCGAGCATGCCTGTCACCTGCGCATTCCAGTGAGAATCGCCCCAAAATTTCTCCGGTCGCGGCGTCCTTTCTGCCTTGCTGGACAGCTGCATCTCAATTCTGATATACCCGGTCCTTTGCGACTTGCCATCCTCCAAGCCTCATGTTTGCCTTTCCCCTTCTGCCTCCGTCGCCCTGCACTCCTCTCATGCCGAACATCTGGTCCGGCCTGGTCTGGTCCAGGATGCTTCATCGCTAAGCGGGATCTTGTTACGCCTTCCGCCATGCATCTTTAGTCCTTTTCGTCCAGTGGCAGCTCTGCATTTCTCATCGCTTGTTCGGCACGATGTGAAGTAGCAGAGAGCCATCAGTGTCTCACAACGAGGTGCTCAGCCATTCTGACCTTTCCGCCACAGAAACAACGAATGTCCGAAGCTGGCAGGTGCTGGCATTCGAAAGCTACCAAAACACGATGCCTTCACAAGGTATGCTTCAATTGAGCGTATCGGCCCTCAACTCCGGCTGACCTTCCTCCTGATGAGAGGAAGATACCTAGCAGAAGAGCTTGAGCCTAAGCATCCTACATATACTCATGGTCAGCCATGCCCGTTCGTGTGAGACGGGTCGTTCGTCCCTGCCCTCCCCTCCAGTTGCCCTCCCCTTCCCCCAATTCCCGAAGCCCCGTTTCCACGGTAGAACACAGCATTCCACGCTCCTTATCTCATCACAGTCCTTACTTAACCTCATACATTCTCCCAAGAACGCTGTCAAAGCATCGCTATCGTTACTGGCACTGTCTATCTCACTCTCAACGCCGAGACCGTACACAGGATACTCTTCGAGCCTTAAGGAACTCTTTCACTGCACAATCTTATCTCTTCACCTTTGCTCGGTCAATTCTCTTCATGATGTTATCCTTCTCATCCCACAGGCAAAGCTGTCCGAGGCCAAGCAACATTTCCTTCAAGCGCAGAAGGTCCGAGGAAAGATCGATGCCGTCGCCCTCGTTCAATAGCTCGATGTCGCTAGGTAAAGTCGAAGATGTTTTCTTTGACTCGACTCGAGCTGTTGATCGGCTGCGCCATCACTATTCCCCGACATCCACACCCGGTACTCCCTCTACTCTGCGTGGCGGGAGCTCACCAGTATCTAGCGCGGAGCGCCTGCCAAGCCTAGCGGAACTGTTCGACCGCGACATTCTTTCGCCTCGAAGCTGCCGGAGTCTATCTCTAGACTCGATGCGTGCCGAGTGGAGTGGCGAGGCTATGCGTCGTGCCAGCTCCATCTCTTCTGCTTCGTACAGACGAAGCCGACTTTGGATGTCGACATTTCATCAAGACGGTCAAGCTGCCTGCATCGGCTCGCCTGCTACCCCATTTCATCCCTTCTGGGCTTGTACATCGCCACAGGAACAGGCATCGCCGAAGACTGCATCGCCGGCCGCCACCACCTACGACGACGGTGAAGGCGATGCGACTCCTCGAGCCCCGTCGAGCTCTCACTTCAACTTTCCGGAGGCTTCGAAAACGATAAGTCCTCCGAGATGCCCTGGAGCCCCTCTGATCGGAGTCCTGGGCTGCGGTCATCTGCACGACGAACCATGGCAGCAAAGTCTTAGCCCCGGATCTTTGGGCTCCTTTGAAGACAAGGCGGATCAACGACCCCGAGATGGTCTCAACCTTTTGTGTATGTCGGCCGAAGACCTCGTCAAGGACAGGGCCGCCATGGCGAGGCTCGAGTCTGAAATGCCAAAGGTGACCGGCTTAGCAGGGCTTGGTCTCTACATGGACGAGGAGAATGTACGATCGCCTTTCTGCAAAGCGGCGAATACCGCTGGAGGATGCATTGAAGCGGGAGCAGCCTTCCCTACTAGTCGTACCGGCGCAACTGATCAGCACACAGGCTTGACGCCGATGGTCAAATCCGCCAAGATATTCGGGACTTCCGTCACCCCCACACGGACCGAAGCAAGCACATCTCCTTGCTCTCAAAGGATCCGTTCGTCTAACAAAGTCACACAGGCAACGCCGTCCAAGACTGCGGCTGTAAAGACACACGAAGCAGTCATGACGCCTCTCCCCAAGTCTCGACCCATGTTCCGCTTTGACACGGGATCGGGCAAAAAGTCGTGCAAACCCAAAGGCCACAAGATGAGCCCAAACTCGTCGCCATGGGGCGTCTTTGGCGCCAACGACGAATGGAAGCCGTTGGCCGCTCCTGACGTGTCTCGAGCTCTGGCTGACGCCAACAAAGTGGTCGCGGAGATCGCAATTGCCGCTTCCGTCCCCTCGTCGCCTTCGCCGAAGTCGTCAGCCTTCAACAAACGACACGTGCAAAGCATCACGCACGCCTCCAGCCCGTCCAAGCGTACACGCACGGTGGATTCGCCGGTTTCGTCATCGCCTTGCAAGGAGAATCTCGATCCTCTATTTCCGACTATGTATCCGTCGATGCGAGCCTACACGCGATCAAAGGCTCCTCGCGAAGCTCCCACCGCTCTGCCTCTCTCAACCGTTCGCTGATCTTGATATCATCTCTACCTCGCTGCACACTATTCTGAAGCATGTCACTCCGTCTATGATGTCCTTTGAGCACTGAATACATATATCATCTAATCCACGATATGTGAAGCCGGTGATTCCACCACATAGCGCAAGAAGACGATGAAGGAAGCCATGCCGCTCGAGGCTGTCCAAGAGAAGAACGCCTGTCAAGGGTCGAAGTAGATATCGGCGATTTGACCGATTTTGACGAGATGTGACGTTTTTGAAATTTGAGCGTTCGCGGTGTGTGTGTTGGTCTGGCAGAGACGCGTGCCTCGCGTGTCCTTTGCAGTCACACGAGAAGCCAGCAGCGAGAAAGAAAAGGTCGAGCCAAGCCGACGTGCGGCCGAGCCTTGTGCAGCTCAGATCGTCGTTAGCGACCTCGAAAGAGGAAGGCGGGCATCGAGTCGTATGACGTTGAATGCGTTCTCAGCAAGAAGCCGCTCAAAGCCTTGTGGTAGTCTCAGGCGGCTTTCCTACTTCAGTGAAAGCGGAGTCGGCTTTAGATGCGCGACTGCCGGTCCAGTGAAGGCTTGCTTGCACGCTGCTTGCACGCAGCAATGCTCGAGCAGATGAGCTAGCCAACGGCCTTCCACTCGAAGCCGTGCATGTGACAGTATCAAAGAGCCAAGAGAGTGTATGCGTTTGATCAAATGTCTCGCCGTGCTGCCAACAGCGAGGCGTGTGTGGGTGGGCGTGTGGAGCAGCCGACGCGAGTTTTGGAGGGACTGAGCGCGGTCAAGAAAAAAAACAAGGCAGCAGCTGCAGTCTCCTGAGAAAGAGGTATTCAAACGAATGTGCCTGAGTGACAACACAAAGTGGAAGCCTCACCTCTCTCTCTTCCTCCTGTCAACCCTCTCTCATTCTCTTGAACGCAGCTCACATCATCCACCTGCGCTCGTCACCTTCCTGGGAAGCCACTCCGCCTGTACTTCTCTCAATCACCGCCCGTCGACTCGCTGCAAAGGCGCCAGCCACATCTCGGCGCAGCCTCGTTGTTTCTGGAAGCTCGCCCCTCACATACCGGGCAGTCCTCCCCTCTCGACAGTGCAGCTCTCAAATCGCCGACAGCCTTCTGACAGGTATATAGTCCGACTGGCATCACGATCAAGAGCTCCTCTTCCCTGCCATCGGCCACCCAGCATCCACCCCAGCCACGCTTTGACATCTCACCCGTCCCAAGCTGACACCACCTCAACCAGCAAACACCACCACAGCATTGTGCTCACTGCCAACCCTTTCTGCCAACCCGGTGTGCATACACCCTCGCCTTCTCACGCACACAGCTGCTTAGCCTGTACGCGACAGCATACAGTCCTGTCGTTTCACCAGCGATCCTTCCAAACAGCTTTGGTCGCCGCCGTTCCTTCAGCACGGTCTCTTTCTGAGCCCTTTTGAGGCCGTCTCGGCAATCTCACCACAGCACAACCCTGCCATCCGGCTCGCAAGCGTATGCATTCCTGACTTGATCCGATCGACGTCCGTCACGTCTGGTCAACGACCTTGCCCATTCACCCGTCCGTAGGGCTTTGACGACGCGGCCAAACATGAGTACCACCCGGGATCAGCCTGTCTCGCGCATACCCCTCAGCGTCAAGAACATCCCAACCCAAGATGCGGTCAACCGCGACGCTACGCTCCTTCGGAAGCCGGCATTGACGCAGCAGCCACCCAAACAGAGCATGACAGCTGCAGCAACTCAGTACGCTCGTCCTCGCACCAATGTCTCTCGGCTGCCCAGCTTCGTGTCGCGCTCCCATCTCGGACTGGATCGATCCAACCAGGAAAATGTCCCCCTTGTGGCGGCGAACGCAACGCCAAAGAAGCGCGCCATTCCTATCGACGAATCGCATCCTCGCAATGTAGTCGTCGACAGCCCTAGCAAGCGTAGCCGTTCCTCCAAATCAGGCACCGACAGTAGCAACACCGAACAAAGCGTTGGTGCAGCCCTTGCCAGCGACCTCAACGGCATCCGTGTCAACGACTCTCGACGCTTGCCCCAGCCCTCGCAAGCAGCCGAACCCCCGGCACGACTCCGACGTCCCGAGCAAGCGCCTGCACCGACTACCTCTGCCACCACCTCCACTTCCGTCAGGACGAACCGTACCCTTCGTGAACCAACCGAAGAGTTTGCGCCCGAAGCTCGTCGACGTCAGAGCGAGCAAGAAGTCTGGCGACAAAAGTTCACACGCGCCTTTCCCAACTTTGTCTTTCACTTCGATTCCGTCGACGACAGCACGGCTCGCAAGTACACCGCTCACATTCTCAAGCTTGGCGGTCGCGTGGAACCCTTCTTCTCGAACAAAGTCACGCATGTCATCACCACCAGGCGTGTCCCTGATGGATCTGCACTCGAAGAAATCAACACCAATGCAGGCGCCGCAGAAAAGTCGAGCGCACACAAGCTCTTTCGGCCCAGCTTCTTGGCCACTCGCACATCGACGGTGAAAACCGGAGCCAATGCCGCCCGATCTCGCCCCATCCCCCTCTACTCGGAACGCAACCCTCTTCAGGAGCGGCCTGCACGCCAGTACGGTCCCAATGACCTTCTCATCAAGGCTCAGGGCTTCGGCATTAAGGTCTGGCAGTTCGAGAAACTTCAGAACATCCTGATGCGATTGATGAAGGTCTCGCCTCGCGATCTCGAAGCATCCACCAACGTCAAGCAAGATCTCTCGCAGATGCTCGAGAAGGAAAAGGTCTTTGGCTCGACCGAACGAGACCCTGCCGCCGCCAGATCGACGTGGCACTACTTCGAAAAGTCGGCTTGCTATGTTCTGGTGGAAGATGCCACCCTCGAGTATCGACCGATCATGTGCACAGAGTTCCAATATACCCGGGAGGACAGGGCACAACGCATTCCCCCACCTTGGCCCATGGTCTACGGTCAGACGCCAGGACGATGTCCCTTTACCTATTACCCGCCAAAGAGGAGTGTCCCCAAGGAGGAAGAGGGCGAGGGTCCATCGGCCCCTCGCCTCAGCGCCCAACTGAGTCTTCGTCGGGCCGTCTCGCTCAACAACATGGCCCGCTCCAATCTTGGACCTGCATTCCGACCTCACGTACCGCCCATTCGCACTGCTAACGACACGAGGCAGCAAGACTACCCCATGGCGTCCGGCAACAGTGTCTCGATCACATCCAACATCGCATCCACCACGTCCAACATTTTCACGGATCAGCAAAATGGAGCGACAGTCGGTCTGCCCCAGAACCGTCGCGTCGCCGAGCTCAACCGCAGGGTGCATACATCCAACGCGCCCATCCGTCCACCGCGCATGCTTCACGCCAGTCCTGCCAGCGTGCTTGCCGGTAGCGCTGCAAGTGGTGTTGGCATTCGTCGCGACGGCGGCAGTCCTTTGCCCGGTAGTCCCTTGCCTGGCAGCCCCGCGGCCCAGCGTGGCGACGCCGAGCAAGGCGCATCCGTACGACGCATGCTTGGCCTCGAGGACAAGGAGCGTCGTGTCGACACCACCATCCCCGGCGCTGGTAGCGGTCTTCAGCGCAGCGTCAGCACCAGCGCGGTCAACAAGCCAGCTTCAGCCAAAAAGCCAGGATACTGCGAAAACTGCCGCGCCAAATACGAAGACTTTATCGAGCACATCTACGACCGCAAGCACCGCAAGTTTGCCACCAACGAGGCCAACTTTGTCGACATCGACGCGCTGATCGGGCGTGTTGCGCGACCGCTTCGGCCCGTGGCTGTGGAATACTACGGCTTTGGGTTGGAGGAGATCCCGTCGTCGCAGCCGGAGGAACGTGGGGCGACGTATGCGGAGTCCGAGGAGGCGAGCGTCTCGGCTGGGTCGCCTGAGGTGGAGGGCGACGCTTTCGACTGCGTGCTGCGCGACGAGCAGGAGGCCGACGACGAGGAAGAGGAAGAGGAGCAAAGAGAGGAGGCTCAGTGGCAGCCTCAGCCATACGACGTCATGATCGCTTAGCATCCCACTCCCACTTCGTTTCTCTGCATGCAGCAGCCACGCATTCACACACGCATCTTGATCCCACGCACCAGCATCCCTTCAGATCTTCTCCCCCACAAACCCTTCATCATCACCATCGCATGTCACACCCCTTCCGCTCGCATCATTTGTCACTTTCTCATTGTTCACTTACGCATTTGCAATTCAAGGGTTCCGATCACACGCTGCTGTGCGCTCTTCTCCTCCCGCTGGAGTCAGTATGGGCAAATGGGTATGGGTATGAAATTGCAACGAGATGAAGGTGTGGGCTCTAAGCAAATTGAACGGGTCTGACTACGCCATCTTCGCCGATGATCCCGCATATCGGCGAACCATTGATACTCTGCCAAGTGATGACCTCTCCTGGTCTGGCCATTCTGGGTTTGGGTGTTTTGAGGGCTTCCTTGGGAAGGTCGGGTTTGAAGCTGTCCAGACTGGGTGCCTTCCCTTTCGTCGGGAGGGGGGAGGATGGGGCTGCCGTTTTGCCCTTTGTCGGCTTTCTTGTTCTCCCCGCTGTTCGCTTCGCCTCCTCGGTTTTGCTCCGTTTGGCCTTTGCGGGTGAGCGTTCCTCGCGGATCTGGTCCCATTCCTGCTGTGTCTCGGCGAGGTGAGAGACGGGTGCGTTGGACATGAAGGCGTGAATGTTGGCGCCGTACTGATCGATGAAGTCGGCGAGGCTGAGATCGCGGACTGCACGGGGAATGCGTTCGATGGCCAAGCGCATGCGTGTGGTGGCGGACTGGATGGACATCTCGAGCGATGCGCGGAGGCGTGATGTCCGCGCTTGCGTTTCGAGGTCGTAGTTCGACAGGAAGGCGCGGATTTGGTCCTCCGGCAGACGTTTGGTTGGTGACGAGGGAACCGGTGTTGTTGCTCGTGAGTCATCGGTGGTAGCAGACTGGACCTTCTTCGACTTTGTCGTCTTTGATGATGCTTTCGATTTGGACGATTGTGTCTTTGAAGAGGCAGGGGCGGCGTCTAAGGCGTCACTGTTGGGCGCATTGCGCTCACCGAGCACCTTCTTGGGCTCTGCTGTGCTTTTCGCGGTCTTCTTCTTGGCGTCAATGACATTTGTTGCGTCGATATTCTCGTCCAGCACAGCATCCGATGACGCTTTCGAGGACGCCTTTGTTGTGCGCGTCGACCTCGTCGCACGAGTGGCCTTTTTGAGGGGCATGGTGGATCTTTTTCGATGTGGGTCGGTCGGTGTAGGGTGCGCCAGTAGTATCAAAGCTTCCTGATAGCGAGAAACAAGAGACGATGTATGCGATGCCGATGCTGTGGATGCTAGGGAACGAAACGGATGCGAAGTTATAGATGGTGGTTGTCGAGGATAAGAATTGCATGCTGCCAAGGTGTCGCACCAAAAATGTGAGATTCGCACCTTGTGACTTGGGGCGTAACCAACACCGCGACGCGGCCACAGAGCTTCACGTGATTCACAGCCTCGAAGCCAGCAGCGCCATGTGGAGGATTTTTGAGCCAAAATCCTCAACGCCAGCCAGCGCTCAGGGCGATCTTTGTCATGAACACATGCACACATCCCGCGCTTTGACATGATCTGCCGGTCGCTCTGTAAGACGCTGTTCTGACGTCCACGGATCGCTTTGAGACGAGCAAGGCTCTCAGAATGATGGGCGCTTAGTCCAGGCTTGATATGAAGGACAACGCAATCAAGAGGGCAGATGGCCCTTTGTCGCAGCAGCCAAAGTCTGACAGAAAGAATATGAGAATGATCCGAATTTGGGCGTTGGATGACGCTGCGACAGTCGGCTTTCGCACGTGCATGATTCAGGCTGTTGATTGCGCTCAGCCTCTGGTCCCTTTCTTCCTTCTTTCTTCTTGACTTCCTTCTCCATCGACGCGACCACCATAGTCAGCAAGATGAGGCTCATAGCAATTCCGCTCGCACGGGCGAGACCCACCTCGCATCCGATCTCCACCTTCGTTGCACAAACCGCCTCGCGAGCTGCGGAAAAGGCGCTAGCCGATGCGGCGGCAAAGAAGACCGACGGCGCCAACACGCCCCAGCTACCCTTCACAACACGGATGCTCAACAAGGCATCTGCCTTTTGGATGGATCTCGGGCGTACAGATCAGACGAGCACACTGGATTGGAAGCGTAGGACGTACGTGACCGGAGAGAAGCTCATGGACCGCATCGAGTATCAGGAGTGGGCACTAAAGGGGATTGACCCAGCAATGGGTCCACATCTGATCAGAGGGCAAGCAAAGGATGCTGGAAATCAGGAGGCGGGGACGGACATCGCAAAGCTCGACCACGTGCCGCTGCTGTACCCGCCCTCGCTGCTGCAGCCGGAGAGGCTGCTCAAGAACCTCAAGAACTTGACGGACCACCGAACCCCACACCACTACAGGCGATTCTGGTACTGCGTGGTGGGCATGCCTATCACCATCCCTTTCGCCTTGATTCGTGAGTACCCTTTCTCGCTGATCGTCTGGAGCTTGACTCGTGTTGCTGATTCTTATACTTCTTCGCTTGCTCTCCGCCCGCAGCCGTGATCCCAAATTTGCCATTCTTCTATCTCGTATACCGAGCATGGAGCCACTGGAAAGGTAAGCGCACACAATCAAGACTCTGACCCGCCTGACTTCAAGCTCGGTTGAAACTCACACCTCTCTGACCACTCCTTTTCCACGACAGCGTACAAATCCTCCCAGTACCTCTCGACATTGATAGGCCAAGACCGCGTCCACCCAACCGAGAGCAAGGAGCTCGATTCAATCTTTGCTCAGACCTCGGCGCCCTCCGACGCAACACCATCAGAAGCATCCAGCGAGAAGTCGACAGCGCCCGAACCGGCTGAAGACGAGCGAATGCTTCTGCTGAAACATCACATTCCGATGCTGATGGACAAGATGGAGTTTCCCGAGTGGGTCAAGGCGGATCTCCGGAGAGCGAGGTTGCAGGTCGACAAGGCTGTGGCCGAGAACAAGCTGGAGGAGCTTGAGAGCAGCGCCGAGGAGGAACATCCGGAGAACAAGAAGTGAGAGGCTTACGGAGTAACGACCCGGTCTCATAGAAATGTCATCTCACTCCTCACTCGATATCTTGATCGACTGCTGAGCGTGAAGGGAAGGCATTCACGATTGTATTGGGAGACTTCAGAACTCGAGAGGTGGAAGCTCAAACAAGCCTGTAGAGCTCGAGCGCTTGACCTCAATCGGGCCCGAAAAGTCGACTTCAGGGTCGATGTTCTGTGCGGCCAAGAAGCAAAAGGTGAGCCGGGTCAGCTTTGCACCTCCTCGTCGTTCAACTTGCGCCGTAGTTTGTCACTCACACCGTAGATATGCCCAAAGACCGTCCCGATCGCAGGGTCAAACTGCAGCTTGATCGGAGTCTCCCGCTGCCTGTCGACGCTGGAGCGCTTGAACGAGTAAACGTAGAGGCTGTCACCGCAGCCGCTGCTGGAGCTGAAGAAGCGTTCGAGTGTACCCGGAAGCTGGTCTGCGGAGGAGAGGTGAATGAAGCCGTCCTTGGTCTGCAGTCGTAACAAACATGATATGTCAGTCAGTGCAGGGCGCAAAAGTCGGAGTGAGGTGGGGTGCACGACATACATCAAGCGCAGTGCCCGCCCAGTTGGTAGTTGGCATATCCTGCTTCTCCTGCGGCGTCAGGATCTTATACAGCACCGTGCTCGTTGTTGGGTCCCTCATCTTGACGTGGTCGAGTGTGATTGTGGTGAAGGTGTCTGTGTGTGACAATGGCCTTCTCCGCAATGCAGGCGTCACTTCGCTCTTCTCCGCAAAGCGTTCTTCTCGCTCCGTCTTCCGATTTTTTGAGATCTTCCTCCACCCCGCGAGAAGGTGACACAAGCCTGCATGCGAAGAAAGCAAATCCTCGACTCGACCTTCTTTCTCATCATCACCTTTAAACCTTGCGGAGCTATCGAGACGACAAATACCAAGCTCTGCCCATACGCATCAGGCTCACAACTCGGCTGCATACGACTTGCAGACCGACAGAGCTCGCAGCTATGGCAGCCCCATCGACGAGCAGATCCGATGCGGTCGACGCTTACAATAAGGCCATCACAGCGCTGCGCACGAAATCCTCACCCGACACGCTATCAACCATCCCTTCCCTCAATGATGACCCCGATACAGTCGATACACTCATTCATGACTTCCTCACTCCAAGCGTCAAGCTCCCTGCCTCGGAGCTGGCACGCTCCCAAGTCCACTGGCAGCGCGAGCCCAAGCTCGAACACATGCTTTGGGCCGAGCCCAGCACCTCACTCCACTCGCTCGAGTTCGTCCGCGCCGGCCTTGAAGGTCGGATTGTCTCGTATCGCGAGGTGTCGCATACTGCTGCGCCGCTGCTGGACTCCAAATCATCGGCTTCGATGGCGAGGAAGCCGGCCACCTCAAGCAACTTTGTGAGGGGCAAGTCTGCATACGTCCCGTTCGCACCCGGCGGATTGGAGAATGAGGTCATGAAGGATGCAGATGGTACCGAAGGGGACGATGAGGACCTGTCGGAGACAATACGATCGCAAGTCGCCGATATGGAGGAGACGTTGAGCTCCGGGAGAGGTCTGCGCTCGAAAGCGCCCGGGCTGAGCAGAGGTTTCATCGATCCCAGCGAGGAGGTGCTTGACGACGACGAGGATGCCGAAGGTGCCTCGATCAATCTCAGGGACGCATCACAAGCCATTGACGTGGGTCAAGGTATGGCGCCGATCCCTGTCTACCGACCCATCGAACAGGATCGCGCTTCTGCTGTTCGCAGCTCCAAGACCAACGGCGACGTCCCCAATCACTCCTCTCTCAGCGCTCACGACGCCGAGCTGGACGAGCTGCTACCCGTCGAGCGACCTCAGCCCCTCGCGCGCGCCCGCCGCACCGCCAAGATTGAAGCGAAGCGCGACTGGGCGCACGTCATCGACGTCAATCAAAAGCTCTCCAACTTCCACGAGCTCGTTCCTCAGATGGCGCATTCCTTCCCATTCGAGCTCGACACATTCCAAAAGGAAGCCGTCTACCACCTCGAACAAGGCGACTCCGTCTTCGTCGCCGCACACACCTCCGCCGGTAAAACCGTTGTCGCCGAATACGCCATCGCCCTCGCACAAAAACACATGACGCGCTGCATCTACACGTCCCCCATCAAAGCCCTTTCCAACCAAAAGTACCGCGACTTCAAGCAGACCTTTGGCGCGGCCAACGTCGGGATCCTCACCGGCGATGTGCAGATCAACCCCGAAGCCCCCTGTCTCATCATGACGACCGAGATTCTGCGCTCGATGCTCTATCGCGGCGCGGACCTGATCCGTGATGTCGAATTCGTCATCTTCGACGAGGTCCACTACGTCAATGATCAGGAGCGCGGCGTTGTCTGGGAAGAAGTCATCATCCTGTGTCCGCAGCATATCAATCTCATTCTGCTCTCGGCGACGGTGCCCAACACCAAGGAATTTGCAGATTGGGTCGGGCGCACGAAGAAGAAAGACATCTACGTCATCAGCACGCCGAAGCGTCCTGTTCCGCTCGAGCATTTCCTGTACGCTGGAAAGGAGATGTTCAAGATCGTCGATGCGCGCGCGCAGTTCTTGGGCAACGGGATCAAGGAGGCTGGCGAAGCGCTGCGACGCAAGCAGGATAAGGAGCGCGAAGCCAATGCTGTCGCTACGGGCACTGCCGCTCGTGGTGGCCGCGGCGGAGGTGCTGCCGGATCCAACTCTCGGGGTCGCGGCATGGTCCCCGCCCGTGGCGCTCGTGGGGGTCGTGGCGGTGCAGCTGGTCGTGGCGCCGCCGTGATGGGCGGTGGCACCGTCCGCACCGGTCTCGACAAGAACCTCTGGATTCACCTCGTCGGTCATCTTCGCGCACACAACCTCCTCCCCTGCGTCGTCTTCGTCTTTTCCAAAAAACGATGCGAAGAGTACGCAACTAGCATGCCCAACACCGACCTCAACAGCGCCGCTGCCAAGTCCGAGGTGCACATTCTCATCGAGAAGTCCCTGACGCGTCTCAAGGGCAGCGACAAGGATCTACCGCAGATCAAGCGGATGCGGGACCTACTCGGCCGCGGTATCGGCGTGCATCACGGTGGCCTCCTTCCGATCGTAAAAGAGATCGTCGAACTCCTCTTCCAGCGTGGTCTCGTCAAAGTCCTGTTCGCTACTGAAACTTTCGCTATGGGCGTCAACATGCCTGCTCGCAGTGTCGTATTTTCTTCGATACGCAAGCACGACGGGCACGGATTCCGAGAGCTCCTGCCGGGCGAATACACCCAGATGTCCGGTCGAGCAGGTCGTCGTGGCCTCGACCCAACCGGAGTCGTCATCATCAACGCCGCCGACCAGCTCCCCGAAACAGCGGTATTGCACAAAATGCTCCTCGGCCAACCCACCAAGCTCTCGTCCCAGTTCCGATTGACGTACAATATGATCCTCAACCTCCTCCGCGTCGAAGCGTTGAAGGTGGAGGAGATGATCAAGCGCAGCTTTTCCGAGAATGCAGCGCAGAAGATGCTCCCGGATCAACAGAGGAAGGCGCAGGAGCTGGAGAGGAAGTTAGCTAAAGCACCCCGCCCGAGCCCGCCGGAGAGGGACGAGCAGCTGGCGACGCTGTACGACCTGTGCGCGGCGGTGGTGAGCAGCAACCAGTCGGTGTTTGAGCTGGCGTTGTCGCATCCGCAGGGGGCCAAGGTGTTCGGTTCCGGCAGAGTGGTGTTGCTGCGGGATGGACATTTTGACTTTGACGTTGGCGTCATGGTTCGTCAGGTGGGCGCGGCGGAGTTTCTGGTTCTCGCGGCAGTTACAACGGAACGGAAGAGAGGCGATCTCGACCGTGCCGATCCCGACGGTGCGGGTGTGCCACCTCTCTGGCCACCCCAGGTACAGCCAGTGGAAGCGGAACTGGTGTACGACCTTCGCGAAGTACCCCTCTCGAGCATCGCCCTCATCACGGACCAAACGATCAAACTCGACATCCCCCTGATCACGGCGCATCGAATCAGCGCCATGAATCGCGCCCTGTCGCTCCTCGTCCCTCTGCGCGACACCTTCCTCACCTCTCCCGCTCGCGAGGTCGACTGGAAGCTCCGCAGATTGGATTTCCAAGAAGCTCTCCGTTCGCGCGATTCCTACGCCCTCAAAGCCTCGCAACACACCTCCCTCCTCACCACCGCCTCCTTCTCATCCGATTACGCCCTGGTTTGCTCCTACAAATCGATCACCCGATCCTTGGAGGCGACAATCCGTCTGTCGAGCGATGAAAACCTCGAACTGCTGCCGGACTACCATCAGCGCGTATCCGTTCTGAAAACGCTCCGGTACATCGATCCGCTGACCGAATCGGTGCTGCTCAAAGGACGCGTCGCGTGCGAGGTGAACAGTGCCAACGAGCTGGTGCTGACCGAGCTGATTTTGGAAAACATCCTCACCGACTATGCGCCCGAGGAACTCGTGGCGCTTCTGTCGATCTTCCTGGCGCAGGAGAAGACGGAGGATATCCCGGAATTGACCGGTGCGCTCGCGGAGGGGTACGCAAAGATCGTCGGTATCGCAGAAAGAGTCTCGGCGGTTCAATTGGCGAATAGCTTGGCGAGCGAAGACTTTGCCTTGCCCCAAAAGACGGCGTTGGTCAACGTGGTGTACGAATGGGCGAAAGGAACGGATTTCCAAACCATCGCCGGGATGACCGATATTCAAGAGGGTAGCATCGTCAGGGTCATCACCCGACTCGATGAGACGTGTCGTGAGATTCGCGACGCCGCAAGGGTCATCGGCGACCGCGATCTGGGTGACAAGATTCAGGTCTGCCAGAGTCTCATCAGGAGGGACATCGTCTTTGCTGCCAGTCTGTACTTTTAGCATGCTCGCATTGCAACTTCTCATCTCAGCATCAGCTTGTGAGGCCTGTCATCCAAGTTCAATGCCGATGTCTGATCAACCGTCGACTTGGGACGTTCGATGGAAAGAACGACTGTAATTGAAGCAGCGAGCGAGACGACTGACAAAGAACGACTGCGGTGGAGACTCTCACCCGATCGTGTCATCTGGACCTCCTCACGCAACGGGCGGACCACCGGGCACATCAAGCTCTCCATGCTTCTTCGTCGCCACCGCATCCTCTCCCACCTGCTCCGTCCGCTCAGCAGCCGCGTTCAGCGTCTCATCGTGCTCAGTCGCGGCAAGATTGCTCGCCTGAGCCTTGAGCAGCGCATCATCAGCCGGTTGCGCCGTCAACTGCGAATCGATCACTTCTGTACTTGTCGATGCCTCTAGCGGCTTCTCGGGCGCGTTCACCGAGTGACCTGCTTCCGAGCCAATCACGGGCGTGGCAGGTTCAGTGCTGCCATGTGCCTGTTGAGAGCCGCCGAGGTGGGGCTGGCTGCCATTCGCAGTGTGCTCGCTCTTGGCGTACGCCTGGAGGGCCGCATTGGATGCCGATGCTGAGAGCGGAATGGACAATTGTGTAGCGACCGTCTTTTGAGAAGGCGTGCGGTGCAGGCTGAGGCGGTCCGAGGGGGCGCCCGGTCCAGCAGAGGTACCTGCACCGTACATGGCCTGGTGCGAGTTCTGGCCGGTCGCGCTGGCCGCGATCGAGTCGCGCGTTCGCGAGGACGAGTCGCTGCCACGCCGGCTGAGCGGAGGCAAAGCCATCAGGGAAGCGTAGGTGTCGCTGCTGTTGCGACGGTCGCCCATGAGACTGCCGCCGATGCTCCTTGCTCCACCCAGGCTAGGCGCGTGATGGTGACTCCGGCTGGCCCCCCCAAGACTCATGCCGGCATTGGAGGAGGCGAGAGTCAACACACTGGCGTTGTCGGCGGGAATTCCAGACGGGTGTGGGTTGTTGTTGGGATGCGGTCTGGTGTGGGAAGGTACGTTGATGAAGGCGGGCCCATGCTCGCCGGCGATGCTGCTGGTGTTGCCAGTCTGCCCACTGACGCTGCGAGACCCGCTATCGGATGCGATCTGGGTCGTGACGCCGTCGCGAGGCGCAGTGGTGCGACGCTGCGAGGTACCAAAGGAGTCATCGCCGCTGCCCTGGCGCGGCTGAGCGATGTGGGTGGTGGGAAGGATCGTAGGCTCGCGGGTGTCGAGACTCATGAGCGTGGTAGGCTTAGTGCTGGCGCGGCTCTTGGTCGTGTCCAAGGTGCGGTTGCCAATGGAGTCACGACCGGCCAGACTGCTGGCGTCGTCCGTGTCTGGCTCGAAGTCGTTCGTGGGAGCGGTCGGTGCGTTGGAGATGATGGCGTTTGGGGTAGGAGCGGCAGCACCGTCTGCGCTGGAGTTCGGAACCGCGCTCGAAGGCAAAACGGGGTCATTGACAGTCGAAGGAGGTGATGCGAGCGCCTTGTCATGAGCAAAGGTGTTCGAGGAGAGGGCACCGGGATCTTGCTGACTTGAGATGGCCGCAGTGTCTGGACGAGGCGACCGGGGCAGATCGATCGCGCCGAGCGGCTCCTGACTTGGGATACCGTCCAGCTGCGGAGGAGGCGTCAAGCTGCCCTGTGCAGCGACGCTCTGGCCGGGCACAGCAAGCGTACTGGCGAGGCCGTTTGCCTGATCCGAGCTGAAGGCCGAGGCGAACTGCGGCTGCTGACCTGTCACGCCCGCACGCTGAGCACCGCCGTTGAGCTTGGGCAGTGTCGACGACTTGCTTCGATCATCGACTTTTGATGCTCCCTTTCTTGCAGGTAGCGTTCCGCCTACGCCAGCTGAGCCGTTCGCCGAAGTACCATCAGAGGCATGAGCTGCATCGCTCGGTCTCCGTCCAAACTTCTTAGAGAACCAGCTGCCAATCGAGTTCTTTTTCTGGCGACCGTGGTGTGGCTGTGCCGATGCTGCGCTTGCTCCTGCCTGAGCGCTCATCTTCGTCCTCAGAAAATGTATACGGTCGAGCGAGCTAGGATGGCGAGCGGTGACGAAGAGCTGTGGAGATGATGGATGACCGTCAAGGAAAAGGAGGTGGTTGGGCTGAGCTGAGTCTGCGCAACCAACACCTCAGGGTCTGACTTGCGTCAAAGCGCAGCGCAGCCTCTTTTGACGCTCAAGCCACGTCAAGCCACGCTCAAGAGTGGAATTTCAAGAGGGTGCGGAGCGGCCCGCGTGCCCTCTCGCTTCGTCGGAATCTGAATTCGACACGTCAAATTGAGCTCGTTCGCATGTTGACTCCCCGCAGCAGGGTTTGCAAGACAGCTCATACACAATCCAGAGATCGATCCATCACTACGTATCAACTGGGCTCGAGAATTGTGCATTGTCCTGGGAAACTTGCGACAGAATGTCGTAGTGAAGTTCAAGACAGGAAGGAGGTAGAGGGAGGAAATTGGAGGAGATGGCGGTCTCCGGAGGAAATTGTCATCCGACCACACCTCCTTGGACCGAACCACCATCTCTATCCTGCCTGGTAGATGGCAGGACCTGCGACAACGTGATTGTTAATGAGGGTCAAGTTCGCAGGTGTGTAATGAGCATCGTTCGATGTGAGAGCCACAAAGATCGTGCTGTTGATCAGCGACGGGCCTTCGGGGTACACCTTGCCGCCGGGCTGCCTAGCTTTGGCAGTGCGTGCATCCATGTCGACGTCGTAGAGAGGTGCGTAGGTGACATTGAACTGCGAGACGTAAGCAGCAAACTTGGGTACGCCCGAAGTGTGCGTCGTGGTCGTCTGCTGGTAAGGGCCTTGCGTCTTGCCGGGATAGTCCCACTGGAACGTGTTCTCCTGACCTTCTGAGGTCAGAGCGGTCACGTTGTTCGAGATCGATGGTCCTCCAGCTGCCTGTCCAGCCGCGATGGCATCCGGCTGGTTTGTCCAGTTGAGAGCGGGATAGATCTCAAAGGCGATGGGCTTGTTCTCTTTGGGACAAGAGACGATCCAAGGACTCAGCAAAGTCCAGGCCCAGGACTGAGGAATGCCCGTCTCGAACCACTCCGGCACGGGGAACAGTCCTTCAAATTGGCGGAAGGCAAACTGCTGACGAGCCTCGGTGGTGATGGACTGCAGCAAGATCTGAGCACTAGCTCGGTTGTCGAGCAGGTTGAGGAAGCCATAGACACCGGACTCGCCCCACTTGGTGAGTCTCTGGCTGAAGTCGATGAACTCGGGTACCGTCTGGAAGTCGTAGCGGTACGAGCACATTTTGGGAGCGTTGGGGCCCAGCATGTTTGACAAGGCGACAGCATGGCCGATCTCCTGCTGAGCAAAATGACGAATCAGATGGCGATCCTCCGCATCGATACCAGCCGCATCGTAGTCAGCGTCCGAGAACTTGACCAGCCCATAGTTGAACAGGTCGAGCTCGATATACTCTTGGTGCAAGGCGAGAGCGATCGACTGGAAGTCGAAGTTGGAGAAGACCTGGTAAGTCGGCTTCTCGACGAAGTAGGATGAGTTGGGCTGGTAGCCCTGGGAGATGTTCCAGCCGGCATTGCGAGGATCACCTCCAGCACCCAACTGCGCAGGCGGCACAATATTGGGCTGGTTCCGCTTGAGGGGGCTAGGTGCCGCTGATGAAAAGGTCAGGAGGGACGCACATCCCAGCGCCAGAGCCAGAGAAGCAGAAAAGGAAGAGGACAGCATCTTTGCTGCAACGGGACAGATGGGGGAGAGGGTGAGAAGTTGTGGAAGGAGGTGGACAGCAAAGGCAGGGTTCTTATAGCAAGTCTGCGGCCTCAGATGAATGCGAGACCCTCCAGCCCAGCACCGTCTATTCTTGTCGTCCAGAGCGGAAAGGATTGGCTCGCCTCCAAGCAGCGATTCAATCACCTATCTGTGAATCACTCTTTTGCTAGCCTTGTGGCAGCCTATGAGCAGCCTACGGACTGGCGATTCGCGTGACGGCCTATCGAGGCTGACTGTTCTGATGGAAGCGAGGTCCATCAGGGGCATGGCGTGGAAACGAGGCTGGGCAATCTTCAGAATTGTTGCAGTTGGGCCAAGCCAGCGACGACCCACTAGAGGAAGAGTGAGCTAGCAGAATTCGCCATCCAGGCGGCCAAGGCTTGATCTCGAACGATGACTGGCTTCGCATGGATCAAGCCAGAGATCGGCTGTTGTGACCACACGGTCGTTTTCTTCCGGCGAAACGTGACTGAGCACGCCGACAATTCCGATCTTTGTCTAACAAACGTGCCGCATGGTCGAAATGTCTGACACTGACTAGGCAGACGCTAGCCAGTCACCACTACTCACATTGCAGACCTGCATGGTGAATCAGGCGTGCCATCTTCGCGTCGGCGCGAATGTAGACAGGGCCTAGGCATCGGCTACGCGCAAAAAATTTGGCGAAGAGGGTCTTTCTTCTGATGATCACGTCACGGCGCCCAACACCTCCACCCCCGCAAATTGGAGCCGAGATCGTGTAGGAAGCTGACACATTCGACCGCTCGGCTCGCCTCAAAGGTGTGACAGCTCGTTTGCTGCGCAATCGCTTCCCTCTTGACCTCATCCCACCTCCAATTCCGCGAAGCCGCTACTCTCACGGCCGCAGCGGTCGTAGTCATCTCCTTGCTATATTGTCCATCGGTCTCTGAACCCGAAGAAAACCGACGCCCACGATGACGCTGCGACAAACTCGACTTGACGAAAGGAAGGAGCAAGACTCTTCTGCAAAGAGCGGGGACTCATCAGAGGAGCAGATCGCTGCCGGCGACAAGCGCAAAGCTCCCGCAAACGAAAGCGCTGACAACGCAGACAACGATGATCGTGCCAAGAGCCGCAAGACGGACGATTCCGCCAACCAAGATGACGACAACGCAAAGGCCCAGAAGGACACCGACACGAATGCATCAGCGCCGACCACGCTCTCTGGCAGTCAAAGCAAGGCCGACAATACGCTCAAAGGCGATGACATTGAGATCAACGAAGGTAATTCTGACGGCAAGAAGGAAGTGCCCTGGCACGTTAGCGAAAAGGGACTCGTCTACTTCTTCTACCGACCCAAGGTGCAATCGGCGGACAAGGCCGATTCGAAGAGCACCGAGTCTCTAGATGACGTGCAGAACACCTTCATGCTGCTCGTACCAAGAGCGAGCGAGTCCGAGACGGCACCAGCTTCCGATGCTTCAAAGGAGCAAGGCGATAAGAGGGAGCCACCCAATCCTACAGCGTATCGCCTTGTCTCACTCGGCAAGAAACGCATGCCAAGCCCTGAAGCCGCATTGAAGGCTGGACAGGAGCCAGGTGGTATCGGTGGCCGCCACAGCGAGGCGATCTGGGCGACTGTAGCCGATATCGGCGCAGATCTCAAGGCTGTTGCGGAGGGGATGGGAGCAGAGCGGTACTCTACCAAGACACGAGGTAAGATCACGCTGTTGAGATCCGTGGCATCATCAAGGGAAGAGCTCATGCCGACTACGAGAATTATATGTATACTGACCATCAATCACCTCGTCCCTCTTTATCAAGGCGAGCGGCTCAAGCCGGCCGCTCGACCAGCAGGACGAGGTCACTATGCGCTGAGCATCAAGACGACGGATCCGCCATCCTCGCGCGAGGTGCGAATCACGTACCACCTATCGCACCCGAGCGAGAAAGACTTTGGTCAAGTACAGGAGGAGCTCGGACTGCATCCCGCGTCGTCGGTGTTAATGCAGATGCGGAACCCGACCCTCGCGCCGACGGGACCCAACGCGCCAGCAGCCGGGCTTCCGGAGGACAAGAGGGCTATTCTGACCAAGGAAGAGCTGCAGGAGAACTTTGGCGGGGACGTCAACAAGAATGGCAATCGGTACGCGCGACCGGAAGAGCCCGCCCTGCTCGACCGTCAAGGTGTCGAGCTTTTGCTAATCAAGCGAGATCAAGAGGAGGACGATGGATCCAAGGGTCTCGGTGACGAACAGAGCGAAGGTGAGTGGTGTCTGCGGCCAAATGTTCACTCGGCTGTCCCCAAAATTGGATCGACTGATCGCGCTGACCGTTGCTCTTCTTTTCTGCGCATTTTCCTGGCACAGCGCTGGCAAAGCTGGCCAAGGAGGACAGCAACAAGCTGTCTGATGATGCGATCCTCAAGGAGCTTGCACTGTCCAGCAAGGACGTCGAGGTCGAGGCGTTGTCGGGCGAGTGGATCTGAGGAGGATGCAGTCTTTGATCGATGCATTTGCTGTGCGTTTCGAATTGCAGCTTAGTTGATGAAACCACGTTATTCGCCTTGGTGCCGCCGTCCAAACGATTAGTTCATGAAGTGACTTGGCTCGAGTGCATCAGAGAAAGACGCCTTCGGAGTCCTCCTGCATCGGAGTCGGGGTTGAAGTCGGCTGTGCGGCGGTCCCCACCGCCTCGGATGGACGAGTGAGGCCATAGTGGGCTTGCGTATCGTTGCCCGTCTTCTCTTGCAGCACATCGAACAGCTTTTCGACGACGTCGTTCTGCTTTGAGATGGTGCCGTCGTTGTCGCTGCAGGCGTTGTTCATCTCTTTGCGGTCATTGTCGCTGAGATCGTTGCCGGACTCGTGAACAAATTGTTCGATTTGGCGGTTCGAGTCTTCAAGGCGTGAGACGCTGTCCTGGAGTCGCTTGATCTCATGAACGAGCGTGTCTGCGTTGAGCCCACGGAGCGCCTCGGTGGTGACGCTCGCATAGTCTCCCACAACGGTGGGGATCTGACTCGAGTCTGGGATCACGAGCGGCATCTTGGTACGTCAGAGACAGCCGCCACGTCACTCGTCGTCGTTGCGATCGTGATAGGCGTGGGAGACGTTGTGCAGGCCGTCGTGAGTGCGTCAGATGCTGGAACTGTCCTCAAGAAATGACTGCGAAGCTCACTTTTTATTGACAACCGAGAAGCGTCGTCACAGCTTGACGAGACCCTGAAGGTGTCGGCGTCTTGAGCGGCGAGCTGGCCAATTCCGGTTCGACTTGAAGCTTTAGAGTTTGGACAGGCTGGAATTTCAAATGCTCGGATTTACAATTCAACTTGGGCGATTCGCCACTCAGCTTGAACTTCCCCGCACTCTCTCTCTCGCAGAGACAAAAGACCCTTCTGCTCAAAGCATGTTCTGTGCCTCTTTCTTCGTGTAGGCACAGAAAGGCATGCACCCGGTATCTTCGGTTGCTTGCAGCCGAGCCTTCCACCGCCGCTTGACCAAAGCCTCTTTTTTCCCACCTTTCGAATGCACAATTGCAGCCCTTACATCACAGCCTGCCTCGAAACCCCACCAAAATGATGCGATTGCCAAGCTTGTCAACCGAGAACTTGTGTCGGCTGAAGGAAGCCGGGTGGGTAAAGCTCTCAAAGCGACCGTGCATTCAGGACTTGAGACCCTGCTCCGCTTTAAGCGCCACCCCGCATAACGACACGTAGCTTTCCTTCTGACCATTACCTCCTCCTCATCATCGAACCACAACTCGTACAACCCAACCAACATGTCGCCTCCCACTGCCACTGACAACGTCCCTGCTTCTGAGCCTGCCGCCAAGGAGGTGCAGAAGGGGGCTCCCAAGTTCAAATTTCCCAAGGTAAGTCCATACTAGCCCGCCAGCGCGACAGCGAGGAGATTGTACTGACTTGAGTCTCCATGCACCTTTGCTGCAGCCCGTCACCTACGACACTCCCGAAGACGAGCGACGCGGTCGCAAGGAGAGGCTTGCTCAGGCCTTCCGTGTGTTCGGCATGCTCGGATTCGAAGAGGGTGTCGCCGGACACCTGACGTTCCGCGACCCCATCCTCAAGGACCACTTTTGGGTCAACCCCTTCGGCATTCCCTTCCGCTTCATGACCGTCTCGGATCTGCTGCTCATCGGTCCTGATGGCAGCATTGTCGACGGTGGTCGTCCCGAAAGGATGCTGTACAACCAGGCTGCTTTCGCCATCCACCACGCCATTCACACGGCTCGACCCGACCTCGACGCTGCTTGCCACTCGCACTCGATGTATGGAAAGGCCTTCGCCACTCTCGGCAGGAACAGTAAGTTTTGCACCACGCAAAGGCGACCAGGGACCATCCCATGTCGGTCAAGAGCGCCATTTTGCTGACTTCCCATTCCAATCTGATCATCACGGCTTACAGTCGAGATCACTACTCAGGACAGCTGCGCCTTCTACAACCAGTGTGCGCTGTACGAGAACTTTGGCGGTGTCGTGCTCGCTGACGAGGAAGGAGACAACATCGCCCGCGCGCTTGGCGACAAGAACCGCGCTCTCATCCTGCAGAACCACGGCATCCTCTCGGCGGGCACCTCGATCGAGGCCGCCGTCGGCTACTTTATCATGCTCGAGAAGCACTGCCAGGTGATGCTCCTCTCCGAGCCTGCTGCCGCCGCTCGTGGCACCAAGCCCATCGTTATTGGTCACGAAGAGGCCGAGTTCACCCGCAGACAGGTGGGCAGCGACCAGGCGCTCGCCTTCCAGGCTTCCGTCTACTTTGACACCGTCGCCCGTCTCGACAAGGGTGCGTGGAAGGAGTAGATGTCGTACCCCGTATTGCCTTCTCGCAACTTCAGTCTCTTGCTTCTGTGTTCTTCGCTGTGTGCCTTTGCTGTGTGCTTTGCGTGTGCGGCTGACCATACATCGTTGACCAGCTTCTGGTGAGCGTTGAAAAAACAGGCTGATGTTAGACTAGCATAAGTACTCAACAGAAAATCTTGGCCGCGTCGAGGCGGAGGTAGTGAGTGGATGTCGCTTCTTGCAGACGGCGGTCAGGCCAACGCGGTTTGGCTTTGCTTCCGTTGAGAATTTCAACCAGTCGAGTGAACGATCCAGAGCGACAGAGCGGGTCCACAAGCGGATGCAGCTGCTGCACCTGAGATTTCTCAAAAGAGGTCTCTCTCCTCGCTCGTTTGCTTGCTGTTCCGCCTACTTCTCGCCTGCTCAGCCATCTCGGACTCAGCAATGCTCTTCCATTACCATCATCACCACTTCCAACCAGCTCTCTTTCCCCATTCGTGACGCAGCACCCCTACCTCAACCGCTTCAGACCCGGCACGCCTCGATCCAGGCACTGCGTTCGAGCTCACCCCGACGCCGCGGGTTTGCTTGCTGCCGTCCACGCGCTCCACTTGCCTCTGCCACGAAGCACTGCAGGACGACCACAACAGCTAGCCTTCTCGCCAACAGAGGCGTTTTCACTCTCTCCTCCTCATCCATCAACCGCCACACTCGCCTCCTCATTCATCGCAGGTAGTCAGCATGGCGGGCAAAGCCAGCAAGACCGGCCACACCGAGTCCGATCCAGCCACATCAGACTTGACATCCGCAGCCGCGTCTGCTCCCGGCTCTGACAACGTCGCTGCTGCTGCTGACGCGGAAGTGAACGCCGAGATAATGACTAGTGCATCGGAGAATGCAACAATACAGCCGGACACAACTGACTCTGCCACCACCAAGTCGGTCACGGACGCTGCTCAAGAGGACGCAGCCTCACGGCGATCTTCGGAGTCCGATGAAAAGCCTGCCAACATCTCGCCCTCCAAAAAGTCTCCGAGCAAGTCCAAGAAGGGCAGCAGAAGCTCCCGCGGCAAGGCAAGCACCTCCAAGCGCAGTAGCGAAGAGCAGCAGGTTGCCAAGGACGACATCACCACCGAGGCTTCCAGCTCCACCGACAAGACCAACGACGCTGCAACCGCAGCTCTAGCTGACGCCGATGCCAACATTGACTCTTCTGACAGCTCTCACCACAAGACCGCCTCGACTAGTAAAGAGCTTGCTCAATCAGGCCTGAGCTCCTTTGGAGACGGCGCCGAGGACGACGTCGTGGGACCTCGTCGCTCTCGTCGCGGCCCAGGCGCTTCACCAGATCCGAAGGCGCGCGTTCCAAAGACAGAGCCCGACTCTGAAGTGACGTCGCTGCAAGATGGCGCAGGCTCTACCGGAGACGACGCATCCGATGCAGCAGCAAAGGCAGATGGCGGCGATGCCGACGCTCCTGCTGAGCCCGCAGAGGATAACGCGCACGAAGTAAAAGGCGCAGTAGCACCGGAAGAGGTGCCTGCTGAGCCGCAGTCAGACACAAAGCCCGAGGCTGTGGAAGAGGAAGCACTCGCTCCCGAAGGCGAATCTGCAGACGATTCAAAGCAGCATTATGCAGTGAACGACTTCGATGACGACGAAGGCGAAGCCAATCACGGGGACGCCGACGAACAAGACGGCGAGCTGGACGACGAGGAACTGGGGGATGAAGGTGTCACGCGATGTGTCTGCGGTAGCTCTGACGAGAACGTCGGTCTCATGATCCAGTGCGAGACTTGCAAGTGCTGGCAGCACTGCGTTTGCATGGGCATGCAGGTCGAGGAGGACTGCCCAGATGTCTACTTTTGCGAGCAGTGTCATCCAGAGCTTCATATCCCGCTTTTGCGCTCGCTGGGCTTGCTGCCAAAGTCGTCGAAGAAAGGCACGGGCAAAGGTGGCGCCAAGTACTCGGCGAGGGAGCTCAAGGAAGCCAAGGAAGCCATCGCGATGCTGGCGCAAGAGAACGCACGCAGGCAGCAGGCCGCCGACGCTGCCAACTACGGCTCGCGGGACAGGAAAGGCAGTCACAATTCTCGTGGCGGCGACTCTTCAAAGGAGGTGCCCAAGAGCCCCAAGAGACGAAGCACGATGAACAGCCGCGATTCTGCATACGGCGGCTGGGAGCCGCTTCCGCCTGGCCTTCTCGCTGATGGCGAAGTATGGGACGGCACAGAGGACCGAAAAGGTGGCAAGAAACGCAAGCGAGGTGTTCCTGACGAGTTCGGCGACGGCAATGCAGATACGCCTGAAGCTCCCGATCATCATGCAGACGCTGCTTCCGACGCAACCAAGCGACGTCGCATGAGCGCGGGACCAGGCCAAGACCACGACGGTGACGCCGAGATGGACGAGGACGAGTCGTCCGGCGTTGTGGATCATTCCACCTCGATGTCGCGAGACAGAAGCCACAAGAAGAAGAAGGGCAATAACCAGTACACGGTGCGCGAAGCTTCGGCTGCGGCCGAGTCGACCTCGTCCAAGCCTCGCCATCCCAACCAGTACACGTATCGCAACAAGGATCGCAATGGCGCAGCCATCCCTTCCAATGGTCAAAAGACCGGAAACAGTTCCACTTCGAATCTCACCTCTCACTCGCCGAGTCCAAGCCCAAGCAAGGGCCGAGCAGAGAATGCTCGTCGAGCAGCTGCGAGGGATCATGGAAGCCAAATCGGCACGCCTGCGCCCGAACCCAGTTCTTCCAGCCGCGGAGGACACCAGACGTCGTCAGCGCAGTGGACGCTTCCCGAGCATCTCACTCACCTCGCCTATCTGCTTCCTCACGCAAGCGGATCGCGTTTGGAGGCGTCCAAGTCAACTGCATCGGCCGCCGACAATGGATCTGCGAACGGGAGCGGATCCGGCACAAAGAAGGGATCCGCCAGTTCGAGCGGACAGACGAGCTCGGTGCCATCTCCACCGGCAAGCACGTCGTTCCCAACGCCGTTCCAGGTCCTGTCGTCCATTGGATCGTCGACCAAGGTCCGATTCCCCAGTCGTCGCATGACGATGGGCGAGATGCGAAAGCGAGTGCGCAACATCGGTGAATACGTGACGCGAAGCCAGATCGAAGCGGTGGAGCGCGAGAAGCGCATGAAGCTGCTTGGAATCGTGCCTCCGTATATGGAGGAGATGGAGGAGGACGCGGACGAAGTCGCCGAGGTGACGCAGGACGACGTCAAGGAGGCCGGCGACGCTGCTAATGCTGATGCAGGGACGGAAGAGAATGTGGTCGACGCGGAGGAGAAGACGCAAGCTTCTGGTGCAAGTGCGCCCGCAAAAGCAGAAGAGCAGCTTCCGTTGAGCATGCGCCTGATGGAGGAACTGACACGCGAGCTCATCCACTTCCAGCGAAAGTTTGGTGTGGGACCGGGCAGCAATGGTGGGCTTGGCGCTTCGCATCAATCTGCTGCTGTCAACTGAGTCTTCATGCACTCGCCATCAGCATCTTTTCTTGGAATGGAATCTGTACCTCTCAGCGTTGCTTAGCGCTTTTTGAACCAGCTCGAGTCGGCCATGTCGAAACCTGTGAGCTGAAGGTCGAGGAAGAAGGGATGCGTTGTAAAATGGGTGTGGCGATACGACTTCCTCGATTTTGAGGTTCTCTGGAGAGGTTCGAAGCGCAAGAGGCGATCGCATGCACGAAACATGTGAACCGCACGGCACCGCTTCCGGCTGGCCCGCCGCCTGACAACAGTTGCGCTAGGATTGCGGCAGAGAGCGGTGCAGATAGTCTCGCTTTGTCACAACTCATTGAGTGTGTGGTCAGCCATACAAATTGTCGGTCCCTTCCTTGCCTTCTCTGCCCTAGTGGTGTATTCATCTGCTGCCTGCTCCACCGTGGCCCCTAGCCGTCCGAAAGCGTGTAGTCCCAGACGAGGGCATGGCGAAGAGGCGATCCGGTTGTGCGGCTGAGGTCGTTCGAACGTTCGGGAGGCTATGATTTGCTGCCGTCTGAGGCACTCAGCGCAGTCACACTCGATGATTGCGGCAGAGCCGATTGCTCAGACATCATTGAGCATCACGCGCGCGCACTTTCAGGCTTCAGGACCTCACCTGCGCTCAGAGAGTCTGGGCAAACGCTGGCTGAGCTGCGCCGAGAAGATGTCGACTTGTCGCCTTAGCTTTGCCCTAATCTTACCGACTTCTGTATGGCAATGAGCTCCGGAAGCCCAAAAGGCCTGGCTGCCGATGTCAGCCGCCCTGATTGAGTCGTACGTAGCTCTGCATCTCCCAGCATAGCGAGCTGGCTCCGAATCAACGTCGATTGTGACCTTACTCATGAGCAAGAGCGACGATTGGGAATCCCTTTCTGAAATTCGTGAATAACGGGCCGCGATCTTTCGCGTCTAGGAAATTGACTTTGAACGCAGCCTGCAGCCATCTTTGCTGAGCCTACTCTCGTATTGATCCCGAGTTGGCTCGCTAGGCACGCTTCACGTCGTCAACCGAAGCAAGCCCTCTGCGAGGTTGGCTCGACCGAGCTTGCGTGCAATTTCATTCGGCAGCAGCACGCGCTTTCTCTTCGGCTCTCACCCCCCTCTGCCTCGCGCTCTCTTTCTTACTCAGGCTCACTGAGCAAGGCGTTGCCTGCATTCCGATCAACTGAGCCCGCCCGTCCACACACGCACGCACGCATCGCAGCCGAAAGTCAGCCTCTCCCTTTCCCCCTTCCCTCTCTGCACCTTGCTTCTCGTCCATCGTTATCCGTCGCATTCTTTCCCCGCCGCTTCAACCCACTTGACCTTCACTTCCCTTCTTGCTTCCCTTCCACTACCTTCTCCCGTCCTACATTGCTCCTCGATCGCTCTCACTCTCATCACACCATCACGAGCTTCTTCGAGCATTGTTGCCGCTTATCGCGTTCCATCGACCCTCCAAACAGCAGCTCGAATCCATACCTTCTGCAAATTTGCGTATTCACGTCGACACGCTTTTCAACTGTAAGCCCCGCGCCGCCTCGCCCACCCACAGCTCTTTGAATTTCTTAAGAAACTCTATTTCTTCACGTTAAACACTCGACCACCAACACTCACACCCTCTGGTCTCAGGGTGCAGACTCACGCGGGGCAGCCTGACCTTTTCGCCATTGCCATTCGTCCTCCTCGTCCGGTCTCCGGCATCGCCTGTATGCACCTTCGCCAGTAGCACAAGGTGTCAAACAGCGTTCGCAGGCTTCGACATCATCTTTCCGGCAATCATCGGGCGTCGCCCGTACCGAGCGCATATTCCTGATCGCTGCTCGCCCTCGCTCACTTAGATCCCGACCTCAGCTACGTGCTCTACGCTATTGGCTCACATCGACCCTTGGCAGCCAGCCTACATAGGCTCTGACGAGGACGTCCCCTCTGCTCACTGCTCATCATGGAGTCAGCTCACACCATGCCAGACGCAAGCACCTCGGCCCAAAGGAGCTCATCACCAGTCGCACCGACTGCCATCATCTATGCAAGGCCGGTGTCGCGGCATCTGGTAAACCGCCGCGAACTGCAGACAAAATCGAGCACGAACAGTCCGACCGCTCCATCTTCCTCAGCGCATGCCGACACGTCGTACGACAACCCCATCGTGCTGTCCGACACCGAATCCAACACCGACACCATCGATGACGTCGAGATCGAAGACAGCTTCGCTGTGCCTGCTACGACCAGGACGGTATCACAGGAACCCCTACCGCATTCGCAGTCTGACGCGACCAATCAGCACGACGAGAGCCGCTCGTCTACCACCCTCGACCGATCCTACGCTACGTCGTTGAACAGCGACCTTCATGCCATCTCGGACGGGAGCCTTTCTTCGCTCAGCTCTGTTGACTCGGACAGCGACGAGGCGGATGCCGCTGTCGAAAAGAGCACAGCTTCTGTCGACTCCCCGAGACAGACGCCTCGTCTCAAGCGCAATCGTTCTCAGCTCGCATCGACACCTTCGCGGGACTCGGAAGACGCTTCAGAGGCCACTGGCGCTTCGTCCTCCCGGACGCCCACGCCAAGCCGCAGATCGGCTCGGATCGTCTCTTCAGGGTCGAGCGTACAGAAGGCGCTTCAGAGACGAGACGAACTCGATGCCAAGCTGCTTGCTTCTCCACTTCGACGCAAGGCTTCAACGCCCGAGGCACCACCACCGGCAAAGAGACCACGGGGCAGGCCCCGAAAGTCGGCGCCCGTCCCAGACACTCAGCCATTGCTCGAGGCACCACCGGCAAAGAGGCCTCGAGGTCGGCCTAGAAAGTCTGCACCCGTCCCTGGTCTTGCGATCCCAAAGATACAGACGAACTCACCGTTGCAGAGTTCGGCGGCTTCCACTCCGGCTCGACGCAGCTCTCGACTGTCGCTGCCGGTTATGACGCAAGCCTCTACTTCTCAGCCGACGGCCTCACCAACAAGCTCGAAAGCCGACCTAGCCCCACAGCAGGAATCGGATCGTGAGCCTAGACGGAGCAGACGATCCCAAGGTATCGAGACGGCCGAGACGGCCGCCGCGGGACGGACCGAGGTCAAGCAATTGCCTGCCCCTGCACTGTCGTCCTCTTCGGCGAAGCCTCGAGAAGAAGTGAAGGCGACAATCACAAAAGCCGGTGCCGTTACGAACATTGCAGCTGACGCCTCTGCACGGGATGTCTCTACGCCCCCGGTCAAGCGAGGTCCTGGCCGTCCAAGAAAGCATCCGATCGTCGTTCCACCTGCGCCGCAGTCACCGGCAACCCCTGCTCGAGGTCCTGGCCGTCCGAGGAAGCACCCCATCATCGCTTCGCCTGCGCTGCAGTCGCCAGCGACCCCTGTTGCGGAACAGAGGGGACCTGGCATCTCGGACCGACTTCGCAAACGGAGCTCGCCGTTAGCCGGTGCAATCGCTACCGTCCAGTCTTCGTCCACCACTCCAGTAGCACAGCCCGAGACCCCTCGTCGCAAGCGGGGCAGGCCACCGCGCGTCATCCAAAGCGCTAGCAGCGAAAGTGCCCCTGCATCTCCTGGCCCATCGCGGACTCAGGCCTTCCCACTTAGCCCGGCTTCGCGCAAGATCGCGATTGACATGCTCGACGATGATCTGAGCGAGCTGAGCGACGCCAGCGACATGTCAATGGACTCTGCTCAACCCTCGCAACTGTCTCGACGCTCGAAAGCAGTGGGGGCCAAAAGAATGAAGCGCGCCAGCAAGCAGGACAAAGACGGAAAGCTGTACCACGTCGTCGGACTCTACGCCGGCGAAGCAGATGCTGTTGCTTCCACCTCATCTCGTCGTGCGGCTGAACTCCCGAATGCGGTGCTGCCGACGCCGATCCACTTTGGAGCGAAGCTGCTCACCGAGGAGCGCGAGTTCTGCCTTCCGTACCCCATCCATCAGTCCAAGGATCAGCTTCGTGACAAAGTCAACGCCAAGCGAAAGCCGCCGCGCTATCACCTGATCAGCAAGAACAAGTACTTCTCACGCCCCAAGCTTCAGGGCGAAGTACCTCTGTGCAGCTGCAAGCCGGGCAGCGGGTGTGGCGCGGACTGTATCAACCGCATGCTTCAATTCATCTGCGACCCTAAGACCTGTCCTAGCGCCAGCAACTGCACCAACATCAGCCTTGGTCGCCGACCCTCCATTAAGACCACAACGGCGTATTACGGACGACGTGGATTTGGCCTGAAGACGCTCGAGCCCATCAAGCAGGATGACTTCATCGACGAGTACAGGGGTGAAGTCATCGACTTGAGCGAAGCAGGTAAGCGAGTGACCGAAGAATACAAGGCCACTGGCAATTATTATCTGCTCGACTACGACTCAGCCGCCGGAGAGCTGCTGGACGGTGGACGCAAAGGCAACATCACTCGATTCGCCAACCACTCCTGCGACCCCAATTGCCGCATCGAAAAATTCATCATCTGCGGTACAGATGAGGCACTCTCAGCCGAGTTTCAGATTGGTCTCTTCGCGAATCGCGATATCGAGGCGGGCGAAGAGCTGACGTACAACTACGGATGGGCTGCCTTCCAACCTCGTGACAATCTCACGGGAGCTCCGACGGCGCAGGTCCCGACCGAGCCGTGTCTGTGTGGAGCGGTCAACTGTTCAGGCATCCTCGGTGGGAAGAAAGCGACCGTGCCCAAGGGTGCCGCAGACGAGATGAAGGCCAATTCGCGCACCAAGACGGCCAAGGGTCGAGGCAAGGGCAAGGGCAAGACGAGGAAGGCAGGACCGGGCTCTCGAGTCCGTATGCGCGCTATGACGCCGCTACTGACTGCTTCTCGCTTGTCGGCAGCCGCCATGCCGAGCTCCGCCTTATTGAGCCCCAAAGTCGGCCGAAGCTCGCGGAAGCGTGAACAAGCTCAGGCATCGCTCAATTTGCTCAACAAGATGGTCCTCAAGCGCCAAGAACGCTCGGCTCGCGAGGCAGCCGAGACCGCCTCGTCTGCATCGGCACCCCTCACAGGAGGCTCGATGGACGCAAATGCGACGAGAGTCCAACCGAACGGAGGGCCGAACGACGACGATGCGAGTGCACAGTCGGTGCTCGATCCCTCGGCCAAGGGGAGAAAGGCTGCATCGACCTCGCGTGTCTCTGCGCTGTCTGGATTGGCGGGTGAGCCAGCGATCGCGCCGGCAACCAGCATCGCACTGTCAGAGGCGCTTACAGCCTCAGCCTCAAACGCATCAAAAGAAGCCGGCACGTCGCAGTCTGCCGCCACTAGCGCTCAAGCGAATGGCGATTCGACGCCGTCGCGTGCGGCTGCGAGTGGATTAGTTGCGCGGCTGCCGATTCTGAAGAAGTTCGGCGCCAAGCGGACGGGAGGCGCCTTTGGTCGTGCCGCAACAGCTGCGCGGGGTACCAAGGATCGAAGATGGACAGCGGCGGAAGCGCTCACATCGGACGACGACGACACATCTTCGTTGGGAAGGGAGCTGTCCGACTCAGACGAGCCCGCGGCAGATGCCAAGGGTCAGGAGGGCGGCAAGAAGCGGCGTCAAGCTTCCACGGACGGAGCTCGCAGGCCGGGCCGACGTGGACGTCACAAGCTTCAGCTGAGCGGAGAGGAGGCAGAGCGTCGAGCAGCAGAGCGACGTGCCCGCAACGCCTTCCTAGCCCGTGTTCGTCGTGCCTCGAAGCGTGGCATCGTGATCGAAGATCCGACGCAGCACCCGCTCAAGAAGATCAGCATCGAGTGCGCTGCCGCTCCCGACAACACGTACATTCCGGATCTGCCTTCGTCGTTGGTGACGCTGGGGATGTCGACGGCAGATGCACGCCGGGCCCGCAACGCCTTCCTTGCACGCGTTCGCAGGGCGATGAAGCGGGGCTACGTCAAGGAGGTGGCCATCAAAATGGCCGCAAAGCCGCTGCCAGGCGATCCGGAGCGAGACACGCCCATTATGAGGGCGCAACGAACCCGCATGGAGAAGATCCAGCAAGAGGCTGCGGACGAGCTATACGGAAGACCGAGGAGCAGAGGAGCGGCTCCAGAGGCCTCTGGCAGCCAAGCGGCAGCGGCAGGCGCAGACGAGAGCTGGGTAGACGAGTCGAGTTGGGCGCAGTAAGGCCCTCGCAGACACAGGCAGCTAGGCGGCGCATCCCCTGGTATCTCTAATATTTACATTACTTTCATATCTGCTGTCTCGATTGCTGGGACTGCTGTGAGCACAATTGAATGTTCCGCATCTCTTACTGACCAGCGTGATGAGTTGTGATGCCTTGAGCAGCTCGCGTTGAAGGCGGCAGCCCTCGCTAAAAATCGGCAAAAGTGTAAGATCAGACAAAATGTCAGAAGACCTCGAATTCAGAGAGAGCTGCAGGGCGGATCTTCCGGAATGGATGGAGCTTGTGCATTCCGTGATTGCCCTCGCATGGCTAACTGCTCACCATCTCTCGGATCCGCTCTTCATCCCAAATATACTCCAACACCCTACCCCGCATCTCGGCCACCGCTGAGAGCTTGAGTGCGTGCCGCCTCACGCAGCGTTCGCGCGACCCACCTTCCTACTACACGCTTGCGTCCGGGACGACGCCGGCTCGGCCAGGCCAGTTGGCTGCCAGTCCGGAGAGACATCCTCGCCATCTTCAGCGTCGGCGAGGTCGGCAATACATCGGCCCTGCAACTTTATTAACGCACGCCCACATCGAAGATCTCGGATGTGTTCGTGACCATTGTGGAGCTGCGAACGTCGACGACAACATAGCATCGTTCACAGCGCTGGGAGATGGACGCCGACACCCCCGAGACGAAGCCTCTCATCGATTCTGCATACAACGCTATGGCCGACACAGCAACGAATGGCGCAGGCACGAGCCAGCAAGGCTATTCGAACGGGAATGGCTCGTCGGCACACGACCGATCAGACACACAGCACCACATTGCGTCGTCACGCCAATCCGACGCACAGGTCCCGCCATATCTACCTAGCTTAGACAGCAACGCAGCGACACGAGATCAGCAAGAGACACGATCACCACGGCGGTCACCGACGCCTTCCATGTCGTACGCGAACGATCCAGAAGGAAGGACACACGACTCGTCTAGCTCCAGTCCATCAGCGTCTCCGTCGTACCCCATCGGCCACTCGAGCAGTAACGGCAATCACGATCTCACCGACGTAGACGACTCGGCCTATCGATCCCAAAATGGTCCACCTTCAGCACCAATATCGCCGAGCAAGGGCTCTACGACCATCTTGATGGCATCGCGGAAGCAGAATAGCGCATGTGACGCCTGTCGGAGCCGCAAGGTGCGCTGCAACCGAGACCCTGGCGAGGCGAGATGCAACCACTGCAAGGCCAAGAACATCGACTGCACCACACTCTACGTACAGTGGGCCACCTCGTCGGCGAAGCGACCAACCAAGCGACCAAGATCGTCCCTTCATGTGCCACCAGAAGAGAAGAAGGCGGCGCCCGAGCCACCAGAGATTGTCGATGCAGCTGTACAAGCGCAAGATCGACTATTGAATGTTCTCTTCCAGAGAGACACCGAATACGCGGCGACCGACAACCAACTCTACCTATATCAGAGCCTTCCACTGAACGCACCGCAATCAGCCAGCGGCTATACGACGCGCACTATCGTCCCCTCCTCGTACCTTCCAGGACCAAAACCCGCAGCGACGACGAGCGCGGAATTGCATCTGCTGGACCGACAACGGAGGGAAGACTTTGTCAATGATCTGGTCGAGACCTTCTTCTCGGTGGTGCATGCTCGCTTCCCGCTGCTGAACCCGCAACTGTTTCGCAAGCGCTACTACGAGCGCAGTCCAGAGGTGGGAGGGGCGCCACCCGACGTCATCCTCGCTCTTGTGATTGCGTGGGGTGCCAAGTTCAGCGAGAATCCGCTCATCGCACAGGACCGCGAGGAGAGCTCGAGCGAGCTCAAGAAAGCGCACAGCCAGGCAGCGATGGCGCTCAACAAGGGGGAGACGGAGAAGGCGAATCAGATCACAGGTGTCAAAGGCGGAATCGAGCAGCCCATCTTGACAGTGCCGCAGGAGTTGAGGGAGCGAGGCCGGAATCGGATCGGAGAGCACCTCATATGGCGAGCGCAGGACATCATGGATCGCTCACGAGTGTCGAGAGTCCCGTCGCTCGAGAACATCCAAGCCTGCTTCTTGATGGAGGCGCTGCTGCTGCACCCGTCGATCTACTACAACGGCAACGTCAACCTCGCTGGCACGCCCATCACAGCCAAACACCGAAGCTCATTATCGTATACTACGGGACATTGGTTCTACATCGCCATCAAGCATCTGCTCGACCTGGGCCTCAACTGCAAAGAAAAGGTCATGGCGATCAAAGACGCTGCGCTACGTGGCGAGATCATGTTTGTCTGGTGGTCCGCGTGCTGGGCCGACTCGGTCGCAGCCCTCTATTTCCAGCGTCACCACATCCTATCGCCGGAGCAGTACAACAACGATCCGCACGCCGCCGACGCCGAGAACAAGAACGCGGCACCACATCCGCTCAACAGCCTCGACTCGTACCACTCGTTCTACGGCAGCGTCTATGACGCATTGATCTTCCAGCGCACGCTCGCGGCGATGTACTTTGCGCCGCGCAGCTATGTTGAGGGGGTGCGCATGGATACGGTGGTGCAGATCGTGGCGCAGCTGCGGACGTGGCGCGACGTCCACCTGGATAAGGTCGGGGTGCCGTTGCCGCACTGGCCTGCGCACTGGGACTACATCGCCGCGGTGAGCGCCTGCGTGAGCGACATCAACTACCATGCGAACTGGATCATTCTCTGGCGACTGATCGACGAGATGGGCATCTACGGGACGGATCGAAGCGATGCCACTTCGCCGTTGCATCAGGAACGACTCAAGCGACGTGTCGTCCCTGATCCTTCCTCGGTGCCGGAGGACGAGCGACCCGATCCGGAGCAGGTGCAAACAACACTGGCAACGATCCAAGAAGAAGCGCTCGCCAGCGCCCTCCGCATCGCCGGCCTAACCGACATTCTTCGCACCAACCAGTACCTCCGCCTCGACCCGTGCAACTCCCTGCAGAGCCTAGAGCTGGCAGCCCACATGCTGATCCGCTTCCAACGGAGCGAGATCGACATCATCGTCGCTGGCTTCCGACAGTACGCCCTGTCATACGAGGACTGCTTCGACAAGGCCGACTTGATGGAGGAGCTTGCCGAGGCGTACATGGAGCGCGCCAGGACAGATCCTGGTTTCGTACCGGGTTCGGCATTGGGCTTGGCTAGGGAGAGGGATGTAGAGGGGGGAGTGGGCGAGGGGATCCCGGAACTGGCCATCGCCGCTGCAGCACTGTCGAATGCTGCTGCTAGCGCCAATGGTGTCGCGGTCGGGGAGGGAGAGTTTGGGTTCGAGGGGCATTTGGCGGAGGCTGTTGGTGGAGAGGTGAGGGACGAGGGCGCCTTCGAGGGCATGTTCGAGCCGGCGCAGGACGGGCTCGATCAGGCGTGCGGCGATGTGGCTCTCGAGGGGCACGAGTGATACCTCGACTCTCCACAACTTGTTTCGTGCATGGCAACGTTGGTCTCCCAGGACTCGCTCACGGTCTTCCTACAGGTCCCTCTTTGCAATCAATCTTAAGTCACGATGGCATTCACAGGAGATCGCAGCGTCCTCACGAGTCGCAATTGAGATCAGGCATGATTGTTTGGCATTGACAATGAGATGAGAAGATCAAAAGCTCTACACTTGAACCTCGCTCATCGTTCAAGGGGAAGCGGCGTACCACTCGACACCCTTCTTGATGTTCTTGGCGAGTTCGGGGACAGCCGCCTCGAGGAGCTTCTCCTCCTCGGCGGAAACCTTGCCGACGGGGTGGATCTCCTCGACGCCGTCCTTGCCGAGGGTGATGGGGCTGGCGAAGAAGGTGGCGCCCTGGTCCTTGTAGAGGGGCGATTCGACGTAGGCGCACTCCTTGATGCCCTTTTCGCCGTTGAGCGCCTTGAGGAGGGCGTCGGAGAAGACGGCGGCGGCGTAGGCCATGGAGAGGGTGGCGGAACCCGCACCGTCCTTGGCCTTGACCACCTCGTCACCGCCGAACTGGATGCGGTGGACGAGCTTCTCGTACTGCTCGCCCTTGGCGACGGCATCGCCGCCGTTGGCCTGCGAGAGCAGGGGGACAATGGTGACACCCGAGTGACCACCGACGACGGGGACAATGGTGTCCGAGGGCTTCTTGCCCGAGATGCCGGACAGGAAGGTCGAAGCACGGGTCACGTCGAGGGTGGTGACACCGTAGAGCTTCTTAGGGTCGTACACACCGGCCTTCTTGAACACCTCGGCGACAATGGGCACGGTCGAGTTGACAGGGTTCGAGATGATCAGGAGGTGAGCCTTGGGAGCCACCTCGGCGGCCTTCTTGGCGAGGTCGCGAACGATCGAGGCGTTGGTGTTGAACAGGTCGTCACGGGTCATGCCGGGCTTACGGGGCACACCGGCGGGGATGACGATGACCTCGACGTCCTTGAGCGCCTCTCCGAGCTGGTCGGCCTGGTAACCGGTGGTGGTCGAGGGAGTGTTGACGTGCGAAATGTCGGCAGCGACACCGGGAGCGAGGCGGACATCGTACAGGCGCAGGTCCGAGACGAGAGGGTTCTGCTTGAGCAGCAGCGAGAGGGGCTGTCCAATACCGCCCGAGGCACCGAGCACCGCGACGGAGCGGTTGTTAGCAGCCGAGGTGGAGAAGAGACGGGGCGTAGAGGCCGTAGCCGATCGAAGAGCCTGACGAGCGAACATGATGATACGATACGAGTCAGATGGGTGATACGAGATGGAGGTTCAACTGAAGGATGGATTGATGAACGGACCGGTACGTGGTTGGCCGAGATTGCACGCAAGCGAGTGTGGAAAAAGGCGACAGACAGTCCAACGTCAGATCACCTCTCCAGCCAGGCGGAGCCAGTCGGAGGAGAGTTTTCTCGGTGATTGGCCTGAAAGAGCGATGCCAGAGTGGAGCAAAGGCACCTTGTCTGTCAAATTGTGATTTCGACTTTCTTCTTTTTCTGGTGGGAAAGATCGATGCCCAAAGCGCGCACCTCTGCCGCAAGTTTGTGAGAAGAAGCGCTCAACGGGAGGATCAGGAAGAACCAACATCTCGATTCCTGCGGCCCGAAAGCGCTTCCTTTGGGGGAGCCGTGATTTGATTCTACCATGTTTGATCGTGAGCAATCGTATCACATGTCATTTTCACTCTGGCCTCTGCTTGAAGGTAAGAGAGAGCAACCTGATCCTATGTTTCAACATTGAGCACAACGGGGGTAGGTCCCTATCGGTGGCCAGCCAAGGAAGAGCAACGTGTCTGATTGCACAAGAACGACCAGAAGCCTTGCATATCAGTGAGGCAGGCTCCTGCAACATCAATTCGGCGTGGCGTGGTCGAAGGGTTCGGCCACGCAACCAGGAAACGCGAGGCAAGCGACGAGCATCCTCCTGGGCCTGTTATCGGTGATGCTCGGGTGCCATCGGTGCGATCTCCTTCTTGATACTTTTTCAAGCTTGACGTGTTAAACCGTGGACTGTCTAGTCACGTGCTGTTCTTGCAACAGCTTCGGCCGAGCTTCACACCTAAATTTCGGCAAAAATGGGCGAGAGCGCGCAGAACGGCAGTCTCTGCGGGCTCTGCTCGTGTGCCTCGAAATTCAGTCCTTCGAGCGGCGGCCCATCTGGTGACACTGAGCAGCTCCGCGCAATTGATACAGCAGAGACACTGACGCTGCCTTCTCTACCGCTCCTCATCATCACCTCCTCCCTCAAGACAGTTGATATCATCCAAAATGGTACGCATCTCAGCAACATGACAGCAACGACATTCGCATCAGCCGCCATTCGGATAAGCACCAGTGCATGACGCGGTGCATCGACGCCCCACCAGTTCTTGCCAACAGCGGCAGCCTCAGTAACACGACAATGCTGCCTTGGCTGTACTCGACGCAGCGGCCCGTACCATAATGCATCGCACGAGCAGGATGATGTGGAAACGATGTTTAGCATCGGATGGAATCTGGTAGTTGGAGATGCAGGAGGAAGGTAGCAACCGTGAATTGAGAGGCAGTCCTCATTCGTTGATGTTGCCGTCTCATGCCAACGCACGCACAGCCAGTCACACTGCACTTCAGCAACCTCTCCATACCTCTCCCGCTTTGCATTGCGGTGTCGCTCGGTCGTGGAACGGTGGATAAAGTCGTCTCTCGGCAGAACACAATGTCGCCTTGCAGCACAACTTGTCCGCCTGACCTTTGGTACCAAACAAGGGGATGAGGTGATGGGTGTTTTGTTCTTGCCGCTCGTCGACGAAGCGCTGGTCAGCTCGCACAGTATCTCACTTGTGCGAGGTCAACCTTCTGCTCTCGGTTCGAGAGCGGCTTGAGCCGCCCTTCACCTCTTTTAGAGCACCGAGTCTGTTTGCTATCCGAATGCCGCTTCAAATGTCTTGCTTCCCACCGTGGTTCAAAACATGGCACAGGATGCTGACTCGTCTCAATGACCCCCGCGCTTTCTCGTGTCTCCGACTCGTCTTTGTGTGTTCTTGTTCTTCTTTTTCTTTTCTTCTTACAGCCCAAGGCCACCAAGACCGGATCTGCCAAGAAGCCCGCCGCTGCCCCTTACTCCAAGGGCAAGGCTTCCAAGGCCCCCAAGAACCCTCTCTTCGAGAAGCGCCCCCGCAACTTCGGTATCGGCCAGGACATCCAGCCCACCCGCGACCTCTCGCGCTTCACCAAGTGGCCCGAGTATGTTCGTCTCCAGCGCCAGAAGGTCATCCTTAACCAGCGCTTGAAGGTGCCCCCCGCGATCGCTCAGTTCGCCAACACTCTCGACAAGAACACGGCCACCAACCTGTTCAAGCTGCTCAACAAGTACCGCCCCGAGTCCAAGCAGGAGAAGAAGGGTCGTCTCGATGCCGCTGCCAAGGACATCGCCGACGGCAAGAAGGGTGACGCCAAGGCTGACGGCAAGAAGCCCCTCTTTGTCAAGTACGGTCTCAACCACTGTGTTGCCCTGATCGAGGCCAAGAAGGCCGCTCTCGTCGTCATCGCCGCTGACGTTGACCCCATCGAGCTCGTCGTCTTCCTGCCCGCCCTCTGCCGCAAGATGGGTGTCCCTTACGTCATTGTCAAGTCCAAGGCTTCGATCGGTGCTCTCGTCCACAAGAAGACCGCCGCCGTTGCCCTCATCCAGGAGGTCCGCTCCGAGGACGAGCGTGAGCTCGCCAACCTGGTCTCGGCTGCCAAGGCCAACTACCTTGACAAGGCTGAGGAGATCCGCCGCCACTGGGGTGGTGGACACCTCTCGCAGCGATCCAACCACAAGCTCGCCAAGCGTGCTAAGATCGCCGCCCTCCAGCCCAAGCCCGTTGCCGCTGCCGCTCCTGCTGCCGCTGCTGAGGATGACGACGAGTAAATGTATCGCATATCTGCTTTCGTCGTTCCTTCCTCATAGCTGGGCGCAAGCCCTTTAAAAGTTGGTCTGCCTCGGAGACCGACATGCATTTGATAGTCATTGGTCCGTGTCATGTTTCTTTACCATTTTTGTGAATGGATCATGGTGCCGCGTCAATGCTCTTTCGCTCATTCGCGCATTGTACAATACCCCGATTCTCTGGTCTGTGACTTCTCGCTTGTCTCGTGTGCCGTTTGATGATCAACTTGAGACCGCCTCGATTTCTTGGAGTTGTCACCCAGCCGGAGTGACCCGGCGAAATCTTGCCGACCGCCTCCCGGCGCACTGGCCGCTCTCACATGATATTGATGACGGCCACTCATGTCCGCGGCACCTCCGATGTCATTCCTCATCCTTGTGAGCCCTCGTCACACCTTGTCCGTCCACTTTGTCACTGTCACTATCCCCGAGGCTGTGCTTTCGTCCGAAGGCGGTGTCGTAGGTGCAAGTGACACAACTTTTGTCAGCACCGGCTCGATCCGATCAGAGAGGTGTGAGTTGGCGTCGAGCTGAAGGCAGGCCAAGGTTGATCAGGCAAAAGCCTCCACACCAAGACCCACGCGTGGCATGACGCCACCGAAAAGTGTTGATCTTTGAGAAGAATGGAGGGAGAAGAAAAGTTAAATTAAAAAGAATTTGGCATGAAGACGCAGATCTTCTTGATGTTTCACATCGTAAAGTTGACATCTGGACCCTGAATCTTCGAGTCGATCAGAGCCGAAAGGGTACGCATTGCCGAAGCACCGATCGACGGCTCAAGGTGACGTCTCAGCTACGCCTTCAGACCCAAGGTAGGATCAGAAGTACGGAGCTAGCCCGCACAGCCAAGCATGAAAGGAACAAGGACGGCGTAGGAAAGCCGAGGTATCAAGGATGAAGGATCCGAGGACGCAGAGAGACAACCGATCAGAAGGAGCGTCACTTGATGCACGATGAGGCTTCCTTCCCGCAGACAAAATGACACCCCCGCATAGTATACTGCTTGGAGGAGAACAGACCTTGGTCTCAGCCGAGCAGCTTCTCGCACGACCGTCTTGCTGGCTAGAGGCGCAGCAGCGCGGAAAAGTGTGTCGAGGCGAGCCAGTGCATGGACCACGCGAACCAAAACCGACAGACACTGCTTGATCTTTTCGGTGGCCAATCTTGCAGATCTTTTTGTTCTGAGTGTGGGACTGTCTGCGCTTTCGGTCGAGCCGCAGAAAACGGTCGACAAGTGGGTTGCTGGTTCAAGGTCACCGTCAAATTCCCGATCTTTTTGCCCCCTTTCCCGGCAATGGCGCATGCTCGGAAGTCTTCCGACGGAGAATGGCTGCCAATGACTTGTCTTTGACCGCGATCCGTATACACTCGGCGTATCTTGTATGAGCTGTAGCCTTGGCAATCGTCGGAAGCTCCCCGAAAGCTGAAAAAGCGCCGCGCTGGCCTCGTTTCTTGGCGGCGTGATCATCAGCGCCGAGAACACCCTTCCCCAACGCAACCTAAGCTTGGTTTGTAGCTTGTACCCTCGAGAATGAAATACAATGCATCCCATCTAATCATCTGACGCTTAGGCTTTCGGATGGTGGTGACACATGCACCTCACCCATCTCTTCCGAAGTGAATTGACTCTGCATCTGCGCTGCTTCTTGTCAGCGCAAGGTCGTGAGCAAGTGCGCATTCACTAGGCTCGAGAGTGGGATCAGAAGCAAATGAGGCCATTCGGCCGTCTACCAATCGACCGGCGGTCTTCCATTCTGCCCCGTCCGCAGCACTGCAAGCCTCGATTCGATCGCTTGTCTTCAAGGCGAGGGGCAGCCAGGAAATTTTTTCTCACGCTCTCAGCCCATGACTGTGCGTTCCGCACTTTTTCGCCTCTTTTCTCGACCACCAATTTAAGTCCCTTTTTTAATATCACGATTAAATCTTAGCCAGACGAGCTGAACGACAGGAAGACCAACACTTGAAGCAAGCCGGCCAGCCAGCCAGCCTGCCGCTCGAGTATTTCTTCTCACCGCTGCCCTTTCCTTCCTCCTACCGTCTTCCCTCAACTAGCGTCCAGCATTGGCGCATCAACCTGACATCCTACCGGGCCTTGCCACGTCTCGCAGATCCTTGCTTGGACAGGCTGCGGAGACGGGTGCTCGGTCTTGCTCCTTCTCGCCACGGTCTGGCATCGTCTCGGCGACTATCCTCTCAGCCTTAGCGCTTTGCGAACCTTCTCATCATCCATCGACATTGAGCTCGTCATCATCTGACCTGTACAATCGGGATCGTCAGTCAAGCTGGGTCTCGTCCGGTCGCGAATCACCAGACACTAGCTGTGCTAGCCGCTTGTGCGGAAAATCTGGTCGCAGTCTCTTCGTCTCTTCAGCTCGCACCGAAGCGACCCAGCTCTCCCCCTTCATTCTCGCATCCTTTTTCCGCCGAGCGTCGAGACAGAGGCTTTCAGAGGTGTGCTGGTCTACCCGCATCACTGCTTCCTTCGGCTCCGCACCCAGTGCAGGAGAACGACAGCTTGATTGCTGCGCTCCGACTCCTCACGACTCCTCACGACCCCCACAACAACCCACACCAGCTTTGTGTCTTCGTCTCCCGCACCGCTTCGAAGCACTACCGTTCGACTCAATCGCGAGCCGCGACCGAGGCTGCTGCCTCCGATCTACCATCTCACTGTGATGACTAGATCCCAGCTCGCTTGACTCAAAAGCCTCTCCGAAGCGGGTCTTTCCGCCACGGCTCTTCACCGTCGGCAGTCTCGCCCGCCCAGACGCTGCACTCGAATCTATTTTGTTCGTCGCGCGGGTCGAGCCGCAGCTGCCTCGACTATTCTGCGTTTGACGACCATCTTCGCAAAGAGGGCCCAGCCCAACATGAACCACCAGCACGCCATCACCGGCCTCGGTCTCAGGATGGATGGCCACAATCCTCTGTCCGACTTGACCAACCTCGTAGCATCGCCTCGCCATTCTGCCACTGGTGCCGCTCAGGCTGCAGAACCGCTTCAGGCACAGACAGTCGCGAAACCCAGCGACCACGTGAACGCAACCCACGAAGCGAGCTACGACGCTGGATCGCAAGACACGCTCATGGAGCCCTCTCCAACGGCCCAGATCTTTCACAGTGCTCGTACCGACGAAGGGGTCGCGTATTCAAGCGGTGCGCTCTGTCCGTCGCAGGAAGAGCCGCACGTAGAAGAAGCAGCTCCGCACCAGTCTGACGCGCAACCCGTTTGTCTGACCCAGGCTTACGGCGTGGACACGAGCTACAACCCCGTCGGCGTCCAAGCGGAGAATCCAGCTCCCCACCACTACCTTCACAGTCCGACTCGAGGTTCGGGCTCGCAAGCCATGACTCAAGCGCATCTCGGCCCTGACGACGGGCAGCAACTGGGTCACACCATCGGAGAGCAGGCTCACGCTTCTGCCTTCCTGCCCAAGCTCGAAGCGTCACCTGGTGTCCAGCAATACCAGGCCAGGTCGTACCCTTGCTCTCCCGGCTCTCCAACCAATCGACCCCAGACTCTGTCGCAATCAGAGCTGCGCTCGCTAAGCAACAATGCCAATACTATCGCCGGTCGCCATGCGTATTCGCACAGATCCAGTCACAGCCTCAGCCAGGCCACAGCCTTCACGTCAAGCACGCCTCATCACGGCATTCTCCCTCAATACCACTTTAGCGCGCCTGTTTCGCCTTCTGACAGCCTAGGCCGCGGTCCATACGACGCAATCTTTCAGTATCCGAGTCAGCGGCACGAGACGGGTCCCAGCGCGGCCGATCACGCCCATCTGCAGCGCCACAACGGTGCCCACGGCATCGCTCGCAACTCGGTTGTGTCGACGGCTCCGTCAATGAGGTCGGCCTCGCCCTCGGCAAGCCTAGCGTCCACATCGATGACCTCCATCTCGCCCCTGGGCAGCGCTCGCTTCAATGCCGATGGATCGTTCACCTCGCAGGAGACTTCCTTCGATAGCTGGTCGAATGCCGCCTCGGGCTCCTTTAGTCGCGCCTCTTCCACCTCGGACGACGTCTACGCAGGCGACTTGGGCTCACTCGGCCTACCCTTATCTCGCGCTACGCCCAAGCCGAAGAGGAAGCTTCGCAACATCGACCGCAAGATGATCTGCGACTTTTCTGCGTCTCATCCTACAATCAAGCAAGACGCCATCGCCGCAAAATTTGACATCGAGAGGAGCACCGTCAGCAAAATCCTCAAGAACAAGGAAAAGTGGCTATCGGTCGAGCCTGGAAGCGAAGCCGCAAGGATCTCGAAGCACCGGGCTGTCAAGTTCCCGGCGGTCGAGGATCAGTTGGCTAGCTGGATCGCTGAGTTCAAGACGCGCGGCGAAGGCGTTCGTGACTCGACCATCCGACAAGAGGCTCTGCGCATTGCCCGAGAGCTTGGTCTCGGCGAGGACCAGTTCAAAGCATCCGGCGGCTGGATCGAAAAGTTCAGGGAACGCAACCACATCCCTAAGCTGCCGATCGCTGACGCGACACAGTCTGGACTAGCCGAGTCCCTCGGCGACTTGAAGCGATCCCCAAGCATCGGTGGGAGCCAGCTCTTCGAGGTCGGACCCCATCTCTCGATCGCCGCCCCTTCGGCATCGATCGGACAGTCGCCGGACGACGATCCTGATTCTAGTACGCATCCCAAAGCAGCCCGACGTCAGCCTTCACGAGGCAGCAAAGCAAAAGCGGCGACCCACAAGCGATGCAGGAATGACGACGCTGAACAGCACCAAGCGATGCCGGCCATGGCTCCTTTGAGTCAGGACATGGCTCGCATGCACTTTCACAGCGCCAGTCTTCCCGGCCCGGTACCCCACGCTGCTTTCTTCCAGCCTCACGTCTTCATGGGACCTCCAGCCGTCCCGCAGCCCTTTCCGCCGTACGCGGTCATGTCGCAGGGCTATGGCAAGGTGCTTTCATCGTCTCACGCCGCAGAAGGGGATGAAGCGGAGTCCGACCGCAAGCGGCGACGAGCCAGCGAGGTGACACAAGAGGCCGAGGGCGCTGTGGGTCTCGGTGCAGCATTCGACTTCCGCTTCCCTCCCGTCCCCATTTCCGCAGCACCATCACCTTCGCCTCAGCTTCCTTCGCCGGGACAGGCTTCCCAGACTCTCAGTCAGGCGGTCGTGACTCCGCAGAAAAGCAACGGTCGAGGTCGACGCGCCACGGCAAGGTCGGCTGATGGCAGCAGCCGCAATGGCTCTCGCCGAGGTAAGGGCCGGTTGTCGAATGCCAATCATGCGCCCCAGACTCCGTCTCCGCTTTCCATGTCGCCAGCAGCTGGGAGCGATGAGGCCGGCTTTCCCGCTTCCCATGCAGACGCGGAGCGCGCGATCACAGCCAGGCTCGAAAGCATCGCTGCCTCGCAAGTCTCCGGCGACAGTGCAAGCAGCATCTCAGCTGAGCAAGCCAAGCACTCTTTGGACCTCGTTCTCCGGTACCTGAGCGAACAGCCGGGCGACATTCTCCCTTCCGACCACTTTGTTGTGTTCGGTAACCTGCGTGCCAACATCGAGCACAGGATTCAGAGCGGATCTTCGAACAGTCCAGGTCCAGCGACGGAGCTGCAGTCACCTCTGCCTCTTCCAAACAGCGAGACGGTTGATGACGTGGCGGTCCCCAGTGTCGGAGACCACTGAGCCTTCGGACCTGCGGCGGGCCCTACCTCAACTTAGCTTCTCGCTCCCGATACTTGAAGAGGACAATCTCAAGTCCGAAGGCACGCGAACTCATCGCCAGCCGCGCATATCTCGACCGGTCCGACCTTGTTCCATTGCCGCGAGCGTGCCTGCAATGCATCCAAAATCGGGCGCAGCAAGGTACAAGCACCTTTGCGCCACCCAAAAGGTCTTCCTCCTACAGACCAACTAGCATAATCATCTATTGCATCAGCTTTCGTCACCAGCATCATATTCATACCGCTCACACACATCATTAGCTCGCAGCATCTCATCGATATCCCCATCATCAGCATCGCATTCTCAAATTTCAACCAGCATCACCATCAGCGATTCAAACAGCGCCATCATCCATTGATCAATCTAACAATCATTGCTACCGTCAACTTTTCCGGCCTGTTCAGATACCTTGACTACAGGCCAGCATCGAGCATGGCCACCTTGACTGCTCTTGACGTGACAGACAGCATTGCCGAACGGCGTAGTCACCACCGTCGCTCCGTCAAGAGTGAGGAAGTTGAAGGACTGAACAGCGTAGGCACGTGTGGAGGGATTCTTCTCAAAATGGCTCGTGCGGGGCAACTTTGATGGAGTCCACACGGCGATAAACGGCAAGGCTTGCACGCGGGGGCGGTACCCAAATGCCGAAATCGAAAGAAACATCCAAAATGCTTTCCAGCGCCTCTGCGGTTACCGCACAGAGACCGCACTTCCATGGCAAGGCGGGTATACACAACCGCGATTAGATCGCCTTGCTTTGTGTCCACCATCACATCCATACACCTTTCTGCTTTCAATCATGTCGATCTTCTCCGGTTCCAGCGCCATCACTGGCGGGCCTAACTACTCGTACTACGCCGTGCCTGCCGCGTGGGTCCTGGCGATGATCCCGCACTTTGTCGCTGCTGGTATCTCGGGGGGACGATTCAAGAACGCTGCCCCTCGTCAGATGATGGCCGACCTGCTGGCTAAGAAGGACAAGACCGCGCTCGACAAGAAGATCATCCGCGCTGAAAGTGCACAGCTCAATGCTTTCGAGACGCTCGGTCTGTTCGCCGCCGCCGTCGTTGCCGCTAACGTCGCCAAGGTGCCCAACCACCAGCTGAACCAGTTGACTGCTGGGTACCTCGCCAGCAGGGCCGTTTTCAACTTGTAAGTGCCTTCCATCGCGCTAGAGATGAGAAGAGGGGATTGGAAGCTGATCTGTTTGTTTGCGGTTTCGTACAGCCTCTACATCTACGTCACCGACGAGGCCATCGCCACCCTCCGCAGCGGCGCCTACCTCTCCGGTATTGGAATCATCTTCACGCTCTTCATCAAGGCCGGTCTGCGTCTCAACTAAGAGTTTGCCGAGTGCGCCGGTGCTAGACTCAAGCTTCTTTGCTTCATTTCACACTCTCACAGAGAAGCTTATTCTCGCTCCGTCTCATGCAGGACTTCTTTGAATCAAGCTTGTGTGATCATTCCAAGGCGTGTCCTGCTAGGCGACCATCACACCGTCGCAACCGCCTCGGCGATCGCATCACCCAGCTTCTGCGTCGTGCCCTTTCCCTTCATGTCTGGCGTGAGCACGTTCCCATCTGCTCTTCCCAGCACCGTATCGATCGCCCTCAACATCGCTTCCGCAGCCTCCTTCTCCCCCAAATGCAAGAGCATCATCTGTCCCGCCCAGATCATCCCCACCGGGTTGGCAATCCCTTTCCCCATAATGTCCGGCGCAGACCCGTGGACCGGTTCGAACAAACTCGGCCACTTGCCTTCCGGGTTGATGTTTCCACTCGGCGCAATGCCGATCGTGCCCGTCACGGCCGGTCCCAAATCGCTCAGAATGTCGCCGTGCAAATTGCTGCCTACCACCACATCAAAGTGGCTGGGCTTGGCGACAAAGTGCGCGCTGAGAATGTCGATATGGAACTGCTCGGTTTTGACCTCTGGGTAGTCCTTAGCCATGAGATGGAACCGACTGTCCCAGTAGGGCATGGTGATTTTGATGCCGTTGCTCTTGGTTGCGCTTGTCAGCTTCTTCCGTTTCGTTGTGCGGGCGAGATCAAAGGCGTATTTGAGGATACGATCCACGCCGATGCGCGTCATGACGGTTTCTTGGATGACAACTTCTCGTTCGGTGCCTTCGAAAATTTTACCGCCCACCTCGCTGTATTCGCCCTCGGTGTTCTCGCGGACAATCCAAAAGTCGATCTCCCCCGGATCCTTCAACGGGGACGGAACACCCTTGACCAGTCGACAAGGTCGAAGGTTGACATACTGATCGAACTGTCGTCGCATCTGCAGCAACGAGCCCCAGAGGGTGATATGGTCCGGGTGACGAGCTGGATCGCCCACAGCGCCAAAGTAGATCGCATCGAACGGACGGAGAATTTCGACCCAGTCAGGGGGCATCATCGTCCCGTGCTTGTCGAAATAGTCGCACGAGGCAAAGTCGAAGCTGGTGATGTCGAGCGTGAAGTTGAAGCGGCTGGCGGCGGCGCGGAGGGAAGCGAGACCGCATGGCATGACCTCTTGGCCGATGCCGTCGCCTGGGATCACAGCGATTTTGTAGGTCTTGCCGGACATTGTTGCGCGCTGTCAAGGAATGAGTCTGTGTCGAGCGAGTCTAAGGATGGTGGTGAGGCTGGATCGTCCGCGTGGTGGTGAGTGAGCGGTGGGAGCAACCGTGCGAAGGTCAAGGCTGCATACTGTACCCGCTTGCTGCGGGGTCGACAGATCGCCGAGCAAATCGCCGGCTCGAATTTTTACTCATGTCGAATCGAGCAAGGCCACAAATTGTGGAAAATGCCGGATGTCGGGGCCGATTGTGAGCGAGAAGATTCGACATTTTTTGTCGGTCGGCTCATCATCAAGCTCTCACCATCATCGACACTGACCGACGCTAGACGGTAGCTTCGGACACCTCGCATCGCTCAGGACACGGTCACGCCGCCAAGATGTCGCAATTCATCGGCAACGTAAGTTCTCATTCAGGCTCGACAGTCTGCATCAGACGCAGTTTGTGCTGACCCCTCCCCTCTGCTCCCCTTGTCCCTGTGCCAACCTGCTACAACCGTCATTCTGACAGTCAACCCTCGCCTTCGCGCGCACATGGCACGCCGTCTCGGCGAAAGACCGCGTTCTCGGCCCGCTCGCCGTCAACATCGCCTCCATCCTCATGGGCAAGCACAAGCCCGTCTACGACCCCTCGAAGGACTGCGGCGACTACGTGGTCGTCACGGACGCCAAGCAGGTGGTCGTTACGGGTCGCAAGGCCGATCAGCGCGTCTACCGTCACCACACCATGTTTCCAGGAGGGTTGAAGGAGATCAAGTACAAGGAGATGATGGAGAAGCGACCGGAGGAGATTATCCGGAAGGCGGTGAGCGGGATGTTGCCCAAGAACACGTTGAGGGATAGGAGGCTGGAGAGGTTGAAGGTGTTTGATGGGGAGGAGCATCCGTATGGACAGAATGTCGTGAGGAGGTATACGGGGGAGACGCAGGCCGGGCAAGGGTCGCAAGAGGCTGCGACTAAGGCATGAGGGGTTGCTTGCAGGATCGCAACGCGAGAAGGAGACCGTCACCCAGGAGTTGATGTCGGGACCGACTTTCAGAGGTCATTGTCATGCGGCGAGACGCCTCTCGCTCACTCTCGGCGGATCTGCTACTCATCTGGGCTCCCTTCCTCTCCATCGACTTGTTCGCATAGTTGACTATCCCACCATCCGACATATGTACTTGTATCGTATTCATTCCATAGAAGCCCATCAGCTTTCACAGTTTACCTGGTCCCCCATCACGCCATGCACAGAGTCCGGGATTTGACATCTTCATCAAGTGCTCTAGGCAGAGTAGGTGACCAAGAGAACAGCGCTGGAACTCGGCAGGCAGATCTTCGCACACACTTGCACGCTCCTGTGAGTGAGCGTGGGTTGAGATTTCCGCCCACAGGCCGCCACATTTTTCTTTGCTGAATCACTCGCTCACTGGACCCTGAACCGCTTCTTGCCTTTCGAGCTTGGCGGTTGTTGCGAGGCTTGCTTTCCTTCCACCTTCCTCCCATTCACACGGCATTCTCACAAAGCCGAGCTCTCTCCCTTGATGAGATTACGAGATTACGCCATGTCAGGAAACAGTGCGAGGATGATCAGAACGGCATCGAGGACAGTGTCCCTGCATCAGACCAGGCCGCCGGCGTCAAGCGGTCCCTCATGCGCCAGCACCAGCGCTCGAGGTCTGTCCACTTCCACAAGACGGCCTTCCTTCTCCAGCTTCTTCGGCTGGCTCTCCCGATCGGGTCCGAGCACTAGTCAAGACGATTCGTCTTTGAGCTCGTCTCGTCTCAGTGCAGACCCGGCGTCAATAGCTTCGGATCGCGGCGGATCCGCCGTCCGAGCGTCAAGCACACCCTCCTCTACCACAGCATCAGCACCATCAGCATCACCATCATCATCACACCTCGCTACAGCATCAGCATCATCATCCTCAACAACGTCACCGTCAACCCCGCCCTCGCCGCCCACTTCCCCCTCCTCAGACGCCTCGAAAGCAAACCTGCCAATAAAGGGCAAACTTCTCGCGCGGGACCAGGAGCTGCTCGCCAAGCTGCTCGATCGCGAGGGTGGCTCGGCGGGCGTTTCCATCGTCAATGGGCGCTACGAGGAAGGGCTCGGGCCCGAGACCAAGAAGAACATGTTTAGGCTTATATGAGCGTCAATACGAGCGAACGAATGGACAGGGGCGTGGTGTGCGATGGAAGGAACGTGTGGATTGGATTAGTGAACGAATGCGTGCGTGCGCTGATTGACGAAGGAGCGTCTTTGACTGGTCAAGTCTGCGATGGTACAGTGGAACTTTTGGAACGGAAGATGGCGCTCTCAGCGCTGGAGCTGTGCGCTACTGGGCACGACACCGCCATACAGCGACACAAGTGGTGGCATTCGGGGTCGGGACCGCGAACCGACTCTCGCCGTCTGAGCAAGCGTCGGCGGCAACAAGTAGGCCCGCTGCTGGGCTTGCAGATACGCCTGAGCATGGAGATTGGTCATGCTCATGGAGAGACGTGGGTCCACATACGGCTGCTGGAGCGGGCTGTGCATGAGCGCGGCGGTCGGGCTCGTGGACAGCATGGTGGGCGAAACGGGGATGTGAAGCTTCGACGAACTCTGGTGCGTCCCCGACTGGGGTGGTGCAAGTTGCTGAGTCGATGTAGAGGCACTCAGCTGGCCGGCAGCAGGCTTGTGCGATACCCGTCGCTGCGCGACCTGTGGCGTCATTGACAAGGCTGCCAGGCTCCGATGGTGGCGCAGCGTTGGCTGTGCGGGTGCAGCAAGGCTGGCCATCGACGTGCTCCTCCGCTCTTCGACTCGCGTCGAGGCCGCCGTCGGTAATATTGGTAGACAAGGGCTATTTGCTGGCGGAAGATGTTGTCCCTGCGCGACAGACGTCCTCGATCTTCGCTGCCCCTCTGGCTGTGCGTACAGGTTCCTATTCGACTTTGAAGCCATTGGGTCCGTTTGCAGAAAGGCTGCATTCCGATGATCCGCCTTCGACCAAGGTCCCTGTTCGAGACTCGGCGAGCTTGGTGAGCTGCCTGGCTCGGGTCTGTTGTGTCCCAACAGTGGGTTGCCAGCTCCGTAGTTGGGCTCCGCCAGCAACACCGACTTCCGCGTGAAGCTACGTCTCTCCCTCGACTCCTGCAACGCTCTTTTGTTGTCCTCCCAAGACTGCGCCTGCAACGCTGCTGATCGCTTCTGATGAAGTCGCTGTGCCTCGATACGCCTTGCTTCCTCTTCTCTTGCTTTCCTGTCTTGGTCCTCCTTTTCTCGAAGCATCTCCCTCTGGCGAAGGAACGCGATCTCGTTCTCGAGTTTCCTAACCCTGTCTTCTTCGATGGTCTTCTGAGCTCGTAGAGCTTGCTGCTGCCCCGATGCAAAATTCTCGCTGCTGTTCTTGCTGTCTTGCTCCTTGAGCTCGATTGCCTCTGGCATCGACGAGGCGCTGCCATTCTGGTGCATTGTGCTAAACGCGGCAGGACCTTCTGACGCGGAACGTGCTGGTCGCGACTGTGACGAGAATGCGGGCGAGAGCAGCTGAGGACTTCGGGGTGCGAGCCAGGGCGCGAGTCTCTTTTGCTTGTTCGACGGCGAAGCATGTGTAGAGTCACCGGGCGAGTGAGGTGGTGACAATGCGTGTCGATCCAGATTTTCGCAGACGTCACTTTCGCTGGCCGAGAATAGTCCTGAGATGCGCTTTGACTTGATTCTCCGTGATCGGATATGCGCTGTGACTCTCGACCTCAACTCCTCCTGTGTCGAGGGAAGGCCAGCAAGGATACGGATCCTCGGCGAGAAGGAGAGCCCGAGTGCTGGCGAGACTGACGTTCTTGTCTCTGGCTGAGAGCCCAGCTTGAAGGCGCCGGACAAGAGCACCTCTCCTGGTGCAACGTTATCCGCAGGCAAAGAGATCACCCTCCTGTCGAGGAAGCTGGGTCTGTGGGCCCAAGCTACGATACCATTCCTATCGCTCTTCTGTCCAGGGTGCATCCCAAACATGCCGCTGAGTCTTCGACTGGTCGTATCGCAGGGGGCCGACGAGTCCTCTGGCAGCTGCGGTGCAGCAATAGGCGGAGTCGCAAGCGCTTCAGGGCTGACCGTCTGCGCCTTGTGTAGGGCCTTTGCAACTTGCTCCGTTGGAATGCTGCTACTGCCGTATCGACGCTGGAACCACGAGATCTCGACCTCCTCGGCGATTGCGAGCTTTTCGCGACGCAGCTTGCGCATGACCTCGGTCCTGGCGAGCGCAATGCGCAAGTTCCTCGAGTAGCTATTGGTGCTCGAATGCTGGCGAAGCTTTGAGATAGCATTGATCGAGCGAGGAAAGCTAAGATCGTCGTTGCTGTACATGCTCTCGCCGGCTGCAATGACAGGAACGAGAGGTTGTGCCTCGGCATCGCCAGCTAGAGCTGATGCAAGATGAACGTGCACTTTGAGCAATGTGCAGTTGTAGAGCGCTCTCTTCGCAGCTGAGTCGAGTCCGGGTGATCGAGACGATGCAGTGAGGAGCTCTTTGCTGGACGAGGACGCTCCTGCCTTTGCAACTGCACCGGAAAGAGGAGATGGAGAAGACGCTTTGGTCTCATCCGAATACTGAACTGCGACAGGAGTGCTGTGGGCCGGCTCGACCTCAGACTTGTCATCGGCACATTTGGCATCGTCGTCGCCATATTCGTCTTCTGAGTCCGAGTCATTGCTGAACAAGCCTTTACGGTACTTTCGCTGGACTGCAGCGTAGGTCCGCGACTGGGATCTCTCGGCATATTCTTTCGCCGCCTCTTGTGTCAAAATTTTACGACCGTCTGTTGCTCGCAGCAGTGGAAATCGAGCGGTTGATGGCGATCTCAAGTTAGGCGAACTCGAAGCGAAGTGTGAGGTATGTCCCGCTGGGCTCGAAGTAGTGGACGACGGGTCCGCTCTTCCTCCTATAAAAGACGATTCCGAAAGCAAGACGTTTTGGTCGCCGCTATAGTCGAGGACAGCTCGCAGAAAGTCAGAATCACCGTCCTCCTTGATCACTGCAGAGATCTCTCGGTGTGTTGCAGCTGGCGGAGCAAGTGAGGCGACTGTCACGGATGGCGACAGAAGGACGCTTTGCTGGTTTGACGATCCGATGAGGCTCAGTCCGCTTCTTGAGCTAGTGTCGAAGGTGTCATCTGCTCGGGGGCTCGGATTGTTGGCGAAATCGCCTCGCGGTGTCTGCGGACTGATGCATGCGGCGCTGTCACCGGAAGTGCCGACGTCCGGCTTCTGTTCGGCCGGCATAACGACGCCGGAAGGGAGGCTGGAAAGCGTGGCGAAGAAGTCCTTTTGACCGTTGGGAAGCGAGACGGGCTGAACGAGTGGCGGGGTTGAGGGGGTATCCGGAGGTGAGTGAGCGTCGACGCTATCGGAGGACGCCGAATGTGAGCGTGATGATAGAAAGCTAGCCGGCTTGAGATGCGAGCTAGATCGATTGAACAGTCGTCGCCTTAAGCCTCGGAGTGTGCCGAGTCCACTGCCGGACGAACTCGGAGAGGAGGCGACTTCGTGAGCGAAGCTCGAATCATGCGAGATCGGTTCCTTCTTGCTCGCCGGAGCCTTTCGACTAGCATAGATGGAAGGTCGACCATCTTCGAAATCGCTAGACTCGCCTAGTCGGGATGTCGAAGGACGCTGTGTTGAGTCAGGAGAGGCGTAGTGACAGTGTTGATGCCAACGAGACGAGCTGCTCTGACTGTGGTATGTGTTGTCACCACGAGGGCCATACGTCTCCTCCATACCGTACCTATCGTTGCTACTCGAAGCGAACGAAGCCACGCTATCGTTCATACGGCTAAAGTGGCGTAATGGGGCTGTTGTACCGACATGGGCGGTGTCTGGCATTTGAGACTGTAGCACCATGGTGATAGCGGGAGAGAGCGTCGATATGAGGCTGAGTGATGTTCCTGCAACACAAAGCAACGAGTCGGTCTTGCAAAGGGCGAAGTCCTAAGGTGAGGTAATGCTTCGAATGACTGCTCAACGAGATAGAGCAGGACGGAGCTGTCGCACTTTGTATGATTCGTCACCTCTTGGCGATCAACATCGATGAACAAGCAATGCTGGCAGGAAGTGATGTGTCCAGTGGGTTGATGACGAGGTTGAAGCTGTCGAGTCAAGATCAAAGTTGCGTCTAAGTTAGCTTGAGTTGGTGGGCGAGAATATCCGGGTCCTCGGAGTGGCCAAGTCAGCGCCTCCCTTCCCTCGAAACAGCGTGAAGGTGGAATGAAACCGTTCGATTAAGAAGCTTTTGCAGTGCTGATGAGACAATGGCAGTGGTGGGTGGGATGAGATCGGTCGAACCTCGTTCCGCCTGACGTGGTTTCTGCTTGAGGCTTGCGTGATGGCAGGAACCGGGATCGATGGCGGGTTCGTAGCCAGAGCATGCAGACGATGGTCAAGCTTAACTAGAGCGGGTCAAAGCCAAGGCTCGAGCGATCGCAAGAAGGTGTTCTGCGTGAGAAGAAGCGCAGGACAACTTGAAACGGACAAAGGCAAGCTTGCAGCCCACCCATGAAGGGACGGCCTGATGGACCCGGAAGGCTGCTGCGCCCACTCCGATGCATCTTCTTTTTCACACCTTGCGTTTGTCACAAAACAGGATTCTCCGTACTTCATTGTGAAGCGCAATGTAGCATCAGAAGCAGGCAACAGTGGCGTAAACGGTCCAGCGAGAGGTAACAATCACAGGCCAATGTTGACACGGCGTAGTATTTGCTGGGCCGAAACTCCGACGACTTGATCCAGGGTGCGCCGGCGATTGCGACGGCACCCACGGGCTCAAGAGCGAGGCATCGCGAATCAAATCCGCCCGCACTTGCATCCCACAGGTGCATGCAGGTCGGAGGGCCGGATCGAACCGACATGGACCGTCCATCTTTTGGGAACAATGCGCAGGCCAGGCATCGACAGTCGGGGCGTGGGAAGAAGAGGCGGACTGTCAAGGGTCTAAGGGTGCAGGCGGAGGGCATCCGTCCTCGATCCGAGGGCCACACCTGCAAGGCTCAAAAGGCAGAGAACCGGAGTGCGCAAACATCAGACAAGGCGGCCAACTCAGACATGCGTGCAGCGAAGCGAGGATCTTCAGGGTGCAGAGCCTGCATGCTGCTGCTGCTTCTGCTGCGCTTCTCTGCCTCGGCTGCAAAATCCAAACAGACAGCCGAAATTCCTGAAACAGATCGCCTGCGCCCGTACCGCTGTTGACAGGGTCTTCCGCCATTCCCTCGACCGTGGGAACGTGTCAGTGACTAGGCGAGCCTATCATCGGTAAGCAGAGTCAGCGGTAAGCGTGAACCTGATCAGTCGCTGCACTAGTCTGAATAGCATGTGACTTCGAGCAAGCCAGGTACGAGCTCGCAAGTACCGTGGGAACAAAGGAAGTTGGCTCAGCCGCGCGCGCACGTTCGCGACAAATCGAAGCCTGTGTCAGGATTTGATACCTCGCTTCCAGGCGAGAAAGACGGAGGCTTGCGAGCGGATCAGGAACCTTCACCTCGCCGCCACAAACAACGCCCTCGTCTTCATACAAGAATAGCACAACGGGAGGAGCATCCTTCTTTCGAAAGCGCCAAAATGTTCTTTCCGACGTGGATTGGCGGGCGAGCCTGCAATTTCTGTTTGTCCATCGCGTCTGGTCTGCCAGGATCTGCAGCAACCATGCACGCGTGCAGCCACTTCAAGCCCAGCACCTGAAGAATCCATCTGATCGTTGGCTCTGTAGTCCTTGAAATCCTCGGAGACGTTTCAATCGGTTCAACAACATGTTGTTCGTCGGGCCAAGACGGTGCATGACGTGATGATGACGGCCCGCAAAATATGCAAAAAAAGAAACCAGTAATTGTCGACGCCCGTCGGATTTGAACCGACGCAGGCAGAGCCTATAAGTTAACTCGTCACGGAAGGACGATCGAATTTGTAGTTCGAGACTTACCCCTTAACCACTCGGGCAGAGCGCCTATCGATGTCAAACATGGACAAAGTAGCATATATAAGAGCGTGCCCACATGACCGCAAGTCCATGAAGTGGAGATTCTTGGACAGACCGTGGCATCTCACCATCTTTTAGACAACATCATCATATCCGCTTCTGATTCGAGGCAGAGGGCTCCTGTTCACACATGTAATGGTCTCGTCCTCGGTGGCATCGCCGCTGCTGACGCTGCGGTACGCGTCTCTCGACGATGTGGCGCAGGACCTTGACATGGTGATCCAATCGTGCTCCGAGGGCGAGTGGGCGTGGGATGGAGCAAGCGAATCGGAACGAGAGGGATGGCAGCAGTTCGTTCAGGATCCTACTTCGATGCCAAGGTCCAAGGTGGCGGGTCTGGCGGGCAAGCTTCAGGTGGCAAAAGGGTTCAGCCTGTCATTCGCTCTTCTGTCGCAGTCTCAGGACGACGGCAAGGAGCAAAAAGCGACGGTCGACGTTTCAGCACCAACCCTTTCGCCTGAGGAAGCAGCGAAGATCAAAACGGCCTTGCAGATACGCTCGAAAGAATGGCAGCAAGACGGCATCGAGTCGCTCTTCCTCTTTGATCTGCTCACGACCACTCAGACGCTCGTTGCCGACCTGCCCGACCAGTCTCAGGCCGAGACCCTCGACAAGGCCTCCTCGGAAGCCCGGCCATCCAAACCATCGCAGGCAGCGCCGAAGCACATCGAGTTGTCACGCGCGCTCTTCTGGTCACATCACCTCAAAGCACCCTCGAAGCTCAAGGACTTCAACAATTGGTGTCCCGAACTCGGCATCTGGGGCATCGTGCGTGTCGGCTACCCTGGCTACCTATGCTTCGAAGGCGAGACGTCTGCGGTCGACGAGATGGTGAGGCGAGTCAAGGGGTTGCAGTGGCACGCTATCCAGCTGCGCGTGCAGACGGCATGGAATTGGACTGGAGAACAGTGGCAGCATAAGGAGAGCGGAAGACGCAGCCCGATGGAGCAGGCACTGCTGTCGTGTGCGCTCGCAAAGGGGCACCCTGACAATGCGTTTGCGGACAAGGGAGGAGAGGGCAAGGTCCGCACAGGATGTCAGATGATAGAGAATCTCGGCGAGCTGGTCACACGTCTCAAGGAATGTGGACTAGCTGAAGACGAGATCGAGACTGTTCTTGGCATTCATATCAGCGGGTGACCGAGAGAAAACGATCATCTCGCCGAAAGGGTAGGTTGATCGGAACGGGAAACATTGTACTTGTACGGCAAAGAAAGCGGGACGAAATGCTCAAAAGCAGCTGCGTGATGCGATAGATCTACAGACCGCGATATTCTGCGGTGAGTGCGGCCATGCGAACGGCTTGTCCCTCGGTGAACTCTGTGAGGCAAGCATCGGTCGAGTAGCTGCAGCAAGCAAAAAGGAACCGTGATCAGTCCGGATGCTTCGTCGATGACTTCGCAAAACATCTGCATGCATACTTACTCCATATAGCTGCAAAGAGACGAGACGACGGAAGATGTCCAGATGGAACGGGCATTAAAGAGCGGTCAGCGGCGTCTTCTCACGTGGCGGCAGCTGCGGCAATACTCACTTGTGGATCGAGTCGACACCTCCGCCTCTGCAGCTATCCTGACCGGTCGGACATCCACTGGTAGCTATGCTCTGCGGCGGAGTATCATCGACATAATCACCAGGTGCGGAGCATCCACCCTGAAAAACGTGATACAGGCCCAACCAATGCCCCACTTCGTGCGTCAACGTCTTGCCCAAGTTGTACCCCGTCTCGCTTCCACCTGGCACGCTGCTGTACTGAAACACCACGCCGTCGTCAAGGAGATTGTTTTGAACCATCCAGGGGAAGGTGCTGTATCCCAACAGACCGTTGGAGAAATCGACGCTGTAGAGGTTGAGCACCTTTGCGTCGCCCTGTCGAAGCGCGGCTTTCATAGCTGTCTGCTGAGCGTTGTCGGGAGCTACGTTACGGAACCACTGCGCGTTGTTGACTCGATCCGTGGCGTTGAGATTGAAGGTGAAGCCGAAGGACTTATAGTCCGAGCTGAACGAGTCCATCTGAGCATTGATCGTGGCGCGCGAGAGGTTTCCGGTCGAGCCCGAGTGGATGACGTGCCACACCACTTGAACCGTCTTGGTCGCTTCAGCGATGATATCGGCGTCGGTCAGGAAGGGAAATTCGATATGATTGGCCGAGGCACTGGAAAGGCGCTCCTGGCGAATATGGGCCAGACGCTTGCGCTCCTTCTTGACCAGGGTCTCGGCAATCTCGTCCATAGTGTGGTTGGTGTTATCAGGCTGAGCACAGAAGCGAGTTCGAGGGACTTGAAGGGCTTGCAGCGTCGATTCGAGGGCTTCGGTGCTCTTGTGCTTGGCACCCTCCTCGTTCGTCGGACCTTGATCGTTGCGAGCCTGGATAGGCCCTTTATCGCTGTGATCATTCTCGGAATCCTGCTTGACAGGATCTTTTCCGGGATGAGAGATAATCCTAACAGGCTGGGAGGGCTGAATGTCCTGCTGGCTGTTCAGAACACTGAGAGCCTGCAGGACGCTTTCCGAATGGATGGGGGGATCTTTGACCTCTTCACCGCAACGCGAGATGGTCTCAGACTGAGTGAGAAGGTCATCTAGGGTGGGATTCGTCTTGTTGGCTTCGACGGGTCGAGCAAAGACGAGATCAGTACCGAGCACGTGCTGATGGATCTGCAGCGCGAGAAGGACCAGAAGGATAGTCGAAGCAAGCTGTTTCGGGGACCACATCTCTACAGTCTACCGTCTAGGGTACGTATGCTAGATCGCCCAGGTGGGTCTCTTCGGGCGGGAGAGGATCGTTGCGATGCCAGTCCAATGTCGATCAGCTTCCCACTTGTCTATTTATGCCGAGCTTGGGGTGTCGACTCTAGCTGCCAGCTCCATGAAGAGAGAGAAGCCAACTAGGCCGAAAGGGTGCCACAGACTGGTCTGCAGGAAAAGCTCTGCTCAACGACCGTGCATGGCGACATGCGTAAACTTGTCGTCGAGGCTTCTAGCTAGCTAGACGTGGCAGGCATGGAGATGGAGTGCTCCTCGGGCTCGACCGCCGAGCCATGATACCGATATCATTCAAGCGAGGCCATGCTGCAGAGATCGAAGGCAGAAGCTTGAGTGTAGTGCGGAGCGAAGTGTGAAGTGCCCTTTTTGAAATGCTATGTGGTCGTGATAGGATACTGCGAGGGTAGAACGAGATGGCAGTGCAGTCACACTTTGACTCAATGCTTGAGGGGCGAAGTGAGATTGTTTCTCTAAGCCAAAGGATCCTACAGAGTTCGTGAACAAAGGCAGCTCTTACCATTCGAGCAGATCTCAAGGGTAGAAAGAGCTTGCAAGATTATCCGACCATCGGCTTGCATTCTAAGAGCGGCGTCGATTGGGTCAAAGACGAGGAGCTTACTTGTAGATTCGACAGCGCTCAGATGAAGCTTTAAGCTTATGGTCCTGAAGATTCTCATGACACCAGCTCAAGGCTTCGAGCTTGACATCTGGATCGGTCGGTGTCGTCCGCGGCGAGCGGTCGACTTGCATCATCGAGTCGCAACACGAGGAGGAAACATTGTTGCAGAAGCGAAAGGCCAATCTGCTCCAGCGACATGCTTCAAGATCGCACGGAGCCGGTAGCAAGATTGGCACAGCCCCGCCCCACCCGCTTGGAAGGAGAGGGGCAAGCTGTGCACAAAGTGACATGTCTGCTACGCAGTCGAATCATGAATCTCGACCATCGGGAAGGATCTGGCGTAAAATCCAAGGGATGTTTGATCGTCCGTTTCTCGACTGCGAAATTGCAGGCCAACCCGCTCCGGAAGGTCGGTCCGGCGTGTTCGAAATTTTGTTTGTTTCTGGGATGGAGACCGTCAATTGACCGCACCGGCCAGTCGCCGTGTTGCTGCCCCGCAAGACCAGGCCCGCGGGCAGCAGCGGCAGAAGCACCCTGCGCGCTCTCTTTTCCCTCCGGTTGGAGGGCCCCACGTTGACAGCCCCTTGCCTTTCCGGTTTTAGGCCCTCTCCCCGGCGCTCTCGCCTGACAGGGCCGAAGGTCGAACTGTGCGAACGACACTCTTTCCAAAGTCTGGACTGGCGAGAGCGGCCACTTCGAAAGCAATCCTGGTCTTTGAGTCTTCCCCGCAACAACGCGCTAGGTTCGTGGAAGCATCTCACCTTGGTGCCATCATCATCGTTTTCTCATTCTTACCCACACCCGGACCAGTCTCCGGTTTCACGGTGCTCGTCAATCTTCGTCTTTGGTAAGTCTCGGGATCGCTTCAGAGCGGATAGACTTCAGAAACTCGCTTCTGGAATCAGGGTCGAACCAATGTAGCTGCATCCGTGACTTCATTCGCAGAGTCGGTCCGAAGCGCACCGCAGCGTCCTACGACCCTTCTCGTCGCCTCGCCCTCCCTTTGCACTCCCCCCTTCCCACCGTGGCTCTCCACCTCTGCGCGCCTCGTTCGTTCCCCCGCTTCGCCCACCAGCTCTTGCCGCCTGTATTTGCCTAAAGCCACCGGAGCGGTCCAAGCCTAATCTTGCCGGCGTCCTCTCATTCATATCATCAGGCTTGCTAACACTCCACCTTCCTTCCCTTCTCCCATCTCCCTCCTCCCTACCTTCGTCTCTATCCCTTCTACTTCAACGACACAATGGCACCCATCGCAGTCACAGCACCCGCCGACCAGGTCTCTGCACCTGTCGTCAAGAACGGCACCATGAACGGCACCACCACAACCCCCGCCTCCTCGTCCTCGTTCGGCCCCAACACGTGCGCCGCCCTTCACGGTGCCAAGGACCTTCGCATCGAGGAGCGCACCTACACCCCTCCCACCGGCGATGAAGTCCAGATTCGCGTCCGTGCCACCGGTCTCTGCGGCTCCGACCTGCACTACTACCTCCACGGCCGCAACGGCGACTTTGCACTCCAGCACTCCATGTGTCTCGGTCACGAGTCTGCGGGCGAGATCGTCGCTCTGGGACCCAACGTCCCTGCCTCGGCCTCTCTCTCGGTCGGCGACCGGGTTGCCATCGAAGCCGGTCGCTTCTGCGGTTCCTGCCCGAAATGCCGCGATGGTCGCTACAACCTTTGCAAGCAGATGCGTTTCGCCTCTTCCGCCAAGACCCACCCCCACTTGGACGGTACGCTGCAGAAGTACATGAACTGGCCCTCTTGGCTCGTGCACAAGTTGCCGGCCAACGTGAGTCTCACCAGTGCAGCGTTGTGCGAGCCGCTGAGCGTCGTGTTGCAGGGGATTCGACGGAGTGCGTTGCAGCCGGGACAGAGTGTCTTGGTGTATGGCGCGGGGGCGGTGGGGTTGTTGGCATGTGCGGCGGCTAAGGCGAGCGGTGCGAGTTTCGTTGCGGCGGTGGACATCGATGAGGGTAGGCTGGCGTTTGCTGCTGCCAACGGGTGGGCTGATGCTACCTACCTCCTGCCGCGTGGTGCACCTCCTGCGGCGGTGGAAGAGAGTGATGCTCGTGCCCGCCGCACGGCCGAGGACAAAGCTGCCATCAGCGCAGCCCAGACGTCCGCTGGGTCGCTGCTTCAAGCCCTCTCGACTTCCTCCGGCGCCGCAGGCACTACGACCGGCTTCGCCACCCAACCCGCCCCCCTCGACCTCTCCTCGGAAGGCTTCGACGTCGTCTTCGAATGCACCGGCGTCCCCTCCTGCGTCCAGACCGGCATCTTTGCCACCAAGGCAGGAGGCAAAGTCGTCCTCATCGGCATGGGCAATCCCGTCCAAACCCTTCCCATCGGCAATGCATCCCTCCGCGAAGTGGATATCATCGGCGTCTTCAGGTACGCGAATACCTACCCGATCGCCCTCGGCCTCCTGGCGGGTGGAACGCTGCGCGCTGCCGGCGGTGGACTTCACGCCCAGGCCAACGCCGCCGACCAAGCGGATGACGTCGAGGGTCAGGGCGCCGGTAGGAAGATGGGCGGCATCGAAAACCTCGTTTCCCACGCATACCCGTTGAAGCACGCCGTCAAGGCATTCGAGACGCTCGCCAACGGAAAGGACGCCGAGACTGGCAGGGGTGTGGTTAAGGTCTTCATCACCGATGATGAGCCTTGATCACAAAATGCTCAGGATTCGGCGCTCGCAAGTCACTCTCTTCTCGCTCTCTCACATGTGTACATTCGGGTTTCGTATAGATTCAATACAGTCGTCCTCGAGATGGATGATGGCCCGATGGTGTGATGCGTTGACCGATACTGAGACCGAGCATGGGTGCGAAGGTGTTGCGGATGCTGTAAGTGATGGTAGAGGTTCACTGAGTGGAAACAATGACCATGGCCCTGCTCAGACGGAAGGATCACATCTCGGGTGAGGCTTCTCCCGATCGGCTTCTCGAGCGGCTGTTCCTTCTGCCGAACGAAGGGAGGGAAGGAAACCAACTGGACGGGCTACGTAGCATTATTGATGCGCCGAAGGACGGGGGTGTGGTCGGTGCCTGCTGCGGCTCTTCCTCTTGCGATTGCCTCTGCTGACGATCGAGGCGGGGCGAGGCCGCAGACGACGCCGAGAGCGTGGGCGATACTGGGTCGGCCTCCGTTTGCTTGGCAGCAGCAGGCTCGGTGTCTGCATCAGGAGTCTCGGTCACGGATGACGCCGTGTGGAGCGGAGAAGTCTCCCTGAAGTTGAAATGCCATTGTGCCGTGGCGTCCTGAGGTCCGCCTCCCTCTTGATCACCGTTGCTAGCCTCTTGACTTTGCCCTCGATACGCCGAGGCTTTCCCTTTGGCTAGAGCTTGCGCGATGATCTCGTCGTCCTGGCGGTTGGCGACCGGATCCTTTCCAAGAACGCAGTCGCTGACGGAACGCTCGATGTCGTCGATCGATGCGTTTCCCCGCTCCACGGCGTGCAGAGTCCTCTCGAACGATGACATGTCGCATAGGTCTAGGCCTGGGACTTCATCGGCTGTGTTCTCTTGCTGCGCATCCGCCATTAGCACGTCCGACTCCCCGTTTGTTGGCTGTGCCGGCCTCTGCTGGGACGCACCGTTTGGCTCGTGCTGTTCATCGCCATCGACCTTGGGCTTGCTTGTCTCGACCTGATTTGCGCCCTCCTTCTTCGCTTTCTTATACGCTTGCCATTCTTCCGAAAGCTCGACCAGCTTGGTGCGCCAGTAGGCTCGCTTGGAGCTGACCTCGCCGGCTTCCCATGCCGCCGCAACCCGCCTCTTGACATCGTCCTTTACCTGCTGTCTCGCCGACGGCCCCGACTTGCCCACGTCGGTGATCTCGTTCTTGGCTTCCACCACGAGTTTGAGGAGATCGTCCGGCTCGCGGAAGAAGCGGTCGATGTAGTGCAGCAGGTAGACGCCACAGTCGCAGAAGTTAGGCTGCTCGGGAACCTGTGCAGAGATGTAGACAGGTTTGGGCAAGGTCTTGGCCCAGGCTTCCGCTTCTGACGATTTGGATGTGGCGTGTGCGGGCTGGCGTCGTGCGTCCTGCACCTGCAGCACTCGGACGCCGTTGCCTACGTCGTTGCCATCCTCGCTGGACTCGTCTGCTGAGTCTTTCGGGCCGCCTGTCTTCTGGTTCGAAGGCTGTTCGCCGTTGGTGTTTGCGGCAGGCGGGTCGGCTACCATTGTCGGTGGTGTTCCAGGCTGCTCGCTCTCCTTGGCTGTAGTCAGCTTTGGTTTCTCGTCGCCAGATTGGAATGCGGTCCTCGAGGCGAGAGGTTTTTTCTTGTCCCAGGCTTCGCGCCAGAGATACTCGTAGAGCTTGTTGCTCAGCTTGATATGTTTCTGTCCGAGGCTGTCAAGCGTAATGATGAAAGTGTGGTCCAAGCTTGCGGGTTCTGCTTTCGCTTTGGGTGGAGTGTCGCCCCGTGATCTGCCGTCCACATCGATGGCAGCGGGCAGCGAAGCAGATGCTTTCGACGATAGAGGTAGATGCAGTGGCGGCAGAGGTGGCGTGAGTGGCTCTGAGCTGCCAGGAGCATTCGCTTCCCGTGGTTGCTCAGGCTCGACGACGTCGACGACGCCTTCAGGCAAAGCCACTGGTGGTGTTCGGGCCTTGGGTGGAATCGCCAGCGCTGAAGCCACTTCCTCCTTGTCTTGCTCGCTGACGCTGTCTTTGACGTGGTCCGACAGGAGATAGCCTGGGTTGACAATGATGGCCAGGTACCAGTGATAATTCTCGTTCACCGGAATGACAATGTACTTCTTAGAGAACAGATCTCCCTTGACCCACCTTCGCAGCCGTGGGTAGCTGTGTTCGACCGAGCTTTCTCGTAGCACTGTCGCAAAGAACGTGTTGAAGAAGTGGATGCTGTCTGCCAACGCCGGGTCCCTTTTGCGGATCTGCTCCTGGATCTGTGTGGTGCCAAACTCGATATTGAAGTCGTTCAGGAACCCCTCGTCGAGCAGTCGGTCGAAATCCTCGCCTCGCAGCGGCATTCCTCGGTCAAATGGATATTCCAGGATGACGCCGTCAGACGAGGCCCGCGGTCTGCGGATCTCCACCTTTGGAGCAGGAGCAGGAGCGGGGCTCGCTTTGTACTGCTTCGGGACCTTAAGGCTTGGCAGTGTTGGCGATTTGGAGGAAGCAAAGGCATCTGTCATGTCGATATCGATTGACACTGGGGCGGCAGCCTTGGGTGACGCAGGTTGGATATCGAAAGTCTTTGTCCTCGATGCCCGTGGAGGATCATAGAAGCTCGATCGAGGCGTTTCGCGGCGTGCTTGAGTATCGGGCAAGCGACCTGCACCGGGAAAGATCAGTGTACGACGCGGGGTCGTCTTTGAAGGCTTCGGCCAGTCGGCTTGCTTGACGCGGTCGACAGTGCCGACTTTTGTCTTGGCACTGGCCTCGTTCAGCCAATGAATATGGCTCTTGTCCAGCACACGCTCGAGACTTGCTCTGACCATCTGGGCCGCTTTCTTGTAAGCAAGCAGCTCTGCTGGCACACTGTGCTGTGCGATCAGGTAAATCTCGTCGGCACCGCCTGAAGCGGAGGGGTCGAAGTCGCGGAACTTGTCCTGCATCAGCTTGGCGCCGTCCGATCCATACTTCAGAGAGAAGCACAAGACTCCGCATTCGTTGACGTCTTGCTTGCTGAGATGGGCCTTTCGAAGATCGCTGAACTGGATCTTGATCATTTTGTCTGGATCGACGCCGAAAGTGAATGCGTGTTTCTGGAACAAGACCGTGGCATTGTCTGTGTCTCGCGATCGCCAGATGTCGGATATGACAATGGCTTTCAGCGGCACCTTAAGAGGCTGTCCGGACTGCTCCTCAAAGTCGATGCTTTCCTTTATCGCAGACGGTCCAGCGTCGGTGCGCGCGCGTTTGTTCGCGCCAGAAGTGCCTTTGATTCCCGATGCGTTCTGAGAAGAGCCTACCTCCTGACTGGACCTCGTCGGCTGCGGAGGGGAGGACGGAGATGGCGCAATCTTTGAAGCGCCGCCGCGTGCGGGAAGGTGGTCCGTGGCGTCCTGTGCCACAGGCGAGCGCGGTTTTGCCTTCATGCGTTCGACCATTTTGCCTCGCGGCTTGGTTTCCGCTTTGCGCTTGGGCTTGGACGGTGGCGTGACCTCGACGTCAGGTTCAGGACTATCCGCCACAAGGATTGCAGATCTCGCATTGGGCCTGCGTCGATCGTTAGGCTCTTCGAGCTGAATGGGCCCTTGGGGTCGTTGTGTTCGGAGGCCTGATCCGGATGCTCGGTGTGTGCGAGCGTAGAACATGTTGGGAGCGGCGGCTCTGAGCTCCCTATGTACCGACTCTTCTGCCTCGCGTCTGGTCCGCTCCGCTTTTCGCTCTAGAGCAGAGGAGGTTGGCATGTCTTTGATGATACGCTCGATCTCGCGGCTGCTGGAATCTCGACGGCTGCTGGACTCTCGAGGGCTGAGTATTTGGATGTCATCGTCATCGTCGTCTCCGTCGAGGTGGATGACATCGTCCATCGATGCTTTCCGCCTAGAGTTGGAGCGGGTCATACGCGGCGGCTCGTCCTGAGCCGGTGCTTTGCCGTGTCTGGGCGCGCTGCGCCCGGGTCTGTCGTCCTTGAGCTGGAAAGTCCCGTCCACAAATGTTTCCCGCCGCGAGGTTGTCGGTAAGAACGGATGCTTTGATTTTGATGAGTGAGAGCCAGTGCGCCGCGCGGTCTCAACGACTTCGAACCTCGACGATCCCGCATCGAACCCGTCTTGTTGAAGCGTATCCATAAATTGAGCGGGGTGCTTGGGGATACCATTGGATCGTTGCGTCGGTGGACGTCTCCCTCCATTCTGGCTTTGACTGCGGGACGATGAGGGCTCCCGATATATATCGCCGTCCTTTGATACTGATATGGGTGTGACCTTCCGCTTCGGAATAACCTCTGGAGAGGCGCGTAGGCCATGAAAGCGGTTCATCGTCTTCCGCTGATCCGGTGTCGAGCCAAGGACCCTACCATTCATGCTGGGGTTTCGAGGCGAGAAGAATGCGCGGTTGACCAGCTCAGCTTGCGGAAAGCGCTGTGAAGAGTCGGATGATGCTGGGGGATGGCGGTGCGGGATGCATGCGGACGTCTCGACCAGGCGTGTAGCTGGTGCTTTTGCTGGCGGTAACAAGCGGGAAGGGGACGTCTGGTGTGCGATGGCAAGCTTGACTGCGTGACAAGCTTAGCGGTCCGAGCTTGATCGTATGCTGCGGACAAGTTGATGCGGAAAGAGGTGGTGGTAGAGGAAGAGGAGCGAGTTGAGATGGTGGTGCGCGTCAAGAGGATCCCGCAGCCGCTTCTGACCAGACTCAAGCTTGGTTGTCTTGGCGCCGACGCGTGGTTGATGGCGAAGTGGGCGCCGACTGATCACTTAAGGTGGTGCTGAGTCAAGGGCCGATGTGTACGTCGAAGGTGGTGAGGAGGAGCGGAAAGCATCTGCAATGGGTGTGTGATTGTGATTTGCTGTTGGTGCTCAGTCGAGCTTCGAGAAAAAGTGTTGCTCTCCAACTCAAACCCGACTCGCGGTGGTGTGTGACTTCTCGCTTGGCATGGCTCAGCCCATGAACCCTAATTTCGCGCCCGCTCAAATTGTCCCGCATTGCCAACCTGTCACATCCGCACATCCGTTTGTACGAAGCGTACTACGTGCCGCTGGTCACTCAGCCCAACGAAGCATGTCAACGCTACCATACCTTCAGCTTCACCTTGCTGATCGCTCTTGAGGGACGGATGAGCTTGCCTTGCCTTGCCGCTGATGTCCTGGAATCACGCAAAAATTTCCTACTCAGCCGCGCTCTTTGCGGTCACGCCTCCACATGCAACGCTGACAGCTTAAAGCGCAGCGCCAGCAACAGCACTCCGCTCCTCGCTATCAGGTGCTCAGGACTTTCCCGTGCACATCTATGGTCTGACCGAGGGGATGTTCACAAGCCTTGTCTCTACACAGCAATGTCTGTGGTATCTGTCTGTCACCACACGTCTGTATTGATGATGTGAAAACGGAGCTGCGAGATGCGATAGAAATGCTATGCTTCTGCCGAGATGACGGCATCAGAATCACCATCCGAGGTCGACGCCCCACTGAACGATAGCAAAAGAGACAGCGGTAGTCAGCATCGAGTCAGTTCAAGAAAACTGTCAGTGGATGGAACTCACGTTGGGCTTGACAAGGCGGACAGCCTTACCATCCTGCTTGTGCAGCTCGTTGAGCTGGAGCATCTCGTCGTCCGAGAGCTCAATGAGCTTCCTGTTGGTCTCGATTCGGCTGGGCGTGACACTCTTTGGCAGAGCAACGACACCTCTTTGAGCTGCCCACGAGATGACCACCTGAGCAGGGTCGGCGTTGTGCGCTTTGGCGATCGATTGGACGAGCGAGTCCTGGAGAACGGGTCCACCCGAGGAACCGAGAGGCGAGTAGGCCTGCATGACAATGCCCTTAGACTGGCAGAACTTGACCAATTCGTGCTGGGGCAAGAAGGGGTGCAACTCGACCCTGCAGAGCGGCACATGCAAAGAGGGGCAGAAAATTGGGGTCAGCAAGCTAGCTTGCTTCCATCGTCAATAAGGGAGCCTTTGCATCTTAAGTACTTACTGGTTGGTTGCGGGAACAATCTTTGCTTTGCTCAAGAGCTTCTCGAGGTAAGGCACGCTCCAGTTGGAGACACCGATCGCCTTAGCCTTGCCGGTGGCAGGAATCTTCTCCATGAGCTCCCAGGTCTGCTCAGGGCTCCAATCGCGGTCGATGGCACGCGAGCCATCCTCGTTGAGAGGGATCTTCTCATCGCCTCGCTTCTCGAGTGGAACAGGCCAGTGAATGAGGAGCAAGTCGACATAGTCCAGTCCGAGGTTCTTGAGAGACTCGTCGAGACAAGCCTCGGGCTGCCTGTGGTAGGTGCACCAAATCTTGGTGGTGATGAAGAGCTCGGATCGTGGGACACCAGAGGCCTTGATCCCCTTTCCAACGGCAGCTTCTTGACCGTAGATCCAGGCTGCGTCAATGTGACGGTAGCCGGACTTGATGGCGCTCTCGACCGCCTTGGTGACCTCATCCGCCGGAGATTGCCACGTACCGAGACCGACAACCGGGATTTCAGCTCCGGTGTTGAGCTTGAAGGTCGTTTGGCCGGGTGCAGTGGAGGGGTATTGCGACATGATGGGCAGATGTGTGCCTTGTGAGTCGGATGAATCTTCGATGAGGTGGTGGTGGTAAGAAAGAGGGGAGGAGGAGAAGGGGCAACAAGTCGAGGTCGGAAGCGACTGAGAAGAATTTGACGAGACGTTGGAGATTCTTCGTGCAGTCACTTGGCTCACCGCCCGTGCAGGATGTGCTTGCCTCAACTCCTCATGTTCGATCATTTGCGTCGAGAACAGACGGCAGCGCAGATGTGCGAACTTGCTGTTGCTGCGCAGGTTTCTCCGACGTGAAGGTTTGCGTTGACGTGGACACTGCGCATTCTGAGAAGCTTGGTTGCCGTCGTCTCGCCGAGCGCAACCTTAAACTTGAGGCCCTTCGCGCCATCGGACCGACGGGTTTGGAAATGCGGCATCTCTTATCGAGACAACGCGTTGTTGAAAATCCGTGAATCGGCGATCCGCTTCTTCAGATTGGTCACGAGACTGTTGCGTGCCAAGTCCGCATTGAGCGGCTGATTCCGAGTCGCTATGCTCGGCTTGGCTACCATATGAGCCGAGTCACATTGACGTCGTGAGCCAAACAAGATCGGGTCTAGTTGAGAGGCACAATTGGTCCAGCAATGTCCGACTTCAGAGGAACCGTGTCCGTATTAGGCGACAGAACGACCTGGTTGAAGCTTCATCACGCAGGCCAAGCCAGCGATGAAAGACTTCCGCACGCCCATCGGACATCACGGCTCCCATGTCGATCATGATGTCAAGAAGCGTGAAAAGTCTATCGTGACGAGCCTCGAGATGGAAGCGTGATTGACCCAGAGAAGGTCGGGAGGATGCGGAATCGTGAAAGCTGGAGCCTGAGCTGGAAATTGGGCTAAGCGAAGCTGCGCCCTGGAATTGCGGGGGATGACGCTTCTGCAATGTGGGGTTGGCTTATGACAGGTCACCACGCTCGAGTTGTCGGTCCTGCGGCAATCTGTTCGCTGCAAGGATCCGTTGACTCCTTCCGTCTATGGCTGATCATCCGGGGCACCGTACCTCGCTCGCCGTCTCTTGTGCTCACCAAGGTCGTCTAGATGCGATGATGATGTCAGGAAGGGACAGCGGCATGCGCATCTGCCATGGCTCGGCTAGCCATTTTGAGTTTGATGGCCTTTTCACTTGATCACGGACGGCGATCCGCTTGCAAGCGAGCGGTAATCTGGGGCTGAATTTAGGTCATTGACGTCGTCGACCCTGGCGTCACTGGCCATGACCTGGCGTTGGTGCCGCGCATGAACGCCGCGTCTGATGATCAGTCGTCACCCTTTCCTTCAGCTCTCCGGCGATCTCGAGGAGATATGCTCTCGGTCCTGTGACGGTCAGCATCAGAGTCGTGGGCATGTGGTGCCACATTTCTGAGCAGACGAGCTATGACACATACATTTGGTCGATCGACCGGCTGACGGTAGACGCTGGCATGGTCAGCTGGCGACACGGTGTGGGCTCGCGCAGCCTTGAAGAATGACATGGCTCTCACCCACACGCGTCGTTCTCGAGCTCCGGACGAAAGAAAAGGGCATGGACCCGCGGCGACAATGGCGGCCGAGCAGTGAGCGCGCCAAAGGACCGAGCACCGAGCGAGCACCGAGCCACGCCATTGGCACGCATTTCTAATCTTTATGCCGACGCGCCACATCAAACACTGCAGCAGATCAGATGTGATGCCAGCATGGCCACCTCGGATGATGGAGGTGTCCCACAAGAGGCAACCTGATCAGAACTGTATCGTGGATGTTGCGGGGCAACGCCAACCTTATCTCAGACGCTTGTATACAGCGGAGCGGTATGATCCGCTCGACGGGACAGAGATGGACGAGCGCGGCGGATGCTTTTCCACGGTCGGTGTTTGAATCGACACGCGTCAGACCGGTCCGGTCACCTCGCCGCCCGGCAAACACGGGCGGCTGGCTTTGTGGCCATTCATTGCCACTGGTTCGTCCACGCATTTCCTCCCTCTTGAAGGAAGGTAGCTCATGCTGCTACTCGAGCAGACAGAGGTCCATCCTAGGCCACGCTCTGCGATTGTGATGAATGATCGAGTGGGACGGGCAGCATTGTCTGTCGATGTCTCGTGGCGATTTCGGTCGCGTCGAATGTGTCACACAAAAGGGAGCGGATCAAGCCACAAAGCGTTCCAAATGGAGATTTCCGAGAGCAGTTGGAGGGCGTCCCGTCTGGCTTGACCGGCGTTTTGGTGTGTGACACCCTCTCGAGGTCATGAGGTTGGTCGGTCCTCACCGTTCCTGAGCTCGGCCCCCGCAATTGCCCTTTCGCCTTGGTCGCTCGCCCGCCAGCACAACTCTACCCGACCCTCGCTCGCTTGCTCCCGCTTTCACCATGTCCATCGGCTCATTTGCACGCCGACAGCATCCAAGCATCCAGAATACCTTTTCACTTGGGCTTAGTTTTATAGTGCCCGCCTTCATCAGTTGTGTATATGCACTCTTGTGTCAATTCAACGAAAGAATGTGAGCCACGAGGGAAGCTGAGCAACTGGAAATGAAAAGAGAAGCTGCCGAGCAAGGACCGAAAGCGAGGATGTCTGACGAGCCGCGCTTCAACCGTGAGCGCGTCGGGTTAAGCCAGTGGCCCACTGCCGGATGAACCTGTTCCATTTCAGGTGGTTTCTCCTTGTTTTAAATTTCTTTTCGGGGCTGTGGCGCTGTTGGGTGATCCTTTTTTGACACGAGTTAAGCCGGTTTGATGAGATCTCACGCTCCTTTTTCGCCTTTCTCTTTTTGCGCTTTTGCCGGTTGGCTGAGCCTCGCTCTCTCGACTTGACTTAGCTGATCCGCAACCTGGCAAAACGCGCAACTGACAGACACCAATGCCAACCCTTGCTCCTCGTGCTGGCTCGCCCTGCCATCCATCCCTCCCTCTCGCTTGTCCTCACCCCGCATTCACCATCTCTTTCCTCTCATCCTCACCATCATCCATACTCGGAACCACTGCGCACGCCGTCGACGGCTTTCACTCGAATCGCTCAATCTATCTGCAGGTGCATCTTGCAACTTGCTCAACCGCAGTCAGTTCAGCCAATCTTCGACATCTTCAGTGCGCCATCGTCAGCAGCCTAGGAATGGCCTATTGCACACTGTAATATGCACGAGGGTGCCTCCATCCATCTTTTGTCTCCCTCAACCCATCACGCTCCCGCCTTGCCCGTGCTGGCGCAGCCCCACGCAGCCGACAGCATGCCCACAACTCTTACCGACCCCGTCCTGGCTCTGTCCATGGACAACGTGCTCAAAATGAACGACCTGAACCTCGATCAGCTTGCCAACCTCTGGAATGTCTTCACCAAATGCGCAGAGTCGCTCGAATCAGGTCGTCGTCTCGAGAACCTTTCATGGCGTCTGTGGTTCCGCGAGGCTCACATCCTTCCAGCAGACACTTCGCTCTCGGATCTCACAGACTTCACTCCACTCGACACACCCCTCATCAGTCGAGCCAACAGCATCACCGGCAGCTATCGTCCCGTTCGTCTATCCTCCACTACCGTCGCTCCCTCGGTGGATGCGCTCTCCGATCCCGAGGATGGCAACGACTCCGAATACTCGACCGACAGCGACCAAGGCGTTGGCTCTTCCAGCGCAGCACCCGCTCCATCCACCCCTGCCTCCACTCCTGTCAAGAGGAGAGTCAGACTCGATCGCACCAGCAGGCCTTCCACTCCGTCTTCCTCCAGCACAGCCACCGTTGGGCCTTCCGCATCTTCGTCTGTCTCTGCGCGCACAAGTCAGTCGCAGAGGATCGCAGACGCCATCGCAGAACGAACGAGCCGAGCCATGACCGCATCATCACGTCGAGCCAACCTCACCGATGTGGATGCCGACGCACTCAGGCGCAGGCGTGGGATCTCGTCCTCTTCTGCTTTCGGCAGCAAAGCTCGCGTCAAGCAGCGCAACCAGGACGGATCGTCGCGTCGACGTCCCCTCAGCTTCCAGGCAGCCCTCGAGAGCCTTGTTCTCACCGGTCGCGCCGACAACTTTGCTTCGCTTCGTGGCAAGCAGGGCAGCATGCCCCAGCTCGATGCACACATGAACGCCAGCACCGGTGCTCTCGACGCTCCTCGCCATCGCCACAACGGCATTGGCGACGATGCCGAACGTAACAGCGCACCTGCAGAGCTGAGCCCCATTCAGAGCTTCAGCGCGTCTCAGGCAGCCTTTGCTTCTCACTTGCGCAGCGCCCTCCAGCCAGGTGCTTCGTCGCCGTCTCGACCTATCGAGCAGCACTGCGATGCACCTGAAACGCGTGGCCCTGCCTCTCCCACCAAGATTCCCGTAGCTCTGGCGCCTACCATCGGCGCCATCTCAAGACGAGGCTCGCAGACCATGCTCTCAGGCGCAGCAACGGAAGATCGAAAGGAGGCTTCAGCTGCAACAGCTAGCCATGGAAACCGCAACAACGACGACGAGCAGTCCTCGTCTAAGCTGACCATGCTTCCCCCTCAGGGGCTTCCCGAGCCGACTCCTGCCGCATCCGCCATCAAGCAGAAAGCCCAGATCCAGCAGCAAACCGCATCAAACAAAGCAGAAGAGGTGACCGCCGAATACCAACAGCACCAGGAGGCTCGCCCAACCATCGGTATGGTTCGCTCCGATTCTGCTTCTAGTGCTTCCACGCAGGCATCACACCGTTCGTCAGCTGCCGGTGCTGGATCTCGCCGCACCAGCGAAGCTCGTATCAAGTCAAGAAACTCGACTGCTGGTCTTCATGCTGGACACCGCACCAAGTCTTCATCGGGCCTGCATCGCGGCGCCAAACACAGCAAGAGCTCCGACAAGATCGTCGCCGGCGCAACTGCTCGACCCGCCTCGCGTCACAATCTGCTCTCGGGTCTTGCCATGACGCGAGCAGCCCCTGAAGCCGCAGCAGCCCACAATGTCGCACGCAAGCCTGTTCCAGCGCAGCCCGAAGCCTCCAAAGCACCTACAGCAGCTGTGGCAAAGAAGGCGCCCGTCAAGTTCACCATGGGCGGTGATGAGACCGACTCGGAGGAGTACGAAGACGAGAGCAGCGATGACGGCGACCAGACAGCTAAGGCACCCGCTGCTCCTGCTTCGTCTGCTGCGAACAGAGCTTCGGTTAAGGCTGCCGCTACCGACAAGGCCACCGAAGTCGTAGAGGAGGACGAGGACGTCGACGACGACGAGTGGGCTAGCGACAGCGAAGCGGAAGAGCAAGAGCGCCGAGCACGTCAGGCCGCCGAGGCCGAGCGTCGCAAGCGCGACGAGGAGGAGCGACACAAGAGCATGTTCCAAAAGCAGGCCATTCGCTCCAAGTCGGCCGCCGACCTTCGTCTGCTCGCCCCCACCGAGCCTGTCTCTGTCGGGCCGAGCCCGCCTGAACAACCGGTGCGTGGTCTGCTCAGCTCGCTCTTCCACCCCGATGAGCAACACTCACCTCCTGGTCAGCTCGCCGGTCGTCCTCATGCTTCCGCCGCCGACTTGCGATCCAGGCCTTCCAGCATCTCCCAGGCGGCAAGATCGCCTCCAACGGTGCGCCGACAGCGTGCTCACCGCGACAGCAACGACAGCACCAGCCACGCGCCCCGCTCGTTCCGCGAAGGCGGTATTGCAGGCTTGACCGGCCTCAAGACGAGCAAGAGCGCCGTCGCCCTTCCTCTGCTCGACACGCACATCACGCGCTCCTCCACCGCTGGCAAGGCCAAGCAGCAGGAGGAGCAAGCTGTCGCTCAGGGGAGCCACCACTCGGACGGCAGCGCCAGCAGCCCCGATTCGCCCGTGGCAGCCTCTTCGTTCCGTCGACCCGGCAGCATGGCCTTGGCTCGTCTGCAGGCCATCACCCACATGAAGGTGCACGCCAAGCGCAATTCGACCTCGGCTGCTACTTCGGAGCATCAAGGCCAAGAGCCGTCGCACTCGCGCCGTCACATGTCCGAGGCCAACGTGCAGCTAGACCGCGAGGCCTCGTCGCGTTCGCTGCGTCTCGAAGTGAGCCCGGACGATCGGGACTTTGCCATCCCTTCGCGCGCCTCGTTGGTCAACCTGGCTCACAGCCAGCCGCGACAGTCGGCTCCCTCGCTTGCCTCTCGCCACTCGGACCAGCAGCCATCGACCGTGCAACGAGATGCGCTTGGTTCCGGCTCTCGATCCAACAGCGAAGGCCTGCCATCGGCCCATGGCTCGATGCAGAACATTGGTCACAGTGTGAATGGCCCCGTTTCCATCTCACGCCCTCGTTCCTCGCTCAACCTGCCGGAAGCCGCGGCTCCGCAGACGCCGAGGACTACGCGACGCAACATGCTTCGCGACGAGCTCTCCGAGTCGCTCCGCCAGAACCTGCTTTGGGAGCGCCAGAGTCGTTCCAGGATGATGGGTCTTGGCGCACCCATGGTTCCCATCAACCAGCCGCAACCAGCGTCGTCGGGTCACCGTCGAGACAATGTGCTCAATGGTAACGCGCTGCGACCGCTCACCAGCACGGGCACACCTCGAGCTGAGCAGAGCGAGCGCGAACAAGCTCCCAAGCCTAAGCGTTATTCCGAAGAGTGGGGAAGCTTTCACCACAAGGGCTGGTGATTGCCTCTCACTCCCGTCTTTCATCATCACCTCGCACACATTCATGGGCTTTTCTCACGTTTTACCATCCAATCATGTACTTTTACGACCTCACGACCATGCTTCCTCTCTACCATGTCACCGTTGCATCAGCCCTTACTGCACCTTTTAATATACCATTTCGATCGCCAGAAGATTAGGACACGTACAGTAGAAGCCTCGAGTGTCACATTGGACTTGACATGTGGTTGAGCACCAGAGCTTTGCAGGGATCGTCCGAACGTCGATGACTTTGAGTTTGAGAGGTCGAGCTTGAGTGAGAGTATGAAGAGCACTGCAAGCTCGAGTCATGATGGAGGAGCGCGTCCCAGCAAAATTCCAACTGGCCATCACAACACACAACACGGACCCTGGCTCGGTCCCTGACTGCTTAGGGGAGAATTCTAATTTACGGGCAGGGCGCGGCGGCGGCTGCGAAGCTTCTGCTTGGTTCTGTCTGTCCGTGTGACTTTGGGAAAAGCACACGCACGCACCTATGAAATGCGCATTTCGAGGATCGTCACCATGCTCAGCAACCCTCTCGGTTCATCGCCATCGTCTTCTCCTTCATCTTCCAGGCAACCCCATCTGCTTTTCGCCATCGGCTGCATTGCGACATCTCGAGACACAACAGCCACGTCCCGCTTCTAGGCTGTCCGACATCACAGCTTTGTGGCTCAGATCTCCGGATCCTTTCAAGCTCTGACGTTGCTGCAAGGGGATTCCTTTCCCTGGTCAACGGCTCAGCAAGCATCGCATCGCTCACAGAAAGGGAGGCGGCTGCGGAATGCCATCGAGTGTCGCCCCGCATGATGCGGACACCTTCGTCAGCGCAGCGAACACGGGCGACACCACTGCCTCGGGCCTGTCCGCCGCTTTGACACGCGCCCAGCCACCATCTATCCTGCAATGGACCTGTCCCTGCCTCAACGTTCGACTTTCGCTTGCTCCTGGATCGATACCGACGCCTTCGAGTGCAACAAGCGCAGACAGAGCTCCATGGTCGGCCGAGCTCGCCGATGACAACGGCATTCACGTCCAGCTCCCCTGGCTCATGTCTCGAGAAACGATTAGCCTCTCTTCCAGCGACTCGATCGCCTGCGCCAAATGTCTAGGCTGCAACACTATCGCATATGCAGTCGGCAAGCCTGCGCCACCTGGTCCAGCACGAGCGCTCGGGTTCAACACCTCTTCCAGCTCACGTGACGCAACGAGAGAGTCGAATGGCCCGGTCAGCCCCAACGCGGCTAAGCACTACCGTTCGCCTTCCCGAGAACCGACATCCCGGACCGATCGCTCGGATCCGCGCACCAATGACTCCTTGGTCCGACCGCTCGACCGCAAAGTCTGGATCTTCTCCGATGCTTTGAGTCCAAAGCAGGCCTCCGCTGCAGCTGGGAGCGAGGCTTTCTCTCCAGCCTTCAACATCTTGATCGCTCGAAAGAGGGCCGATCAAGATGGGACCGAAAAGGCGACCACCGCATCTCATCTCGACGCTGCCCGCGATGCAACCCCAACAAGGCCCTCTGTGGGCTCCGGCAATCGCATGTCGAGCTACGGCGCAGGCGCAGGCGCAGGCGCGAGCACCATTACGTACGCTTTGCCGGCAATCCCTCAGCATCTTATCACCACTCCTCCAGCCTCACCCCGCGCCAGTATTTCGGGCTCTTCTGCCAACGCCCCGGTTTCTCCAGGCTCAGTGTCGTCGCCTGCTCCTCTGCCCCCGGCGTCCTCTTCTTCGAACCAAATCTCTGCTGCGAACCCGCTCGCATCGCAACTCGATTCGGTTGCGATTGAGCGGCTCAAGGATATGCGCGCCAAAGCCGAGGCCGAAGTCTTCGAACTGGTACGTCAGAAGCGTCGCGAGATGGAGCTGATGGAGAAGCGCTTCAAGGACGAAGCAGAAACGCTCCTGGCCCTCACCAAAACGCCCAGACAGAACAAGGGCAGCATCAACAATGGTTCAACCGCTTCGTTGATCGAGAAGGCGCTGCGTGAGCAATCACAACGCGCGTCGGAGCCTTTCGCTGCTTCGCGACGAGCGAACACAGCAGTCGCCACCCAGGCAATGCCAGACAGGAACCCATCAGCTGTTTCTGCTGCTACTCGTGGCAGATCGAGTAGTTCAGCCACAGCCCGTGACATCAGCACAGTTCAGGGCTCAAGCAGCAGCCGTCGCGAGAGTCTCCACGACGAGTTCTCCGAGCTTCCGCCTTCAGCCTTTGAAAGGAGGCCGACATACACCAGCAGCAGCAACAACAACGGCGCCACTCCTACCGCCAACGGTAACGCACCTACTACGATGGCCTCATCTCTGGGCGGACTGAGCGCGTCCTTCGCCATGCGTGGACGCGAGCTTCCGGCCCAGATGCAAGATTGGGCGGAGAAACGCCGGCTGCGCGAGCGTTACCCGCAGGGCGATCATTCTGCTTTGCCATCTGCCGCCAACTCAAATGTCAACTCCGCCGCCAACTCCATTGGTGATTCGGAGGAGGACGCCTGGCTTGCTCGGAACGTCGGCAACGACACTGCAGAGCGACGCACGCCACGTGCCGGCGAATCCAGGAGGGAGGATGACACCGAAATGGAGAGCCGAGGTCGAGGTCGTCAGCCGTCGCGCCAGCGGGGTGGCTCTTTTTCTCGAGAGCCACGCGAACCTCGTCTGGCTCGAGAAGAGAGGCAGGAGCAACAGCCTCAGCAAAATTCGTCGAGCAAGACGGCTCGAGCCGATCAGGCTCCATCCTCCGATCTGCGTCAAGAGTCAAGCCGCGGCCGGACTGGAAGGACAGCATCTGGCGTCTTCAACCCACCGCCTGCCATGTCTTCGTCTTTGCTCGCAAAGCGGCCGGCAATTGCTTTCGTTGATGACGGCCGTGACGCCGACGAGAGTACGCCGTCCGTAGGAGGCAAGCTGATTTCGCCCCAGTCGGTGGCCGAACCATCAGCCCAAGTGACTCTCCGGCCCAGAGATCCGCCACCGTCTACTGCGGAGCCGCTCAAGCCAGCGACTCGCGGAAAGGCAGCCGTCGGAGAAGATGCTTCTCTCGCCCGTACGCCTAGCGGCGACCCATCATCTGGTGCTCCCGGTGCTACCGCCGACACTCGCTCGCGAGACAGTCCAAGAACGCGCAAGACGTCCGAGAAGAAGGTCGCATTTGCTGAGACCGAGGATCGTGTCGATCACACCGTCGACTCGGACGAATACGATGACGACGATGACAATGGGAACAAAGAAGACACTGCAGCTGGTCAGCGATCTCAGAAGGATTCACTCTCGATCCGGATCTCGGACACGCTCGTCGACGAATCGGCCGACGCGGTCTTCGAGATTGACGAAGAGACCGAGGACCCAGATGCCAACGAGGATGGCGTCGTCGATGGCACGCCTCTTTCTCCAGAGGAGAACGATCGTCACAAAGTCGAGATGTCTCAGTCCGGCCTGCGGACCGGAGCATCTGGCAGACTGAGGGGACAAGCGGACGATCCTCTCCCTGGCTTCGAGGACGAAGGTGTCGGACAGCCTATCAGTCGACGCGGGCCCAGCTCAGGCTCTCTTTCCGACGACTTCCGCAGCTCATCCTCGGACGACGATGAAGACGCTGTCCCGCCCGGCTTCGGTGCAGCTTCGTTCAGTGCGCTAGCAGCCAGTCAAAGCGCGATGCACACCTTTGCGTCTTCGATGGCAAGGGCCGGTGCCGACGATAGCGGCTTCGACCCTGCTTCCCTCCGCATGGATGGACGCGTCGTTGTGCCGCCGCCGTCGGTCTCTAGTCGTGACCTCGAAGCTGAGCCAGAGCGTTTCGTCGTTGGGTCCCTCCGCAGCTCGGCACGTCGCACAAGCGTGCAATTGCCATCCAGTACGATCTCGTCCAGCCGCCAAGGCAAAGAGGCAGCCGAGGGTGTACCGGGCAGTGTCAGCGGCACTGCCTCCGGAGGCGCTCGTCATCAACGATCTTCGTCTCGAACCCGCATCAGCAACATGTCAAAAGAAGACGCCGACACCGAGGTGCGCCTTTCGGGTCTGCTCGCGCCCAACGCTCCTTCGCATCGCTCGCTGTGGTCCCCCAAGGACGCCAAAGCCAGGCGCGCTGGCAAGCACAAGTACAAGCTCAACGACGAAGACGATCAGAAATGGGATCTGTGGAAGCGCAAGGTTGGCTCAGGTGATGCAGGCACTTCGCCTAGCGATGCGAAGGAGAAAGACACCAAGAGCAATGCTCGCTCTACACCCATGGCTGTCGCCCCACCGACCCAGTTCATCGCTGCTGGAAGCGGTATCGGACCACGACCCTTGCGCGAGGCGACCATGATCGACCCCGACTACTCCAGCTCGATCAACACCTTCTCGGCTTTCGACCGTCATGTGCAGGCTCGAGCGGCAGCTACAGCTGCTTCCGATCAGGCTGCGGCCACTGTAGCCGGCGGCGTCTCGATTGGCAAGAGGACGTGGGGCTACGGCTCGTTCAAGGACGACACGAGCGGTTTCGAAACCGAGCCAAAGACGTCATTGCCGTACAAGGAAAAGATGATGGTGCCCTCGCTGCGCAAAGCGCTTCGCAAGAGCATCTACGAGCCTGAGCCTCATGTCAAGCTCGCGACTATTCCTGACACGGATGATGCTGCTACCAGCGTCAGCGGAGGTGGGTCCGTAGCTCGCTCGGCAGTTTCCGCGCAGCCTGCTGGACGTGACATCCAGAGTCAGAATGTTGCCGCGACAACGTCGCCTGCGCTCAAAGACGCAGATCTGAGGGGTGCTTTGCCGGGCAGTGTGATCAGCCGAGGCTTCCACATGCCCGGCGCAACCTCGCAGTCCGAGCTCGTCAAGCCGATCGCTGTTGCCGCAGCTTCGGCGCCCGTGAATCCCATCGCAGCAACTGGTCTTGGAATCCCATCCGTCGCCACCAGCGGCAAGTCCGCAGTCGTGCGAAGCGAGCTCGCTACGCGAGATGCCGCTGTCGGACCTTCGCTTCCCGGTTCTGGAGCCGCCACACCCTCGAGTTTCGGCCGACGCTCCCCTCGCCCACCGTACGTCGCACCCCCACCGCCCACCTCGGCAACCACAGTCCTCGTCAGCGACCCCGCCCAGCACCCTCGCCCCCTCCAACTGTTCAAATCCCCCGCCGACCCCACCTTCCTTCTGCACGAGGACGGCGAGGAAGCCGAAACGCCCGAAGGCTGGCGGGCCATCCTCAAGTTCATGCACATCATCGAGCAGCTCAAGACGAACAAGCGAACGGGGTGGTTGCATCATCGCATCCCCGCACCCGAATCGATTGCGGACCACATGTATCGTATGGCGATGCTCTCGCTTCTCTGTCCCGCGGAGGCCGATGTGGATTTGGGAAAATGTGTCCAGTTGGCCATCGTGCACGATCTGGCCGAGGCGGAGGTGGGAGATCTCACGCCGCTCGATGGGGTGGGGAAGGAGGAAAAGATGCGCCGGGAGAAGGAGGCGATCCAGTACTTTGTGCACGACCTGCTCGGGTCTAGCGCGGCGGGATTGCGAATCGAGGCGCTGTGGGAGGAGTACGAGGCGAGGGAGACCAAGGAGAGTAAGCTGGTTAAGGATCTGGATCGGTTCGAGCTGAGTTTGCAGGCGATCGAATACGAGAGGCGGTACGGGATCGATGATCTGCAGGCGTTTTGGGAGGGGAGCATCCCGCATGTGGGACATCCGAGGATAAGGAGGTGGGCGCAGGAGCTGGCCAAGGAAAGGGCCGAGATGTGGGGTGAGAGGGGGAGGGGGTATGTTCAGCCTGAGGAGGAGGCAAAGTAGCACGGTCTTTATCTCATCAGTTCGGATGCGCCAAGTGTAAGATGGACGGTCGTCGACCAGCAATCAATCAAGCGAACAAAGCAAAGAGAAGAGTGTGATGAGGTGGCATTTCCCGTGTGCTGATCGCTGTCGAGTGAACGAACTCCTAACTCGCTGTCCCTCGCCCGTCTCCCACACCCTCGCTTCTACGACAAGAACCAACTCGCATTCGCATACCACCCCAACATGGGATTGCTCCCATCCCTCAACTGCACCCTCTCCGTCTCGGCATAGCGTTCCAAGAACTCTGCGTGACCCAACACCTTCAAGTTCCTGACCCTCTTGCCACCGACGGCCGTATGAAAGGGTGCCCAATGCGAGTCGAAGAACGCCGCACCCTCTCCTTCGGGCTTGTTGGGACTGGGGTTGAGAATGCTACGATAAACCTGTTTGAGATGCGCAAAGTTGGTGGGGAAGAAGATATCGAAGAAGCCTTGAAGGACGAGGTAGGTGGTGACGGGGATCATGGTGCCCTGGTAGCGAGTTTGGACGACGGGTGCGTTGAGCCCGTGCAGCGTGTCGGGGAGCGAGTGGAAGTCCGACATGAGCAGACGGTGGTGTGGGAAATGCGTTCTAAGCTTTTCCACCAGTCGAAGGGCGTTGGTGGGGACGAAGAGCGGATCTGTGAGGTTGGGGAAGAACGGTGCATGGCGTGCTACTGGTGCTCTCACCCTCTCGGGGAGGAAGCGAAGTGGGGAGTTGGACAAAGGGTGTAGTGTCGGCCCGACGATATCGAGATACCTCCTGATCAATGGATCGGAGAGCGGCTCCCACAACTCGTGCATATCCCCCGTATCGTCGATCGAAACCACCGCCTGGTACGGCGTCAAATCCGCCGTCCCAAACCTGACCACATCATGCGCCAGATTGTCAAACACCTCCAGCGCCACCACGAAGCACGGTTCCTGGACCACACTGTCCCAAGCCAGCACATCCTGGTTGATCACCTCGACCCTCGCTCCGTGTCTCGCCAACTTCCGCCTCTGCTCCGCTGCGAGCCTTGGACTGATCTCGACAATCCGATACCTCGTTCTCGCATACATTTCCGGCTCGCTCTCCTGCAGATAATCCAACACGCCCTCCGCTAACGCCCCCGATCCCGCCCCTAGCTCGTACACCACCAAATCGTCGTACGGATAGTGATGCAGCTTGTACTCGGCCACCAAATACCGGGCGATAGCATGTGCGTAGTACGGCTGGAAGATCTGGGTGGGGGTATGCCAGACTTGTTTAGCCGCCATGGATTGGACGTCTGTTTCCTGGACGCCTTCGCGACGCAGGGCGCGACCGCGTCGTTGGGCTTCTTCCAGCCCAGCGGCGCTGTATTCTGCTGCGGGCTTTCGTGCTGCAACTCGCTCGCGTCGTTCCCGAGCCAGACTGTCGGATTGCTCCTTGAGTTTATCCTGCGCATCGGAGGTGGACTTGTGGTCCGCTACGAGGATCGAAATCTGTTCCTCGAAGAGAGAGTATCGTTCTTCCACTAGACGCATGAACTCGCTCTCGTTTTTGATCGAGTTGAAGTCGAACCCCGCCGCAGGACGCAACAGGCCCATCTCGTGGGTGTACAGCTCACCAGCTACCTCTTTGTACTGCTCCTCCTTCTCGCTGGCAGGCGAAGGGTCGGGAAGTAGCACAGCTTGCTTGGTAAAGTACCCATATGAAGGATTGTACAGGCTGTCGTGGATAAAGTCGCGTGCTAGCATGCGCACTTCCCGTGGTCGACCACCAGGGCCGGTGGAGCCGACTTTGGAGGAGGTGGAAGAGGCAAGGTCCTCCGCGGTGACTAGAGGGTAGGTGTAGTGCTTGGCTTCCGGATGGAGCGTGAACGGGTCGTAGTTGTATTGTGAGCGATGACGATTGGCGGCGTCGGCGTCATCTTTCCTTCTTGATGCAGAGGTGCTGAGATTGCGTGAGCCAGCAGCATACTGAGTCCCAGCTCTTGACGTCAAGCTGTCCCGGGCAGACGTAGATGAGCGGACCGCTTGGATCTTGCTTGAAGAAGGGAGGTAAGCAGCTGAGCTAGTCGAAAGATTCCGCAGGCTCGTGCGCGTCTGCTGCACCGCGAGCCGCCGTGAGCTATTCAGAGAAGCCATCGCAGCTTCCTTGTTCGTCCTTGCTGCGACCAAAGTGCTTCCTTGAGCTCCGAAGTATGCAAAGGAGCGAGCGTCAGTTGCTGATGAGGAAAGAGTGCGGCAAGGGTCGAAGAAATACCCCAAAAAGCGCATGCCCGCTTGGCCGAAAGCCGATTTTCTGTGCGCTTGACAGCATCGCTGAGCGGCAAAGGCTGCTCTCACACGACCCTTCACAGACACTCACACAAACCACACTCCACGCCTTTTCGGGCATCGTAACGACAGTCTTTCCTCAGACGAGCAGCAACTACGATAGATCGAACCCAGCCTCGCTCTGAATAGCGTACCTCAGCTTCTCCCTGCACGTCTGCTCGTCCGAGTAGTCGGGCAGCTTGAGCATGTTGACGCACGTGCTTGCTGTGGGCAGCCTGCTCTTGTCCTCGCCTGCCTTTCTGATGGCGAAGAGCGGATTGAGTTGGCTGAATCCGAGTAAGGGAGGATTGGGCGAGCTGGTGACAAACTTGAGAAACGCCTTGCGCATCGGCTGATCGAACCCTTCCAGCACGTTCCAAAAGTGCTGCACTGTGAGATCCTGTTCGTGATACCCTCCGAGCACGGTGTGCTTGCGCAGGTCGGCAATGTCGACCGGCTCCTCGGTGCCCGAGATCAGCACGGACAGCTCCTCGCGATTGAAATTGCGCAACCAGCGCGGGTTGATGATGTCCGCCAGGCCGTTAAAGAACGCATTGCACTGGTGCTGGATCTGCGTCGAAAGACGATAGTGCGAGATGCGGTAGATGTACTCCATCCGATTCAAGTTGGTGACAGCCACGTTGGCGCCGCCGGGGACGAGCTCGCGGGTCATGCTGACGCCGAACTCTTCGTCGGTAACGGTGAAGTTGAGCGAAAGGTCCTCGACGTTGCCCTGATAGTTCTTGAGCGAGATCAGGCCTTTGTAAAGCTCTTTGTCGAGGGTATCAATCGAGCCGAGATCGTCGAGGAAGGACTGCTTGCCCAGAGCTTTGGACAGGAAGAAGCCGGCGAATTTGGCGTCGATCAAGATACCTTCATACAGCGCTTTGCCGATGACACGGCCCAAGAACTCGTACCACTCGAGCTGCTCGCCCGAAGTGGCATAGGTGTGTGGGTTGGGGTACAGCTCTTGCGCGTCGGTCGCCTTCCACAGACCACGGTTGGTGTCGAACGCCTCTCGCACCAGCGACGTGAGGAACTCCTTGAACAGACCGCCGCCGTCAATGCCTGCTTCCGGCTGACCGAACTTGTCGATGAAGACAATCTCGAGCGGCTTCTTGAGGTCAGCACCGAGAGGAGCCAGGCTGGCAAACCCATCCTGGGCGACGTGATCTCGTCGAATGTTGACGGCTCTTCGTCGCTGGTATCGGTTGACGTAGATGCCGTTCTTGACCGCATCGATGTTGACGAATTGGCGGAAGATCTGCACTCGCACGTCGAAGGGAATCATGAAGGGTACGTTGTTGAGGATGCCGAGACGAGGCGAAAGGAAGGCAAGATTGAGTGCCGTGAGGTGACGGCTGCGAGTACCTCCCTGCGCTCGCAATTGCTGCAGGCGAGCCAGCGGCTGCTGCGATTGTCGAGCGTCGTCGTCGTCCGCTTGGTCGTCGTCATCGTTCTCATCGTCAACGTCCATGCTCTCGCTCTGTGTAGAAGTCTGAGGCTGCGACGAAGCGGACTCGTCCTGCTGTTGCTGCTCGCTGCTGAGCTGCTCCTCTTCGAGAACGACAGTGCGCATGAAATCGTTCAGATCGAGATGGCTGACCATGAGCCAGTGGTCGGCGGGCGCAAACCGGTGCCTCGAGTCTCGCGAGTGAAGCTGCTTGAGCAATGTCGTCACGAGGGACCGCAGCGATAAGAGCGTCATACGCATGCCCGGAACACGCGGCACCTGGCTATCGTGGGAGTCGCTGCCGTCCAGGTTGACGAGAGGAGCTTTGCCCTCGTACCAGTACATTGCGAAGGCGACGTTGCGCAGAAGACCGCTGATGCTGAGAATCTCGTCGCGAGAGAGCCATCCTGCATTTGCCCGAGCAGCGCCACCGCCACCGACAACAAAGTCTGAGTCGACGCTGGAGAAGAACTCGTCATCTCCGAGTGTGAGCAGAACCTTGGAGAGCATCTCTAGGACAATGACTAGAGCCGGCCAATCTTGGCGAGTGTTGAAACTGGAGAGCGAGGTCAAGACCTCGCGCGCCTTGGTGTTGTCGTGCGCTGAAGCGAGATTGCGAGCGAGGGAGCTGCCTCGCACGTAACCACGCCAGAACTCTCGGATCAGGCCAGTACCTGTAGGTCCGGTGGGTCGTGCCTGCTTGGCGCTCTGAGCAACTTTCGACTCGGAAGCGGAGTACAGAAGACGGTTGAGGACGTGATCTTGCATGTCGGTAGGCCACGCGGAAAGTGTCGAGCAGATGAAGGCGAAGAGTGGTCCGCGAGAGGAGGTCGGGAAGCGGTTCGAGATGGCGAGGATGGTAGTGAGGTGGTCATCAGAGATGAGGATGCGCAGTCTCTCGTAGGTCTCGGTGATCTCTGCTGATGTTGCCGGTAGATCGGCGCCATTCCGTAAGGCTTTGCTCCCGAAGCCGTTGACTGCCAACGTTCTCGCTTGACCGGGCGGCTCAAAGACCGAGCCTGGAAGCCAGTCTTGAGCATTAGTCAAAGCTTGCAGGTACCTTGCCAGAGATGCACCGTCCTTGAAGAAGGAGACACGGTGAGAGCCGAAAGCCATCAAATTTGAGAGCAAGTATGGCTGCGAGAGAGCATTCGCTGCCCCACCTGAGAGGGCTTTAGAAGGCCCACTTACGCTCCCTTGTGAATCCTGAACATGACTCGGCTTGAAAGAGCAGATCCAGTCCAGCAGGTCGGTGAACGGCAGCTCCTTGGCGAGCTCAGTGACGGATTTGAGCGGCAGGCGTTTGCGGAGTGCGGGTATTGTCATAAAGTCGACCGCAAAAGAATGCACCGGGCTCGGTCGGGTTGCGGAAGAGCGAGGTCCGGGGAGGTCGTCATCCACTGAGATGGCATCGTGCAGTGATCCACCTTGCGGGGCCTTGACCAGCTTGGAGGAGGCAGCTACCGAGGGCTTGAGGATCTGGATGGGCGCTAGTGACAGCGAGACGGCGGACGTCAGAGACGATGCAGTTGACTTTGACTGGATCGAGAAAGAGAGAATGTGAGCGCGGAGAGCGCGGTGCAGACCGAGATCGAGGAGAAGGGAGAGGAAGAAAGACGCCAGTGTTCCGCTGCTTCCATCGAGCAAGAGAGTGGTGGCGAGGGAGTTGGAATCCACACCGGTGATTAGGCCAAGGAACGCGAGGGTGTCGGTCTCCAATGGAGTGGAAGACGATGCTGCTTGTGATGCGTCCGAAGTCCGCAGTTGAGCAGCTGTCAAGAGGAAGCGAAGGGAGTGCTTGCAAGCTAGGCGAAGTAGCGAGGGCCAGCTTGCGGCGATGGGGTCGTGTTGCGCTTGCTTGAACGGAAGGAAAACAAGTGGGATTGCATCGAGTGATTGAGAGACGATCCTGATCCAGCTTGAGAAAAGGTCGGCATCCGCTTGATCCAACGTCCTTGTTGCGGGTCCGAGGCTGACGAGCAAGGCTCTGGTGGCAAGGACGAGATCTGGTAATGACACGGCTGTTGAGCGGTTCGAGAGGCCAGCTTGGATGTGGTCCAAGAGTTGTTGGGACTGCAAACGCCACTGCGATCTTTGTTGTGCGGAGTGCTGTATGCGACGTGCCTGTGACTGGATCCGAACGGAGGCGATTTGCTTGCGGCGTTGCTGTTCTCGTTCCAGACGCTGTGCCCTTGCGCTAGCTGCAGGATCTGTGGATAGCGTTGATGTGCCGCCGAGGGTGACAGGTGCCCTGGTACGGCCTGCGCCTGTGAAGTGGAAGCTCATGATGGCTGAAGAGCCCTTCCCTGTGCAAGCTGATCCGACGATAGATGGTGGTGGCAGGCAAGTGGAGAAGATCGCAAGAAGGTTTGGTTCAGTTGGGGAGCTGCGCAGGTCTGTGAAATGTAGTTGAGCGGCGGTTGCTTCTTCGACCCTGTCACACCCTCGTGCTTGTGCTTGTGCGCAGCAGCATCAGCTCATCTGAAAGCGGCTTCTGTGCCGTCCCTGACGCGTCCCTGCAAACTCACCTTTTTCGACGCTCAGCAGCAGCGCCGCTTTTAACGCCGAAAAAACTCCACTTTGGGCTGGATTTTCCAGATGTGTTACGTCTGACTGACACGCCTATGTGGTTTGGCAGCTTGGACCATGCGTTCCATCTCGACCACGACGTCAGCTCGCCCAAACGCAACAATGGCAGAGTCGCTCGAGTACAAGCTCCTCTACTGGCCTCAGATCCCAGGCCGAGGCGAGTTCATCCGACTCTGCTTCGAAGCCACCGGCGTTCCATACACGGAAGAGAACTCGGTTCCTGAACTGCAAGCCTTGCTCTTGAACAAGGACGATGAGGGCATCGGAGCTCCTCACTTTGCTGTTCCCATTCTAGGCGTCCGCGACAGTAACACAAAGACCACTGGCGGTATCGAGCACTACATCAGCCAAACTCCAGCGATCTTGAGCTTCCTCGCTCCCCGACTCGGTCTGCTTGGCGATGCGAACAAGCTGCAGGGCTTCGAACGCGATGTGGCTGTGGCCCAGATTAACCAGCTCACTTTGACGGCTCTCGACCTCAACAACGAGACGCACGACACGCATCACCCCATCTCGGTCTCGTCGTACTACGAGGACCAGAAGGAGGAAGCCAAGCAGCGAGCTGCCGACTTCCGCGCCAATCGCCTACCCAAGTTCCTGCAGGTCTTCGAGCTGGCCCTGGGGCCCAACGAGGTTGGGCTGGATAGGATGAAGGAAGGCGCGCTGAGGATGTGGGGCAGCAAGACGACCGTTGCCGATCTCACCGTTTTCCAAGTGATCGACGGGCTGCAGTTCGCGTTGCCCAAATGCATGCAGAAGCTGAAGGACAGTGGGAAGTACAAGCACGTGTTCAGGCTACACAAGGAGATTCGAGCCGAGCTGAAGGGGTATCTGAATAGCGACAGGAGGAAGCCGTACTCGGACGGAGTCTTTAGGCACTACCCTGAACTTGACGATGAGTAGCGATGATACGGTGCTTCACTACGATCTCACGTTGCACTTGCCTGGATCGGGTGTGTGCCTGCCAGGTGAACCGATGCTGTATAGACTTCTTCAGAACTTGACATGGCAAGATCTCTGCAAGGTGGTGTTGACGTGTCTGGCGGGCGGCGGTACAAATTGTTTGACTAGGACAGCTCAGTTCTTCGCGCTCGAGATTGCCGAACCCCACTTTTTGACGCAAAAACAGAGCCTGCAGCCGCAACCAAAAGATTCCCGCTGACCTGCATCACGCTCCAAATTCTGGCGCTGGAACCGGTGACCAATTTGACCGGCGCTTCGACTGGTTCCTTTAGAGTGAGTTTGCCGAGAAAAGGAGGCCGCACGACACTCAGCCCGCGGCCAGGTCGAGCTTGCCCTGTGCGGACGCTCGGCTATCTGTCTCTCGAGCTGGCCTTCTTCCCGGCTGGTTGTGGCAAAGGTGCCTGCGTGTGTGTTGTTCGTTCAGCAAAGCTGTGACTGGTCCGGTGATCTCTGCATCAGCAGGGTCAGGCTGAAGAAGTATAAGATTCTTTCGTCGGCCCTCATCTCGTCTTCTCGCCATCATCCCATTCCACACAACAAAGATCGAATCGTTCACCATGGCTCCAGTCGCAGACACCAAGCACTCTGCCGAGCTCTCGCAGCTCAAGGACAACCTTACCTTGATGTAAGTTGACTCTCTCTCTCGCCGGGGCCGCTACTGTCAAGACTTGCGAGACACTGACGATACCTTTCCCATTCTCTCTTGATATCGTGCAGGGCCACCTCCAAAAAGGAGCTCGAGCTGATCAAGTCGGCCCCTCAGGCCCCTGGTCCGGGTATGGCTCTCGTCCACGTCCGCGCGACGGGCGTGTGTGGCTCCGACGTTCACTTCTGGAAGCACGCCGGCCTGGGACCTTGGAAGATCACCTCCCAGTGCGCCCTCGGTCACGAATCTGGCGGTATCGTCATCGCCGTCGGTCCTGATGTCACCAACGTCCGTCCCGGTGATCGAGTCGCCATCGAACCGGGCGTCCCCTGCTTCACCGCCACCTGCGACTTCTGTCGCACCGGCAAATACAACCTTTGCCCCACGGTCGACTTCTACTCCGTCCCACCCAAGGATGGCACGCTGAAGAGGTATCACGAGCATCCCGCGGGATGGCTGCACAAGGTACCGGACAACATGTCGTACGAGGAGATTGCGCTGTTGGAGCCGCTCAGTGTCACATTGCAGGCGACCTTGCAGGCGGAGATCTCGTTGGGTACGCCGGTGCTGATCACGGGTGCAGGACCGATTGGGATTGTCCAACTGCTGTGTGCCAGTGCTGCGGGGGCTACGCCGATTGTCATCACCGATGTCGTCCAAGACAGGTTGGATTTCGCTAAGAAGATTTGCCCAGGCACCCACACCTACCAGGTCAACACCTCCCTGTCGGCGTTGGAAAACGCCACCGAGATCTGCAAAGTCTTCTCTCGTGCAACCGGCAAGCACCTCGCCGAAGGAGAAAAGGACGTCCAACCCGCAATCACGATGGAGTGCACCGGAATCGAGAGCTCCGTCCAAACCGCCGCTTACGCTACCGCCCCCAGCGGATTGGTATTCGTCATTGGGGTGGGGGCAAACTTCCAACAGATCCCCTTCATGCATCTTAGCACCAACGAGATCACCCTGAAATTCCTCTTCAGGTACAGGGACACTTGGCCAAGGGCGATTAGGTTGGTCAGCAGCGGTAAGATCGACGTCAAACAGATTGTTACGAGTCGCTTCCCGTTGGAGAAGGCCAAGGAGGCCGTGGAGCACGCCGCGGACAGGTCCAAGTTCAGTGTCAAGACCATCATCTACGATGACCAGGAGTAAAGCATTCACAGTTCGCAGGTCCAGTGGTAAAATGCAATGTTTGTTACGATTCCATCCAGAGTGTGCTGTCCGTGCCGAATCGTGTGCTGCTTGATTCGCTGCTCACCCACGCTGAGCAAACTCCTGCAACCAGCTGGGCTCGATAACACTGACTGTCCTCGCAAACGTCTGCGTAGTAAAGACCAACTCCTCGAACAGGATCGCATCCAACTTCTTTCCGCCCCCCTCTCGCGCCAGCTTGCTCGGATGCAATGTCGACGAGGGGTGGATCTTGAACGTTGCCCCCGCGCTTGCGCTGGAAGTGATTCGCTTGTACGTGTTGGGCGTCGAGGGGTTCTTGAGCGCTGCATTGGCGATACGTCCTTCGAGCAGCGATTGACGGAGACCGGTAAAGTGCGTGTCCTCTTCGTCGTCCGACGGTTTGCTGATACCGTTGGTTTTGCGCGTGACGAACAAACCGGTTTTATCCACCCCCTTGCCCGATGATGACGAGGAGTCGGACTCTTCCTCAGAGGGGTCTTCATCTTGAGCGGAGGTGCTGTTGGCGAGCTTCTCCTGAAGATCGTCATCGCAAAGGATCTTCTGCTGACGACAGATCGTACGCAACTGCTTGCGGATGTGCAAGACATTCTTGACCGCCTTTTCGTGCACGAAATGGTTGCTGCACCACGCGCGAACTTGCTCCCTCGCCTCCTTCTCGACGACCTTGACGTCCACTTTGCCTTCGGTTTTGCGCGCCTTGCTCATCGCGCGCGCCTTGTCCGATTCGCCCAGGTACGAGTAGAGCACGGTGAGTAGCGTAGCATGGTCTCCTGTCGGGTGGATGAAGGTCGACTTGGCCTTGTTCGCCTCGTCACGCTTCTCGGGGTCGGACGGCTCGACGAGGATGGATCGGTCTGACGAGAGGATGGCGATGAGGTCACGAACCTGTCGTGCGACTGTGGGGCCTCGCTCACCCGCAGCGATCAGCGAACGCGAGTACGCAGGTGAGACGGGAAGCATGGCCATCTTGCCACCTATCGCCGTGAGCACCAGCTTCGCCTTACCCTTTTCCGCTTCTCCATCACTACCATTCAGCGCGGGCAAAGTCTTGATATCTAACGCACCAAGCTGAATCAACTGCAGTACGGACTCCTGCAACCCCGTCGCATCCGGTTGATCCAACCAGTCGAACGTATACGGATCCTGACCCATGGCGCACAGCTGCAGCACTGCCGCTGCCAAATCGGTCCTCACAATCTCTGGAGTCCCCGCCAAGGCTAACCCCTTGAAGGCCTCCTGGGTGTAGAGACGGTAGCACTCGCCGGAACGCTCACGACCCGCTCGTCCCGCTCTCTGTCGCGCCGCCGACTGACTGATCTCCGACACCTCGAGCGTTTCCACCGCCGTGCCCGGCGTGTAGGTCTTTTCCTTGGCCAGACCGCAGTCGACAACAAAGACGATGCCAGGGATGGTGATGGAGGTCTCGGCGATGTTGGTTGCCAGCACGACTTTGCGTGTGCGCGGAGGGGTGGGTGCGAAGACTTTGGCACTGGCACTCGGACCGAGGGCTGCGTAGAGTGGGGCGATCATGAGAGACATGGGAAGCGGCTTGGATTCCGCTTCGGCCCAGGCGGGGAGCTCGGACGAATAGAGCTCGAGGGAGCGCGCGAGGGTGTCGATCTCGTCTTGACCGGTCATGAAGACGAGGATGTCACCGGGTGGGCGGGAGACGTGGATCTGGAGGACAGTGCGCAGGGCCGCATCAGTCCATTCTTGAGCTGGCTCTTCGGTGTGGAACATGGTCACCTCGTGCTGACGGCCTTTGACGTAGAGGATGGGGACGTGTTGCTTGTCGTTTGCGGCTGTGAGAATCTTGGGGTCGGTCAAAGTCGCGTTTGCTGCAAGCGCTCTGGATGGAGTGGCGAAGAAGTTGGCAAAGCGGTCGGCGTCGAGCGTGGCTGACATGACGATGATCTTGAGCTCGGTGATCTCGGTTTCATTCGAGGGCTTGCCTCGGTCGAGCCAGGACTGCCGAAGTGCTTTGCGTTCACGCTGTATGCGCTTGGCAAGGCCGAGCACCTGGTCTGTCCGTAATGTCCTCTCGTGCGCTTCATCGATGATCAAGACCGAGTATTTGAGGAGCAGATTGGACCGTACTGCTGCGGAGCTGCTGGATGTCGACTCAAGGGCGTCATTCGAGGCGATCGATTTGCTGGATGGCCCATATGCTACGTCGCCGATCATCTCACGCAGCACCATACCGTCCGTCATGAATTTGATACGAGTGTTGCGTGTGGTGCGATCCTCGAAACGGATGCTGTAGCCGACGATGCCGCCGGCTGCTGTTCTCGCCTTGCCCTTGACGCTGGGCAGCATGGCGGGATCTGGCTGGCCCATCTCGACTGCGACACGGCGAGCAAGCGAGGTAGCGGCGACTCGTCGTGGTTGAGTGACTCCAATCATCTGGACAGGGTGTCGCTCGGCGAAGCCTGCTTGGAAAAGGTACTGCGGAATCTGTGTAGTCTTTCCGGAACCGGTTTCACCGAGGACTACGACGGTGTCGTATGCGCGGACGGCATCTATGATGGCCTGTTGACCCGAAGCGATGGGAAGTGCTGCCCGAGCTTCGACGATGCGAGGGTCGACATTCTTGAGCGCGCTCTCGGTCCATTTGAGCCCGTTGGACACGTTTGAGGCAGGGACGGTTCGTGAGCGGGAGGGGGACGACGGAGCTAAAGTCGATGAGGAGGTTCCGGCCACTGATGTCGACGAGATACCGTTGCTCAGCTTTGATGCGCTGCTGGTCGGTCCGTTGTGCAAGAACGCCGGGGGAGCGTTGGCATACTTGCTCTTCTTGATCTTCTTGATCGGGGACGCTGGATTGGAGGAAGTGGACGGCGAGCTGGGCGATGGCTGAGGATCTTGGCGGTGACGCTTCTTCTGCGGCGAAGCGGCGAGTCCCATGGTATGACCGTATATGCTCGGCGATGGAGGCAGATATGGTCAAAGAGGCAGGACGGAGGCCGTACACGAGCTGCACCCTGAGAAACAGCATCTTCCAAAAATTTGGCTCACGAGAAACCGATCCGAGATCCGGGCCTGCATGGTCAAGAACAACACATCGAGGCCTAACACCTTCGAAGCGGTGACCAGGATGTCATTGGGCATCGTCAAGTCTTCGCTCGGCAATTGCAAAGGCTTCGATCGGATAAAGGAGGTCGACGGAGTTCCTTGGTGTTGAGCTTTGGTCTTGTTGCTGCAGCGCGCTCACCGACAAGTCAGCTCGGCAAATAACGCCTTGCTCCGTCTGTTTCTCGCCCGCTGCAGCTTGTTCGTCTCGCCTGACTCGAGGCGATTCGAGGTCGGAGATGCGGCGGTTCCTGTGCAGCTGTATCTGGTCGCTAACTGTCCCACCGGAACAGATATGACGGCGATCATTGACGCTTCCGAGGGGTTGCGTCGTCCACGATCTCAGTCTCGGCTTGAACGTTCCTCATTTGGAACTCCTTTACGTTACAGCGACGACGCTAGATCCCTGGGCAAAGCATGTGAGAGCTTGTCAGGGAAGGAAACCTCAAGCTGCCGTGGGAAGTTCCTCCAGACGAGCTGAGACGGGAGGCAGCAGTGGCCTACGGAAAGGCAAGATGGTCACCGCGGAATCGAGTGTCGATCTGTTGATACAGTACACCGCTTGCTCGGACAAACAGAGTGGCTAAGCGGCGGAGTATGGTCGATTGAAATCCGACGCCCCGAGTCCGCGGTAGCCGCTTGTCCATATCCGAGCACTGCATTCCAGCGTCTCTTCTCGGTGCCCGCTGTGTCAGTGACAAGCCCCTAAGCATCGCGTGGCAGAGTGCGCCCTGCCATTGTCGATCGTATCGAGGCGGGTTCCCACTCCATTGTCTTTGAGCAAGCTGAGCAAATTCGAGTCGGAATGCGATTGGCAAACCATGACGCCCTTTTACGCTTAAAAAGCAGCTGCGCTTCCCGCACGTGCCGCCGTTGCTGTCGCCTAAAAAGTGTCACATTCGCACATCTTCTTGTGAGCAACGCCTTGCCCTCCTATCACCACCTCATCCCACCACTGACGACCCCACGATACCCACTCGCAATCTTGCACACGTTGCTGCAAAGCATTATCAGCGAGCCCCACCAGAAACACATTATCCGGTCGCACATAAGACATATCCAAGGGCCATCCCAAGCGCAAGTCCACTCAAGCTTCACACGTCTGAAACCAAGCGCGGTCACTCCATCGCCAGCTCGAACTTGAGCGCAGTCTTGCTAGCCCATCATGTCGGCAAACCAGGCCAACCCACAACGTACGCCGTACAACGTACTCAACCAGACCTTCCTCATCGACAATGCCTACGAGATCACCAAGGACCTCGGCCAGGGCGCCTACGGCTGCGTCGCAGCGGCCACCCACAAGGGCACCGGCGAATCCGTCGCCATCAAAAAGATCACCAACGTCTTCACCAAAAAGATCCTCACCAAGCGTGCCCTGCGCGAGATCAAGCTCCTCCGTCATTTCCGCGGGCACAAGAACATCACCTGCCTCTACGACATGGACATTATCGACCCGGCTGGCTTCAACGAGGTGTATCTCTACGAGGAACTGATGGAGGCGGACCTGCATGCCATCATTCGTTCCGGTCAGCCGCTGTCCGATGCGCACTTCCAGTCGTTCATCTACCAGACCCTGTGCGGGCTCAAGTACATCCATTCGGCTAGCGTGCTGCATCGCGATCTCAAGCCGGGCAACCTTCTGGTGAATGCCGACTGTGAGCTCAAGATCTGCGACTTTGGTCTGGCCAGAGGGTTCGAGACGGACCCGGAACTGGCCAAGCAGGCAGGAGCGGGCTTTATGACCGAGTATGTGGCAACCCGATGGTACAGGGCACCGGAGATCATGCTCAGTTTCCAAAACTACACCACGGCCATCGACATATGGTCGGTCGGGTGCATCCTCGCGGAGCTCCTCGGTGGACGACCCATCTTCAAAGGTCGCGATTACGTCGACCAGCTCAACCAGATCCTGCACTACCTCGGTACGCCTTCCGAAGAAACCCTTCGACGGGTCGGCTCCCCCCGTGCGCAGGACTACATCCGCTCGCTACCCTTTCAACCACGAATCCCATTCCAGCGCCTGTACCCACAAGCCAACCCGCTCGCCCTCGACCTGCTCGAGAGGATGCTCGAGTTCGACCCCGCCAAACGCATCTCGTGCGAGGAGGCACTGCAACACCCCTACCTCGCCGTGTGGCACGATCCGGCCGACGAACCCATCTGCCCGCGCAAGTTCGATTTCGGCTTCGAGAGCGTCGACGAGGTCGAAGGGATGAAGACGTTGATTCTGGATGAGGTGCGCAGCTTCCGGACCGAAGTGCGAAGGCAAGCGAGGTTGATGCAGCAACCCAAGAGACAGGAGAGTCTGCCCATCCCGAGCAGGGAGGAGATCCAGAAGAGCAGTCCGACGGATGCGGATGGGCCCGGGTACTCGGTACTGGGTGCGAGTGCGGGCATCATTCAGGGCGCGACTAATGCTGAGCACGCAAGTGGCATGGTGGAGGATGTATGTCTGGAGGACCCCGCAGAGAGCTTTGAAAGGGAATTGACAAGGAGGTAGATTCGACATAGCAATGCAAGAATGATACACGGTCAAAGGAAGAGAATGCGTGTGCCCGAAATCTAGTCGACAAGCCGGCTGTCGTTGTCTACGAACTTCTTGACGTCGATATCAGCCTTGACCACACCTGCCTTTTCGAGCAGCTCGAGGGTCTCCCTGATCGTACTGGCCGAGATGGTTTGCGTGGTGGTGTTTTGACCGCTGCTCGGCACTTTCACGCCAGTCGGATTCTCCGTCTCCTCCCCAACCCACCTCACCGTCTCCAACCAGCTCTCCACATCCTCCTCCTTGTACTGGTGGTGGTCTACGATCCACTTCTTCGCCGTCCCATCCTTGCGCGTCTGCGGATTTGCAAATTTGCGAATCTCCTCCTGCAACCTCGTCAAAAACTCCCCTAGCACCTTGCCCTCCTCGCTCTCCTGCGCCAACGTGTTCGTCGACGCAGCGATGGTCCAACTCGGCCAGGGCGTCGGCACACTCCCAATAAACCGCACCTCGCCCGAATCGACATACGGTTTGGTGGTATACCACTCCCACATGAAGCAGCTGCTCTCCCACGGCTCCTTGCCGTTGACCCCGTCCCGAAGTTGGGCGAAAGTGTCGTTGACCTTGAACTGGATCTCCCCCGCACCCCAGTTGTGCTGGAGAGCCATGACGCTGGCCATGATCTGACTGCCCGAGCCTACGCGGGAGATGCCGATCTTGGTCGCCTTGAGGTCGGAGATGGCGTTGTACGAGGACGCAGCGGGAGAGGTGCCGGTGATGACCGCCCAATTGAGGGAGGTGCGTACGTACGAGCCGACCAACTTGTAGTCGGTACGACCCTTGGCGATGCCCGTGATGAGCGCTTCGGTGAGTGCTACGGCTACGTCGATCTTTTGACCCGAGGAGGCGTCGAGCGAAGTGAGCATCTGACCTGTGCCAGAGGGTTGGCTGACCAGCTCGATGTTCTCCTTGCCCCACGTGGTGGCTGCAAGGTGGTGTAGAGGGGCAGCAAAGTGCTCCGGCACGAAGCCGATGCGCAGGACTTTCTTCGACATGATGGGTCTGTCCTTCTTGATGGTCGCAGCTGCGATGGAACGCTGGTGTGAAGGGCCGTAGTTCGATGGAGGTGCGTGTGGGTAGAAGAGTTGCAAGCTTCGGCATGCGCTTCCGTTAGGTCCGTGCTGAGATCTTCTCCACAACTTCGAAATTCTCAGCTCAAAATTGAGGCTCAGAAAATGGCGCACATCGGCGATTCACACCAGCACAGACCACCGCCTCATCCAAACACACGCTTGCTCACCTGCACGTCTCGACCACCATCGTGGCCCAGCTTGCATTCACTCCACCACCACCACCCTACGCACCCATAGCTGGAAACCGGACACGATGTCCACCTCTCGGCTCAACGAAGCCCTCTCCCTGCTGGTCCAGTCTCCGCCCGGCCAAACCTCGCAAGTCTACCACGACCTGCGCGGCATCATCCTCGACGCCGAATCCAACTCCACCGACAAGATCGATGACGCCCTCCTCCAGTCTGCCGCAGCCACCGCGCTGGAGGAGTACAACACGCAACAGCTGATCACAGCCACCCTTCCCGCGCCGGACGACAAGACGCCCGTGATCATCTGCCAAGCCGGTCAGGTGGCCAGTGGCACCGAGAGCGGCGTGAAGAGGTATCTGCATCCTAAGATGGGCAAGACCTTCCTGTTCGATCACGTGAAGCGTACGGTGAGCGATGTCAAGGATGTCTCGAGTGGGACGGATGGGGAGGCGGAAAAGACGAGGACAGCGCTGGAAAGGGCCCTGGAGGAGTATGTGAAGGATCGCTATCCGGATGGTGTCAGCAGTGTGTTCGCCATGTCGAGCGTGCCGGTGGAGGACGAGCAGGAGATGAAGGACGAAATCCAGAAAGCCGCAGTGGAAGATGCCAAGACGCCTGCGGAGAACACTGCTGCTGTCGGCGCCGAGCACGGCGAATCAAAGGACGAAACCGAAGCGACGAAGGACAACGACGAGGAGATGAAAGATGACCCAGTAGAAGCCGTCAAGGCTGTCGAAGCGGTCGAATCCTCCACCTCCGTATCTCAGACTCAAACCCCGGCAAAGACGACTTTCACCCTGCATCACGTGGGCAATCGCTTCAACCTGTCCAACTTCTGGTCCGGCCGTTGGCGCGCCTCGTACCACCTCGACCCCACCTCCTCGCCCGTCACATTGACCAGCACGCTCTCGGTGCAGGTGCACTACTTCGAGAACGGCAATGTTCAGCTCAACGCTGCCAAGCCACGTACGTTCCACCTGTCCACCGACGGTGGGGATGCGGAGAAGCTGGCGAAGGAGGTGGTGAGCGTCATCAGCGCACACGAGGACGCATGGCAGAAGGGATTGGAGACGAGCTACGACGAACTGGCAGAGAGGGCTTTCAAGGCGCTCAGAAGGCAGCTGCCGTTGACGAGGCAGAAGGTGGACTGGGATAAGGTGCTCAACTACAAGCTCGGGGACGAGCTGGCTCGTGGCTGAAGGGGACACTCCGTTTGCGCATAAATCGAGTGATCTTGTGGACAATGGAGGAACGTCGGTCGGTGTGTGCATGCGTTTGTGCTTGGGCGTTGTGAGCTTTGGCGTTCAAAGGCCGTGTCGAAGGGTCTGCAGGACTGATGTAAGAAAGCATCTCTTTTGCTATATCTGGTATATATGTTACAGGTAGTGTAGAGTCGATCTAGTGGTAGTTGGTCTTCCTGAGCCCATTGAACCAGGCGTCGTCCCTGATCAACTCGGCCGCCCTCTCTGCGACCATCAAGATTGTCAGCATCGGGTTGATCGTCGGCAGGGTTGGCAGCACACTTGCATCGCACACCCTAACGCCCTTCAATCCTACGATGCTCAGATCCCTCTCGTCCACCACGACGCTTTCGTCCGTTCCCTGTCCACCCTTGCCCCTGCTGACCGTGCCCATCCTGCACGTGCCCGCCGGGTGATACACCGTGTGCGCCACCTTCCTTGCGTACTCGCCGATATCCCTGTCGCTCTGAATCTTGGGTCCTGGAGCAACCTCCTTGACCAGATGCTCCTTGAAAGGCGACATCTCCGCAATCTTCCTCGCCCACTTGACACCCTCGATCAGGATCCGCTCGTCGTAGTTGTCCTTGTCTTCAAAGTACTTGAAGTCCAACAGCGGTTTATCTTTGGGATTGGCCGAAGCGAGGGAGACCTTACCGCGAGCTTGGGAACGGCAGATGTTGGGCGTCATGCAGATGGCGTGTTTGGGACGCTCGTATCCGACGCGCTCCGTGTTGTCCGCAAACGGAACTTGGTAGATGTGGAACATGAGGTCGGGTCCGGGATGCGGGTTGGGTTCGGCATCGCTCGGCAGGACACGCAGGAATAGACCGGCGTCCGAAGACATGACCGTCTCGGGCGGCGTATCACGGGTTTCCCACATAACGATCGATTCAGGGTGGTCCGTAAGGTTGAGACCCACACCCGGCAAATCGTGCTTGCACGGCAAACCGAGCTTCTCCAGATCGCCACGAGGACCGATGCCTGAGTGCAGAAGCAGACGTGGGGTGTCGATCGCTCCAGCACACAAGATCACCTCGCGTCGCGCCGTCAGCGTCTTACTGAGACCGTGTTTGGTGGTCACCTTGACTCCGGTGACCTTGGCAGCGTCGTTGGCGGCGTACTCGAGCGTGTTGGCCCACGTCTCGAGGAAGAGGTGCAGGTTGTGTCGCTTGTACGGTCCATGCGGCATGATGGGATGCAGGTAGGCCACACTGGCACTGCTGCGCTGACCCGAGTAGGGGTCGTAAGCGATATCGAAGAACCCAACTGCCTTTTGGAATCCGCCGCGGTGGACAATGTGGGCGTTGAGGTCCTCGAGCACGGGTGCACCGGTAGCACGGGAGGAGGCGGTGACCCAATCGCGCGCCACCTGGTTGCGCTGCTGCGGTGCAACGGGCACAATGTTCATCTTGAGCCGATCACCATACGGCTGGACGGTGGAGGCGGACCAGGAGGGACAGGCGTAGTTGTTCGCCCAGTCGTCCAGATCCTCGTTGAACGGGCGGAATGAGATGAGCGTGTTGTGCGAGGAGCAACCGCCGAGCACGCGCGCGCGCGAGTGACGGATGAACGAGTTACCGCGCGGCTGGGGGACCGTGGGGTAGTCGTAGTCGAGGTCGGAGCCGAGCATCTCGAGCCAGCGGCTGAGGTCGAGGACCATGTCGTTGCCGACGTCAGTGGGACCACCTTCGATGACGGCGACAGAGACGTTGCGGTCTTCGGTGAGACGGTTGGCCAGGACGGCACCGGCGGTACCGCCACCGACAATGACATAGTCGAACTCGGTGTTGCCGCCGGGCAGAAGGTGCGAGGCGAGAGAGGCGAGTCGCTCGCGAGCCGTGGGGCCACTCGAGGAGGAAGAAGGGTTCGGGTTGGCAGGGTGGTTCTCGACGGTCTGGCCGTGGACCGGGTCCGTATCGGGCCTGGCTGGGTTGGGCTTGGGTGCCATCTTGAAGTTGAAGACTGCAGCAAAGAGCGAACAAGTCTTGTGGACGGTCTCTGATGGAAGGGGAAGGGGCAGAGACTTTGGTGTGGTTGGGAGCAGAACGAAGGAGATGTGGCTGCTCACTACTTATACGAGATCCTTCACAATCAGGAAGGCGAGCAGATATGAAAAGCCTGTGCGCAAGTTTTGGATCCACCAGCACAGATGGAGCGAGGGTTCATCCGCGGGTCGTACCAAACCGAGTGCCGTGAACGAGACCGGCGCGGTGTTCATTGACAGCGTACGGAGGGCCATTTACGACAATCTGCCGCTTCTCGCTGCCAATCTGGACAAGGGCTGGCACGCAGCCTTGTGCAGGGATGACGAGCTCGGGCGCCGGTTTCTGGCCGCGCTGCCTGCGTGCTGCTTTCAGCGCCCTGAGTGCGAGTTTGCGGAACAATTTTTGGCAGCCGTTTGCTGCTGCTGGACCCTCGCTCTTCTGCAGCTAGCAAGTTGACCCGCGGCTGATTTGCCTTTGCGATGCAGCTACTCTGTTAGGTCGTTTCGACGATGATGACTGCCGCGGCCTTACTTGTTCGGCCTCGTGCTTCACCGATGCATGGTCCTCATCGTCAGGTACATGACAGCTAGACCCCGATCGATGTCAGTACGGGACTGGGAACTTTGATGGGATATTCGCGGTCTCGTAGCTAGCAGGCGTGCTCGTCGATGGGCTTCTGAATTGTCATCGTGAGCGGGTATACAAGTGAGATGGCCCCTGGGTTGTTCTAAGAAAAGTCCGGATAGTTGTTGCTGTTTAGTGGTGGCCGACTGGTCGGGGTGATACGCTTAGCATCTGCACCACCGAGAGATGAGCCTGTTTCGAGCCCAAAGCTCGGCACGGGTCCGCGCATCGAGTCGACCGTCGCCTTGACCGAGCTGATACTGAAGCCGTTGTACAACTTTGCACCTCCTCCACCACCGTCGGCTTGATCATTTCCGTCGAACGACTGCACGGTCACCCCTGGAAGCTCGATCTGCTCGTCCGTGCTGATTGCTTCTGCTTCCTGCGGGCCGCCTCGAAGCCAGCCAGGTTGGAACTTCCTCAGAGCTGGCGCCGTGCTCGGCGCAAGGATGACTTCGGGTGTGCCAGCGCCTCCACTCTTTCGCTCTGCTGTATTCTGTTCCTCCGCGGCAGTCTCACCCCAAACTCGTGGTTGATGCGACTCGATGTGACTGCCTGTATCTCGAAGGTCGGCAAGCGCCTTCATCAGGTCGTCGGCAAGCGTGTCTCTGTTGGGCGGGTCTTCGCGGATCGGCTCCCAGCCGACTGGCGGACTGCCTGGTGGTGAAATCAGGAAGTTCTTGTCCGTTGTCGGCACCGCCAATGTCTCAGGTTCGGCTGTAGGATCGGTGACGGGACCAAAGACGGCGCGCAGAATTGTACCATCATCCTTGTCCAGTCCTCGTGTCACGCCTTGCACATCGCTGTCTTCGAACGGCAGCACAAGGCGATCCAACCCTGCCTTTGCCAGAGATGCGCCCTCCGCGTCTTCAAAGATCACGACTGCGCGCCCCACCGATGGCAACGGCGTCCAGCGCACCATCGGTCCGTACGTGTTGAGCAGCGAGAGAAGCAGAGTGCAGATGTGTGGGATGAAGAACTCGACCGGAAGATTCGAGAGGATGAGCGTATTTGTCGCCGTGTCGATGCTGCCTCGTGAGGCGGAATCAACGAGTTGACGATCGTGCTCGTGCACGAGTGACGGTGTCTCTGCTTCGTCCGAGTCGGGCCATTGCATGACGCTTTCCAGATGTGCGAGGTTGCGCTGTCGAAGGCAAACATGGCAGCGAGACGAAAGATGCTCTCTATGTCAGCATTCGGTGCCGCTCAGTACGGACGAAAGCGCGAATCTGAGGTCTGGAAATCGGCTCTCACCCTGCCAGTCTCGCTGAGATCTTGGTCGTCTGCATCTGCATCGTCGTATGCTCCGTCCACTTCATCGTCGTCGTCGCCCAACTGCACGCCGGAAGCGCTTGTGCCGAAGGGCGCGAACCCAGCGAAAGGATGGCCACCGTCGTCCTCGACTGGTCCGGAAGGGTGCAACGACGCACAGTGGGAGAGTGCTTCGAAGAGCCGATCAAGGTACGCACTATCCGGAGTGCAGATGTACATCTCGACGAACTCGCCTTCCTCATCGTCGTCAACACCCATCTCGCCCGAGCCAGCGTTCGGGCTCAGGTCGAGTTGACAGTAGAGACAGCCGGGGAAGTCTGAAGATGTCGAGGAAGCGCCATTTCGACCGAAGCTGGATGTTGAGAGAAAGCTGGGTGGCGATCTTGTGACAGCATGCAGCGCTACGTTTGCATATCCCAGTCGGAAGCCGCTGCCAGTGGTGGGGGCTAGAAATGAGATTTCTCGTTCGGTGAGCCAAAGCTGGCCGGTAGCTTGGAAGACATCGGCTTCGTCTTGTTCGTCTGCGTCGAGCTTCGCCTCGTTGATCTGCTCGAAGCAAGAGGGTCGTGCTGATGGGGATGGGCTGATGTAGACTGTCGCCTCCGCACGGTGAAGATGCAGGACCGGAGGAATCGAATCGAAAGATCGTGGTGTGCTGGCCTGCAGCTGAGCCAGCTGGTCGTCCGAGACATACGCCGGCGCCGTCGCGGTCTCCTCCATGTTGACAAGCCAAAGTCTCTTGTCGCAAATATGGTCGCTGTGAAGGAGTCGTGGCTGTTGCTGCGCCGTTCAACAATGCACGGCCGGTTGACGCGAATGCGTGTCTTGCGTCGTGTGTGCATCTCGGCCACTTCTTGGCGAAGCGGAGAATTCTGGTGGACCCTGACGCTTCGAGCTTCGGTCATGACTAAGCAGATGCTAAGCATCTTTATAAAGAAACTAGCTTCGGCCGAGGCTGAACACCGCATCACGTGTACTCACTTCGATATTCGAGAAAGCGAATTTACACGCGGCTGCTGTGTCGAAATTTCGACCGGGCAGACGAGCAGTCCCAGCTCCCTGTGGCCTTCTAAATTCAGAAATCGTACAGCAGAACGCGACCTTAAATTTGGAGCGACCCGTTGCAGAAATTCAAGGCAGCAGGTCAGCAGAAGCCAGTCCAGTGGCTGCTGGAACATCAACGCTCACACAGTCAGGCCAATTCACACTTTCGAGACGGTCAAGTCTGGTTATCGCCATCAGCTCGAGCATTCCACCTCTTCGCCTTCATCCCTCAAGATCATCACCAATCTCTCTACATAGTATCACAATGGGTAACTCTTCCAACCCTGCTCACAAGGCCGGCGTGCCCCGATCTGGTTCGTATCCCACCCTTGTTCAGCATTCGACGTTTCGGTAGCAGTATCAGCAGCAGCAATCAGCAGTCAGCATCAGCAAAGCAGCATCTCCTTCGCCCAACAGCACACGTGTACCACAGCATGGCCTTGCAGCAAACGCATCATCAGCTCCAGCATGACCGCAGCATCGTTCAACAAGGCAGCAGATCACCGAATGGGCATATCATGAGTCGGACTTCGATCACACGACGATGGAGGGAATGGATACGGCGAAGCATTGAGAGGCTGAAGGTCGATCGCACGCTGCACATCCTCGAGACTTTTCGCTGGACGGATGCGTTAGGAAATTAGCGTCGTTATGGAAGAACAAAGACAAAGAAGGACAGACGTCGGCCTAGCACAGATGGAGAGCCTTATACATTGTACTGTCTACGCTCATGGGCCACGACGATGCAACCATCAGGGGGCGTGAGGGCTCGCCGCACCATCGCAGCGATCGTACGACGTTGATCTCGAACAGAGACGAAGGACAGGCGTTTTGTCCCCCTTCGGCGAGCTGGAGCAGATCTTCGCGGATGTCGGCAGACCAGCAGTGCTGTATGCTGCCGATTCAAGGTCGCTACGGTGGAATTATGCGGGTGGTTCGAGGCGGACAACGACGTTGGTCCGTTGTGTCTGCACTTTTTCTCATGTGCTAGCTTTGACTTCACTCGTCGGCGATCTCGAAACCAGTCACGCCCGTCTCGGCCCGACCCTGCTATCAGCAACTTTCGCCCATCTCGCATCACAACGTTTCGTTCCAAATCTTCGACTCTTCCGACATTCCACTCGCAGCGACCTCTCTGCTGATGCGACTGCTGCTGCTACCCACACTGCTACCGTCACGCTGCTCCACCAACTGCCATTACAACTCAGTTCTGACCTTCTTCCGTCCATCCTTTCCCTCCTCTCTCAGGTCTCGTCTGGGGTGTCAACCGAGGTCACGTCACTGAGCGCCGCGTGCTTGCTCCCCGCCCATCCAACCGCAAGGGACGTGAGGGTGAGCGAGTCAAGGTCATCCGCTCGGTCGTTCGTGAGGTCGCCGGTTTCGCCCCTTACGAGCGTCGCGCCATGGAGCTCATCCGTAACTCCAAGGACAAGCGCGCCCGCAAGTTCATCAAGCGTCGCGTCGGCACCCTTCGCAGGGCCAAGAACAAGATGGAGAGCCTCACCAACGTGATCGCCGAACAGCGCCGCGCCGGTCACTAAACGCCTCTCTACGACGTCCAACCTTGTAACACCATCGCACATCACACACCCAAAACTTAAGTCCGACTCAACACGAATCGCTCTTGCTTCCGTGTAAGCTCCGGCACCTCATCCACACGCATCTTGTTTCCATCCCCACCCATCGAGGGAGAAATATCATACACTTTTGGCTACATCGATCGAGTTTGTGCCACGCCGAATCAGGCTGCAGATAGGGCCAGGCTGGAGACAGGGCAAACGTGAATGAGTTCGTCATGGTCGCTAAAAGTACAAGTGTGAAAAGAGAGAAAGGGTTCTGAGATATGCAAGATCAGGCTGGCTTTGTGGAAGTAGCTTTGGCTCCTTCACTGCTGGGCATCGTCAGATCGTGGGGCATCCCTAGCAAGCTCCTCCCGCACAGGGACGCTTGCCGTGCCCGGAGCAGCCACAGGGCTAGCCAGCGGGCTCGACCTGTTCGGCACGCTGTTTGATGCGTGGCCAATGGCGCCCAACCCCATCCTTGCGCCGCCGCCGAACGCACCGAATGCTGCACCATTGACGGCGCTGCTGGGAGTATTTCCCACCGGCGAGGACGATGAAGATGAGCCGGTGACATCGCTGAGTGAAGTCTTGTGCCTCAGCTGCGACACGCCGGGAAGAGTCGGTGCTGACCAGATGTCGTTGCTGCTTCCGGCCCCCGATCCGGCGCTGTTGCTGGCCACAAGAGCGCCGCTGCCGAGGGGAGGCGACGAAGTGATCCAGCTCGATGAAGGTGGCATACCGGCATTGCCGATGGAAGCGGACCAGGTGTCGCTGGGACCGAAGATAGACGACATGGTGCTCGAGCTGAAGGGTGGCAGCCCGCCTGCCGGTGCCATCGATGCGTTGGTGCCAGGCGCCGAGCTCAAGCTACCAGCCAGACCTGGTGCTGGGCCAAAGTTGTCCATGCCCGAGGTGTAGTCGAGAGGTCCAAACTTGGAAGAGGCGCCGAAAGCGGAAGATCCAGATGCCAGATCGTCGCTTGCTCCGATGCTGCCGGTCGAGCCAAGGCCATGTCCGTGACCGTGGGAGCTCAGCGCGCTGAACCTCGGGCTTGCACCTGCGAAGCCCATCGACGAGTTGCCTGTTGATGACCCATCGATGCCCTGCGGGAGCAAAGGCGAGTGCCGTGGGAAGGGGCTTGCCGTACCAGATGTGCCCATGGAGAACAAGTTCGAAGACAAGCTGGAAGAAGGCGGCATGTTGAGTTCAGGACCCAGCGGCAGGTTCAGCACATTGTTCGGGCTGAGAGTGGCGGCGTTGGCAGTCGATCCAAGCGCCGACGCGCTCGATGTCGTGGCCAACGAGGCGTTGCCGCTACCGTGGTTGCTGCTACTGATGCTTGACGTTGGCAAGTGACGAGCGAGCGGGAAGGCGAACCTAGACGAAGAGGTGGGCGAGTGCTCGGGCGAGGCTACGCCTGGTCGCGGTGATTCGGTCGCGACGTTAGTCTGAACCGGTGGTACCGCCAGAGTTGCCGTTGTGGTGCCAGATGCTGATGGATTCTTGCTGATGACAGGCGAAGCGTGGTTCGAGCCGGTCGACGGCACAAACTCTGGTTTGGCAGGGTTGAGCACCGTCGATGTCGAAGACGTTGGCAGCCTCGATTGTGGGGCGTTGTATGGGATCTGCGGGATAGGCAGACTGGACCTGCGACGAGCGTCGATGGACGGATCGTAAGGATCAAAGCCTAGCGTGGGATCGTAAAGATCATCTTGACTCGCCTCGGACACACCGGAAGGGAACTGCGAGGTCGGCTGCGGTGCCTGGCCGTAGAACGAGTCGTACGTTGCGTAAGGTCCCGCGCCACCGAATCCGCCCATGCCCATCGCTGCTTGATCTGACAGGCCTGCGGGATCGTAGCCTTGTCCTGGCGGCAGCATTGCACCGTGCTGAGGAGAAGAGCCGGGGCCAGCATACCCGTTTGCATCCATGACGTCGAAGTTCTGGGTCTGCGAGGCGTTCTGATTCTGCCCTCGACGGAATCCTTTGCCGAAGCTCTGCATAAAGCCTCGGGATGCCCCAGCGAAGCCTGTGCTGGCGCTGCCGGGTCCACTAAATTGACCGGCAGGACCAGAGACGGCACGGCTACCGAAACTGCCAAACTTGCCTCCTCTGCCTGCCGGTTTGCCCTTCTGACCTGAAGCATTAGCTGCTGCGTGCGGCCCACTGGCGTGACGGTAGCCGCCTCGTTGCGAGCCCGCTGCTCCAATCGCACCTCCACGACGAGCATTGCCACCTGCTGGTCTGTTGTAAGCCTCGAGCGCCTGCTCCCTGACCTTTTCGATCTCGGAATGGATGGAGGCGAGCTTATCGTCGCGCAGCTCATCGCGTTCGGTTTCGAGCGTCTTGGCAGCGACCTCGAGGGATCTGAGCTCCTTTTCGAGAGCAGCAAGTGCTGTGTCGTCCTTGTCCCAATCTGCTTGAGCTGCGGCCTCTTCCGCTTCCACTTCCTTGCGTAATGTCTCTACTTCCGACTCCAGCTTGGCATCCTGCTGTTCCCACTCTGGCTGTTCCTTCTCGGCGACATCAGCCTGTTCGTGGATCTCTTTGGTCTGAATGGTGGTCTGCTTGATGAGCTCCTGCAAGGCCAGGACCTTCTGCCGACTGCGTTGGTCGGTCGCACTCATTCGATCCATTCCGCGCTTGACGGCGTCGATCTCGTGTCGGAGGCCAGCTTCGTGTTTGGACGATTCCTTCCTGGCGCGTTTGACGTCTGCGATGAGCGAAGCCTTGAGGGCTTCGCTGGCTTCGAGCTCAGCCTGAAGAACAGCCAGGCGCTGAGGAGCAGGCTCGACTGCTTCAAGCTCAGGTGCCGACACGGGCAGACGGCTGAGAGGCGAAGGCGAAGAAGAACGGACAGCTGGCGCGGAATCGGTGGAACGAGAAGAGTCGCGCTCGGTCCTGGTGCGCAATGTGGCGCGGAAAGCGTCGTGAGTACCATCCAATCCTGCCTTGACGAGAAACTGAATGTCGTAGTCCGATTCGGGCTCGAGACCAAAGATGACGACGATGGCTTCGTGCGAGCCTCGTTCGCCTAGCAAGACATGCGACCAGTCCAGACCGTTGACTGTGACCGAGACGCGGTCCTTGAAGACGCTGGTGACGTGATGGCGGGCGTCAGGGCTTCCCTCGTAGCCTGAGTCGGAAGCGTCAGACCCTGAACCGACGTCGTCTTCCACGGCGGTAGCACCGTCATCGGAAGGCCACGCATCGTCATCGTTGGCCGAGCCATGAGCCGAATCGGATGGAGCAGAGCTATATGAGCTTCTTCTGGGCTGAGCTGGGACGGTGGGAGGCGGACGAAGGCGAATCTTTGTGACCTTGCGGTTCAAGCTTCTGGTAGCGACGAGTCCTTCGGTGAGCTTGGAGATGGGAGTCTCGAGCGGCTGATTAGAGCTGTTGCTGACGGCTCGTTCCGATGGTTGGCCTGCTGCTGGGGTTCTGGACTTGGACACAGCAGCGGCGGTAGCAGACGTGGGCGAAGGAGACACTGCAGTGGCCCTTGCGGAGGTGCGGTTCGGTGATGGATTGTCGCTACCACCGCCTGCCGAAGATCGACCCTTTACGCGTTTGCGAAGCTGCGAGTTGATGACCTCGAGCGGAATGGCGCTGAGAGGCGGAGGGCGAGTGGACCACAGCAGAGATATCGAGACTGGTGTGAGGTCGAGAAGCTCGATGCGATATGGATGCTGCTGGTTGTCCAAGGGCCGTGGGCGCGCCTTTGGGTTCTGACGGGCTATGGAAGGGGATGGGGACGGCGCTGAGGATGATGATGCTGCTGATACTGCTGTTGCTTGAGTTGATGGGTGTAGGGGATGAGACGAGTGCGTAACGTCTTGCAATGGTGGCCCATCGCTGGACCGGTGGGCCGCGGTGGGCATGGTGATTGCGAGAGGCGCGAGCCTGTCCTCAAGAGGCTTGTAGCGGCGAAGGCGAGCTGGTGTACAGAAGACGAGATCAGGTTTATGATCGCGCTGAGCCTGCGGGCTTATCCAGCAGAGTGTCGAGGAGCTTGCTTGGCTCCGTTTGGGTTGAGTCCACGCGTCTTCAGAACGGAATGGCTACTTGCTGCGTAGCTGGACTGATTCGGGCCGACCGTTTGAGGCGTAGGTGGGATGAGAGAGTGTGACGATGTGACGGAAGGTGATGAGGTGAAGGGAACAGTATCGATGAGTAGTAAGGGTATGTGACACTAGACGGTCAACGGCTTTGCTTTTCCGACATTCCAAAGCTCAGCATCAAATTCTCAAAAGCTTAACCGCCCATTTCAGCCCTGTGTCTCTTTCGCTGAGCTGTCACGCATCGTGATTAAGCCTCGGCTCAGTCGAAACGTAACACCCTTCCAAAAACCGCTCCCTCGCTACACTGCGCAAGATTTTTTTTCTTCTCAAAGACTCAAAGTTGTCGGCTGACTTTCTTGCTTCTTCTCTTCATCGTTTAACAAAGTATCTGGATATCCCCTCATAGAGTCCTCCTCGCCATCTTGGATCTTCCGACAGGAAGAGAACTGGAGAGAAGCCAGTCCCAACCTACGCCTTCCTCACGGAGGGCGATGGCCAAGACTGGTAGGATTCTAACAAGGATATACCTAGACCAACGCGGTGCATCTTTGGCAGCCTTGCCGAGCTCTTAGCAGCTCAACTTGTATCCATGGCGAGCGGCTGTCACCTAATGTACCTACATTCCGACCTTCTTGCATACCTCTATTGTCCTGCTCGGCGAGGCCGGAACGGCTCTACGACGTCAAAATCGGTCGTCAGCTCGTACCGTCGTTCGCCTCTCCTCTCCCCTCCCGATCCCCCCGCCATCCCTCTCTTCCTTCAGCTGTTTAGCCAGGGCGCTCAACAATACACGTCTCAAGTGATAGATCCCGCCTGTGTCGTGCGCAACCCATGAAGTTCACCCTGTCTTCGTTACACTACAGCGGCGAGTCGTGATAGAGACAGGGCAAGGTCGTGAAAATGTGAGAATGTTAGACCGTGACTTTGGCAGCCTTGTCCGTCAGAAAGTGGCGAACGTGCATTCTTGAGGCTTCGCAAGTCGAGCAGCAAGGGCGCCCCTTGAAGGCATGTTGAGCTGCCCTCACGGTGGTTTTGCTGTAAGGCTCAGCCGGTCCACGAAGTTAAGAAGCATGCTTGCAGGAGGCCGAGAATGGTGCGGGGAAAGACCGGAGTTAGGCGCTTGGAGACCAGCTGACCTGGTTGGTGTTGGTCTTATTTTTGGGCCGCCTTTTCCAGAGCCTTTTTTCTCGCTTAGACGCACAGCACGGGCCAGAAAGAGAGCTGCCAAGTCGGACATGACTGAGCCGGTCAATTTCGAGTAGGTCACTCACACGACATCCTGTCCGACAGCCGTTCATTGAGCTGCTCACCCACCTGCCTGTATGGACTGTCCCGCAGTGTGGAAGTAGCCAAGAGGCCTTAAGACGTAAAGGAAGGCGCGAGAGGTGGGACGACGGAGAGCGGTGACACGAACGAGTGATTCGACTGTGGACCCTGAGAGAATCTGCCGGTGATTGAAGCCCAGCCGCGCTTAGAGGCAGTCAAGGCTTCTGCGGCCGCCTCGCGCTTGGCTCGGAACGCCGCTACAGCGGTACAGATGCTGTCACTTCTGCAGCCTTGAGTCATGTGGTCCTCTTCTCCCCTCGCACGGCCTCGTCTGTAGGCCGAGTGTAGCTCACTGTGTGCTCGCTTCGTCTCCACAGGTCGTGGGAAAGCCCGACCCGCCCGCTTCATCTGTTACCCCGGCCAACGATGAGATGAATGCCCTGATCAGATGACAGCTGTGTACACAGCGAGAGACGTCCGTCAGATCATATAAAGGCGACTCATCAGTACCTCATGCCCATCACCTCTCGTCCTCCGCCTTGCAAAGCCTTTTCGATCATGTCGCACTCCTTCAGCCAGCACCAGCTGCGAGACGGCGTCGTCCTTCCTCATGTACTCAACAAAGCACCCAAGGGGACCAAGGCGTGGGTCCTCCATCTCGGCTACCTCCAAGCCGACGCGGGCTGGTTCAAGCGCGGAGGCAACACGTCGCTGATGAGCAACCCCAAGGGACCCGAAGCTCCCGAGCGACGGGATTTGATCATGTACTCGGTGCTCATCGAGCATCCTACGGAGGGTCTCATTCTGTGGGAGACGGGTTGTGGCAAGGACTATCCTGGTATGTGGCATTCGACGCATCTCGATCCGAACCTCTGATGTGGTATGCTGACGTTCTCCTTTTTCACACGCGCAGAGGTGTGGGGGGCGCCCTTGAACGACATCTTTGCGCGCTCCCGCTACGAGCCCGAACACGAACTCGAAGCCGCCATCGCCGCCACGGGTCACAGCATTAAAGACGTCACCCAAGTCATCATCGGCCATCTCCACCTCGACCACGCAGGTGGTCTCGAAAACTTCCGCAAGACCGACATCCCCATCTGGGTGCACGAGCGAGAGCTCAAATCGGCCTTCTTCTCATGCGCCACTGGCGCCGATCGTGGTGTTTACCTGCCCCACTATCTCAGCCTCGACGAGCTCAACTGGAAGTGCTTCGACGATCGGACTGTCGACTTTGCCCAGGGGATCACGCTCCATCATCTGCCAGGCCATACCGATGGGTTGATCGGAATGCAGCTGAATTTGGAGAACGATGGAACGTTCTTTTTTGTCAGTGACCACGCGCATATCATGGACAACTACAAGCCGGGTGTTCCGCAGGGTTGGTTGGCCAGAGACCACCAAGCCTGGTTCAACAGCAACCAACGACTGCAGCGAATGGAAAAGACGACGGGAGGACTGGTGATCCCCGGTCACGATTTGGAGGCTGTAGAGCCGCTGTTGGGTCGCGTTCTCTCCTAGCTTTCGTCTGTCACACGTTTGCTCGCAATGCCATGTTCGGATGAAAGAAGTGATATGCATTGCAAAGTGTTGGATCGCGTTCATGGCCTCGAATTCAGACTGCTTCCACCCGCACCAGGACTCTCCGCGCCATCCTCGACCTTGATCCGTTTGAGATCATTAACGAAGCTCAAACCCCACCAGCTGGCGGTATGCTTCTTGACGTACCGACTGAGCTTTTCGAAGTTCTCCCTCCTAACATTCGTCGGCATGGTCAGCGCCTCGTGAATCGCGTCCGACACAGCGAATGCGTCCCACGGATTGCAGATGAGCGAGCCGTTCAACGACTGCGCAGCACCCGCAAACTCCGAGAGGATCATGACACCCGCCCTCTCCTGCTGGCACGCGATGTATTCGTACGAAACCAGATTCATCCCGTCCCTCGTCGAAGTCACCAGGCAGGCATCGCTGATGGCGTACAGCGCGCACAGCTCGTCGAAGCTCACCGAACGATGCAAGAAATGGATCGGCATGGATTCGACCGTCCCGAACCGCCCGTTGATCCGACCCACCGCCTCGTTCACCGTCGCTCGCAGGTTCTGGTACTCCTCCACATCCTGTCGCGATGGCACGGCCACTTGAACCAACACAACTTTCCCAACCCACTCCGGGTGGTCCTGCAAAAACGTCTCCAAAGCATGGAGCTTTTGGGGCACGCCCTTGATGTAGTCCAAACGATCGACACCGACGATGATCTTGACACCCTCGAAACGACGCTGCAGACTCTTGATTCGCTCTTTGACGCTAGCGCGCTGCAGACCATCTTCGAACTGACTCGGCTCGATACCGATCGGGTAGGTGCCAACGTGCACGTAGCGCCCTTCGAACTCGGCGCCGTTCGGCATGGTGGGGAGACCGAGGATGCGCGTGCAGGAGGAGAGGAAGTGTCGCGCATAGTCGTACGTATGGAAGCCGATGAGGTCGCAGTGCAGGATGCCGAGCAGGATCTCGCGACGCACGGGGAGGATACGGTAGATCTCGGAGGAAGGGAAGGGGGTGTGAAGGAAGAAGCCGATCTTGATCGAGCCTCGGCCGCTGGAGCCATCGCTGGTGCCGAGACCGCGCCCGGTGGTGTTGCCGTTGTTGCGGGTGGCGGAATCGCGGCCTTCGTAGTCGCCCTCGTCGTCTGGTGGAGGAGAGCTGGGTCGACCGCCTCGCAACGAGTCGTATGCTGAAGGTGCCGCAAGGAGATCGTCGTCCTGGAGCTGGAGTGTGCCGTCAACGCCGTGTCGGACGTGCTCGAGCTCGCGCTGGGATGTGGCGCCCTGCTGCTCACTTCCCTCGATGAGCGTCCTGAGCATCAGCGGGAGCAGCATGAGGTGGTAGTCTTGCACCCATACCATGTCGCCTTGTCGGACGATGCTACGGATCTTCTCGGCGAAGCGCAGATTTGCCTCGCGATAAGCGAGCCAGTTGGTCTCGTCGAAGTTCATCTCTCCGGGGTGATAGTGGAACAGCGGCCAAAGGATCGAGTTGGAGAAGCCGTTGTAGTGTCGGTCAGCGATCTCATCCGAGATCCAGACGGGCTGACAGCTGTACTCCTCACGAAGGCGCTTCTCGATGTATTCCTCGTCTTTAGGCGGAACGGATAGTCCGGGCCATCCGATCCACGTAAAGTTCATGGTCTTCTTGCATCCTGAGAGCGCCGAGACGAGACCACCGGAGGAGAGACTGAATGTGTAGCCGCCTGGCACGGAAGGGTCGACCTTGATAGTGACGGGAAGGCGGTTGGAGACGACGATGAGTGATGCGCCCTCCATAGGTGGAGCGGTCTTGCAAAGATCTTCGATGCTCTTCTGCTGCGCCGCAGTGACGGAGTCCTGCTGCTGCTGTTGTGAAGATGATGCGGTCGCCATCTTGCGAAGACCTGTCAGTCACGCCCAGGTCGGTGTATGCACGCGTCGGATGAAAATGATGGTGGTCTTGACAGACGAGTGGTTTGCAAGCAGACGAACGTGAAGGCTGCAAGGATGAATCAGGTCGATGAGATGGTCGGTTTTGGATGCTGCAGATTTCGACGCGAGTGGTGACTAATATCGCAACGGTGTGGCTTGCAGGACCGACCTAGCGGCGCAGGTTGATGTACAAGGCAGTAGTCGCAGATCAACGCACAGTGCCTGTCAGCGATCGCGAGACTCTGAGAGACGGATGTGAATGGTGATGGTCGAATGGTATCTTGTGTCGCAGCCAGAGCTCACGAAGCTTTGTGGAGCTGGTAATCAGCAGCATGCGAGAAGCTTCTGCGCAGCTTCCACTATGAAATCTGCTGCGCAGACCAGCGAGGGCACGGACGCACCAGAATTTCCAGAAAGGCACCCTTGAGCTCAAATTTAGAGCTTTGCTCGAGAACAACAAGAAACGACACCTCTCACGGCGGGACGTCGATGAACCCACGATCCAGTCAAGGCGGAGGATGGTGACAGTTGGGATTGATTCAAGGTGCTTTGTGATACTCTGCTAGGAATGCGTTCGAGGAGTGCTTTGGATTCACCCTCGGAAGAACTTGTTCTCGACGAAGGGCATCTTGGCCACCTCGGCATCACGCAGCTTCTTTCGGATCTCGACCTTGAGCTTGGTGCCCTTCTTGTGTTGACCGTTCTCCACCAAGGCCATGGCGATGTTCTTGCCCAAAGTCGGACTGGGGATGCCTGATGTGACGCGGCCCACGATCTTGCCTTCGGGAGAAACCAGGTTGGCGCCTTCTCGTGCGATGCCTCCGTCGACAAAGAGACCCACTCGTCGGCGGGGTGGTCCTTCCTTGAGCTCCTTGAGCACACGTTCGGCGCCCAAGAAGTCGCCGGCGGCACGTCGGTCCTTGCCCACGCACCATGCCAGGGCCGCCTCGATGGGGCTGACGGTGGCATCGAGATCGTGGCCGTACAGGCACATGCCCGCCTCGAGTCGCAGACTGTCTCGCGCTGCCAAACCGGCCAGTTGTACTTCGCTGTCGGACAGCAATGCCTCGGCAACCTGAACGGTCGATGCGGGAGGGATAGAGATCTCGAAACCGTCTTCGCCCGTGTAGCCTGCTCGAGCAACATGGCACTCGACCTTGTCGCCGCCAACGCGCAAAGGCACAAAGGCGCTCTTGCCAAAAGTGAGGGTGCTGAAGTCAAAGTCGCCAGCGAGCTTCTCGAGCACCGTGACCGCTGTTGGACCTTGCAGAGCAAGAAGACCCCAGTCGTCCATAACCTCGTGCTGGACAGCATCCCCCTTCCAAGCATCGAGCTGCTTCTTAAACCATGCCAAGTCCTCGGTACGGCAGCCCGCGTTGGTGACGACGTAGAAGCTGTCCTCAGCGTGCTTGGTGATGATGAGGTCGTCCAGAATTCCACCTTGCTCCGACATGAGCACGGACAGCGTCGAAGTGAACGCAGGCATCGATGTCAGCGATGCTGGTGTCAGGTGCTGCAGGAATTTGAGCGCACCGGGGCCCTTGAATCGGTGCTGCACCATGTGGCCGACATCGAAGAGACCGGCGTGAGTTCGGACGTGGTGATGCGAAGCGACTTGGCCCACATCGCCGTATGTGAGTGGCATGAGGTAGCCGCCGAACGGAACCATCTTGCCGCCGTTCTTGACGTGGAAATCGTACAAGCCCGTCTTGGAGAGAGCGTCCGTGAGGGGGGCGGAGGGAGAGCTCATCGCCTCGCCCTTGGTGTCAGCAGCTCGCACGGAGCTCGAGTGGAGCTGTCGAGGGCTAATGGGGCCACTGCTAGCGACCGAGGCAGCAGCGCTACGTGTCGAAGCGGAAGCGGCAACGCGAGCAGCAAGGTGACGAGGCAGAGCAGTGCGAGTCGCCGTCCTGAGGACCGCCGAGGCGGCTGCAACAGATCTTGTGGCCAGCATCCTGAGTGATGATGGAGGGAAATGTATGCGCAGCTGGTTGAGGGCTGTTAAGAAGAACGATGGCCAAGAGTCGTGATCAGCAATCAGAGGCACGAGGGAGTCCAAGCGCTGCCGTGAAACAAAGCTCGTTTCAAACAAAGCGTTTGCAAAGCTGTGGGGTCTCCCGCTTGTCGGTATCTGTGTGCGCACTTTTTGCGCTTGCTCTCGTTGACTTGACCGGCTCACAGAACGGATCAAACGGCCCAAACAGCCGGGACGTCAGCTGCTGAAATCGAAGACTCCTTCCTGCCTCACTTTCCTTTAGAGGAAGGCCGAATTCCCTTTACAGGCAGGTCTCGAGATCCTTCTTATCGCCCTCTCACGCTCAGAAATTCTTAGGCTCCAGAAAAGCTTAGCTCTAACATAACAGCAAAAATCCGCAGTTTTAGCTGCAACTTTTTTTTGGCGAGATGATGAGAAGAAAAACGGAAATTTCTTCGAGCTTTGCTGTGCGAGCTCTTCTTCATCACCTTCCACTCAGACACCTGTCTCACTCGAGCTGTGACCTGTCGCAAGCTCGTGGTGCAACCATTTCGTCATGCCGCACAAGAGAGCGAAGCACTCGGATCGCGTGGCCAAGCGTTTCTCGCTCGGCCAGGATCTCGCTCCTGGCGCAAATGACGGCTTCTTTTCCGAGATGCCCAAGGGAGCCATGCGCATCTTGCAAGGTGCCAAGGTGCAAGAGGCGCACCGTGCCAAGCTCGAGGCTAGAAAGAAAGCCGAGCAGGATGCTCTGACAAGAGCAAAGGGCAAGGCAAAGGCGTCCGAAGCGTCCACGAGCGAGTCGAACGACAAGGCTGGCTCCGAGCTCACCATTCGACCGGGAGAAAAGCTGCGCGACTTTAACGCTCGAGTCGAGCAGGCCATGGCTGGCGATGTTCGCGCCTCTTTCCGCTCGGCAACACGGTCCCAGATCAACGCTCGCAAGCGTGAGCGCAGGAAGCTTCGAGCGGCCGGTATCGACCCAGATGCCGATCCTGAGGACCTCGAACAACAAGAAACGACTCGCAAAGCCAAAGCAGACAAGGCGGCCGCACTGCAGGCGAGCGAGCCCTCGAAGAACGATCTCAAGCGTCAACGTCAGACCATCCAGCAGACGGGCGAGATCAAGGACTTTGCCAAGGCGAGCCAAGTCAAGAAGATCAACGACGTGGCACAGGCTCCTCCCACCCTCACTCGGGCTCCTCGCGGCGAATCGGTGCAGGCCAAGACGAGAAAGGCTCGTCTCATGGCCAAGATCACAGGCAACGACGAAGAGGAGGCCGAACGCAAAGTCAAGCAGGCAGAGAAGGCTCGACAGAAGGGGCGCGTGCCCGAGAAGCTTGCCGCCGCAAATGCTTCGGCAACAAACAGCAAGAAGCGCAAGGCTGCCTCCGGTAACGAGGCACCGGCAGAGCCTAGCATGGCAAGACAGCGCGTGCTTGACGAAGAGCGTCAGAAGGCCATCAAAGCATATCGCCAGATCAAGGAAAAGAAGATCCAGGAAAGCGAAGTGAAACGTGCCAAGAGGGCATGATCGCTCTCACTCCGCCTTCAAAACAACTTCTCACGATTACGACTCTTCAATAACCTGCATCTGACTACACAACAACAACACACTATACCCGGACTCCATCGTCCTACCAGCATCGACTTTGCATCATCTGTACAACAAGCATTCAGCATCTCATCACTGCCGGTCGTCACTTGCATTCATTCCAACAGCGTGACAATGCGTGATTCTCAGAACAGACCATTCCCTCGTAGCTGTTTCCCTCCTTCCTTCCTTCTCCCGCTCCCCGTCGCAGCTCAGCCTCGACCCCGCTCAAATTCCTTATCCCAAAAGAAGAAGGCCTTCACAGGCGCTGCGTCTTTTGGCATACTGATTGGGCGAAGATCAACCGTTCTTTCGAGAACACCAGAGATTAGATACCTCTGTATGGGGGCGTCCTTTCGCTATCAGCCTAAGACATCATGTCAATGAAGGACGATAGATAGTAGTATGCCGACAACTTTTCCTCCCGCTCTCTCGTCATTTCCTCTCTTTGAGATGCTTCTGAAGCCGGACCATCGTATGGAGATAGCTCGTCGTGTTGTAGATCGTAACAAGCTCGATCGTCGCTACTGACGACCTTGATGGAATCCGAAGATATTGATCGCGATCGCCCCGAGAAGAAGCAGATTTTTGGCTCGGAAACTAGACCGGAGCGAGTCTGAGCCTTAATAATTTTGCCGAAATGGCGGTCGAGCCACCGACATGGAACACAGTCTTCCGATCTGGCCTGAGCCGCCGGGCGAGAGCTGAGATCTTGAGATCTGCGAGCCTGACTGCTCTCGCCTTCCTTCTCCGCCTCGATGACCTTTGCGCAGCGCCTCTTCTGCAGCTCAAGGCCACTTCCTTATCGTCCGTCACCATATCTTCTCCTGCTGAAGCCACAGACTCATCTTCGCACCATCAGCTCGACCTCAAAATCACGCACCAAGATGACCGCCCCGTCCAGTGACAACCAACCGAAGCTAGGCCTTCACGCCGCCGACGTGATCGACTACAGCGAGTCCGCCCGCTCCCTCTCTGGCTACAAGACCACCCTGCGTCAGCCCTATCCCGCGATCGAGCCGTTCGAGTCCGGCACTCTCGCTGTCGACTCGCGTCACACGCTCTTCTACGAGTGGAGCGGCAACCCGTCCGGTCAGCCCATCATTTGCGTCCATGGTGGTCCCGGAGGCGGTATCTGGTCCGAGGAGCGTCGCTGGTTCGACCCTGCACACTATCGCATTCTCACCTTCGACCAGCGTGGTGCGGGTCAGTCGACACCGCATGCCGACCTGGTGGACAACACCACCTGGCATTTGGTGGCAGACATCGAGAAGCTGCGCGAGAAGTTTGGCGTGCAGAAGTGGCACGTCTTCGGCGGCTCGTGGGGGTCGACGTTGTCGCTGGCGTATGCGCAGAAGCATCCGGAGCGCGTGAGCGCGTTGATTCTTCGTGGCATCTTCACGTTGCGCAAGAGCGAGTTGTCGTTTTTCTACCAAGGTGGTGCATCGCATATCTTCCCCGAGCAGTGGGATATCTACCGCGATGGCATCCCGGAGGCCGAGCGAAACGACTTCATCACGGCGTACAACAAGCGTCTCACCTCGGACGACTCTGCTGTTCGCCTGGACGCAGCTCGCCGCTGGAGCACCTGGGAGAACTCAACATCGAAACTCTACGTCGATGCAAACAGCCTTGCCAAGGGAGAGGACGACGACTGGGCCCTCGCCTTTGCGCGCATCGAAAACCACTATTTCATCAATGAAGGCTGGATGCGCGACGGCCAGCTGCTCGAGAAGAGCGAGATCGATAAGATTCGTCATATCCCAGCGACCATCGTCCAGGGAAGGTACGATGTGGTTTGCCCAGCAACGACCGCCTGGGAGCTGCACAAGGTTTGGCCCGAGGCAGAGTTTCATATGGTCCCCGACGCGGGTCACTCGGCGAAGGAACCGGGCATCGCGGATATTCTGGTCAAGGCGACCGACAAGTACCGCTCTATCAAGGGATGATAGGGTGCATGCGTGGTCATAGAAATTCAAAGCGTCAGCCAAACTGTCAAGTGTAGGGTCGTGGATGTTCGCATTGCGATGTGTGTGAGTGTGTCTTGCTGTGTCTTCACACGTCGATCCCCAACTTCCTCAATCGGTCCAACCGATCCGCCTCCCTTTCGTAATGCAACTTCCGCATCTCATCCCGCTGTTCGGCCGTTAGGAGCGCCCAGTCGCTCTCACCCACCTCGTCCAGCTGCAAGCTCGAGTCCAGCAAAACACTCAGTCGATCGGCGAGCTTCTTGATCGCTAGCACCTCATCTCCGCCCACCCTCAGTCCCATCCTGAACAGATCTGTCTCGCTGACTTTCCGCCTGCCATCTTTCGAGGTCACCACCAGGCCACCGCTGTGTTGCTGTGGCGCGTTGGAGGCGATGCCGAGGATCATCTCGATCGCGGCATTGCGATAGAGGTCGGTAGGGAGCGCGTCAAGGGAGATGACGGCACGTTCCAGCGAGGCGGGTTTGTGGCCGTGGGGGTGGAGTGGCGTTGAAGGGGTGAGAACAGAGCGGATGACGGGGTCCTTGGCGATGCGGACGAGCTGGGAGGGGAGAAGAGGCTTTGGGTCGTCCCGACGGAGAGGGTCGAGGTAGATGAGCGGATCGGGCTCGGGTGGGTACGTGAGCTCGGAAAGTGCTCGAAGAGTGGGAGAAGGACGTTGATAAAGCGAAGACCGACCTGGTCTGTTCGTATCATCCGACTGCGACTGGGTCACCGCTAAAGCGCCTGCTATCAAGGGCTCGTTGATGGATGGCGATTCTATCATCGTCGACGATGGCGCTGTTTGCTCTTGGTTTGACTCGTCCTTAGGCTGAGCGGCATCCTCAACATCGGCAGACACGATCTGGATCTTCGCCCTCCTCTCGCGTTGCTCCTCTGCCTGCACTTCCTCGGTTTCGACGTGCAGGAGCATATCGTTGTCCACGATGAACCGGATTGCCTGTCCCACAGCGTCAACATGCTTCTCGATCTCGTTGCGGAGAAGCTGCCGGAGCAGATCAGGCTGATCGAAGGGGTTGGTCGGTGGCGGTCGAGGATGAGGACGACGCATCGTCTTGGCTGCTTGGTGCTGCTGAGAGTGTGAAGAGCTCACGGCTGATGCCTTTGGTGCAGTGTCGTGTCGCTTCTTGCAGCGATCCCCGTAGTTGCAGCGACCCTGCAGGAAGTGGGTGCAGATGGGTCGTCTGTCTTCCGGTTGGCCGGGGCGCGTATGCGGTGAAGCTACGGACGCCTCTTCTTCGAGCGAAGGCACGGCTACTTTCGATGAAACCTCTTCTGGAGCGTCGTCGTCCGAGTCGCTGTCATCATCCCCCGCCGGATCGGCATTCTCGGCGGGTGCAGCGCCCGTGTCGGCTTTGACATCTATCCTCTGCCTCTTGTCAGCATCAACGGAGCTGGTTGCAGCTTGTTCGCTTGCGACTGGTCTGGAGCTCACCGCGTCTTCTCGTGGACGTTTGCCGAAGGGAGTGGGACGAGGACCGTAGATAGCCTCGCTTCTCTGTTGTCTTTCCTGTCGATCCTTGAGCTTCTCCTGTACCACTGATTGTGTTGGCCACCGCTTCTTGCGCTGGTTGATCCATTCGGCGATGAGCTCGGGCGAGTCGAGCTGAATGTTGAGCCCAGAGATGGTGGCATCAGCGGGTCCGTCGAGAACACGAGCGCTGTCTTGTGCCTTGCTCTGCGGTGCTTGGACAGGCTGTGAGTCGGCGTCGGAAGAGTCATCTTCGGTATCATCATCTTCGCTGTCGTCCGAGTCGGTGTCATCCTCTTCTGATCCGTCACTTGCGCCATCATCCTCGTCTTCATTCTCCCCGATAGATGGTCTACGCGGTCGATTTGGTAGAGGATGTGGTTGACGCCGCTGATTCTGGCGCATTCGACGCTGCTGTTCGCGCTGTTCGGCGATCAGCATCGGATCGAGTCGCTTGAGCTCATCGACGCCGCCATCCGGGTAGATCAGATGTCGATCCGCCTTGTGAAGCACGAGGGCCAAATGAGAGTGCGTGCGAAAGTTGCATTTGAACGGCGTCGCCGCTGTGTCGGCCGAAGAAGACGGTGGATTCTCGTCAACGTAGTCGCAGCACAGCGAGCCGTGGGACTGGCTTGCAAGGCCTACTCCTGGCCCGTCGTGATGTCGTCTTGCAGCGTAGCCAGAGTCGCGAGGCTGGTGATGCTGAGCAAAGGTGCCTCTTCCGCGACCTTGGCCACGACCTCGGCCACGGCTTGGCCCGTCTCTTTCGCCTCTGCCGCCTCCGCCGCGAACGTGACCGCGGGTCGATGGCCGACCAGACATTCTCACTCTCGGATCTGCAGTGGTGCTGAAGACAGAGTCGGAGTGCCCTTGACGTGCTGAAAGTGGAAAGCTGTATTGGAGAGAGATCAAGAAAAATTGCAGCTTCGCTCAAAGGGTCTTCCGAAAGCCGAGGTGAAATTTTCATGAGCTTGGCTCGGCTGAGGTGGAGGCATCTGCTTGCATGCACGAGCTGCGATGCAAGGGCAAGGAAGCTTCCGCGCAGCACAAGATGCTGTCTGGCGGTATCTCAGCTCTCTGAAGTGAAAGTGTGAAAAGTCCAAACGTGAGGCGTGCGAAAGTGACAAACGAGCTATCGGCAGGACCGACAAGGGCGGTGACAGATGTTTCGGACCCTTTTCCGCTCCGCAAACAAAGCGTTCCGCGCGCAGCCGGAGCATCAGCAGCATGGGCGGCACCAGGAAGAAGACGCACCGACTGGACCCTGAAACGCTCAAACTCAGCATCTTCGAGCTTCCACTTCGCAAGCTTTGATGGATACGGCGATCCGGCCGCCCTTTGTCCCCACACCACAGTGCCTGAGGGTCAGCAGCGCTGCACGTCTTCCGTTCGAAGCCTCGATCCACCTTCTAGGGTAACGCTCGGGGCGCAAGAATTGGCGTCGTCTCTTCGCTTGACTTCTGACTCACACACATACAAAGCCTTGGCCGACGCTCGGACACCCTTCCTCCCTTCCTTGCCTCTCGCTACAGTCACATCGATCTTTCTCTCTATAATCACACGAGCAGCAAACAGAGGCTGCGGCTGAGTTTGCTCCTCTCCGCACTTCATCACAGTCACTTTCGAGGCGCAGCTCTCTCCCACCACCTTCTCCACCACCTTTCGTCAGCCGCTCCGCCTGTGACTTATGAAAGGCACGCAAGCACACCGCCACAGCAAGATCTCCTAGCTAGCCACTCGTTGAAGGGTCCGCTCAGCCTGACCGCGCTCGACTCAGCCCTACCCAATCCGCTTCTCACCATCGCAGTCGCTCCTTTCCTCCTCACCACTCGCACCTCCTACTCCGATCTCAACCTCTCCATCCTCTCATCTCTTTCACAACCTGCCACAGTCACCTACTCTCCGCGTATATGTACACCCCGTTCCACGCTAGCCCCATTTTCAAGACGACTCTTCGTCGCTTCATCGCCCAGCTGTGATGACCCGCACCCGCAGTCAGTCAGCTGCGGCGAAGCAGGCAACGCCTTCGTCGGCTGGGCGAGCCACGCCTAGTTCGTCGACATCGTCAAAGAGCAACGGCAAGAAAAGCCAGAACAAGTCTACATCCCCTTCAGAGTCCAAGAGCAAAGCCTCATCGCCGAGCAAGTCGCCCTCTCCGAAGTCGCAGGCTGTTGCCCGACAGTCCGCAGATGATCAAGATTCTTCCGCAAAGGCCAATGCTTTCGTCGACGTGCCCACCATCCCGCTCTTCGACTTCGATCTTCCGCTCGAGCTCGACACTCCGTACGGCTCGCGCATCTCCGCATTCAATCCCGCACCCTACGAGGCCCTGCAACACAGATTCAAGCAGTGGTTCCCAGACCTCGCGATCCAAGACGATGATGAGCATGACGGGCCTGCGCAGTCGTCATCAAGCGCAGTCGGGCAAGACAGCAACGTCGAGCGAAAGGGAGGCCAGAAGAAGTCGGCCGCCCCTGCGCAGCCGTCATCGAAAGAACAGAACAAGACTATTTCGTCGAAACGCAAGGGCAAGGCCAAGAAGCCCGATTGCATTCACCTCGAGGTCGAGTTCGTGCCTGCCACCATCTCGGACATAGACCTGCAATTGCCCCGCACTTCACAGGGCTGGTCGGGCGTCGCATCTTCGAAGCCTCACAATGCACTGGCTGTGGTCGCACTCGCCCCTCCGGACTATACACCACCCGATGAAGTCAAGGTTGAAAGCGTGCTTGCCTTCACTGAAGATCCCGCAGCACGAGACGAAAGTCCAGATTTGTCGGAAGAGCCTATGATCGACGATCCCGAGACCTTGTTGCTTGGACACATCATCCCCTCGGCCTTCAAAGATGCATGGCACCCTCTCCTCCATCTCGACCCCACTCTCTTGTCGAAGGAATGGATTCAACTGTACGGCGAGGTCACACTAGCTCCCCCCTTCCTTCCGCCCAGGCACGAGATCTTTGGTCCTGATTCTTGGGAAGCTTCGGCAAAGAAGGGCTCGACCGCGCCTGCCAAGCCTTACGATCCCCCCAGGAACCCTTGGACGGACTTCCCATATGACGTGAGCAGCAGCCGTTTCATCTCGCCGGAGGGATCCAACGTGCCCTCTACTCGTCTGCTTGGGGTGCTCAGTGTGCAGGTCGGTCTGGAGCCCGCAGCACTCCAGTACGGCGCAGGCAACGAAGACGTCGACGGCTTTGTGGGTTCGGTTCAAGATCTCAAGGACACACGCGCCGCAGGCACACTAGGCTTGGCAAGGGCCCTCCGTCGTGTCATTCCCGCCATTGTCGACTGGCAAGACGGCTTCATCGAGCTCGACGAACAGGCCCACACGTTTTGGGACCGCAACGAGTCGTTCTACGATCTACCTCCCAAGCAAAGAACGTTGGCTCGCCACCTGGTGCTCGACAAGGTCGAATCGGTCGATTTGCCCGCCTCCTCTTCCAAGTCTCCCAGCAAGAAGCGCAAAAAGTCGTCCACCGCGTCCAGGCCATCGTCAACATCGACTTCGAGGATCTCACTCTTGTCTGCTCCGACGTCGGCATTCGAAGATGAAGAGGAGCCGGAAGATCGACTCGACCTGTGCCTTTGCCCGAATTGTCGTGGCCGCCGTCGTCAGGCCGCTCGAAGAGCAGCTGAAGCTTCACGACCAGCCGAACCTCCTCGTCCGAAGGCTGATGTGCTGCCGCTCGGAGAGCAAATCACCAGTACAGACCCGAGGCTCGGCGATATCACGAGTGATAAATTCCTGCCCCTCGACGTCAACATCGCAAGCCTGCTCGAGGCGTGCCGTCCACCTCTTGGTGGGCCCGAGGTCTTTCCGCCTTCCGACATCATTCCCACGCCCTTGTTGGGCTATCAAGCTCGATGTCTAGCGTGGATGATCAAGCGCGAAACTGTGGTGGATGAAGACGTCAGCCATCTGATGCCCAACTGGTTCCCCCTGCGATGCAAGAATGCCGACCTCATCAAACATCGGCGCCTGCAGCTGGAAGCGGAACGCGAAGCACTCCTGGAGGCAATGCACCGCGGTCTGTCTCGATCACGTCGTAATGCCCTCGTCAAATCTGCTCAAGCGACTGTTCATCCCGCCATCGGCGCAGTCAAATCCGAGACTCTCGACGAAGGCCCACGCAATTCCAAGACCGCATCCGGGCAAGGGGGCGCTCGCGCAAAGAACCCGGTCAATTCGGGGAGCAACCTCAGCAGTGAACTCAAGAGGGAACCTTTCATCGATCCGTTCGACCAGGTCTTCTACTTTGACCAAGTGTCTGGCCTGCTAAGTCTCCGTCGCTTCTCTTGTCGTCCGACCGAGCCAGGAGGCGCACTCTGCGAGTCCATGGGGCTTGGCAAGACGCTCGAAAGTCTAGCTCTCATTGCAGCTCACCCGCGACCGGAAAATCCGGATCTCCTCGCGTACGATACCTCCCGCAGTGCTAGGATGATCGCAGAGATGGAGCCTTCCGAGCGTCCCTTCGTCTCTCGGGCGACACTCGTCGTCTGTCCCGCTGCATTGGTCGAACAGTGGATGGATGAGATCCGCAAGCATTTCCGCAGCCGTCTCACTCTCGATGTGGACACGTCCATGTCGGACGATGCGACCATTCTCAATCAGCAGGCAGGAGTGGTGCGCTACAAGCACAGCGACTTTGCTTGGAACGTCAGTTCATCGCGTAGCGAAGTTCGAGCCCTTGCCAAAGAGAGGCTCACCCAGCCCGACATTGTCGTCGCAACCTACGAAGAGCTGGCTTTTCAGCTTTCCGAAAGCCATCGCGTGCCAGTCAGCGACGATCAAGTCCGGACACCTCTGCTCGAGGTGCATTTCTGGCGCATCCTCTTGGACGAGGCTCAGATCGTCGCGGGAGCGTCGGGCAAGGCCACCAACATGGTTCACGAGCTTTGGCGCAGTAACTGCTGGATGGTGACTGGCACGCCCGTCACCAAAGGCATTCGCGATATCCAAGGCATTTTCGCCTTCATGGACCACGATCCGTTCGCAGCGCCGCGCTTCTTCAATGAGATCCTCCAAGAGCCCTTCACTCGCGGCTGTGTCGAAGGCATTCGCCGCCTGCGAGCAATCCTCCCCCGCTTCGTCTGGCGACATACGCAGGCTCATGTCGAGGACGAGATCGTGCTGCCTCCGTGTAAGAGTGAGGTCTTGGAGATCAACCTCAAGCACGTAGAGAGGCTCTTCTACGATAAGGAAGTGCGCAAGTTCCGCGAGAGCTTCGCCAAGCAGGCCGCACGTGGCGTCGCCAACGTTCCTCAACCGTCCTTCCTGGTCCATCTCCGACAACTGCTCAGCCACCCTCAGGTCGCCGACGAGCTCATGCTCTTCCACAACTACTCGCGTCTCTCGTTCGCCGAACTGTTCCGTCGTTTCTGCAAACAAGCCGAAGCCGAACTGAATTCGACCCGCCTACATGTCATCAACAACACCCTGCAGCTCGTTTGGGGCCACGATTTTTACCACGAAGAGAAGGACAAACGTCATTGGCGCGGAGGCCCATCGCCGCTGCAGAAGCCCGAGGACATTCGCAAGTTGCTCGAATCGACCCTGCGCATCGTCAATCTTGCCCTGGACGAAGTTCAGGTCAGACGGGCGATTGGAACCGAGCCCCCGGAGGTCGACGACGATGAATTGTACGCACGCCTCCGAGCCGATCCCGCCATCCGATTTGGCATCAACTGGGAAGAGGCCAAGTATTGGCTCCTTACTCTCTTGCAAAAGCATGCCGATCCCTCTTCGGGCGATCATCAGACTCAACCGCTCGAACCGCCAAGGCGCTGGGATCCGGAACGTCCTAATCGGTCCGTGTTTGACAAGGAGTTCAAGAACGCGGACGATAAGACAGTCGATCTGAAAGATCCCAGGTATCATCTTGTCGTACAGGATGCGGGTGCCGAGGACATGGACGAGGAAGATTACCTGGCTCAGATCGAGGCCGCCCAAATGGCCAAAGACGGCGAACCACGAAAGAAGGTCAAGATGGACCCCGCATTCGAGCCCGGCACGCTCAAGAAGTCGCGCCTTCGCGGCAAAGCATCGCAACGTCAGATCGAGCGCGTCTGGTTCTACAAGCCCAAGGAGCGTCTCGACACGACGCATGCACGACTTTTGCAGTTCCAGGCATTGCTTCCAGGCAAGGAGCACGAGCTTGCCTTCCTCCGACAGCAATTGTTCGAGGGCCAGACCGTTGAGGCCAATGCTCAAATTGGTCAGACCACCAATAGCACACCTGAAGCCTCTTCACCCGATCAAGCTGCCTTGCAGTCTTCAGGCGCAGAATGTGGCATCTGCTTCGAGCCCAAGGTCCAAATCGGCGTCCTCCCGTGCTATCACTCCTTCTGCGTCGAATGCATCGACACACTCTGCGAGAACACGCCCAGATCGCGTTACGTCATGAGCAGCTGGAACATGCCACGCTGCCCTTCATGCCGACTCAAATTCTCCCCGGATCGCGTCACACGAATTATGGAGCGAGGAAGATCGGCTTCGACCGATGGCTTTGACGAGGTGGCCGGCGACTGGAGCGGCAAGATCTCAGGTGTCATTCTGGATCTCAAGGCACGACTAGCGCAAGACCCGACACACAAAGCCGTTATCTTCTCGCACTGGCCCAAGATGCTGTCCTTCGTGCGCGATGCTATGACACAGAACGACGTGCCAGCAGTGGTCTTTGGGGGCAACGAGGCTAAGCAATCGGAAGCGCTGCGGGCCATCCGTGACGATGACGATGTCAGGGTGATCCTCGTGCCTTTCCGGGCCAGTGCAGGCGCGGCAGGCCTTACGCTTACCTCTTGTGATCTGGCGTACCTCATGGAGCCGGCTCTTGATATTGCGCTCGAGGCGCAAGCAGTGGCCAGGATACATCGCATCGGTCAGCGACGCGAGACCACGATCCTCCGCGTCAAGATGAAGGACACGATCGAGGACGCAGTTATGCGCGTGGCGGAGGAACGCTCACGCCGCGGCATGGCCCTCGCCACTCACGCTGCTCCCGGCATCGATATAGCAGGAGCTCAAAGTGCTACTGTCGAGGCAGATGTCGCCGCTGCCGGCTCATCCGCTGCTGCAGAGAGCTCGGGCGCGTCCAGCAGTCGAACGATGGAGGGCTTAGGTCAGCCGGGTGCAGCCTCTTCTTCTGTGCACGTGAAGCTCGAGCGCGAGGACACAATGCCGCTCGCACCTGCGGCTCCCAATCTACGAGAGCGTTCCATCAAAGCATCCGTAGGCGCCTCGGTCGGAGCGGGTCGTGAATCAGACAATACGAGTCTTACGATGGCGGAAGTCGGCCTCATTCTCGGTTTCGACGTCGGCGAAGAAAAGAGAAAGTCGAGCCAGCGTCGAGCATCTCTTCAACAACGCGCAGTGGGGGTATGGGGGTATGAAGACATGGAAGAAAACTGGGTTGACGAGTTGAGCGAGCGCGAGCTCGACGATCTCGAGGAGGAATTGGCCATGGAAGAGGAAGAAATGGCCGCCGACTTGGGCATGGGTGACGACGACCTTGACGTCGGCGACGACGACGACAACGAAGTTCTCCCGATGACGAGGGAGATGGCAGAGGATATGGAGATACTGAACGACGACGGCAGCATCGACTGGGAAGCACTGCAGTACGCTCCTCGATCCATTGTGGAGATGGCAGAGGCTTACGAGCTAGAGCGAGAACGACAAAGCCGCTGAAGGCTTTTATTCCGCTCCCATTCTGATGCACGGTCGTCGTCCCCTCATTAGGATCACCACAACGCCGACGACCTCGTCGACCCTTGTATCCCGGCCCCCGCTCACCTGTGTCCAACAAATTGCGTTCCAGCTCCATCTACTCGGTGTGACACGAGACTCTGAACTCGGCCTGCGATCATGGTTGTAAGTCAGATGGCTTGATTGATGTATGAGTACATGTATGCCCGATGCTGAAGTGACGTTAATATCTGGCGAAAGTGCATGCTCATGCACTTGGAGCTGCTGTTGTGGCTGAGGGAGTTGACTCGGGCACGGACTGACTCTGTGTGATTGGCGCAGCTGTCTTGCTTGGCTCTGGCTGCTGCTGCTGTTCTACTTCCTCGGCAGCCCCGTCCAACTCGGCCTGCTCGTGGAAGACGGCACCGCCCAGCTTCTCCTCGAGCCACTCGACCGCGCCCAGGTCGCAAATGACCTTCTGACGACGGAGCACCTCGTAAGCGTGCAGCTCGCCGGGCTTCTTCTTATCTTCGCTGGTCTTTGCAATGTTGTCCCTATACTCCTCCGTCAACGAGTCGAGCTCGATCAGCTCCACGCGCGGCAGGTTGTTGGAAGCGAGGACAAAGTTGCGAATCGCCTGCTGGTGGTCGAGTCTCTGCTGTTCGTCGTAGACCGGGTCGGCAGATGACGGTCTGTCGTCCTTGATCAACGACCTGATCGAGGGCTGTGGGTCCCTTGGTGCAGTCAAGAACAGTGCATCGGACCACCCTTTGGATCCCAACAACCTCGACAGCGGACCAGTCGAGCTGGGCGGTGCCATCCAATCGAATCTCTCCACCACGCACAAATCACCCTGCCTCCACTTTGAGCTCAGAGCTGACCGCAAGGCCAGCTCTCGCACACGTCGGGGGAGCTTTGTCGAATGGTCCCTGGGTCGTGGTCCATGCGCCACGGCACCACCGCGCAAGATGGGGTTCGACATGGTACCCAATCGCGCCTGACCGGATCCCTTTTGTGGGCGAAGCTTTCGCATGGAACCACGCACATCGGATCGACCCTTGGTGGATGCCGTGCCGGAACGTTGCGCGTCGAGATAGTAGACGACTGCCGAGTGGATCACGTCTCGTCGTGCGGGCGCGTCGAATACGTGTGTCGACAGGGGCACGTATGATTTTGCGGGTGAGGGTGGGCGAAGGGTGGAGAGTTTGACGTGCACGAGGTCGGGCTTGTTAGGCATGGCGATGAGGTCACCCTCGGAGATGGGCGGGATGGTGTATGTCTCGCCGTCAAAGTCAAATTCCGTTGCGTGCAGGTCGTCTGCTGGTGAGGCGGCGGATGGTGTTGGCGGCAGGATGGTGGATGAAGACGAGGAGGCTGCCGATGTAGAGGCGTTGTAGCACGATGCTGACGTGTGCAGCGAAGACGAGGCGTAGCGATGGACGATGGGCGCAACTCGTGCTGCGCTGATGGTCTGCAGTGCTGATCGCAGCGATGCGAGCGAGGCGAGCGCCCTCTTCGATGGAAGAGCGGCCATATTTGCTCCGATTGATGGGCTGAAGATGTCGAACGGTGGTGATGGTGTAGGTGGTCGAGATAGCTAGCCTCGGCAGTCGACGAGCTCGATGCTGATTTCTTCCGAGGCGACTCAAAAATTGCTTCGGGAGCCGCGTGATCAGCTCCGTGCTTTATCGGGAGCGATGTGCGTGTAAGACCGTATCGGCGATGGATATTATGGAAATGTTAGACACCTGTGGCACACATCTTGTCTGGGCGACTATTAGCACGTGACCTCGGCCGAAGCCTCTTCTGCTCTCGCAAACACAGAAATAGCGCCTGGAGGTCGCAAGCGATGAAATTCAAGGCAACAGACGCGCAGTTCGACCTGCGATCGGTTCAGAGCTGCTTGGAAGCCTCAAAGCGACGGGCAACCTCAAGGTCGACTCTCCAGTTGTGACCCGCAGCGAGCGAGTGAAGCGTGTGAGCCGTGGACACCGTTTCGAGGTTTGTGTGGTCGTCGCCATCGATTGATACCTTCTTCTTCCACCTCTCCGCATCATCAAGAAGGTAGGTAATCTCGGTCGCTAGCTCATAGCAAATTGCAGGATCCCACTACACGGAATACAGACGCTGACTATCTGTACATCGGCTTGCTGCTCTTCCCTCACACGCACACCTCAACCTACAATTTCAACATTCTTCACATCTCGCACCGACATCCTCACTCGACACACACTATTCTTGCATCGCACCTCTTTCTTTCGTCCACCTCTGCACCACCTGTCCGCATACGAATTCGTCACTCGTCCTTCTCGTGACTCGTCCAACTATCCTACCTACAATCAACCATCTGCACAATCGCACACGCACCTTCAACCACCACTTCCGACACACAGTCATCATGTCCGCTCCTTCCGTATCGTGCTTCGGCAAGAAGAAGACGGCCACCGCCGTCGCCCACTGCAAGGAGGGCAAGGGTCTCATCCGCCTCAACGGCCAGCCCATCTCGCTCGTCCAGCCCGAGATCCTCCGATGGAAGGTCTTCGAGCCCGTCCTCGTTGTTGGTGAGGACAAGTTCTCGTGAGTATCCCGCACCGACATATACCGACATTGCAGTACAAAGGCAAGGAGAGAGAGAGAGAAGAAACAGCATCGCATCGATAATCGGACACAGGGATAGCAGAAAGACAAAGGAGACAAGATGGAGATCGATATCACACGTCGGGATCGCAGTCAAAGGCAGCAGACATTCGCGACGCCGGGATCAACGGTTGTAACATTGGAAGGGTGTCGCTGGTATTTCGTGCACTCGACAATACGCTCGGACGCATCAGTCAGGATCGTCTTACTGCAGGCATGGAAGCGGTGCCATGCTTCTTGTCTCGAAGCTCAGGTGCGCTCACACGGCACAGTCGGTCGTTGATTGTTCGGGTGTCAGTGGCGGGCGAAGTCGTAGGCTCGTGTCGCCGGAACAGCGTTGCGCACTTGCCCCGGAGATCGTTTGCACTAATCTTGGTCGAGAACGCACGGATGGAGGTCGACTTCATGGGGTCAGAAGATCAACCAGATGGGACCGCGTGGACGACGGCCGCTGAAGGATACTGCTCCGGATTCTCCTTGCTGCGCGAAACCGTGCATGAATCGTTCAACAAGTAACAGTCGACTGACTATCCTTCCTCTCTTGTTATCCTCATGCAACAGCACCGTCGACATCCGCCTCCGTGTTTCGGGTGGTGGTGCCACTTCGCAGATCTACGCCATCCGTCAGGCTATTGCCAAGTCGCTGGTCGCCTACTATGCCAAGTACTACGACGCCGCTTCGGCTCTTGAGCTCCGCCAGCTGTTCGTTGCCTACGACCGCACCCTTTTGATCGCCGACACCCGACGATCGGAGCCCAAGAAGTTCGGTGGTCACGGTGCCCGTGCTCGTCGCCAGAAATCGTACCGTTAAATACGTTCACACTGCGGCTCTTTTGGCTCCTCTGTGGGTCATGGAGTTGCTTCTGTTTCGTGTTCTCGGTCCGGTCTCGCATCTGTTCTCATCTCGGATAGCATAGTTTGGTGGTTCAGCTGTGCCTTTCGATTCTGCATCTCGAATGCGTCTCCCACCTCAAAACAGTCACATACATATCTGCATCGCACTCGACGATCGTGTGCTCCAACCATGCAATCCCACCTTGTACATCAATCAGAGTACTTTCTCATCCTACAATCCTCAAAATGGAGATTTGGCATTCACGAAATGAACCAGACTCTTGTTGCAACCAAAGTTTCTGCCTGTGTTGATGTCGGATTGGTTGAGAGTTGGCCATGCTACGACTGTGCATGTCTGAATCTGGAACGAGCTGTCTGGACGGGTGTCGACGACGTTGAGACCCTCATAGGCAGTTCAGCCCAAGGCCTAACACCTTGACTCTTTGAAAATGTTCCACGATGCACGGCTGTCACGACCAGCAGAGCAGCGCCTCGGGCAGACCCTTATTGGACGTCATTTGCTGATCGACATTGGCGAAATGCAAGAGAAACTCGACGCAGCGGTCAAGCTGGAGCCGAGCTGATCTATGGATCTCATTGGTATCGTTCTGGCCTGCTAGACACCCTGCCGTCGGCCAATCTAGAAAGGATGAAGGTCTTGCTAGCATCCTGTGTTGGCTCGAATGCAATGATTCGTCTCAGCCCATGGTTTGCAAGGTGAGACTCTGTCTTTGACGTTTGCCGTCCAAACAAGCGGATCCATTTGCTCATCGTGGTTGGATGCGGTCAGTGAGAAAAGTCGCCAAAAAAGACCCGAATTTAATTTGATTATTTTGATTCTCCGCCGTGACCGCGACCATCTGCCCTGAGATCCAACGCGGATGGGCAAGGGAGAAAGCGAGCGGGCGAGCGAGTGACAGCCAGCGCGTGAGTGTGACGATGTGACGAGATGTGAAACAGCGCTGTGGATCTTCAGGTGTGGAACCCTCACTGAGACCCAAATGCAATTGATGCAGCTCACCGACAAAAGGGAGAAACAGACGCCGCTCTGTCAATCCATTCAAGCTGCATCCACTCGACGCTCGTCACTTGACCAGCTCTTGTCATCGTCAAGCGTGCTTGCTCCCTGTCACCCTTAACCACCATCGCTTCAGCGTTCATCTGTGGACGTCAATTGACCGACACCACAGCACATCAGCCAGCAGCTTGCTCTCAGTATTCCACGATCTCCGGTAGACGGGCCACCGCTGCTTCACTCCACGCCTCCACCCGTATACCCGTCGTTCGCACGAGCACACGCGTCATAGCCTCCTCTGGCGTAAATACCAACTCGTGCGCCTCAACTTCATCTCACCCACTAGACTTTTCGGACGACAGCGCCGAAGTCTGATCTGTCGCACTCGATACGCACGGCCTCAATTGAGACTTTCACCTCGGTCTCTGCCAAGCACGCTCATTCGGACACTCTTCGGGTCATGCTGCAATCGCGCACAGTCCCGTCTGCAACTTCAACATAGTCTCGACAGCACCGTCTGCTCATCAAAAATAGAGGCATCTTCTCGCGGGGGCAGCTCTTCATCTCGCTCAGCACGCTCGGAAGGCGTTGCGAACCGAACAAACAATGGCGGCTTTCCACACAGCATCGTCCCCGAATACAGGCGACGGAGACCTGGGCTTATTCGCGATTGAATCGCGACCGTCGTCCACCTCATACGATGACACTGGTATCCCGCGGCGACCTTCGCAGGCTGAGTTGATGGAAGTGCCCTCTTACCCGGGTCCCGTTGCCTCGGCGGCTTCCGTCCTGAATCGTCCAGACTCAAGAACAGGCTCGGATGGACCGACTCTCACAAGCAACGGCACAGCCGACGTCTCTTCGATTCATTACAACATCGGCGCTTCCGCGCAGACACCCGTCAGCACGGGCTTATCGAAATCGATACCAGCGCCGCCGTCCAAAGAACAGACCACTTCATCTCGCTTGGCTGCCATGTCATTGCAGGATGAGTCTGCTCGCAACGACGTGCCCGCCTCCCGAGGCGCGTCATCCTCCATCTCTTCTTCATCTGCGGCCTCATCCTCCGCTTCCAGCAATCTTGTTCCTAGCGCCGCCCTCATCTCTTCTTCAAGCTCCAATTATACCTCGGCGGCCGAGAGTCCCGCCTCTGAAACCGCTTCACGAAAGCTTCCGTCTCCTGTGACCGCTCCTGCGCAAGCCTCATTGCCCTCGTCTACGCCTCCGCCAGTGCCACCCAAATCCAGACCGACACCATCCGTTTCCCAGCAGAGCTTCGCATCCACCACCACCATCACTCATGCAAAGTGGTCATCTCCACGCCTCGCAACGTCCGGTGTTACTGAAAAGCAAGCAATAAGCGTAGAGCAGGAGCTGGAGCAGCAGCTCGCAGCCGATCTCGATCCTTCACCCACCGCTTCCACAACAGCCATCGACGCAGAGGCCATCTCTCGTCGCTCTTCTCGCCGCAGTCGCCGATCCGGGCTTCCACCTCTGCAGGATCGCTTGCCGGTCGGTGGAGGCGGACCCAGTGCACCTCCACGAGCCACTTCTTTCCGTGACGCATCCAAACGTACCTCGGTCGGCAACGGCTACGGTGATCTCGGTGCAGAAGCGCTCAGTGTATCAGGCACGAGTCCCTCATCGCCTTCTCTGACGAGCTTCCTCGATCTGGACTCGCCAAGAACGTCAGAGTCCAGCAACACAAACAGACGGCCTCTGCCCAGCAGGAGAACCTCTCTGCAAGCCCCGTCTCCGAGGACCCCTACCTTTTCCGCCGATCACTCTCACTCTCCTCTCGACGGTCAGGCGAGTGGCTCAACCACGGCAGCACGACCAGCATCAGGCAGGACGAGTTCTCACACAAAGTCACCGCCCACATCTCGACCTGCATCGCGGGGACCTTCGTCAGGCGGCAAAGCAGCTCTCGCTGGTCTTTACCCAACAAAGGCAGCCGCAACACCCAAGCTCGCCCCGCCGAAGCAACTCAACTCACTCAATCTCGACCGCGAAAGCATGCAGCGCTGGGTGCTCTCGGTGGGCTGCGTCAACTTTGACCTCGAGCTTGGTCCGGACTTAGAGTTCCTATACCCTCCTCTCGGCATCAGCCGCGAGGAACGCGACAACATCGCTTTCTCCTCTTTCCCGGACACCTCGATCTTCGACGACGGCTCCCTCGTCTTCTCTTGGCGAGTGCGCGAAGTGCCGCTCAATTCGTCTGTTTCCGAGCCGCCGACCATCAAGACGCTCAACGATGCGCTGCAACAGCCGTCGACTTTAGGTGATGACGAGACCCCTAGACCCTCGCTGAACAAGACAGCTTTGCAGAATGCCATGCTCAAGAAGGGAGCCCCTGATGCTGGTCAAAGTCTGTCCTCGTCCACGGCTCCGCCCGTGCCGCCCAAATCAGCTTTCAGGGACGCCTCTGCTCCGTCGTCGGGTCCTTCCCAGTCTTTGTCCAGGCCGACATCCAACGTGAATCTGCGCAATGGTGGGATCGATGTCACACCGGCAAGTGCGCCTCCCACGACGTCGTTCCACGAGAGGCTTACGCAGAAGCTCTTTTCATCTTCCGGCTCGTCCGCGATGTCGAGGCATATGTCGCACGACCGACACAGCAGCGCGCACTCCACGAGCTCGGCTTCGGCCGATGATGACGGCGATACCACCGTTCCGGCTGCCTCGGTGGACTCGAGCGCAACGTCCACCGGCAGCACCATCCCAGCGAGCACGAACCAGTCTGTGCCCACTAGCGATCTCATCAACTCGAAACGCGCAGCGGGCAACAGCACGAGCAGCAGCTACATCTATGGCTACGTCTTCTTCCGACAAAAGCCGGACGCGACCAACCGACGTGGCTACTTCCAAAAGTCGGTCGTCATCCTGTCGCACCTGCCGCTGGTTGGACTTTTCAGCGAAGTGGTTGCTAGACTGGGCCCGCTCTATTTCGAGCACGGCATGTCGATGTTCGAGGCCTTTGCGAACGACATCATGTCCTGGCCGGCGCCGCACCCGGGCACCATCCTCACACTGCCGTTGCTAGGCAGCATCATCACGGCAGCCATCCCGTTCGGACAGCAACCGCAAAACTCGCCCAGCGCCGAGTCAGCGCCGATGCAAGCCACCCTGTCAGCGCCCGGCTCCACCTCATCAGGTGGCTTCATGAACGCCGCCACGGCAACCATCCGCTCGCGCTCGCGCCAGCCCAGTGCCAACGGCACCCTCGCGCCGCACATCTCCGAACCCTCGCCCGAAGGCCCGCTCCTCGCCTCCATCCCCACCACCTCGCTCTTCCACACCTTCCAACAAGCCCTCTCCGACCTCTGGCTCCTGTGGGAATGCGTGCTGCTTGCCGAACCCATCCTGGTCATCGCTCCGGAACCCAAGATCGCGTCTGAAGCAGTTTGGCACATGCTGGACCTCATCCGGCCAATCCCGTACGCCGGTGACTTTAGACCGTATTTCCACATCCACGACTACGACTTTCGCACGCTGGTGACGAAGAACAAGCCGCAGGCGGGGACACTCATCGCGTCGACGAATCCATTCTTCGCGACTGCGTGCGGGCACTGGCCCCACGTGTTGCGAGTGGGCAAGGCGGCGGTGAAGCTGATCCAGATCAAGCATGGTGCAGGTGGCAGTGGGAGTGGGTTTGCAGGTGCGCCTTCTGGCAAGAAGCCCAACTCGGGAATTGGTGGCGGCCAAGGCGCAGGTGGTGGTGGACCGGATCACATTCCTGGCTTCACAACAAAACGCAAACGACGCATCTCCAAGGACCGCGCCTTGCTCAAGCGGTTGCAGGACCTTGCCAAGTCGGGTTCAGAAGCTGACATTCTCGCAGCAAACGTCGCCATGCGACGCTACTTTGCCGATCTCACCGAGCGTTTTCTCGCCCCGCTCAATCGGTACGTGGCCTCCCTCGTGCCTGCATCATTCGACTTAAGTTCGCCTAGCGAGGTGCCGCGCATTCGACCTTTCAACACCACCGACTTCCTCGCGTCGCTCAAAGCACACGGAACACCGTTGGCCATTCGATCACGCTCCCTGCCGACGGGTGCGAGCGTGAGGCAGAGTCTGTATTTGGACTTTTTGCGGTGTCCCAACTTCTCCCTGTGGCTGCACTCGCGTGTGGCCGCGGCGGAGGAGGAGCAGCGCAGGCGATACATTGCTTCGCTGCTGCAGGGCGACGTGACCACCTTCGGCCATACAAAGGGCGAAATTGAGACGATCGACCTGTACGGTCGGCTGGTGGAGGAGATTCGGAGTGTGGATGTGCAGCTCACTGCTCCTACTGCGCCGGGACCGGGGAGTCGGTGGAGAACAGATCAGATCGCGGTGAAGAAGGAGAACGAGTCGGGGAGGAATACTCCGACTATGGGGTCAACGGCGGACGCTGCGACGACGGAAAAGAGACTGAGGGAGCAGAAGAAGAGGCTGATGGAGCAGTTGGAGAGGTTGTGCATGACGTTGCCGGACGATCTGCAGAGCTCGTTGAGACGGCCTAAGTAGACTGCAAGAACCGTGCAATCTCAGACGACTGCGACGCCTCAGCAAGACACACACACAGACCGTGAGACGGGGATGAAAGGGGATTTGATTTGTGACAAGCCTGCTCGACACGGTGCGTGCGAGCGACAAGTTGACGCGTGGGATGATGAGGGAGCTTGAAATGGCATGCGATCAGGCGATGACGAGGGGTGTTCGAGCGACATGAGGTGAGGGTGTGATGCTTCGCCTGAGGGCGACGAGCGGGTTTGCGAGGGGGATGGTCGTGGCTTAAAGTACAAGGGAAGGAGCGGCCGTGCTCGATCTAAAGGCAGGAAGTCTTGAGGGATGCCCGGAGCAGACAGTGTGGTGGTGGACCATGCTTGTGGCAGATTGTGCCGTGCGATGAACGAGCGAGAGTGCTTGCCTTGCGAGCGATGCGAAGGAGCGGCAGGCCTGAGCTAGGGCGTAAGTTCGGGATGACGAGGCAGGAATGGACGGAGTGGACGCGCGCCTGCAGTAATGGGGTATTGAGATGGGTTCGGCCAGCGCTAGAGACGGTATGTGCAGAGGTGCAGAGGTGACCGGCGAGGAAGCGAATGATGTGGATCGAGGCCGGGGATGCGCGTTTGCGAGGGCAGATGCAACGAGTGTCGTTTCGACAAGGTTTTAGTCAAGGCAAGAATGGAAAGATTGTTGCTGACGGCTTCTATCCATGCGGAGTGGTGGACGACGATTTGCAAACGACGGTGCATGGTGCGTGGTCGGAACACAAAAGATTGTGTGTGGTCTATCGTAGCGATGCGATGAATGGCGATGCAGACCGAGTAGGCGCACATCGAGCCCCGAGAAGTACCTTGAGTTGCGGTACCTTCTCGCCCTCCCTCCCTCCCCTCTTTGCAGTGGCTGGATGTAGCAGTTGCATGATCAAGGCTGCTAAATCGAGCCAGTTGCTGGCGGAGGATCGCCTGTGTGAAATGTTTGTTCAATGAGTGTGGTTGATCCGGACATGCGCGAAGCTGCCGCCGAGGCAGATCGAAACCTATGGTACGAGATTTAGATCTGCTGCATAGCCTCAGCGTCGTTGTCCTCGATAGTGATAGGAGCAGAAGGGTCGCTGCCATCCATGACGCCAAGGGTGAGAGACATCTGCTTGGGCTCGGCGCGCTGTTGGCGCGCGCTTATGTTGCTGACCTGGCTAACGACTGAGCCGGCGCGCGATCGCTCGCGCTGCTTGCCCTGGCGAATGGCGCTGTTGTCGGCACGGACGGTGGCATCGTCGTCCTCGATCTCGATTGGAGTGTCGACATTGGAGAACGACTTTCGGAGAGCGGCAGGTGGTGCCATGGGCCCAAACGCAGAGCCCGGAGTGCCGGCCCGACTGACCGTACGTGAACCGGTGTGCCTGGACAGCCATCCAGTCACGAAAGTACCCTTAGGGATCACGTTCGCTTCGTCTTCATCGAGATTCATCAGGGACTGGGCTCGCACAGTAGATGTCTGGCTGGTCGCCGACCCCGCATAGCCGTTCATGACGCTCTTTAAACGCTTGATCGCCTTTGGCGGGTTCTGCAGTAGATCTGCGAAGTTGCCGGGCTTGCAAGTCGCCACAAGCGCTGGCGTGGTGCTTCGGTTGCTGCGGGCCACGGAGGTATCACGGCTCCTAGCCGGCCCGACTCCGCCTGCAACTGAGCCAGCACCTCTGGCGAGCTCTCCGGGAGCTGGACTGAGACGTTCTCGGGTGAAGAGGTGGGGTGGCACTTCCGAAGGTGCTCGCGAAGTCGCCCGCGACCTATTGATCCCCAGGAAGACAGGTTCCGACTCCCTCTCCACCGTGCGGCTTCTGCTGCGTGCTCGATCGCTGCCGATGCGCGATCCCCCGCCTCGAATGGCTCTGAAATCATCGATCTGCATGCCGTAAGCGCTCCGAACCAGATTTGCTGCCTCGCGCTTGAGCTTGAGCGCATTCTTCGTCCTCTCTTGCTCCGTGCTGTTGAGCGTCTTGAGCCGAATGTAGTTTTGCGTGGCCGTCTCCAAAGTGCGATCCGCTGTGTCTAGTTGTTCTCCAAGCTTATGCATCTTCTCCTTGTCAGGGCGCTTGTCATCTTCGATCAGTTTGGTCAAGTATTCGCCGATCTCTCTCTTTCGCTCGGGTGGGATTCTGCACAGTACTGCATCTGAGATCGTGGATGCCATCGATGAAGATCGAACGGAAGCGGCAACCGAGGCGGGAATTCGGCGCGCTACAGTTCGTCGGCGAGCAACTTGACTGCTAGTCACGCTGGCACTCGCGCGAAGTGAGCCTCGACGGCCGGACTGAATCATCGATCCGGCCACGGAGCCGTTGCATGCAAACTGGTTTGCGTGCAGCTGGGCCAGTGGCACATCAGAGTCCGTCGAAGGTGGAACGACTATCTGTCCAGTCGAGCTGTTCCCTGCGTTGTCGTTGAGCGGAACCGCGTCAGTCATTCCGGTGGCTTGACCGTTGAGGTCGCGATCGTCGTTGTCGGGAGCGGAAGGTACGCCGGTCTGTGTGCCCGAAGCTTGGCTGGCTGCCATGTTCGCGGATCCACCGGATGGATTGAGGTCGGCGCAGACGTCGTTGGCGACACTGGGACCCTGAGGCAGACTGACTCGCTCTCCATCTTCCATGTCGACATCCATCGCAGGATCGGTAGCGGGCTTCGTGTGACTGCCGGACGGCTGACCAGAGCCAGCAGGCAGCAGAAGGGGCCCATTGGACGACAACGAAGTTCCTGCCTCTGCGCTTGCCATGTTGACATCCGAGCCCTGGACGTAGCTCACGCCGGTTATGCCTGCATTCTGTGGAGCTGCATCCGTCTGCATAGCTTGATCCTTGGCGCTAACATCGCCACGCTGCTGAGAATCTGCTCCACAACCCAAGTCGTCTGCAGCCTCCTGGAGTATGTCGGACATTTCGACGATGAATCGAGCCACCTGAGCGGCCCCATCCACCGACTGAGTCTCTGATCCGTTGGCTTCTGCGGCACCCTGCGATTGGAGAGGAGGCTGGAGACCGAACGAGGATCCAACTGCGGAAGTGTCCATGGTCGACGCTTGGTCTCGGCTGATGCTCTGTGCAGACATCTGGGACGACGGAGGGAGCACAGCCGAAGCCAGACCGGGAGAGGTGCTCGGGAGTATGGGTGCCATGGCCGAAGCCGCGGCTCCACGGATCCTTTGCCAGGATAGGTAGGGCAAGGCAGGAGACGGTTGGCTGGGCTGAGGAACGTTCGCATGCTGAGCGGTCACGTCGGCCTCTGCTGGCGAAGAAGCCGAGGGCGTGGGAGCTTGTTCTGTCGATTGACTGCCGGCCGGAGGAGATCCAATCAGAGTCTTGAAAGCATGTGGCGGCATCGGAAGCTCGCTCAAGGCGGGCGAGGTCGTCTGCGAGATAGAGGCAGAAGCGGGGACCCGGGTAGCGCCATCATTCTTCTGAGATCGAGTGGCACCGACCTCTACAACAGTAGGATTGGCACTGGTGCCTCCGATGTGCGCCTCGATGTGCTTGCAGAGCTCGAATTCGTCCTCGGAGCCAGGAACGACGACACGTGGATGAAGTGATGGCACGTAGCCCACCTGGTCGACGCGTACACCAGGGAACGCAGCGACAAAGTTGGACTGACGTTGATGTACATACGTGGCCTTGATCGTTTGCGTTTTGCCGGGTCGTTCGACTGATCAAGGAGAACAACAAGAAAGTCAGGGATTGGTCAGCTTCACATGAACATTTCGAGTCCGTGACGAGGAGTTGACTTGCCGCTTACCTTCAACGCAGATGTCGTATTTCATGTACGCGGCAGTGGAACCAGTGTCGATCCAGAGGGACTTCTTGTTGGCAGGAAATGCGAAAGGTCCAGCTTCGTGTAGGACCACAGATTCCTGTCCAGGGACGTTCTGGAGAATCTTGACCGAAACCCTGTCGTCTTCTTTCGTCCCGCTAGTGCCGAGGACGGTGTCCGATCGCCAGATGCGGGCCAGGAAGGTCGCCTGATCACACGTGTGATGGGCGTTGAGAGTTACGAGCTCCTTGTGGTCCGCACCGTCGCTGTAGCTCGAGGAAGCGTTGCTGTTGACAGAAGTAGCATACGGGTACGCGTACCTCTCCATGCTTTGGTCCGTTTCGTTGAGTAGGAAGGCAGCGACCATGGCCTTGGCGTCCGGGCGCGTTCGCCGTCCAGCATGGTGGAAGGCGCCAAAGGTCTGAGCTGCCTGCGGAGGTGTGCCGAGCTGCTCGTGAATGAAGTGAAGGTCGATACCAATGCCGTCGAAGAACATGATGGAAGCTGATGACTGGACAGTGACTTTTTTATGGGGTTTTGTATAGAGTATCTAGGACGAAACAGGCCGAGTCAGTCGAATCGCAGGAACAGGAGCTTGAAGCGCGGAGACGGAGGCAGAGATGCCGGCAAAGATGAACGAGAAAGACGTAGGAGATTGGGCCGTGAAGAGTCTTGAGAAGGTTTGATGGATGAGCAGGAGTTCGGAGGCGCGAAAGGGATGGTGATGTGTGAAGACGGTTGTGGCTATCTTTGAGACGATGTGAGTGTGGTGTGTGTATTGAGGTGTATGTGCGTGAGATGTGTCTTGAGGTGTGCGTGCGTGGAGTGTGTGCTCCAGTCGTGGTGTTGAGTGTGTCAGGAAAGTCGGGTGAGGGGCGGAAAGGGGGAGGAGACGATCAAGGGGCCTGCTTATATGCTTTCCAGGCCGGGCTGAGTCGAGCTCGATCTTTCCAACGTGTACGCTATACGGAGATCCCGCATCGTGCTGAGAGGCTACCCGCACTCACTGCTGAAGTGCCTGAGAACGCTGTGTGAGGTGCGGAACACATGTGTGCTGCGGCAGCTACGATGCTCCGCATCGATCCGGCGATGTGATTGTTCAGAGAGATGAACTAGGGCGTGTGATAGCTCGGAGAGAGACAGACTGAGCCGTGTGAAGACGAACAGGTAGTGTGAGGTGGTGCGGAACAACTTTGTGTAAGGTGCGGGAGACCTTCCGACACCATGCGCTGCGGCAGCTGCAGCCATCGAAAGAAGCTGTGTGATGGTTCGGTGATGTGTGATGATACAGAAGCCAAATTAGGGTTTCGGGCTGAGATGAAACGAGATCTGTTGTTTGGTTCGACGCGGACGATCGCGCATCGGTCTGACGTGTGCGGTTATGAAGGAATAGAGTTAGAGTTCCGGGCTGATTGAAGCTGCTGGTGATCATCGCGCTGATGCGTTACTGTACAACGCTCCGCTCCACCACGGAGTTGGTCAAATTCTCGCGTAAAAGCTGTGTGAAGACGTAGGATTAGAGTTAGCGTTTCGTGCTCGGCCGGAGCTGAAGCTCTGAGTCGTTTCCTTGGAAAGAGAACAACGCTCCGCTTCGCCACGGACTTCATTTGAGCGGAGCTGAAAGCGTGTTCCTACAGCTATCGCTCTAGCTCAGCTTCACGGCTCGAGCAAGTCGCCTTCGCTGCATTCGGAGCCAAATAAGGTTTGCCTCCAGATGAAAGATCCGACGTTGAGCTAAAGCTTCGCGATCGGAAGATAGAGGGTAGATCGACGTGTGAGCGTTCTGATTGGAGTGTAGTGTACAGGTGATGGTGCGGAACGTGTTGATGTGATGTGTGATGCTGAGTCGAGATATGCAGGTAGAAAGCTTTGTGGCAAGAGCTGCAAATGAGGGTGCTAGAGACGAAGCTTGACTAGCTCTTCCGTCGGCTGCCCGTATCGTGAACGTGATCGTAGCGAGTGTGATCATGCCGAAGCTAAACCTTGATCCCTACAGACCATCGCGTGTGATGCGATGATGAGCGTATGTGATGTTCAGCGTGTGAGATCGTCGGAGTGTGTGATACACCAAAAGTAGTGTGATGGTCCAAAAGCGTCACTCCTCGCGATCTAGAAGGGCCGTCTACGTCAAATCGATCCGAGATGCATCAAAGGCTTGGCCCGAGCAGCCTCCGCAACGTCCTGTTGATCCTGCCTCTTGGACTCAGCGCTGTTCCGCCGAGGTTGTTGAGTCTATCCCTAGCCATGCCGGAGTTCAAATGGCTCTTTCCTGCGAGACCACGCTTGAATGTGAGCTGATACGCCTTGCCGCTACCGCCTCCGAGTGGTGACCAGCGCTTCTTGGTGCCCGAATGCGATTTGGGCTTGCCGCCGCTGCCGTGTTGTGCGAGGTGTTTTGTCCGCGGACTCGATGCTGCGATGCTTGATGATGAGAAGGGGCGGGCTGCAGGCAGAGTCTGGAGTGGAGACGCGAGCTTGGAGGATGATGCTGCAGAGGGGCTTCGGAGTGCGCTGAAGGCCGGCGCAGCGACGCTCGCCAGGAGTCGTGATGTTGACGCGAAGATCATGATGACACTATGAAGTGATTCAGGAGAGCCTTGAAGGAAGAATGTCCGGTGTGGTCGACCTCTGTGATGAAAGCAAGATGGTGTTGGACGGTGACTTCGTAAAGTGTTGAAGCTTCCCACTTTTCTTCCAGCCTGCTGAGCACGTGATTGGAACGAGTGGTCTAACACCGATCAAATATTCGAAGCCTCCACCTTCACCAACCACCACCATCACTTGCGGATCCTTACCCATGCCTTGACCTCGAACGGCTTCATACGAGTAGCAAGTGCACGATCGACGGCGGCACAGCTGCGATGCCAAGTAAGTAGGTCTTCGTCTCCGCACAGATCTGACCACTTGCTAATGAGCTTCGTTGCATCGCCGCTCTGCATCCCCACAGACATTCGACATCAGAACGCGGCCGACTGCGACTCGGACCATCCAGAGAGCACGCCGGACTACGTGCTCGCGGGCGACCAGGCAGACTATTCTAACCAGAAGAAGCGATCCGTCCGAGCAGACGCTCACGAGTCCGCCAAGACGTATCTCAAGCCGTCACCCCATACCCCGAGGGCTCGGACTACGACGAGGACTTCCCGCCCAAGGCGGGCCCGCACAGCAAGCCCTTCTTCGAGACCTCCGACACCCCGGCGTTATCACCACGTTCCAACGTCCCGCCCAGCAACAAGATCCGCGGCACGGAGAAGCAGATGAAGGACTTCTTCGCAGACCGCGTCTTGCGTGAGGTGGGTGATCCCGAGCTGTTCCGGGACATGTCTGTCTTGTTCCCTCCGCCACAACCGGCGGTTGCGTATTCGGCGGTGGATTGGGAGCCAAGGCCGTTCTGGGGTCTCGAACCAGAAGACATGATGTTCTTCGATCCAGAATATAAGGAGAGACTACAGCTTCCAGAAACGGTGCATCAGACCGTAGAAAGGTTCCACCATCTCAAGCGAAAGGGAACGCATTTCAACCAGTCGCTCATGGAGAATCGGTCGTTCAATAATCCACACGTCTACTCACAGCTCGTCGAGTTCCTGGGGATCGACGAGACACGGTCGAACTTTACAAGCCTAGATACGGGAAGAAAGGCGGGGAGCTGGAGGGCAAAGTTCCCATTCAGCGAGGAGGATCTGATTAGAGGAGACCCAATAGCGGCAGAGCAGAGGCAGGATCGGGAGGCGAGCGACAAGAAGGCAGCAGCCGACCGCGCACGGCGACACAGGACCAGCATCGACTTTCAAAAGGGGCGGCATGACGATGGCTCCAAGAGTGCTGGCAAGCGGCGGTCGTCGAATAGTCACAGCGGATCGCAGAAGCGGTTGCGGTGATCGCAGTCGTTCGCACACTTTTTCACATCATCATGTCCATCACCGCTATATACCCATGCACACAACGCAACGATTCACCAAAAGAAATAGCGCCGTATGACCGTGTATTGGCCTGAAGAGTGCTACAACAACACGAAACATGCTCTTTCTACGCACTCGCTACAGCAGCAGGGGGCACTGGCGGAGCAGCGCTGTTCTTCCAACCCGACCGCAATCCAGCCATGGCCGCGATGGTACCAAACAGTCCCACCCAGCCATCCGAGATCAACCCCTTCGTACAAGACCAGTGGATGGTGAGCGGCAGATAGCCCAGGTTGACCCAGAGCTCGTTGAGGATGGCGGCTTTCCTGTCGTCCAACTCGTCCCACATCCTGCGCGTGATGACCTGTTCCTGCGACGCAGAGCCGGACTTTTCGGAGGCTGCTGGCGTGTTTGCGCCCGAGGAGGGGAGGTAGCCGTTGGTGTTGATCTGGATCTTGTTGGGTGTAGGGTGACCGCGGGAGCGCTCGAGTGCCTTTGCGCGCAGTCGAAGAAGTCGGTTGTCCTCGACGAGGTGGAGCAGTTGCAGACCCACGTAGAGCGCCCAGAACCGCGAGCCCCAAAGCCAGAAGGCGTTCTGAATCGTAGTCGGCACCGAGACAACACCGTGGCTTCCCAGATAGGCCAGCGCCTCCATCGGGCAGTACGCCAGCATGGACCAGCCCTGAATGCGCTCGATGTTGTGCAGAAGTCGTGTCGGAGGCGGCGACCTCTCCAGCCCGATCATCCACTTGATGATCGGCAGAATGCCCCAGATACGGTACAGCATCCTAGCATCGCTAATGAGCGAGCTGAGCTTGGCCACTCGTTGCCCAACGGATGAGGGCTTGGTGGATTTGATGCCGAGCAAGCGCAGTCGCAGTGCGTACTGGAGGTTGAGCAGAGCGATGACGAGCTTGGACGAGTATTGAGTGAGCATGAGACACTTGTCCGTGCCCGACCAGGTGGAGAGGTAGCGGATCATGTGGTCGAGCGTCGGCGATGGCTCGACGTTGGAGAAGACACCGAGGATCTTGTCGGTCGGATTGGGCGTGCGCGATGGTCGCCTCATCGCCGCTGCTCCTGATGGTGCCGGTTTCGACATTGTGATGAGTAGCAGTTGGTCGCGTTAGGCTCGATGTCACCGTTGCTGATGGAAAGCGTTCGATTGGCAGATCCGTTGCCTGATGAAGCAGAGTCAGTTGCGACGAGCCTGAAGTCTTGTGGTCGCGAACGGTCACTAGCTGAAGCGCAAGGCGGAAGCTGTCGTGCTGTAGGAAGAGGGAACAATCGAAGAGCTGGTGTTGATGTGAAACGTGCGTCTGTTCTGAGTGGAAGATGCTTCCAAGCCGATGACCTCCGGCAAGACGCGCATTTGCAAGCACTTTACCGATCTAACCGGCTCAGACCCTCCGCGACGCCTTCTGAGAAGCGGGAGGGCCTTCTCTTCCCCAAGAAATCTCAATTTTCAACGCGAACTCGGCTCGCTTGCCAGAAGGGCAACAAAACGCCGGCCAGCGAGAGGCAGGACCCTGACTTTTCAAGCAGCACAGCAAGGAGCCTGTCGAGCGTGAAAGTGCGTCTGCAACAGCAGGCTGGCATCAACGCCGTTGCACGTCTTGCTACAAGACGCTTCAGATACGCCTCGAGCCCACCTTCACTCATGGCAGACAGTCTCGTTTGAGGCGACCTTCAAGAATCCCATGCGGCTTGAATGATGCGGTATGTGCAATGCGATCCTTAGGTATGTAGAGACAGCGCTAGAATGAGGGGACGAGATGGTAAAGTGGGAAGGATTGTGAATGACGTGGACGAGGAGGCACGGGGTACGGTACCTTAGTGCTGAAACGAAGGAGTGCATGTCGCAAAGACAAGCAGGGATCAAGAAGACAACGCTGGGCGAAGCTGATAGAAAGCGAATCTGGGAGAGCCTGCGAATGCAGAGAGCACCGGCGCCGGCGCGTGTCGGTCCGGCCCGACGTGGCGAACCTCTTGGACAGCATAGCGGACTCGAGGAGGATATGTCTGCTTGCGAAGACTTCGATGATAGTCCGGGAGTTTGAGCTGGATCCCTGCTTCCGCGAAGCGGCTGCCACTGTGGTCGGGCAACGGCGTCTCCTCTTCTTTAGGGCTCTCGAAGGGGAAGGGCGTGATCTCGTAATGATCCTTCGCCGAGAGGACTGTCGTTGCCGCTTCGTTTCGGTAAGACGATTGCCCAATTACTCGCTTGAGCGCAAGACCGAGACGGTTCTGCTTGACCGCTGGGCTCCGAGGACAAGGTCCTGAGCCCAGCTCGCCAGACTCGGCGATGACACCAATGTCAGCGCTGTTAGCCTCTGCAGTCGATTGCGACAACTTCCTGGGATAATCCGGGGGTCTCATGGGGTGCCGTAATGGTCTTGGCGGCTGCGCGACTGCTGCTCGGTGCAGAAGAGGGCGCTGTGATACGTCGAGTGGGGTCGAGGGGAGCGGTTTCTCGAGGCGATGATCCGAGGTTGGGCGTGTCTGGCAAGCCTCTTGTACATACGTTCGGAGCAAGACGGGGTCGAGGTCTAGACTGTCTGCTCGAACACAGCCGTGCGGGACGTCCAAAGACTCGCGAAGATCGTCATACTCTGCGAAGAGTTCACTGCAATAAGAAGAGAGCAGAGACCATTCGGCAATTAGAGGGGCTGGTTCTCCGCACAGAGGCAGCTTCTGCGGAGGTCTGAGGATGCGAGTTGGTCGAGGCGGAGTCGGGAAGCTTTCGATGGTGACGCGCAACGTTTCAGCAGTATCGTATGATTCAGCGAGATTGGCATCCTCGACGCTCTCCAGATGATCCTTTGCAGGCTTCTGAAGCTCATCGGGGGGTGCTTCAGTCGGCATGCCCTTGGTGAGAGAAGATGGGGATGACCAGACGGTGTCCTCATCGGTGCCATTGAACGGATCCTGCGGGCCTGGAGGGGGCCAAGCGAAGAGCGTAAACAGGCGTGAGTGCAATGCATACTTGGCTTCCGCTCGCTGTAGGAGACCAGGACTTACTTGTGAGATCGATAGCATCGAGGTCATCGCTCCACACGCTGTTGATGCAGCCATCGCAGGAGCTTCGCACAGGAGCTGATAGTTGCCCTTTCGAGGACACGTCGAGCTGTCTCAGCGGGAGAAGCGGCGTGAGGGAGGGCATATCTTGACGTCGAACAAACGCTGGTAGAACTCGGTCTTGTGTGAGACCGACACCTTAGAGTCGTCTTGCCAGATCAGATGATGAGGGCAAGCAGGAAAGCAAAGAGGAGAGAGGCGACACATTGATGACACGGACTGGCCGGGTGTTTTGAAGGGCTCTCATCCAGATCGACGAAAGCGAACACCTCATGCAGTCGAACAGCTTTGCGTCCGAGCACATACTGATGTGAGAGCACAAGCACAAGTCGAGAGGGCGCAGCATCACTTACATACGGCAAATGAACGTGAGTCTGGTCGTAGCACTGCCAAAGGACGCTCAAAGCAGGACAATGAAGGTTGCACTCGAACTCTGCAACGAGACAAGCTTCCGCTTTTGAGTCTATTGTGAGAGATGAGGTGAAAGAAGATGAGAGAAAAGGGAGGCTGGAGCAAGCGACTTCATTGGAAGAATGAAGCATGGGCCCCCTCCGGATAAGTTGCGCCAGCGTTCCAGCTGTCAGCGGTATCCCAGAGACCTTTCGAAGTAGCGCTTACACGTTTGGCTCTGAACACCTCATCGATGATTTCTTGCCTCCTTTGACAAATGACGGGCTCTTATGTCAGGCAGCTCTCGAGTTAGGTCAGTTGAAGCGAGCAAGAAGACCGAAATACCCTGGCTTCCAAGATGCACAACTCGATATGCACTGCTGAAATCCGAGATCGCACTCCCATTGCGCCGATTCAAGGCACGAGCGGCTTGTTGGTGTTGTCGTATGAAGCTTCACTTTGTAGCAGGGCTTGGAGGAGGGCAGATCTGACAAGATCGCGTTCGAGATCCAAGGGTCCAAAGAGCAAGGCGAACGTCGAGCCCAATCGAATGCGCCTTGTTTGACGTCTCATGCGAGGCAAGACCACTCTATCTGAAACATGCGAGACGGAAATGGTGTTCAGCGCTCATACCGGTCCCCGTCGACTCGATGTGGCGCGCGACTCAGCCATGTCGGCACTACCGTAGGATTGCAATGGCTTTTGCAGAGTTCCCTGGAGGAGCTCGATAGGCGGTGCGGACCACTGAAAGCTCAGATCGGGCGATTCCCCATTGTCCACCTTGCGCATGCAGGAGGAAAATAGTTGCAGAGCAGCAAAGCCTCTTCGCTTGCATGCATCTGTGCATGGACAAACCAAGCGATCCGAGCGTCTGTGAGTTATCTGCAGCACAATGAGCGCATTGATGCCGATCCTGCCACATCAAGAAGAGGCGTGCGTGAGCTGGATCTGGCTTTGATTGTGGTATGTCTGTTTGCGGCTGCGTGGTTCTGCACCAAAATTCCGACTTAGAGGAGTGCTTTGCCCTGGTAAATCACCAGCCCCCAAAGCCATAGCCGCTGCCACCGAGATCTCTACGATCTGACCGAGCGTGGTCGAAGCCTTGTCCATCTCACACACTCGAAGAGGTGGGAGAATGTCATTGTCTGTCTTCAAAGCTAGCATCAACCACCTGCAAGCATGCAACCGTGATGTGGTGCTTGCCGCGCATTTTTGCACTGCCGGGCGGATCCCTGTCAACGACTTCATCTCGTCCACACGCTCGACAAACAGCATCGGAGAGTTTGCCGAAGCAGGTGACCTCCATCCGTAGAGCGCTCACGATCGCTTCACATCCGACATCTTCCCTCCCTTCCCTTATCGGACTCGCCCGAGCTTCACTTGCTCGGCACAGCATCGCCTCATCCTGGACAAACATGTCAGACTCAGCGGCGTGATCGATACGAACGCCGCCAACACGCTCACGCTCCCAGTGTACGCTGTATGCGCAAGCACTCTCGCCTACAAGAGCAGCAATTGCGAAGCCGGTACAAGTAACAGCCATGGACGCAAGTCCGCACTCTGTTCTGTGGAAGGCAAACTCCATCGACGCCTTCAATATCGAGACTTGCGCGGGCTCCGGTCACATCCACAAAGACGACTCCACGGATCGTCCCTACTTTGCTCGGCCATCCACCCGAAAGCCCCTCGGATCTCGTCCGACGCAGCCTGTGAGCTCGTCCGGCTGGACCGACCATGCCAGCACAGAGCCTTTGGAGCAGCTCAGCAGCCATCACTATGAGTCATCTCATCGCAGGAACAGCTCGGGACTTCCGTTTTTGCAAGAATGGCCCCAGAGGGCAGTAACAGCAGGCCAGCACTTCAAAAGTGCCAGAGAGCGCCCGCAGATGGGCGTAGGTCTGCCAACTTCGTACAATCACAACCGGAACCACTCTCGTTGCTCCTCTTCCTCAGCATCGTCACAATCGCCACATTCATTTCCACAAGCGCTGAGTTCAGCTTCGCTAGCCTCGGCGACGTTCTCGCCAAGAGGCATCGAAAGAAAACCCTCGCTTCCTGTCCTGTTTCCGAGTCCACCACTTCATCTCAGCAGCCTCACCGAGTGGCCTCGACCGCGGTCTACTTGCCAGTCCAAGCCCGAGAAGACGCCATACCAATCGACCTCCACGGAGAACAGTGCTACGCACATAAGCTCCTTACGAGAAGCTGCTTCCACTTCACAAAGTCACAATCGTGGCTACAGTAGGTCTTTCAGTGGCTCGGAGCAATTGGCGCCCTCACCAGAGCATCGACGGCCATCTGCTCCAGCACTCCTGGACCGAGACTATCGAATGTCACCCGTAATACAGGGGTCCAGCATCTCTTCTTCAAAATTTCAAGGCAGCAGGCGGCGCCCTGAATCGCCTGCTACGAACAGGGCACCAGATCACACCAGTAGCCGCCTTTGGGTGTCGCAATCGCATCCTAACTTGCTCAGCATAGCCACGTCCGACGACGAGCACCAGAGACACTTGATCGCAGGAAAGCGAACAGCTCACCATCAGCCTGCTCAGCAATCTCGAGCTCCTCTGACAGTCGCAGAGCTCGACTACGGCCCTCACTTTCTGGAGCCGTACAACAAGTGCGAGGCCATAATGCTACCGCGACCGCGATTACGATCGCGAAGCGTTGGTGCTACTCCGTCCATCGTGGTAGACAGGGTTCATGCAGTGCCCGAACGCTTTTGGCAGACCAACGGTGCCACCGACGATCCGCCAGGTCCAGTACTGGTATCCAGATCGAAAATAGTCGGACATCAACATCCGCTTGAGTACGCACTCCGAGCGCGTAGCGAGACACATCTTGGCATTGCACACCCGACCAAGAAGGACGTTCGCCTAACGCTGCACATGAACATTCCGCCGCCGCTTCCTCCCAAAGACTCGCCTGTGCCCTCGAGTCAATTGCTGCCTTTGAAATCGCTGCCGTCTACTCCAATTCCTCAGGCGACACCAGGACCAGCAACAGCCGGAAGAGTGACAAGCCGCGAAAGCTCCGAATCGCTCGAGCAATTGGACGCGCCAGATCTCCTTCAGCGCAACAGAGAGCTCGATAAGGACCGACAGGCGTGGCGACAGGAGCATCAATCAAGCCTAGGTTCGAATATTCACCCCATGCGAGGTCGATCAATTTCTTGTGTCAGGTATACGTCGTCCGCCGCTAGCCCGCTTGCTAGACATCGGTCGGAAACGGCGATACGTTTCGACAATACAAGCCCGATCAAGGTGCATCGCGTCCGAAACGGAGACGGCACCCACCCGACGCTTCTCGTGGTTCAGGCTCAACATAGTCGTCCATACAGCAAGTGCGTCGCGTCGGCCAGCAGTCCTGAGTTGCGGGGGGCAACACTGCCTGGCAAGCAGCGGAACACCTTCGTCAGACATTGGACACGGCGGCTAGGCTCCTGGACGAGCAAGCTTCGTGGACGTGTTACACCAGCATCGCACAGCCTGCGTTCGAGGCCGTCTGCTTCCGATCAAGCGAACACTGTACAGTCGACGAGAGATGCAGGCGGATCAATCGGAAGGGGACGCAGGCTGGTCACGGAAGAGACTGTCATCATCGGCAGACAACCGCGTCCAGACCACGATGAACCGGCGCGGCGAGAAAGTCCACTTCGGGAGGATGTGCGCCTCGGCGTAGCACTATCAGGTCCAGCATCGCCGACCAAGTACCATGCGTCACCTTCAAGATACAGACCTGCAGGAACGAGGGACGAAATCAAGGCCCAGCTCGGAGAGCACCTGCCCTGGCAAGCGCGTCCACCATTTTTGCTCGACGTCAATGGTGACCTTGGGGCCAATGGGGATGGCGCATCCTGGCTCGACCAGGACTCGGCCCTTTTCACGCGGAGCATCTTGGATACCTTGCGAGGGCGTCGGCACATCGAGGAAGGCGAGATCGAGCTTCCGCAAGTGATCGAGCCACCCGCGTTGTCTTCCTCCTCGCGCGATTTGACGAGTCGCAGCGACTCGACGCCATCGACGCGCCACGGTGCAGAAGTCGGAGCTCGACCAGCAGGTCTCGCTCCGCCGATCACCCCTGGAGTGGGAGACACAGACCTTGCCAGTCCAGCCAACACACGAGACTCGAGCATCTCGACGCGCGAAGTGGCGCTGTGGGACGCGAGCAGCGTCGATCTCGACAATCTCTTCTTCCGCCCGCCCCAGCGATGACCGTATTCGCTCTGAGAAGTCAACAAACCTTCCCCTGAATACAATAGCTTTGGCGTATGTATGCGACTGCAGTAATGCCGGCGTCGATGGATGTAAGCGATTGCAGTGAGGGAGGGCTGACCATGAGCAGCGTGCGCAGTGTGAAAGGTTCGGGACTCGGTCAGAAGCCCTGGAGCGCGAGCTGCGCGTACGCCTCTGGCGTTTTTTGGACCCTGAAAGTGGTGTGTTCCTTTCCATCATTCCCACACGCACACATTCCACCCAACATGGATGCAGACGAGACACCGACGACGAAGCGCATCAAGTCGGAGCAGACGTCTGTCGAGCCTGATGAGGCTGCTGCAGTGTCGGCGCTTGCTGGGGAGAGCGCTGTGAAGGCGGAGCAGGAGGTGTTGGTATCAGCGTCCGAAGCCGGGCTGCCTCTGTCGGACGCTGTCAAGCTCGAGCCCACGCTTGCCGACTCCGCATCACCCGTGACGGAAGTCCCACCGACAAAGAAGAAGAAGACTAGCACCAAGGCGTCTTCTTCAAAACCCAAAAAGGTCCCCAAGAAGACCAGCGCTCCTTCCACCGAGACCATTCGGAAAGCCAAACCCAGCCCCTCGCCTACACCCCCACCGCCCATGCTCGAGGAAGACGAGGATCAAGCACTCTACTGCACCTGCCAGCGGCGACAGGACGACGTGGAGGGCGGCATGATCATGTGCGATCGCTGCGACGGGTGGTATCACTACCGATGCATGCGGATCACGGAGCTCGACGCTGAGCTGGTGGACCAATTCATCTGTCCACCGTGCCACGAGGTGACCGGGGAGGAGACGACGTACAAGGTGGGATGCGCAAGAGAGGCGTGTAGAAGAGCAGCAGGGGGGCCGTTCAGCAAGTTTTGCTCGCAGAGATGCGGGGTGCTGATGGTAAGTGAGAGGATGGGGAGGTTGGGCGTGAGGAGTGCGGGGGCGGTGGAGGGGTGGAGGGGAGATGCGAGGGTGGGGAATGCGAGGAGGACGGAAGGACTGACGCAGCAGGGCGAGGGATCTAAAGCCGAATGGGAGACAGTGGTAGAGAAGCTCGATGTGGGTGGAAGCAGCTCATCGATACAGCGGCTAGGGCTCGCAGGCGCGTTCGATCTCTTGCTCAAGAGTGCCATCTCGCCAACATCAGCTCGCGCCACCACATCGAACGGAGCAGTCAACGGCACATCTCTCGAACCAGCACCATCTGCATCACCGAATACCGCACACGAAGCGAAACTCACCTCCTCAGCAACCTCCCTCCTGGCAATCACCGAGCAACTCTCCCTCATCACGCACCAAATCTACTCGGTCGACCTGCAAAAGTCCGCCCTCGACGCGCGACTAGACCGTCTCGATTCACGCAGCGACCTTCTCCATCTGGTCTCCGACCGAGTGCCCACTCTACCAGCCATCTCCACCGCCAACGGTCCAGCCGGCGATGAGGAGGACGAAGAAATGGCCGAAGTGAAGCCCAAAAAGAAGAAGGGGTCCAAACCCAAACCCACCACCGACGCGGGTCCGCGGTGTGGCTACGACGCACGTCTGCACTGGGACAACTACACCTTCGACGCGTGGTCCCGCGCCCCACCTGGCTCACTTATGCTGAAACACGACCTGCCGCTGGACGGCACGCTCGAAGACACCGTCTGCGGTCTCGCCAAACGCAAGTGTCGACGTCATCTGGATTGGAGCAACCTGTGCGAGCTCGCGCTGGACGCGGAGAAGGGCGGGTTGAGCGGCGAATCGCGTGCGCTGGCGGGGTTGAAGTTGCGGCTGGTCGAGCAGCGGGAGGCGCTGGAAAGGGAGAGGGAGGTAGTAAGGGAGCTGGCGGAGATGGAGGAGAGGAGAGAGAGGAGGAGGAGAGAGGAGCGGGATAGAGATGTGGCGATGCGGATGGCGAATGAGGGGACGAGGAGGGGTTGAGGAAGTGATGGTATTGCGGGCGTGAATGGGTATCTTGTACAACTTCGATCAACGTGGTCAAGTGTGAATGCTGGTGCGCTTGCCCTCGAGGACGGCGGTGATGATCTCCAATCGCTCGTAGGAGCTTTTGCGCCTCGCACCTTCCTGCAGCGCCTCGGCGACCCGGCTTGCCAGCTTGACCAGGCTAGCTGGCGCCCCCTTCGTCCCGTCCGCTACATGACCCAGCCTCCCCACCCTGACTACATAGTTGGAGGCAACCCTGTCGTCTCTCGCGAAGAAGAACCCGGGCAAATCGTTCGCCAGATCCTGCACTTCCCCTTCTCCCTCCACCTGCCCCTTGCCCAGCTTGACCAATCGCCACAGCGCCATCAACAACAGATCCCCCTGCGCATTCGCAATGTAGTCCTTGACACTCGCCACCTTATCGCTCTTATGCCTTAGCGAGTCGGTAACGAACTGCATCACCTGGCTTCTTGCCCGTGCGACCGGGTCCGCTCCTCCCTCCGAACGACTCTTTAGACAGTGCGCGACGTCTTCGATGGCCGATTCGAGGAACGGCGAGCCCTCAGACATCACCAGCACCTGCAGGTAGCTCGCTAGCAGCGCGGTTTGGTCCTGACTGATGCTGTGATCGATGGCGAGCTTGAGGTTTACTCGAATCTTTCGAAGACGTTGCATGGTGCGCGGATCCAATTGCAGCTTTTTGGGCTTCTTCTTCTTTGGTCCAGTGGACGAGGCGGGTTCGAACTCGTCCTCATCGTCTGGCAGCTGGTTGACAAACTTGGACAGCGCGCCCACCAGCACAATGCTCACGCCCTCCCAGCCCTTGCCCAGAGAGATGGCGTAGCCGAGCGGCGTGTTGGACGCTCCGCCGGCGGAAGAGGCGGCGGAGGTCTTGGTGGAGGAGCCGGAGTGTGAGAGGTCGAGCAGGAGGTCGAAGTTCAAGTTGCGGATGGCGAGGATGGTTTCGACGTCGCGCTTGTCAATAGCTTTGAGGAGGTCGTGCGTCTCGTATGCTCTTGGTGGCGCCACTACCGTCGATTTGTGCTGGGTTGTGGAGGCAGCCGAGGGAGAGGATTGCGAAGCGAGATCTTGGTCGATGACTGCGCCGGAAAGATGACCTTCGCCCCGCTCATCGAGGTGCGAGTCAGGCTCGCGGACGGTTATCCGGGAGAGGAGGAGAGCAATCAGTGCGCTCCCGCGATTAACATCGCTCCGCTCACCGAGGAGCTTGGGATCGAGATCGTAGTTGAGGTGCATCTCGGACAGCGCAGCTCGAATCCATTGGCGAGCTTGGTCCAGGTCGTCTCCCGGAAGCAAGGCTTCTATGTGTGAGTCGGGCACCGTCGGAAAGAACTCAGCAGTTTCTTTTACATCTCTAGTACTGAGTGGAGCGGTCATCGTTGGTCTGGTCGTTGGTTGATGATGTGACGATGAGGACGCGTGATCGTTGCTCGGATTGGAAGAGGAGGACGCGGCTCGCTGCGTATTGCCCCGGAAGCTGAGCGCTCGTTCTACGAAGGAGGCCGCCTGATAGAATCCGCTCTTTGGCAGATGGCCAGCTGCCCCGCTTTGTTCGGACATCTGAGACAGACTGAGGTACGACGATGGCCAGAGGTAGGGAAAGTTTGGGGAAGGGAGGGAAAGGGACGTCAAAGTCGACCCAGCCCGACGTGGAATCGAGTCCGTGCGCAAGCAGCTGCGCGGATGTGGAGGATTCTGAGCTCAATATGAATGAACCCAGAAGAATGGAAACGGGAAAAAGGGGACGAGAAAATGCTTCGGAAGGCGGACGTCCTCATGGTGACATTCATGTCTGCTTCATGTTCTTGCGAGCACAAGTCAGCATGATTGAGGCAGAGTACTGCTGACCCCGTCAACTCAGCTCACTTGTGCTAGGCTGCAGCTGTATGCGCTCGTTCTCACACGATGAAGTGAATATGACAATCATTGTTACGAAGACAAAGCAGGCCAATTACAGTAGGCCGGGAACGGATCAGAGCAGAACGGACAGGAACAGAAAGCGGAAAATGTGTGTACAGCTCGCACATCATGTGGTCGAGCGTTAAGACTGCAGCTTCTTGATAGCGAAGTTGGCGCCCATGGTCTGGACGTTGGAGTTGTACGGGTAGGAGAGGTGCTGGGCGTTGATGCCGAAGCCGTGGGTGGTGTCGCAGACGCCGTCGCCGTAGATGCAAATGTCGAGGGTCTTGGAGACCCAGTTGGACGGGATACCTGCTTCGAAGGCCTGCAGGCCGCGGACGTTGGCAGTGGTCTTGCCGCCGTTACCATCGACGTTGCTGGCCAGGCCGGGCTGGTGCTCGGGGTTTCCAATGAGAACGACACCCTTGACAGCGTTGAAAGCGGCGCCAGTGAGCATAGGCATGGCGTTGCATGTAGCAGCAGCGCCCTGAGAGTAGCCCTCGAGAATGAAGCACGTGCTGGGGTCAGCAGCGAGGCTCGTCTGGACCTTGTTGACAATGTCGGCGGTTCCAATGGTCGAGACCTGCGAGGCGTCGGCAGGGTAGACAGTGTCGTACTCGGTACCGCCACGGACGGCGGAGAAGATGCGCGAGTTCATGGAACGGAACCCGGCCGAGGGGCCTTGAGGTTCTCCTGTACCGCGCGTGTCGATGATGATGTACTTGGAGCAGCCAGCGCGCTTCTCGATCGGGGCGGCAAGGGCGCCGACGGCAGCAAGGACAAAGGTGAGCAGAGTCGATTGGAAGAGCATCTTGACTGGCTATTCAAACAGGGGAGAGGGAGGATGTCTTGAGGAGTGCGTGTCTTTGAGAGTGTGCTTGGAGAGGAGAGCTTGGGATGTGTGGAATGAGGCGATATCAGTCAAAACAGCCTGGCATATATAGACTTACGATGCTGACGAGGACTACTACGAAAGAGGTTGCTCATATGCGCGCCGGGCAGGATCGACAGCTGCCATTGGCTGGACGCCTGCCTTGATTGCATGACCGCGGTACAATCGAGGCATTCATGCGGTAGCTTGAGGGGAAGCTGGTCAAGACTGAGTAGACACTGTAAGCTGCGCTCTCAGACAGACAGTTGATAACCCTCACGGCATGGATGGACCGGAAACCATTGTGACCGGCATCTCGATGCTTGCCGGTACGATGTCGATCCACCTGAAGGAGCTTGAGTCTGGTCGGAGGGATGGGTAGTTACTGCCGACTGGCACTAAGCTCAAGGTAGGCTGACCTTGCATGAAGATCTGATAAGACGAGTCAGTCCGACAATAAGGGCTGAACGGAAGGCTCGATGCCGCCCAATGGAGTGACGAGCACGAGCAGCTGGTGGCGGCAAGCTTGTTCGAAACGATCAAGCTTGAGGGACTTGGGCGAGCTGCGGCAGAGTGCAAACCGAGGCTAACGTGCACAATGGTAGTTGGGTTCGCAGCTTAGTGCAAATCATGCTGCAAGACCACCTGCCGGCAACGTTGTGCCCGGTGACGATCGTGAAGGACCATCGAGACCGTGCTTGCTCGGCACTTTGTTCTCGCGCTAGTATTCCGCGGATCTAGCTGTTGATCTCCTTCAGATTTTGCGGGGTAGAATGTCAGCAAAGACGGTCAATGGGGCGAAGCAAGGGCCAGGAACCATCTCTGCGGCAACACGCAGCAAGGTCAGCTGTTGGCAGCAGACCGCGACGCGAGCGTTGCTCAACTCTGAGAGACAAACTCGCGGGCGCAATGGGTCCGGTCCGTCGGCAGCATGTGCTGCAGCCATGGAGCTCGCGAATGCTCGTGACAACGCAGGTAACTTAGGCTGAGTCGGATCGACCATTCCGCTCAGCCCACCGTTCCGACGTCAGAAGCGTGATGGTTCCGTGGTTGGCGCCATTGTCTAACGATCATGGGTGTGGTGACAAACGTTATTTGTCACTGCCTTAGCGCCAAAATTGCGCCCCACCCGACCTCGGCAAGCGCGACCACGTTTCGAAACCGACACTGTATCGGCTCTTGGTTTGAGCGAATCGCAGCGCCGCACTCCGTGACATCCGTGCATCCAAAGGGGCTGATTGGCCATGTGACTCCGACGCTTCATCCGACGGATCGGATCGCGACCCGAGCAACAGACGTGATAGATCGGGGAAAGGAGACCCGGCCGACACGGCTCTCTGCTTGTCTCACCAACCAGCACATGTGGAAGTGGTAGTGTCAGCGCATCGCATGTTCCGGGCGCTTGGTCGTCTGAAAGCCCAGCTGAGGTCGCAATTCTTCAGGTCTTTCCGAGGCCACAGGTCGTGTCTTGCGGCTGCTTGCCGTCGTGCGTCTTGACCGATTCGACTCGCAATCGTGGGAGGATGTCAGATCGTCTCGGTTCTTCCTTCAACAGCAGCAGACTCGATCGCACGAGAACGCACAACGAGCAAAAGCTTGGACCAAGGGAAGGTGATTGGGACGCACTTCTGTTTTAGCGTGGGATTGAGCTGCTAAGCGAACTGCGTGCAGTCACCGGCGAGATGGTTTGACGCATAGCTTTGGCAGATGCAACTTTGCATTGTTGAATTCGGCTGGCACCGGCGACCGTTTCGCTAAGCGCTTCCAGTCTTCTCGCGGGAATCTCTCCAAATTCACACAGCTCGCATATCCTAGCGAAGTCCAAGCCCGCAAATCTCTCTTGCTTCGGTGCTTTGATGATGCTGCACACCACGCTGCTCACCCAACAAGCGTAGACACAAGCTACAGAACGCGCTTTCGACGTTTCTTTTCACCTGACGGCGCGTACAGCTTGGTGGAATGCAGATCTGTCTCGGAGAGAAAAAGAAGAAAAAATCCGACTCCGCTGCTTCCTTTTGATTCTGAACTCAGACGGGATGCCGATCTGCCGCCGCTTGTCCAAAAGTCGCGAATGCATACCCGAGCAAGCGCGGCCATTTGCAAACTGCGTATGAGCTCACCGCATAGCTCGCTTCGGCCATCTCCTGTACCATGACACACGCGCAGAGTCGACTCACTCGGCGACTGTCTACTCTTTCCCGCCTGCTTCTCGCTATACGATTCTGCATCACGGCGCCTTTTTCGAGGCGCACCCCAATTTCACACCGGTCAATTCTTCGGAGACGTGATGTGCGCCAAAAAGCCAAGATGGCAGCATTCCTGTCTCGTTTAGCGACTCTCCAAGCGCCATGTCTGGCTGAACTTTCTTTACCCTCTTTCTTCGCCAGAGTTGCGTCTATGCAGCGTCGTTCCGCCGCTTCTGCTTCCGCCGCCGTTGGCTTCTGCCGCTGACCACGGCACTGCCCCTTCCGCGCCAGCCTGGCGAGTCGTTCCTCTTCTCATCTCGCTAGCAGTAGACCGCGTGCTTCAATGCCTCATTTTCCCCTCGCTTGCTCCATCAAAGGCCTTGGCGCTGTACCAAGCGTTGGTTTATGGGCACGTCACTTGTCATCTTGCCGGTGACTTTTGCCAGCGTCTCGGCTTAGAGTGAATCGTGCCGTCATGGAATGCTCACGGCTTCGCAAATTGTCATTCCTTCGTGCTGTACCACTGACTGCGCCGTCTTCTAGAAGTGGGTCGGTGCAAATCTCAAAATTGGGCTTCTTTCGCTCGCCGGTGAATTTGCGCAGCCGTCTTCTGCATGGGCCCCCACAGAAATGAGCGCTTCGATCCCCGCTTTTTGACATAGCGCATCAATGGCCAGAAACAATGCGCAGCTCATTTTGACCTCATCAACCGGTCACCTCTTGCCTCCTCCTCCACCATCATCCCTCCTTCTTCGGCCACACGAGGACCATCAGAAGAACATCATTCACTTTTCACTCGATCGTCTCTTCTGTGAACGGTCAAGATGAAATTTTTCACACTCTTGCCGCTGGCAGTCCTAGCCTGCGCAGGATCCAGTCTGGCAGGCAGCGCACAGCCCGACTACCAACAGCTCTTCGCAGAAAGAGAAGTCGACAGCCCAGCACACTTCCTCGAGCGACGTCAGCAAGGTATCGGGGGCGCTGGAGGCAACGGTCCCGGCTATCAGACCGTACCCAGTGTTCCCTTCGATGGTAACGACTCCCTCCCCTACTCGCCATCCTTCTACCCAACGCCTCAGACTCAGGGAACCACCCAGAAGTGGAAAGACGCCATCGGCAAAGCTCGCGAGTATCTTCAGCAATTCAACCAGACGGAGAAGGTGATCCTCACCACCGGATCGGGATGGACTCGTGGACCTTGCGTCGGCAACATCTCGCCCATACCTCGTGTCAACTTCCCAGGTCTGTGTCTCATGGACGGTCCAGCCGGCGTACGAGGTATCGACCGTGTCACTTCTTTCCCCGACGCCATCACCGTAGCAGCTTCTTTCGATCGTGACCTCATGTATAAGCGTGCTCACGCTATGGGCGAAGAGTTCAAGACCAAGGGTGCCAACATCTGGCTCGGTCCCATGATGAACCTCGCCCGCTCTCCCGAGGGCGGTCGATCATGGGAAGGCTTCGGTGCTGATCCTTACCTAAGCGGCGAGGGCTCTTACTTCTCCGTTCTCGGCGCACAAGATGCGGGTGTTCAGGCCAACCTCAAGCACTACATCAACAACGAGCAGGAACACTTCCGTAACGAGGGTAGCTCCAACCTCGACGCTCGTACCGAACGCGAGCTCTACCAGCACCCATTCATGAGAGGCATTCAGGCCGGCGCCGCCAGTACGATGTGTAGCTATAATCTCCTAAATAATAGCTGGGCGTGCCAAAACTCAGAGCTGCTCAACAACCGTCTCAAGACGGAGCTCCAGTTCCCGGGCTACGTGCTGTCGGACTGGGGTGCTCAGCATGCCGGCGTGGCGACTGCCAATGCCGGTCTGGACATGACCATGCCTGGTGATATCACTTGCTGCTCGCGTCAGGAGGGATCTCTATGGGGCGGCAACCTCACCATGGCTGTCAACAATGGGTCCGTCGAGAGCACTCGCCTCGACGACATGGCCACTCGTATCCTGGCCGGTTGGTTCCTCCTTGGACAGGACCAAGGCTACCCCGAGCCCAACTTCAACTTCTTCGACAAGAAAGATCCTGCCACCAACCAGTTCGTCGATGCGACTGCGGATCACTACAAGGTTGCTCGAGAGGTCGCCAGCGCCGGTACAGTCTTGCTTAAGAACCATCGCAATGCTTTGCCTCTCAACAAGCCTCGCACCATGGCTGTCGTTGGTTCTGACGCTGGTCCTCTCTATCAGGGCGCCAACTACTGGCCTGACCGCGCTCAGAATGGCGGACTGCCCTATGGTACCCTCGGTCAGGGCTGGGGATCGGGCTCGACCGACTACTCCTACTTCTTCTCGCCCTACGAGTCGCTGCAAGCACGCGCCCGAAAGGACCGCACCGACATGCAGTGGAACTTTGACGACTACAACATCGCTCAGAGTGTCATGATCGCCAACATGACCGACGTTGCTCTCGTGTTCGTCAGCGCCGAGAGTGGTGAGGGCTACATCATCGTTGACAACAACGAGGGAGACCGCAACAACCTGACGCTCTGGAACCAAGGCGAGCAGCTCATTCGCAATGTGACGGCTGTCAACAATAACACGGTCGTTATTGTCCACTCGGTCGGCGCTGTCGACATGGAGAGCTTCGCCGAGAACCCCAACGTGACTGCGATTGTCTGGGCCAACCTGCCCGGCAGTGAGAGCGGCCGCGCTCTCGTCGATGTTCTGTACGGAGACTTCAACCCCAGCGGTCGTCTGCCCTATACCATCGGCAAGAACCGCACGGACTACTCTGCCGACGTGCTCTACTACAACGACACCGTCACACCACAGATCAACTACACCGAGAAGCTCAATATTGACTACCGCCATTTCGATGCCAAGAACATCGAGCCGCGCTACGAGTTTGGCTACGGTCTATCGTACACCAAGTTTGACTACTCGGGCGCTTGGACGCAACAAGTCGGACATGCAGACAACAGCTGGTGGGGGTCGTCGAATGCATCCACCGGTCTTCCCGACTGGCTCTTCCAGCCCAAGTACGAGGTCACCTTCTCCCTCACCAACTCGGGCAGCTGCGACGGTCACGAGGTGTGGCAAGCTTATCTTGAGTTCCCTCGTTCGGCTGGCGAACCACCCAAGGTGCTGCGCAACTTTGGCCGTGAAAAGATCTGCAAGGGCGACACCAAGGAGGTCAAGTTCACGCTGAGCCAGTACGATGTGTCGTACTGGTGCAATGAGCTGCAGCAGTGGATTCAGCCGGAGGGCAAGTTCAAGGTGGTCATTGGCGCTTCGTCGAGGGACATTCGCCAGGCTGTCGTGCTCAATTAGTGTAATGCTTCTAGTCTACAAGCATGCTTCCATCTCACTCATGAACAATCTCATTCGCATTCCTACATCCCATTGCCATGGTCTGATATCTGAGCGCCACGAAGCTGTGCAACACGACCTGTCCTCGGGCATGGCAGCTCGTCACCACTCGGGCTCGTATGAAGTGTGCAGATGTTAGAGCCGGCCGACGACTTAAGGAAGAGGCTGCGAGTCGCGTTGATTGCAGGACAGGGTCCTGTCAGAATTTTGAACGGAGAGAAAGTTTTTCCCTCGACGCGAGAGCGACTCTGCAGAGCGGGGGGCGCCAGGGTGCAGCTCCGACATCCGAGCTTGCGGGAGCATTCTCTACCAAGCCGCACACCATCATCATACGACGACTTGAAAAGTAGACGGAAACCAACGGCGCTCATTCCACATCAGACTATCATCAGCATAGCTACAGATCAAGTGCTCAACACCTTCGACGACTGCCGAAGGGCGTTCAGAACGCTGCTGCAGAAGGCAAGCTCGTCATTAGAGCAGGCTTTTTCTGGCCTTATACCGACGCCGCCGATTCATCAAGAATCTCGCTTTGACACGGTTCTCGAGGACACGCTGCAACAGCAGTCGCTACACCAGCTAGTGCTCCTCCGCGTACTTCTCGACTAGACTCGAGTGACCGGCTCACACGAAGGCCAAATTGCAACACTCGTAGGCAGTCTCGTTGACCAAATACCAGCTTCTCGAACTCGGGCCATTGACCTCGCCCTCTCGCTCATCAAAGCCTCACATCGAGGTCGTTTCACCACGCAACCCATCGATTCACACCTCATTTCAGCCAAGATGACCTCTGAAACGCTCCACGACCCCTCCCCGACAACCTCCTTCACCCCCTCCCACCTCGCGACCCTCCAACACATCGCATCGACCGACGAATACCTCCCGGACTCACCCTCCTCATCCTCCCGCTCGTACGACTGGCCCTCACTTCGGGACGCCATCAAGCACCGCATCCGTTCGTGTCTCGACTCGTTCGCCTCACGTCCGCTATCTCTGCATCCGGCGACAGCGCTCGTTCCTTACATGAAAGACGGTGAAGATCTAGAACGAACGTGGGAGCGTGCGGATGCGGGCATGCTCTGTCTCGACTCCGAGGGCAAACCTCAACTTCCCCTCGAACCCGTCGACCCGATCGAGTCCACCGAGGAGGATGGCACGCAGTACGATTACCGCTCCAACACCGTCCTGCCGGAAGGAACGGTGCATCCGCCCTTCGTACATCGTGCCGACATTCAGAACTTCTACCCCACCAAACGGCCGCTTACCGAAACGACGGTGAAGGCGCTAAGCGAGGAGCAGCGGGACGGGCAGACGAGGTTGCTGTTTGGTATGCTGGACGAGTTTGATCTGCAACCGCCGTTTACGATCCAACGCCTGTGCGAATTGCTTGTCGAGCCGACGAAGCACTACAACGACCCGCTCAAGTGGGTTTGCGCCATCCAGCGGTGTCTTTCCGTGACTGCGACGAGGGACGCGTTCCCGATCAGCCCCGTTCAGGCTCCGGTGGGCGTTGTTGCGGTGAACGGCCACGCGGAAGACGCAGCCCCGATGTCAGAAGGCGAGCTGGACCGTATGGATGGTCTCCCACCCGCAAGGTCGAGGAGCTCAAGCGTGAGTGTCGGAGCAGAACCGCTGTTCTCGCCCATTCCCTTCGTTGTGCGGGACGAAAACGGCGTGGGGGAAGAGCACATTCCGGACCTCGAGTTGGGCGGGGCGGATCGCACGACAGCCCCAGAAGGTGTGGCGAAGGAGGTGCTCGCCCCGGCACCTGTCAGCACAGAAACGGAGTCCACACAGCCAGAGGCAGAGGTGGATGAGCAGATGGGGGAAGCGTCAGAAGAGGCACCAGCGATCGCGTCTACAGCGCCGGCGAGCGAGGACAGCATCGCAGCTGCGGTGGACGCTACCACCCTTCCCACCCCGGCACCAGCCCCAGCTGCGGTCCCGAGCGGGCCAACCGAGCCGTTGGGCGTACCAGCAGGCCAAGTGGACGAGGTGGACAACCCAACAAACACGGTCAACGCGCTCACCTCCACCACTACCACTCCTGCTGAGAGTGCGACTGGGAGCCTGGCACCAACCACTCAGGGAGCGGCAGAGGACGAAGCGGAAGACAAGGAGGAGGAAGGACGCTCCACAAAACGTCGAAAGAGCGTCGCTTCCATTCACGATGCCTAGCACCTCCTTGTCGCATTGCAATCACACCCTCATCACACTGCTTGTCACACTCGAAACCTGACCCACTGCTGGCTGATCGAAGACCAAATGTGCATGCATTGCGACAAACCTGATGCTCCCTCTCGAGCCGCTTATCTTGAGCTGCTGCTCGACCGATGCGAAGCGTCTTCCACTCCTCCCTGAGCCTGACCCTCCGCATCGCAGCCAAGACCGTTCCGATGTCACTCTCCACCTGTATCGCGACCCGCTCACTTCTTGCCTCCCTTCTTGGGCGGCACCGCAGGTGTGGGGCTGAATGCATCCCGCGCGCTGTACCAGCCCGTGATACCCTTCCAGCCGCCGCGCGTGGGCGAGGGGGTCGCTTGCGGGAGACGCGGGTTGAAACTGCTCCCGCTCCCGCTGGCGTTGGCGTTGGCACTGCTCGAGCTGGGCTTCTTGCTGCTCATGGACGGTTTCGACGAATGTTTCGTGCTTGATTTCGACGTTCGAGCTTGAGGCGGGTCGGTGCTGGAGCTGGTTGGCTTTTTAGGCGGCTTGAATCCTGCGATGGACGGAGGTGGGCGCAGCTGGACGAACACCTCCCCTGCAGCCGTCTTCTTTGCTGGCTGGCGCGATGGCCCGTCGTCCACGTGCTTGCGCTTGCCCGATGCGCCTTCGCGTGGCAGAAGAACTTCCACCGCGAGTCCACCGTGTTCCTCTTCGTCCAACGAGACCTCTTCAGCTCGAGCCGCATTCTGCCGCTGCATCTGCCTCCGCGCCTCCGCTTGCAGGAACGGATCCTCCAATCCAGTCACGCTCTTCTTTGCCTTGCCGCCGGACGCAGTGGCAGGGCCCACCTTGTGCTTGGACTTCTTGGTCAGCGGTATCGTCGGTGGTGAAGGCGAACGCGGATGCTTGCCCCTTCCAATTGTCTCGGATGGCGTAGAAGAGCGGGTGAGGTCGACCACAACTTCGACCTCGCACTCCTGCGAGCGAGAGAGACCGTCCCAGGCCTGAATATCTTCGTCCAGCGCGCGCTGCTTGCCTTTTGCCTTTGAGGAGGTGGTCGGCTTCGCGGTTGATGTGCTGGGTGCAGGTGCAGACTGGATGGGAGGCTTGGATGCAGCCTGCGAAGGAGCAGCCTGCTTGCTGAAGTACGAGAGGAGGTCGCGCTTGCTGGTGCCCTTGAGGGCTGCTTTGGCGGCTTTGGCTCGTGAGGAGCTTGCAGTCGGTTTGGCCGAAGCTGTGTGGGAGGTGGACGATGTGGCAGTCTTGGTAGACGATGCTGCGACAGGTTTGGCTGCTGACGTGAGCTCGGCATGCTGCGGAAGCCTCTGTGCTGCCGCCGGCTGTGCTTGCACGGCTTGTACAGGTGCCGCTGGCGCCTTAAATAGCAATACAGGCTCCGGCGTGGGCGAGCTCGACATCTCACGGCCGGCCACTTCAACGTCCTGCTCCTCATCGACTCCATCGTCGTCACGCTCTACATTCGGCTCTTCCTCCGGGGCCCCCTCCTGCCTCACAGGCAAAGGCACAGAGGCCAACCTCGACGACGCCGATTTGCTCGGCGAAACCATCCGCACGATCTCGAATCCTTGCGACTCCTCTTCACCTCCTGTCACCTCTGCTGCACTCTCCTCTCCCGCAGAACGATACAACGTCACTGTACCGCCCATCATGCATCGTAACGTGCGCACGTCCGCGTTGCCCTGGCTGTCATACACCGTCTCTACCCAGTCATCGTCCTCCATCGGGATGATGATCTTGCCCTGGGCGCGCGCTTTCCCCTCGTCGATCAGCCTGTGCACTTCAGGCAAGAACTCTTCCAGTCGCACCCACTCTTGGTGTTCCATATCCTCGAAGGCGCGCAGTGTGCTTGGTAGAGGGCGCTTGTATGCGCGACCCAATTTGAGACGGCGAGAATCGGTTTCGAGGGATGTAGCATCTTTGGCACGGCCGATGGGGTTGGAGCCGTCGTCCGAGGCTAGCAGGTCGCGCAGCACGGCGGGCGTCAATGGGTCTTTGTGCGTATGCCAGGCGATGAGCGAGCCGAGCTTCATGGTCAGCGGTGTGCTGGTGTTTGGTAGTGTCGGTGTCTTTGTGCCAACCTCATCGTCGGAATCCTGACCAACGCCAAGCCAGCGACGTGTGCTCGCCTTGAGCTGGAACAGGCTGGCACGGTCCTCAGTGTTGACCGTGATGTTACGCAGTGGCTGTGGGCCGAGTGTGGGTCGAAGAATGGCATTTGCTTGCGCTTCCGTCAGTGCCGGTTCTGACTCAACAGTGCGCGTGGGAGCCAAGGTTGAAGATGATGTTGAAGCCGCAGCTGTTTTCGGCGGCTTCGTCTTGCTCACCAAGAAGTCGGCAAAGGAAGGTGTCTCCTTTGCATCCCCTCCTGGCGGCTTATTGGCTCTCTGTGCTCGTAGAGCGTCGAAGAAAGTCGACTCAGCAGCAACAACAGGTAGCAGCTGTTTTTTGGGCTTTTGAACCGGTGTCGCGACGGGCGGAGCTTGCACGCGGTCGTTCGTTGCATGCTCGGTCTCAAGTCGCTCAAACGCCCGCTTTACGTTATAGTCGGTGACGTTGCGGGCACGTCTCGGGTAGCGACCGCGCTGAGCATCGCTGTCTGAGTCGGTCGCATAGGCGCTTGATTCGGCTGCCTGCATCTGCGCGATACGAGCGTCGGTGATGTTAAGCACATCTGACCCTGCGCCCGAGATCTCGCGTTGCATGAGATGTGGCTGATCGGAGTGGATGGTGACGGCCGGCGGCGTTAAAGGCGGTGTCAATCGCTGCGGCGGATCGTCCATGGAAGAGTCGGAGAGGACGATGATCTCGTCGGGATGTTCGATGTTGTGTGTTGCCGACGCTGCCGAGTGTGGGTCCGCATCGTGCTGGCTTTCCGCGCGCGGCGGATGCGCTGAAGGTTGAGCATCCAGCATCGATGTGATTGACTCCTCTTCCTGTGTGCTTGCCAACAAATGCTGTGGAATGCTACTGCCTTTTCGATGATTCGGCGGGATAGGAGGTGTAGACAGTCCGGAATGAACATCGGTGGGCGAGCTCTCGTTCGACTCGACAACGAGCTTGGAAGGCGAGCCATGCGGACGGGCAAGGACTGGATTCGAGCTGCCAGATGCGCTGGGCAGCTCGAGCTCGAGCGATTCAGGTGCGTCCATCTCGTCATCGCTGTCCATAGTTAATCGTGTTGCGGAGCCAAGGGCACCTCTTCTTGGAAGAGAAGATCGCGAAACGTACATGACGTCGGAATCACTGCGTGTATGGCTTCTGCTTCGACTGCTGCGCGACGATTCTGATTCGTTGTCATCTTGCTCGTCATCCTCGTCCTCCATGAGCTCATCCGCGTCGCTTGACAAAAGACTAGGCGGTTCTGGCGTATCTCCTCCGCTCGATTCTACCGAGACCGCTCGCAAGAAGAGTCTTGAGCCTGATGCAGTCGTAGAGGGTCCAGCGGCGCGGTCCGCTGAAGCAGCATTGATCGGCCGGCGTGGTACTGAATGCGCTGCGCCATCCGCATCTGATTGTTCCTGCTCCTTTTCATATTGCTGATTGTAGAGGTCTGCCAAGGAGGTCGAAGACGGCCTCTGCTTGCGCAGCTCCGCATCGTGTCGTTTGTTGTACAGATCGGCGAGCGAATTCGATGTAGCCGGTTTTGGTGACGAGGCAGTCAATTCTTGCGCATGTCGCGCATTGTAGAGGTCGGCGAGCGAGTTCGAGGCGCTTGCCGGTCTGATTCGATGCGTTGGAGATTTGGAGGGCCCGGCAAGCGCCCGAGCGGATTGAAGAGTCATCGCTGGCATTGATTGCTGGCACTTTGTGGCATATCGTGGGCGAGTGCGGAAAGAGACGCTAGCCGATCAGCCTTACGATAATGCATACATCGTCACAAACTGTTCTGCGGCTTTAGAGAACTTGGTCGGAGTGTATGCGGGGGGCGGAATGCTTCGTTGGCGGGACCGCTCTAGTGGTGGTCGGACCGCGATAAGAGTATGCGATGCAACTAGATTCGAGATGTAGCGTAAAGTGAGAATGGTCTTGAGTCGAGGTTGATGTGATGTTGGGGCTGAGGATGGGGAAGAGAGCGCGGGCTGGCTCGCGAGGTATGCGGAACCGGCTGCGGAAAGGCGAACGTCGAATGAGGTCGAATCTCGCGTCCAACACAAAGCGCTGATGATGATGATGATGAAACCAAAATGTCACGAAACGCGTTGCCGACTCAGAACCAACACTTTTGGCCTGCGTGCCTAATCAGCTGCTCAGCCGCGACCCAAATTGGCCGGCTTCCGAGCATCAGCAGCCAGCAGCTCCATTCCATCTTCGTCAATCCTCTTCACCACATCACACCACTTTACATGTGCAGTCACATTATGATTTGTTGGAATGACCTCAACATCTGCGGCCATAGAACCTTGAAAGCACCGCATCCCGTCCGATCTGCGAAGTTAAGCAAGGTATCGCCTAGTCAGTACTGCGGTGGGGGACCACGCGGGAATCCTAGGTGCTGCAGTTCTCTTTTTTTGCATCACTTCCTCGTCAGCACTCGCCCGTTGGTATCGCATTTGCTCTTCTTCCTGACCCATTCAAACGTCAACGAGAGTGCGCTGAGCCTTCAGACATCAGGCCGTGACATCGACGTGGCTGCGAAACGGGTATATTGACGAAACCTATGAATGCTTGCAATGCTACTAATCCTCCTATCCCTCCTCCGCTTCCGCCTCCGCCCCGTCACCAAAGATCTCCCTCCGCAGCTGTATCATCTCGTCCTCATCCAGCTTTCTAAAAAGTACACCATTCGCCTCTTCGCCCCTCGCCGTCCCCACCCTTCCCCCTTTCCTCGTCTGCACGCTCGAGTTGGGGAACCCACTTCCGCCACTGACATCATACAAACTACTCGGACTTGTGCTCAGCGCCACGCTTTGCATAGCCAGCCTGTCGAACAGCCCTCTGTGCCCTCTGAACATGCGGTACACCTCCTTATTTGACACTGCCCCCTCCAAGAGTCCTTCCAGCGTCTCTTCCTCAAAGGCACTCTTGACAAAATGTAGAATGTGGCTGACAAAGTCCCTCCTTGGGTTCCATGTCGGAAAGCGTGACAACAAGAGCAGTCGACCTGAGTCAGGGTCCACGAGCGGATGTAGCAGTGTTGGCGGGAAGAACACTTGCGGTATCGACGAAGGGTAGCTGGCGGGGAAGACGATGTCAAAGCGGAAGATGCCCCCGTTGAATGGACCGCCAGAAACGAAGATCACGCCGTGCCAGAGATGCGTGTCGTCGTCGTCCAGGGAGACATAGATACCAGAGGGACTGTTGGAGGTCAAGCAGAGTTGCGAGTATTGGAACGAGATGTCGCGCGATGCGAAGTCCTGTTGCAGCTGCTGCGCGGAAGGCATCGTGGGGTTGAACAGCGGTGCTGCGGAGGGGCCGATGGAGAGGTGACGCAAAGAGTGAGGGTCGGACCAGCCGCGATGTTCTCACGCTTCCATCGGATGAGACAGTGAGTCTGACCTCGATCGTCGGTGGTGCCGGATCGGAGGAGCCTGTGACAGATGTGAATGAGCCTGTGGGAAGAGTGACAGAAGTGAAAGGAGCGAGCGAGGTGTTGCTCTCGGCGCGTGTTGCACTCCACATATCCGAGATCCGCCTTTTTCCCTTCGTCACAGGCCTTCCTACCACCATCCCTCCTCACCCCCTCCCTTCCACCTAGCACCATCGCCACACCGCCGCGATGGACCCATTTCAGCTCCGTCTCCGCTTCATCAGCACCCTGCATCGACTCAACGCCTCCCTGCCAACCATCCAAAAGTCTCTCTCCTTTCTCGTCGACCACCCTTCGCTCCACGCCCAGCTCTGGGATTGCATCCTAGACGAGTTTCGTTCAGGCTCCATCAGCCGCCGCATCAACCTGCTCTTCCTCGTCGATGCCATCTTCACCGATGACACGCTGTCATCTTCCATCCGATCGCTCTTCCGACCGTACCTCGAGCGGGATGTCTACCTTCTCTTCGACCTGGCGGTCCCTGAAGGGCGATGGGATGCATTGCTCAATGTGCCGGCTGTAACCAAGATGCTCGGTGCCTGGAAGACACGGCTCGTGCTCGAAGCGTCGGTGATAGAGGACTTGGAGACGATGCTGTCCGTCCGCAAGACTGCACTGTACACCCTCTCCCCCGGTCAACGCGCCTCAACGCTCCTTCACCCCACCGACATGCAACGTCGTATAGAGGAGGATCGTGAACGACACAAGCGTCTCCGTGAGCGATCGTGGATTCTACCACCTACCGCTTTCTCCCATCAATCCCTCTTCGGTACCCGACCAGAACAGTTGGATCCGACGTATCTGACACGCAAACAGCCAGCGTCGCCCCGAGAGCAGAGGGAGGACACGGACGGAGACAGGGTGTGGAGCACCCAAGACCTTGATTTCAGCCAGATGTGGGACGAGACGAGCGACTTCAATGACGATGATGTCGAGGGGATCGTTGAGGACGAAAAGACCGGATGGTTGCATCAGCCGCCACCACCACCAGCATCAGCTCCAGCCCCAGCATCGGCAGCGCAACCGGTATTCGCACAACCACCGCCAGCTCAACCACCGAGAGCACCCGCATCGATGCGCAATGCACAACGTGCCTGAGAGTCCTTCATCACACACTGTATTTCTAGTCCGTAACAGCGTCCATTGCAAACTGGCCCCTACTGCCGGAAGTACTGCGCCATATCGTGCAACCTATCAAACATGCTACTGAGATAACTCGTCTCGTTCAGCAGCCCCTCGAACTCCTTGATCGCCTCGTCCTCCCCGAGATGCAGGAGGAACTTATCCTGCACCTTCAACACCGCTTTGTCCGGTTCGAGCCTGATATCCGGGATATTGGCGTCGACCATCAGGGCCACCAAGTTCAAGATGAGGTTCGCGTTCTTGCGCAACCCCGTGAACGCCGTGTAGCAGAACGCTTTGAACCTCGCATAGTGCGGAGAGGCCGTGCCGCCCATCGCATCGACCATTTCCTTGCACACCTTGACGGGCGGCGGGAAGGGTTTTGGGTCCCGGCCTAGGATGTAGCCAAAGTCGACGTGGAAGAAGTGTCCGTCGCTGCTGAGCAATAGGTTGTCGAGATGGCGGTCCCCGACGCCAAGGAGGTAGGTGACCACGCAGTAGCCGGCGCAGGAGCGAACGAAGGTGTCGAGCACCACAGGGTCCACGCCGTAGGTGGCGAGCGAGGTAGGGGATGGGTGGTGTGCACGGAGGAAGTTGAGCAGCGATCCTTGGTGCGCAGATAGGATCGCTGCGATGGAGAGCGAGTCGACGAATTGGACCATGCCGTCCACGCTCCCCGTCGCAAGGACGCGGTAGGGCGTCATCTTGAGATCGAGGTTCTCATTTCGAAGCAGTCGGTCCATTAGCGAGAAGAGCTGGATGACGAGCTGATCCTGCCGAAGATCGTCGCCGTTCTTGAAGATGAGGGTGTACTGACCAACTTCGCCTTTCGAGCCTCGTTTCGCGGCGGCGGCGGCCTGGTCATCGATCAACACTTCCTCTTCGTCCTCGACCAGGCTCGAAGTGATGCTGTCTGGCAGGACACTGCTAGCATCGCCCTCGGCATTCGAGTCGACTGCACTGTTGACCACAGTCGTGAACTCCAGTCGAAGCGGAAAGAGGTTGCTCTTGAAGATGGTGCTCTTCTCCGCCACGATGCCGGTGACCGACACCGACGCGTCCAGTGGCAGCATCAGCGGCGGATCGAACCGACTGAGCCCATTCTTGGGGTCTGTAATGAGCGCACGGAGCTTCTCGATCTTCTTCGGCCTCGCATCTCGATTCGAGCGCAGCTCCTTGGCGCGCCTCGAAAGAGTCGCTAGAAGCTTTGCCTGCCTCGTCAGCGTGTCCTTCCTCTCCGCACCTGCTGGGAGAGCGGCGAGCCGGTCCAAGAAGCTCTGTTTTACCGTCTTGAACAGCGATCCCGTCTTTGGGTCTTCGCACTCCACCTCGAGGTACCAGTACAAGTTGTTGCCCAACAGCGGATTCGACAGGCCCCGACGAATGAGAAAATCGACCAGGCCACTTGCGTCATCTTCCACTGTGAGGTTGTAGAGCGAGTTGGAAGGCGAGCTCGTGGGATGGCGCGACGTAGGCTGTCGACGAGCGTCGTAGTCACGGTCACCGACAGCGGACCCTGTCAGTCCACCAGCGCTGCGAGTCACTGGCTTCTCGAACTTCAACGCCTGCACAAGCTGCAGCAGGTACAGGATCAGCTCTTCGTCTTCCGCGCGCTCCAATTGGCGAACGGCGTACGATCGCACCCGTGGGTCCTTGAACGTGGGACCAAGCAGCTCGAGCGCATCGTCGAGACCTGGCTCCGCCCACATCGGCAGTAACACCTCTGTCGCCTGCTTTGCTTCGCCTTGATCCGTCCACACGACCGACTTCAGGAACTTGGTGAGACCCTTAGGATCTCGCGCCAGGTAGAAGCGGAACGACCACACCCTGTCCATCTCGCTGGGCGTGAGCACGCGTGTTGGCGGATACGAGAGGATGTCGTTGAGTTCGTCTCGCACTTCTGCCGACGGTTTGAGCTCGCGGTCGAGCGGGCCCGAGCGGTGCGATCGCACGAGTCGACGGTGTTTAGCCTCAACCGGATTGGACCGAGCGATCTCTGGATCGAAGATGGTGAAGAGCGAGGCGGTGATGCGATTCGGATCGGCAGTCGACAGCGCGGCGGCGGCAGCGGCAGCAGCAGCCGCGGCCGAGGAGGGATTGCCTGATGCTGTCGACGAACCGCTTGCCGCTGCATTTTGACCCGCTAGCGCACCAGCCTCGTTGTGCGGGACACCAGCTCCAGTGCTCTGCGCTCCTGAGCCAGAACCGACGAGCGGACCCGACAGCGACGAAAGCCCATTCGAAGCCTCAGCCGAGGGAAGTATCGACTCGGCCTCGCAGAACACGATCGGCAGCTCGAACCTCGGCAGGTCGATGTACAGGAAGAGTCGATCGCTTGACTGACTTTCCGCCTGGTAC